TGAATGGATGTTGCAAGTTGTTGGAGCTGCACCAGGATCTCATGCAAAGCACAACTACTTTGAAGTTTGGAGAAATTCACAGGAATACCAAGATGTGCAAAAGGAAATTGCCACCATGGAAACTGAGTTGTCGAAATTGCCAAGAGATGAAGACCCTGAAGCTAAATACACATATGCAGCTCCTATTTGGAAACAATACTTGATTGTCACTTGGAGAGCTATCGTACAAGATTGGAGATCGCCAAGATATATCTACTCAAAGGCGTTTTTGGTTATCTCATCGGCTATTTTCAACGGTTTTTCATTCTTCAAGGCTGATAGAACAATGCAAGGTTTGCAAAATCAAATGTTTTCAGTTTTTATGTTCTTTGTTCCATTCAACACCATGGTGCAACAGTTGCTTCCCCAATTCATAAAGCAAAGAGATGTTTATGAAGTTAGAGAGGCGCCATCGAGGACATTCAGTTGGTTTTCTTTCATATCGGCCCAACTCACAGCCGAGATGCCGTATCAAATTGCGGTTGGAACGATTGCATTCTTCTGCTGGTACTACCCTCTTGGATTATATGCAAACGCCGAACCTACTGACGCTGTTAATCAACGAGGTGTGCTTATGTGGCTTTTCATCAACTGTTTCTACGTCTACACGAGTACCATGGGTCTTTTGTGTGTATCATTTATTGAACTTGCTGACAATGCTGCAAATCTTGCCAACATTTTGTTTACATTGTGCTTGGCTTTCTGTGGTGTGCTAGTAACCGGTGACAAGTTGCCTGGTTTCTGGATCTTCATGTACCGTTGCAACCCTTTCACTTATTTGGTTCAAGGAATGTTGGCTACAGGGTTGGCAAACACTTCAGTAATGTGTAGCAAGACTGAGTTATTAACCGTTGAACCACCCAGTGGACAATCCTGTTCATCTTACTTACAGTCGTATCTTGAAACAGCTGGTGGCTATATTGTCGACACAGATGGGTGCCAATTCTGTCAGGTAAAATATACCAACACTTTTTTGGATTCGATCAATGCTAGGTACAGTGAACGATGGAGAAACTTTGGACTTGTAATCTGTTTCATTGCCGTTAACATTGTATTTACAGCTGCCTTGTACTGGCTTGCTAGAGTCCCCAAGGGAAACAGAGAAAAGGACAATAAGAAGAACGAGAAGAAGTAATGTATAGTATTTAGAGTTTTAAATTATATCATTCGTGTTTCAATACTAAATCCTCTAAGATACTGACCGTTAACCGGATCTCAATCTATTAAACGCTTTTTCTACGTTTGGCTAGAGAGTATTTCAACGACTTTAATAGCCCTGCTGTAAACAAGCCTTTAAACCCTTGAATGATCGAGCTATATACTATGGTGGAGGTGATCAAGTTTTTGATATTCTCAGGTAGCTTTTCGTCTCTAGCTATTTCCTTGACAGACGATTCTGGATATTTGCTGTAAAGTTGAGTGCGAAATTTTAATGGTAGACTAGATATCAAGTTGATTCTGGTGCTTGTAGTGAGATTAGTTTTAAAGGTGCGGTTAGTTGCATCATTGTCCGTAATGACGAGATAGTTTCTTCGGACAAAGTATTGCAATATTGGGTCATACAACTTTTTAAAATGGTGAAACTGTTTCGACACAATGTTTTTCACCTTGTTTGGGTTTTCTCCTCCAATGTACATCCTAAAGTCTCCCAAATATGATATGCTAGTTATTTGTTCGTACAATTGCTTTTCGGTGAATTGGTTTGTTTGAATGAGAAATATGGCTATGGTCATGGCATTCTTCAAATTATATTGATTGAGAAATCTCAACATATCGTCGTCTTTAATGTAATTTACCGGTTTTTGCAATCTCCCAGCAAAGTATAACGAGCTCCATTCACTTAGATCCATAAACGCTGACTTAGTCGATGTTATACCGTATTTGGTCAACTTTTCTTTTATCAGAATATAAGGATTAAAGTATATGCCACTACCTTGCAATATGTTGATAAATGTCTGTGATTTAGTAGCGTAGTGTGAAGGGTTTTGCTTGACATTTTGTGCATGAAACTTGGCAGTATCATTGACTAGATAGATAAAGTCCAACTGCTTTTCTTTATCTGGTTTATCGTAGCCATTTTGGGGAAGAATTCCGGACCCATAGCCTACCGCAGCACAGATATCCGCATCAAATGTATCAACTATTTCCTCCAACTGCTCCTGGCTTTCAGTTGTTAGGGACTGATTGTCGGCACAGAAATCTTTAGGAATCACCAACTTGTCAAACCCTGCTGCCCCTTCAGTAATAATTGGCTTGTAGTATTTGTCGGAGTAAGGAGTTGTTGATGAGACAAATGTGGAAAGACGAGTTGAAGAATAGTGAAAGGAACGGAGTCCACCAAGAATTGCTTGATACAAGCGTATTCGTGTCATGTAATGATGACTCATTTAGGGTGATTAATATTAATTGGAAAATTCAAAAAAAATATATTGAAAAAAAGTTGAAAAGAAAAAAAAAAAAAAAAAAAAAATAAAACACCTAGTCAGAACGTGCCAGATCAGCAAATGTCGTCCCAAGTATACAGATCAACCAGATCTGACAAGCCAGAAGAGTTATCATTTGAAGATGTTGTAATGACTGGGTTGGCCCCTGATGGTGGTCTCTACTTACCGTCGGAGATCCCCAAATTACCATCTGATTTTCTTGATACATGGAAGAACTTGTCGTTTAACGAGTTGGCATTTGAGATCATGAGATTGTATATCAACGAAAACGAAATTCCAAATGCTGATTTAAAAGACTTGATCAAAAAGTCTTACTCAACTTTCAGATCGGCAGATGTTACACCATTGAGGAAGCTCGACGACAAGTTGTACTTGTTAGAGTTGTTTCACGGGCCTACATATGCGTTTAAAGATGTGGCCTTGCAATTTGTCGGTAATTTGTTTGAATACTTTTTGACAAGGAGAAACAGTAAAAAAGCCGAGGGAGAGACAAGAGATATCATAACAGTTGTTGGTGCCACCTCCGGTGATACGGGTTCGGCTGCCATTTACGGATTGAGAGGAAAACAGGACGTGTCTGTATTTATCTTGTACCCTACAGGAAGAATCAGTCCTATACAGGAGGAGCAAATGACTACTGTTGAGGACTCAAATGTCCATACTTTATCGGTCAAGGGGACCTTTGACGATTGCCAGGATATAGTCAAGCTGATTTTTGGTGACAAAGAGTTCAATGACAAGTATCATGTTGGTGCCGTCAACTCAATCAACTGGGCAAGGATATTGGCACAACAAACCTACTACTTTTACTCCTTTTTCCAATTGCAAAAGAAAGTTGAAGGAAAAGTGAGATTCGTTGTTCCATCAGGAAACTTTGGCGACATCTTGGCTGGGTATTACGCGTACAAGATGGGCTTACCAGCTGACAAATTAATCATTGCTACTAACGAAAATGACATTTTGGACAGGTTCATGAAGACGGGAGAGTACGCAAAACAGCAAGAAGTGGGTGTGAAGGCCACTTATTCACCAGCCATGGATATTTTGATTTCCTCTAATTTTGAGAGGTTATTGTGGTACTTGATAAGGGACAATGTAGCCGAAGGCAATGATGAAAAGGCTGGTGCTGTATTGAATGACTGGATGAAGCAGTTGAAAGAAAACGGCAAGTTTACCGCCCCACAGGAGGTGGTGGAAAAAGCCAGATTGATCTTTGATTCTGACAGAGTTGACAATGAGGACACAATCGAGACCATCAAACAGGTTTACTCAACCAGTCCAGAAAAATACGTTATCGATCCACACACATCTGTCGGTGTCAAGACATCTCACAGATTTATCGAAAAAGACCATGAACCTATACAGTACATATCACTTTCAACGGCCCACCCTGCTAAGTTTTCGGAGGTTGTCAACAAAGCCCTTCAGGGTTTTGATGGTTACTCTTTTGAGAAGGATGTGTTACCAGATGAGTTGAAGCAATTGAGCACCAAGGAAAAGAGAATCAAACTTATTGACGAACCAAGCATCGAGAAGGTGAAACAAGCTATTAAAGATGAATTAAAATTTTAATCGCGTTTGTGTATGTTTACCTGTCCATCGACAATATCTACCTTGTACCCAACTTCTTGTAGAACAGTGTCATCTACCGTCTTTTTTGCCTCTAAATCGGCCACAAATTGTTGGTTCTTTGGGTTCTGGTCCAAAAGATACTTTACGCAAAGTATCGCTTGTTCTTTAATGAATGGATTGTTTTCATCGATTACACAATTTGACAAGACCAATGCTAAGCCACCTAAATCTCTGATGAGCTCTTGGTTCTTGAATGACTTGTAGCACATGTATGAGAGTATGATAATGATGTACAACTTCACATGGGGATAATTAACAACCTCTTCTATCTTTGACTTCATCGTGACACGCTTGACGTTTTCGTGAATAACCCTGAAGACATCGATCAACTGAGGAAGAAAGCTGGGGCTGTGTTCGAAAAACTGAACCGTTGCTTTAAACTTTGCAAGTTCGGCAAATATTTGCAATACGTTGGATAAAATGAGTTCTAGAGTCTCGTCATTTATCGTCTCTGGATTTAGCTTCGGTGCATACTTTGAAAATATCTGCTCAGCCCAGACCAATAAGCCAACCAACTGAAAATTATTCCAGTCGTCCTTGGTTTGGACAACAACCGTGGCGAGTTGTAACCACTGGATCTTTGTCTCCTCGTCCTGTTGGTCAATCCAATTAGCAAAACTTTCATGTGTGATTATATCATAGAGGAGATGAATCAACATCTTTGAGTCGTGGTCAACATTTTCAAAATCCACCTCTAGGTACAACTTGTGTACTTCATTCAAAACATGATTCTGTCTGATCTTTAGTAGATGGAGCAAGGTTTCATTAGTCACCTCGGGATCCTCTGTGAAAAATTGTCTAAAAAGAAAATGAATGATTGGCGATTTAAACGAAAGATCACCCCAAGTGAACAAGTAGTCTATCTCCTCAGTGAAGTTGTTTCGTTGAAAGTTTGCCAAAATTTCCCAATACACTAGTCGTAATTTGAGTACCCACTCATTCACCTCCAACTGTGTGAATCTCTGGAAGCTTTGAATTACAAGGGGAAAGAATTCAATATTAAGAGATGGTGCTAAGTTTCTGATTGTCAATAGTACGCCTCTGTAGACTCTCAATTGTTCAACTTCATTTTGAGGCACATATGCCAAAGCAGGCTCGACAACTGCCAAACTTTGAACTTTTAAATTCGATGATTGCTTAACTAGATCCGATAATCCTAATAAGCATTGTTCAAAGCCTGCATTGCCTGAACTTTTTAACCATTGCAATGTCAGGTCTATGCCAGTATTTATTTCCGATGCCATTAGAGTCTGGTTCTACAGATATATTTTTTTAAATTTTCGCAACAGATTTTGTATTACATCAAATCACAGGCATGTGGGTTTAGCAAACAATACTTGGGTGCTAAGGGAGATACATGATGTCCAATCTTCACTAAAAACTCTCGAAATAAAAGAATTCTCGTACTCATGTCATACAACTCCAACCCCTTCTCGTTTCTATTCCCGCTCCATAGAGACTCCGCCAACGCAGCCGACCTCGGCCACAATTTTCCCGTTAAAACAGTAAAATCAACCTGCTCCGACCAGAGGACTGCTTCCGCCCCTAGAACTCTCCCTTTTTCCAGATCTGTCAAATCAGACAAGAAATCAAAAGAGTAGATCCGCTGCCAAGTTTTGTATGGGTTGCACCAGCTACCGCCTTTGCCACCATTGAAGCCGCCATTTTCAGGCGAATCTGAATATCTAAAGTCATTGGTGAGAAATCCGCCATATCCACAGTCGAGATACAAGTGGTCTGCCAGAGACACTATCACGTTGTATCCCTTGCGGGTCAAGTTTTTGATATGAGATGGTTCGTGCCACACTTGCAATGTGATATTCAAGGGAAGCTCCTTTACAGCACCTTCTGAAGTTAGCACATCATCCCACATTATCAACCTTCTCCCTTTTCTATTGTTGAAAATAGGTAACACCGAGTCTAGATACTTCCCCGTCACATCACTTAAAGTTTGATTCTCAAACCAATCTTGCGGGTAGCAACTCTTTTGAAGTTCATCATTCCCTACGTGGAAAAAGTCATCAGCAAAAGCCTCACTTAATTCACTGTATATATCATGAATAGTTTGATAAGTCTTGTTGTTCGCAATGTTTAGTTGACCTGGTGGTGGTTCGACTGCGTAGCCGTTCCAAAATTTGTTTCCACACTTGATAAGCGAAGAGTCAACTTGTCTCCAGCCAGCTCTGGCATGACCAGGCATATCAATCTCTGGTATAACTCGAACACCCCTTTCCCTACCATAAGACTGAACCCGCTTCAAGTCGTTGATTGTATACCTTTCCTGCTCAGAATATGCATCCCGCAGCATTTCGGGATGACACTTTAACACCAACGGCCAGCTCTGTGTATCCACCAAATGCCAATGCAAGGAGTTCATCTTGACGTGTGACATGATATCAATTTGCTGGAGTATCGACTCCACAGGGAGGAAATTTCGTGCCGAGTCAATCATTATCCCCCTATGTGGGAATTGTGGATAGTCTCGAATCAGCACCGACCTTTCCAACATAAACCGGTCATGTTTGTAGATGATCAACTGTTGAAGTGTTGTCAAAGCATGCAATGTTCCCCAAACAGTTTCGCTACTGATTGTGATTCCATTTTCTGAAGCTTCCAAGTCATATGATTCTGCAACACCAAGCTGCAAGTCAGCCTCATAATCCAGTATCTCCACGTGTATAACAGGCGATGCCATTTGCGAGTAAAGGTCAAACAATATGCTGTCTGAATTGTAAACATATGGAGACCACTTAGCTGACCTGACATTTTCGACCATCCTCTGAAGTGCCCTTTCAAGTATAGTGTGAGTAACATCCAACTGTAGCTGCTCAACATCGATGGTTAGAAAACCATCTCCAAACCATTTCAGCCTTCGTGGCTTGGGCAAGGGGTTTACGTCTATTGCCGAGACAAATTGGATAAGAATAAGCACTAGCAAGAGGAACCACATGGATGATGCTAAATTATTTTTCTATCACACTCTATCAAAATCTATAATTTCTGTACCCGATGGGACTCCCGCTTCAAAAGTTTTAGTCTGCTTTCAAAAGCGCCAATCATGATGTTGGTAACTTGAGGAGCAAACATAAAGCTGAGTCTGTCGTAGATGGGGTTCTTGAACTTGTACAACAAAGTAAAATCCACCCTGCATTTGTTTCCACTTGCATTTTTGAACTTCCATTCTGTCTCCAACTCATGAAACAAGTCCAATTCAATGCTCCTTGCATGCACTGTTTCATTCTCCTTGCATGTTAGCAGACATTCAAACTTTTCAGTAATGTCCTTCCATCCAACCTTCAACCCTGCCTTGCTCGGTTGCTGTTGCACATCTCTACTCGAAACGAACGAGTCCTCAACAAATGGAACAAAGTTTTTGTAATTATTGACTTCGCTAACTATCTTGTAAAGTTGCTGAGGGGTCCCATTAAGAACTCGCGTGATGCTATATGTCTGCGGTTTTGCCGATCCAAAGAATGACCTGGTGAAGCATATCGAGTGTGCTCTGTACATTTGCTGGTTGGGGTTGGACAAAAATTTCAAAAACAGTGCACAATTTGAGCAGACGCTTCATTTTACATGGGACTAATTTGTAAATTACAGAATAAGATGTGTTTATTACATGATTATATAAAGGTCGTGATACTTACTAAACATGCCTAAAAAGCTTATTGAGCACGAGTGTAGATGTATTGTTTTGAGTGTTTCAATACTGGAGTAATAATACCGTCACTTTCCAATTGTCTCAAAGCAACACGAGCAAGGGAACCTCCGATCTTCAATCTGTCAACCAATACGGAAACTGAGACGTATTTGTAAGTTGGGACATCCTTCAAGATTCTGTCGTATTTTTCTTGGTCCAAGATGACAAGATGTTGGGCCTTGTCCTTAACCTTTCCTTTATTCCACTTCTTTTTACCTTTCTTACCACCAGCTAAAGCGGCAGCAGCTTTAGCAGCTTTGGTTTGTTGAATCTTTGGTGCCATTCTATATTTGAGTTAGTAAATATGGACTGAAAACATGGTGTGGTATTGGGTTAAACAGAAAGAGAACCTATGGTAAATAGATCAACAGTGGGTTCAGTATAGAGTTCTCTCCATTATCCTTCTCCTCTTGGTTGCTCTCCATTTGAGTCAATATCACATCTATCTTTCGTTGTTGAACATACGTTTATGGTTGGTGTGAAGACAGTAGTATTTGTTAGTAGATGTTTTTTCCAGATAGCTGTTTTGAGTAAAGTAGTTTCTCATTCTGGTGCTAATAATAAAAATAAATTGTGTGAAAAAAAAGCAAAATGTCTTACACGTGATTAGGGCTACAGACACCGCACAGTACCTGACATGTGTTGGTGTATTGCTCCACCAAGGTAGGAGTGAAGTCCAATTATACATGCTACTATGGCACTCCCATTACCTTTTAAAATAGTTTAGACCTACTTTCATATCACTAAATTTTCAGTGCTGCGTGCTCCGTCCAGTGGTGGAATGTTGCTCAATTTGGTAGCGTATAAACACTCAGTGGGATACAATTCCGTCCATCGCAACAGGAACCAGTTACTAATCATAACAAAAGGATACTACTCCTCTCTTCCCATTCCTCCCACCATCCGCATTTATATATATATATATATATAAATATAAATATCAACATGGCTAAGAGGCAGGCGACAGAACAGATCACACGAGAAGCATTCACCGGGGATGCTTCGGACGACAATGAAGAGCGCCCCACGCAAGCAAGTTCGCTGGTGTTGGCCAAGAGAAAGATATTGAAACCAAGAGGAAAATTAAGTGAAGGTAATGGAAGTGTGAAAAATTCGGCGTTCCAAATGCCACTGGGTAGTTTTCAGTTTAATCCGCAGCCCACAACCAGTACATTTCCGAACAATGTCCATCCAAAAGCCGATGACGAGGCAAATAAAATTAAAGCATTAAATGAGAACTTCATAAACAAAATAAGCGAATCAAACAAGGCTAATAGCATTGCCAATTTCACTCCCATAGCTGAAAAATACATCAGTTACTACAAGGAAATCCAGAATGGAAAGCACCTGCAAAATGCTACAACAATCGACATAGCTCAGCAAAAGACCGACGCGGACAAGATTGAAGATGACCAGTCAAGTAGTGACAGTGAATCAGATAAAAAAGAGGGCGCAAAAGACGTGAAAGTTGAGGGGCCAAAGTTTACTATCGCCCAAAAACCTACACTGTCATCATCTCCATTTACATTCGATCCCAAGAAAATTGCAAAATTGAACGCCAAAGACTCAGACGAATCTGAAGATGATGTGCCGATTCAAGGACCAATATTCAACTTTAACAAGCCTATTCAGGATAATGTCTTCAAATTTAAAGGCTCTTCAGAATCAAAGAGTGAGGTCGACTTATCCTCCAAGACCGATAAGGGAAGCTCCACTTCAGTCAAACCAACATCACAATTCAGCTTTGGGTCAAATCAAAGCCAGGCAACACCAGTTGGCTCTACTTCAGGAACTTTCAACTTTGGAGCTAAACCGGTAGAAACGACAAACCAAGCCGATCAAAAACAGGACTCTACGAAATCATTTAGCTTTAACAACCCGTCTAACCAAAGTTCGAGTACAAGTGGCACATTTAAGTTTGGATCTAGTCAGCCAGCATTTGGTGCATCTTCTGATAAGCCATCCACCGGATTCAGCTTTGGTGCAAAGCCGGATCAAAGTTCTACTCCAGGGTTAGCATCATCGACGGGCTCAGCATTCTCCGCTTTTGGTACAAAGCCTGCAGGTGCAGCATCTTCTTCCCCGGCTTTAAATTTTGGAACGAAGCAAGACGATACGGGTCCACTGGCTGGATCAGAAAATACTGCCAATTCTGCTGCATCTGGAGGAGCAACTTCGTCTGGATTCCTTGGATTTAAGCCTGCTGGAATTCAAAACAAAGATTCAAAACCCTTTCAATTTGGTGCAAGCACATCAACATTTGACAATTCCTCTTCCAAACCTTCTAGCTCACCATTTAACTTCATAGGTAACCAAAACACAAGTGATGCTTCTCAAAAGGCTCCTGAATCAAACAAAACTGGATTTACATTTGGACAAAAAGCTGAAGAAGGGTCTACTGGAACCACTGCCCTAACTTCGACAGCTAATATATTTGGGAATGCCAATGCAAAAGCTACAGCCCCAAGCAACCCATTTGGTGGACTAGGATCTACAGGCTTTCAATGGGGTAAAACCGACAATACAAGCAATAAAGAAGAAAACAAAGAACAAGAAAAAAAGGATGATGATAAAGTGGAGGAACACGAAGTGGAGGGCAATTTTGCTCCTGTTGTCCACATGAATGAGAAAAAGGAGGTGCAATCGGGTGAAGAAAACGAGGAAACTAAATTCACCATTCGAGCCAAGTTGATGGAGTTTGATTCATCGAATGCTACCAACCCCTATGTAAACAAAGGACTAGGAGAATTGAAGGTGTTACGAAATAAGGAAACCTCAAAGTCGAGGATAATCGTCAGAGCAGATGGTAGTCTCCGAGTACTATTGAACACCTTGTTATCCAAAGACGTTTCTTATAGCTCAATGGGAAATGGTTCGTTGGTGCGTATTCCTGTTTTCAGCAGCGACAACAAAATCGATACATACGTGGTCAAGGTCAAGACCGCCGATGACGGGAAAGAGCTTTTGAAAACTATCGAAGACTTGAAATCGTAAACGAATTATATATACAGAATCTATGTACATGTATTCTATCATTTCTCGTTATCCCTTTTCAGTTTATCCGCGTCAAAATTGAAGAACTTGCCCAACACCTTACCTATCCTTGCCAATTTCGAAGGATGCAAGTCCTTCTCATCAACTTCCTCGTATTTCTCATTATTCAAGCTATCTTCAAGTTCCAGCCGCCAATCTGCATCAGTGCGGTTCGCATTTTTATCGTTGAAAGCGTCAGCCAATGCCTCGAGCAAAGCAGTTTGTGTTGGATTTTCGGGAACTAAAGTCTTTACATTAAGCACCACATCTAGGTTGCCTCTGTCATCCAAGTTCCTGTTGATGGGCACACCCTTTTCTGGTATAATCAATTTCCTACCTGATTGCACACCTGGCCTGACTTTCAACTTGATCTTTTGTCCATCCAAAGTTGGCACCACGATTTCCCCGCCTAGTGCTGCAGTTGTCATTAAAATTTCTTGGTTCACCACTAAATCATTCTTTTCACGTTTGAAAACAGGATCTTTTTGCACACTGACTCTGATAATCAAATCACCATTACGGACTTGATTGTACTCGTCCTTTGTCACAAGCGGTGCATCACCAGCTCCTGGAATACGGATTCTTGAACCGTCGCTTATACCTGGCGGTATATCAATCGTGGTGGACTTTGGCACCTCCTGTACTCCATTTCCGTGACAAGTACCACACTCATCCGCCCGTGAAATAGAAACTCCAGTTCCCTGACAGGTTGGGCATGTGGATGCCATATGGAAACCACCCATGACATGTGTCGTCTGTCCAGATCCATGACATGTGGGACAGGTTTTCTTTTTAGCGCCCTTTTTCAACCCACTGCCGCTACATGTACCACAAGAGTCAACAACCTTGTAGTTTATTGTTACTTTGCTGCCAAAAATGCTATCCTTAAAAGGTACCAGCTTTAAAACCTCAACGTTATCACCTACATGTTCAGTAACAAAATGTGCTCTACTGCCGCCTGCTCTTCCACCTGCTGACCCTCTTCCTCCAGCGAATGCTTCTCTAAATAAATCTTCAAAATCAAATCCCATTCCTCCAAAGGGGTTTCCACCACTACTAGCTCTACCAAAGCCACCACCTCCAAAACCGGCAAATGGGTTCCCACCTCCTGCACCTCCAGCACCTGCTCCACCAAACGGATTTGCGTTTCCATTCTCATCAAATGCACTAGGACCAAACTGATCATATTGTGACTTCTTTTCTTTATCTCGTAAAATTTCATAACTCTGTTGTATCTTATGAAACTTCTTCTCCACATCCTTCTCCTTATTCACATCTGGATGATATTTCTTGACCAAATCATAGTAAGCTTTCTTGATTTGCTTCGCATCTGCAGATTTGTCTATACCCAATATCTGGTACGGGTCATAATCTATGAGCCTTTTAATTGAAGGGTGAAAAGATCTGGATATAATAAACGGCTTGACCTGCAATGGTCCTCTCTTGAGTACATTGCGTCGTAATATCGAAGTTGGAACTCTCATGTTCGATAGTAATGTATAACAACTGTCTGACTTGCGGTGTTGTACAAACAGTTAAGCTTGAAGTTAGTTAGAGAGATGAATTATTTAAATGCGTAGAAATTTCTATACGATTCTTTTTATTTCTTCTTTTTCTTTTTTTACCAATAGGTAGCGCTATGCATCCATTCCATCAATGACGTCTTTCCATTTGGAAAACACCTCTTTAAAGAATCTGACACCAATACCCACGTCTTTGTACCCCATGATGCTTCTTATCGAGTGCATACTTAGAATTGGCATGCCAACATCTATAATGAGTTTGGCACCGTTTAATCCTCGTCTAGCATCTGACATTATGGGACCTATCGTCCCTCCAGATCTTGAGTCGTTTCTAATGTGAAACTCCTGTAACTTCATTCCTGGTAGGTTTTTAACCACTCGATCTAAAAACTCCTTTCCTAAGCTATCGCTCAACACATGGGCGTTTGAGTCGAACTTGATCGATGGGCCAACATTGAGCAATGGATAGTTTCCTTGCAAATAAACTTCTTTGAAATTAGGATTCATCGCATGCGTCACATCACTAGATAAAAATACGGTACTTTTAATCAACCGTGCTATTGCTTCTTCAGCATAAGCCTGTTTGCATTTGTCGCTGACTAGTGCTCTCAAATTATCAACCAAGAGCCCACCAAAAGCACCTGTGGAGGTCAAACTACCAATTTCTTCATTATTTGCCAAGTATACCCCACTGAGGCCATCATAGTCTTCCACTTTTGCATCGGTGAAAAACTTTCGACTGAATTCAATCAACCCGTAAATTGAATCAAACGCACATAATCTATCATCTAAACTGGCCAGGTAGATAAACTCTCGTTCGAGGCCGCCTCTGCAACTCGGTTGTACATCAACTAAATCCAAGTCTATATCCACTATAGAGTTTAAAGGTACACCGGATAGCTGAGATATATATCTAAGCAAGCTTAGTGAGTGGCGGTTGTAGAATTTGGAACGCTTCTCGTCCTCTGTTGGTTCTGGCTCCTCGGTTGAGTATCCAAAGATTGGTACAGTTTGTGTTTGTTTGTTATACTGTGTGTCGTCAACTAGGTACGCCGACTCTGGAATAAATGCAACCGGGGCATGTGAGTTGATTAGCTTTCGTGTTACTTTCCCACTATCCGAATCGCGTACTAAAACAGCTCCAGCTAACCCCAAGTCTCGGTTGAGCCAATTTTTGTTCAAGCTTCCAGAGTACGGAGCAACACCAAGCAAATCATACCCTTTCACTCGTGGTTTCATCAGTCCCCGTGGATTGAGTTTGACACTTAGAGCATCACAATGACTTCCCACAAAACAAGAGCCATTTTCGGGTTTCCACTTTCCTCCTATGACAAATGCAACCAAACATTGGTCTGACCGACTTGTGTAGTAGAAACCAGGAGCTAAATCTTTAATTGGCTTGGTTTGGGTTAGCCCTTTGAAACCATTGTTTTCCAAAACTGACTTGAAATGAACAATTGTGTGGTAAGTGGTAGGACTGGCTATCATGAATTTGATGAATTCATCAGCATAAATTTCATTGTAGTTTGTTTCTTCTCTCAGTTGTTGCACACTAGTGTAACTCAGTCTTGGAAAGTCAAAAACTTGGGGTGTATCAGTGGTGGTGTAGTTATCATGGATAGCCCACGAGTCTTGTGTATATTCGGAGCTAGTTGAATTTATTGTTGAAATGCCTGGTGCTGAATCTGAATTTTGCAATATTGGACCCCCAATTGAGGTGTCACTTTCATCATCAGTAGTGATAGATATCACACTGTCAGCGTCATTCAAAATGGTAAAACTTTCGTTCATTAAATTCATATGCTAGTGTCTATTGAAGCCGTACAAAGGTTGATTTTTTGTGTGGTTTTGAAAAGCTACCAAGGAATGTTCTTATGTCGCTTCAGAGTGTCGCAATTGTTTGCTTTATGTCACTCACTTTTCAAAGGGTTGTAATAGTGAAACTATCGTTGATACTGACGGAAGAGAACCGCCTGTTATGCTGAGGATAGCTAACCATTTTTTTTGTCTCTTTTTCATTCATTTCCACCTGTTTCAAAATTTGCTTCAAATTTTGGTAAATTTTTGTCATCGGTTCTTAGATACAACCGAAATTATATGACGGATACTTTTCCCTAGAGTGTCACACTTTGAATAAACCAGTATTGATCTTGAAAACCACTCGTGAGCACCACTTGCTTTGGCTATGAAGCAGAGCTACTTCCATATTTCAATCAAGCTACCCTTGGAGCTCGGTGACAGCCACAGAAATACTTATTACACAAAGCCATCACACCATTTCCGCGGGTATGTACATTCGATTCACACAATTGATCACACTACAGTTCTGCAAAAAAAACACATGTTGGGATGTTCTACTACACTGCCTTTCCACCCCCTTTTAATAGGATCCGGGTTGATCCACAAGTAGAAAGAACTGTGCCTGATTATCTTTCTGCTTCATTTTTGTACCCTCGACAGAAAACGTTCTACAACGTTCTCAATTGCTCGGCCGAGTAATTTCGGCCGAAGAAAACAGCAATTTTAAATTGCAGCCACAATTGTATTCTGCCAGTTATAAATGGGCAACAATAACCCCCTAGCAATTCTCATCCACTTCTCCTTCCTCTCCAACTACAAAATGTCTTCTCAAAACGTTGTATTCATCAGTGGTGCTACGGGATTCATTGCCCAACACATTGTAAAATTTTTAATTGAAGCTGGCTACAAAACCATTGGATCTGTCAGATCGGAAGAAAAAGGTGAACACTTGAAGTCGTTGCTCAAGTCAGCTGGATTAAAATCTGAATTGTTCAACTATGTTGTTGTCAAAGATATTGGGGCCAAAGGTGCATTTGACGAGGCTTTAAAAGCACATCCAGATGTTACTGTCTTTTTGCACACTGCATCTCCATTCACATTCGAAGTTCACAATGTTGAAAACGATTTGTTGAAACCAGCTATTGAAGGTACCATTAACGCTCTCAATGCTATCAAGGAATACGGTAAGAACGTGCAAAGAGTAGTTGTCACTTCTTCCTATGCTGCAGTCGCAGGCTTTGCTGACTTGGCCACTCCAGGTAAAGAGGCCAACGAAGATTCATGGAATCCCATCACATATGAACAAGCTTTGCAAAATCCATTTGTTGGGTACATTGGATCAAAGAAGATCGCTGAAAAGACTGTGTGGAAGTTTGTTGAAGAAAACAAACCTAAATGGGAAATTAGTATTATTAACCCAGTGTATGTCTTTGGACCACAAGCATTCGAAGTCAAGGACAAGTCTAAATTGAATACATCAAACGAAGTCATCAACAGCATTTTGACTGCTGGTAAAAATAAGGAAGAGCCACAGCAATATGTTGCATACTTTATCGATGTCAGAGACGTTGCAAAAGCCCATATTGTTGCTTTTGAAAAGAAGGAGGCTGCTGGTCAAAGATTGCTCTTGAGTGAAGCACCATTCACCACAGCAGAAATTTTGGATGTTATCGAAAAGGACTTTCCTAAATTGAAGCCCGAATTACCAACATTGGATAAATCAAAGGCTCCAAAATTCGAGGACTCTGAAAGTATCATCAACAATGAAAAGACGAGAAAGATTTTGGGGTTCAAGTTCATCGACTTGAAGAAGTCAGTAGATGACACAATTGCCCAATTGCAATAGGTGCAGAGTTATAGATGTTTAATAAATAGATTGTTTTAGAGGTATCACCAGATATACGGGACAACTACGCTGATTCACCGTTCACCACAGTCAAAGTATATAAATAATAAAATAATAAACTCTTTAGCTAAAATTCAGTACACCCGTAACTAATCTATAGCCGCCAAGGAGTCAAATAGAACCGAAATAGACTCCCCAAAGTGATCTCTTCTAATACATTCGGCAAATATTGGTGAAACATCAATAACCACAAGCTTATCCTTGTGTTGTTCAATTTGTTCCTTGGGAATAGGATACGTATTTGTAACAACAATCTTATCAATGCACTTTGAGTCCGTCAACCGTTCCAAGCACGAGTCGGTAAACACTCCGTGCGTGCCAACTACATAAACGGCCTTGGCCCCACAGTTTAACCTCAAATGCTCAGCTGCGGCAATAAATGAATTTGGCTTGTCAATCATATCGTCTAATATAATGGCAACCTTGTCTTTGACATCACCCACCAAAGTGATTAACTTCTCTTCAACTAATGGCTCGTCCTCGTCATCGGAATTGGCCGCGTCGTAGGACCCACCTAAAACGTCACTATCGATGATATTTGGTTTCGTCAAATGGTCACCACCGGTGCCCTCATGAGTGACTTTTGACTCAACATCTTTGCATTGATAATCATCATCGACAACGTGACCTTGAACAATTCTTGCGGTTTGCAACTCATTGACAATGTTGTCCTCCTCATATGCTTCAGCGCCGTCATCGTTGACAATCTTTGCCCTTTTCAAGGCCTTCTTCTTGGCATACTCATCTTGTGTTCTTCTTCTATCAGTGTGAATCATTGCAAAATTTATCTTTAGACTATCGGCCAAAGCAGTCACTCTTTTGGTTCCACCAGGGTTTTTCGAAACCACTACTGAGCTCTCCCATGCCTCTATATTGTGGCGAATCCATCTTGCTAATGTTGGTGCACCAAACAAGTTGTCGACTGGAACAGTGAAGAAACCTTGCATCTGACTGGCGTGGAGGTCCATGCTGACAACATGATCAGCTCCAGCCATGACCAATAAGTTAGCCAACATCCTGGCTGTGATTGCACCTCTGTGCTTCTTCATTTTACTCTGTTTGCTGTAAGGAAACTGAGGAATAACAGCTGTGATTTTGTTGGCACTGCCTCCACGACAGGCACTAATCAAAATCAAAAGCTCCATGATATGGTCATTTATGTTTGATGAGCCACTTTGGATAATGTACACATCCTCGTCTCTGACACTGACACCAATCTGAACTGAGGTTTCTCCATTGCTAAATTTCTTCAACGTGCATGGTGCTGGTTCCACGCCCAATCTTTCGCAAACCAATTGGCCCAACTCCGGATGCGATGATCCGACAAAGATCTTGCACTTACGCATTTCTATAATCGGTGACAACGTGGCTGAAAAATGAGTATACTTTTTGGATCTAGACGAGATAGCCCATCAGAAAGAGGCACGTTTGAGATGAGAACAAGAAATCTTTTGACAATTTTTTTTTTTTTTGCTTCTTCTCCTCCATCTCAGGAACAAACCAATTAAAAGATGGAGAGATTGCAACTGAAGATAAAGGATAATAGAGTTATCATCAGAAAGTCTGATTTCTTCAATGAAATCAAATCGTCAATAGATTCTTCTTTTACCTGCATACGATGCCTCGCTTTGGGTTCACCGTCACAAAGCTCTGATGCTAGATACCAATATGCATTACTACTAGAGTTAATTGATTGGTTGGGTATTACAGATATATCCATTTACGATCCCTTATTCACTGACGAGGATAGACAGTTGTTTGCTGACTTCAAAGTCGAGGAAGAATTCAGCCTACCGCAGGATGGAAATGTTCTCTTTTACATACCGCACTTGCCTCTCGAGGCAATGGAGCTTGTGGTCAATACTGAAAAGCCCGTGGTTTTTCTAGGCAACGATGTAATTGCTCATACGGACCGCTTGACGAAGAGAAAACTAGCGGAGTTGTACCCTAGTATGTCTATAATGGTCCAATACTTAAACAACGGCTCGGGGTACGATGACGGATTTACAAAAGTAACAAAAAGTAGAAAGAAATTCAAAGAACCCGAAATCGGCTATGATTTCGACTCTGTATATTTTAAAAACGTTGAGATTGTACGCTATGTTCACAATTTTAACAAAAATGACCCATGGGGAAATTCATTCTCAGATTTAGCGTTACATAGACTTGTGATATAAAAAAGAAAAAAATTACTCTATTCTTTGTTTCTTATTAATGGGTTCTTCGTCTGGCTTATCCTCCTTCAACAAATGCTTCGCTAGTATGGAGTACAAGTCGTCTTTGGTGAATGGCTTGGCCAAAATATCGCTCATACCATTCTGCAAGTATGTGACCAAGTCATTGTCCTCAATGTTACCTGTCATGGCAATAATGGGGGTCCTAGTGTCAAACGATCTAATGACACTGGTTGCCGTGGCTCCGTCTAAATTGGGCATAACTATATCCATCAACACCAAATCATACTTAGTACTCTCAACGGTAGAAATGGCGTTGAGACCATCGGTGACAACAGTGACCTGGCATCCATACTTGACCAAAAATTTCCTGCACAATTGAATACATACATTATCGTCCTCTACTAATAGAACGTGGAATTTGGGGTTGGGGATCGACGTGGTACTAATTTGCGGAAGAACATTGCTATTGGGCGAAGCTGATGTGCTAGTCATTGGGGATATGGGTTTATTTGAAGGCGATGGCTGGACAAATTCACCTGATGTGGGAAGGTGGTTGCCTTTTGAACCTGCGTCAATCGACCCCAGAGAATGTTCTGGGTTGGTGTTGAGGATGTTGCCATCACTGGATCTGTTATCTTCGGACTTGTTGTGCTTATGATGGGTCGAATTGGTACCTAAGTTATTTGCTTGCGTAGAGGCCTTGCCCTGGGGAAAAGAAGGTTGCGGTAATTGATGAATCGACAGCAGCCGGCTCAATGATGCTAAACCGCTAATAGGACTTGTCACTGCAAATGAATTTGGTGTCGGCCTACCACCAGGGATCGATAAGGCTCGATTATTCAGATTGAGCAACGACAGTTGCGGTTGTACATTCGCTGCTGTAGCTGTTTGAGGGATCGGCAACCGTGGCGAGCCAGTTTGCGCTGGAGGTATGAGTGGCGACTGTAAATTGTTTACACGAGGTGATTGCAGTTGCAAATGTTGGGATATACTGGGTAACGATGAAGCTGGTATGGAGCTCAGAGTCATGGGAAAAGACGATGAGCTGGTATTGGGTTCCTGCAACTGAAAAGGACCCGTGTTTGGTGGCGGAAAATCCAATGGTGGGACTTTGATCCCTGCTTGTACTAAAGAATTTACGAAGACACCAATTGACCGATAATATCTCTCGTTAAACGAGTTTATGGAGACAATGTGTTCAACCAACGTTTGGTACTTTCTTTGTAGTATGTTAATCTCCTGATTTAGCACTTGATTTGTGTCCTTGACATGATTTATTTGGTCTCTTAGCTTGTTTTGGCCAGAAGTGAGTTGGCTCAATCGATCATCATAATAGCTGTTGGCGTTGGTTTCCTCTACCGCTTCCGTTGTATTGGCGTCGTTTGCTCCATTGTCATCAATCTCTTTCGAGTCTTCCTTCACCATATTTGGTGTAATAGATTTAGTCTTTACCTTTGATCCGTTGGGAATCTGCTTATTATTCTTTTTGGTCGAAGGTCCCTTTCGTTTTATATTTTCCAATGAAACACGATCATTCATTCTAAAGTCTGGATGTTTGAATTCCCAAGCATCTTCGCCATAAGGATACGTCAGTTTAGCCTCATTGGAGATCTTGACCTTGTGAAAGTCGTATTTGTTCAACTGTCGTACGAAACTTGCAAAATTAGAATGTTTGAAATGGCGTGGTAATATGTTTTTGGTGAAATTGTTTGTATTTATAACAACAAAGCTATCACCATTGTCTGTCCATCTAACAACATCCTTGTAGCTATCTTCTTGCAACATCAAAAACAACTTCTTGACAAAGTCGTTGGACCCGCTTTGGTTTGAGCTTGCTGTTGTAGCAAGGGTTGAATTGGGAGGAATAGGTTGATTGAGCGTTGACATTATCTGAGCCCGATGGATCAAAAGTTAGTTCTGTAAATAGTTTTTTGTTTGTTTTTTAAATCAGTCTGCTTGCTGCATCAAAGGTGGTAACAGATGCAAAATTGTCTTTGTTGTGGAATGTTCAGTTCACAGGGAAGCTATCAGTAGATCATATAGTTATCTGATACTTTGTTTCTAATATTCTGCAGGATGTATGTGTCTCTCTGAAGTTGATTCTGTTCTATGCACACTGGGTTTCATCAATTATTTTTATTTTTTTTTTACTTTCTGACAACAAAACAAAAAGACTATTTTTTTTTTTTATTTTTTTTCCTTCTGACAGAACAAAAGAGAAAATAAATGGTTTAGTCCAACCAAGGTTAGAAATGAGTTTGTGTAACTAATTGAGGCTAAGGTAAGCTCTGAATCGCCGTTTCGTCAAATATTTGTCGGGAGAGAGGCTAGAATGTGTACACCACATGTGAGATAAAAAGAGAAATACATCACTTTGCTCTAACAACTTTAGATGCTCAAAGGTTAAAAGAAATGTGGCACCATGGGAGCCCTTTGCTTTCTTAAACGGTTCTATAGTCTGTTCAAAACTGTTAATAGCTATGCACGTGTGCAAGGCATTTAATCTAGGGCACCACCATTGGCTAAGCCAATTATTTTACATGCTTGATGTGCATTTTAGTAAACAATACTCATCCATTGGTGGTCTTTTTATTTTACTGCAAGAGGCATATATGTCACTTCTCACTCTCACAATTCATCATGTCTCAGCGGTCCTAGTTCAAACTTGATAGGAAACTCTTTTGGATTATTGATGATAACCTTGTTTGAATCTTTAGCCAATTTTCCGGAGCTCACACTTTCTATGTCGAAATTTGCGCCAACAATTATTATCTTTTCAAATTCAAGTGGAGAATCACAATCTCCAGTAGAATCAACACGCACACCATGTTTATCAATGGAGAAGAATAGAACCTTAAACTCTGAACTTAACGATTCCCCATCATCAACATACAACTCACCAGATGCTCCACCATTCTTGTTCAAAGCAACAACCAATGTGTATGGATCATGCTTCATCAATCTGGTAGATCTTCGATACCTTGCTTTCATTGGCACAACAGACCCACCTTTTAGCAACATAGGTATATCGCTCAATTCAGCTTTGAATCCATCTTGGTAAATTTTATCACTAATGACACCGTTTGTAAAGTGGTAAAAGTTTTCCTTCTCTAAATTTGGCGTTTTAAAAGAAACGCCAGTAGCCCCTTCATCGGTAATTGGTTTGGCCAATATTCCCGAATTGCCCAAAAAGAACTCATCTTCGACATCGTAAATTTGGCTATCTCCCAGACTTTGATAGTCGTAAAATACCGGTTTCAAAACTGGTGTCCCTGTCAATGATGCCTCGTAAAAGCTTGTGTAAAAGACTGGTAGCAACTTATACCTCAATCTAATTGCATCTCTGATGTAAGACGTATATGGATCGCCAATTAAATAAGGTTCTCTTCTTCTTGAGTCAATATGAGCGTGTGCGCGGAAAAATGGGTACCAAATTCCTGCTTGGTACCACCTAGTGAGTAGTTCCTTCAGGGGGTTGCCAAAAAATCCACCAACATCAGCACCAGCAAAAGGCATACCAACAATATTTGAAGTGAGCACCATAGGAATGGAAATCTTCAAGTACTCCCATTTCGACATGTTATCACCGGTCCACATTGCTGCTGTTCGTTGACTTCCAGCAAAGTAAGAACGCGTTAGTATAAATGGTCTCTGAGTGTGAAGCCTATCAACCAATGAATTAAAAGTCGTTTCATGATACGTCAAGCCAAAAACATTATGTATTGACCTGTGTTCCCAGTTTCCGTAGTGAATATTGTCCTTTGGGGCACTTGTTTCAGGCCCATTGAATACGGATGGTTCATTCATGTCATTCCAGAGAAACAAGTTCTTGTATTCATCAGATATCATGAATGTCTTGTGTAAATCATTCCAAAATGCTTGACTTTTGGGATCAAGTGTATCTATCCATACTGACTCCCCGGGCCAGCAATGTCCGTAGTACACTTGATTATCGTTATTTCTCATTGCAAGACCTTTTGAAATTACTTGCTCGCTTACTTCATATCCTGTTTTGAGATGAGGATCAATAATCATGGCAAGATTTCTTCCGGTACGGTTCAACTCCTTGAGCATGTGTCCAGGATCGGCAAAGTTTTCTGGATCCCATGTGAAATACTTTTTCTTATCCGCATACTCAATATCCAACCATATCGCGTCATATGGAATCTCAAATTCGTCGAATTTAGAACTGACTTCTAGCACATCCTTTATATCGTTGTAGTTCCACCTGCATTGATGGTAACCCAAACTTGACAATATAGGCAACTGCGTGTTACCAGTAAGTTTTCCATACTCTTCATTAACCTGTTTTGGCGATTCTTCAACAATGATGATGAACTCCAACACACCATTCTCGGAAATCCAGTGAACAGACGAGTCTTTATCTTTAGTGATGTCGATGTATGTGTCAGCACTGTTCACCCAAAATATTCCTAAAGCTACATCCGGCCTCACTGCCATCAAAAATGGAATAGATCCGTACATGGGCAATCTTGAATCAGTCTCGTATTCAAAAATGTCAACATTGAAAAGCCTGTATGGCTCTTTTCCCTTGGTGTCTTTTAATGACATTGAGTCTGCATGTTCAGGGATACCGTACAAGTTACTGAACTGTTTCAAGGAAAAGTCCAAACCTATTGACTCCGGCCCTAATGGAAGCCTGTCATTTTTCGAATCGGCAAAGTTGTCTAAAAACATGTTGAAATCTGACTCTTGTGGAAGAAGATTATCCTCATTGTTTTCTTTCGATCTTTGATGCTCAATGTTTAGGAACTGTTTATCATTGATTACCAACACCTCTTTGGTTTTGTAGAAGACGGAAAGTTTCACAGGGTTGAATTGAATAGAAACCTTGTGTGTTTTGTACAAGACGTCGACCGACCCTTTATGTTTGCTGAATTTAGCTTCAGTATTGGAAAGGATGCCATCGGTGAATGCCCAATTTGAAGTTTCATTGTATCGTCTGTAATTTACAAGCTGTTGGTTGTGTTCTCTATTTTCGTCCAATTTGAAATGAAAGCTATTACCAAGGACACCGATTTCAAACGGAAACTCCACACGAATGTCAGTTTCGACTGACTCCTTTACAACCGTTCCCTTTAAAGTACCGCCACTTATAGAAATACTCTCAGGAATGACATTGTAGGGTGATTTGAAATTAGGATCAGACTCAATTTCTTTAGCATAGTGCCTATTTCTATGACAAAATCCATTCTGTTCACAGGACTTGAAAAGATAGTCCTTGACAGCAAGGCACGAATTAACCAAGATAAAGATGAGAACCACTAGATTTGAATGTAGTTGCATTGTTGTATTCAAAGTGAATGAAAGCGTCGAGACAGTAGATTTTTGAAGGGAGTCTTTTTTGCCCATGCGCGTGTCTATAAATAAAGTAAATTTGCATTATGCAGCTATAAAAATTCGCAACCAACCTTTAAGGTGCCCTTCGTCAAAAAAAGAAAAGAGAAACCAGAATTATCTTAACGGTAGGATGCGGTGTGGGTCACATAGTGGACAAGTTTTACCTAAATGCTGATGGTTGCTACATTCTACAAAGTAGAGTTCACAAGGTGAGGACGACACTACATAGACTGAAAGCTTTCCATCGCAGAGCTTATCAAGTTTCCCTCTACTTCATATCACCTTTGTTTCCATTCCTGCTTTCGTGATGTAGAGCGCATTTTGTAGAGCATAAAACCTTTCTGTCTAAGTTTTTGCTTCCCCGTTAACTGCAACAGAAAGTTGAGAAAATGGGGAAAAAAAAATTGCCTCATCAGTCAATGTTTTGTAATGAACTCAACAAAAAGCAAACAAATTTCTTGTCGCAAAAGAAGATGCTTATAACAGAGTATAGCTGAAATGATCTAACAACTAGCTGGAATCATTTTTTGAATTCTGTCTATTATGGAAAGAGTGAAGAATAGTGTTATTTAAAAAGGCACGTCTGGCTCATTTAGGGGATGAGTGTACCTTTATTTGAAGAGATGGATCTATGCGGTACAATGTCGCTTGCACACGCTTAACACTGTCTTACTTTGCTTACATCCCAACCCTATTGATACAATTGAATTTGCCATATGAGCAACTGGTTAACAGACTCAAATGGTTAAGTGTCACAAGAGTAATATTACCTGGTAGTGTAATTTTGCACAATTCTTTTTTTATGCAAAGGAAGACGAAAAAGAAAAAAAAAGAAAAAAAAATGTTTCGTTACCATTCGCTTTCAAGACAAAGGCTTTTTAAAACCACCACCACCACTAGAGAGAGAGAGAGAGACTTTCATTGACTCAGTTAATTGTCAGGTCCATCTTATTCTGTTAGTGATTATCTTCCTTGTATATAGATACATAGCTTCACGCGTTGACTGAGGCTGATTCACGCTGTACAGAAAGCACTAGTTCATTTTTTGTTTACAAACACACTTCAAAAGCACAAGAGCATTACAATCAAACATCTACAATGAATACAGAGAGTGATAGAAAGAGGTCTTACGATGCTGTTTCGTCACAGCAGCCGCTTACAAAGAGGCATAAGCCACTCGATGAGTTGAGCACTGAAGGGCCTTTAACACAAGCTGACGTGATTTATTTCAAAAAAGAGGCTATATGGCGACAAATGAATCAATATAAGCAGCAGGTGCTTCAGTTGAAAACTGAGGTGAAGAAGTTGAGTAAAGAATCCGAGTTTCAGAAACATATCGTTGGTGTGCTAACTTCTTGGTACGAAGAGATTATAAACTTGTTTGATGAAATTGGCGAGGATGAAAATATCCTTGTGTCTTTTAATGTATCAGAACAGGATGGTTACAGTGTGGGTGAAAAGTTACAGGATGTCAAAATTAAACTATCAAAAGCTCTTTCATCCAAAGTGTCTCCCGACTCAGACTTGTTGTCACTAAAACAAATGAGTTTATTAAAGAGTCAAAATGAAGTACTAGCGAAGGATAAACAATCTTTGTCGGAGAAATTGGAGCTTTTACAATCAGAGTTGCTTGACTTGATCAACGCAACTTCTAGAGACGAATCAATTACGTTGAAACGGGTTGACGATAGTAGGAAAGATAGTTCGAGTGGTGAAGAAGTGAAAACTGAAGGTCAACCTTCTAAAGAAACCGAGGAGAAATCTGAGCTTGCTAATGGTGGTTCTGCTGCTGCTACCCCCGATGAATTGAATGGAAAGGCAAATGTGGACACCGAAGAATTGGAAAAGTTGAATAATGAAATTGAGCAATTGAAATTGGTCAATGAGGAGTTACTTCGACAGATGTCTACCCTTCAAAGTGAAAACCAAACATATACTGAAAAATACAATGCTTTAGAAACCAAATTCAATAATCTTCAAGAATCAGATTTGGAAGACAATGTCTTTTACAAAAAGTTGGTTAAAAATAATCAATCGTTACAAGATCAAATTAGTAAAGTTAATAAATTGAATGCTTTGAATGTTTCCAAAATAGACGCATTGGAAAAGAATCAAGTTGATTTGAAGAAGACATTGGAGGCTGATTTGTTGAATGAAACTGAAAGTTTGAAACAACAATTGAGCAAGAGTGAGCAGGATTTAGTGAGGATCAGAACTACTAGAGATGAATTATTAGCCAAGAATACCATCATCACCAGTCAATTACAAGACCAAAAGACAAACAAGTCATTAGTGGAATTGAATGAGATTTATTCAAAGAGGATAGATGAGTTGACCAAGGAAAAATCAGAATCATCAACCGCCATCACCACCACCACCACAACAACAACAACAACAGCAACAGCAACAGCAACAGCAGACAATGATGAAAAAATCCAACTATTACGTAAGGAGATCAATGAAATTGAACAAGCATTTAAACAAACACGTGAATTGACTTTACAAAGATTAAATTCAACAATTGATCAAGAAAACCTTGTGAAGAAGTTGACCATTGAGAAAACTAAGGCTGATCAAAAATACTTTGCTTCAATGAGAGTAAAAGATTCATTAACTAATGAAAATAAAGTATTGAAACAACAAGTGGCTAAATCACAAGAATTGATCAAGAATGTTAATGAGTTAGAGACTAATTACTTGAACAAGATTGAAATCTTAACTAAATCGTTAGCTGATTACAAGATTATAAAGGAGAATTCATTGCAAGAAAATTTCAGGCTACAAGATGAAATTAATAATATCAATATTGTTAAGGATTCTTTACAACGAGAAATTGACCGATTGACTAGTAAGCAAGATGAGTTAACTTCTGAATTGAGCCAATTGAAAGATACGAATAAAACACAATCGATAACCATTGTTAAATTAAACCAAAAGCTTGATCATACTGAATCCACATTACAAAAATACAAGAGTAATAACACCAGTTTATTATTACAAGAAGATGAACAACAATTGGAAGCATTAAGATCGATTGCCAAATGTTCAGTATGTACAAAAAATTGGAAAGATACTGCAATAACTGTATGTGGGCATGTCTTTTGTTCCAGTTGTACTCAAGAAAGATTAGCTGCTAGATTGAGAAGATGTCCTAGTTGTAACAAGGGTTTTTCAAGTAATGATTTATTAACCATACATTTGTGATCAGTGTGTGTGTGTATGTGTGACTTCTGTTCTCCTTTTTCTTAATAATAAATGCTGTATTAATATGAAGCGCTTTTTTTTGTGTTCTGTCAGAAGACATTGTAGAGTATAGGCACAGAGATGTGTAGTGAGCATCGATATAGATAAAATCTGTATTTAGTCGTTATATCTTTATAACGACTAAGTGAGTAGGATGCTTCTTGAAGATTTAATAGACAGGGTGGCAATTTTGCAATTCCGCAAATTGAAAACGATAAACGACACAAAATCTCTATAATAAGGACAAAAGGATATCTTAGACAATACTGATCAACTGGTGCCTCCATCTCTATTGAGGAAAGTAAATATCACAGTAGCAAATGATTAGTCATCTCTAACTCTATAATCCGGTATAGCATGACCGTTATCTCCCCTATTCACTCTGCAGAGCTTTATGAAAAATAAAAAAATAAAAAGATGGCTGGTTGTGTCTGTGTGTGTAATAAATTATCTCAACTCAACTGGACAAGACAAAAGAAACAAAAGATAAAAAGGTCGTGTAATTTGCAACAAAAGATTTAAAGAAGCAAAAGTTTTGTGATGAGTTACATTGTTATAAGCAAAAGTTGTGTGTTTGGTATCTCCTTTTTGAGGAGCCAAAAAAAAATAGTTCGTATACACACTCTCTGTGGTAATTCCCATACACTTGGTAATAGCCTACATTTCGTTTGTCTGTGTAGGTGTAAAATTTGTCCTCATCTTGTATTTGCTTCTGGTTTGCCATCAAGTCGTGTATGTGGTGCGAAAAAGCGATTGTCTGTTTGTGAGTCTCTGTCTTCTGCTTTATTAATTACGTAATAAATTATCTAAGCAAATGTTTAGAAGTATAAAAGGAACAACAAATTTCCATCACCCGAAAAATTTCAAATTATCTCTTTCTCGGCTTTTTGGGAACTTTTTTTTTATTTGTTTTTTTTTTTGCAACTTTGCAACTTTGCTTTATCGTTTGAAGAAGAAAACTAGTTGGTTTAATCACACATACAAATATAGGAATACAACCACAACTTCTTAGTTCTATCTGTATTTGATTGTTCATTTTGTCACTTCGCTTCTTAGATTGTGTCTGTGTGTGTGAGGTTTTCCAAACAATCTTTTTTTTTCTTTCATTTCCATTTCAGTTCAGATCTTGTTCAATATTTGGTCTCATTTACGCTTAATAATTTAAAGAGACTACTGTTAATTTTGACTCAGTTTGGTATTCAGCTGTACCAAAATTGTTCTTGTTTTTTTTGGTCCACAAACTACATCATCACCATAACACTGTATTTCTAGGCAAACATGTCACAAATACTGCCCGCAACAAATACGCCGGTTCAAACGCCTTCGGCTGAAAAATTTCATGATGAACATGTGATTAGTCAAGAAGAACATAATGAGAATAGTCTAGAGAACAAGTCTATCTTGAAACATAATGAAGCTGATAAAAATGATATCAATGAAGACAATATGGATGTTTCCTTACAGCTGCAACTGCAACTGCAACAACTGCAACAACAACCACAGCCTTCACATGAGCCACTTTCGCCACCCAACCCATCGCCGACTCCGGAAAAGAGGAAATTGGAAGATGAATTGACACACGAGGAGAAAGCTCCATCTGAAAATAACAACGAGGAGCCAGAAGCAAAAAAGCTCAAAGTTGATGAGGAAGGTTCGCAATTACAAGAACCAGAAAGTGTCTCTCCTGATGCTAATGGAAGTGCCGAGTCTGATCAAAATGCCAACGAGAGCGAAAAAGCTCCAAACAGTGAAGAAAAGAAGGAGGAGGAGGAGCAGCCCAATGCATCTCAAAATGAAGAATCTACCGAAACAGCTGATGCAACAACTGCACAACAACTGCAACTGCAACATCTTCCTGTATTCACTGAGCCAGCACCAAAGCCACCAGCAGAACCTGATATGGATAACTTGCCTGAACATCCAATGCCATCTCACCAAGCAAAGTTTGCTTTGCACACAATCAAAGCAATAAAACGTCTTAAAGACGCTAAGCCATTCCTAGCACCAGTTGACACGGTAAAATTGAATGTTCCCTTTTATTACAACTACATCCCTCGTCCTATGGACTTGGCCACGATTGAGAGAAAAGTGAACGCTAATGCATATGAAGATATATCACAAGTTGTTGATGACTTCAATTTAATGGTGGAAAATTGTAAGAAATTCAATGGAGAGGCCGCTGGTATATCAAAGATGGCGACAAATATACAAGCACATTTTGAAAAACATATGCTTAATGTGCCTCCTAAGGAATTACCAGCCGGTGTTTCTCCTTCAAAGTTTATTGCTGGTGCCAATGATTCTTCGATAACCAGCAAGAGAAAAGTTGCCACTGAATCCAATTCACAACAACATAGAGATTCAGTAGCTACTGCTAGGCCAAAAAGAACCATCCATCCACCAAAGTCAAAAGAGTTACCATATGACGTAAGACCAAGAAAGAAAAAGTTTGCTGCTGAATTGAGGTTCTGCAACCAAACAATTAAGGAATTGACGTCAAAGAAGCATTACAATTACAACTTCCCATTTTTAGCACCAGTCGATACTGTAGCTCTCAATATTCCCAATTACAATGAGATAGTCAAGGAGCCAATGGATCTCGGTACAATACAATCTAAGTTGACCAACAATTTATACGAAAATGCCGACGACTTTGAAAAGGATGTTAGATTGGTGTTCCGCAACTGCTATGCTTTCAATCCAGAAGGAACTGATGTCAATATGATGGGACACAGGTTGGAGGCAATCTTTGACAAGAAATGGGCCAATAAACCAGTCCCAGAACCAACACCTCAACATTCAGAAGCCAGTGACGATGACTTCAGCAGCGATGAAGAAGAGGAAATCACCGAGGCCGTGCTTTCAGAAGTACCAGCTATTCAATTTTTAGAAAACCAATTGATTAGAATGAAGGAAGAATTGGATAAAATGAAGGCTGAACATTTGAGGAAATTAAAAGAACAACAAGCTGCAAGGCGAAAGAGGAAGAAGTCTCAATCTGGAAAGCGTGGATCAAAATCAAAGAGATCTAGAGAACATTCACATACTCCTTCCAGTCATCAAAATCAAATCAAACTTACCCCACCACAACCTGTTGTCACTTATGAAATGAAGAAGCAAGTCTCTGAAGCGGTCCCCACATTGTCAGATAAGAAGTTGAATGCATTGATCAAAATTATTCAGGACGATGTTCAAATCACTAATGAAGATGAAGTCGAATTGGATATGGATCAATTGGGAGATTCAACAGTTCTCAAACTCTATGACTTTTTGTTTGGTGAAAAGGCATCGCAAAAGTCATTGAAGAGAAAGAAATTGGCCAGTGGTGGTGGCAGTGGCAGTGGAGGAGCTAATCTTGATGAAATGGCTCATTTGAGGCAACAATTGGCCTTGTTTGATCAAGGTAATGGACAAACTGCCGAACAACAATTTGCCAATAATGGTTTCATGAATATAGCACATGAAGAAAGCTCGGATGACNAACCCCCCCCCCCCCCCCCCCCCACACATCTTGTATAATAGTTTTTCTTTTTTATTAGTATGTATTAAGTATAAATATTTTTTTTTCAAAGCGCGTATGCTTCCTATCTTCAATGATTCTCTCTTGATCTCTTTATCGTTTGGAATGCGCTACCTGTAGAGCTATCTCATCAAAGATGACATAAAAACTTTTCTTTTTTTACTTTTGCAACCCAACAGATATCATGCCATCATCAATACCAAAACGACCGCTTAGTAACCGTCCTACTTATATAATCAAGAGATGTCAAGAACAAAAACGACCGGCTTATGTCGCTGGTCCCATGGTTCGTTACTCCAAACTCCCATTTCGTGAACTATGTCGATTTTACAATGTTGATATCGTTTATACACCCATGATTCTAGCTCGTGAATTTGTTAGGAACGGCATTGCGCGGTACTCTGACTTCACCACTAATGATAAAGATCAGCCGGTCATTGTTCAAGTTGGTGTAAGTAACGTGGAGGATTTTATGAAATTTATTGAAATGATTCATCCCTATGTCGATGGCATTGGCATAAATTGTGGATGTCCAATACGAGACCAGATACGCGAAGGTATAGGAGCAGCATTAATGAGTAAACCTCAGTTGGTCGCCAATTTAATCGCAACGGCAAAAGCCAAGTACGGTGATTCGATATGCATAGATACCAAAATCCGTATCCATAATGATATAAATGAAACGATTGAATTTGTCAGACTTATTGAAGAAGCTGGAACCGATATCATCACCATTCATGGACGTACCAAAACCACCCGGTCATCAGTGCCTGTGAATCTAGACGCGATTAGAACCCTACGCCAGCATATTAAGACCGTTCCCGTGATAGCCAATGGTGACTGTTTTACATTGGATGATTGTAATCGGATTGCTGAGTATACCGCAGTTGATGGAGTCATGTCAGCACGCGGAGTCTTGGCAAACCCGGCTTTGTTCACCGGGCTAGACAAAACTCCTTGGAGTGCCGTCGAGATGTTTATGCATTTAACAACAAGCTATGGTTTACCATACAAACTATCACAATACCATGTGGTCCAATTCATGGAGAATATGGATATTCCCAGAAGAATAATCAAAGACATTAATGAATGCAAGAGTATGATTGATATGATGGATTTATTAGACAAGTACTTTTACGTCAAGAGGAAACTGGAAAAGGGTTTCGCTACTGCGGTTGAGCCCAACTGGAGATTAAAACTTGAATCTGTATAGCAATAATAAAGAACGATTAGTAATCCATTTCATTCGATACTATTAAATTCTATATTCAAAATTGGTGTACTTCTAGTCATGTTATTGACCTTGTAAATCCCAATCAATTTCTGCGCCAATTCAAACATATTATTCCTCAACGAAATAACCACAAACTGGGCATTCTTAGTTCGCTCTTTAATATAATTGGCAACGATCGAAACATTTCGGAAATCCAAAGCAGCATCAATTTCATCCATAACATACAATGGAGTAGGTTTGTACAGATGAAGAGCAAAAACCAAGGCTAATGAACTCAAAGTTTTCTCACCGCCGGATAAATTCGATATATTCTTCCAGGATTTCTTTGGCGGCATCACACTAAATAAAATTCCTTCTGAAAATGGATCCAAACTGTCAACCAACTCTAATTCAGCATTTCCACCCATAGTGATCATTCGATACATGTCCTTCAAAGCCATTGAAATGGCACTGAATCCATCCATAAATTCATCTAATCTCTTTTTCTTCAAGTCCTCGCAGTAATCCCGCTTTTCATCTCGCTCCTCAACAGCACTATTCAAATCATTCTTCCTCTCGGTATATTCTGCAATCTTGGTTCCATACTCTTTAAGCATTTCAATATCAATTTGAACAGTAGACATGTATTTTTCCAATTCTTCAATTTCAGAGTTGACGCCATCCAAGTCAACATCTTCAAGTTCAGACTCACTCAATCGTTCAATAACGGAGGAATTATACTTTTTCTGCTCATCCTCATCGAGCCAATAGATATATGGCAATACATCTCGTACCACCAATGCATCTAGACTCAGCTCATTCTGCTCAATTGAATGAGTAATCTTTTTCAAGCTATGGGTGACTTTTTCCAATTTGTTCAAAATTTCAACCTCAAACAGTTTGAACCCGGAAAGCTCCTCCTGTTTTTCTTCAATCTCAACACGAATAACTTCAAGCTGCTCTTCTTTGTCTTGTTTTGTTTGATCAAGCGCGTGTATCTTTTCTTCTAAATCTCTTACCTTCTCTTGGACCTCCTGTTGTGCCTCTTTAATTTGTTGGTGATCAGCTTCTAAATTCTCCTTGGTAATCTTTGAATCTTCGATAACTTTTGTATGGCGCTTGATATCGCTTTCCAACTTCTTCAAAGCGATTCGGTCACCGCTGGTTTTGTCATTTATAATTGCAATTTGTTGCTTAATCGATTCGACTTTTGAATTCTGGACCTTCAAATCAACACCACCAGCTTCCATTATCTTCTGTTCGTAGGTGGCAATTTCATTCTCGTAGTCCGCCATTTCTGATTTCAATTTTACTTTAACCGCCTCAAGCTTCTCTAATTCAGCCTTTTTGCCTAAAATTTGTCGTTCAAAAGGATTGTTTGCCTCGATTTGTCTTTGTTCGGCGACTAAATTCTTACAAACTTGAGTCACTTCCTTCATTTCAGAAGCTAAACCTGTAATGTCCAATCTGAGCTTGTCAAGGGAAAGTCTCGTCTCAGGCTCCAAGCTCCTTACTTTATTTAATGCTGAAATTGCCTCATTGTATTTCTTCTGCTCCCTTTCGAACTCGGCTTCCATCTCTTCTATTTCCAACCTTGTATTTTCCAAACTTTCCTCGTCAAAATCTATGTTATCCAGTGAATTTGCTGATTTCAAACGCATGGCATTCTTCATAATCTGATTACCACCTCCTGACATAGTTCCCGCTATGTCTATAACCTTACCATCTAAAGTGACACACTTCCATCTTCTTGCTCCGTAGGCTACCTTCTTTGCTTCATTCAAGTCTGGTGCCACAAGTGTATTAAACATTTTACTGAAAAACGCTGGTGCAAATTTGGGATTGATTGGGTCAATCAAGTCAAAAAGTCGCTTAATCTTGGATGGGTCACCAGGTATTGCAATTGGAGATAAATCGTAATTTCGCAACTTATTCAAGCAAATAAAATTAGCATAACCTAGCTTGTTTTTTCGCAAATAGTCAATGCATACTTGCGCTGTTTCGACAGTTTCGACAACCATAGAATCCAATCCTGGGGCGGCAGTTGAAACCGCAATATCATACTTTTCATCAATTGTTCCAAGATCCCCCAACTTGCCATAAAATCCTTCAATTCTACCTGACTTTCCCAACTTAGTTAGTGCTGCCAAAACACTGCTTTGATTTTGTTTACTTTGGAAAGCCTGTGCGGAGTCATGGTACTTGTTTTTAGCTCTTGTGATATGACTCTTCATTTTATCTAATTTCAACTTCATTAAGTTTGTTTGCTCCTCACCTAGTGATGTCTGTTCTTCAATCGTTTCAAGTTTCTCTTCCTTTTCTCGGCATTCCTCTTCTTTCTGTTTACCTTCGTGCTTTATTGAGCTCAATTTCTCCTTGTTTTCCTCCAACTGCTTCTTTGTGTTGTTCATTTGGCTTTCGAGGATATTAATATTGGAAGTAATTAGCTCAATTTCGTTTTCATTATCCTTCAACTTTGACGTCCAAGGCTCTAGCTTATTTTGCAACTCTTCGATACGCTTAGTAAAGCCAGATGTCTTTTCTGCCATTTTTTCTCGGATTCTGGTCAACTTTTCTTCCTCATCCTTCAACGTTGAATCGAGTCTCTCAATATCAGCTTTGTACTGCTCAGAAGAGTTCGAATAGCTTGACAAACTATGATTTGAACTTTGCAATGAATGAGTCAGGGTATTAATAGTCTTTTGTATCCTTTTCAATTTGCTCTCAAAGTTCTTGGACTTTTCTTCAAAGGACACATTTTGCTTATTCAAGTCTCGCTTTTGCTTATTTAGGCCCTCTATTTCATGCAACACCTTCTTCAATTCCTTTTTCAACTCTTGCTGTTTGGACGTTTCCGCTTCAATGTGTCGCAATACTGCTTCGTTTGCATTTTTCTTTTCGTCTAATTGCTTCTCCAACTCATCAGCTTCCTTTTGGTACTCTTCAATTTTACTTTGCAAGTGACTGATATTGGATTGAAATTTCAAGCTTTTGAAATTATTGAGTTTTCTTTCTAATTCCAAAAACTTCAACGCCTCGACCTTCTTTTCATCTAAAAGGTTCTTGTCCTTCTCTACTAGCTCAAACCTGTCCGATTTTTCTTGACAGACAGTATTCAACTCTTCAATTCGTGTCATACTATCTTCGATCAACTGCTTGTATTTTGTGGTTCCAATAATGTCCTCAAGGTACTCCAATAGTCCGTCCTCGCCTTCCTTCTCGGCTTTTGCTTTCATTTGCGCAATAGATTCGACTTCTCCTTGTAAAATTAAAAACCGTTTGTGGTCTAGGTCAATCCCCCTACCTCTGAGTAAAGCTGTTACATCGGTATAGTTGCTTTTCTTGCCATCTATGTAGTACATCGACTGGTTATTCTGGAATGCTTTCCGCGAAATAACCAACTCCGAATTGGGAACAACCACAGACAGCTGCGGTAATTTAGGATCGTCAAGCACCATATGGAAGTGAATATCAACTTGGCAAAAATCTGGTCTTTCATTTCCTGAATTGTGAATCAATTCAGATACCTTCCCTTGTCTCATTTTGTTGGCTTTAAATCCAAATACGAAAAGCATTGCATCTATGACGTTTGATTTTCCACTTCCGTTGGGACCTACTACCGACGAAAATGACGAATGGAAAGGCCCAATTATTTGCTCTCCAGCATATGATTTGAAGTTTGTGAGAATTAGTTTATTAATTACCAATCTTGGTTCATTTTCATTTTTGGAGTCCTTCGAATTTGGTCGCAGAGCTTGCTCTGTTGCCTTCTGGGGCGTGGACACTTTGATTTCTGTCTCAGAAAAACTCTGCTGAACTTCAGTGTCTGATTGCTTTTTCTCCATTTTTATGGCTTCTTCTGAATGAAAGGAATGACCATTTTCCCCTTCCGGGTCAGCTCCATTAAAGCTCTGCTTCGTAGTATCTTCTAATTGCTTTGTAATTGATTCATCCTTTGTCCTGTAGTGAGCTACTTCTTGTTCCAATTCAGAGCTTCTTGTCTCTTTCTCCACTTCATCGTCCATCTTCTCATCCGATTCATAATCTTCTGAGTCATCCAGAGCATTTGAGTGCCCCTCATTATGCACCCCATCAAGGTTATTTGGCTCCTTGTCATCGTAATCACTGTTATTTATAAATGTACTCTCCTCCTCAATGTCCAATATAATGTTTCTCTTTCTTTTCATGGTTTATGGTATAGTTACACTTTTACTTATGGACCTAAGGGTAGATTGAATCAATTAAAGACGTGTTGATTAGATCTCTCTATACAAATTGTAAACAAATAAAAAAAAGATACACGCACACATTTTTGGGGGCGTCGTACACTACCTCCATCATCACCTTCGCTACCATCTCAGATTCAATCTTTACACAGGATCTCTCAAACAAGAATATCCAAAGTTATGTTTCATTAACTAGCTTCTTCGCTATTGTTTACCGTCTCAGGAGCTTCCACCGACGATAATGGTGGTAATCCTCTCAAATTTCTCTGTATTCTTTTCAATTGCGACGCTACAGCTATGGTCTCACTATTACTCGAGAATCCAGTATTCTGGTCCTGGTCTTTCAAATTCAAAGGGTTTCTATTATGTTCACTAGCTTCTATGAATTGTGTGAGGAGCTGCTCTGCCTGTTCCTGGGATATATTAGATACGGCATTCACATTGACTGCTGTAGGTGTGTTTAATGTTGAGGGAACTGCCCTTCTACTTCTTTGGTTCAGCGACATCATATATTGTATATTTTCAAGTTACTCTGGTACTAGATGGAGCTTTTGAGTAACAACTATTGTTTGTTGTAAGTGTTTTGCTTCGTGATGAGTCGGTGTCAAACTAAAAGTTGTTTCAAAAAAATTGAAAAAAAAAAAAAAAAAACAAAAAAGAAAAAAAAAAAAATTAAAAGAAAATCCTATCAACCGTTCAGAATCAACATCACCAAAGTCCTACCCAATGTTTCAACACATCCTAAAGCCACAGTTGGCAAATTTATTCAAATCTCAGGTTAATGTATTTAATCGGTCATTGCTCACACCATCTTCGACGGGGACAATAAATACCCCCATAATAAGATCAAGTCTATTACCAATGCAATCCGTCTTGGGACTTATGCAAAAAAGGTTTAAATCTAGAGGAAACACTTATCAACCATCTACATTGAAAAGAAAGAGAAAATTTGGTTTTCTAGCTAGATTGAGAACCAAAGGTGGACAGAAAGTGCTAAGCAGAAGAAAAGCTAAAGGAAGGTGGTACTTGACTCATTAGCTACAAAAAAAAAAGCAGTGAATATTGTATATAGATCCTTATTTCGTCAAAATAATAAAAGAACCGTGTTGGATTTTGACTTTATTTGTACTCCATTCTCTATACTTCTCCTCTGGTGTAAACCACGTCCTACGCTTTCCCCAAGGTTTTTGAATAACGTACCTCAATCTCATGAACCAATTTTTGCAAGTTTACAATTACCAACTCATGTGTAAAGTTAGGAAACTTGTCGCGATGCAATCCAAACCACTCCAATGGGGGTGTTGCATTCCCTAGCTCTTTTAACTGTGGCGCTTCTATAATAGGCGGGGCCAAAGCCATGTATTGAAACTTTGACATTGTCTCGGCCTTTTCGAGCCTCTCTTGGATAGCATCGTCGATGTCTTTGGTTGGATCTTCGGCATTCAATTGCTGTTTCAAGATAGATTTCGAGTTTTCAATATCATCAAGTGTCCTCATTCTATGTCGATACTCCAATCTAGATGCCAACGCATTTGAATGGATCGAGTACATCTCTCGGATAAAGTTGACTGACCCCAAGTTCCACCGAATGTCAACCGTTCCGTTGAATGTTGATTGATAGTAGTATTCAATGACATTCGTTTTGTCCTGCTGGAACGTCCGCATGGATATCCTAAACGAAGGAAAGACAAATATATTGCCTCCCTTTGCCTTGTGTGCCACGTCAACAAACTCATCAACGGTACATTTTTCTACAAAAGCTTCATCCACGGCAGCAACGCTCGACAACGAGACTTTCAAGTCATTAAACTGTAAATCCAACTCATTTGCAACCTTGCGGCCATATTCATTTTGTTGAAACTTGATCCGTGACTCGTCCAAGTTTATCACCAACACTTTGGAATTATCAATTGACGATGGGTATATATGAACCAAAATCTTTCCTGCTGAAGCGTAGATCTTTGTCTGTAACTTCTTGATGGTCTTCAAAATGTCATCACTTGAGTGCGAGCGTGACGACGCCTTTTTGTTGGTCGAGTTGTCTCTGCTCGAGTCCCTCAATGTTTCCTTGTATGACCTTCGGTTGTCTTGGATCATACGGGATATCGTATTGCCAATATCAACAAAGTTCGAAGCTGTTAAAGAAGTCACGTACAACTCGGCTACATTGAACTTGGTGTTAACGAACAAATGATCCTTGGCAATTGAAACCGCTCCCTTTCGATTGTATATGTCCATCGAAAAACATTCAAAATTGGCAATTGCAACAACATTGTAATCAAACGACACTTTTGCGACCAACTTATCAACACCTCCTGATAGTAAAATCAACGGTACATCCAAAGTATCTCCATCTTTAAGTTTCCAACTTATAGCAGTGTGTAAATTGACATCATTAATGGTCAAGAATCCACCTAACCTACCTTTGGACGATAATTTAATAGCATTGATTCCGGTTTTCAAGTCTTGAGACCAGTCGAGTGACTTTTTGGATACTGCCCAAAAATTCTCAATAGTTAAATTCGAAACACCCAAAGACTGGCCAAAATCTACTTCAAGATTGATAGCATTTGCGACAAAAAGGACTATCCAGGGGAAGGCATAAGTGGTCGATACTTCTTTGAACTTTGCAGAAATATTCTTATCTTGAGCCAATTCAGAAGCTTGTCGATCCTGTTTTTCATGGCCTTTTTCCACTCTATCTTCTGTGGCGTAGATTTCAAACAACTCTTTTGGAAACCAAATATCCTTGAATAAATCGACATCTTGATATTGCTTGACGTTAACAAACCCATTCATTTCAGTCAAACATCCCGATGTAATGTTTTGATTCTTTGCTCCGATCTCAAAGTTACTCAGCAAAAGGATTTTCTCCACCTTCATCGACGCACTGATTTCTCTTGAATACACATGTTGCAATGAAGCCGAAACCCAGTCCGATAGCATCGATACTGTGAAGCTTGGAGTTGTTCCCTTGTCTGTATTCAATTGTACATGAATGCCCTCAAGTCCAACAACTGCAGCCACTTTGGCTGTTGGTTCACAACTGAGCGTAAGAAATTGCTTCTCAATTCGAAGTCCAAAATGGATATCCATCTCTTGAAGTAAACTCTCAATAAAGTCTGTATTATTTGCATTATCGTCGTCCGACTTTTCCTTAGCTGGCTTTGGACTACGCATCAAATCTTTAGTGCTAGTCGCCAAATCCAAGAAAACTGGGACACACTTTGGGAATAGAACATTTTCGGATTGCGATATCACTACTTCTCCCATGACCTGATTCTTGGAATCCTTCATTTTTGTGAATCTAAATGTCGTATTGAAAGCAGGCGCGTGCATATACAAAGACGGCGTACTCTCCTGTTCCTCGTCTTCCAACCTATAGATGGACACATTTGACCCAGCAAAGGCAGAACTAAATTCAATTGATTGGAATGAGGTGTGCACAGATGGCTGCTTGGTCGTTTTCTCGCTATTTTCCTTCTTTTCTCCAGAAGGACGAGTACTTTCTCTTCGTTCCAAATACTTTTGAATCCTTGAGGCTTGAGCGGCCGACTTTTGAATAGTATTTCCGATTGAGGTTGACAAGAATTTGACATCTATTTCATCTCCACGTAGGGTTATTCCCAAGTGTCTCGATGCTTTTGATTGTTTCTCAATCATGAATATCAATTGCAACATTGGAAGGAAAGCTCTATTCAAACGCACTTGTTCCGTCTCCGAGCTGTAGAAATTAGAAGATTGATTGCCATTTGCAATGGAAAAGTAAGATCCCATTAATGTGAATTTTCCTAAACTCTCCTCAGTTGCTGCAAAAAACTTCTCAGCACCTACTATAATTCCAGGATTTTCCTTGGAAGTATCGTTGAAAAGCCATCCAATGCAAAAGTCGTAAAATAAAAACTGGAATGCTGAAAATTTGGTGTATATCCACAGTTCCAATGTATTTCTCCCTGCATCTGGTGATTGAATTGCATCCGGTGGTGGCACTTGTGAAGCTTCTTTTGTATTTGGAAAATACTTCATAACCTCGTCAACCACCGATATTGCCGACAATACAACTGGTTCCGATAAACAAACTCGGAAATATTGTGACTCCACTTGTAAATTTTGACGGTTTCCTGGTGTATCTACGTCGTTAAAAAGTCTCACCGAAACACCAAATGATAAAATGTTGGATAAACCAATTGGTATTCCCTTTTCCATTAATGTGAGTCTAATTGCCGGTAGCGAAATATCACCGTATAATGGAACTTTGCAATTTGTAGGGTTCCTTTCTAATGGTTGAGTTGTGGAAACATTACTCAAATTCAAAGTCGTCCCTTCTAAACCAAAACTGACACTAGCTCTTTGGACAACGGTCGACACTTCCGCGTAATCGTTTCTAAATCTGAATTTAAATAGATAGGGCGTGCTTTCGGATTTTTCTTGGACTGCCTTCTCGGTAGAGGCAACCTTTTTGAGCAAGTCTGTTATATCGTTTACTTGCCGCTCAAGCACCACTTTATCTTCAGTGGCTAATTTCATGCCCCGGTTTAGATCTGGTAACATAGCCTTAAAGTACCCCAAAGACACGTTTGAAGTTATCATTGAAAACTTTTCCTGTTTGCAAAATGACATAGAAGCCATAATATCTGAAGCTTGTAATTCAAGTAAGTTGTTCAAATCAAAACCTAAGTTACTTCGGAGCCTCTCGACTTGCAACTTCGATAATACAACATCATTGATTATGGATGTAGTGAAGGCGGTATTCAACACAGCACCAGAGGCCAGAAGAGGATGAAAAACACCCAAATTCCAGATTGCTTCCTTCAACTTCACTGAGGCTGACATAGCCTTTGGCTGTTTGGGGTGAGCAGGCGCCAAATTCGATCTCTTTGGGACAGAGTCCACCAAGTCTATCAAGTCCATCACGTACGGATATTCGTCCTCTAAAACCGCGCGTAGTGAGCTAACAACATCATCATTTTTGTCGAAAAGAAAGGTCCGCGAAGCGCCTATCTCCACGTCCATGTGTGAAGCCTTGTCAGATAGAGCAAATAAAAGTTGCATTTCCATAAATTTCTGCATCAACACGTTCTTTGAATGTACTGTACTTCGCAATTCTGCTTCATTGGCTTTAAACGCATAGATATGTCCTTTCGAAATGTCACTGGAATCAATATGGGTCAACAAGTCGTGCAATCTGATACCTATAGAGGTTGTGAACAAAGACAAGGTTTGCTCAAACGCCTTCACGTCGATTACTATATTTGTTGTTGTCTTGACGGAAGGGTGTGCTTCTGGTATAGTTTCTGCCGCCTTTGTCTTGAAGTCACCTGTGCTTTCCTCCCGGCTCAGAACAGAATCATGCTTATTGGCAACACGCTTCAGGAGGAATGTTTTTGCGATTTCAAAAATCTCCTTTGTAATTTTACTTTCGTAGGAATTCAATTTCACAACCATTTCTGCAACAGCAGATAAATCCCCTCGCGAATCGTCAAATGTACTCTTGAAACTAAAATCAAGTTCTTCGAGATTGACAAATGTTGGATCTTTACGGTCGCCACCTTTGAAAGTTGTTGAAATTCCCACAAAATCATACTTGGAAGTTTTCTTTGCAACTTCCAGAAGCTCCTTTCCAAATATTCTCTTGAACATATAAAGCCTCTGTTGTTGATTCGCTTCCCATGTTCTCCACCCTGAGAATATATCCAAGACTTGCTCGTACGCATTGGCTGGAAGCTCGTACGCGTGTGCTTTAAATTTTGCCGTCGTATCATCGATCCACGACTTGGGCAAAGTACGAAGTATATGTTGAAGTCGAGCAGTCACCTTCCAACCATCAAAAAATCTTATATGTTCAGATTTCAACCTTAAAAAGTAAGCTGGACGTGTAAGAACGTCTGGGTCGTGATCAATAGCAAACTCAGAGGAAGCAACCGTTAATGCATAAACTAAATTGGCATGAGTGGCCCGTTTACTTTGTAATTTTTCAAACACTTTCAATTCCCGAGTAAAGTCTTGACTGATTTGCTCGAATTCATCTACGAGCCATTGAGCCTGTTCGACATCGACATCACCATCCAAGTAGTCATACCGACTTGATCCGTCACTACTTTCTTTGGTTTTGTCCAACCAACCCTCTATGTCTTGTATGTTCAAAACTAATGCCATTGTGTGTGTATTCTTTTGCTGACAACTCAAAGCCAAAATTCCCACATGGTATGCTAATGTCATGCTTTCATCAAGCTCAATTTTACCTGACTTGGTTGAAAGCTCTGTCTTGCTCGATAATGCCAAAGACAAATTGGCGACTCTTAACGTGACACTACCCTTGTCTTGTTCAAAGTCTTTTAAATCCTCCATGTGGTTAAGAGGGTGTAGACCAACATTTAAAACAAGGTTATGATTAATCAATCGCAAGTTTTTGACTTCTTTCCAAGAGCGCATAAGATTCTGGAGTACTTTGATAGTTGTGGCTCCTACTTGATCCATTATCGATTCTAGATCAAAATCTTCATATGCTCGGACAAGTTTGTAAACGACTGGTAAACATGCAGGACTTATAAAGGACTTAACGTCACCAACCTCGAGAATCAAGTTGTCATACTCTGTATCTGGATCTACTGCGTAAGATGGGCAAAAATCATCATCCCAGTAATTCACTGTGGGCAATTCAACATCAGAAGACTTGTTTGACAAAGTCCAGGATGACGTGTCTGAATCAACTGAGGACAGCAGACCTTTTCGCATCCATTTATTCAGGGTTGCCTCTGTGAGTGGTACATGCACTTTAGGAAGAGACATGGTTGTTAAAAGGCAACCCTTGTTTTTTTTGTACACCGAATCTCTAAAATCTTCAAATAAAAGAAAGGGAGCTCTATGGAAAGGTGCATCCCCGTCCCTAACATGAAGTTCTCTTGCCTCCCTTAAGCCAATCATATCAGCCTTTTGGCATATGTTTGTGAAAACAATTGAAGTGCTGATTGCTGCCAATATTATCTCATGCTTTTCATTATCTATGGCAACAACTTTGGCAGAGATGTCTGGTATAGAAACCACTAACTTGCTGGAGTACCTCATATTAGGTACATCATTCATCGACAACAAAATATCATCGAATATTATCTCAACGTAAGAAACTGCATCTGGTTTCACTTTGAAAACAAATTTTGAGCATCGAATTGAAAAATTCGCTGCATCAAAGGCAGGTGGGAATAATTCTTCCAATGCATTAGCTTGGTCTTTAAATCCTACACCAAAGTTTAATAGACCGGAAGTCAAACATTGTAGGAAGTAAGGGTTACTATCAATAACCCAGTCTCCGAAGCAGAAATCCCATTTGCACCAAAAGGTCACTTCTTCCGGAGGGGCACTAAACATTCGGTGCGAATGAACATTGAATCCGTCCACATGCATGTCAATATCGGAGCAGAAATACTTGTCAACGTAGCTGGACACATCCATTAAACCCTTGGGTTCCACGTCTGCGTTGATAAAAACTCCAGAAATCGGACTGAAATCGACTTGCATATCCATATAGTAGTTGCAGAACCGCATGTCAACATCCAACATGTCAAAATGTAATCCTATGTGACTTGCACAGCTGTACAAGTTTCGAGGAAGAAGCATTAGTCCGTTTCTAACTTGAAACTTGAAAAGCACATCCACATCATTTTCAGCTTTGATCATATTCCAGTAATCTTTGTCATCCTCTGTCGAACCATTGAGAGATTGTGAATCTTTGAGCGACTCTGAACTCACACTACCATAATTGTACTCCTCAAAAGTTTTAAAATGCACATGCTCTCCGAAATAGTTATCCTTTATGGTAAACAAATAGCGTACCACAAACCCATAAAATTTGAGGCATATATCATCTCCAATACAGTTAATTTCAACGCAATTTGCAGTGTTGACCTCAACAGCGCTGTAAAATGTGTAAGCACCTTGAACCAGAAATGGACCACTCTTGCCAACGGTGTTGGATCCTTTCAAAAATGCGTTGACTGTGTGCCACGGAGGAGTGTCGAGAATCAAATCAAAATGAGGAGTGTTCAAGGTATAAGAAATCGTTGTCTTTTTGGAGCTAGTACCATTCAAAGGAACAGATACATCTAGATTAAGCTCCTTACCTTGAAATGATAAATACTTGTTGCTATTGAAATCTAATGGGTTGTTGATGATGTTTGAATCATTCACATTTAAAAAAAGTTCATAGTTGATCAATTTCCAATTAATTTTGTACAAAAAAAGTCTAAAGTTTTCATACGGTTGTGGTTCGCCCGAGGCAAAGTCAGTGAAAAGATCAGACAATAAGAAAAGATGTTCTCTTAATAAGAACAATCTAGGATTCAAACTGACTTGATCGAATGTCCAATTACATTGGCCATTCCACTCTAATGGGAGGGTAACATCAGCATCAATCTCGTGTGAGTCTGCTGAATATAAAACATCATGGTTCACCGAGGACCTAATTTCTGGGTTGCTAAGGTTCACCTTTAGCTTGTTTGGAAAACCTTTCTCCTTGTTTGATACAAAAGAAGTAAACACCCCCACATTTGATCCTTCGGCAACTTTAATCTCGAGCCAGCCGAATGGTCGCGCTGTCTTTTGAAATGCTTGATGGTTCTGATTCTGATTCTGATTCTGCTTTAAAAATTCCTTGTCCTTACTTGCTTCCCTTGTAGGTATTCTAACCACCAACTCGTCTCTGACGATAACGGTAAGCTTAAATCCCTCATACTCCCTTTTAAGGCCCGCCTTCAAAAAGTTTGTAGTAGGATGTGAATCCCTAGCAAGAGAAGGGAATAACATATTCTGAAGTGGGATTCTTTGTCTGTCGGCCCATGGCCCGTAATGCATTGTTCCAAATGAAATCTCAATCTCAAGTCCCAGTTCTGGCGCTGCCCTTTCAGATAATTTTGTGCTAGCCGATTGTATTCCTGGTGAATCGTAAAAATACACGAACCTAGTCATTGTGGAGTCAAGAATTAAGCTATATTTTGCATATTGCTCATCACTGCTAAGAAGGGCCACTATTCCTGGCTCTTCGGCGTCCCCTACGTATCTTTTTAAACCTTTCCAGTCAAATTCGTCTTTTTGACTGAAATCGTTGGAACTGGGTCTTCTTTGAAGCTTTTGTTCTACTTTCCGGCCAATCCACCTACTGGCAACCAAAAACTTATACCAAAGTTTATATGATTTTATATCACGCAAATTATCTAATCTACCACTGCCTGAGTGCGCTTTTTCATGTTCTTCTTTCCCGTATCTATACTTGTCGAATCCAATATTCGGCCTCATCCAAATCTGAAATTCGTCAAACTGGAAGTCGTGTAGAATCCTGTAATAGTCAGCAGGATTTGGTGCTTTGGTGATGTCCAACAATCCCCTTCCATATTTGAATGATGCAACTATAATGGATGGTGTTGTGACGTTTCCAATTACAAATGATCCCTTCTTTATCTTGAAGTCTATAGGTAAAATTTGCAACAAAAGTGGTAATGAGCGTTTAGTGCGTACATAAGGGTCTTTTGAAGATTCGTTATCGGCATCATTCAGATCCTTCTCATCGCGTTGACCACGAGCGTCATAGTCATCTGAAAAAGCGCTTGATTCCTTCTCTCCCTCGTCTTCCCCATCTACTCTATTTTCTCCCTTTTCATTCCTGTCATTGTCCTGACCATTTCCGTTCTTCCCATTCAAGATATCTATTATATTATCGTAGGCACCGGTTTTGTTATAAGTGAAAATCTCCAACCCTTCTACCACAACGAGAAACCTGCACGGCAGTTTGTCATTTTGAGACTGAGAAATTCCACCAGTTTCATAGTCAGCATCCCAATAGAACCCCGATAGCCTTGTTAATGATGGTATCCAATACCTCCAAGTGAATGTGACATTCAATATAGAAACAGTTGAGTCTGCTGTTACTATTGTTAGATTCTTCATAAATAGTCGACCCCCTAGTGGCGACAATTTAAATGCATCAACATGAACCCTAATGCGGTAGGTTTGCCATAGTACAAGTTTACATATTAGTGTAACTAGAAACCCTAGTAGTTTATGGAAGTAGAACAAGAAAGCAAGTCCTAAAACCAAGGATAGTATCCAGTCGACAAAGTAAATCCAAAACGAAACACTATAGTTTGCGTTGGAAGCTACCGCCATAAACTGTGGTTCGAAAGCCATTGTGGGTGTCTGGTCGTTTCGAGTAGGGATTGTGTCAGGTGTCTTGGAGGAGAAGAAGGAGGAGAGCTCATTAGCAGTTTGCGCAATACGCGCTGTTTTCACAAATGACATGTATTATATAATATATTACGTAATATCTGCACAAAAGGAGAAACTTTTGAAAATGTAAACAAAATCTCAATTCAAGAGAACACACCTACTTTTTCATCACATTCGTATTCAACAATCCCTTTAACCTTATTCTACAAGAGTATAGACTCCCATATCAAGTGTTGAACCAAAAAGAGATTCTTTGTTTTGTTCCCTCCCTTTTGACTTTCACTGACCACCGTCCCACTCAATATATTTCACTAGCAAAGACTTTCCACAATGTCTAACAGAGTTTTTGATGACTCTGAGAATAAGAACTCCATCAAGCCATTCAACAAGAATTCACAGAATGAAAATACTCACATATCAAATAAGGGGTCAACTTTTAGGCAAATGCTGAGGTTTAAGAGAGTTCCCTTGGGTGGTAAGGACCAAAACACAAACACGTTTGAATTGAACAGATCAAAGTCAACTATAAATCCCAATTTAAACTCGCTCAAGTCTAATAGCAAACCGCCAAGTTTAGTAAAGTCGAACTCGAGCTTAGGGTTTCAATCAGTTCCTGTATTTCAAGAGTTTACACAAGAACAGAGAAGCCAATTGCAAAGTACTGAACCGCAAGTCGCTAACATTGGAAGTAAACAGGTGGAGGATCAGAGCAGTAGAAACTTGATCAGTATACCAAAACCTAACCGCAGTGTTAGGAAAAGAGTAAGCTTAGATGAATTATCCCTTCCAACATTATTATCCCCTAAAAAACCCAAATTATTTCAAACTGACTCCTTAATAAAGTCTGACGGTACACAGCATAAGCCACCAATCCCACTTAGGAGTACATTTTCGGAAAGAACTGAGGCTCTTAATTCAAGGCATGTAGTAAATAATGACATAACAAGAAATAATGTGGATCCAATCAAACGGCCAAACAGACGTCATTCGATAGATGCAATGGTTGCACAACACTGGCGAGATGAAATAGAGTTTGTGCCACATGGTTACAACGAGAAAGAGGCTGATTCCCTCGTTTCATTCAATGATAATGAGGTACAGTTTTTCTCAACTCCAAACGTCAGTCATGATTTTGAGCAGCCTGATGAAGACTTAAATTTAGAATTAGATTTTGAAAATGACACCGGAAACGAAGAGCTCGACGCTGAAGTGACCATTGATGGGAATGAGAAGGATGATTTTGGTTTAAACGACGAGGATTTAAGAAATTTATTAGATTGATAGCTATTATATATGTACAAATTGGATTGCTATGACCAATAAAATTACTATAATCAAGACGGTGACCTTTCGAAACAGTTGAATCGAAAAGTATGCTTTACTCTTCCGTATGGCTTTACTCTTCTGTATGGTTTTACTATTGTTGAGTGCATTGTGGCCCTTGCTCGTATGCTCCGTTTTCCTGATGGTTTGAATCGTAAGTGGTTTGATAGTCCGGTAAATCCAGCGACTGCACAATGGAGAAATCGGTAAACAACTCGACGTTTGTTTCCGGTATCGAAAGCCCTGGTTTCCTCTCCTTTAATGCTGTTGGTAGTATATTTCTTATTGCCATCAAATCGTTCTTTTCGAGATACCAGTTATCACTAGGAAATTCAATATCCACCTTGACGTATAAATCACCATTGCCTTCACTTCTTGAAAACCAAGACTTCTTTGCAGCAAGCTTGGGCATCCCTTCACCTCCAATTTTGATATAATCACCTGGTCTAATCACTTTACCTTTTGGTGTAACAATTTTTACACCCCGTCCATCCAAATGCTGACTCACCAACCTGGAAAATCCAGTAAGCGCATCTGCCAATGGAATCTTTAATTCCATATAAAGATCATCTCCCTTTCTTTCATAAACCTCATGCTTTTTACAAGTATATTTTAAAATGATATCCCCAGCAATTTTACCAGGGTATTCATCACTTTCACCCTTTTTCACGATAGATCCTTCACTTGGGGAACCCTTTGGTATCTCAAACTCCAATATTTTTGTCTCCTCACATACTCTTGTTCCTTTACACAACTTGCATCTATCCTTTGTGCGATAGATCTTACCAGTTGCATTGCACGTCGTACAATCAACATATTCCTGAGCAACTAATCCGGGAGCCACTCTTTTGATTTTTCTGGTGTATCCTTCTCCGTGACAAATACCACACGTTTTGCTTACGGCGCTAGATGACCTGACTCCCTTCCCTTTACACTGAGTGCAAATAACGTTTCGAGTTGAAGTAGATCGTATCACTTTGCCAATATAAAGTTCCTCCAATGTTACTTCGACCTCTAAAACTGCATCCTCTGTTCGCCTGCTGTCATGACGGCTAGATTGACCCCCTTTCATTCCATTAAAGAAATCATAAAAGTCGTTGCCTCCATAACCATTGTAGTCAGCTCCTCCTCCTCCTCCATAAAATTGTTCAAAAGGATTACCCGTAAAATCATAATGCCCTGGGCCACCATTACTATCAGTCGTACCATATATATCATAGTTTTGACGCTTCTCCTCGTCAATCAAGACCTCATAGGCATATGAAATTTTTTTAAAATGAATTTCAGACTCTTCTCGATCTTCCTCGGATGCTTTGTCAGGATGATACTTTAGGGCAAGCTTCCTAAATGCTTTCTTGATCTCTGATTCGGTAGCACTAGAACTCACTTCTAGTATCTCGTATAAGTCCTCCATTGTTACACCACACGTCTGTTGAATGCTTTGATCATGAATGGCGTAAACATCATTTTGTTTTTCTCGGAATGCAAAATAAAAAAGAATAGGTGTCACAAACTTTACAAACAGAGAGACACATGGCGAAGAGAGTCAGACGCTGTACTATACTGCTTAGCTTAAGTTACCCAGACAGTCGAAAAAGAAGAAGTGTCATTGTAGCTACGGCAAAAAGAAAAAGCACTTCTTGGTTTTTATAGCAGAAAAGGATATATTGGAGTTAAAAGGTCAAAAAAGTAAAACTCTGAAAAAAACAAAAAAAAATCACGACGCGAGCAGGGTTCGAACCTGCGCGGGCAATGCCCAAAGGAACCTGCATCCTTCACCTTAACCACTCGGTCATCGCATCTGACGGTTTTTAGCACTTTTGACAACTACGCCAAACCGATATAAACCGATCATAAATTGAAATAAGATAAGGCGCCATTGTCAAATACGTCATTTTATCCTTTATAAATATGGCTATTAGGACCATTTTCTGAAGAGTTTTGCATCTGTTTCTGAAACTAACAACCAGAAGCTTATAACGATTGCATCAGAGCTTTGTTTGAGGTGCATGCTGGCCGTAAATCATAACAATAATGTAGATCCCTTCTTTCTTCCCTTAAGGCATTGCGCTGAATGTGAATGGCGATATTTTGTGCTCTTGGTAGTCTCAGAAGCAAAATATATGATGCAATATACCCTTTATTACATAATTTCCCGATTTTGCAACCAGTTGAGAGCCAGTACTAGTTGAATTCAAGTTAATTTATGTCCCAATAACCAACTAAAGCATTTATAATTCTCAAAAAGGAATATAAGCACCTTAAAGTCATTTTTTAATATCATCTTGGAAATCGGATTATTTTCGGAGAGTTTTAAAGTGAGATCTATTAATTTTCTGCAAAATTTGCAACTGTATAAGTGAAAATTATTATCTGCAAAGAAAACTGGATCGTGATGAGGTAAAAATTAGTTAGCAACACTCTAAAACAAACCATATCTTTTTTTGACGCCCCTGTTTCCTTTTTAATACCACTTAAAAACTTTTCTACACTAGTTGTAGCATTATATATATGATTCCTAAAGGTGTTGCGTGTACTACCACTGCTACCAAATAAAAAGGTAGTGCAAATGGTACCAATAATGAACAATAAGAGCAAAAAAAAAAGAACAACAATCACCTTTTCACCTCTTTTCGCCTTGGTCGAGTTTTCAAATTTCTTTCGACTTTTGAATAGTTTTACACTTTGATTGTAAATATCAATTGACTATATCAACACATATATATCACACACAATAAAATACATCAAATATGGTATGTCCAACCATTTTGTTTTGCAATTGCCAACAATGTGTCAGCTCCAAACAAAGCTTGGAACTGGCTGCTTCTGTCGAACAACTCCACAACCAGCAAAAAATAATACTAACCTCAAAATCAGTCTAGATCAGGGTATGTTCAACTGTAGTTGAATCTGTTTCCAAATATATATATACTAACACATGGTTTAATTAGAGTTCAAGTTGCCGATGAATCATTGACTGCCTTCAACGATTTGAAGTTGGGTAAAAAATACAAGTTTGTGATTTACACGTTAAACGATGCCAAGACCGAGATTGTCGTTGATGAAACTTCTACTGATTCAGATTACGACGCATTTTTGGAAAAATTGCCTGAAAACGAATGTAAATACGCCGTATATGATTTTGAGTACGAAATTGGTGGAGGTGAAGGTAAAAGATCCAAGATTGTGTTTTTCACTTGGTCTCCAGATACAGCCCCAGTCAGATCTAAGATGGTTTATGCTTCTTCAAAGGACTCTTTGAGAAGAGCCTTGAATGGTGTTGCTGCTGATGTGCAAGGTACTGATTTTTCAGAGGTTGCTTATGAATCAGTCTTGGACAGAGTCAGCAAAGGTGCTGGATCTCATTAGATGGGTTATAGGGCGGTATGAATATATATAATGCGTATATATTAAGCTAGAAAAGTCTGATAACTCTATAATCTTTTATGGAAGATATGCTTTGCACCTCAGTATTATGTTTTGTTTATTTTTTTTTCTTCTTCGGTGATAAGAAATCCAGTCTAAGAAACACCAAACAGATTCACTAACGTGTATTAGCCCGACTCTCACACCCAACAATGAATTCGAAGTTGGAGCGGGCAACTATCGCGCAGAAGATTCAAGTGTTGGACCACTTCCATTCGTCAGGAAATTCGCAGATGAAAACAGTCCATAAATTCAAACATGAAATGTCAATATCAAAATCATCTTTAAGCGAATGGCTTAAACGGGAAGACGACATACGACAAAGATTTGCCCAAGAGGAATTCAAAATGTCCAAGAATAGCCGCAGGAAAGTGAAATTTAAATACGAAAAGATAAATAAAGCCATGGACAAACTAGTGCAAACGAGATTGGACAAGAATGAGCCAATCACTGAACCAATATTGAGAGAGTATTGGTCTGTATATGCTCACCAGTATGGAGTGGATGATCCCAAACGATTGGTTAGCTTTAGTCATGGATGGTTGAGCCAATTTAAGAAGAGGCACGGTTTACAAAGAAGCTCAGTGTCGAAAAGGAGCTCACCAAGGCGTCAAAATGGAAACAGGCATGGTGAAAACGATGTTGAAATGAAAACGGGGTCTGAATCTGATGCAGATAATGGCTATGGAACCGGTGGTGACAAAACAAACAACCTTTCTCAGGTGCAATCCTTGCAGGATAAGGATCTTGATCCACAGTTACAGGAAGCGGGGTCGCCAAATCTGCCGACTCACCGCAACAAACGAGAGCGCTCAAAGATCATGAAACAAACGCATGAAAATATAGACCGCGATACTGCGAATGTATTAGCATCAATCTCAAACGACTCCTCGTCAACTTCAGAAGATGCTGACCTACGACTTGATTCAGCCAAGGACACAAAAGTGACACAGATTCCTCCATTGTCCCACCTCCCACTACATGACAATATACGCCGGCTATTTGTGCACCATCCATCGAATAAGCAGTCAGTAGAGCTGATTAATTTACAAAAAGATAGTGACACCGAAGCGATTCGACGTTTGAACCAACATCACATATTGAAGCCAGTATCTAACAAGGAACAAGACTCGCCACAACCACATCATAAAAGCCTTTCTCAATCCACGAAGGATGTAGCAGCGGCACTAGAAACAAATACTATCGAGTTGTCCAATCCAGTTGATAAAAAAGCTACCCAGCAACCAATTGCAACCATTCAGTCACAGGAGTCAGTGTCAGAGCTAGAACCGGAGGCAGAGACAGAGCCAAGTCCTACAGAGTCCAAGGGATTGGGAAATAACAAAGAGCAAGCCATTGACATGGAAAGATTTATCCGCGACACTGCCGCAAGATTCTTTCAAACAAATGCACAACAATACCCCAAAACATACAAGCTATTTCAACAGTTTAAAAAAGAGTTTCTAGATGAATTAGCCATCACCAGAAAAGAAAAGAAAATCCAGGGTTAGTACGTTAGCACGCTATCACGTTAGCACATTTTCCCTTAGCTGATATGTTAATAGAACCATTACAGAAAAAAAAAAAGAGTCTGTACGCCCCAGAAGTATTTATTCACATGTATCATTAAATAACATTTTATTCCCAAAATTATATATTTCCCAATTCCCAGTTATCTCTTTCAAAATAAAAAAAACAAATCCACCCAGTGGTTGTCAATTACTAAAACAGACATCACATAACATTAGTAAAGTCAATCTCAGTATCAGCTACTTCAACTTTCAAACTTGGTTCAACACCACCACCGCCGCCACCACCAACATGACTGACAGTTCCATTTGTAGCCTCATTACCTCTGCTTTTCTCTTTCTCACATTTACACGAATCGCACAGTTTGGTGCATTCTTTCCCTTCTAGATGGAAGTCATCCAAATCTCGAGTCACTTGATTAACTTGTTGCGAACCAAACACACGGTCTTGTGCATGAAGTCGATTATGGATGGTTGATCTTGGAATTGTACGCCTTGCCGCTGCTGTGGGTGCTGCTGAAGACGAGGATGTAGTCGATGATGACGATGATGGCATTTGGTATGTGGCAGGTTGCAGTGGGCCCGATACTTTGTTGATTCTGTTGCTTATGTCGAGATTGGCGTCATGTTTGGCATAAAGATAATTTCGTAGGGCCATGTCTTTTTATTTTATATGTACTTGTTAGTTTTGTGTGAAGTACTCTTTGAATGCAAAACAAAAAAACAATAAATAATAAAAAAAAAGATCCGAATATGGAGTTGCTATTGCTTTATGTAAAAACTCAGCCTATCACCAGCGTGGTAATGATTAAGTGTCGAAAACCACAAACAAAAACGACTTCAAGAAGAGAGGAAAAAGAGTTGGAAATATCAATATATATATTTATATGCATCGTATCTGTTTGTTTATTATTATTATTATCAAACAGTAGTAGTAGATACCGTATGGCTCCATGATTGTGTGTTCAAACAAATCATGTCATATATCCTGACGTGGAATGTTTTTAACCTTCTGTGCATTTTGGTAAAAATCAAAGACATAAAAAAACAAATTTTTTTTCTTTTAAAGTTGCAAAACTTGAAAATTCACTTTGCCAATAACAGGAAAGAAAGAGGAGGTGGTACATCTTAGAGTAACGAGGTAAAGCAATTTGTTACTTAGAGACATGCACATTTGAAGAGACGCGTAGCGTGCATGTTCCAAAGAGGACGAGAGTGTGTTGTGCACAACGTACCGCCACAAACCAATAGGCAGACGAGGTTAAAAAAAACCAAAAAAAAAAAAGTGGGGTGATTTTTTCTTTCACAAAATAAACGGTTAAGATCTAAGACAATAACTTTTTAGTATTTGCCTTAGAGGAATAAACGGCACAAGTCGGCTTACTCAGACCCCCCCCATCCCTTCCCCTTTCTATCCCCGCGAGAGATTTCTTCTGCAGGATTTCAAAGATTTCACTTTCGGACTTGTTTATTATTATTATTTTTTTTGTGACCGCCATTCTTAGATCATGATCTTTACAAAGATTATTTCTACTAAAACCTTATCTTCGAATCAATCGGAATTATGCATTTTAGCAACGTACAACTACCATACATAGTTAACTCACATCTACTGTCCTATCGCCATTTGTTGCGATTTCGGTGTTAGTTTCAATCCTATTATAGCAATACCCAAAGCAATGGTGAGAAACTTGAATTTCAAATTATCATCAACTAAGTCATCCTTCAGTCTCCTTTTTGACTTGGATTTCGAATCCTTTGTCGGCCCCATTACATATGATCTTATCTTATGAAGCATATTCAACTCTTCATCCGACGAGGATGATGAGGATGAAGTGGCATAGTACTCTTCGTTCAAATTTGTATCATCCTCACCGTCTGCACCTAGTTCCCAAGTATCATTTTCAAAGTCAGAATCTGCCTCATCCTCACTTAGCGAGTACAAGTCGTTTGGGCGGAAGATTTGCGAGGCAAACTTTTTCACTATTTTATCATTAACAAAATTGGATTCCAGTTGTTGATCGTTGGACTCCTCATCATACGAATACACTTCTGGAGCTGCATTGAGTTCACCATTGTTGACGCCAGCATGATTGATTCCAACTGGGTTGGTGGCAAACTTTTCATTCTTATTAAACACGGCATTGATCGACACTGACCTCAATACTCTCTTTTTGTTGATTAACATGTTCTTGGACTCTTCAATGAGTTTTGCATCCGAGTACTCCATTTGTTTGTTCAATGCTCTCATCGAATTAGAAGACTGCTTTTTGGCCAATTTCTTGATATTCTTTTTCTGTTTTTGCAACTCAAACCCAATATACGATAACAATTTTTCATTATGTAGTTTCAACGATTGAAGTTCAAACTTGAGCTTTGTAACTTCCTGTCGAGTCTTGTTATCAGCGTTTATGTAACTCGAACGCTTGGACGACAGGTCAAAATCATCATACGACATACGTTTACTTGTATCAAAGCCGGTATCTTCAGAACCGGTACCATTAAGGGCAAAAAATGTCCCGTCTCGGTGATTTAGTTTAGCGTAGTCCTCGACAAATGACTCTTCAATCACGTCAAATCCCAGATCCTGTCTATGCACCTTTTCGGGCATAGAAGTGTATCTGACCGAGTCTGGTTCAAACTCCACCTTTATCGGTAGTATATCATGACTATTGTATCTAGTGTGAGTAGGTTTTGTTTTCGAGTATCGTTTGACTATCGAATTGTCTGGATTGTCAAACATCGCATCCTTGTCTTCTGTAGTGGACGACGATACCCCAGGTGTTAATTTGAATGGCGATAATACAAATTCATTAGGTTGGGGAATAGATTGTGAAGCGAAATTAGTTGGTAGTGACTGTCTTTTCCGTTCTTTCGACTGGGGGTCTGGCGAAGGTGGGAACTGGAAATGAGATGTAACTTTAATAGAGTCTGATGTACCATCTTTTTCGCTGTAGAACTCTTCACATACATCACCACCTTCTTCTTCATCCTCCTCCTCTTCATTTGCTATCTCATTCATGGTGTGAGTTGCGTGGTTTATAAATTGATCAATACTTTTATCTTCACTCTCTAAATCATCGGTAATTGGACTCTCCAATTGATTGACAAGTTCTTCATTCTTGTGTGCTAAAAACTCAATCTGATCCATTAAAACAAGCTTTGAGCTCTTTTCAACTTCATATTGATGCTGAAGAACCTTATAGTCACGTAAAAGTTTTTCATATTTATGCACTAAATTATTATCACGATCACGAAGTTCGGCCACCGATGGAGCAATGCTAATTGAAAGTTGCAGACTCAAATCTTCTACTTTGTTTTGTAAGGTTTCTACTACCTTCCTGTACATTGATTCATTTTTCTTGAAGGCCTCTTGTATTCCATGTTTTTCGGATTCCATATCAACAACAGTTTGTTCAACCAATTTTATGTGGGATTTGAGCGAATCAATTTCCTCCTGATTCAGGTGTAGTTCATCTATTAACCGTTGATTGTCAACTTTTATATGCTCGTATTTGAGTAAGGTGTCAGCGAATCGTCGCTCTAGTTCATCATATTCTTGTTTACTTGTCTGTTGTTGATGTTGTTGTAGGACATCGGCATTTAATTCAAAAGAATCAACCGACGACTCATTATCTGGTTTTAGTTTTTGAAACCGACGAGGAGATCTGCTAAATCTAGCTTTTGATGGCAGACCTTTGCTGTGTTTTTCGATTGAGTTTAATAGGGACAGATTATTTGACAAAGGAACTACCTTGGGTGAAGAGGTTGCATTCTTGCTCATACTATCAATTGAATCCTGCATTTTTATAGTTATATCATGATTTTCACCTCTATCTGTGCTGTCATTCATATTATAGTGGTGTGGAGGATCAATGGGATGAATATGATGGTGGATGGGTGGTAGAGAGAGAGTGTTTGTTGTAGTTATTGTTGTAGTTGTTGTAGTTGTTGTTGATGATTATGTCAAAAAGGAGTGACTGAAAATGGAATAAGTTAAGGCTGTTGAATAGTGTTTGAAGTGATTGGGGGGGGAGGTGTTTAATCTATTGCGGTAGCGTATCAAAGAAAGAAGTGTAGTTTTTAAGATTAGAAATTGGTGGAGATTTTGGTAATTCTTCTTCTTCTTCTTCTTCTTCCTTGTCTTCTTCCTTGTCCTCTTCTTTTTAATTGTAATGTTTGTTACAAAAGAATAATTAAAGTTCATAAAATTTTTTTGGATTTGTTTGTTTGTTGTTTATAGTTCCACAATACAAGAGTAACAATACAGTACAATACAGTACAATACAATACAAACTACTTCACATACAACTTTCATAGCTTAAACATTTCTAACCACATACACTAACACACTTTAATTGACGACTATAAAATTAACCAATAAAGGTGATTAGCTCTAGCAAACATTCCATTCCCTGGAATAACTTGAAACTCAACTCTAACAGTTTAACTGAATCTGTAACATTTAATCCTTACATTGTATGCTAAACACATGGTTTTTTTGATTTTTTCTTTTCCCGAGGAAACCTACATAAACGTGTCTCATTGGTTAATTGCATCTTCTTTTTGTCATTTCTCTTGCTTTATTTGCCTCTGCATGGTTTAACTCTTTCTTCCATGTTTTCTTTGTGTATCGATGGTTGTGTATATGTATGTTTTGATTTCTTCCTAAATCAGTGGATTCTTTTTTTTTTTTTTCATTTTGTAACCCAAACCACTCTCTATTTCTATTGAAAGATAATACTTAAATACATACATACATACATACATATTAGATTCTCTTTCTTCTTCGTCTAATTTACTACACACTTTATACCAAGTAGAAGAAAGTATAAACTACAGCACATTGCAACTAATAACTGCCTTTATTCCTTTTTAAGGTCTAATTTAGAACCGTGTTTTTTTGTTTAGTGGGGTAAAGTGCCTTTTTCTTTTTCTTTTTCTTTTTTTTTTTGACATCAACGGCTATCTATTTTAATGCCATATTTCGTAACTTGAGTTAACGCTTTAGAAGCTCACAAAGCAAATATTGGCTACATCTCTTTTACTGATGCATACAGGCCCTACAACTAACTCCTGACATCTCTATAATCGTTACTTCATTCAAACAGTACAAACGGTCTAAGCTAGATCCATTTCTGACCACCTATTTACACAACAACAGTCAAACATCGAGCACCCAAACACATGTCCCCTTAGATCTTTCGCATACATTTACAATCAATTAACACCCAAAGCTTGATCTATCGACGTACCTGGATTCAAATTCTGTTTCAAATCATGTTTGATGATACTAGCACGCAATATTCTCGGATCTTTCCTCAACGTTCTCAACAATTGTGCTTGCACTTTACTCGAGGAATCAAATCCCATAAGAAAATGGTAACCCTGGAAATGTCTTTCTTGTTCCTTTGATATAATTTTGGGTAATGGCTTGGCTCCAAGACTCGTTATATCTCTAACGATTCCTCTGTTATTTAGTATCAATTTACCGACGGTGGAAGCAATCTTAGTGGCTTCTTTTGTAACTTGCAATGGGTCCGTAATACGGGCAATAGCAAAAAGTTCGTAGTACATTTGAAGTTTCGGTGCTTTGGTACTGCCAGCTATGTCAGTTTTACCTGGAAAAAATTTTTTTTTCTGCAACAAAAGAAGGCGAGATTGAAATCCGAGCTACCAATTACAATATGAAGGGGGCCTCTGTTCAAATTATAGAGAGAGGGGGGGATACAATGAAAGGGGAAGACCACGCTATTGTTACATTCAAATATTGTAACTATTTAGCCATATAGTGCGATCTACATCATCCCTTCATACAGTTACTTTTCCTTCTCTCTAAATGCGCAAGTAAAGGGAACGACTAGTCAACACTCTGTATTAAATAACTAGTGTGCTTCTATCTTTCAGTAAACTCTCCTACTGCCGAGCTATTTAGATCCACCATCCCACACTCGAGTCGGTCTGTCGCATTTAATCAAAATATATAAACCTAGCACCGTAAAATACAACCTCAGACTTGTTTCATAAACCCCACCCATAAGGATATCCGGTTACGACACTTCTCGACCCTACCCCTTTTCCACTGTTGGCTGCAAACACACACACAAAGATCTATTGGCGTAGACTTAAATCTTATTTTACCACACCCTGTCACAGATCACGTGCAATGATAAATTGCAACAATTTTTAATTATTTAATTTTTTAATTTTTTAATTTTTTTTCTTTCAACAAAGCGCTTAATTTTGCAGTGAAATTTTTCACATCCATTATATATTTGCCAAACCTAAACATACTTGCTTCTATATATTCACTACAACAATGGCTACTAACATCACCTGGCACCCAAACTTGACCCACCAAGAACGTGCAGAGTTAAGAAAACAACAAGGTGTTACCGTCTGGTTAACTGGCTTATCAGCCAGTGGGAAATCCACCATTGCTTGTGCTTTGGAACAGTCGATATTGAATCGTGGATTGAATTCGTATAGATTAGATGGTGATAACGTCAGATTCGGCTTGAACAAGGACTTGGGGTTTAGTGAACAGGATAGAAATGAAAATATCCGTAGAATTAGTGAAGTTGCCAAGTTGTTTAGTGATTCATGTTGTGTTACCGTTACTTCATTTATAAGTCCCTATAAAGCCGACAGAAACTTAGCTAGAGAGTTGCATGCTAAGGATAACTTGCCGTTTGTTGAGGTTTATGTTGATGTGCCTATAGAAGTTGCTGAACAAAGAGATCCAAAGGGGTTGTATAAAAAGGCTAGAGAAGGTATTATTAAAGAATTTACTGGTATTAGTGCCCCTTATGAAGCTCCTGAAAACCCTGAAATTCACATCAACAACCATTCAGGACTCACAATTGAAGAAGCTGCTGAACAAATTATCGACTATCTTTTGGAAAAGAAATATATTAATTAGAGCCAGCTTCTCTACCCCACAATTCACCATATATAGAAACGCATAACTCACCATGCCCAAACACAAATTATATTTATTTAAAGCTGTTCACTTTTTTAAACTATCTAATCTTGCTTGTAAGTCATCTTCATCAGTATTCGAGGGCCCACTTGCGCCTCCACCACTTTCACCATTGGCACCCACACTCTCGGCAACTCTCCCATTATTGACCGTTTCTTGACCTGCATTGATTCCAGTCGGGATATCTTTCAAATTAGAATTCAAATCAACTCCAATTTCATCAAGTACCTTGCCCAATATTTCATCAATCTGTTCCTCTTCCCCTAACTCATCTTCATCCATAGCCATGGCATCATCAATGGCATCATCCATAAACTCTTGTTTCTGATCCATCATGTCATTCTCCTTGGCAAATTCTTGAGCTATTCTCGACAACTGCGGCAAGTTCATCGATCTATTCATTCCCGATAATACTCTAGTTGCATCGCGCATTGACATTGCCATTTGCTGATTGGACCTAACACTTTGCACACGCAATGAGATCGCCTGTAATTGCGCCTTCATCGAATTAAACTTGTTTATATATGACTTGGTCCTAATTAAATCTTTAGCTTGGATCTTTGCACTCGATATTTGCCCCTGTTTGGCTGACTTTTTGATATCACTAATCAATTTCTTCTCCTGTTGCTGTAATTTGGTTACTTCGCGGGTGAGTTCTCGCTGAGTCTTCTCCAACGCCCTTTGGTTCTTCCGAAGTCGTTCTTGTGGAGTTAGCTTTTTACCAAAAGCCCATTCAAATAATTGTGACATGGTTGGTTTGCTATAAGGATTAAAAGGCACTCTTTCGGGATACACACACACACAACTTTTCATTTTTTTTTTTGGTTCGTAATTTTTTTTCTGGTGTCGATAACAAGGAGAAATTGATTGTTACATTAGGCTACTATGTCCTTTTGATTAACTACTTACAATTTAGCACCATTCAAGGCCAATTGTACAGCTTTATAAGCCATACCTAACCCTGCTTGATATCCATACCCCCCAGCGCCATAATTATGCACAAGTACCTTCCCCTCATCAAATTTTTCCTTTTCAATCCTTGTTCCACCATGTCTTCCTGGCCTCAACCCAGCAACTACTCTAATAACCTCCAAATCCTCAATCTTGTTTCCATGAGGATTATCAGTTAAAATCTTGGGAAACAATTGGGTTGTTCTCTGCAACACGTCATCACTTTGCTCTTTCAATGTATCGGAAGTCCAATCGCCCCTTTGGTAAAAACCTCCCAAAATCAATTGATCGTGTGAATAGGGTCTTTTGATTATATACGTTGGTTCTTCATTACCCCAACGCATAACATTCTCCATGATGTGGGGCGCCTTGATAACAACAACTTGACCTCTAGCTGGATACATGTTTTTATCTTCAACCCCGCCCAACGATCTAGCACCTAATCCAGTACAATTAAACACAAGCTTAGTGTCAGGACCATATGCTTGTACGATATGACCCAAATGTTTTCTAACAACTTGGACTCCTTGTTGTTCCAAGTAAATTTTAAAATTCATCAAGAATTTAGGACAGTTGAAGTTCCATGATAGAAAAGTAATGCCAAATGCAGCACCAGACGGCAATTGACTCTTGTCAATCTCATGGTACTCCTGTAAATAACTCTTTAATGAATCGATTTTACATTTAGCCAAGTTGAAATCCCAAATTTCAGTTGATTTGTACCTATCCAACCCTTTAGTCTTTCCACCAATGGCTTTTTGCACTTTTGCCAAATTAGTATACGTCAATCGGTCATACTCCAACACATCGGGATCGTCACCAGTTATGCATGAGAAATTCCCACCAGCGTAAGGAGAGGTGTACTTGACCGATTCGTCCCCCGGCAAGTACTCGGCAACTATAGTTATATCTCTGGCATCGACTCCACGTTCTAACAAGCAGAAAGCGGTATAGAATCCAACAATTCCAGCACTAAGAAAGGGATGAAAGTTAGTATTTGATTGTTATTTTACCTCAAGGGGGTACCCATTCAACATACCCAACAATTACAATCTTTGTCATTGTATTTTCGTCTGTGGAGGTTCCTTGCTGAATCAGTCGCTTTCTTTCGTGATTATGAGAGAACTTTATATAATCTGATGATCTTTTAGCGCGCATTTTCTATAGGGTAAATCTTAGCGACGATAGCCGAAACTTGCCCCAAAAGATACCCAAAACCCCACCTTACAGCACCACCACTACTACTACTAAAAAAACAACAAACATATCATTAGCTATATATTACGTAAAAAAATGCAGCAACATCATCTTCCACCATCATGTTCATCAAGTATTGCATACAAACGTTCAATGACTTCGGCAGAATTATCCTTATTCACATCTTCTATTCCATACTTGTAAATCGACCAAATTCCATACACGGCAACCAAGGTACACAAAGCCATGGCAATGTACCCCTTGGCAGTGAATCCTTCCGGTAATGGAGGTTGTTGCAAATTTTGACCCGTCAAATCCAAGAAATCCATATTCGCAGCAGCATTACCCTGGACAGGTACACTAACATTGTGACAAACTTGTGCATGATTGGCGCTAATGTGCTTTTGATGGGCTTGGATCTCCTCCGGCGCTTCAACCAATACCAATGCTAAACCTTGCTCTAAATGCCAATCAACGTGACAATGGAAGAACCAAACACCTGGATTATCCGCCTTGAAACGCAACACAAAGTATCCGTTAGGGTTGACTTCAACTGTGTCACGAATCATGGGATATTGTGGATAATCCGTCATTGTATCATTATTCGGATCAAACTCAACAGGGTGATCTTCATCATCAGTTCCAGGACTGCGTGAAATGACTTGGAAATTGTGGCCATGTAAATGGAACGCATGTTTTCCCGGATCATGATTATTTAAAATCAACTCAACCGTTTCGTTGCCGTGTAACACAAATGTATTAGTATTTGATCCGTAGATTTTGTGATTAGTGGCCAAATCACCACTCGATAAGACAGTATACAAGATGGGCACTTTTGGAGGGACATAGCTCTTGTCATTAAATAACGCATAAGTGACTCCATCCCCCAAAACTTCCATGGAGAAGTTTACCTGAATGGTGACATCAGGCTCAGGTAATAATTTCTCACCACTTAATGGCTTCAAGTCAAAATCATTGAAACCTTCAAGTGGACCAATAAATTTCTCAATGTCGTAGTATGGATAATGCATTGGTCTTGGTGCATTGCCATTATACACTAAATAATTTGTGGATACCAATTGCAACTCTTCAGGCACAAAGTCCAACATTTCTGCATCCAAGGCATTTATAAATCGATAGTTTTGATCAAGTTGCGATTTGGTCTTTACAAGTGCCACGTATCGTTGTCCGACAGTTATATAAATGGAATCCACCTCATAGGGTTCAACAGCCACCCCATCAATTTCAACAATGATGAATCTGTGACCTTCAATGTATAAATATTGCGATACAAACAATCCCATGTTGACAATCCTCAATAGGTACGTCGTATCTGGCTTGACATTCCACGTAACATTCTTTGTTTCATTGAATAAACTATTTTGTGGTATTGGTTCGGCACCAGTGGGGTTAAACCTCGACAAAAATTGTTTGATAATCTCAGGCGACTCCAAATGATAATGATCATTGACACTAAGTGTCACATCTTCGTCATACGAATATGGCTCATCATTTTTGTCGGCATATTCAATGACAATCATTCCTCTCAATCCATCACCATATTGCGTCCCACTATGTGAATGGTACCAATAAGTTCCAGTTTGTTCACCAACGTTAAAATCGTAAGTGATTTTAGACCCGGGACCAATCGGACACTGAGTAACCATTTCAGGTCCATCTTCACCATTAAAGCCCCTTTGCATCAATCCATGGAAATGTAACGATGCATTTCTATCAGGTAGTCCATTGTAAAGGTTAAGTACTACCCTATCGTGTTGCTTCACTCTGATTGTAGGATTAGGCCACTGGTTGTTGATACCAATCATATTACGCTCGTGCAATCCATCAGGATTTGCTTTGACGTATCCTATTTCCCAATCAAAAGTATGAGTTTTGGATAGGATAAGGCCGTACAAGTAGCTTAGTAGTAGGAAAACCTTTATATTCAACATGAATTGGGAGATCAGGTGGAGAAAGTCGTGTTGCTGATTTTAGAGAGAAAAAGCAAGGAGAAAAATCGAGAGATATTTCGTAGATCATCGTTTATGTCTGCTTCTTCAATTTGTGTAACAAATTATCACGACAAAGCAAAATACACGCCCAGACTTTTGCAACTTTAGTAGCAATATACAACAGTAATTGTTCTTACACGACCGCTACATACATACACACACATGATGAAATTGAAGAGATTCTCATCATCCAGATCCAAATACAGACGGTGATCGGCACTTGCTTTCAAGTGAATTTTGGGGAAACTGATAACCTGCATCACTCCACGTATCCAACTCCCAATCCAAATATGCATTCAAATGTGATTCAATATACGAACTTGTCGGAAAACCTTCTGGGTCACAGGTTAAATCCATGGCATCCAAAGGTTGATATACTCTGATATAATCAATATAAAACTTTGCTGGAAATTGTAATTTGTCAATTTGTAATTTAGGATTCCAAATTTTGGATAAGCCCATATTGAAAATGATTGACATTGGTTCTTTAGTTATTTGTCTCGACCCAATTAATCCATTGGCACGCAAGGCTGTTTCATTTATAGTAAACATGGAAACCCCATTCATTTCAAACTTGACATATCCATGTCCCAGTGGTAAACTCCTGTATTCCATGGCGAATTCAACAAACCCATCCAGTTTCAATATCGTGGCTAACGAAATTGATTCTTGGTAAATTGTCCCTACATCTTCTCTGATATAAGTAACGTTCTTGTTGTTTATATCAACATAGTCGTAATCGGGTCTCCACCATTCATCGAATGGTGCAACTTGCACTGTTTGGACTCCAACAACACGCCCATGCTCAAACAATCCTTCAATTATATCAATTTCAGGAGCACCTCTTCCAACACCGGTATTTGGGTGGTCTTCACCAAAACAAGTGCATACGCTCAATCGCTGGCCTGGCAAGTAGGACATATTTTCATTCAAAGTTGATTGGTTGCGCGTGATACCTAAATCACAGTCATTATAAGTGTATGGCCATAACCCATCTGTTGTTGCCAAATAGCCGGGACGAGCCAAATTTCCCAAAGACCAAACAGCTGGCCATAGTCCATACTGTACATCTGGGGGCAATTTTGCTCGAACTTCAATTCGGGCTTGTTTGTTAAAACATAATTTGTTCCAACTTTGCAACATTGCTGATACATATTGCAAGTTGGAATGATTGAACTTGTCAAATGTAATCACCAAACTTCCATTCTTGGTAGTTGCCATATGAGGTAAATAATACTCCAAATCTTGCGTTGCTCGATAATGTAAATCCACCGCGGTAAAGAACTGATCTTCATGCTCACCAAATGTTCGATTTTCTTTATTAAACTCATCTGAAAAAACCAATTGCCAGTTGTGACTTTTACTGTACTCATCGCGAGATGTATCGTGGTCTATCAAATTTGTCCTAATAGCTTTCAATTGCTGGTACTTTATATTTGTCAATTTCTCCACTTTAGCTCCTTCTTTAACTGGGTCATTCAACAATTTAGTTGAAGTGATGACGAAAACAAGGGCAATCACAAAGAGCGCCAAAACAACAGAAACTGCAATAAGGTACCTTCTCCCATTTTTACTCCAAATTGATTTTATCGGTTTAATTAACTTGCTACTCTGGGGTGAAGTGACATTGATTTCTGATGCATTGGTTGCCTGTTCGTCAATTTTGTTTTCATGTAGATTTTCATCTAGATAGTAATGAGGGCTTTCAATGTGCTTGAATCTTGAACTATGGATTAACCTATTTTCAAAGTCACTCAGAGACAGCAGCAGCATATTCTGTAGATATTGGGGGGGGGGGGGGGAAGAAGGTTAAGTAGAAGACTGGTATGTAAAAGTGCCAGCTAGACGTTCTTTTTGAAATCGCCGGCTCTTCCACCTCCCCTGAGAGCAACTTTAATTCTAGATTTAGCAAGATTCAAGTCCTCGCTTAGGATGTAAATGTTGAGTGAAAAATAGCACAAGCATACCTCTTCTATTCTTTCCACAAATTGAATCATTTGCAACTCTTTAAAAAGATACACAAAAACGCGTAACTTCCATCTTCCATGCAGCTACTAACTTCTCACGCCCTAGACCTCCGAAATTCCAGTCAACAGGAGTAACAGCATTTACAAAAAAAGAAGACGCAACAACGTGTGCGTTCATTCAGTATATCAAATATAACTAAGAATTTCTATAAATTTACATCAAACAAAGATTACTTGACAAAAGCAAAAAAAAAAAAACAGACAAAAACAAACCATATTAGAAAAATCAGACCCAATAGTAGTAGTAGTTATAACAGTCGTAGCATATATTCATTTGTGCCTCCTTGTTTTCTTTTTTTTTTCTTCGATTTGCACACTTTATTCACCTCTCCTCATTTTTCCTCTTTATATATCATAAGCCCGTGGCGCTTCACCTTCAGGACCAATATACTGAGGATCTCTCCAAGGGCCAACATCTTTCAAAAGCAAATCATCATCACCAATATCATCGGCACCACCAAATTTCTTGGGTAAATTTTGTGGAGGGATTTGTTTCAATAATTCCTTTTGATAACTATAGCCCAAAATGTGAATCTTGGACACGGTGACTGGGTCTAAAAATGGCTTGAATAATTTGAAAGCAGTAGCAAAACCAAATGGAGCATTAATCAAGTAAAATTTACCCATTCTTTCTGGGTAGTAATCCTGACCGATTTTCGATGCCTCTCTTACATATCCAATGACACTGTATGCTGAAGATATGGAGATTCCATACAAGTCCAATACAGTACACGATGTTTCAACCAAGTACCCAGCTTTTCTTGAACATGCAGGTAAACGATATTGAACCATATTTTCGTATTCCCAAACCAAGTTTTTAAGCATTCTGTCTTGGGTAGTGATCTTCAACATTTTATTCAAGTCAACTTTACCCAATTCTTCATAGTATACAGGACGACCATCTTTATCAGTTTTGTGGTAGTAAGTAGGGTACATCTTAGCAACAATTGGTTTTTCTTCATAGTGGAAATCTTTCAAAATGGTATTTGTACCAAAGCTTTTCCTCCAATTTTCACAAGCAACAAACATTTCTTTAGCAGCTGCCAAGTCAAACTTTCTAGCTCTCAAGAAACGCAAAAGTGTGGCATCGTCTAATCTATCTTTATAACCCAAAGCAACCAACTCTTTACGGAGTTCAATTGTGGTTTGCTTCTGTTCTTCAGTCAAATTGGATGTAAAACCCGTCAACTGTGTTGGTTGACTGATTTGAGGGTATGATGCTAAAATTTCTTCTTCAGATATGGAAGGCATGGTTTCAGTGGTCATTAGTCAAAATAAAAATTGGTAAACTGGAAGGGGAGTTGTTCTTAATAATAAAGTAACACGCGATTTGAATAATTTCCTGAAGCAGACAGCTAAGCTCTAAGTAAAGACGGAGTAACTCAAGTAATAAGAATGCTGTAACCAAACAAGTACTTTATATATAAATGATGTGGTATTGTGGATGGAGAATCAACAATCGGGTTTAAACAGTAAAGCGTCTTCAAAAGATGATGATGTTCTTTTGAGTAATATTCTTTGTTTTAAGAATAAGTAAATTGATGTTTCTATTAAAAATGTACTAGGTGAGAAGTACAATCTTTCTATCAGTTGATGGTGGTGGTGGTGGTGATGATGATGATGATTATGATGAAAGAAAAGTTGTGTGAATCTGTGTGATTTGAATTGAAGTGAATATGGAAGTTGTGTGTGTTCAAGTTGTGCAATTATACGAAACGAAAAAAATTTCTTTTTTTTTGCTTCTGTTGTGTGTTGTCTTCCGGCTTGTGTGAATTGTCGTTTCTTTTTTTTCTTTTTTTCTTTTTTTTGTCTTTGGTTGGGCGTTTTAAAAACAACATACAAATATACACCGACTACTACAACTTACAGAAGGACCGTATCCCCACCTACCTCTGGTGACTTGTTCCTCTTATCTTCTACGTTGTTTATCATCATCTGCACACACTCTCTCTAATGCTTGTGTTTCTCTCGCACCCTGACCAATTACGTCAGACGTTAAAAATTCCACAACCAAAAACAAAAAAAAAAAATGAAGATCACCTCAAATGTTCAGCGCCTAATACGGAAAGATGAAGAAAGAGAGAAAAAAGCAAAGCAAAACAAAGCAAAGCAGAGCAAACTAAACAAAACAGAAAAGGAAGGACCGTTGGGGGGGAACGAGAGAAGAAAAATAAAGCTGGGATTATGTAACACTCGGAATTACGCACACGTGTTTAAAATGAAAAAAAGACAGACGTCCAAACAAACACCTCTTGCTATTGTATATATATATATATATCACTACTTTAGATAGTGACAGGGGTCATATCTTCTCTGGTACTCGCATTACAGATCTTTCCCCTATTAGAGATTGTTCACTAATTTGACCGAAAATTAAACGCCGAAAAAGAATAAAATAAAGTAAGAGAAAAGAAAACAAAACAACGCATTCACACCCGAGCAGCGGCATTTTTTTTGTTAAGAGAAAAGGAGATTGTTTATTTAGTGAACTCCGATCTTATGTTACTATAAAAGCAGCCACACACACACTCTGCAATATACCGATAACGTGCTTTATTTAACCATTGCTGTTTTCTAATGCTGCCTTTACTAACCCCCCTCCCCCACTTCCCCCAATGGTAGGGTCATGACCACAAACTACAGTACACCCACACAGAGCAATCATTTCTCTTATAAGAGTTGCTGTAAAACAAAACAAGGCTTTGCTCTTCCCAAATGTTTTTTTTTATTTATTTTTTTTTTGTCTTTGCCCAATTCTTTTTTTTTTTTTTTATCTAATAAAAAGGGGAATCGTAAAGGGATAGATAAGGCGAGGGTCACCCCCGCCACCAGGAAGTAAGTTCCCAATCGACTTTGTAGTCATTTTACAAAATGGTACATTAATATAGTCTATACAAACCGCTACACAAGATACAAGAATGTCTCACCCACAAGGTTCAGCCTCAAAAGTTCAACCCAGCAGCAAAGGAACTGGTAATGCTCTTAATCTCATCTTCAATATTCTCATCATGGTATCGATTGCCACCATTGGCAAAACTCTTGTCCAATTTGTTCAACTTAGAGTAGAAATTAGCACTGATGGAATTGGACCCATTGTAATACTCATCCCCAGCGGCATCACCTTCACCAGCACTATCGCCATTTTGCAGTTGATTCAATGCTGGCCAAAGCTCATTCTTCAACCTCGATTGATTGGCAGCACCACCACCACGTAAAGTCGATGCATACCCACCAGTACCTGCATTCGAAACAGAATCAAAATTACCCGTTGCAAAGGTAGTCGAGGGGGCACCAAATCGAGCATGATAATGGTCCAGTTTCTTTTGCAGGCCCGACGACTTCAAATTGCGGTTGGCAGTGGTGTAATTATTCAATTGAACCATCGACAACTGTAAATTATCCAATGGACCATCAACCAAACACCCCTTTTCTCTAAAATGAACCAATAAATGGTTCCATAACCGATTACGACTCAAAGCACGTGGGTTACCAAGAACTAATAGTCCGTATTTGGCTCTGGTTAATGCAACATTCAACCGTCTCGGATCACTAAGGAACCCAATACTTTGTGAGTCATTGGCACGAACACAACTAAGGATAATAAAATCCTTTTCTCGTCCTTGGAACGCATCAACACTGGTAATTTCAACTTCAAGATACTCATCGCGCTTGCTCAATAACGTCGAATTCATCGACATAAACTGGACTAAATATGCTCGTTGCCCTTCATAAGGAGTAATAACACCAATTTGTTCGGGCTTTATGCCATCTTTAAACAAACGTGTAATGATTCGTTCAACATTCATGGCTTCCACTCTGTTCAAATACGAATTCCCACTGCTACTCAATTCTTCACGTCCATAGTTGGCCCAAAACATCATTGGCGTATCAATGACTGGCCATGGGAATGACGAATCAGTAACGACTCGATCGGCATTGGTTACTCCATCCTGTAATGAACCTTCATAAAACATGTTACTGGGGAATTCCGACAAACAAGGATGCATTCTATATTGCACCTCTAGTCTGATTGGAACGTGGCCAAGAAACACCAATCGCTCAAATAGTGATTGCTTCAATCCAGCATCAGCAGCCTTCCTATCTAAAATCACTGGACCCAACTGTTGGTGATCACCAACTAAAATCACTTGTTTGGCTCCCTTAACTATAGGTATCAACACCTCAGGTTCAGAGGCTTGAGTACTTTCATCCACCAACACAGTTCTGAATTTAAATTGCGATAACCGTTTATCAGCAGCACCAACACAGGTACAACAAACAACATCACATTTATTCAAAATCTTCAATTCTGATGATCGTAAATGCTTGATATAGTTTTTCAGATCTTCAGTTGATAATTCGCCAACCTCATTCTTCAACTTGATCAATTTCTTCAATTCGCCCTTGGCTGTCTTATTAACCACATTATGCAATGCTAAATGTCCCACCGAACTTTCAACGTCTTCTCTTGATTTTGCCGTTAATCGAACCACTTTCAATCCTAATAAATCCAATTTGGCCGCTAAATGATCAACAGCCACATTGGAAGGAGCACACACCAAAATTTTTTCTTTATTCAACCGTGATAAATGGTAGACAATTGTCGCTGAAGTAACAGTTTTACCAGTACCTGGTGGACCCTGAATTAAAGACAATGGTCTTTGCAAAACCGATCGAACGGCATTAGCTTGTGACACATTCAATTCGGTCAATCTAGGATGAGAAAATTTCTTGGGTAATTCAATATCAAACTCAACAGGGGCAACATCGTGTCCCAATAGCTTATGATAGATAAACGATGAGACTGATTCATCGTCGGTGGCAAAATCCTTCATCGCTTGTTGCATACGATCATAGGAAGTACCTTTCCAGACAAATTCAGCCGTGAAATCGGTGGTTAAATGGGTTGGTGGGGCAACTTTTGCCGGATTTAATTCCAAGGTAAACTCTTCTTGATAGGAATTGGGCAATCTGAGGATAAATCCTTGACCTTGCCAAGCATCTCCCTGACTTCCGCTATATCTCAAGATAATCTCGTCACCAACAGCAACTTTCAAGTCGGTAGTTTCAAAAGTTGAAAGAGTGAATGAAGCCAAATGCCTATTATTCAACCCCAAGGCCCATTTCACTTGAATGTGTTCCAAGGCTTGCGATTCCTTTAAATTTTTGTCGTAATCGGCCTCCAATTTCACCAATGGACCAAATGATTGTTGGTATTGGAACCCATCAGTATACCGCATCAAAATTGGCAAAACATCTTCCTCCTTTTTATCGGTATTTTCGATATCATTGATGGTGGCGTTTCTATTTAGTCTCCATTGTGCTTCTAATTTGGTAATTTGTTGCGGGGTAATCATAACGGAGTTAGTCAATGCATCCTCAGTGGGCGGTGGTGCTAACCACGATAAAAATTGACGGTTTTCAATCAATGCTTGCCAATGGCTAGTGTCCCAGTTGATATCTTTTGATCTAGCACATGGCAACCGACATAAAATGACAACCACCGATTCTTGCTTTGCAGAGACAAACCCCAACATGAATACATTCTTGTTTCCACAATTGTAACATTCTAAAGTAGTTTCTCCTAAATCTGATTCCTCATGTAAACTAACCTGATTATGGCGTGACATGACCAAGTGAGTAACAATATGCGAGCTTGTTGAATTTGTTTTCGAATTGCAAAACCATTTGTTACAAGTATTACACTTAATGACTGAATTGGGGGTATGTACTCCACAATAAGCACAAGCATGTTCATATTCTGGGAATTCTTCCCCTTCACCTTGCTCTTCCCCATCACTTTCAATCAACGCACTAATATGTGCTGTATTTGCCAATCCAAGGTCATGCTCGTGGAAAGAAGCGTTATCGTCAAAATTGTGTTGACGATCATCATCGAATCTTTGTTCCTGTGCCATTGAGTGCAATTGTGATTGGTCAAAAGCTGGAAAATTGTTAAAATTCGATGGCAAAGGTGCGGCAGCATCGGCACCAGCACCAGCATCAACACCTACAACCACACCCGAATTGTCGTAAATTAAATTACTCATATTGGATCAGTATAAAGATGCCAAAAAATGAAAAAGTAGTCGTCTAATAGCTTTCAAATGAAACTGCCTGTGATATGGATTGTTGTGTCTTTGTATGTATCTTTTGTTAATCCTTCTCGTTGTTCTTCTTCTCTAGTATCTAATAGTTTAACCTAATCGATACATCTGGTACAAAATGTGGTGGTAGGATATAGTAGTAAGACGATTCAATATATATATATATATATATCAAGTAAAGGATATTGACTGAAGACTAAACTTTTTGAATCCTGATGACTCTCTCTGATGAATATTTATCGTGAAATTTTTTTATACCCGAAAGGAAAACAGAAAAGCTAAGCTACCATATTTGATATTAGTACACGACCAAACATAAGCGTTAGTTAGAGGGAGTAATAAATGGACAATACGTATATTAGTACTGCTTAAGCTTTTGTAAAGAGCAGTTCTTGAAACTAAACTGAATTTTTAATCGACCTTGTTATTTCCAGAAGCAAAAGTCCGAGACAATTCCACGGTGGTATCATCAGAAGACAAAAGAAGTCAATTTATGGAAATTAGATTACCCCATAAAAGCCCATACAATAAGCATCTGCCAAGAACGAGGAAGAAGAGAAATTCCCAGCCCGTGCAAATACCTCCCAGTGCAATTGGTCTGCTTGATGATCTAAGACATGAATCCATTATCCAATGACACAACGCTCGAGTTTCCACAACGAGAAGAGGAAGTGTGGCCAGGAAAGAGGATGTAAAGGTCATAGAACCAGCCAGATATGTCCCGAAGTCCAAATATGGCTTTCTTAGCTAGTGAAACATTTCCAGTAAAGGAAAGAAAGATGTATTGGCGCGATCTACTTTTTGACATAGGTGTCGCACATTCCTAAACTTCTTTTCGCAATGCTCTTTTTATTATAGGAAAGCGAGTAAAAGGCTTCTGATTGTTTCCACTCTCTGATGCTAAACACTTGTGAATTGCCGATACTGTAAAGGCGGATGTTGAAGGTGGACGCGTACATCAAGTGTTTCGAATTTGAAGGTAGCGTCGTCTGGTGTGCGAAAAGATGGGCGTGACTTCGCAGTTTAGAAAGCACAAATGAAAAAAAAAAACAGACGACTGATTTGGAATTCTGCTTTCGGCTAAATTCTTGTTCTCCTTATTTCAATCAATGGGGACAAAACAAAAAAGAACCTGGACCAACAGAGGTGTGTGTGTGTGTGCCAAGGCACACATAATTTGTACTGAACAAGAGAAACACCGCATAGGTAACATAGAATAGGACTTGGTGCATATTGGCAGGGTATATGTAGGCATTTACATAGGTTGCAGTAGTATATACATAAAGTGTAAGTACATAATATAGACGCGTCTTTGGTGTCGTCTATTGTGTGTCGTGTCGTGTAATTTCATTTTTTTCCCGTCTTTGCATAACAAAAAAAATAAAGTAGGCAGAGAGATAAACAGAGAGAGGGGAAATATGTCTATACTTTGAAGGAAGATTGCACGTTTTGACAAAAAAGGTAGTCTAGACAAGGACAAATAGTCTTTGGTAGTGTATGATGGTGCGGTGTGTCTATACTTTCCGTATATATATGGTTTGATGTTACAGTGTAAAATATCCTTCTTCTCCCCAAATTTAACCAAAAATCAACCCACAAAAAACACAAACCCAAAAGACAAAATTTTAATTTTCTAGCCAACTTTATTAATTTTAAACATAATCAACAACAACCTACATCTACCACCTTTTACTCAACTTTCAACATCTCAATACACTTAACAGAACTAGTTGGAAGTATATATATATATATTATACATAGTATTCCACTACAACCATTCTCAACTTCACTACCATTACCCCTCCAAAATAATCGCATTCTTTATTGAAACCACCTACGCTTTTGTTTTACTTTTCAATTTTTTTTTTCAGGTTAACACGAATACCAATACCCTAAAACCACTTTTTGACAGCACTTTACTACAGTAACTGAATTCATCAATCGACTGCAACCAACCATATATCCTGCCAGATAAATGTCACATCAATCAGCGTATCACAGAGCAGTACTACGTGACAAGGGTACATTTGAAGGTAAAGACTTTTTGGTTTCAACTGATTCGATAAGTTGGATTAGAGTTGACTCCTTATCAATCACTGAACATGGACAATTGTACTCTTCAGATGAACACGAAAACCACTACTTGCTATTACAATCCCTACAATCCTGCCATGTACAAATTTTGACAAACATAGGGCAATCATCACCTACTACTAAACTTCAACATCTGCCACCAAGTAAACGAAACTTGGGCCTTAAACGTAACGGAAGTAATCAACAACAACAACATCAAACAACGGAAAACCTGGACGAAGAGCCACCTACTGTATTTATCAAGACATTTGACAATGACAAACTATATATTAAAGTTGCATCTAAAGCCAACTTTGGCAATTTAATTAGTAGTCTAATTGTTTGGCAAAACTTGAAGCCCCAGGGTTTAGCAAAGAAGTGGTACTGTGAAAATAAAGTCGGAAATCAAGTTGATGTCCCCCCCAATGAGTTACTAGTCTGTCGATTTAAAATTTATGGGCCGTTGCCTAATAAATACAAGAATTTAAACATCATTCATGGTCCACAAGCCCCGACTTATCAACCAAAAATTGATGATTTTACCTCAAATTCCCACCACAATAACTCTGTTTTCCAACAATCAGGTGATAACAATATCAATGAAGGTTGGTTTTATGCCATGGGTGCGTTGAATTCCAATGGGATACTAAATATCATCAGTGAATTGGATGGAACTTTATTGTACTCAATCGATGTAAAGACAGTATTGGCTAGTGAAATACGCGAAATGCACCATTCGATATTCAACAGCTCCAACGTGTTATTTGTGGGACAATTGAAGGAATTGCGATACAACAACACGATAAGAACGTCAACGACACTAACTGCAGATCAGTTGTTGACAACTTTCTTGACGCGAGAAGGAAAGATTATTCCTAGTAACCATCGTATTTTTATCGAGTTCCCCCTCCACATTGATTTAGAAGATTGGTTTGTTGGATTAAACTACTTTGCCAAACGGGAATACATTGGCTCTTTCAATAGTGAATCAAAGTTGTTGACTGATAATCGTGAAAACCCACAATTGCGAGACTTTAGTAAAGCTCATTTTCGTGTTTCGAAAAAACTTACGATTGATATAATTGAAGCAAAATTTGAACACATGGGCAATACTATCAACAATAGTAACATCGCTGCAGCAGCAACAGCACACGGGGCTAAAATTTATGCTGAAGTACGAATGTGGGGATATCCTTGGTCAAGAACTGCCATTGTTAACCATACTAGTAATCCATTTTGGAAAGAAGAATTTCTGACCGATTTACCCATATCGACGCAAATGATCCACATTCTCATCAAGAAATGTAATCATGATTCAACATATTCACCCAGTGATAAACTAATTGGAACAATATATGTAACTCCCGACATCCTTACTAAACAAATTAGAACCAGCTCAACCATAATGACTAGTGCGGGCTCAGTAAATAGCATACATGTCAATTCAATTCCGTTACCTTCGACTACTGGAGGCACCACCACCACCATCACTACTGACATCAACAGTGGCACCAACCTAGATATAATGCGATTAACCATTTATGACCCCAACAATATCCCCATTGGTAAACTTTTAATTGAAGTTAATTTAAAGGAACATCACATCCTACCACCACAATTTTTCAAGCCAATGGAAAAAATGTTGGTTAATGCTCCCTGGAAGGATTTGATCAAATTCTGTAATGAAAATGTGTCGTCAGCTGATTTTGAAAGAACTAGTGTAGTTTTATTGGATATCTTTCAAAGTTTAGGGGTTGAAGACGAATGGTTTAAGAATTTAATGGAGAGTGAGTTGGTTAATTTGGACAGAGCTTCGAGAAGAAGTTATCACAAGAGAAACAGTCAAGATAAACGAGATAAGGATACACCAGCGACCGCCACTGGTTCTTCTTCTTCTTCACTGAATAACGTATTCAATACACTATTTCGGGGATCGTCTATTTTTTCCAAATCACTTGAAAAGTATAATTTACGAATTGGACAAGAGTATTTGGAAAAAGTGTTTGGTGACTTTTTTGCCAAAATTGATGCCGAGGGGAAAAACTGTGAAGTTGATCCGCGATACGTACGTGTTCAAGAACGAGCAATAAGGAAAGGTTATGCCACAGCCAAAGACGTAGGCGGTGCTGATGATTATGATTACGATGATGAAAGCAGTGATGATGAGTACAATTCCGATTTGGAACGCGAAAAGGATGAGCGTGTGAAACAAATGGTTGAGGAAAATTATCAGAATTTGTTGGGATACGCTGAAGAGATTTGGCACAAGATTTTCATCACTTCCAAAGACATGCCTGATCAAATCAAAACCCAATTGAAGAATTTCAGAAGTAAAGTTGAACTAGTGTGTGAACCCGATGACAAGACCACTAGTTTGAATTGTGTTTCAGCTTTTCTTTTTCTTCGATTCTTTTGCCCGGCCATTTTGAACCCCAAGTTGTTTTATCTTGCCAAAAACCATCAAACGGGCAGCACGCAACGGACATTGACTTTAATTGCCAAGATTCTCCTCAATTTGGCTAATCGACAGGAATTTAGTGTCCACAAAGAACCCCATCTTATTAAACTAAATCCATTTTTACGTTCCCACAAGGATGAAGTGATTACTTATTTCAATCGGATTACTGGTAGAAGCAATGATTTTAATGAAAAGATTCTTGATCTCAGTCATGAACTCAAGAGAATAAATCTTGGATTGGACCAGACGTCGAATGAACTTCCCAGTACTCCGTATTTGATTGACCATTATTTACGATTAACTGAACTTGCCATGCTAATAGCCACGGCAGAGACATCTTCCACTAATGGCAACAGCAACAGCAGCAGTAAGCACGTCACTGGTAATAACAGTGCCACCGACGCTGTATCTAGCAACCTTTCCGTCTCAGTATCAGCCACGCCACAGTCGGAATTGAATCATCCCAATTTGGATGAATTAGACGATGGCGATGAAAACCACGAAGTTTACAAGATTGGCGCATTAGAATTTGAACGTAATGACATACTCGACCTTGCTGGCGAAGATAATGCCGACGGATTCATTCATTCGTTATGTAAAGACAATGAACACATTTTTTCATTTATTAATGAAAATATCACGTTGAAGGATATCCAAAATCAAAGTAAAAAATTGGCGAAAAAGATTCATGATTGGGACACGTATCTTGAAAATTATGAATTCCCCATGAATTATTATTCATCGAATAATGATGCTGTTTTGTTATGGCAAGCTTTTAGTCATTATATTTTGAAAAACACCTGGCTTGATTCGCGTGGGTGTTTATCGAGTTCGAGTTCAATGGATCTCACCACTAATGGAAGTTCGATTTATCGTCAACGAGGCGGGTACAAGAATGTCGTTGATGACTATGCCATGGCCAGCTTGAAGTTGAAGTTTGGTGGCGATGAACAATATTATAGATTGAAATCGACCTCGTTATCGAGTTTGAATAGTAATAGTAATGGGGGAGGCAGTGGCAGTAGAGTTTTCAGTGGAAGCAGCATTGGCAGTTCTGAGAGGTCCTCGGGCAATGAAGGTTTGAAAAAGATTAGGAGTTGGTTCAAGAGGTGAGAAAGAGAAGAGATTGTGGTGTTGTATATGCTTTGTAGAGACTCAATATATGGACTAAAATATGATGACGGTGATGGTGACAAAGCTTTTGGCTAAAGGTTTACCCTCTGTAGATGCCATTGGTGATGGGGAGTTGGTTTTGAAAGTTAAACCCTCAAAAGCTTTACCATCTGTCTGATTTGGACTTAACTCCGAGAATAGCGACATGAAACAAATTTCATGTTTATTTTATCAAACAATAAAAGACGTCACACATAAAGAACACCCTGGAGTCCATTAACAATAGAAAAGAACGCAAATCAAATGCAAATGCAAATGCAAATGGAAATAGAAGACTTACTTCCTACTTTCCCTTGAGATTGCCATTTCTTTATTAAAAGAAGTTCTGCTAAAGGACTATTCCTCTAAGAAGCTAATTGTCTGTCTGTCTCTTTGGCTGATTTTAGTTTTTTTTGTGTCCTTTAGCGTATGGCATTTTTTGTTTGTGTAAGGTTATACACTCTTGTTTGTTCTATTTTTGGGGAGGCGAAGGTCGGCCGTTTTAGCCAAAGGGCGGGTGGGGGTTGGAAATGTAGGCCAAGTTGCTATTAATAGCTTCTTATATTTTTTGAATTCATTTTTGATTGCCTCTACTCTCTGACAATATGTCTGTACTTTTGAAAGGTTTATGCTGGTTCTAGAAGGATAGCGGGCTTTGCACAAGGGTTATGTATTGTGTCGACTTTACACCCTAGCCTTTTGTTTATGTTTTGTAATTGAAGCCAGCCACAAGACCGTTGAATTACAAACAAAGGGACAACAACAATAAATTAACCACGCCGCAAAAACCAGATGAAGACGCCACAGCTACCCTTGAGATAAAAGAAAAGTTATGAAGAGGTAACAGGTCGCGTGTGGCTAAATGCATCAACGGGGTCTTGTTGCTGAATTTTAGAAGCTGCTGTTATATCAGTTAGCAGAGATATAAAGTGAATTGTTTCTTTGAAAAAAACCTCTTTTTGCGCAACCTGGATCATAACAACGTTGCAAAAAGCGAGATATCATCCGAGGAGCATCTTCAATATCTCTAGTATTTCACGATTAGCGGGGTATCAATTTCACTCTTCCTTATACCAAGCGCAATGCTTGCTTCTACGTGTGATATTTATTTGGAACTCTTGCACAATTCCGCTCTATTCCTCCTCTCCCTCCGATCCCCCTATTGTGTTTTTATTCGAGCGGAAAACGATTCTATTGTGTTTTAGATTAGTCTCGTAACCACTAGGCAAATTGGCGCAGCAACAGCTGATTTAGGTCTAATAAAAACGCTCTCAAAGGAAAGTAGAATTAGGGAACTTGCAAATCTTCTCATTAATTAGGGTTAGGTAGCAACAAGTGACAACAACAGCTAGAAAGGTGCTACTCTGTTCATAGTTCAAATCCAATTGCTCTCCAATTAAGATATTTCTTTTGTATTTTGAATCAGGTAACGTGACTTACTTTACTTTTACTTACTAAAAAAGAGAGAACAATAAAAATATAACACGACACATACAAACACTTTCCTCCTTTTTAAATAAAAACAAAGTCACAACAAATAAAAACAAGACAAACTGACGACACAGACAAGAAAAAAAAAAGAAGGTCAGATCAATAACAACCACCAAACCTCACTATTTGAAAACTAATTGAGAAGACTTATCCCCAGAGACTTTCTTCACCCTACATATACAGAAAGACTTCCCAATTGACAATTACTATTGCTCAACGTTTTACTCTAAAGGGAGAAACGGCAAAAAAATTGTATACGGATTTGCAGAAGCGAACAAGGTTGAAAAAAAAACAAAAAAAAAGAAAATTTTAGACAATTGTTTTGCACGGTCTAGGTTCACTTGGCATATTCACCAGCCCCATTACCATCAGTTCGACTACTACATTCTCACTATTTTATAATCTAGGGGTACTGCAACACTAAACAAAAAAAAAGATATGTCCTCAAAACACGATCCTAGAGGAGATGAGAAAAGGTCCAGTAATGCGTCAACCATTCTGCCACTGTTGAGAGGAGCTAACCAAAGCACGTCCAATGCAGATCAGCACGCCTCAATTGATTACCAAGGATTGGCAGCAGAGTCTGCAGCTGCTACTGCGTCAGCTGCAGTGGCTGCTGCCGGTGGTGGAGATCAGAGATCACATCGCCAGCACTCGCACCATCATCAAAACCACCAGCAAATCCAGCATCAACAACATCTTCAGCTTCAACAACAGCAACAACAACAACAGCAATATGCACAGGGTCTGAAGCAATCACAATTAGAGGCGTCTACACCTACAACTGATGCAGAATCGGCTTCAGAGTTGGAAAGTTCATCAACAGTGTCGCAAGCTCTAGCCCACCTCAACAATATGAAGAACCCCCACAGAATCAAGTTGTCCAGCCAAGATGTCAAATTAATCTTGTTTTTGATTGTTGAAATCAAGCCATTCAAATATGTTGGCAATCGTGCATTGAGTCAAACCAAGAAATGGGAAATTATACAAAACAAATATTACGATTTGAAATTTAGAGAAAATAACGATACAAATTTCATCATCCCTACTGTTCGTACCTTGCAACGTCAACTTGCTGGTGCGGTTAAAAAGGCCCAAAAGCAGAGAACCAAAGAGCGGGCAGGAGGCTTTGATAGAACTCACACCATCCCACAAACTTTACCCGAAATTGATGCTGATGATTACTACAACTTTAGAAACATTTCACCTGATAGTCCCCAAGAGCAATTAGAGAGTGCGTTGTTGGATTTGCACGAGTTGAGCGATAAGATTAAGGAGTTGAAATCTCAAAGCAATAACCTCGTTAAAGTAAGCTATCAACCACGTGCTAAGACATTGTTGACTGATGCTACTTTGGACGATGAAAATGGGGTTCCTTCAAGAGTGGGAGCCAGTGGTGGTATAACCAATACCGTATCGAGAGATGCAACATCGCAATTGGATGAAATTCTGGGCATCTTGAGTCATGGAATTTTCAACTTGAAACAAGAGCTCGAAAATGATTCAAGCGTTTCCCCTAAACATAGACAAACTGTTGAGTTATTAGAATCGGTGTTTACCCACACTAATGAAATGCGTGCGTTGGTTGCACGAGAGAATGAAGTATTGAATAAACAGATTAATAAATTGATTAGTGACCATTTGGCAAAAATCGAAAGTGTTAAGTCGAGCTTTAATGCTCAACAATTGGAATTGGTTGAAACGATTACTGATTCGTTAAGAGAGGATTTTAAGCACAATGGGAAATCAAAAATTATTCTTGAAAAACTCGATTCTATTAAAGGGTTGCTCAATTAAAAAGAAAAAAGAAAGGATTTATGTTTTTAATGTTGATATGTCTTGAAGAAGGGAGTTTTAGTAAAATTTTGTATTTTATTGATTTTGTATTAAACATTTGTTGTATTATTATATGTTGTTGAATAGAACATGTAGAGGACGGTGAATTTTTGACCTGTTGCAGAACCTCTTTGGCTAATTATATCGTAAAATGAGTTATACTCATTAGGAACTTTACTCTAGTTGCATGATTCCGCCACTTTAATCCTCCTTTACCCCCCTTTCTTCACCACCACCTAAGTCAAGAAAAAACAAACAGAAAAAAAATAAAAAAACCAAAAATTCTTCCTAAAAATTGTGTTGCAAAACTTTCAACCAACCAAGAACAGAGTAAGAACTAGCCCAAATGTTAATCACACCACTTTTTCTACTCATTGTTACCCATGTGGGTCTAAGTATTCAACAACAACAAGGCCATTATTACCCACCAACAGATCATACCCTTGGTGACGAGGAAATCGTCAAACGAGGAGTTCAGGAATTGCATGATATTGATGCTGCCACCGATTTGAATGAATGCTTAACATGTAAGACTAGATTGCAAGTTGGTAAATTTTTAGCCTTGACAAGACCTGACTTGGTTCCACAAGTGTTCTCAACTTGGTGTGTTGAACTGGGGTATGATGAAATACAATGCCATATAAATTATGGCTATCCTGATGATAGCTACTCGGCAACTGGTAATGATTTCACCAAAATGGTTAGCTTGATGAATCCATCTGGTTTGGATGGTGATTATTTCTGTTACTACCATGACAAGAACTGTCATGTTTTGCCAGAGACACCAATGGTGGACATGAGCAATATGTGGCCTCCAAAACCGAGGAACTACTTACCCCCTGATAATAGTGGCGAGGTGTTTCATGTTTTGCACATTAGTGATATTAACTTGCAATTGGATTACCAAGTCTTTGCTGAAGCAAACTGTACTCAAAGCTTGTGCTGTACATCAGAAAGTCGCAATCTCAAGCACCAGCCACCATCAGTCAATGAGAATGCTGATATGGATGGTTATTACGATAGCAGCTACAGCAAGAACCATTTTGAAAAGGGGAGGTATTTAGATATAACCAAGATCAAAAAGCCCACATGGTCACCTGCAAGACAATTTGGAGAATATACTTGTGATACCCCTACATTGTTATTGAACAGTACCATGCAGTGCATTCGCGATTTGCATCAAAACCATTTATCATTTGAGTTTGCCATTTTCACCGGTGGAACAGTTGACCATTCAGACAGATACTTCATGACCAAGGATAAGATTATAAAGTCTCAAGAAACAAGTTATAAAATCCTCAAACACTATTTAGACAACGTCGATGTGATTCCAACCTTTGGCACTCGTGATATTTTCCCCATGAATCAGTTGCCACAGAAAAACTTAAGCATCAATTCAAATGGGTATCAATGGCAATTTGATTTGCTAGCCGATATTTGGCTGGAGTTGGGGTGGATAGATCATGATACCGCGAAACAAATCAGGTATTCGCAAACTGGGTTCTCATTGAAGACCTCACTTGGCTTGAAAATTATATCATTAAATTCCAATGTTTGGAACGTCAAGAACTTGTACGCATTTTGGGATGTATTGAATGTTGACTCATACGGCGTTTGGAAATTCCTAATCAACGAGTTGGTGGAAGCAGAAAAGAATCATGAGCGAGTATGGATAATTGCCCATTTACCGCCCAACCATCAAACGCTAGCACCACCAATCAAAGTGTTCACGCAGATAATTGCTCGTTTCTCTCCCAAAGTTATTGCCGCTATCTTTTTTGGTTGCATCCAATTGGATTCATTTGTAGTTCAGTATGGCGGTGATGGCACTAATGAGCGTGAATTGCAAAATGCATTCAACCACGCATTGATTGGTCCTCTGATTAGTCCCTATGGTGGTGTCAATCCTGCTTGGCGGTATTATGCTGTTGACAAGCAAAGTTTCAGTATAATAAACTCCTTCACTTATTACACCAAGCTTTCCAATTGTTTCCATAACGATGGAGCCGAACCCAATTGGGACTTTGGTTATTCTGCTAGGGACGTCTATGACCCTGATCAACTATGGCCACTGGACTGGGCGTTGAGCACTGAGTGGTGGCATCATGTCAGCAATAGGATTTCGACAAACCCAGAATTGGAGCTATTGTACCAGCGTTTGGAGACAAGGTGGTCGCCATATACTTTTATTGACAAAAATAATCATTGCAAAGTCAGTAGTTTTTCACTCGAGGCTCGCAAACAATGCATGGTGACTGAAGATCAGGATGATTATGTTGAGCCAAGGGTACCCAATGACTACATTCCAATTGTTCATGTTGCTGATAAATCAGTTGAATACGTCGAAGTAGAACCACAAGATGACGAGGAAGAACGTGATGATGATGATGATGATGAAAGCCTCGAAAAAAATATTGACAATTGGGAAGATTGTGTCGAGGAGGAAAATAATTCAACTACAAGCTCTATCACCAGCACTGCTGGGTCATCAATATCTCCGACCGCCAAAACTTCTACTGCTCCACCCATCCCTAAACCCAAGAACCAGAAACAAAAGGGCAAATCGCTTCACTTGAAACAAAAATTGAATAAAAATGTCAATTACGCAAAACAACGAGTTGTTCAGTTATAGTGATGATTTTTAAGGGAGGGGGTGTTCCAAGTACTACAACGTGTACAAATAGCTAGCAAAAGGAGGTTTATAGGTTTTATTGGGTGTAGGTAATGCCATCTGCTTAACAGAAAACCGTCGTCCTGCCTTCTCTCTGCTTTTGGTCTCAAATTGGAATGATTTTCCTGATTACATAATATAATTACATCCAAAAAATTTGCCTCACTGCACTTGACAACAATAGAAAGTCGGCAATGCATAATTACTTAAATGAAGTGGCGCTACCACAAGTCCAAAGTTGAGTAATAGACCGAAATCTAGCACAGAGATCTTTCATTAGGGCCATATTACTGCTCGCGAGTTACCTGGCTTGTACATCTTAGACCTTTTCCTCTTTGATTAAATTTAGAGAAAGCAGACAAAAGGAAGTCTAATTTTAGTTTTCTAACATTACGCTGCAATGCATTCTCCCCACATAAAGGGACGACGATCAGGGACTGGTTTAGACTTAATCCTGCATATGCTAGTGCTTGACTTACCTTTTGACATCTCGTTCCCTTCTTTTTATTTTTAACATTTTCATTTACCTAAATAGGAAATAAAAAGAAAAGATATGTAGTCTTTGTCGTGTTTAAATTCGCGACACTGCAAATTCACAGTCTATTATTATTCTTTACGATTAATTTGTCAAAAAGAACTTTCTTATTGATAGAATTTACTCTATATCAAAAAATTATATAAAATCGTCATAATCAAAAAATTTGAAAAAAACCGAAAACAAGACAAAAAGCGTCAAAAATTGTACCGAAAGATGAATGATGAAATATTGAAAAAGGACCGAAAAGCAATAAGACCGAAAGATGGTATCCAAAAAAATTGTAAAACCGAAATAACGTTTGTAAAAATAATAGATAATACCGAAAAATGGCAGTTTGAAAATATACCGAAAGTGGCTGTAACAAATTTAAAAGGGAGATTAACCGAAACAAAATTGCAATATGAAAATTAAGAAACCAACTTGTGAGGAACAAAACCGAAAAGTTGACTGAAATTTTTCTTTTTTGATTGATAATGACTGATGAATGATATAATTTTTTGAAAACCAAAACCTGAAAACCGAATGATAAAAAGCAAAAAAAAGCAAGAACGTAGTGATAAAATTATAAAATCGTATTTGAATTGAAAAAAATAGAACGTTGTTTTTTCTGTTTTTTAACTTTCATATCACGAAAGTACCCAATTCAAACTCTTCCTTGACCTTCATATCCGAATAAGTTTGTAAAAACAACTCTTCAAATCCACATGCGGTGGAGTTAGCAACATCAGCTTCAACAAAAACTCCTCCATTTGGTTTACCGGCACCAAATTCATCACTTTCTTCCGAGTATTCAGATACCGGAGTATATGAGTTGTGATGGTGGTGGTTTAAATTCAAGTTCATGGAAATTTGGTCATTGAGCATCATAAAGTCATCCAAGCTTACATCTGAACATGATGAATCGACAGATTGCATTGGCAAAGCATTGCACTGCTGTTGTGGTACTTGTTGTTGTACTGGTGTGAATGGTACACTGTAAGATCTGTGGTGTGGTGGTTTCCTTACTGGTTTCTTGATACATGCTTCAGATGCTGATCTTTGGTGTTTTGGCTGGTATGTCTTGAATTGGAACTGACCGGCAGTTTTCTTGGATTTCTTGACTGATAATGATGGTGATTGGTGTTGTTTTGCTGGTGGCTCTTTCAATGGTGATTGGAGTTGAAATTGTGGTTGTTGTGGTAAAGTTGGAGTAGAAGTGGCCGATATTATTTGCGACTCAATGGCTCTTTGCTGTTGTTCAAATAATTGCTGTTGCAATTGTTGAATCTGGAGGTGTTGTTGCAACATGGCTTGTTGGTAACCAAACAATTGCTGGGAGATAAACTCTTGTGACATTTGTGGCGCTGGTACCATTTGTTGCTGTTGCTGTTGTTGAATTGGTTGTGGTTGGTTCCAATCAGCGTCCAAGTTCATTATTCCCAAGCCCAATTCTTCAGTTGGGGTTGTTTCGCCTGAAACAACAGAACCAACACTAGTATGTGAAGCATCATATTCATCAAATTCATTCAATGCTGGCAATTCAAACAATGATTCCTCGATAGATACAGTTGGAGAAGGCAATTGCTCATTGAATGGAGTTGGTGGTGTGAGTGAAGTAGGAGCAGTAGTTGATGGAGAAAATTTAGCACCTGCAATAATCTCAGTACTGTCCAACTTATTTCCTTGTGCCTGAGCCTCTTCATCATTCTTGACTGGTGACAAATCAACAAATACAAAATCCTTTGGTTTACCTGGTTTGTTTTTTGGTCTTCTCAAAGGTGGCCTCCTTATGGAGAATTTTGAAGCAGCAGCAGCAATCTTTAATGAGTTATTGAGACATTCAGCTGATGTTTGTGATTGAGTAGAGCTGGATGAATTGGATGATGATGACGACACCGATCTCTTAACTCTCCATAACTTCTTACCATTAGCTGGTGGTAAAACAGCACTATTGCAGCTCATCTTTAATAATATATATGTGTGTGTATGAGGGTATAATATGTGGGTATTCAACAAAAGAAAGAACGCGTCTAGGTGATAGACTTGTAGTGGGTGGGTATCAATTGGGGTATCGTAATAATAATAATAATAATAATAGTGTTAATAAAGCGACTTGTAATGTTATCAACTAATTACCTCAAGTAGCAGTAGTAGATAGTATGAGTTGATGATGGTTATATGAAATTTGACTTTTAGCTTGAAAAGGAAATGAGAAGAAAAAGAAAGGAATAGGAAATTTTTGGGAAATCTCGAAAACAGGGTGGATATACCTCTGATTATATATTCTCCTGAATTTTCAATTGAGATTTGTCTATAAGGGACTTTTTAGGGGAATGGGAATTCGTAGTAATACTTTCGAATATATGAATTTTGATATTGTGAACCTCTGATATTTGGATACGATATTGTGTAACCTTTAATTATTATTCTCATAGAGTGACATATTTTTAGTTATATTGCATATGCTTTAACAATGGATTACCATTTTAGTCATCAAAGTGTAAGAGGGGCAATTGAACAATAGGATTTAAATGGAGATAAAAAATAAGTACATATGCATAATATATATTTTATTGTTATATTTATATACAGGACGAATAAGTGATAAAAGATAAATTCAAATTTGTGTTTGAATATGCAGGGTGGGTTAAAAGTTAAATTAAACAAAAGGGTATTCATATGCGTAGGCTATTTCAATTAAATTGACTAATTAGGAAATATAAATAATAAGCCATAAAATTGTAAATAATAAAAAAATAAAATAAAAGAAAAAGTTTGTGTATACCAAAACTACGCAATTGCAATACTTCAAGAGAAGGGGACTGGAATGAGGAGTAAGGAAACTAATTAGACGAGGGAAAGGAAGCCCCTCACCACTCTTTTAATCTCTGATATTTGAACGGAGATAGACGCTGGTGTAGGTTTACATCTTCAATAGGCTAAGTTGCAGGAAGAAGAGAAGGAAGACTTACACGGGCTGGAGCTTTGTTGCACTGGATGTTGGATTGCCTTCCTTTCCTATTTAGGCACATTCCAACCGTTTGATTTATGAAACTCTATGTCGCCTAAGTTCCAATTATAGTTGCATTACATATGTATAACTCTATTTCAAAATGTCCCGTTTTTAGTTTTTGATCCCCCCTTCTTGATTTTGAAAAAGCTAGGGAGAAGACCCCACCAGAAGGAGTTTAAACAAACGAAGGGAGGTAGATCGTGAACCCTCTTTTAGTTCTCGTCCGAGGTTTCAATACAGCTCAATCTGCTTCTGAATATCTACTATTTTGTCAAAAAATAGTTCTGTAACGGCTTCATTTGTAGATCGTATGGAGATATGAGAGAAACTGATACTGAAGAGGAAATTCAGTTCGCTTCTCTTTTTATATCTGTACTGAATCTATTTACCAGATATGTGTTGTATTCCAGAATCCATTAGCTTAAAGAGAACCATTTGGATGACTTCATTATTCCCTGTGACTATGGCAAGGAGAGTTAGACGACGATTATCGTACGTGACCTATAACTGAAACTACCTGACAAAAAATGAGGAGCCAATTATGGTAAGGGTTATACAAATTAGTTATCCCTGAGTATTTTCAATTTGAACAAATAGAGTAAAGTGGAGTAAAAAGAGCAGAACAATAAGCTTTGCATGGGCGTCTAACTTGAGCCTTAATTATTTGCGTCTTCTTCTGCGGAGAGAAGAAAAAAATAAAATCAAAAATGAACGATATTTGTTTTTCTTTTTTTTTTTAAAGGCGGCTTCCAAAACAAAAGAATGTCTTGTGAGCAGTAACAAAGGCCATAAACAGATTAGAGTAGAAGTTTTCTTTTCTCACTTCATAGTTGACACCTCAATGTTCAAGTGTCAGCAAAAGAAACAAGCAATTGGTATTATATAAACGATCAAATATCTTGAAGTGGGTTATTTCAATTCAAATAACAACGTCACCATTGGGTTAAGAAGAGTGTTGCTCTTGACTAAAAATTAAACTACGTAAATGTGTGTATACTAGTTATAATAGTTGCGTACACACACAAAAGATCCTAATTAGAAAGCGCGCATAATGCGGTGCGGTTGACTAAATGGATCACAATAGTTTTATTGTGTAAAGAAAAAATTTCCTAATTAGGATATTCAACAAATAAGACCATGCATACTACAGAACAATGAATATAGGCTTTTTCAATTACTGAACCTAATTAGGAAATGTTTTCACTAACAAAGAATGTTGCTAACTTTTGCGTAAAGAGAAGAACAAACAATAAAGACTAAGCGATATTGAGCGGGTGTCTAAAGTTGAAAAATCCGTCTTATTTCCGCAATTATCGAGTGAGCCTTTTCTGAGTTTTTGTTTGTGTTGTGAGTCTCTTGTCTGAGAGATAGTCAGTACACCTCAAGAGTTAAACAGCTAGATACATTGGGTATTGACCTGTGTGATGTTTTAAGGAGATGGTTTTTTAGGAATAGTGAAGCAATGTGGTGGCAATAACCGATAATGGGGGTCGATTGCTCATCACTATTCTGTTTCTCCTTTAGGTTGTTGTTTTCCAAAATATGTCAATTGTGTTAAAAATATATCAGTATATGCACAATGGGGTAAAATATTTCAAAAGCATTATATTAAAGAGCTAAAATAATTCAAAACGAAAGGTAGTGCATATAATCATACCCCACATTTCATGAAAAGAGAAGGAAAAAAAAAATCAAACAATTGAGAAGACCTTGGTCATACTGGCAATTGAGGCAGGAAAATAAGAGTTTAGAATTATCGAGCCATTCAACTTTAAAACGCCTTTCACCGGTGCTAGGCGGAGTGAACCCTATTTGTTTGATCTCTTATAATATCTACAGGCGTCTGTTCCCTGAAAAATGAAGCCACAGAAAGTCTTGATGTAAAATCTTTTTCTCTCTACTCTTTTGTGATTGCTTTAACAAATGGTTTAAATTTTTAAATTTTTTATTGTTTTTTTTTCCGCTCACAAAGAATTACATCATTACGTATATACATACATACTATTTTATTGTCTTGTTTTTATAAAGCCCCACTTCAAGTTTTTGATCACCAACCCTTTATTGGAAAGGCAAGTGCCCCTCTACGTTGCCCCACTATTAATTCCTATTCTTTTTTAGGGCTTAATTAGCTGACTAATTAGGTTATGATAAACTTTGGGGTAAATAAAAATATAGTTTCCGTTATATCCTTGGAATAATTCATCTAGCCCTTTTTTTGATTTCTTGTATAGAAGGTGTTTTTTTTTTCCTTTAGTGAAGAGACTTCGGAGTTTCATTCATTTTGCCCATTGATGAGGCAATTTCTTTCTTTTCTTGTTCTTCTTTTTTGTTGGGTTGGGTTCTACGTAACCTATGCAAGATATATTATGATTCATTGTTTTGCACACACTTTGTTTTCTGAACAATTGACTTCTCTGTGTATCGTGTGTGTGTATGTTTGCTTTTTCATTTCTTTTTTTCTTTTCTTATTATTCATGGTTTGTGTAACTTGCCTAAACAGAATTTTGTTTCCTAATTAGATCAAATTGGCTTAATTAGTACTTTCCCTTTTGCTCTTTAATAATTGCCTTTAAGAAGTTATGCATAAGTCCTATAGTGCCGATACTGAATGAACTTTTTAAACGGAAAAAAACCTGCCGATTTCAAGGGGGTTTTAACTGGCAATGGAATCAAGACAAGAGGGGTGGTGGATGGGCCAGAAGGTAAGAAAATAGCAACTAGGGGAAATTTCTCCTTGAATTGTTTTGAGCTGACCAGGGCCATAAAGATTTTAGTCTAGTAAACTTTGTGTATGCGATTTGTAGTTCAGCAAACTGTGTTATAGAAAATCGAGCCAAAGTATTTGCAGAGGTAAAACTCTTACGTCAGTGTAACCTTACTTTTAGAAAAAGTTTGTAAATCGACAAGTACCTAATTTAAGGTTAATACTCGTAACCAGAGAATTCTTTTTGTTTGCATTCAAAACTACGAACCCATAAACCAAATGCTTGTTTTTAAGTTACGAGAAGGCAATTGTGGGTACTGTACTTACCTGGAATACATAGCCCTTCTATGAGCTAGCATTCTCCTTGGCTGAAACCAAAGAGTGGATAATTCCTCCACTATGCCAATCAGTATTATCCGTGATCCGAACAGCCTTCAAGCGACATTGGAATTAATTTTCCATCGTCTAAACGCAAAACAAAAACACAATAGAATAGAGAAGAGATACAAAAGTTAGGCGCTATACGTTTCTCAAATATAACTATACTTACACAAGCCATAGTCATCCATATTGTTTCTTTATCCTTGTAGTGTTTTCGAAGAAGCCCCCGCTCTTAAATAAGAAAGCCTAAACTCTGGACAGGCTTTGCAAGTCTGGAACCAACTGGGAGTTGGTTTAAAAATCTCTTTTTATTGAATGATACGTTTGAGAGACAAGAGAGGGAGGCTGCTCTCCAACCTAATTGGGCTGAAAATTAACCCATTTGGATAGTAGTATTCAGGCGTATAGCATACGTTTCTCTGTTAAAGTTTTACTTTTCGTTCCATTTTTTTTGGCTTGTATTCTGGAACAAACTTTTTTACCAAGGGATGCTCATTGATTACAATTATGCAAAAAAACACAATCAATTTAAAGAATATGCTTTAGTTGCTTCATTTTCAGTCTTACCACTTGCCCCTCATCACTTGCTACCGTTAGCCTACGATTGTACAATGGAATAGTCGAAAGGGGGAGGAGTGTGAAGGTATCATTTGAACAGAAGAACCAAATTCTCCACTTTCGGCCCAAAACCTGTTTTCCCATAACCACACTCACTATTATTACTTGTAATACATACCCTTTTTTTATTAGTACGCCAAGAAATAGAGAGAAAGATGAGGTTGAAAATAAAATTCTAATTGACATTTTGGCAAAAGAGGAGACATTGAAGATACGACATCGTGCATATTGAAAACTCCATTACTGCATGCCCCTCTCTGACTAATTAGGAAAGTCAATTAACTGGAAATTTCATATATTTTTTAGTTTGCACCACATATGCAAAATGAGTTAAATAATAGTTTAAAATTGCCCCTCACCAACCCTAGTTAGTCGAATTTTAAATTCCACATGCAGAATGTGTAAAGTAAAAAAATTTTGGCTTATTCATTTTTTATTGTTTCATGTTTGTAAAATTTAGTGCTTTGTGTGTGTGCACTTTGACTATTTAGGCCAACAAAGACTTTTACATGGCAAACGTTTGATTCAAAAGAAAAGAGAAATGGGCTAATGTTTACATTCCTAATTGAGCCTCAACAACCTAATTAGGTCAAGTGCAAATACAACAAACTACAAACCAACAAAGCAGGGTTTTCGAGGAATTGCTACTTATAATCGTCTAATTTTGCTATTTTGATGAAGAAAAGAGTGACACCCAATTGCTGAGAGTAAACACTGTTGTGTTCTTTAATGGAAGCTAAGAGGTGTGCCAGGTTTGTGTATGTAAATCCACCACTCTATTGACAAAGAGGCGCAGAGTTAGTTGTCGTATAGGTTCTCTTTGAACAACCATAGTTGCTGCTTGAAAACACACATTGTCTTTTATCGCTTTGTTCTTCCAATTCTATATTGCTCTATATCAAACGTCTAGACTTTAATCACAACTTTGGGAATGACCTTCGATGAAAACAGGAAAAAGGTAAACATTAGAAGTGCAGGTTTTAATCCTATTGTCGAGGATTGGGTTTGATTGACCAGAGGTACTAGAATTGCATTGCAAAAATGAATGACAAATTCAGTAGCAATACACTCAAATTTTTGAACAAATCACAGAGGAAGCACTGCGTTTGTTGGGTAATATGATTTCAGCCGTCACTATTGTTCTTTCTTTGCACACCAAGTGTGGATTTTGATCTTCTTAGACGAGAGAGAAAAACAGAACGGCAAAACAAAACGAAACTCACAAAAAGGCTTACTGTCCAAACTCTAGTGCAAAGTCGTCTGGACGAAGTGCTCCAGTAGGAGATAAATCGGCTTTTGCTAACTCCACCGTGTAAACTCCTCAAGCACAAAATCATATATATGGCTTTGGTAGTCAGTATTAATTGTGATATATAGAATTCACACGCCTGGATCTAAAAGTAAATTTAGTCTCTGTTTGAGTAATGTTGCGGCAAATCCAACAATTAGTTTCTTAGAGGGATCGAAGGAGAAAAACAAGAACATTCCTTCTATACACAGAACTGCAGTTTTTCAAATAGCGCTTCTCTTTTCATTTCTTTAGAACAATGATAACAACCTCAAGGGGCTGTTTCCACAGAGTATTTTCGGGACAACAACAGCTTCCATACCCCATTGAGTAAATTAAAACATCACCTTTCAAACGTCCGACACCATTTCCTGTATTCTACTTCGTCACGCCATTTGGAATCAAAGGAGTCTAAGATTTCGGAATATACATACCCATATCCATAGCCAAAATCGAACTGCAAACAATATTAGTCCTTGAGATCATGATGATGTAAGGTTGACATGCAGGTAATTTGGCATTCTATTTTTATAATGAAGCCTAATTAGGCAATTAAATCCTAATTAGGAAAGATGGTAAATAAACACAAAATATAATTTTACACTAAAACAAATTAAGTGATGGTGCATTTGCGTATTATTACATGCATAAATAATTACCTTCTATACAGGGACGCATACTATTATTTTATTGGCTTTTTGTGAACCCTCCTTCGTATAGTGGGGCCCAAAGATATAGCCCAGTGCTCACAACTATGAAAGTTTCAAATTATGGAAGAGAACGATTTAGACAAATTCTCCTCACAATAACATAATAGGAGAGAGAGAGAGAGAGGGAGGAACAGACTAAATCTGTTGATGCTATTTCTGCAAGAAAAGAAAAATCTGTTCAAGGGTTTGCTTTTACCTTTTGAAAGTCTCAACCTAGCATTCTATATTGATATTAGGAACGGATCATTATTTGAAGCTATCAATTTTATCCGCAAGTACCCGGAAATGCTCAAAGGGAAAATATATAATCAAATGCATAAAAAACTGAGCGGGGCAACACACAAACCAAACTTAAAAACGAAAAAGAAAGAAGCTTATATTGCACAATTCCGTGAAACCTTAAATCACCATAGCAACTGCCTTGTGTACATACAAGGCCGTTTTGTCTGACATTTCATCCTACGTTTGAAAACTATGAGATTTCTTCTGATACGATCTTACGATATGGAAAGCACGTTTGGTGGTGGGAGATTTTTACAGTTATCTATCATTGAGAGCTGAACGTTTTTTCTCTCAAGAATGAAATGAAAGTGAAGCCACTTCCATCGTACGAGGTAAAGCAAGTTCTATCTCGAAAAAATGTGTAATTACGAATATGGCTTCTTAACTTCGAATGCTCTGCCCCACCTGCACCCGATCTCCACCTTTTTATCTTTTTGTTTTTTTTTCATTTCTTTACACACTACTTCTGTAGTTGTGTCAATTACTGTACTTGCGCTCATAACCGCCCTATCGCCGGTACTCCTAATTCATATTTAGTGTGGGAAATGACCGGGGGGGGGGGGTACAGATTAAGTGGAAATCTATAAGCAGCACTACACTCAATGAACAATGGTTTCATATCTCCACAGTTTAGCCTTGTGTAGCTTTGGCAACTCTCCTAATTACTTTTCCTAAAGCAATTAAATGCACTTCTAATGACGCGTTATGTTGTACACTTTGTGAAGCACATTCTTGTTCTAAAAATAAAAAACCGAGGTCGTTGTAGTTAACAGATACATTAGGCTAACCTATAAGAAACGTATGTATGATACGGTATGGCTTTAGCCCCTTTCGAAATGGTGGTAGTTACTTTGTGTGCGAGTTTGGCGTTGTCGAGAATGGGTATGGTGTGGGGCAATTGAAAGTGAAACAAACAATAGAAAAAAATATTGAGTCTAATGTCTACTACACAAAAGAACTAAAATTATCATTTCCCCAACTGTTTGTGCTTATGATGTAAATGACCATTAAGCATTAGAATCCTCGTGGTCTAAAGTTTCTGTTCTAAGCAGGCATACTATGTACCATTGAGTAAACTGATGAGTAATTAAAACTCAAAGTTGTAAAATTTTCGCAACATCAATAGAGTTTAATCAATTTTCGTTCTCCACTTTTCATTTTTTTAGTTTCGGTTTTATTTTATTAATTTACTGTTTTCTTTTTTTCGAAAAATTGTGTTTAAAGTGGAGTAAATTAATACGAAACACAATTCAATCGCATCTTTTTTAAATAAAAGGTCATCATGCATTTCTGTAAAATGTAGCGGAATTAAAGAAGAGTTTATTGAGAGTAATTTTGATTTTGTAACAAATGACTCAATGGTTTCATGCCGTACAAAGAGAGGTTAACATGTTAAACTGCATCTAGTGGACAGTTAGTTCGGGGATTAGTTTCTTACTCCTATTTCTAATTAATTAGATTGATATTAAAAGTAAGGGCAAACGGAGGAGAGTAGATGCTGCATGAAAACAGTAATCACATTGTTTTAGATTCATACTCACTACAGAGGAGTTGCAAACTACGAATCAGGCAAAACCATTCAAGTATGTGTACAATGAAGCACAAGTCGTCGCATTGTGTTAATCACCGCTAATGGGCATACCGAAATCCGCAAGAGCACATCTGAAGCATCAAATACGACATTTCTTTCATTCTCGAGACACTTTAGACAGTTGCAACCATCAACTTGACCGCTTTACTCTTCCTAATAGCAGAAGGGGAATTTTTGGCAAATAAATACCAGGTAATCTATTAAATTTCTCAACAATTCAGCAACAGCAACAATACCCATTGAACACACAGTGAGGTGCCTATGCCAATATATACACCGAAGTAATGGCAATATCAACTAATCCGTTGCAAATTGTTTCATCCTTGTATCATTAACGAACTTATAAGTCAACATTTACTCCTAACAATAATCAATACCTCCCCCTTTGCTTGGATTCAAATTGGTCATCCTCGCTTCCTACGCAACCAAAAACCGCACTCTTATCACTTCCCTGCCAACTCTTCTTGCGTTTGTTCCAATTGCCGTTTCTTCTCCTGTTCCGTCAATAACAACTTACGACCAATTCTTTCTTTAGCTTCCGGGGTCAAATCTAACGTTGCACTTTCTAGTACTTCCATTCTCGTGGGAACCTTTTCTCTTTTGCGCCTTGCTACTTCTTCCGGCGAATGTGGTTCGAATTTAACAAATTGGAAATCGGATCCTGCTTTGTAAGCGACGTAGCCGCCTAGGAGAATGGCTATGGTGCCCACTACAAATTTGTGGGTCATTGGTGCACCTTGTGACATGTTTGAGGGATATTGTCTTGCCGCAAAATAGTTGGATATGAGGATGAGCTCTGTTGTGATGCCTCTGACTTCTCCATTTCGTTTAAAGACGATTCTTTCCTTTTCCATGTTTTGCAAATTTTATTTTTTCTCTTGCGCCTGCACACGACAAATTCAAATTCCACAGTTTAAAAAAAGTCAACTGTTGTGTGAAAGACGGCAATAATTAAAAAATCTACTTCGTTGAAATCAGAAAGTAAAACCATCAGAGACACCACCATCGTATCTCATACCCCAGCATACTTATCCACAGTCCACTTATACATATATATTTTGTTTTAATAATCAGCGATGGCAGCTCTTCCTAAAAGAATCCTCAAAGAAACCGAACGATTAGTCAGTGATCCAGTACCAGGAATCACTGCAGTACCATCACAGGATAATCTTCGACACTTTAACGTTACCATCGATGGCCCGAGTCAATCGCCCTACGCTAACGGCATATTCCAATTAGAGTTGTATTTGCCTGATGATTACCCCATGTGTGCTCCCAAAGTTCGGTTTTTGACCAAGATTTATCATCCAAATATTGATAAATTGGGACGTATTTGTCTTGATGTGTTGAAAGATAATTGGTCGCCTGCTTTACAAATCAGGACTATCTTGTTGAGTATACAGGCGTTATTAGGTGCTCCCAACCCTGATGATCCGTTGGCTAATGATGTCGCTGAAGATTGGAAGAAAGATGAAAAACAAGCAATCAAAGTGGCACAGGAATGGACAGAAAGGTATGCTTTGAAGAAGGAATAGAGGCGTTAGTGAAGTCATGTGGAATAAGAGAAGCAATCGGGGAGTGTACGGAGTGAGTTGAGTAAAGAGGTTTAGAGCTGGGCATTGTCAATTTATGATGCATGATGATGGAGGCGTACAAGATTGGAGGGGTCAGCAAAGGAGGAGACGCAATTGAAATGAAACTTGAAGTTAGTTAGACTGTTGTGTTGCGTTTTTGGCTTTAAAGTTTGGCCTCCTCTCATTGGTTTGTATAATTATATTACTTGAATAGAATTGAGATGCTCTGTTAATATAATTTTGAAATTCGAAACTGCAATACGTCAAGCTTAGACAAAGTAGTATCAAGACTCTTTGCCAGGAAGTAGCTTCACGTGTTTGGTAGGGAGTATCAAGTCGCTTTTAGTTAGGTATACAAAATGTTTCATAGATAATGACACATATTGTTTCATTGTATATTTGCGCGATTGATGCGTTGAGGCACTTCTCAATAGTGAGGTGCTAAATAGAGGCTACATTTTGCAGTCATATATTGTTCTCTTATATTAGAATGCTTACAGCTGTCGTCTATATAATACTGCACAAAGTTCGGGAATTTTTCTTTTTTCGGTCATTTTCCGAGATCAAAGATCCGAGATTTTCAAAGGGGGGGAGAGTTTCTCAGTCTCTCACAAAGCGCGTAACAAGATGAGGATTATTTTCTTATTTTAGCTAAGCTACAAATTGCAAAACAGTAAGACCAGTGCCCCCCAAGGAGGAAGCTAGAAAGAGAAGGCTATGTAGAGGGGTAGTGGCGGGTAAAGAAAACAATTTCTTTTTGCATCAGTTGTAGAAATATATATATTTAAGTCATCCCTTTGTTGTAAATATACCCGAAACTTCCTGCATAACTAAAAAGAAGAAAAGTTGCAACCAATCAAAATCAAAAAGATGTTGAGAAGTTTTCTTAGCAGTGCAATTTTGACCAAGACTACAAAGCGATTAACGGCATTTTGCCTGTATAGTTATAATAATGAACGCTGTTTTACAAAAGACTGTTTCAACCTGGCGTGGTACTTGCAATGGTCTATCTGTTGCATACAAGCCTCTCTCTCTCTCTCTCTCTTTCTGTCCTACCCAATAAAGCGAAATAAACCCCGAATCCGTATTTTGCGTATCTTTCGTTTTGTACAGATGTACACTACCTAAACACACAAAATCTTAAAAAAGAAGTCGGATATAAAAACAAATAAACAAAGACAAAAGAAGACACACTAATAAATTACTAATAGTCATCTTACTACAATAAATTAATTACCTCATCATCATTGTCCTCATCATCTTAATAAGAAACAATCAACTACGACTCCTCTTTAACAGCAATAACAATAACCTTGCTTATACCGAATCAAGTGAACAACACATACAAAACAAGAAGAGAGATCAAGAATTCGTTCTCTATTTTAACAACAAAATCCCTTTCTCTTTTTCCTTCTCCGATTTAGTGTAGACTTGAAGTGGTAGTGTCTATGTTTGACTGTTTTTAAAGGGGAACAAATAGAACAAACAGAACGAAAAAAATTTAAAAAAAACTCCCACCCCCTCGTGGAAAAAAAAAATAAAAACGACAAAATTCAAAGAGGGAGCCTTTCACGTTTTAACAAATTTCTTCTACTAAAAGAATCAAGACAATCATCAAGCATACAACACCAGCTAAAGGTACTTAACTGACGCCCAATCACAATTGCTACGTGTGGGATAGATATACTAGAGTCTCACTTTAAAAGAAAATGGCAAAACCGAGGGGATCACAGGAAAATAGTAATACCCTGGGTAGTCCCTTTAGTGATCTGGCAGTTGATTTCGACAACTCATCCATATTGCCATCACCAACAGAAGAAGGTTTTAATAGACATCATTTACCTCACCCAAATGGCACTAATCACAATATCGATGATGCATTATCCGATGATTCAGTACCACCAACACCACAGCTAAACACCGATCGATTTGAAGGAGGCAGATCTTCGTCTTTACGGTTCCAGTTACCTCCGGAAACATCGTCCTCATCACCACCACCACCACCTTCATCATCATTTGCAACCCCACCAGCCACATCCTCCTCCTCTTCATCGAATCCACTGTTAGGACAACGTCTTCACAGTAACCCGAACAAATCCCCATTTCTCGATCACAACAACACAATACTCGAAGACGAAGTGTTTGAAAAACCAAAGGCAGTAGATGAGTGGGAAAAATCTGACGAAGTTAGTAATGATAGTCTGGAAGACATTACAAAGAGACACAGATGGGGTACTACAAGAAATAAACACGGTAGGCCAAAGAAGGAAAATGTCAGCCGATCAAAGACTCTCAAAAGAATATTACGTCCGCATGGAGATAAAAATGTGTCAGAAGATGACAACGACAATCACCACCACAACCACCACAACCACTCTTCTCATCACCATCGACTGTTGAAAGCACGTATAAAGTCTATTCGAAAACCAAATACACACACCATTCATTTCCCCGAGAGCAACAGAAACGAATCAGATTCTGATGAAAATATAGATCCTGAAGCTGGCGATCTAAAAAACAGAAAGAATGAAAAACGAACAATTGTATTTAATAGACCATTGCCCTCAGATTTGCTTGATCCCGAAACGGGCGATCCAATCACCGAGTATCCCAGAAACAAAATCAGAACAACAAAGTATACACCATTATCGTTCTTGCCCAAAAATATATTCAATCAGTTTTTCCACAACATTGCCAACATTTACTTCCTTGTCTTGATTATATTGGGAGCTTTTGAAATTTTTGGTGTGCCATCGCCAGTATTGGCTGCTGTCCCATTGATTGTCATTGTTATTATAACGGCAATCAAGGATGCTATAGAGGATTCCCGTAGGACGATAACCGACTTGGAAGTCAATAACCAAAACACCCATATTCTCGGTCAAGTAGATAATGAGACCGATTATCACTACGAAAACGTCAATGTCAATGATGAAAAAGTTTCATTATGGCGCAGATTTAAAAAATGGAACACAAAGCAAATGATTAAACTATGGGGTGCTTCAAAACGTAACTTGACAAAAGAAGGTAGAGCCAATAAGGAACGAGAAAGGTATAATCAGGAGCATAATATTTCCGAAGAAAATGTTCGAAATTCGTTTGATAGTGATATTGGATCGCCAAGAGCTTCAATGGATGCTAACCCATTTAGCGATCAATTGCGCAAGTCTTTTCAGCAACAGCGTCACGAGGCTCATCAGCACCAGCATCATAAGGTGTTGAAATTTGTTCGCAAATATTGGAAAGATGTCAAAGTTGGTGATGTGTTGCGTATTTACAATAATGAAGAAATACCAGCAGATGTGGTTATTTTATCCACCAGTGATGACGATAATTGCTGTTTTGTCGAAACAAAGAACCTTGATGGTGAAACAAACTTGAAAGTAAAACAAGCTTTAAAATATTCCTCAGTTAATGACAAAGTGGCCAAAGCCGATGATTTAATGGATCATTCGTTTGAGGTTAACTCGGAGGGACCCCATGCTAATTTGTATTCTTATGAAGGTAATTTGCAATACAGTGCCAGAGATGGACAAGAAATGCAAGAGGCAATTACAATCAACAACTTACTTCTTCGTGGTTGTACCTTGAGAAACACCAAATGGGCTATTGGTATCGTTGTATTCACTGGATCTGACACCAAGATTATGTTGAATGCCGGTGTAACACCTACAAAACAATCGCGTATGTCTCGTGAGTTAAACTACTATGTGTTATTGAATTTCATCTTTTTATTTGTCATTTGTTTTGTTTCCGGGTTGGTCAATGGGTTATACTATCGAAAACATGGTACATCGCGAGATTTTTTCGAGTTTGGAACTATTGCCGGCTCCCCCGCTACAAATGGATTGGTAGGGTTTTTCGTGGCATTGATCTTGTACCAGTCATTGGTGCCCATTTCGTTATACATTACAATTGAAATCATCAAGACGGCACAAGCGTGGTTTATATATTCGGATGTGGGGATGTATTATCCTCGATTGGACTTCCCTTGTACACCCAAAACATGGTCCATCAGTGACGATTTGGGCCAGATTGAATACATCTTTAGTGACAAGACAGGTACATTGACACAAAATGTGATGGAGTTTAAGAAATGTACAATTAATGGTGTCTCTTACGGGTTGGCCTATACCGAGGCCCTTGCCGGGCTAAGAAAGCGTATGGGAGTCGATGTCGAATCCGAAAGTGCCCATGAACGTGCCCTTATTGAAAAGGACAAGGTGGATATGATTGAAAAGTTGCACGATATTCTGAAGAACCACACCTATGATGATGAAATTACATTTATATCGCTGAAATTCGTTGACGACTTGCAAGGCACCCTGGGTGACCTCCAGCAAGAATGTGACCACCATTTCATGTTGGCATTAGCATTGTGCCATTCGGTATTGACGGAACAAAGTGAAAAGAATCCTCACAAATTAGTATTAAAGGCCCAATCGCCCGATGAAGCTGCTTTAGTGGGTACTGCTCGTACATTGGGATTCAATTTCAAGGGAACCACGAAACGAGGTTTCCTTGTTGATGAACATGGCGTAACTAAAGAATATCAGGTATTGAATACGTTGGAGTTCAACTCAACAAGAAAGAGAATGAGTTGTATAATTAAAATCCCGGGCAATGGGCCCGATGACGAACCTAAAGCTTTATTGATTTGTAAAGGTGCCGACTCGATAATTTATGATAGATTGTCCAAGACTGAAAATGATCCAAATATGCTTGAATCAACGGCTAAGCATTTGGAAGAGTATGCCACTGAAGGGTTGAGAACATTGTGTATTGCCGAAAGAGAATTGACATGGACTCAATACACCGAGTGGAATAAACGGCATCAGGTTGCTGCATCGGCATTGGAAAACAGAGAGGACAAGATGGAAGCAGTGGCCGACTCTATTGAACGAGAGTTGATTTTGCTTGGTGGTACTGCTATTGAAGATCGTTTACAGGATGGTGTCCCTGATGCTATTTCGTTATTGGGAGAAGCAGGTATCAAGTTGTGGGTCTTGACTGGTGATAAGGTCGAGACGGCAATCAATATCGGGTTCTCGTGTAATTTGTTGGGTAATGAAATGAATTTGCTTGTGATCAAGACAGCTTATTCGAATGAAGAATTGGAGAAGATGGAGCTAAGTCTAGGACACGGAAATGGCGAGGCCCAAATTATCGATACAGTCATTTCGCATTATTTGCGCACGAATTTCGGATCATCGGGTTCAGTTGAAGAGCAAGAGGCAGCAATTGGCGACCACACACCTCCCGATGAGCGCTTTGGTGTCATTATCGATGGTGATGCATTGAAATTGGCCTTGCTTAACCCTGACACCAAGCGCAAGTTTCTTCTCTTGTGTAAGAAATGTCGAGCTGTCTTGTGTTGTCGTGTGTCACCGGCACAAAAAGCAGCAGTGGTCAAGTTGGTTAAAGATACATTGGATGTGATGACGTTGGCTATTGGTGATGGGTCGAATGACGTGGCCATGATCCAGGCTGCCGATGTTGGTGTCGGTATTGCTGGTGAGGAAGGACGTCAAGCGGTTATGTCATCCGATTATGCTGTTGGGCAGTTTAGATTTCTTGCTCGATTGTTGTTGACACACGGAAGATGGTCGTATAAGCGATTTAGTGAGATGATTCCTAGTTTTTTTTACAAAAACATCATTTTTAATGTGGCATTGTTTTGGTACGGGATTTATTGTGATTTTGATGGCACGTATCTATTTGAATTCACGTATCTTATGTTTTACAACTTGGCATTCACTTCGTTACCAGTCATCTTTTTGGGTATATTTGATCAAGATGTTGATGCCAAGGTGTCGTTATTAGTCCCTCAATTGTACCGCTCGGGGATCTTGCGGATTGAAATGAGTGACATGAAGTTCTACATTTATTGTCTTGATGGTATTTATCAATCGGCAATCTCATACTTTTTCCCATACTTGTTGTATGTCGTTGCATTCCCCAACTCTAATGGAAGACCAATGGATCACCGTTTTTGGATGGGTATTTTGGTGACGTGTATTGCATGTATTTCATGCAATTGTTACATCTTGTTCCACCAATATCGATGGGACTGGTTGAGTTCGTTGATTGTCGCTATATCCATCTTGATTATATTCATTTGGACAGGACTATGGACAGTCAATGTGTCTTCGAGTGGAGAATTTTACAAAGCGGCACCCGAAGTGTTTGGTATGACATCGTTCTGGGCATGTATGTTTATTGGTATCTTGTGTTGTTTGATTCCGCGATTCTTTTACGATTTCTTGCAAAGATTCTTTTGGCCACGAGATGTCGACATTATTCGTGAATGTATCCAACGTGGTGATTTTGCTGCGTATCCAGAAGACTATGACCCTACTGATCCGGATCGACAAAAAATCAGTTCGTATTCAAGCAATGTCGTAAGCAGACTAAGCATGAGTTCAAAAAGACATCTGGGCGGCCCAGCACACAAGGACCATACCACAACTTCGTCATCGAATGAAGAATTATCCAATGGCAGTGGCAGTTACAATCGTGCTGATGTGTTTGAGCAAGTCAATGGTGATCAAAGTTACCAAAACCCACCAACTCCACCGCCAGGAGTCATGATGTCGCCTATCAGAAAAAGAGCACAACGGTCAATGAGAAACATGTTTGGTGGTGGAAAACGAAGCAGTTCTGATCCATATTTCAATACTAATGGCACACAAGAATCAGTACAAACTGAAGAGATTCCATTGGATGATTTCGATACTAATCAGCGAAATATGGCTAGAGTCAGTTTTGATAATCAAAAACGAGTTAGTTCCCTGTATCAATAGAGTGATAGGAGCTAGTTTGTATGTATTATAAATAGAAAATAAGAAGTTTTTGTTATAGATGTGTAAGTTGATGCTTCTTTTAGCGCGATGGTTTTCCCTTTCACAGCATTTACCAACCGGCTTAATAGTAGAAAGTACAAGAACAGCTGAGTGATTGGGAGTGCGGTAGTTTCCAGTAACACTGCAATCAGATGGTTAACAAGTATTACCGCCTTGATTTCATTGCAGTGAAACAAGAGTGCAAGCTTTGGCCGGATAAGTCAGTAGACCCAAAACCAATTCAATATCTTCAGTTAATGCCGCCCTTAAGCCCAATCGGGTATAAAACAAAAAAAGTAAAGTTGAGCTTTTGTGTGATGCTAAAATTTTCATCGCGCACAAAGCGACATTTTATTTACTGACAGACACAATACGTACATCGCGTATGGATGCAAAAGTAATTCTCTCGTACTTTTTTCAATGGTTGTAAAATAGACAAAACAAAGCCATTGGATGATTAGTTTAATGGGCATGGCATATATCGAGATTGTGCCTTTTTGGGTCGTGCTAACTGTAAGAGTAAAAAAGAGACTTTTTATTGATATGATTGTAGTTGGGTTGAGGTAGTGTTGCAAAAGAATGCATCTACTCCGCTTTTTTCCCCATTTTCAATTTGGTTTTCTCAAATAAAAAAAGGTGGTGAGCTGTGTGTGCGGGAAGTGAAGCGACAGAGATCACATAGAGTTAGATCGGAAAAGGAAAAGTTCCGGAATGAAAATGTTTGAAAGTCGTAGTGGTAGTGGTAGTGATAGTGGTAGTGGGGTGCAGCCAAAAATGTGGTACAATTTGTTTATTTTTTTTGTTGTTTCTTATTTCAATAGTCGCGTCCTTTTTGTCCAACGGCTGCCAAACATTGTATCAACCATCACCCGGGTCAGCAAATAACAAGAGAAGAGAAAGTTAGATGCAAGCTCCGTTTGAAGTTATGGGGCCATTCAGTCAATTATATACAATTTCCTCTTTTGCCGCCACCTCTTTAAATGATAACAGCCAAAATATTTTCCTTTCGCCAATGTAAGAAAAAGTAAACATAAATTTGGTAGGTAGCTAACCAATCAAATTGTCCCATTTTCTTCTGCTATGAATTTTTTGTTTTTTTTTGTGGCGGATTTATTGTGAGGTCCCGTGAATCACCGATGGCATCCAAACATACATACTAAAAACGTGGTTATAAAAGTATACCAAATTTCTTTTTTTGTTTCTCTCTCTTTGTAATTTCTTTTTGTTACGCTTTATTAATATTTTCCGATATTGTTTGTTTGAACCATTATACACGACCTTTGTCTTTTTGTTTTTATGCCAATCATATCAAAAAGGTGTATATAAAGTGTGGATGATATAAGAAAAAGAAAGTATATTGCGCTGTTCTTGTTAAACCGATTGCACTAATTGATCTTTATAGAGGATTCAGGTGTTGTGTGCGAGAGAGAGAGAGAGAGAGAGAGAGCGTGTGTGTGTTTTCTACAGCAATAGTTACTTGTAGCTATTACCATTGCAACAATGTCTGTGTTCAAAAATTAAAAATTAAATAAAAAAAGCATTAAATAAAAAAAAAAAAATTAAATTTAGACGCTGAGAAATTTGAAATTTTTTTGTTCGTTCGTTCGTTCGTTGTTGGTTTAAATAGAGAAAAAATTTTCCTCCTCCCCTTTCAATTCAATTCTTTTTCTTCTTTCTCTTCTTTCTTCTCTCGTTGTCCATTAAAACCCTAAATAACTATTCCAAACACAAGTAACAATGGCTGCTTCTGAATCTAATTTCCTCATTGACTTCTTGATGGGTGGTGTTTCTGCCGCCGTCTCCAAAACAGCTGCTGCTCCAATTGAAAGAGTCAAGTTGTTGATTCAAAACCAAGATGAGATGCTTAAACAAGGTAGATTGTCCCACAAGTACAACGGTATCGTTGACTGTTTTAGAAGAACTGCTGCTGAAGAAGGTGTTGTTTCCTTCTGGAGAGGTAACACTGCCAATGTTATCAGATACTTCCCAACCCAAGCTTTGAACTTTGCTTTCAAGGATAAATTCAAGGCTATGTTTGGTTTCAAGAAGGATGAAGGTTACTGGAAGTGGTTTGCCGGTAACTTGGCTTCCGGTGGTATGGCTGGTGCCACTTCATTGGCTTTTGTTTACTCTTTGGATTACGCTAGAACCAGATTGGCCAACGATGCTAAATCCACCAAGGGTGATGGTAAAGGTAGAGAATACAATGGTTTGATTGATGTTTACAAGAAGACTTTGGCTTCTGATGGTATTGCCGGTTTGTACAGAGGTTTCGGTCCATCCGTTATTGGTATTGTTGTCTACAGAGGTTTGTACTTTGGTTTGTATGATTCATTGAAACCAGTTGTTTTGGTTGGTCCATTGCAAGGTTCTTTCTTGGCTTCATTCTTGTTGGGTTGGGCTGTCACCACTGGTGCTTCCACCGCTTCTTACCCATTGGATACCGTTAGAAGAAGAATGATGATGACTTCTGGTCAAGCTATCAAGTACGATGGTGCTTTCGACTGTTTCAGAAAGGTTGTTGCCGCTGAAGGTGTCAAGTCATTGTTCAAGGGTTGCGGTGCTAACATCTTGAGAGGTGTCGCTGGTGCCGGTGTTATCTCATTGTACGATCAATTGCAAGTTATCCTTTTCGGTAAGAAATTCAAGTAAATGTGATGTGCAATATTTTCAGGTTTTTTTATTGAGAGTTATATAAATTTTTGTTCATTTGTATATATATATTAAACTTAATATTGTAAAAGAAAAAAATAAATTTACTTTGGATTTTAAAGAAGACTATAGTGTGTAGAGATATGTTGCATTGCTTTCTAGAGGTATTCGTTCTCTGGATATCTCAATTTTTTGGACGACTAGCACAAAAAAATTTTCAAATTCCCAAATTGGGACAAATTGATTTGTTGTTGAAGAGAGTGTGTTTATATGCAGGACTTATATAATTTTTCGCAGCCACACATGTCCAACAAATGGTTTGAAATACAGAGGAAAGATGAACATAGGCTTTACTCTTGTGTTGCTGTAGGGGGATTGGTGGTGAAACTTTTTACAAGGAACATGACAGGATACTTTGACTAATAATTGTTCTTGTTGAATATGTATATTTGGAAAAGGTGACATACAGTGGATGGTAAGTTTATACCTTCTTTTTGCCAGAAAACTTTGGCAAAATGTTGTCATTTGGACCATTTACATCAAAACAATACAAAACTTTTCTTATTTATTTGAAGCTATACAAAACTTTTTTTAAAACCATATCATTAAACCAATGAATCACTTGCACTTTTCAAAATTCATATACAACAAATGATACTCATTCTTCAAATCGTAAACCACTTTCTCATGTTTCTTGTACCCAATATCCTTCAATAACAAATCACATCCCAACAACGACTGATAATTCAAATCATAGTCACAAATTTCATTAATCAAAGTCATCGAGAACCGTTTAGGAGCAAAAATCTTTAAAATCTTGAATAGGACATTGACAATGGGATATGATTCATTGAAGGGGAAATTGGTTTCAAATGAGGCATAACTCCATCCGGTCTCTGGGGTGATGTGCAATGTATAGTAGTAGCCACCTTTAACGTTGGAACAGATGGAGTTGGACGAATATCCGCAGGGAGTGAATGCAAACGCGTCATGAATAAACTCAAAATTGGTGGAAGTGGTGGTGGTGGCATTGGAAGTGGCGGTGGCGGTGCTGCCAGTGGAAACACCATTGATTCCATCCACTTTAGCATCCTTTTTAACTTGACATTCATGCTCATCTTCGGAAATGTCAGATAACGATGGCGAAGGTAAGTGGGTATTGACATTTGTTGGTTCAAAAATAGAATCTAATTCCGTTTCAACCATGGTATCAAATCCTAAATTGTGGCCCAAATCATCTTGCTCATTTTCAGCTTCTTCACCGGGCTTTCTAGTGTAAATAAAGTTACTAGCACATTCAGAATCCAATTCAGTCATTAAAATCTCAAATGTTTGATCAACCACCTTGTGGGTTTTATGGGACACGTTTTCCTTGTTTTCCTTTTTTTGCTCTTCTTCATTCTCTTGTCCCCCTACATAGAGATACCAATGGTCATCACTAGCAAAGTTTCCCACAACGTAGGACTTACCCAAACTGAAATATTCATTCAACAACGAAACTTCATTCTTCCAATCCTTGTGCACATGTACTTGTTTATCAGGAAACATAAATGAACGTCTAGAATAGAAAATCTTGTACGTTTCCTTACTCAAAATGGTCATATTGAGACATTTCTGCACTGTTTGAAACAACTCCTGCAAACACGCCAACGTAGTTGTAGTTCCACACGTTTTCAAAATCATCTTGTGAGGGAAAACAAATAATGACGATTCACTCAATAAATAAGCATCCATAAATTTGCAACTCTTCATGGACAAGATTTTACAATTGACCAAATCTAAGATTTTCACCCATTTTTCCAATGGGATCGATCTTAATCCGTCCCCAACGCCAGTACCAGCATCCTGAGGAATATCGGTTTCAGATTTCCAAAACCAAATCTCAAGCAATTTTTCTGGACCTTCAAAGGCAAAAGTTGAGTCTAAATTTTTGGACAATTCATGATCAACAAAACTATCTTGGTAATAAGCTGGAGCAACCATAACTTTTCCTTGTTTCCTTTGGGTTTTCCTTTGCTCTTTTCTATTTTTTTGATTCGAGAGAGTGTGATTATTGTAAACTTTCTTTATAATCCAGCACTGTTGTTGTAAAAAATTTAACCCAAATCTAATTCTCGTTGTTTATGATTTCAATTGAAACTTACTCTTGTTTGGGTATGTTGTAGTTTTTTATATATCTTTTTTATGGTTTTTTTTAGTTGTCTTGATTGATATTCACAAAAGAAACGAAGAGAGAAGTAGCAAGAAACGTTTCAAATAAAAATATCAATAAGTTGGTTGCAGTAGGTAAATTGCTTTAAATAAAACAATTGCTAATGGAAAAATCGGCGATTCTAGTTTTGATGTTTTGGTTTTTTATAAATGACTGCGTTATGACGTGGCGGAGGCGAATGTCAGCAAATTTTAATAGTGGAGACGATAAAGATAAAGCTCTCGAACGTCACGATAGGCAAAATGAACTTAGTTGTTGTTTCTGATGGAAAATTTTTAATGGGTAAATTATCACTTGATCAAGCTTCTGCTACCCAGGTTCAATTAGTTTAGTTATGTAAAATATCTGATCTAGTCGTCGTCCTTTCTTATTCATGAAAATTTAACAGTATTGAGCTCCAAGGATGAATGTAGACGACAACTTGGAAACAACGATTTGGCTGAAAAAAAAGGTTAGACTGATCTCTTTTCTGGCAAAGACTCTAATATTAGCCTTGGCAAATCAGGAAATAACTTTGTAAATAAGATAGGTACAGCAACAGTAGCAATCGAAAATGTCTTGATGCACCAATTAATGTGACCCTGTCCGTGAAAAGGCGATTAAATAAAAAACTCTGGTAAAAATCTGATAGGTTGATAGTTAACTGTCAATTCAATGCGTGAAATCTTTTGACAGAATTATATTGTTGATTATGAAAAGTGTTGTGTTGTTTGTTCAATCGAATAGCAAGAATTCTTGAGGTTTATGAAATTTTTTTTTTTTTTTTTTTTTACTTTTTGTTCTTCTTAATTTTAATATTTTTATTAAGTCACACGAAATCCATGAACACAAAATTAAGTCAATAGATGTGAAAAATTTGAAAATTTTTTTTTCAATACTATGGAGAAAAGAGAGGGGTAATTCCTGTACAGAATAGAACCTATTCTATTTATAGGAGACTATCTAGTAGATACTTTAGACTATCTAGTTCGTAAATTGTTTGCTTCTACACTAGTTGTTAACACCATTTAGCTTTGATCAAGGAGTATTGCAAAATTATTATAATCACAACTCCATTTGGGGCTGAAAAACTGTCGCTAATTCTGGTAGCGATAGAAAAAGAACAATAACCATTAGACTTGCAAATCATTTTATAGCAAATTGATCTCTATTAATCTACACACTAGACACAATTTCACTAGCATTTCTCAACACTTCAACCATCCTAATACACTCCTTTCTCTTTTGTACTGTCAACTCATTCTCCTTCACCAAATCGGGCAATTCAGGGTTATTATACATCTTTTCCAATAATTCCTTTTGAATATCCTCTTTTGATCGATTTATCAACTTCAACACAATTGCCTTGGGGACAATATCGGCAACAGTTCTCTTGACAATATTGTAGTATGATGAAATCAACAATTTAATCACTTCAGTTTCCATGGTTTCTCTTTCAGTCATGGTACCTGTTGCTCTCAACACTGGAGGAGGTGCTTCCATTTGTTGTAATCTCTTTTTATTCTTGGAAGAAAAGAATCCTCCGAAAAATCCATTACTGTTTTCATCTGTTTTGGGGATGTTGGCATTGGCGGCAGGTTGTTGTGGTTGTTGCTGCTGAGGTAATGGTTTGCCGGTCTTTGGATCAACAGCAACTTGCGGTTTAGGGTGGAATTTCTCTTCAACGTATGCCATTGCTTGAGTACCAGTTAACAAATCGGGATGAGCTGTGTTGATATAAGTCTCTTCTGACTTGATTATATCAGAAACAAAGCCATTGGTTGGGATTAAAGCTTCTCTCAAATACTGAATAAAATGGTTTGACAATTGCTCCTTCAAAGCTGGGTACCTCGAGTATTGCGGTTGACTAATGATTTGCGACAAGATACGCACCAATTCATCGAAAATCAAATTGATGCATCTTATAGCTGGATCTTCCATTCTTTTAATTTGCTGTTTGACCAATACTGTAAAAGCTGCAGTGCCCACAAACAAAGATGGGGCCGAACCCGATGTATTGTGTAAAATAGTTCTTATATCGGCATCCTTAATTTGATCATATGGGTCCAAAGCCGTGATACCGTTTTTAAAAATCTCGTGAAACACAAACGAAATACGTGCACCACCAGTTAACTCAGCCGAACTCAACTCTTTTGCCTCCCCATCTAAAATTCCCGTATAATCCTTGGTGAAGTTGGTGATCATATTCAATGCAATAGATGCAGGTGATTCTGACATTTCTGGTCCCAATAACTGTAACTCAGACTGGTACTTCTTTAAAGAGTGCTCGATCCTCATTTTAATGTCGGGTAATGTACTCTTGATGTGATGCAACAAGATACCGTTCAACTTCTTGGCCAAATAAGGAGTACCACAAAACTGAGCTTTAGCTCTATAAGACGGATGGTTTTCGAAAAACGCAGCTTCATCTCTCAATGCTTCTCTAATTGTCTTTTTGCTCTCGATATCCTTTTGACCCCTATTAATAACTGGAACATAACCAAATCTAAGTGGAATAACTCTACCAGCCAATATATCAATAACATCGGTTCCTTGGTCCATAAGATCAACTTTGGTCAACACACCAATAGTTCTTGACCCTTCTGGATCAACTTCTCTTGCCAATTTCAACCCGTCTGAGTTGGCCAAATCGGTATTTGCGGCATTCACCGACAAAATGATGGCATTTGGCTTCGAGATAAACTTCATAATCATCTCCCTAATTTGCCTTTCAATATCCTTTGGCTGGTCACCAACAGGCACCTTTGTCAACCCCGGCAAATCAACCAAGGTCAAGGTCAACACATGTGGCGAGTAGATTCTCAAATTGATAGGAACCGGTGAAATTCCCAAGTTCTTCCCAGTCTTGGCATCAGTCTCACGGACAATCTCGTTTCTAATATCTTCAAAATTGTAAAACTTCTTACCTGGTAAATGTAAAAACTCACCCCACTCGTCGGCGTTATTCTCAGTTTGTCCACCATCTTCTGTTGAGTTGATATCAACCAAATCCTTTTTATCTTTATTTGGAGTAGCTCTCCTATTTATCAATTGTAAAACCAAAGGCCTTCTAGTAACGATACCAGTTCCTCTGGGCAAGAAATCTCGCCCTACAATATTCTCCAATACAGAAGATTTACCAGAAGATTGTGATCCGACAACGGTGATTTGTGGTAAATCAACAGGCGAAGACGATCCTCCACCAAGAGGCGCTAACGCATCCTGTAACTTGTTAATAGTTGCAATCAAATGTTCATCCATGATGGCTGGGTTTTTGCAGGTTTGACTCTGTTGATTGGTTGTTATCAGAAAAGATTAGAACAATGTGCGTTGTTTTTGTCTGTTCTCGTTTTTGGGTGGCACTGACTTGTTTTTTTTGTTTTTGAAGCTTTTTGAAGCTTTTTGCACATTGAACATTGTACACGACCAGAAGGTAAGAGATCATTGAACAGAAAATCTTGATTAGGCTACGCCACAACCCCTTCAATAAGCGTCACCAGTTGCAATTTGTAAACCATCGAGCTTACAAGAAGCTGCTTTTGACGGGCCCCCCCCCCCTCCCCTGGAAATTTGGATTGTCATTTGTAAAACCAGTGTTAACAGCTACAATAGACTTATATCAATTAAAGAATATATACATTGAAATCTAAATCCGCCACCTTCTCTAGTTCAGCTTTGGTTAGCTCCCATGGAACACCAAAAATACCGGCATTGATCTTTGGCATATTGACCACTTTCATTGGGCCATTGCTTTCAATATCCGATACTGACTGTAGTTGTGTAGCCAAGTGTTCCAACGATTTATAAGTATAGGAAGCAATCTGCTCTGGCGATTGATTGAAATCACTTGTGAACAAACAGGCAATGTAGATGTTGGTGTCAGTGAAATCATCGGCTTTCAAAAGTAGACTCTTGCCTAGTAAATTGGTGTTGTTGTGACAATAGTTGGAGTATTCGGAGTTAGCTTGTGGGAATTTCTTTCTAAATACAGCTGCTATTCCTCCCCCCCAACTGCCTCCAGTATTACATGCATGTGCCAACACGATAGGTTTCCCGGCTTGAGCAGTATGGCGAAATAGATCTCCCGTAATATACTTGACTGTCATTTTGTATGTAAAAATAATGGTAATCCGATTGTGGGGATTTCCTTTTTTTTGCCCAATCTTTGAGACATGGTATCGCCAATCATTAAGAGACCATACAAAGTCCGTTTCATAAAAGGTCCCGGCTCTTTACACTATAACATTACTTACATTACAGCTGAGAAGACTTATTCTGCATATTCTCACTCCAGCTTTAATTTTATATAAGCCGTTTCCCCAGGTGAATGATGTTTCACCCCATTGAAATAGAACCCTTGCTCTGAACCACATCCAAATGTTTCATACACCATTTCACCTTCGGCATCTAAGCCATCACCATGATAGGCTGTTTCTTCGTAACTACTCATGAATGCAAAAGTATGGCTAAACCTTTCAACTTCGTTGCCTCTCTGTTGGATAAATCTGTCATCTGGAGTTACCATGAAAAATTCAACCTCATCTCCTACGTTTGGTTTTGCTTCAGGAGACAATGCAATTATATCTGCTTTTGCACCCCAACCACCACCTCCGGCCGTCACTTTAAATCTCTCCACAACCGTGGTTCCCCTTTTTCTCAACTTGACAAATACTTCAGTATCTTTGCTCTTGAGTCTCATCAATTTATCATTCTTTTCCAAGTACTTGGCTGCTGGGTTTTTCTCAATCGACTTCAACAAGTTCCCCACACAATTGGTGATTTTGAACAGTTTCCCTGGGTACAATGCCGTCCATTTGTCTTCAACTTTTACCGTTGCATGATTTGGAACAACACCTCTTGGTAATGTAACTTCTAGCTCGCACAAGTGTTGACCGGAATGGGCAACGTTTGACTCAGTATCAAAGTAAAATAAAGTGAGTATTGATCCGGTTGAAAATACAGTATTGGCTAAACTTATCTTTGCCTCCATTTCGTGCTTCATTTGTAAACTTAAATGCCCCTGAATATTTTTCCAGTTCTTTCTTGCGGTAACCGGGTTGACTCCATCGCTTTCTTTGGGAGGTTTGTTCAAGTCATCGCGTTCTTCCAAAAGCAAGGAATTGCCTATTTTTAGGCGATGATCAAGCCAGAGCTCACTGACCCCATTTCTAGCTGAGAATGGAACCATAGTATCGATTCCTGCTACCACAATCTGTAAATTATCTCTTTGATGTAGATCCAACACATCTTCGATTATCTGTGGTAGGTTTGCTGAAGTGGAGAATATGAGAACCGATTGGGGTGTAAATTTAGTGGGAGGCTGTAGCCTGAATGATATTGGATTTATCGTGGATTTGGCATAGAATTGAGAGCTCTTCGTTGTGAGGTATCGTAAGAATTGTCTTTGCATTGTTATACATAAAATCTACAAAGCGTATTCTTTTTTTTATTCAACTTCATCAATTAATCTTTTTTCTCCTCTTGGTGCTTCTGGTGATGATAGATCCCCTTTTCCATCTTCTTTTGTATTGTCGGGTTGTGTATCTAAAACAGCAAATTCAGCTGCTAAGTCTATATCCTTTCCTCCTTGGTCCAATACCTTTTTCAAGATGGGGCCCCATACATCTTCACTCTTTTGAAAATCTTCGATTCTAAACACATTTTTGTCTAGTTGCCACTCCGATTGCTTGACCCTAATAAGCTCAACCATGTAAGCCGACGATGCCAATGCTCTGCCAATATCGCTAATCAAACTTCTGATGTACGTACCTGAAGAGACGTCTGATATGAAATGGATTAATGGTAATTTTTCAGGATGGTGCTCATCACCTGCTTGTAGCATCGGCTTGACGTCTCCCTCATGACTGTCCATCTTTTCGAGGTATTCCTTGGAGTAGTACAATGGAGAGTCGTTCAAAGTTGGGTTATTCATCAACCCGTGTTCTTTAGGCACACCATTTTCATCCAATTCACTTTCGAGCTTTTTAAATTCATGATCAGTTGATAGCAAGTCGTCTTCGATGACCTTGATATCATTAACTCTAACATCTCTTACTTTGATCTGTGTTGGCAACGGTAACCCTTTTCTGGCGTACTCATAAAGCGGCTTTCCATTCACTTTTAAAGCTGAAAAAATTGGTGGTGTTTGTTTGATATCTCCCACAAATTTTTCCACAGTCAGCTTAACCAATTCGGGAGTAATATGGTCGGTCTTCGTCTGAGTTATAATCTCACCTTCTGCATCCCCAGTAGTGGTTGATATACCTAATAAAGCCTTTGTCTCATATGTCTTTTGACATTCGGATAAATAGTACTGTAATTTCTTTGTGCCCAATCCAACACCAACAACCAAGACTCCACTAGCCATGGGATCCAAGGTTCCACCATGCCCGATTTTTATTTTAGTACTGTTGGCCTTCTTCTGTGCACGGCTTTTCCACTTTTTATCTCGACTTAGATCATACAAGACTTTCTCCTTCATTGCTTTTAAATCAGGAGCAAATGCTTTGGATTTTGTGAATAGTTCTTGAAGATCGCCTATAAATTTTGCAGAGGAGATGCCCGACGGCTTATACACTGCAAATACTCCGTTCATTGTGGCTCGATGGTGACTCGGTGGTGGCTCAGTGATGGCTCGATGAGGTTTTGTTTATCGCAACATTTTCAGTGACAAATTATGGACTGTCGAAAATGTCACGACAATGAGATGTCAAATTGGTTTAAAGGGTTACAAACTACAAACTAATAGCATGGAACCAAACCACTTCACCCCTTTTACTACATCATCTCTTTGATTTAGTCAAAAATGAATAAGTCCTTCACTTTATTTCGGTACATAAGATATACAAAGGGAAAGATATCCCGTTTTTCGAGGTGATATTATCGCTACATCTTTTGTTTGCAACTTGTCATTGATATTTTCGACAAACTGTTCCAACTCCAATACTTTTCGCTTTGTGTGGGTACATACGTTGAATAAATTCAATATTTGGATAAATAGGCCACCAGTTAGTACCTCTAAGATATTCTCTATCAAAGTTGCAACTTGAAAAGGGTAAAACGCGCTGTACAAAATCCGATTAATCGTGTTGACAATACCAAGAAGCTCCTCCTCCAGTAATATATCCTCGAATCCAACGATTTCAGATGTAGTTCCAAATACGTTGCCGTCGTACAAGCCAGTTGCTACACTTGATTCCCCGTCTACTTTGATGGCACCTTGCTCCCGGCCAGGGTATACTGTAGAAAACCTCGGTATTAAATCCGAATATGGAGTAGTATCATAAAGTCTCGGTATCTTCACTATCCTTGTTTTGTAAAATGTGCTGGTCGATCTATCTGCATAGTAATTGGGGAAGTGGTTTATTACTAAGGATGGTTGTGACCGCTGTTGGATCGGTGCTAGAAATTCATGGTAGTTGAAAAATACCAAATCAGGATCCTCTGCTTCGTTCAGCAAATTATATTTATCATCCACAAAGCCAGCTCTGTGCTCCTCTTTCATATATGCGTTGTGTTGAAATAGCGGTGGATATGAGTAGAATGTGATTATTTCATAATGCTCGTTTGAGTGAATCCTGTATATAAATCAGGACCATCAAAAACCGTAGTGCTTGTGAAGAGACACGAGTAGACGATGTGCGAAACGGGGAAGCTACTGAATTGAGTCTTCAATGTGGCACATACCTTGGCTCTTTACTAGATAACTACTTTTATTCAGCAATTAATATGTACTTGGTCCAATGTTTGTATAACCAATCTCAGTTTAGACTTTGACTCTGAGAACAAATTTTTTTTTTTTTTTCATTTTTTCAATTTTTCATTTTTCCATTCCATTTCAAACTATCTGATCTACACCAAATGCTTCCCTACAGGCTGTGTATTAACAGCTCCAGAGTGGTCAACCAATTGAGGCGGCCAAGTGTGAGATTTGCCACCCAAGTTGGTATATTTACAAGACTCCAGTCGACACAAGCTGCCACAACCAAGGAGCCACTTGCGACATCGGGGAATCTCAAGCCTTCAACCAAACCCCAAAAGAATGTCAACAAGACCGGTGCTCCTAAAATCAAGAAGTTAAATCACAAGGTAAGCGACATATCTCAGCAAATCAAAAAGACTTTGGAATCAAGTACTGATTTGAAAGAGGCCAAAGACATTTTTGAAGAAGGCATTTCGTTTCTTCGCGAAGTCCAACATGAAGAATATATATCAGACCGTGACTTGTACAGTGCTTTCTTGCCGTTAGCAACTGGACTACTCACCAAAGCCAAGAAAGCGGGTGCAGATCTAGAAGAGCATCTCTCTTTGTTTGTCAAGTATCGTGTTGCACACCAGTACCATTTCACCGAAGTTGCAGCCAACTTGTTAAAAAACGAGGATGGAAAATTTGCCTCTTATCAAAAAATAATTCATTTATGGGTAACCTTTATCGAATATGATAAATTAAATTTTATCCCCAATGTATTTGTTGAAACGGGTGAATCTCGAATTAGATACAACAAATACCAACTTCCACACATTGTATACTACGCTTATGTGTTGTCATGCTTATTGCAAAATGTGCCATACTCGGAAAAAGATGCTCTTCGGTTCTTTGAGACAGGCAAGGTGCCCTTTTACAACGAGGTCAAGTCCACCCTTTTCAATTATGGTGTTTTCAATAGACTAGAGTTTGAAAAGTTTAGAGAACTTTTGGAGGATGACAGGAAGTCGAAGGTGGACCCAAATAGTGTACTTATGTTGACCAGGATCAATCGTGCCACTGATAGAAAATTACTAGACGTAATCTATACAGAGATTGCCGAGATTTGTGAAAAGCGTGATTTGAAGATTGAGGAAAGGATCATGGTCCAGTTGATGGAAAAGTACTTGTATTATGATGAATACGATCAGGTGTTTAGCATGTTTCAGAACATTATGAAATCGGGCATTTCTCCATCAATAGATGCCTGGAATTTGGTCCTTAAAGCCATGATCAACCCTAATAGATTCAACAATGCATCAGAAGCACAAAAGGAAGAACTTATGCAAAAATTCGAACGGACTTTAAAGACAATCCTTGCTAGTGGTCTTAAATACAACGTAAACACGTTAAGCTCAATTATCAGTGCCTACTCGATTGCAGATAAATTCGACATTGCTGAAGATTATGCTAAGCAGTATGCTGGCTTGGGAATCAACGATGCAGCAAAAGACGGAATATTGAGAGGGTTGATTTTCAATGGAAAGATTGTTGAAGCTGAATCTAGAATGGAAGAGTATATTAAAGACGGCGGCAATTATAAACCAAATGTTGGAGTCATGAACGATTTCCTCAATTACTACTTCAGAAAGCAGAATTACAATGCTATATTCGGTATTAATGATTTTATGAAGCAGCATGGAATTGAAGAGAACGTTGTTACATTGACGACAATGATTAACGCATATTTCAAATACCTTGTCTCTATTGGAAAGAGCCCCAATCTTGGCGACTTTTTACAGACGCTAAAGGGGGCAAAGTCACTTAATGAACACACCTTTGCATCTGTCTTGAATGGCTTAATCCAGTCGGCCAATATCGATGCTGCCAGACAGTTGTATAACGTATTGAAGAGGAAATTCCCCAGATCCGCCTGGATCCAAAGTAACATGTTGACGGGAGAGTTGACATTGGGAGATGTATCTGCAGCCGAGCAAATATTCATTCATTACATCACCAAAATTAGGAACGACCCCATCATTTGGAACACGATGTTGAGGAATGTTTTGCTTCGTGACGAGAATAAGGCTTTGGAGTACTTTGGCAAAATGAAAAAAGCTGGTGACATCAAACCCAACGAGTATACCTATTACTTCCTCCTTGATTATTTCTACAAAAAGGGCAACAAGGACGTGGTGCAAAAACTTCTTAATGACTTGGCCCTGAGTTCGTTGACTTCTTATGGTACTAAGTTGCCAAACGTCCTTTTGCAAATCCACAAGAGAGTCGTCCCACTATCAGCGCCAATTTTGGTTCAAATGAAGAAGAACTTGTAAGAGAGAGAAAAAAGAAAACATCGGAAAACGATTATATACACATGTAAATACCAAAGAGCCAGACATAATATATCTCCCCTCTTAAAACTCATCAATCTCACCCATTGCCTTTTTCCAAACCGGACCGGCAAACGTGACAATCCTATCGCGAATGCTTCCAAAGCCATCCAACGCAGGTCTGGTGTCCAACATGAACGCAGGCATTCCCGTTTCCTCGTCATCTGGCGCACTATAATAGTCTATCACATATCTGACCTCTTTCCAGCCTTGGTTTCTTCCTTGACTTCTCAACACGGTCCAGTCATGCCTATCAAATGGGGGAATGGTGTTAAATGTTTCCGGGAACAACTGGCCCAACCATAAATACATGCGAGCTTTTGGGGAGAGATCGTGGGGCTTTCCTGTGAATTTCTTTAACCTTGGTTCAATCTTTGTATCCTTGGTGTATTTGTCCTCCCATTCCAAAATTTGTTGCCAAGCACCCTCGTTAAGGAAATTGTGTACTTCAACCATGGACTCCACCGCATCCTCAGGGATACCATCTCCTTTTCCCTTGGCTAGCATTGCATTAAGCATTTGCTGTGGCGACGGGTACTCCCATTGGCCTTGGTCGGGGGTTTCGCCTCGTGGAATAGTTGATATCGTTCTTTCTGTAGATAATTTGATCTTCTGTCCAGGTGCGAGTTCACTTGAAATAGCCATCGGCATGTTATTCATAGGATTCAAAACTTCGTCGTTATCTTTTGAAAGAACGGGGCATGTTGGAGCAGCAGCAGCAGCAGCAGCAGATGCTGATGCAGATGCTGATGATGGGTTGCTTTTGGTGTATGCCGAGTGGTCAATAGGACATGCCAGTAGCGAAGATGAAGAAGGGTTTCCAGTTTGTGGTTGTGTTTGTACTTTTGATGCTGATGCAAGATCAACCTTGTCTGACCAAAACCAACCCATGATGATGATGAAGAAGATGATGTGTGTGTGTCTATTGTTGTAATGATCTGTCCTATAGAGATGAGATAATTTCTGTTTACTAATAACTGTGACTTTTAGTGCGACTGGAAAAAAGAAATTTAATTCCGAACGATTCCCAATGATGTTTCGTTGGGCATCTAATTGTTACATCGTTATCCTTGGTTCAATGACAAGCTTGATTGATCATTGATCTTCAAGAAAAGGGAGCAGCAAGTAGAGAAGACTCTCTGCACCATTGTAGACAACTTTAGGGTATATCAGTTTGTAGAATTTTTGTGACAAAAAATGCTTCTCCCAACTCGTCGTAAACAAATTAGTAACTGAATTAGTGGATGTCGTCATAGAGACTATAGCCCCAGAAAATGACCTACACCCTAAGACACCCACCATCTGTGTCTGAAGAAATTAGGCACCTTCTCAGTTTGGTTAGTTTCGGAAGAATTACGCGGGACAACTGTTACGTTTTTGCACCAAATTTAGATAACTAAATTTCTTTGTATCTCACAATAGACCGTAGCAGCCACCAAGTATATTACATAAGCTTTACGGCGAGAAGAAATATTCTTCGTAAGTGGTCTCCTTACGTAGACGATTTTCGAAAATGTTAGCAAAGTAAAGACATTGTCTCCATTACGACAAATGTCTGGGGGCTTAGTAAATAAATCAGGCTTTAAACTCAAAAGGCGCCGTGAAAGACTAAAGGTGAAACCAATGTCTCCACATAAGCCATAAATAAGGGGGTGAATTTAAATATTTTAAAGACGGGGATTTCCGTTATCCAGTATCAGAAAAAAAGAGTAAATTAGGTTATTGTTCGTATTCAAATTGTTGAACTAGGCCGAAACAATGTGTTAAAACAAACAATTGTGTTTAATCGCGGTAAGAGCGAAGAAGCCTTTTTTTTTTCAGGAACTGCAACAGTGGTGTCGGATTAACTTTGTTCATGGTGATTTTTTATCTTTACCTTTGTCTACAGCTTCGGGGAAGGGTCATTTTAACCATAGCTCTTGAAACCTAATACATTATTCTTGAACGTTGTTTGATTCATGACGTCTCGTTCTCTATACCAACTCCAGCCGCCAGTAAAAGAAGGTTGCTAAAACATTTACTGAACGCCGTATCTGCTCATCAACTTTGTGGCTCCCAAACCTCTAAAATCGCATACAATAGGACTGGACCAACAGAGTCTGAACAAACAAAAAAAAAAAATAAAAAACGTATGATTGTACGCAATAGAGACATTAAAACCCCATCGTCTGCAAAAGTAAAGCCCTTTGTAACATGCGTCTGTTGCCCCGTTGAAGTAAGACAAGGACTCAGGCTGATTCCATTGCATCCCAAATAGGTTAAATTGATGTTCCCATTACGTGGCGGAATTAATGCTAAATATTAATAGTAACAAGAGCCCACAATTGAGGCGTTAGCAAACTATTTTGTAACAATAGTCCAGAGTCAACCAATTGGAGCTTCCGGTGCACTCTGTTTTTTTCCTTGAACCGAAAAAAAGGAATGTCAATTAACACGTTAGGTGAGACCTTAGGCAAGCAGAGCTATTTCAATGTCTTATAATTCTAAGATGTACAAGAAATTGGCTTTCGGGTTTATTTGTGAACCATTACTTTGCAAAATTTGCAAGGGTGTATCTTCAGCCATTCGGCACACAGCTGTGTGCCGAAAAAGAGAAAAAAATCTATTCTGCACGGACTTGGTTGCATTTACGGACTTCGCGAACTAGAGAGAAAGGGGTGGAGGGGAGAGAAAGAGGTAGAAAGTCCTTCTGTAGTTGCTCTTAATTGGTTTAGTCTGACCCATTCTTGTGTCCCATGGTTAATGGCACAAATTCATTGGTTTGTCGAAGAACAGCGCCTTTATTTCGTTGCGAATTTCAGTTGACCTCGAAGAAGTTTCTCTTGGTTTAATTAATAACCTATTATGGAAAAAAAAAGGAGAGTGGAAAAGAGGAACAAAACCGAAGAATATCTTGTTCTCTTTTGTTGTCATCAGACACGGAATTATTACTAGACAAATATTTTGTGTCTCATGTCTGCATAAACTAAGCAGTTTATGTAATCAAACAGAAAATTGATTTATGGACAGACAAACAACCTGACAATACAAGAAAGAAGTTAGCAGTTGGGTCAGAGAAAAAAGCCATACTTTATCACAACAACAACAACATCGTTATCTTCGTCAACCAGCAAGCAGAGCAATGCTACAAGTTCGAATACATGCCACACTTTTATAACTCTCAGTGAATAATGTGTTTCCACTTCTGTCCTCTCTTTTTATTTGGTGACGTAGCGAAAAGACACAAGAATAATCCTAGTAAAAGAGAAGAAAAAAAATTTTTTAAACCACATTTCAATCTTGGTTCAGCAATTACTCTTCGAAAAAAGATTGACACACTCCAATGACTTGGACTTGGCCTTGCAGGCCCGAGCAGACCCCACAATAGGCACAATTTACTTGCTTTATTATCAATGCTTGAACTTCCGCCAACATACAACCGCCCAAAGCATGAAATTGTTGTCAACTTTCTTTTGTGACGGCTATAGCAATTTTTATTGCCAAAACCTCAGAACTTGTGGAAAATTCCAAAATAGTCGTCTTGAAGGCCTTGAAGCCGCGTTTGTGTTGTGAAATTTAGCAGGTGGTTTACTTTCTGAATTCGAAAAGGTTGTTGAAATTCCACCACATATCTTTTTAAATACACGTGATGTTTCTCTTTTAAAAAATTGCACAAAATCCAAAATATTATATATGCATAACGTTTATAATAATGGACGGTGTTTCTAGACAAAAACCTGCACACAGTCAAGAATTTACGAGGTCTACAATGCTAACGCATAACGGCTTAATTATGCATTTAAATTATAATAAAAAAAAGCTTATTACGAAATAGGTCAAATTGGGTAACAACACCAAAAAAAGAGGGAGAACCTGTTGCTTCTGGGTTAGTTTAGTAACAGTATTATTGACATAGGAGAATACAAAGCATGCCACAGGTCCATGATAATGAAACAAATAAACGGCTTCACTCTATGTAAACCAACCTCGTTCTGTTTATAAACAAAAAGAAGCCCCAAACTGGCCAACGAGACCAGCACGTATCGAACCGTGTTTTAATCAAGCATCCCTCAATGAGTTATAATGCTCTCCTAATCCATACGAATGTTTATAGTATCCCAATTGTAATTCTGGACTGCCATCCTCCTCTCCCTCTTCCTTCTTAGCTAAAGCATCAATGTTGGCTTCCTCATTTATCTTCAAGGTGGCAGCACCAGCTACGTGGACAGCAATACAACAGTTGAACACTTTGGCCAAGGCTAAAATCTCCATGTCAGAGCCCCACATTGCGGTTGAGGTCAATTCACGACAATAATCATCAATGTCTCTAATTTCCCCCATTTGTTCATCAAACAAGAACGGTACAAAGTCATCCTTGTGTGATAGGATGTACGCAGCTGATAGGTCACGCAATTCTTGTATAGGCTTGTCAATGTGGTGACGTTGCAATAATTGGTCTTGGATCGATGCAAAGAGACAGTGGCCATCGGGTTTGATTTCGTACAACTTCAAATTGTTAGCGGCAAGTAGTTGACTCATTGAATCTATTTCGATTTGTCTATAATCAATCGAGTTGGCAGTTTCCTCTCTGGCTTCAGCTTGCACTCGTTCAATTTCGGCCTTGCGTTTGGCTAATCGTTCCTTTTGACGGTTTCGCCTCTTTGGTCCAGATTGGTTTTCGGTATGCAGCTCCTTGTCAGGTTCTCCCACCTGTGAAGGCTCGATATCTTCTGCTTTTTCACTAACTGAGAGTTCAGCTAGCAATTGCTCTGGTGTCAATTTTTGATCTTCATGACCCTGGCCATCGGGATTCTCCAACAGAGCCAACTCCTCAGTATGCTTCTTCTTCAAGGCGTCCTCTAGTTCCTGACATTTACTTAATACCGATTTTCTGGTCTTTTTGGTTGCTTGTTTCTTCAATCCTGTGATTGTTGCGATGAGATCCTTGTTTTCCTTTTTGTGGCGTTGAATCAATTGGTCCATCGTTTCTGAATCCATCTTGCTAATGGGTCATTCAATTTTCTATTTCGCCTTGCGATGAGATGAGATGAGGACACTCTTGCTGATTTGTGTAGTGAAAATTGGTCAACAGTGTCCAATCACAAATTACCTTTGCTCATTTTTTGGTTCTGTCTGAATTTTTTTTTCTTGTTGTTTGTTGTTTTGTTGCAGTTTGTACTGACAGACATTGACGTTGTGAAATGGAGTACTAAGCGAATTGACATAATAACGGTAACAACGTCTTCTCAACAACAACAACAACAACGTACAAAAGATTGAAATGTCACAAGACATGCAAACCTCACCAATTAAATATCCCTATTGTTGGTTTGCGATGAGCTTAGCAATGTGTCTGCTTTTGTCATTTACCCGGAAGGTTTGCTGAAAGGGGGTAAGGCTACATTTACCCAACAAACAAGTCCAACTTTTCTTTGGTGCTATTGTAAAGAAGGTTTGAAGGCATCCCTTGTACGATTATACACCAATAACAGGTGATTTACGCCAGTTGTATGAAATAAAAAGTGGCGAGAGGATTATATACTTTAGAAATTAGACTCATATTAAACGCCAAGCAATGAAATTATAGTCTTTGTTTGACTCAGGTCTAAATCAGGCTGCACTAATAGCTATGTAAGACATGCTACTAACCATTACATATTGTCTATACTACGGTCAATTCAATTGTATTGGTTACAGGTAAGGTAAACAGCAAATCATCCGACTCGTGCATTTTGTGGAGATAGACTTCACCTCATCAAATTTATTTTTTTGCATTTTTTATTGTGCTACTCTTTAAAGGAAGGCTGCCTTGGTCAGACAAAGTGGTTATGCCAGAAATGCACGCATCACCTCATTTGAAAAGCTCATTTCTCGCAACCATTCTCTGAGGTAATGGTCAAACTATGCTATCTCAATTGAGTGATGGCGGAAACCTTTGTCGTGTTTCATGTTTGAATAGCGGGGCTTATTCGCTTCTCTTTACCCAATTTTCTTTGACTAAGCTTTTTTTTTCATTAGAGTTCCCCCTTTTTTCAGTTGCCAGTTAGAGCCAAAGTTAAAAATACCTTGCAAATTACGTAGTGTAGTGCAAAGACCGATCATAAAATTGGAAAAACTGAGTTCGACACAAAATTAAGGTTATCGATCATCTACAAGAATTTTATTATAATTTGTTGCTGCCAGATTGAGCCCAAGTTAGAGTGAGCTATAGCACTTTTTTAAAGAAAAGTGCGGTTTAATGGTTGAATACATCGAGTGTTGTAGAGACGAAAGCAAATCAAGTGAAAGGCAATTGGGTCAAAAAAGAGATGATTACCCAAATTTGCAGCGGCTCATTGATCAGTAAGATGAATGGCTGAGTCGTAACCAAAAATAACCCTTCACCCCTTCACGTTGTGTTGAGTGCATTGTTAATAATACGTTAAACAAAACAACCTTAGAGCAAAATTGACTGTCTGTCTGGTCTACACAAAAAGAAGCTAAATGAAAGAAAGAACAAAAAAAACTAGAGTTTTACATTTTTTTTAGTAACATGTGGATTAACGCAAAATAAGTGAATTGCTAAGCCATTGAGTTTTTTAAAAAAGGAGAGAGAATACGTAAGGTGATGATAGTTAGTACAACCCCATTCTCAACCCGTAAGTATGGGGTAGTATGGCGGTGAAAAGGTTTCAAGAATTCTGAAAAGTGTTAGAAGCTTCTTTTTTTTGTTTAGGGCATCGAACGTTTGTTCACTTTCCCTATCTTTACCCCTCCCTTTGTTGCAAATTTCCGCCGACGGTAGACGGATCTTAACGTCGATGACTTTTTCTTTTAAAGTAAAACAAACGCGATACTAAAGTGATTACGGATTTATTTTGTCCTCTTCCTGCTGCTAAAAGGACTGAAGCTTTTTTTTAAAAAAATAAACTTTGTCTAAATTATGTCCATATTTTTTTCTCCACTTTCCATAAACTGATGTATTAATTCCGGTGAGATAAGATCAATGTAGTCAGTATCCTACTTTTTGAAAGAGGTGGTACTTGATGGGGAAGGGTGTGAAGTGTACTAGCTTTTGCAATGAGCATGTGCAAGAGCCAATTGATTAATCCATCACCTCGTAGCAGGAATGCCTTTGTACTAGGCTCGGAGCTTAGAGTATTAATCGGGAAAGCTTATACAATTTGTCAATATTTGTGTAGCGTTTATCATCGAATTAAATAGATGCAGTTTTTGTGGTATAAAGGTTATAAGTCGTAGCTGGTACTTCTCAGCGCTTAAAAAAAAAGACTGCGAAGAGAAAATTGGAAAATTCAGACAAACAAAAATTAGAGGAGATGAATAGGAAAAAATAATCCAAAAAAAAAGAAAAGTAGAAAAGTAGAACAATCTCAACCGATAAACACTGAGACATCAGCAGTATATTACCAGAAAACTAAGATTAGGCCCAGGTGGATGTTATCTTACCTAGCGAGATAATAAAGTAGATCGATTTTGAAAAGACAGTTGTTAATCGCTTTGTAGTTCGAAGGAGCTGCGCAATGGAAAGCAAAAGTAGATAAATTGCGCTTTTTTTGTGCACCACGAAATCTATGTCGAGGCAAACTTTGGTTATTCGGAAACTTTTACTCCAAAAATCACCTTTCCTCCTTTCAAAGGCTTTCGCTTTTGCGTTACTAAAAGCTGCATGTAATTGCTAAAAAGTCAAGCTCCTAACCTTGTAGAACATTTTTTTCTATTTCTTTTCAGTTTAGATTTCCCAATTCTGATTATTATCTGTCCGATATTTTGACGATAAAAAAAAAGAAAAGAAAAAACAGTAAAGTGTCTTTTGTGTAATGTGCTTAAGTAGAGGAAAGCCACAGTACTCACCATCCACTTAGCGTCGAAATACAGCGGAAAAAAAATGGGAAAAAGAAATGAACGTTTGTGTGATTCCGTTTGATTTGTGTACACTGTCAGATTCCGAGTCTTGTATAATTGGAACACCTGCACTTAACAACCATCCGTAAAAAGCCTTGTGGCAAACGTTTATACCATTTTGCTCTTTCGTCAAGGCGTACGAAAACTTTAGACTTCTTTTTTGGTCGGATTTAATCCTCGTCAAAGCGCGGTTGATGATTGGAGAAAAAAAACTAGTTTCAAAGAGGCGTACACTAGTTAGCACTGAAACAGTGTTTTGGAAAGGAGGGAGCCGTATGCTGAGGTCCTTTTCCATTCAGCCTTCAAATAACCCGTTCTGGTAAAATGCTTCTCCATTGTAATTATATATTGTCTTGTTGTAACTGTTATAAAATAAGCTCCTTTTATCTTTTGTGTTTCTCTCAAGCAACAGAAGCAGACAGAAAAACAGAAAGATTATTATACCGAGTTGGACGAACTGAAAGTGGAAGAAAGAATAATGGTGAAATAAAAAGAAAAGAAGTCTAAAATTGGTTAAAAAAGTTTTTCTATACGCAGGAGGCAAAACAAAAAAAAAAAGTTTTGATTTTCTCGCACTACGACAATCCAAAAGAAACAACTATGACATACACACAAAGACAAGGACATAGTTGAACAATAGGTGGGCATTTGGAAAAGTATATTGAATGATGTTTACTCCTATTTCTCTGAAGAGCTAATTTTATACTGATGCATAAGAAAGTCTATACACAATAACAGACAATAATGGGGGGAAAGAGGGGGAGCCGAGAGCCGAGAGATAGATATAGCTAGAAGGAGAGACTGCTTGTAGTGAAGCACGTTTCATGGTTGGGCGGCTCATACAGAATCCTGTCCTAGAAGTTGTCAAGTGCACTAGATATGTATAGCTTTCCGCACCTTGCAACCATCTCTTCGTTGCGAGGAGCTACCATTATGGTGTCGTTGTTACGTGGAAAGAGGTGCAGGAAATGTCTAAGACTTAAAGTTAATTCAAATCAGTCGTAGAAGCGATTGCCTTACAATCTTTGCCCTAGAGACCTGAAGAGACCTAAAAAAAGAAAAGAAAAGAAAGGCCGAAATTCTTATCCTCAAGGAAGAAGGGAGGTTGGCAAGAAAAAAAATACTAGCGTTTCGTGGGTGTGACAATTATCCCGAAGAAGGGCGGACACTGGTAGTAGTGTGTATATATAGATCAATTGTAATCGTAACTGTTGTTTATTGTCTGTTGTCTGTTGTCTGTTGTGCTGCCTTTTATTAAACATGTACTGTATACTCTAGTACACATAGGGTGAAATTTCACAGTTATTGTGTTGTAGTCGCTCGCTCAAAGAGCGAGAGAGGGAGCCCAAACCCAAACCCAAATTTTATTTAATGCCTTACGAGAATAGGTTGAAGTAAATAGTTACCTCTTTGTGGCTCAAATGAAACGGCAGACATTTTTTATCTTTGTGTTATAACATAATAATGTCTTATATGCACAACAGACACACACCTTTTCTAAAAATAATATGAATGAATGAATTTAGATAGAGAGACAGACATAGACTGAGAGAGTATACAAACCACACCTCCTTCTTTTTCATAAACAGTCCAGTACTGCATAATGGCAGCCACAAACACAAAAGCCACTCACGACCCATTCGATTATTGTCCTTCATTAAGCGTCTAAATATACATATACTAACACAATAAATTTTCATTATTCGAAAATTGCAAATATCTTTTCATCATATAAGAACAACCAACAATCCTTTCAAAAATCTGGATACCGATAAACTTTTCTCAATTCTACTATTCCTTTTTTGGCATTCATCCTGCTTTGATATCATTAACCCAGAAGTTACACACACACCACCACCACATCCACTGCATTGATTTAACCATCTTCACCACCGACAACACTTACACTGCAACAACGGGTTCACCCTTTCACATATTTCTTCCTCTACAATACCAACACCCCTACATTCATCACCCACCCACCTACTTGTTTACATTCTTTTGCTCTCATTTTTATTTTTCATTTTTGTTTTGGCAATTGTTTGATACTTTTTTAAGTTCTCCTAAACGCTGTTACTTTCACTAGTCTAACCAAAGAGGAGCCAAAAAGGTATTATATATATTCATAGAGACACTCAAACAAAAGCAACAAATTACTTCAACATTGATAACTTTAACTGTAACAGTTTTGAGCTAGAGACTCGGTTCATCGGCATAGTCATCATCATTTGCTTGGTTTTAGTTTTCCCATTTTCTTTTCATACATTTTTTTGCATAGTCATCACCAACCACACCTATACATATACACATTTGAACACAGTACCTCCCAACAATAGCAAATACTATTTTTTATAAACATCGCCGATCGTTCACTTGATACAGAAATAATTACATTTAACGACAAAAGGGATTCTACATATATATATATATTCCCACTTCAGACATTACACGCCAAACACTTTTTTAACGTTCTTTTGCATTCAAACTTCCAAAGTTTTTACGTTTATCACGGTTCACGTTATATCACACATTTCGTTACACGGTTTACTTATTATATTTTTTTATTTTTGATACATTATAGATAGATATCTTTCTCAGCTCAGGTTTTGTTGCAAAAGTTGATCCAAAGATACACACCACATACAGATACACATTTCCTTTATTTTTTTATTGCATAGTTGAATAGTACTGGCTACTATTTAAAAGAGTTTACGCAAATCACATCTCACCACTCACTATCACTGGCTTGATCCTATTGGCTCGACATTTGGATAGTTTGTCGTTGGAAGAAAGTGAATTTGTATACTGAGCTCACCTTGAAGTTTTGGAGGTCACTTGCGGTCAAACAATTTTTTTACCACCAAGCAAAATCAACCACCAAATATATTCAACTCACACACATACCACTTAGCAAACTTCATTAGCTAGTCACACTACATTACATTGACATGATTTCGTCCTCGCCTGATGCTTATCACCAGACGAGAGTTGTGCAGCTGCAAATCAAGTCGTCCAACTCCAATTTGCAACAGATGGAGCGTAAGACCCACACGTCAACCGTGTCAGAGTACCAATTGGACATGTTGGAGCACCTATTATCAGTTGAGTCACGCACTTTGCCCAACATATCATTGATTGAACAACAACCCGAGATCAAATTGAGCATGAGACCTTTGTTGCTTGATTTCTTGATGGAGGTGATTACAATTCTCAATCTATCGCGATCGACATTTCCCTTGACGGTGAATTTGATTGATCGTTATTGCTCAACCAGAATTGTCAAGAAACAGCATTATCAATTGTTGGGATTGACGAGTTTATGGATAAGTTGCAAAAACTTGGATCCTAAGTTTAAAATACCTACATTGAATGACTTGCGCAAGATTTGTGTTGACAGTTATAACAAGGAGTTGTTTATCGAAATGGAAAAACATATCTTGAAGTCGTTGGAATGGGTTATTAATAGTCCTACATTTGATGCTTTTGTCGATGTGTTTCTCAACATGTTGGTGTCAGTTAATGACGCCAATTCAAGTGTGATTAAAAAGTACTACAACAAGATTAAACTTTCATCATACTACCTCGGTGAGTTGTTTCAGTTTTATCCCAATATGTATTTTGAATACTCGTCGTCACAAATTGCCATTCTTGCCATCATGTCAAGTATATCTACGTTGAAGCTTCCGATTAACCTCATGTCCATTTTGACTTTTTATAATACGCTATTGGAAAGTGCAACTGTACAGTTGACGATTGAAAATTTCCAAAGTGCATTCAAGTCGATTAGAGTATTGGCGTTGCCTAATAGTTTACAACAAAAATATTGTGTTAATAATAACCAAAATAATTTGCCACCAAAAACACCCAAAGTGTCGATGCCGTTGACACCTGGACCTAGTCCGGAAGAGAAGGTGTCAAGGAAAAGACACAGTGGTCTTGTCGATTCGCTGATGGTTGCCGGCCATGAAAGGAAGAGAAGTTGTATAGATTTAGGTGTAAGAATATAATAATAATAATAATTGGTATGAAAAGAGAATGTAGTGTAGGTCATTGATTCGTTCTAGAACTCGCCAGATGAAAGGAGTGTTGCAACGATCAAGCGATGGTGTACATGCGTCTCTGTGTGTGGATCATGCCACCAGGGCATCATAGCCCATTGTTTGACAAATTGGCTGCTGAGCGCAATGCATTCTGCATGAGAATTTTATTGCCTCTATCATTGTGGTTGGTGGCGGCAGCAGACACAGACCTTTTACCAACCATTTGCGCAACGGTTAAAAATGATTTCTAGATGGTTGCTCAAATAGTAGGCGACCCTTTGCAGAACCCGTAGTGCTCAGAGGTCAGAAGTGTGGAGTGATTCAGACAGACAGAATAAAAGACGAATTTCACTACTACTTTTCAATGGAACATAAAATAGAAGTAGTTTTTAGTCTCCCTCCCCCATAGAAAGACGTAAATGTGTGTGATTTGTCGATACAGAGCAGTATACTGGGTTTATCAATTTTGTGTTGCATTCAAAGCCACAAACTAAAAGTACTGTCCCCAAATTTCTGTCTGTTGTTGCACTGACTTATTTTTCAAAATTCCACTGCGTCGTCGTCAAAGTATGGAGATTTTGTCAAACCAAACGTTCTTCAGTCAGTTTAGCAAACGTCTCTATGTAATTGAAATTTTTACCCTTCTTGTGCATAGTTGGTGTGTGCTATCGTCAACGTCAAGCTTTTTGAAAGTCACATGTCAAATTGATTTAACTCTGGATACATACCACTTCTTCCACGCCCCCTTCCACGTCTCATTTTCCACCCTTAGCACTCCTCACACTGTCTGTATATTACTTATCTTCTACCGAATTTCAGTGTAACAGCTAATCATTGTTGTATCTCAATAGAGGAATATAGGGGGGTTGACTAAAAAATTTCAAATCAATGTCTGTTTTTAGTTAGCAACACGATCATATTAACTGCACAAGATAATTTAAGGATAATGGAAGTGTGGGAATGAACTAGAAACAGACACTAACTCACAACCATTTATATCTGCTCTCTGTTGCTTTTACTGTAGCCTATTCTTATTGTAAGAGGTACTGCACAATAGCGGATAAGAAGAAAGGTATAGAAAGTAGAAAGAATAGGTTGCAGGTAAGTATCCCTTTCTGATTCCAACTTGAAGATCAGCTGCTTCACTAGGTTCAGTGCATATTTCTATTAATATTTCGGCTGTTTCAATAGAGAATCTGTGATTGACGAGGCAGACCGAGTAAAGCGAAAGGAGATCGGCTGAGGGTGCTGATTAGAAAAGAAAAAAACGAATAAAGAAATATCCTTGGACCAATGTCGTCTACCAGCTCCTCTTTTTTCTGGTCGTCTATCGGTCCTCGGTTCAGCCATATGTTGTCAGTGAAACGTTTGATGTCCTTTACATTCGTGACGGTCCTTTTATACTCGTTGGGGAGAGGAGTTGGGAGGGACGTTATATGAAGCTGTCCATATACATTTATACGAATAACAATTAGGGAAAACAATGGAACTAAAGGTGTTGTTATTGTCTGTAAAAACATGAAATAGAACCAGAAGATAAGATGTTCGAGAATTGGTATACTCGTTTTGTACGAAACAAAGTAAAAATAGCCGTATTGGGTAGTAGTAGTTAGCAGAAGAGCAGTGAGTGGGCGAGTAAAACTTAGCCACTTTACATATTTTTTGAAAGGCTCGAGCCAAGAAAATAAGTATGAGCGCTTATTGGGACGATCTTTCTCTATCTTCATTTTGTACGGGGGCGGCAAATAGTTGGTTTACACCGAACGGAAGGGAGCTAGGCGAGTGCTAAAAAGGCAACACCTACATTGCTATGTTTGTAAGCTCCTTCTTGACAAACAGTCAATGCAAGAAGCGAGGTTATAAGAAGAGAAAAAAAGAGAAAAGATTCATTTTGTTGATTATTTCCGTGTCTGCATTCATGTGTCTGCTATTGTTTTCAAGCTTTCTTTCTGGTGTCTGAAAAATTTCGACCAAAATGGAAAAATTAAAGAATCAGACAGACAAAGAATAAGAATAAGAAGAAAGATAATAAACTTTAAAACCCAATTCAGGTAATGTAACGTGGTAATAAAAGCTTTTAAAAAAGGGGTGAATAATAAACAAAAGCAGCGGCAGCAGCAACTTCTATTCTCTTTTGGCTTTGAGAGAAGAACAACGGTTGACGCAAATTTTTTCCAGAGATCTCCTAACCACCTTGCCATTTGATAGAATAAAAACAAAAAAAAAACATTCTCGTAACCCACGTTTTAGTCGTACGAAGCCTACATCACTATGATTCAGGTAACTCTGCTGGTTTTGATAATAACAACAACAATAGGAGCTAAAAAAGGAAGTGTGAAAATCTATTTTTATGGAGTGCAGACTTAAAGGAATGGAAGGAAGGTTAACACCGTTTTTGAAATTGTCTGATTTGGTCTTATAACCACTTTCTGTAGTTAAGTCCGAATTGAGCCATGTTGGAGGGGTAAGAGGAGGGGTGAGGAGGAGTATACAGTTGAAAAAGAGAATAAAGGGGTGGATGTTTTGTATTTTGCTCCGATGGAACATAAGAATTAAGAATCAAAGGCTATCGCCGAAACACGGAGGAATGGAAAACACCCTCCGATAATTTTCATCTTAATCCTTTTCTTTAGTTTTTTTGTCTGTCTGACTAAATATCTAAAACCAAAGTTCAAAACATTGTCTTACCTGGAGAAGAAAGAAAGACCAAAAGAGGTTAACAATGCTTATTTTTGCCTCTTTATTACTCGTGCCATATCCTAAAGATTGCTACTGCGTTTAATCATCCCAGTGACATCATTGTCTTGTTCAATTGTTATTGTTCACACCAAACCTCATTTCATTTAATGCAGTTTTATTTATCGTCAAGACCTGTATAAAGGATAAAAAAAACGTTGAACAATAAAAAACCAAAGAAAATGTAGAGCCACAACTTCCACTACGTTCCACCCCTTGTTTTCCTCCTTAGCTTTTGGATATCAATGCTTGGGGACAATATTACCATTTTTGGGGTGGGGTGGTTATCTTCAGGTTTGTTCTCGCCACGCCTGACAATGGGTGATAAAACATGCTGTTGACTATCCTTTGGTAGGAAAGTCTTATTCTACTTCAGACTGTATCTACTCTTGCTCCAAACATCCCAAAGCATCATTAAACCTCTCAACAAAACTAAAAAGGCAAGCAATCGAGATAAGTCTGTGAGCAGTGCTGGGTAAACCCCCCTTCCCCTTGGTAACACAACAATTGTCTTTGTTTCAATGAAATGATGGAACTTTGTGACACTTCTCTTTTTCCAGTGAATTTTTTTTTTTGTCTGCTCAGTCTTCAAACAGGTATGCATTGTTTGGTTAACTAAATGGTACTAACAATACCACTACAGCTCATTTTAGATATTGCTCAGCCCGTGGAGAACAAAAAAACAAGCCAGGAGTAAATTGTCTAGAGACGACGCTTGAAGTTGTACTCGCCAATGATCATGTGACTTTTCTTTTCATTTTTATTATTATTTGTTTTTTTTTTATCACAGGAGACCTTGCATAGACAATAAGGGGTGTGTAACCAATTCTCATTCACCCCGTGTCTCAGTTATTTCTTTTTCTCCTAACCTTCTTTACAAAGTGTGGTATGGAGTGTCTCACATTTTACGACCTCGCTCGGGTATTGGCTCTCTCTTATTCTTTTTTCCGAGTCAATGGTTATGTTAAACGAAAGGGGAGAATGAAATGGTTCACTTTTGGCTACAATATTTGAAAGGGTCGAAAAGAAAAATATTGCCCAGCCCATTCATTTTGCCTCACATGAAAATTGTGGGACTAATTAAATGCGTTTGATGCCATCCCTGAGGTTTTCTCAAGCTCTCCTCTTTTTTAGGTCAATTGTATTGGATTGTGATGTTTAGGGAGTTTAGTGAAGGGCATTTAATTAATCTATTCTTATCTTTCAGACGACAAAGATGTCACAAAACTGTTACTTGTTGAAATTGAAAAAAGACCCCGACAGAAAAAGAAGATGTCGTACGACACTGATTCTTGTCACGACACTGACAATTTTATTTTTTTCAAGCGATGGCAATGAGACATGGAGAGACCAAGGGTGGACTGATTTCTCACATAGTGTCTAACAAGAGCTCCCTCACACAACAATGACACTGAACCCAAACTTGAATCGAAAGAAGCAAAAAGTTACCCAAAATCAGTACTCAGGATATACCATTCCATCATCACCTGCGACTGAAATAACCACCATTGACACAGCTACGTCCTCAATTACGGCCCGTGAGTTTTTTGCCAAGTTCATATCCCAACGCAAGCCAGTCAAACTTGTTAATAGTAGTAGGACCAACGAGGCATGTTTTCTTGATGTTGAAAAGTTTCAATTGAATAATTTACAAGCGACATTAGCATATGATGATGAGCCTTTGCAAGTGGAGGAATTATTTCAAGGTGGATTTGGACTGGGCCAGAAACGAGTCGATATGATGTTGGGTGATTTACTTCATGAGTTTAAGACAGGTGATAGTGAGTTATATTTGACTACTCAGTATGACCGTGAAGGAGACAATGAGGAAAATGGAAAGGAGCACAAAGTGGGAGATGAAGTGGAGGAAGGATTGGCCGGTGAAAGAACAGAAGAACAAGAAGAACAACAACAACGACAACAACAAGAAGGAGAAGAAGAAGGAGAAGGAGAAGAAGAGGAGGAGGAGGAAGGGACTGCTTTATTTGAACAAATGTCAAATGCCTCATCAATAGACATGAATGACCTACACGATGACTTTGATGACTTTGAAAATCTTTCAAGTGACAACGAAGATGATGATTCAGACTCCGAATATGAAGCTTATCAACGAGTCAAGACATTATATCAACCACCACTCACCAACCTTGCCAAATCATCAAAGGTTTTACCTACAAACCCACCACTTATACCAAACTTAATCCCTCAACAAATTAATATTTGGATGGGTAAAACCGGTCCCACCAACAGAGCCCAATTCTCCATTGACCCATCACAACCATTGACTGAATTGGATCGCAGCATACCCAATAACGGCACGAGCTCAGGACTACATCATGATCATGCTGATAATTTATATGTTTTGGTACAAGGACGCAAGAGGTTTACAATATACAGTCCAAACGATGCTAGTAAATTGTATACAGTGGGCAAAATACATAAGATTTTCAATAATGGAGTCATTGATTATGAAGTTGATGAACAATTTCCTAATTGGAGACTGATTCGCGATGATGGGGCAATGATTGAAGATGTTTTGAATTGGCAAATCAGTCAAACTCAAGACAAGGAGGAGCTTGAACAATTGAATGAATTGCTTTCAATTCAGGAATCGAAACGAAAATGTCACTGCAACAAGAGTCAACAAGATGAAGAGGCAAATTTAAATGGTAATCGAGAGCAACTGCATGATCCTCCTAGCTTTTCCAAAATCCCACCGGCACTACTACACGTCGATGAAGTCGATGATCCTAAACAACAACAAAGACTAATAGAGTTTGCTAATACTCATTTCCCAGGATTCTTGCAGTTGAAGAAAATCACCGTATGGCTAGAACCAGGACATATGTTGTACCTTCCAGCAAGCTGGTTTCACGAAGTATCTAGTTTTGGCGAGGAATGTGATGCAAAGGACAACAATAGTGGTGGGAAAGGGGTACATATTGCATTGAATTATTGGTTTGTGCCACCCAACACTGACAATTTTGACAATTGTTATAAAGACCAGTATTGGCAACAGGATTGGGAAGAGACTAAACAGGCACTCGGTGTATTCATAGATGCAAGTAAACCCACCACCTAAAGAGAGTTACTTTAGTTGGCTGTGTATGTATAGGTTTCATTTTGTGTACAGAAACATAACTGGTAGCACTGGCACGTGTACAAACGAAATTGCAAAATAAAAATTAAAATAATAAAAAGGGGAGCGAGAAACAAAGAAAAATAGAAAATCTATTTTTGGTTGCAAAAACTGTGGAATAGCAAAACAAGAAAACTAAAAAACTAAAATTAAATTAACAAAATCTAAAATTTAAAGTTTTATTTACGTTTTAGGAAATGCGCTTCTTATAAAGATCTAGAATTTAGTTTTTTTAAATAAATGTTTTTTTTTCTGTTCAGTTTAAATCCGAGTGCGCATTAATGTGTAAAGGTTATAGCCCTAACTATGTACAAAATATGTAAATCACACGCCTCAATTCAACCTGATCTCGAAAATCATGCTCTACAATGTCTGTCTATGCTTACGAGCAAGATTGAGCAAAACAAAAGCAAAAGGGAACAGCTTCTTCTTCTCATTGTACTATATTTGATACACTTAAAAGTAGGAGTACCAGGGTTACTGACCTAGTTGCAATTTCTTTTTCACGAAGTTTGTTCAAATTTGTTTACGTGTTCTTTTTCTACTCGCACTTGTATTTTTCTTTCTTTATTGCACAAAAGAGTCTATGGATATATGATTCGGGGCGATAAGAAAGATTAACTACTTTTTTAATTAAATTTTAGTGTGAAAAATTTCAAAGATTGCTATTTTTTCTGATCTGTACAGATAGGAGATATTACTGTGATTTAAAGTCAGAAACCATATTTACTGTGGCCCCACTTTTATGGTGGCTACAGTCTCTTCAACTTTCTCTCTTTCATAGATAAAGCTTCAATATGTATATGATCACATTATCAATGGAGTTATGGATAGGACTACTTGCTGCTACGAACAATTTCAAGCTTTGTGATTTTTTAGTTCTGTGTTGGGGCGCGAGTGGGGGCGGAGAAGAGGAGGGGGGACTTATGACGTGGAGCGACATGGACCGAACAAGCGAAAAAAAAAGGATTAGAGATTCCGCCTTAGTACAGACAATACAAAATTAGGGATCGAAGTAACTGAAGGAGCTGTGGCAAACTGATCCAGCCCCTGTCTTAGACTATACCAACTCAATTAGTACGGTATCGCATTAAGAATGACTATGGCTTTCTCTCCCTCTCCCTCTCCCTCTCCCTCTCTCTCTCTATCTTTCTCCCTCTTCCTCTCTGTCTATATATATATATGTAACTAAAATTAAAAATAAATAAGTAAATAAATAAATAAAATAAAAAGAAATGCGGATTAATTAATTTAATTTAAATTAAGAATTTAAAAAGCTGAAAACGTGTGCTGCTGGATGAGATGAGTAATTCAAATTGGAAGGGTTGTAACCAACAATTGATCTAGCTTTCTAGTAATAATGCTGTTTCTAAAGGACTGGTAGTCCTAAGTGTAAATCCTAAAATCAGAGAATACACACGTGTGACCTCTTCTACAGTCTGTCACCATTCTGTCGTAAAATAATTTTGTCAAAAAAAACTGTGTAGTAATACTGCATATAGTCTAAATTACTTAAAACTGCGAAATAGGAGAAAGATAGTGAACTATTTGTGCACCAGTACACTACCTTTTCTTTTCTTTCTTGTTTATATACAGTACTACTACTACTACTACTACTACTACAGTAACTATAGTTACATAAGTAGTTACGTAATAACAATAAACATCTCACATTTCACCTTTTCTATTACTTTTTAAAATCAAAAACCCTTTGCAAAACCTCCTTTTCTTCTACTCTTTTTACCTCACTATTCACGTTATCATTTCAAGAGACTTACTACTTATAATCACTATTTCTTAAACAGAGGAAATCACCTAAGCAAACAAAGTTCAAAAGACTAACCCCATCAAAACACATTCTTTATCATCATCATTTTTTTTATATATTTTTTTAATTTTGAACTTAAACAACCAACTTTTTACAAGCTAACACCTGAGATTGCTTTTCACATCAATCTTTGAAGTTTATAACACCAGAGTTAACTAATATTTCATTATCATTCGTTAACTACCAAACTACCGCTAAACAGACTTCCACCGATCACAACACTTGCTACAACTACAACAACAAACAAGTTTGTTTATCAACCACTTATCGTTTTCACGTTTAATTACTCCTTCCCCCTTTAACTGCCTACACCACAGTTGTTATGAACTAAATCCATCTATTGGTTGGAAGATTTAATATACTTGATTACGAATTTTTTTTTTATTTTGATTTTTATTTTATAATTTCATTATTGTGATACAGCCTTCTTCATAAAGTCTTACCAACAAGACAACCACACTAAACTGCCCAGCTGTTTTGTCATATTATTATCACTTTACTATTATTACTGTTTTAACTTTCAATTTTGTTGTTTTATTTTACTAAACCAATTTTATTCATATTTTTTTTGCATCAATTCCCCAACATACATACAGCTATATTCATTAAGAATTGATCAATTTTGTATATTACTTCCAAAACAGGACAAAACATATAACTATTCAAAAATTAGAGACTTGCTTTTAGTTTCTATAACACAATAAAGGGAGACATTTTTCAAGGAAATACATCTCCATCTACAATCATTGTTTACTTTGTTTGACTAGATTTGCAGACAAAACACTTTCTCCCAACAAATCATGGCATTAACTGATAGACGCCCTATGGCTTTATCAACAAATACGCCGGTATCTTCACCAACTTTCAACCCAAATACCTTGGGTATTGCTAAAAAAACCAAAACTAGGAACAACAGTTTACCATTGCACCCTACTGAAAAGGAAGACATTGAAGACAAAGAGATGGAAGAGGATGATCAGGAGGCGGGTCTAGAACAAGAGTTTCAACCTCGTGCGAACGAAGACGATGACGACATGGAAGATAATCATGATCAGGATCATGATAATGAACACGATGATGATAACGATGATGATGATGACGACGATGAACAGCACTCAATTGCTTCAGGTTTGGGGAAAATGGGTATTGCTAATGACTCTGAAACTTCCTCAACGTCGAGAAGCACTTCTCCCGATTCAGTTTTGGACAAGAACAAATCTGTAACTAGGGAATCTACCCCACCGACAACAACATCAACTCCATCTTCCTCACAAGGTGACTCTGCAGAAAAAGCCGCAACTACCACTACGACTACCACCACCAGCACCACCAGCACCACCAGCACCACCACAAAAAAGGTCAAAAAGGCTAAACCTGTCTCACGAGCACCAATCGCCACCGGTATTTCTACCGCTATTCCTGTAACTGGTGAGAAACCGAAACCACTCCAAAAAGGGGATGCATCTTTGGAAGATGATGTTTTGTATGCCATTTTTGTTATTCTCTATGAAAGAGATCCCCAGGGCCATGGTTTTACCGTAAAGCAAATTTGTGATGTTTTAACTGAAGAACATCCACAAATTGCCAATTTATCCACCAAGACATCAAATTTGGTTAGTGCCAAGTTGAATGCTTATGTTAAACGTGTCGAAAAGGGAGACACCAGTTTGAAGTACGCCATTTCTCGTGACTGGGCCGATGCATCACCAAAGAGAATGGTGTATGTTTACCGGGGGTTATTGGCACCAGGGTTTGAGGTTGTGGCTAAGAAGTTGACTGATGAGTTGAAACAGCAAAGAGGTGAAGAAAAAGCTCATAATATGGCCCATGATGAGAATAACCACCACAAAAGTGATGATAACGTCGTTGGTGATGCAGATTCCATTGCTGCTGCTACTGCCATTGCCGCCGCCACTACTGTTACTGCTGATTCAAAGTCGTCAGTCGCTACCTCGCCTAAATCAGGGAAAAGAGCTAACAAAGAGTTACCTCCATATACCGATGATTCTCTTGAAGCTGGCAAACAAGCAACATTGGCTAAACCAAGAAGACAAACGATGTTTGACTTGGGTGTTACCAAGAATTCATTTTTCGAAAATGGATCAGGATTTGACAAAACCAATTTGTTTGTCCCCTATGCTTCAGCCCCAGTCACGGCTGCTTTATCCGGTGATATCAACAGTATGACCACTTCAGATATTCTGGAAAAGAATAAGAACGGATCACCAGACATGATGGATCTTGATGTGGATATCGAAGTTGATGTCGATGAAGAAGATGACGATGAATTTGCCAATGTGTTTGCTGATTCCGATGAGGATGATAACGATGACTACTCAGTGATTGAGACTATTCGCAAAAATGGTAAACGATCAAAATCGATGTCGTACTTGTCAATGACCAAAAAGACAAAAGTGTTGACTGCTGCTGCTGCCGCCCCAAGAGCATCTCGTGCACCCAGCTCCCATAGTCCTAATGCTGCTGCTGCCGCTGCGGCATTACATGCAGCTGCACTCAGAGCCATTTCGAGATCGTCTGCTTCTACATCCAATAACAGCAACAACAACAACAACACTGCTAGCGGTATAGAAAATGTTGCTGCTCTTGGCGCTAGTGGCTCTGCTACCTGCACAGGTTCACTCTGCTCCAACAAGAAGTGGTTGAGTGTAATTAGATCAGGGTTCTTGAGTCAAGATATTGGAGCTCCTGAAGATACCAGTTTATCTGACATTGAGAAATTCTTTGCCTAGGGAGGAGGAGTTAGGGGATGCAAGGGAAAACTTCATTCTGCTTCCGCCCTTACCTTCTTTCTTGATTGATATTGCAAGTTGAAATGAGCTGCTACTCTACATAAAAAATAAAAACGATATATAATGTATAACGACTCTTATTTTACATTTGTTTACACTTTTCATTACACAAGCTCTCGCTTTGTTATTTTATGCACGCACATAAAAGTGGATAATCTATGTCATGTAATACTTTGGTCCATCGCCACCTTCAGGCACCGTCCAATTAATATCCTGTGACGGGACTTTAATATCACACGTTTTACAATGAATGCAATTCTGCGAATTGATTTTAAATTCAACCCCCAATTCATTCGACCCATCCGGCAAATATTCATAAACTCCAGCGGGGCAAAATCGTTGTTCAATACCTTGATACTGGGGCCAATTTAATTTAGCATGCTGTTGTAAATCCTGATTTGGCACACGTAAATGGCATGGTTCATCTTCATCATGATAAGTGCCTGTCCGCGAAACTGAGGTTAGTAAATCAAACGTCAATTCATTATCAGGTTTGGGGTAAGTGATGGGGTTGAATTGCGATGCTGGCTTGGTGGCTGCGGCATCGGAATGGTCAAATTGTAACGTCCATGGTTCGTGGCCCTGAGTGATCATCGTGGTTAATCCAGAATGAGCCAAGCCACCAAGAACACCAAGTGCGGAGTTGAAACTTGGTCTTACGTTCCTCACGGCACGTAATTCTTCGTAGGCCCATGATTGTTTGAAATTAGATTCATATTCCGACAATACAATCGCATCATTGGCAATTTGATTCTCAAATTCTTCTTCATCGTCTAATTCCAAGTCCTGTATACGTTCAAATATAGCTTCAGCAGCAAGGATTCCTGATTTAATGGCGGTATGCGTGCCTTTAATCTTAGGCACATTTAAAAAGCCCGCACCACACCCAACCAAGACTCCACCGGGGAAATACAACTGAGGAATACTCTGGTACCCCCCTTCATTTAACGCCCTAGCGGCGTATGAAATACATTTACCTCCTCGCAACACATCGGCATAGTATGGATGCGTCTTCATTCTTTGGAATTCTTGATAGGGCGAGATGTAAGGGTTAGCGTAATCTAACCCAATCACTAGCCCCACGGCAACTAATCCATCACCGAAATGATAAATAAATCCACCTCCATAAGCTGCTGATTCTTTAGTCAAGGGGAACCCCAATGAATGCCCCACATACCCCGGCTTGAAATTTTGCGGCTCGACTTCCCACACTTCTTTAATTCCTAATCCATAAGTTTGCATATCAGAATGTTTACGTAAATCAAATTTTTTAATCAATTGTTTGGTTAATGATCCGTGACACCCCTCGGCAAACACCGTGACTCGAGCATTGAATTCCATTCCTTTTTCAAATGTATCCTTGGGAGCTCCGTTTTTGTCCAATCCCATATCTTTAGTTGCGACTCCAATAACAACATCTTCAGCATCATTGTAGACGACATCGCTAACGGAAATACCAGGGTACAACTCCACCCCCAATTCTTCAGCCTGTTCACTCAAGTATTTGACAAGATTGTTCAAACTGGTGATGTAGTTCTTTCCCTTGTTGGCCATTTGCGGCGGTTCAGGCAACGGCCAACTTGATTTCTCAGTTAGATACTTCATATGATCTTCAGTTACCTTGGTGACTAAATCAGCCGGTACTGGTATATCTTCACCCGACTCAGGGAACAACTCACGTAAAGCTCTTGGTTCAATTACAGCACCACTGACTATATGACTACCAAAATCAGCTGCTTTCTCCAATACAACTACTCGTTTATCGCCATTTCCTTGTTCGTTATCCAATTGCTTCAACTTTATCGCCGTGGCTAACCCTGCAGGACCTGCTCCCACTATACACACATCCACATTATCCTTGGGCCTTTCTTGATTTAGTATCTCTAGCTGCTCTTCAGTCAAGTTAGCTAGACGACGTTGTGAAGTGTGCAATAGTCTAGTAGAAAAGATGGTGCGCCGGTGAGTAGTTATATGACGATGGTAATGTTGCAGTTGACGAGTCAACGCTCGCGTGGTTACAGTTGTAGGTGACTTTAGGAGCCTCGAAAACATGCTGTATATGATAATAAGTTAAATAAATAAACGGAAATGGGAGGTGGTTGAAGTAGTCTTTTTGAGGCTTGCGCTACGACTCATTTAAGGAAAGTGAAAAATTATTTTGACTCAGTTCAATAGTATCCTGCATATAGCTTCAGGCACCCGTGACAAATCAAAATGCATAAATTAATCATCACTGGAAACCAGGAGAAATGATGAAAGTAAAGCCGGTACGGTATGTATGGGGTATTTCTGAGGAGGAGAGGGTGCATCGGATGTAATATGAATGTATGTACAGAGCGGTTTACCTGTTGTGTCTCTTTTTGTTTTACAATGGTTTACAAAATTTGCATTGTTTTGAATTGAATACTTGCTTTAAGTGGCTATACAATCAAACTATTTACGTGGAAAACATTAAACAGCCGATGACACCAGAGCTTACAAAGAATTAGCAGAAGGAGTCTCGCTATGTAGTACAACGGGGTCAAAACTTATCCAGCAGTTGTTATCACCTTGTACTATTTGACTTCAAAACTTCTGAATTTTGGTGACAGCAATGGCCTTTCATATTTTCTTTAAATAAGTAGTAATATCTACCATCTACTACTGTTGCTCTTAGACATGATGTATTAAGATCAACCTTCTCGGTAAATATCAACAGTTCGGTGTGTAAGTCATATTTTGCATCTCCCTCCTATAATGCGCAAGCGCAAGCGCAAACCCTATACACATCAATATCACTAATATGTCATTCCAACAGGAAAGTTACAACCTTGCCTACTCTTGCATCAATTTTGTATTCCCTTTGAATGGCTAAACAATTTCAACCCCGTCCAAGAAATAAAAGCCCACCACCAAAACGCAACATAAATACACCATAATTTAATCACAAGATCATCAATTATTTGGAAAATGTGCGTTAACTGTTCATGTAGTGATGTCCCTGCCATTGGCGATATTATGAATTGCCAAAGTTGGAAAAATGAATTTATAGTAATGATGAAAAGTAACCATGTTGAGACTAAAATTGCGTAGCCGTAAAGCTTCAAATTGGGATAGTACTCATATGATTCATTGGAATTGTGAGAAGTGGTAGTTGATGGCTCTTTAGTTGCCATGTAAGATGGTATATTTATGGTGTTGTCTTTTCGATATGTCTAGTTTTGGCGATAAGTATGACTTCTTTTTCTAGTGAGCAATGTTTTTAACGCAAGTACACGACTTATACAAATACGCGTAATTTTGGTTGAATGGTTGAAAAAACATTGGAGATATGTTCGAAACCAGTGTTTTTAGAGATGATAGTAAGTATTGATAGAGAGAAGGGTTTAAATTCTACAAATTGTATCAGTTTAAATTAAATAATACCTTTATTATAATATATATAAAAACGCATATAAATCGACCTGCAAATTGCTCTATTAAAATTCACACATATCCAAAACGATACAAGAACAGCCTATTTGATGTGATTAAAATTTGTGGGGGAGTATGATGACTTCAACACTGATTTTTTTATAGAAAAGTGTGTAACATGCGATAAATACATAATAAAGTTGTCATGTGATGAGCAGATAAAAGTGGAGATAATGTTATACTTCTGCCAAGTATGGTACATGTGAGAGTATTGCTATAATTGAGGAGGAACAATACAACTTGTGGGGTTTAACATAATGTAAGAAAATAGTGAAAGGTATTTTGCAACAACAGTATTGTATGTTCAGGGATAACACCAAAAACTTGAAACAATTTCAAATATTTTTTGTTTATTTTTCTGTATTCATAGACAACACCTGTTGCTATATGTGTGTTGTATTTTGATGTAAAAATCACTGTAAATCTTTTCAATGTCTGTTGTCAATCAGAATACTCCACTCCGACCTGTAAATCTCCAAATATATTACTACTATCATCAATTAGTCATATGATAGATACCCCTGAAGGCAAGCTTTGAAAAAGATGTCGTATGAAACAGTTTGTAGTAGATGGGTGGGTAGATATAAATACAAGAAGTAGTTCTTAATATACAGAGAAGGGATATAGTGACTATTTATAAACTTCTCAGTACACCTTTTTGTAGTACATAAAATACACACCCACCCACATGTATCACATTTGTAAATATATTCAGCAGAAATATTTGTGGGGGTAGTTGTGTGTGGCGTTTTTTTAATTGCTTTGAAGCAAATTGTGTCGTACGGTACTATTAGAACCAAATGTGGTTGTAAAAAGGGCATTCATTCTTCCCCACCTACTACTATCCTTAACTTTTGTAATGTATCAAACACTCATAGGAAAGGATTACAGATGTTTTCAACTAATTGAAGCCTCTTAGCTTTTGATTAATCTTAGTTGACAAAAGTAAAGTCTGTCGATATAAAGGTATACTGTAAGCAAATTTATATTTGCATTATAAAGGTATACTGTAAGCAAATTTATATTTGCATTATAAAAACACACACACCGTATTTCGTTCCTTGAATTTGAAATGATATCATCACCAAGTATTATTCAGATATGATCTAGTAGGGTTGACTTTACAACAACCACAACAACACCACACTTTGGTTTGAAATTACGCAATAAATTACGCTTCCCCTTTTGTCAAACAACGTAGCTTTACCTCAACTACTTTTGTTGTAGAGCTAGAAAGTTAAGGTTTACAACATTCAGCAGTATAAATGTATATATGAACTAAATAGTGTTACACCATAGAGTACAGGTGTTACCAATGGACAGGCGTAGTTGGACTGTTAGTGGATGATGTATAGTTTTACTCTGTTAAGAAAGTGGTTGGGTGAAGTACTATTAAAGTATCTCACATTTGCTGGGTAGAGTTGTTCAGAGTTCATTGTTATCAAGTATGTAATTCACTCCTTAATACGACTAGACATAGAGATATCGTACAATTTTGATTACAGAAATAATACCTGTCTTACACTTTGAAGTTTAATGATTACAAATAAAAGCATAAAGACGACGAAAATACTTACTTTCATAATCTTCAATATGTAACCGACCTTAACAACCTGTTGTTGGAAGATTTAATGCTGCAGCCCTAAAGTTCTACTCCGAAAGTATGTGTTGATCTAACTCAGATATCTTGAGATAAATGGGGCTCATGATCAACACACACTCAGTCTAGTGAAGACCAAAATTCCTAGTGTAACAACATTATATATGGAACATGGTGATTACTTTTGAAGTAGCTTCCATTCTCTCCTTTCTCTAGACACTAGCGTAAGAACTGAATGTATTATCATCGTAAAAAGAACTTTAAGCAAACAAGGAGTGATATCCTTAAAGAAATAAAAGAAAAAGTAAAGTTTATAAAAATTGAAGAACTTTGCAGTACTCTTTATAGTTTTTTATATTTATTTTATTTTCATTTTTTATTTGAATTATAATTTTTTTCCCTTCCCCTCTTTGTCTTTGTCTATATTATTATTTGGTTATTGTCCTGTGTAGTCATGATAAATGTATTTCAGTGGGATTTGATTTGATGGTTTAAACAGACCTTTTGCTAAACGACCACCACAAAAGAAATTCTCAAATACCCCTTTGTTTATTAGTATCCAAAAAAGATCTAACTGTTTATCTACAGTTACATTGTAGAGGCTTACTACTTCTTCACTACATATTCAAGTAAAAATCTAGTTTCAAATTGCTTGCTGTGGAAGAGACTAGAGAATTGTCAAAACGAAGAGTAGAACTACTATATAAAGTAGTCAAGAAAATCAAAAAATAAATTGAATCAAACTAAATGCTCTAACTAAGCAATACCGAAATATAAAATCACTTTGTGAAACGAAAACGTACTAAAAAATCCCCTACTCCCTGCTCTCTCAAGAACTAAGAACGTAGTTGTAGCTTAAAAATAAGTAATTGAAAATACCGAAACAACAAAAACTTAGACCGATAAAATGATCAAAGCAGAACTGTCATTAAATCAACACAACAGCAGCAGCCATTAAAACAGCACCTATGGAATATTCCATAGCAGTACCAGAACCGGCAAGTGCCGAGATCTGAGGAAGATTCAGTTCAGCTGATGATGATGACGACGAAGCTTCGCCTGATTCACCCACAGAAACAACTTGTACCGATGGTGATGGTTTCTCCGTTGATACAGCACTCGATCCAGGAGTAGGCCCATTAGCACCACCAGAAGGTGCATTACCATTACCTGATGATCCATTACTGGCTTCACCACTACTACCTGTAGATCCTGGACTCGATGCACTTCCAGAGCCAGAGCCAGAGCCAGAGCCAGAGCCAGAGCCAGAGCCAGAGCCAGAGCCAGAGCCAGAGCCAGAGCCAGAGCCAGAGCCAGAGCCAGAGCCAGAGCCAGAGCCAGAACCGCTGCCAGAACCAGAACCACTGCCAGAACCGCTGCCAGAGCCAGAACCACTGCCAGAACCACTGCCAGAACCACTACCAGAACCACTGCCAGATCCTGGACTATTGCCAGAACCGCTGCCAGAACCAGAACCACTGCCAGAACCGCTGCCAGAGCCAGAACCACTGCCAGAACCACTGCCAGAACCACTACCAGAACCACTGCCAGATCCTGGACTATTGCCAGAACCGCTGCCAGAACCAGAACCACTGCCAGAACCGCTGCCAGAGCCAGAACCACTGCCAGAACCACTGCCAGAACCACTACCAGAACCACTGCCAGATCCTGGACTATTGCCAGAACCGCTGCCAGAACCAGAACCACTGCCAGAACCGCTGCCAGAACCAGAACCACTACCGGGTCCATTGTTAGTTCCAGATCCATTACCAGGCGCATTATTAGGACCTTCAGTAATGGTTGAAGTAGATGCTTCTCCTGTTAAAGGACAATAAGTTGTGTATACAGTAGTACCTTCGGTGATTACAGTTAACCCTGTAGTTTCTGTAATTGTGGAACAGCCTCCATGTGAACAGGAGGTGATGGTAATAACTGTAGTGGATTGAACGGTTGAAGTTTCAATGATGGCGGTGAATGTTGGAGCTGAAGAGGTTGGAGGGTGTGCCGAGGAACTTGGTGGATGAGAAGAGCTTGGTGGAGCTGACGAGCTTGGTGGTTGGGATGAACTTGGTGGAGCCGACGAGCTTGGTGGAGCAGACGAGCTTGGTGGTTGAGATGAACTTGGTGGTTGAGATGAACTTGGTGGAGCTGACGAGCTTGGTGGTTGGGATGAACTTGGTGGTTGGGATGAACTTGGTGGAGCCGACGAGCTTGGTGGAGCTGACGAGCTTGGTGGAGCTGACGAGCTTGGTGGTTGAGATGAACTTGGTGGAGCTGACGAGCTTGGTGGTTGGGATGAACTTGGTGGTTGGGATGAACTAGGTGGTTGAGATGAACTAGGTGGAGCTGACGAGCTTGGTGGAGCTGACGAGCTTGGTGGAGCAGATGAACTTGGTGGAGCAGATGAACTAGGTGGAGCAGATGAACTAGGTGGAGCAGACGAGCTTGGTGGAGCAGATGAACTAGGTGGTTGGGATGAACTAGGTGGTTGGGATGAACTAGGTGGTTGGGATGAACTAGGTGGAGCTGACGAGCTTGGTGGTTGGGATGAACTTGGTGGTTGGGATGAACTTGGTGGAGCTGACGAGCTTGGTGGTTGAGATGAACTTGGTGGTTGAGAAGAGCTTGGTGGAGCCGACGAGCTTGGTGGAGCTGACGAGCTTGGTGGTTGGGATGAACTTGGTGGTTGGGATGAACTTGGTGGTTGAGATGAACTAGGTGGAGCTGACGAGCTTGGTGGAGCTGACGAGCTTGGTGGAGCAGATGAACTTGGTGGAGCAGATGAACTAGGTGGAGCAGATGAACTAGGTGGAGCAGACGAGCTTGGTGGAGCAGATGAACTAGGTGGTTGGGATGAACTAGGTGGTTGGGATGAACTAGGTGGTTGGGATGAACTAGGTGGTTGGGATGAACTAGGTGGAGCTGACGAGCTTGGTGGTTGGGATGAACTTGGTGGAGCTGACGAGCTTGGTGGTTGGGATGAACTTGGTGGAGCTGACGAGCTTGGTGGTTGGGATGAACTAGGTGGAGCTGACGAGCTTGGTGGAGCTGACGAGCTTGGTGGAGCTGACGAGCTTGGTGGTTGGGATGAACTTGGTGGAGCAGATGAACTAGGTGGAGCAGATGAACTTGGTGGAGCCGACGAACTTGGTGGAGCCGACGAACTTGGTGGAGCCGACGAGCTTGGTGGGGTTGACGAACTAGATGGTGGGGTTGACGAACTAGATGGTGGGGTTGACGAACTAGATGGTGGGGTTGACGAACTAGATGGTGGGGTACAGTCACAATCCCAGCAGAACTGTTTAAATCCCCAATGGTTATGAGTGCAACTATTCAACAAATTAATCAAAGTATTCAAACTTCTCTTATCAAACGTAGTTACTTGACCAACATCTTCACCTTCTTCAACTCCATTATTTCTCTTGTTGAACGACAATTGTTGACTAAACAAAGATGTTGGATCAAATGTTGATACAAAACCAGCCCAAACATTAACATTATAGTAACTTGTTGCTTGACCAAAAACTGAATTCAATGCTTGCCATCCAAGACCAGTTTGTTTAAAATTGTACCAGACCTTAAATCCATCCGGGAGGCAGCACTTTCCATTCTTTATTTGAGGTTTGCATTGAAATTTAGTTGACCATTTGAATGGATTAGTGATTGGGCTGTTACCACCTTGGCTATAAATGTTGGCATCATTGACACCGGTGCCACTAAAGTATACTTGATTAATGTTTTGGGCAAAGTTATCATTCAATTGATCGGATTGATCAGCTTCGTAGTTGGCAACAACATTGTAAGTACCATCGCCATTCTTCTCAACACCAGAAACAACAAAAGCAGCATTGAAATTGACATTGTTGTATTGGGGGTTGTAGGTGCTGTCGCAATAATAATCATTTACTGTACATACAGGTTTTGTGTTTGGTGGAGTGCAGTCGTGGAATGAATTCTGAAAGAAAACGAACGATGCTTGTGTCGAACACACAAGGTAGACAAACAACTGGGTAGTCGAGAGTTTCATGGTGTAGGTTGAGCGATTGACAAATTTGATGATGGTGTCATTATAATGTTGAGCTCTGGGTATTTGAGAAATGTGACTCTTTATATAGTCTTTGGTTTGTATTGCGTGCCCTTGTTTAATTTCATCTTTGAAGCATACAAATTTGCTGTGGTGCACAATTGAAACTAGGTAATCCTTGCCCGTAGTCAACCAATGTCATGCTCAATATTGAGCCTTTCGTTTTTTTGTAAATGAAAGCAACAGGAGGCGTATGAAGATCCCATAAACCACAAGCATTCAATTTGGTGCTACTGTTGCCATTTTTGGTCATATTAGATCCATAAATGGTCGATTTGAAAACATTATTCCTCCTTGAAACGTTTTCCTTTGGAATTTATGTATTGCTAGCTGCCGTTGTATATAGGTGTAGCGTAGTCATAAAACTTGTTGCCAGCATGTGAAGTGTATCTGTTTTGTTTGTTGTTCGAAGTTCAGGGTTTAAACTTTTTGTTTGTTGTTCTAGTCGTTGAGTAATTTAAAAGCGCACGTTCGCTTAAATTAATGCAAAGCCTAATTTCTTTTGTTTCTAGAGTTGAGTCTTACGAAAAAGGGTCCAGCCTCGTGAAAGTAGACTACACTTTTTTTGGCGAAAAGTAAATACTCCAAAAGATTCTCAACAACTGGAGTTTGTATCTAGAAAGATGTATCACACATATTGAGAAAAAGAATTTTGCAAAATAAGAGTAGAACCGTCTTACAATACGTTGTTTTTAAGATTTTTTAGTAGCTATAGGCTAAGTTTAAAGGTAACCGATCCTGCACGTTTGACCACAAAAAGTGATCTACAATACGATTGCTTATGCCTCTCACTTAGTCGCAGATGGGGAAATTTATTTTGTGGGCTGACCACAAGTGATTATGCAGGACTCAAGACGACGGTACGCGTGTTGTTAAAGATCCGTTCTGAGGCAGTTCCATTTACGATAACTGAAATTCAAAACTCTTTCTATATACTTGCGATAACAGGATGAAATTCGAGGCGAAACGCAGTGATAATTGTTATAAGTAACTAGTACACCATTTTGTGTCGCTGATCAGTACCACTCTTCGTAAATGAGCAAATTGTTTTTGTACACCTTTGCTTCGTAAGTAGGTGTTGTTGGGGGAAAGGGGCGAAGGATCAAAACACCCACTTAGCCATAAAGTCCATTGATACTAGGTAAACACTACATTGAGATCTTTGATATACAAGGTAATAGTATCCGCTTCTGCTTCTTCAGCTTATCTTTTACTTCAACTTTGAACGGTTTCTCGCCGATATTTTCTTGGCTGTAACGTATTGAAGTGATTTCGGGATATAAATCAATTTCCCTAAGATAAATAGAAATAAGCTTACAAAGTTATAAAAACGTTTCTGGTTAAAGAAAACATCTTTTAAATTCATTATCCATTTTGCTTTGATAGTGTGAACGCCCCGGTGTAAACTTACAAGTAACAGTTCCGTAATTCTTGCTGATAATAAGGCGGCGAGTTACAGGGTGCACAATACAACACAAAACCGAGATTGTACTATAATTTCATGTGAATCACTTCGTATTACCGTACCTTCAGCTGAAAGGAGCCCCCCCCCCCCCCAGCTTGGTTGCCTCACTGGTTGAATGGAAGGGGAGGTATTTTCATTTCAGTGTGGGTTTGCAAGTACAAGTGTTGTTAATATTTCTCTATGGCTTTAGTTATGAACCTCAGGGGGAACACTCCATCATCGCAACATATTTCGTAAAAGAGGCCAGTGGAACTACTATTGAACTTGGAATCGATCCTAACAAAAAATATATATTCAAAAAGAAGCAACTTCTCTAGTGAAAAAAGACTGTCTAAAAATTTTATTATCTAAGATACCCATATGGTCAAACTACGACCATCACCCAAATCATCAATCGCCAAATTCCAATCTTCATTTGAATCCATCACGACAAAATCGCCATCTTCATCTTTATACCGCAACTTACTCACCAATATATCCTCTTTAATCAAATCATTCGTGGCCACTTCACCCGATATTTTTTGATACAATTCATTGAATCGAATTTGATTACTGACGACTAATGGGTCAGGAAGCTCTAGCCTATTATAGATGAGTTTGACCTTGATGTCAAATTGTGGCAATGGCAAATGGGGAGCCGATGCCGATGAAGGCGTAGTTGATGCAGTAGTGTGGGCGTTGGAGTTGGATCCTGTTGATGAAATGCGTGACAAGTCACCCGACTTGACTCGTGTGCTTGGTTGCATCATACTGTATGTCGATGAAGAGGAGTAGTGTCTTTGCTGTGGTGGGTGTCCCGAAGATGACCGTTGATCATTGTAAAAATTCTGAGGCGACTCTGCCGTGGTATTATTTGACCCGTTGTAATCGTAAATCGACGAGTCATTGGTGTTTACTGAAGATTGAGAATCGCGGAGTTTGCGACTAAGATGATAATTCATTTCATTTGTTTTCAAGTTGCGGAGACACTGCTCCCATTGATTGCGCGTTTCTTCATTACGATACCTCAACTTGAACGATCCACTTTCCTTTTTGCCCGACCACGAAATCACCAATGTATATCCGTGATTGGATGAGGCGCTAATATTGTATATCTCCAGGATATACACACGTCCTTTCAACTCCAAGGGACTAGAATCATTAGTTCCACTGTTGATTGATTCTAAAAGGTTAGCTGTTGACGAACTCAATCCAGCACCAGAAACCTTCCGTAACCCAAGCTTAAATTTCTTCTCATGTTTTTCTTTATCTTTATCCAGCTCAACAAAGAAGAAAATGATTTTTTCAAAAAGGTACGCGACATATTCCTTTTCAGTGTCAGCATCGCGAACCCCCACTATTCCATGGTACAATAACTCACCTTGATCTTTTAGATTGAATCCACGCCAGTTCTTAACTCGCTCTACTAGTTTGCGTAAATACTCGACATTTTCGGCTCTTCTTTGTGCCTCATTGACTCGATTGGCCACTTCCTTCATTGCTTCTTGTGCTGCCAAAAGTTCATTATGCGAAGCAAATGCCGCATCCAGTAGATCATCCGATGAACCAAAACCCTCTTGCGATGTCTTGATCAATTCTTTCAATAGCAATGGGTACTTGCACAACCGCTGTATTGGCTTGAGGATATATGACTGTAGTTCAAACCCTGGGTCAATTAAAGTGGATGATTTTTTCAAGTTGGCAGCTTCTTTATTTATGAGTTCAATTGCCGTTAGTTGACCAATAGTCCATGGCTCATAAGTTTTAAAAGGACCAAGACTGGCGTGGATAAACACTGATCCTATTCTTTGATACCTAACAGGTACATTTATATTACATTCCAATCCATTTAAAAACCGTCTTTGGAAATCAACAATTTCGTTCAAGCTGGGAAACAATGTGTGTATTTGTTCTGATGATAGCAATTCTGCTTCAGCTAGTTGATTTCTATAAGTAACCATTAATTCCAAATCTTGAACGTATTTCCTCTCCGTTTCTATAATTTCTCTAAACACTTTGGAACGTTCATCGGTGATTTTCACCTCGACATTCAAATCATCTAGCGAGTCGTTCATCGAAGGTGCCTTTTGCCCATCTAGTAACTTATTCACCACGGAGATTATCTTTAGTAAATCTTGCGTACTATCTGAAAACACATTAGATATAGTAAACAATTCATCATCTTCAAATTGCAAGTTCAACTTCATAGCGATGATAAACTCGTAAACGGATTTCTTGCACACTCGTTGATCATCGGCACTGACAACCGTTAGCTTATGATCAGATGAAATCGTATTAAATAAAAGACACAAGGGTGCTCCTTGTTGAAATAGTTGCCACAATTGTGTTGCTGGATCCACACTTATATTGAGTGGTAACACACCGGCAGTGAAAGTCAAAAGACTGTCAGCAATGCTGCTGCCACTGCTACCTTGTGAACCACTGGTCCTGTTTGTAGTATCAGTAGTTAATGTTCCACTTCCATGCGAACTAAATGACGACATTGATAGTCTACTCATTGACTCGGTGTTCTTTTCCTGAGCCAAGGATAACGATTGTTGTTCACATAATTTCTCTGCCTTGTTGAATGCCAAATCCAAGAATGGTGGCATACCTTCAATGTTTTGCAACCTCCTTTTCAATGCCTCACATTTGTAGAATAAATGGTCCTGGGGTGAACTTTGTTTATTAAAGTTGTTTATATTTAGTGGGCCTGAAGAGTTTATCCGTGAAACAGTTGGAGATGAGTTATTACTGAATGATCTGTTTGATTGCAGTGAAAATGAGCGGGAAGGCTCAGTACGTTTTTCTTGTCTTGACATGGAATCGCTAATGTGTTGGGATCTAGTGTAGTGGTATAAGTATATATATATGTATATTGTTCTGTCTCGTTAGTTAAAGAGACAATTGGGGGAGGGGGGGGACGAATATAGTGGGTGTGACTGTTAATGAGTTGAACTCTTTCTTTAACTGTGAAGCGATAGTTAATAGTTATACTTATTTTAGATAATGGTTTTGTTGTTGTTGTTGTGGTGGTGGTGACGGTGGTGATGTTGGTGAAGGCTTGTGGTTGTTGTTTATTTAATTACACGCCCAAATATGATTAATTAATTTTTTCTTTTGGTCTCTGTCTATGTTTTGTCTCTGTTGAAGTTTTTTGTTAAAATTTTTTCTTTTTTCTTTTCCGGTTCCTCGTCTCTTTTTATCTCCTATTGAGATTCTATTTATCGTCTTTTACTGACTTTGTAGAGTGTAAAAAAAGGAGATTACAATTATAGAACAGTCGTAGCTTTAGGCAATTCTACTGTTACCGAAATGATAATTAACCGCTTGTTCTAAGGGTGGAAAATAAAAACAATTGACCGCTTGTACAGTATTGTTTTATGGATTCTGTGTCGTGTCATAAATTCAGTTGTCAAAAATAACAAAGTATACGCTACCAATTATTATTTCCTGCATATAACTTACACTATAAAGATAATCACAGATTTCTATAATCAATTAATAATTCTAATCATCACTACCACTACATCCATACCAATCAGTAATTATCCCACAAAATGCTACAAATAGCAGAAGGTTTGTACAACACCAACCCATCAACCACACTCCAGCTTACTAACTATCCCTCCCTAGATGACCAACTAAAGGACATGTGTCCCATTTGTAAAACTGACAAATACCTATCACCCAATATGAAATTCCTCATCAACCCTGAATGTTATCATAAAATATGCGAATCATGTGTTGATAGGATATTTTCACTAGGTCCCGCTCCATGTCCATATCCTAAATGTGGCAAAATACTTCGAAAGAATAAATTTAAACAACAAATATTTGAAAACTTGTTCATTGAAAAAGAAATTGATATTCGACGTAAAGTTGGCGCCATATATAACAAGACGGAAGAAGATTTCCCCAATTTAAACGAATATAATCAGTATTTGGAAAGTGTTGAGGATATAGTTTTCAAATTAAGTAATGGTATTGATGTTGACAAGACTGAAGCAGAATTAAACCAATATGAACAAGATCATCGAATAGAGATTATTGAAAAGACGATGCGAGAATCGCAAAAGAATGCAGATTTAATAAAGTATCAAGATTCAATGGAACGGTTAAAACAAGAGAAATTAAAGATTCAAAAAAGAATGGAATTGGAAGATTTGGAATTTTCAAAATTACAACAACAAGATTTGTTGGATCGAATGGCTAATAGTTCAATGACTAGTGAAGAATTGATTAAACAACAACAAAATCAATTATCAAAGAGGAATTCGCAACGTAAACGACAATTGCAACAAATTAACAACCAGCTCGATCAACAATTTAGTCAAACCAATCCATTATTGAGGAACCAACTGGGAGATGAAGATGCTGTCAGTTCAACGGTTCCATTCACTCCATTTCAAGGTGATAGAGAAGTTAACAAGAAATACCGCATGTTGCAAGTGCCGCAAACCATTGATGAGATTATGAATATTGAAAACCACACAAAGGGAAGCTATCATGATCCATACGTGTTTGGATTGGCCAAGAATAAAGAGTATTTAGGTGCTGGGTGGAGAATTGGCAATGTGTTTGAACATGCGTTGGATGAAGCATTTATGGGCCTTGGATGTAATATAGAAGTAGAGAAATCAGTACTGGTATAGAAAAGTAAAGTAGAGAATACAATGGATTTTTCTATTTTTTTTTATCTTCGAGGCTATGGTTGCGAAAAAGTAATAGATTTTATGTATCTGTATAGGTTTCTAAAAGTCTATGAATTTAACTTCGGGATGATAATAAGTAGGACATGACCAATAACTTCTCTTTACATTATCCCAAACACTTGCACCAGATTCATCAGTGTCTCCATTTGCTTTCTTAGTACCAGAAAATAAAGTATCGGGTACATCAACATCACTAAATTTACACAGCAATCCATAATTTTCCAAATCCAACTCAACCAATTTCTTGTAAACCTGATAAATCACTTGTCGATCGGCTCCTAACCCATTGAAGAATGAAAATACACCATGGGGCTTAAGCAACCCCACCACCAAATCAAATAAATCCAACATATCGGAATAGTGCTCAGAGAATGTATCATAGTAAATACCATTGAAGAAGGTACCTTGGCTCAACAATTTGGGCAATTCATCTTGCCAACGGCCGGCAAGTATAGTTACGTTAGGCTTATTATACCATCCATCAGTTTGTAGTTTTCTTAACACGTCAGGATGAGCTTCGCAGATGTAATGATGGGTAGGGTGTTGTGCCTGAATCATGGTATCGATGATGCCCATGCCGAAACCAATGTTTAAAATGTTGATTTCGGAATCGAGTTCTTGCGAATTGCTGTTGTCGCTGACGATGTAGGACCCTTTGAAGAGCGTGTTGGCGCCTAGTTGCATTATATCTGATTCCCACGACATCATTACTCCATCTTTGCGATCTTTTGTTATTAGGGCATCATTAACGTATTCCAACTTGGTGTTGAGATATGATTGTTGGTTATGCGAGGGTGCATCCGGTTCATCATCTGGTTCCTCCGTAGATGTTACACCAGTTGTTTCTTTTCCAATTGGCTTTGCTTCAGTTACATCATCAGTCAGGGTGTCATCTGTTGCCTCTTTACTGACCTGTGCAAATGCCACATGGTCTAAATCTTCAGTATCACTAATCACTTCCATATCGTACTCACCCACTTTTCTCAACAACAATTCGGCCCTTACTCCAGCATCAACAATCTGCAGGTATATTGGCAAGGTGTCCAAACCTCTTTCAATTAATATGCAGCCAGGTGTATTATTGTTTATATCAGTGAAAGACCACCCGGCACCATATTCAAACAAGATCTCGACAAGCTGCGATACAATTGCCGACTCTTCATCATTGATATCTTTTGGTACATGCGTACATATCAAATGCAATGGTGTTGTTGTTGTTGTAGGTTCCTCTTCTAGGCCATTGGTGAAGTTGTATGCTTCTTCAACGGTATAAGTGGCGGGGATTCCATTCTTTAAGTAATAGTTTAAATTATCAACATAGACTTTAGTTATGGGACGTTGGGGGAACTTACATAAAGCATGTAGATCTGACATATTATTTGGTTGATGTGATTGTAGTGTATACGCGAGAGGCAGTAGGGTGGGTAGGTTAAGTCGGAGTTAATTCAGCACTATGAAGCTTTTTTTTCTTCTACTTTTTCTATGATGATCATCTCAAGGGTCCCCCTCGCACACATACACACTCTCTTCTTTGTCATTTTGGTAAACGCTACCAATTTGAGTTGTTAGACGACACACCAATTATGGTTTTAAATGGGAAACATCAGCTGGTGTTTAAACTTAATAATGTGCTTCCTTTTTTAATACATAAAGCATTAAATGACCTTTTAGTAGAAATGAGGTTCAGAAGCGCGTATTGCCTACGCAAGTTTTTTTTTTGGCTGATTTATGTTCTGCGTAGTCGAAGTCGATACAATGCATACCTTAGAGGAGACTACCGAAGAGGCGTTCATGTGTTCCCTTTTTTTCCTTTCTAAAATATTCAAATGCATATGTAGTTTTAATGCAGGGTAGTTGAAGTGACAATATCATGTTGTAAAGTGAAAACATTCGCTATAACAGCCACCACCTGTTGGAGGTTCGAGTAACAACGGACGGACATATATTTTAAGAACAATTCCGCTGGTTAAATTGAACCTAAAAGCCCCACTTAAACAAATCGTAAAAGGGTTAGAATACGGTTTTTGCCGATCCCTGAATAAAAGGGGGTGGAGAAAACCAATTACGAGCGGGTGTGTCTTTTTCCCTTTTAATGGCTAAAGAATCTGAGTTGCGCAGCTGCATAATGTTTCCAAATTAGTACATATACTAAAAACAATGCATGCATAGTTGTTGGGTTAGGGTTACACGTTTCATAATAAGGAGAGCGTCTTTGAAAGAATAGTGAAGCCTGAGTTGAGCTACCGAGGTCGTAACTTCTAATTTAAAGAGTAGACCCAATACATTCCTTCATTCATTTATTACCTATTTTCCAATTGCAATACTTTGTAGTTGGTGGATATAATTTTGTTATTTTATGTATGGGGTTTTTAGATGGTATGCAGCTGGTGCATGACTGCGCGGCATAAATCGTATGTTTTTTTTGCAGCTTGTGCATTACTTACTTACTCACTTACTTACTAACAAGAAAACAAACGTACAAACAGAAATTAAAAAGAAAAAAAATAAAATAATAATAATAATATCTAAAAATAACCTTAATCAGGGTTTTTTATTTTTTTCTAAAGGCTGCAAAATCTTAACTTCACCTACAGCAGCTACTCTACTTTTTCTTCTACCAAACAAACAAACCCGTTTCCATAAACTCTTCCTAATCACCATCAACTTTAATACTAACTTTAGTAAAAAGAAATAAACTAGAAGAGAAAGTTTTTAAAATAAACACAGCCTCTTTCCTGTCAGCTTCAAACATCAGTACAGAAGAAGAGCTAGCATTTACCTCAGCGAGTCATGCAATTTAGATTGATGGCGCTTTTGGTTTACATGTATACCTGAAAATTAACGACTTTACAATATTATTACTAATCATCTCATAAAGATACATCTTCAATCAAAGTGTTCTTTACATTTATTATATACCCAAAATGCTGCCACTACTGCAGTCCAAGTCAATTGTTGCATTTCTTTTTCCTGCTTTGTGTATTCGCTTGTTGACTAAAAAATAGAATAATGTAACATCATTTCAAACGTCAAATACCGATACAATATGCAATTTTGATAAATGAGAAACTCTTCGTCTCAAATCAAATGTATCTAGCACGCCTTTAAGTCTAAACTGCCCTAAACGGTAACATAAACGGTTAGAAAGAAAAGTCTTTTTTGAAGCATGTATCCGCAATTGGGTTCGTTATGAAAAGAGAACACAAAGGGTTGCACAAGAGCGGTGTTACTCTTAACCTAAATGTAACCAGCATAGTTCTGTATTGTACTAAATAATAGAGTTTTTATCGTAAATGCATATGTAATAGTGAGAGATCCCTCTTGTCCTCTAGAATATGAAAAGCAAAAACCGTAGTAGACAAACACGAATTAAAGAGAAACAGAACAAACCAAATAGAAACTAATATTTTGACACACCAACCCACTTTTTTTTTTTTAATTACCGATCCAATGTCATACAAAAAAGAATGTTTCGATATATTATATAACCGACAACAAGAATGAATAAGAGTGAATAAAATAAATCACAACTTCCACAAAAGGCGGTAGACTCCCACTTTCCCATCCACAATCAACAATGTTGGGTCTTTTGTATATTATGTCTATTTTTAGGTTTTAACCTTTTAAACTTGTATAATACTTTCTTTTTTCTTAACTAATCCTTCAAATAATAGACGAAAGCAGAAATTTAATGTGCTCTCTGCATCAATTGTCTATTACTAACCTTTTTTGGTGGTTGCATAATGATACCTTTTGAAAAGTCGGTTTCCTCTTTAGAACAGAGCCAGTAAATTAAATAAAGCTTATCTTTGATGGTTGATACTGGAGAAAGATTTTCTATTCTTTAATGTCTATTCTCTTTTTTTTGTATTGGGGTTTCTTTTTCGGTTTTTGATTCGCTTTTTTTTTGTTTTTAAGCGCTGAACGTTTTTGTTAATTTTTACAAATGATGCAGTGGACTGATCTTCAACTGACATTTTGTGTGACATTTGTCATTGATAAATGAGACAAGTCATTACTTTGTGGCTCATATCAGAGTAAGCCACTTAACTGATTTACTCTGAACTACTCCCTACTCTCTTCTCTCTACTAACTAACGTATTACCCAACAGATATGGAAATGTGAATTTATCATATGTGCAAGGTCTTATTTCTTTTTCCTTATTTAATCTCATTCTTAAGTTCATATGAGTATTCATATGAATTTAGTGGGTAGTATCCTCATAAGCAGCAGTGTCTACTTTAATTTTTAAACTACAACATCACAAAGTATATGAACCCTAATTATTACTAAGTTTAGTAAAGCAGTTGGACTGTACTGGTTTACTCTCAAGTTTTGGTGTTTACCCCGGTGGTAAATCTTCGACCTGTATCGCCAGAAAAAGTTAAAATTCTTGCCAAATACAACCACTCCTAGACCCAGCTAGAAAATCCTTCATAGACCAATTGCGCTTTGTGGTGTTTCTCTAGTCATTTCTTCTTCTTTCAGTTTCTTCCCCAGACCGAAGTGGTTGTGCTTTTTTTCTTCTTCTCTCCATTTTTTTTTCTTGGAAGAATGATGCAGCCAGTGACACTGACTCTGTGATAGAATGGAATTCGCTTTTCATTTTATTCTTCTTCTGTACTCTTGTTCTTCTTCTTTCATCGCCTTTATTTCTTTTTTATTTTTTTATTCATAAGCATCACAAAACTGAGGGGTCAGAAAGAAATTTTTTTTAAAAAAATAAAATACAACCCTTTTGTAAGTCGGACTTTAAAGAGTAGCGGGTCTTATCCTACTTGCATAAGTATACAGACAAGTATAAATATTCCATATCATCATCAACTTTTTCTCATTCTTCCATATATAATATTCACTTTATTTTTTTTATATCCCTAGTGATAGCTTTCAATTCAGTTATTGATATTATTTATCAGTGGTTTCCACTTTGATTTCAGGGTTTTCTTTTTTCTTTTGCTTTTTGACACTTTTTTATCAACATATATCATTCATTGATTATTCACCAAACTTATTATAATTTACCAATAAAAAGAAATTACAGTAAAAGCAACTACTAGTTACAAACAACTTTCTTCAGGTTTATAAAAACACAAATTAGAAACCAATTTGCTCATAACCAAAATAATTATTCACAACCATTTTCTTATATAATCACACATACAAATACAAAGTATAAATGTCATACAAGGACAATCAATATAATTCTTTCTTGACTACCCTGTACGACAACGAACATCAACAAACATTTGAGCAGCAACAATTACAACAACAACGACAAGAGCAACAAGAGCAAGAGCAAGACCTGTTACAGCTACACACCCAGCAAGATCAACGATTTCAGAAGCGAAAGACGATGCAAAACAATAACCAACAAACAAGACTTTACCAACCAACGCCTTTGCAACAGCTGCAACCGATTACCATTGAAACTACTCCAACTTCAAACTCCCAACACTACAAACACACTAGTGCTTCTCGATGTCCTCAAACGCAAGATGATAACCAAAGCGTGACTTCCAATAGCACCGAGCCCCACCAAAGTCCAAACTCAATGCAATTACTCAATAACAAAATTGACTTTGAACCACAACAACTGAATCTGCAACAACAGCAATATAATGTCAAATTGGAAGATAATCTGTGCTTTGCATATAACCCAACACCAGGTTCTGAAAGCTTACTCAAAATAGGACAACAGAACAATTTGGATGATGGTTCTCACAATCACAGGTGTTCTGACTTTCCCGTTGATTTCGATTTTGGACTTAATCCTTCATTCCCGCAATACATGACAAATGGAAGAGCCAAAGCATTAAGCTTACCTTCATCAACATCAATCTCCAATGAATATAATGCTAGTAATTTAATTTATCCTGAGTTACCAAGTAATACTGAATACGTGGATGATACTAATGTTGCTTCATTTGGCAATGCCACCACTGATGCTGCAACTATCATCAATTATAATCAGTTGGAAACAGACTTGCCTATGCAAGGCAATGAGTTTCAGCAACAAAATTTTATGGGAAATGGTACATTATTATTTAGACCCATTGGAATGGTTAGACACAGTTATGAGTCGACTATGGTGGAAAATAATGGGATGATGGGTGGCCCACAACAACAGCCACAGCTGCAACCCCAACAACAATCACTCCAATCACAATCATCCCAACGTGTTTCTCCTCGCACTCCTTTGGGATCGCCTTTAACTGTACAAACTACACCCGCCAACAATAGTATATGTAGTCAGATGAATGGAGAGTTAATGACGAGCATTGATGCAACAATGACAAGCATCAATAATGGTACACAACAACCAGGTGACCTTTCAAGTAATGGCAGTTTAGATGAAGATTCAAACAACAGTTTCCAAGCCCATACCCCCATTGGTGGACTCAACATGTCAAATTCTTCAGTTTCTTCAGCTTCGGTATTATCATCCGTTCAGCCCAATGGCATTGCCACAATGACCAAATCGAGATTACAAAACTTCCGTCCCCGCAGTAAATCGCCCTCATTATCACCATTGACTAATGAGTTGAAACAGTTGCCAACAACACCGTCTGCGCAACCACCTGTTTCGAGGACAACATCAATCAATAGACAAAAGAGAAGGAAATTACCTAAAAGTAACGGTAGTGGTATTGTTGTCAAACAAGAAGCTGATACCATGGAATCATCCTCCTTGTCATTTATGCCATCTCAAGTTACACCCGATCCAACACCAGCAGCATCCACCACAACCTCGTCGTCTTTTGCAACAGCTTTGGCTACATCCACCGCTTCAAACGCCAGTATTTTACGAAGAAGCCATTCAGGACGTCCTCGAGTCAAATCAGCCCATAATGTAATTGAACAGAGATATCGCAACAAAATCAATAACAAATTCAATGCCTTACAAGAATCAGTACCTGCACTCAAAGTATTGCTATTACGCAAATTGCAAGAAAAACAACGATTGCGACTCCAACGACAAAATGGAGAACTATATGATCCAACTACTTACAATGGAGAAGGAGCTGGAGCACCCGGCGAAGACAGCTTATCTGATAATGATGACATGAATAGTACATATGATGGAATCGACATGCTGATTCTTGACGATAAAGAAATTGAAAATATTGATTTAGAAGGTTTAGAACCAGCCAGAAAACTAAACAAGGGTACCATATTAGCTAAATCAATTGAATATATTAAGTTTTTGGAATTGAAAAACGAACGGCTAAAACTGGATCATGAGGCGTTATTGAATAAAGCTAAAATGTTGGGAGTTAATTTTGATGATGGGGATTCAAATATGGGATGAAGGAGTCAAAGTGAAGAGGTTATTATTGTTTACATTTTGTTGAAGTAGTAGGTTAGAGTCAATAGTTATTATTTATATAGAGCCTTTTTAGTACTTGCGATGGGATATGTAGGATCTATTGTAGTAGAGGATCTTGTGGTGGATCTGTATAGATGTGTCGTGTCTCAAACTTGTTAAAAATAACACGACACGATATGACATGACACGACACGACACTGCTGACAAGAGTTAATGCACAGCCACATGTACAGCAGTACAGTTGCTACTTGTACTAGAATGGCACACAGATGAATGATAACCACTTATAGCTTGTCTGTGACAGACGGTGTTGATGCTAAACTAACTCGAGTGTATATCATTGATGGCAAGTAAATAGTGTATGTGTGTTTAGTAATAGGAGTAATTTTATACGCGTCTGTCTGTCTGTCTGTCGTATAAATTGTATGAAATTGATATTGTTTTACTTCTTTTTATACGATAGAATAAGAGTAAGACATCTCAAAAACGAAGAAACAAAAAAAACATAATAAAAAACAAAACACATACACACACGTATGGAAATTTTTCTTCCACTGTTAAATCATACGACTTACCTGTTCATCGTTTAAATCAACCATTAACCATAATAAGTACCTAGTGTATTTTTTTATATAAATAGTAATCAAACTGCTTCCTATTTGTTAGAAAAAGCAAACACCACCTTCATTCGCATTCGCTTGACCATTAAATCATGGCGTTAGTTGACATAGCCCTCGAAGGGTATAATTATTTCATGACGCTCAGCACCCTCCAACAAATTGGTTTGCTTGTGTTCACTCCATTCATTTACAACATTGTTTGGCAACTACTTTACTCACTCAGAAGAGATCGGGTTCCAGTGGTGTTTTATTGGATTCCTTGGTTTGGTTCAGCCGCATCTTACGGACAAGATCCATACGGGTTTTTCGAACAGTGTCGTGAGAAATATGGTGATTTATTTGCATTTGTAATGTTGGGAAGAGTAATGACGGTCTACTTGGGCCCCAAGGGTCATGAATTTGTGTTTAATGCGAAATTGTCTGATGTTTCTGCTGAAGAAGCTTATCAGCATTTGACTACACCTGTATTTGGAAAGGGTGTTATTTATGATTGTCCAAATGCTAAATTGATGGAACAAAAGAAATTTGCCAAATTTGCCTTGACTACTGATTCCTTTAGAAGATATGTGCCTTTGATTAGAGGCGAAATTTTGGATTATTTTGCCAAGTCAGATGTATTCAACATGAAGACAACAAAGACTGGTGTTGTTGATGTATTGAAATCGCAGCCGGAAATTACCATTTTCACCGCATCAAGGTCATTATTGGGAGAATCAATGAGGAAAAGATTTGATGCTTCGTTTGCTCAATTATATGCTGACTTGGATAAAGGTTTTACTCCAATCAACTTTGTGTTTCCTCATTTACCATTGCCACAGTATTGGAAACGTGATGCTGCTCAACAAAAGATTTCCGAGACTTATATGGTGGAGATTGCTAGAAGAAGAGAATCGGGCGACATCGATGAGAACCGTGATTTGATTGATTCGTTATTGGTGCATTCAACTTATAAAGATGGAGTTAAAATGACTGATCAAGAAATTGCTAATTTGTTGATTGGTGTCTTGATGGGTGGTCAACATACGAGTGCCACTACATCTGCTTGGTTCTTGTTGCACTTGGCCGAGAAACCTGAATTACAAGAACAATTGTATCAAGAAGTTGTCAATGCATTATCAGGCAAAGGAGGTAATTTGGATGATTTATCGTATGAAGATTTACAACAAATGCCATTGGTCAACAATACCATTAAAGAAACATTGAGGATGCATATGCCATTGCATTCTATTTTCAGAAAAGTGGTTTCCCCCTTGGTTGTCCCCAACACCAAGTATGTCGTCCCCAAAGGTCATCATGTTTTGGTATCTCCGGGTTATGCCCATACCAGTGACAGATTTTATAAAGATGCTAATGATTATAATCCACATCGATGGGATGAATCAGCATCAACTAACGATGCAGGTGAAGTTGATTATGGATTTGGTAAAGTTACAAAGGGAGTCAGTTCGTCTTATTTGCCATTTGGTGGTGGAAGACATAGATGTATTGGAGAACAATTTGCTTATGTGCAATTGGGTACGATTTTGACAACATTTGTATACAACCTTAAATGGAAGTTGAAGGATGGTAAGGTACCACATGTTGATTATACTTCAATGGTTACATTACCAGAAGGACCAGCTGAAATTGTATGGGAAAAGAGAGAAACTTGTGTTTTATAGACGCAATGTAGCTGTATGCTGAGGTTGTGTGTGCGTGTGTGTGTGTGTGTTTCTGTGTGTCTCCGTGTATGTATGTATTTGCGTATTTAATTATTTATAGAGCTATGGTCTTATGTAACTGATGGCTAATCATTCACACAAAAGAAAACAAACTTTGACTCACTTCAAGTCGAACGTTTTTTTTTTTTTTTTTCAGTTTCTTTTATCAAAATTTTCACCTTCAAAAAAGAAGTAACAATCAGTTGACGGTTTCGATCTCCACTTATGACAAAGTCATTCCAGATCAAAGTACCTGCATCGTCAGCAAACATTGGACCAGGCTTTGATGTTCTTGGTGTAGGGTTGCAACTATACTTGACCATAAAAGTAACTATTAACCCATCCATTGACACCTCATCAGATCCACATAATGCCAAAATCACATATGAAGGGAACTTGGCCGAAAAAGTACCCTTACAATCAGATAAAAACTTGATTACTCAAACTGCATTGTATTTACTTAGGTGCAATGGTGTAGCCAAATTCCCACCCGGAACTCATATTCATGTAAATAATCCAATACCGTTGGGAAGAGGTTTGGGGTCGAGTGCTAGTGCTATAGTTGGAGGTATATATTTAGGTAATGTCATTGGTGGATTCAATTTCGACAAGACTAGAATGTTGGATTACTGTCTAATGATTGAAAGACATCCTGATAATATTGCTGCTGCCATGTTGGGAGGATTTATTGGGTCCTATCTCAATGAGTTGGGACAAGATGAAGCCGATCAAGTATCTGTACCCTTGGATTATATTTTACCTACACCGCAAACTCCCCCCGAATCAATTGTATCACAGCCACCACCAACTAATATTGGTGAATACTTGCAATACAATTGGAATAAAAAGATTAAATGCGTCGTCATTGTTCCCAACTTTGAAGTCAGTACCGATAAATCGCGCTCAGTGCTACCCCAATCATACACTAGACCCGATATAGTATACAATTTACAGAGAATAGCCATATTGACTTCAGCGTTAACCCAAGATCCACCTAATCACAAATTAATTTACCAATCGATGAAGGATAAAATTCATCAGCCTTACAGAACAGTCTTGATTCCTGGCTTGAATCAAGTATTGGAAGAAGTTGTCCCGGCAAAGCATTCAGGATTATGTGGCATCTGTCTTAGTGGTGCTGGTCCTACTATTTTATGTTTGGCTACTGAAGGGTTTGAAGAAATTGCCAAAGATGTAATTGATATTTTTTCTAAAGAAGGCATTCATTGTGATTGGAAGATCCTCGATTTAGCATACGATGGGGCAACTCTAGAACACTATTGAGAACGGAAAGAACCGCATCTTTTGAATAGATTGTACTTTATAGACTAATGGCATGCCTTTACCCTTACGCGTAGTTTTCCACTTCGAGCGTAATCGCCCAATTAGAGAAATGCGCGCCAACAATAATCGCAAGAGCAAAAAAAAGAAACAAAAAAAATAAAAAAATCACCAGACGGCACTAAACTGTAAACCCAGAAAGACCTTGTTGCTTGTGTGTTTCCCAAAGATGCCACTGTTACAAGTAGATAGCAATCCGGACCTCAAAACTAGACTCATTGAACAAGATGTCCTTCAGGAGTCCCAATTACAACCAATTTTCTTAACTAGAGTCGAAGTCAATGGTGGTGAAGATTTCAGTTATCAATTCTTTAATAAATTGTTATCGCCCTTGTTAACCACCGGTGATTACACATTGGCTCAGCTTACGTACAAAATCAATGAATCATTCCAGCATTTAAAAGATACTGGAGTTTTCAAAAATGTGGGTGTTGTTTTAGAACCCGACTATTATTCAAACGTACCAGCTCAAATCACCTCCTTCAATAGAGAGAAATCCATCCCCACAAGAGTTATTTTTGATGTTTCCAATGTCAATTTAAACATCAATGAGACTTTTTTAAATTTCAATAATGAAGAATTTATCAATTTGAAATTGAACCACGTTGATAATAACTTTAATGAAAATGCCGAATTAGTCTCAGTGGGGGTGGATTATAATCCATATAAACCATATGACTATTTGTTAACAAATTTGAAATTTACATCGGGGTTAAAAGACCCGCGTTTCAAGTTTCTCATTGATGTCGGCTACAACACTAGAGATGATCTTGGATGGCAAAATTTTCAACATAATCAATTAGGCGGTAAGATTGGATTACTATACAAGACCCAACGTGAATTTGATATATTCACTGGGTTTCAATTATTCAAGAGAAACTTGTTCAATATCGAAGATGGCGCCGATGATAATTTGAAATTTTTTGGCGGTGATTTTTTGAAATTGAGTGTATTGAATAAATTTAAATACGAACGTATTCAATACTTGAATCATGCCACGAAAAATTTCCCCACCAATGGTGGCAATGTCCATGTTAGATCGGAATTGACTTCTGTTCAAGAACAAAACAATGCTTCCAACCGAGGTGAATTTATCAAGCTGCAAATTGGATTTGATTTATATAAATCACTATTCGACAATTACATCACGACTAAAGTCCAAGGTGAGCTTGGTGGCATCTTCAACTTCAATACCAAATTCCCCATTCATCCATTGGATAAATTTTATCTTGGAGGTTACAATTCATTTACCGGGTTTAAGAAAAATAGCATTGAACAACAGGGCGGATTGCAATTCTACAAGTTACAAGCAACTATATTCACCAAGATCCCCTACTTCTTGTACTCGCCCAAATTGAACCGCGAAAATAGCGAGTTACTAGTTGAGCTGAACCCATTGCGTTTGTATGGAACCGCTTTGGTGGGGAATTGCATTGCTACATCGAATAAGAATTTCTGGCAGAATGAAAACCCAGCAGTTTCTTATGGGTTTGGATTAAAGTATTTTAACCGGTGGGCTAATTTTGATATTGGGTATTTTGTTAGCCAGAAATTGGGAGTTGATAATTTTGGAGGCGTTAAAAATGGGTTACAATTTTCAATATCGATTGGGGCTTCGGATAGTAATTTGTAGATATATCGTACACTAGAGTTACTTAAACATTAGAGGATTAGATTTGTGAGCATTAATTGTAAGGCTTTAGCTCCGTATTCAGATTTGCGCAATCTCCGTTCCAGATTTCGGCGTTGTTAAAGGTGCGTAACTATATATTTTTTTTTTCAATTGTTGTGATTTCATTTCCTTCACAACGAGGAAACACACGACATCCTGCTAATTCCCTCTTCACGCCTTCACTATATGAGATGGGTGTCAATGGTCTACTACAGCACCTAAAAGAGATCCAGGATCCATGTTCTTTAGAACGGTATCGCGGCAAAACACTAGCCATCGACACGTATGGATGGTTGCATCGCGCGTTAGTGTCATGTGCTGAAGACTTGTGTTTAGGTAGACCAACGAGAAAGTACATCACCTACATTATCAACAAGATTCAAATGTTGCAACATTTTGGAATTACTCCGTTTTTTGTCTTCGATGGTGCTTCCTTAACCACTAAACAAGAAACAAATATGAAGCGACGCGAGCTGCGATCTGAAGCTAAAGCCTTGGCTGAAAAGTATGCTAAATCAGGACACTTGCAATTAGCTTACAAAGAATACATGAAAGCGGCTTATGTCACTTCACAAATGGCGAAGCTGATCATGTGTGAGTTGGATGTGTTGAAAATTAGATATGTTGTTGCTCCTTATGAAGCCGATCCACAAATGGTTTATTTGGAAAAAATTGGCGTTGTGGATGGGATATTGAGTGAGGACTCAGACTTACTAATATTTGGCTGCAATAAACTAATAACTAAACTTAAGGATGATTCCAGCTGTGTTGAAATTAATCGGGCTGATTTTGATAAAGTTCGACAAATTCCATATTTGGCCAGTTATACCAATGAGCAATTGCGATTAGTTGCCATGCTTTCTGGCTGTGACTATACTAAAGGTATTCCTGGTGTAGGTTTGAAATCAGCATTTCAAATGGTGTTGAGATACCGTACGTTGCATAAAGTTACAATTGCATTACGATCAACGGGCAAGAAAATCCCACCTAATTTCGAGGAGGAAGTAGTTAAAGCTAATTTAGCATTCCAGTTTCAAAAAGTGTTTGATCCACGAAATCAGACACTCACGACTTTGAATGAAGTACCTGAATCTTTGTCTGGGAAAACAGAATTGTTAGAGTCATGCTGTGGTAGAACTCTTGCGGATGAATTGGTGAAAAAGGCTTGTAATGGATTAGTCGACCCTAACTCACATGAACTACTCGTGTCGCGAGAGCAAAGCATGAGCTTGTTAAAATCAGTATCTGTCAAGGTCAATACCACCAATACGGAAGCTCAAGCTGTACGATCTCAATCGGAACCGGTTGTGCAATGTCAAAAAAGAACAGTTTTGGATATGCTTAAAGTTTCCAAGCGCGTTGCTAAACCTTCTGAACTCATTTGTGATCCTACACAAAAGGACACAACGCAAGTAAATCAGCAGAAGGTGCTGCCGGTATTTAAGCGACCATTGGCTGTCTGTGCAGCACCCAAGCAAAAGATTTCGCCTACGTGTAACAAAATTCGTAAACTACAAGGCAGTATCAATGGTTATGGCAAACTGGGTCAAACTAGTAAGTTTTTTGCTGTACAATCAACGCCAGAAAAACAGCCTTCACTCCCTACTCCAAAATCCGACTGTGATGTATCAGCATGGAATTCAAGTTTACTCAATGACTCGGAAGTACCGGACGAGTCTCCCATTAAAATTTCTGAAACTAAGAATATCTTGGACGAATTAACTGATGAGGATGATCATACTAATGAAGACAATGATGGCGAGGCTAGTCACGAAGGCGAGGAGATGGCTATTAAAATGGAGCCAATAGTTGACTCATTGAATTTACAAGTGCCAACACAGAAGGATATCGAGCTTCTATTAGATGAAAAAGACGACGAGGATGCCAAATTCGACATTTCATCAAAAGACGATGAGATTGAAGAGTCACCGATTAAAAACCGCGCATCATTTAAAGTACATACTGATTTGGATACTGTCAACTTACGTCTGAAGTTTCAATTTCTGCCTGCCAAGCTTGCTAAATACGCTGTCACTGACAAGAATCCTCCTAGTTTGAACAACAGCTTCAACGTCAAACATTCTAGACAAGCATTGAGCGATAAGAGCACAAATATCAAGCACCAGAATCGCTCAAAAGGGATTTTAAACGATAAATCTCGCATCAATAAGCCAAAGCCATACTTGCCTGGCAAATTTGTAAAATTCAACATCCCTTCAGAACCATATACCAAAACTCAAGTTGTGTCTAGCCAAGAAGAGGAATATGAACTAAGTGAAGAAGAAGTTGAATTCAAAAAGTCGCCCCAGAAACGAGCTCCCATTATTAATCTTAAACAATTTGCATTTAGAAAATAACCTAGACTTAAATTAGACCTGTATATTTATTTAATGTGACGCATACAACTCTTTAGTAGCCTCGTAAAAGACATGCTCCAATGGCCAATCTGGTTAATTGGCCTTGAACATTATCATCAGGAGCATTTACCGCATCATTCAACTTGTAAACTTTCTTAAACTTTGACAAATCAACCATTTCCAACAAGACCTCATCAGTTATTGGTACATTATCTCCATCTACAATATCAGCAATGTCTTTTGCAATTATGTCAACGTCATCATCAGGCAGCACAACCTTAACCACAATCGTATTAGGACAATCATCCAGTATACCAAATCGTTTGATTGCATCAGATATGACATTGACTGGTGATAAATTCAACAAGATTTCCGTGCTTAAAGTCTTGGCTTGCATCGACTTATTTACTTGATTGAGCACCGATTTATGGATTGAGTTTTGTAGTTGCTCCATAGAGATGATGTATTTGGTGTTCAAGAAACAATAATCATATTTAGGATTGGCCTGTATTAGTTGTTCTTTTATAGTTTGGATGGTTTCTCGCGAGGCACCTTTGAAAAGACTGATGACAGCTATGTGGTGAGGAAATTGTGGGAATGAAGCTATTTGAGGGTTTGACATTGATAATGAGTTTGCAATTAATCCCTGTGCTGGACATGGCCCCTTCTGAAGTTTTTGATTTTTCTCCATGCGCGCGATGAAAACTATCGCCGAATAAAATTCTAAGTAACCGCTGAAATAAAGAAACAACAATCTCAAACACAATAGGTGTGTTCTTCAACCGAGAGACAACATGACATCTGATCTGGTTAGTGAGGTTGATGTGACTGATCTACTAGATAGTTTATTCAAAGATGTAAGGATTTCAGAACCAACAGAGGTTGACACTGACCTACGACTATATCCCGAGATTATTTTACAAAAGTCAGAAAAAGGAAACAAGCTTTATGCCTCGTTCCAAAGGTACTCGCCCCAGTTTATCAAAGATGGAACCGATAGGAATCAGGTGTTGCGATGGCGAGACTCAAATATCGAATCGGCACAACGAATAATACTTGACAGCTGGATAGCACAAAATTCAGGCGTGAACTCAACTTCAAACAAGGACAGTTCCAAACTTCTGAAATCAATATCGACTACTGGTCGAGCCAATAAGCTTTTTGTCTGGTCATCGAGCGATTCCTACATTGAGGAGAAAAAGAGGCTATTGCAACTACGTAGGGGCTTGGAGGGTAAAGCCTCACAATCACATAAACCAAATATTCCAAACGAAGATAAGCCTGTTGAAACAGATGCAAAATTAGAAGGTCTACAAAAGCAGTTGCATTTAAAATTGACGTTAAATAAAGTAAACAATACGTTATCGAAAAAGATTGAAATTGAAGCCAATAAATTTATTCATGCTCGAATACAAAAAATACGCAATCACCATAGTGAACAAATGATGAAACAAATCAATGACCGGAAAAGAAAAGATCATGAGGTGTACTTGCAACGACTAAAGTTAAAGGAGGAGGAGTACGAAAAATCTTTACGACAAGATCAAGATAATGGCAGTAGTACGAAGAAACTGAATTTTTTCGGCACTTTATTTGGCCTTAGCGGCGGTGCTGTATCGCCAATAAGTGAGGTAGATAGTCCTACCGAGCCATCAAATGGCAGCACAACTACCCCTAAAAGCAACACGAAGTCATCAAAGAATAAACGCATGACTTTATTTGGCATGCAATCGTTGTTTTCGAGTGGCAATACATCCAAAAAACGACTGGATAAGACTACTATGTTTGATGCAGAAGAACAGTCCGACACGCAATCAATGGCTGATTCTAACCTTGACCACTCGGTGATATCTGCAAGTGAAGAACCAGAAGAAACAGAGTCCGTCAACTCACCGTCAATTGAGGATTCTGGACAGCCAGCAAATACGGAAACCCAAGAGGTAGCTACACCTATATTTAATGTCGATGAACTTGCGTCATTAGAGTTGAAGCGATCGCCGCAAAAATCAAATGGCTCAGACACAGCTACATCTAGAGGGATACCACAAAGCAGAGGCACGAGAAGAGAAGACGAGTTTGACGATGAATTTACCGAATTCACTACTGCTACATCTGCAGACAATCTGAATCCAACATCACCACATCCTCCTCGACCCCCTTCTTCTTCTGCACTGATGCCTAAATTGTCACACAACTTCTTTTCCGTAGAGAAGGCAAATGCCAATGCTACACCTGCAATTTCGGGTAATGAGTTGATTGATTTATTTGAAACACATGAGCTGAGACCTACTTCTCCGGAACTTAACTCGCCAGCTCGTCCCCCATTGCAGAATAATTTGGATAACTTGTTAGATTTGTAGAAAATAGGATTTTAATAATATTCCTGTATACAAGAGATTAGCGTTTCCAGATTCAATTTTTTTTCTTCCTCAGCTTTACAAATAGTTTCATCTCTTTTACTGAAAGGCATTTAAGGTCCAGCTTTGGATTACTTTTCTAGCAGAGTCTTACCGATCTCAACATTACATCTTCATCTGTCTATAACCCAACAATGATATCGAGGGTAGCAGCACCTAAATTGAGCCCAGCAAACGCTCTTAAAAGGTTCTATGCATCATCATCACCAGCAACAGCAGCTACTATGAGTAAGCCAAATATAGAAATGACGACCCTTGCCAACGGATTGAGACTAGTTACTGATTCTACACCAGGTCATTTCAGTGCACTTGGAGCATATGTCGATGCTGGATCACGGTATGAGGATCCACAAAACCCGGGGCTTTCTCATCTTCATGATCGGTTAGCTTGGAAATCAACTGAGAAATATAGTGGGTTACAAATGTTGGAAAATCTACTGAAGTTGGGAGGTAATTACATAAGTTCGGCTCAACGAGAATCGATGATTTTTCAAGCTAGTGTTTTTAATAAAGATGTTGATCAAATGATGGAAGCCATTGCCCAAACAGTTCGAAGTCCGCAAATTACAGATCAAGAGTTTGTCGAAACTTTACAAACTGCCGATTATGAAGTACAGGAATTACAATACAAACACGAATTGTTATTGCCTGAAGAATTGCATGCTGTTGCCTATAAAGACAACACGTTGGGTCTTCCATTGTTTATACCAAAAGAGCGCATACCTCTTGTACAAAAATCTGATGTTCTTGATTACCATAACAAGTTTTTCCAACCCCAAAATATCATCATTGCCATGGTTGGTGTGCCCCATGACCATGCTCTCAAATTAGTGGAGTCAAACTTTGGTGACTGGAAGTCAACCGGTGACAAACCAAATCTCACACCTGCTAAATACACCGGAGGTGAGATTGCTTTGCCCCATCAACCACCACTATACGCTAATCAACCGGAATTGTACCACATGCAAATTGGATTTGAAACTACGGGATTGTTACACGATGACTTGTACTCTCTTGCTACATTGCAAAAACTTCTTGGGGGTGGTTCTTCATTTTCAGCCGGTGGTCCCGGTAAAGGAATGTTTTCTCGACTTTATACTAAAGTCTTGAACAAGTACCCATTTGTTGAAAATTGCATGTGTTTTAATCACTCATATTTAGATTCGGGATTATTTGGTATTACGTTGAGTTTGGTTCCTGAGGCCGCCCATGTGTCGTCACAAATTATTAGTCATGAATTGGCCAAAGTTTTACACGTTGATGCCAAATCAGGCGGATTAAATGAACAAGAAGTTAAACGCGCCAAAAACCAATTGACTAGTTCCATTTTAATGAATGTTGAGAGTCGGTTGGCCAAATTGGAGGATTTAGGAAGACAAGTTCAATGCCAGGGCCAAGTCACATCAATTGATGAAATGGTGGAAAAAATCAAAGCATTGACTCCAAGAGATTTGCAAAATGTTGCCGAGAAGGTACTAACTGGTAATGTAGTTACTACAGGTACCAGCACGGGTATTCCCTCAGTGGTGATGCAAGGTGATAGGGAAGCCTTCGGCGATGTTGAATTTATTCTCCGTAGGTATGGATTGGGCAAATATTCCACGCCCGAGATACCTGAACCAAGAGATTTTTCGCAGAAAAAGAAAAGCTCGTGGTTTTAACTTTGTACATAGTCTAATTTTTATATTACAAGATATACACTTCTAACAATTTAAATCTATAACGTGTACACTTTCCGTACTGTCCAATGACAAAACCCCATCAAGACAAGTTCAACCTTTCTCGCAATTCCAAGTTTTCCTTTTGCAACATCAACATTGACTCCTTCAATTGATTATTTTGCTCTTCGATTGTTTTCAATTGCAAATCCTTTTCAATATTTTCTTGATCTAATGAATCAACTGCAACTTTATAATGATTGATTTTGTTCTGGTAATCAAAGTTTTCATCATTATAACGTTTACTCAATTGCGACTCATGCTCCACTGTGACTTCCAATTGTTTAATCTTTCTCTCTAATGATTTAATTGCTTTGTCAGAATCATGTTTCTCCTGTATGGAATTATCTAAAGCTGTTTGCAATGAATCGGCTCGAGATTCCAAATACTTGATTTGGTCATTACTATACAATTTCTCTTCCAATTTATGCACCTTGGCATTCAATTCATCATTGGCTTTCTTTAAGGAATAGTTTTCCTCATTGGATACCAATAGATCATTTCTAATCTTTTGCTGGTCACGGTAATCCGAAGTTGATGACATTTTCGATTGACTCAATTCAGACCTTATTGCCTCGGCATCTTGACGTTGATTTTCTAAATGGCCCTTAAGAAAAGCAACTTCTGATTTACTTTGATCAAGGGCAACAGTTTGATTCTCCAAGTTGAGATTCACTTTGAATAACTCATCTTGTAATTGTTCCTTTTCTTCAATCAACTTCTCCTTGTCTTGACTAATCTCACTAACCAATTCCTTCAACCCACTAATCTGTTTCGAAAACGAAGCAATCTTGCGCTCATTTAAGATCTTGTCATTTTCAAGCTGTCTCAGAGTATCAGTCAAACTGACAATTTTATTCTCCAAGTCTTCCTCTCTCAACAGCATCTCTTCCATCTCCTTTTCAGTATTCTTTTTCACCAAAACTGCCTCTTCGAGGTCCAACTGAAGTTGCTTGTTCTCTTTGACTAAAGTAGTTTCGGTCTGGGTTTTGAAATTCAAATCCTTGTGCAAGTTTCTCAACTCCTCACGTAATTTCTCCGTCGTCTCTCTGTTTTCGTAATTCTTGACATGGTACGACAACTTGTCCTCCAATTGCTTAATCTGCTTCTTGTTTTCATCCACTACGCGCACATTGCCTTGAACCGTTTGCTCCAAACCATCAATCTTGGCATTGCAATCTTTTAGCATGATTTGCGATGTTCTTGCCTCTTCCTTGGCTAATCTCAACTGACTTCGCAAATCATTCATTTCCTTCCTGGCCAGCTCTTCTTGTCTTTTGGAAATAGTAACTGCCGACTCGGCCAATTCCAACTTTCTAAAGTACTCATCAGAACGCTTCTTATACAACTCCAACCCGTGGATCAAATCCAGATTCCTCGAAGAAACATTGTCATATTTCACTTTCAAAAGAGCAATCTCTTCCTCGAAATCTTTCATTGAGCTTTTAAACTTTTCTTGTTTCACTTGGTACAATTCATCTTCTGACTCTCGAAGCAAAGCCTTCAACCGTAAAATCTCTGATTTGGAAGTTCCCAATTCTTCACGGGTAGATTTTAAAGTCTTGTTGATGTCTTGATAAATTTGGATAAAGTCGGGATTGACTCCTCTAAATGCAAGCTGGCCGCCTAGGCTCTCACTTCTTGAAACAGTCCGGCTATTCTTAGGCGAACTTTCATTACTCGTCGACTCATTAGATATGAAACCTTCAATTTTACTCTCAAGTTGAGCCACACGCCCTTGGGATTCTTTAAACTTCTTTTCATAATCTGTTGAGCTATTCAACCCACGACTCGATTGCACCTTGTTCAATTTCTTTTGCAACTCGATGGCATAATTCTCTGCTCGTTGGTAATTGCTTTGCTCTTGTTGCAATTTGAACTTCAAGTTGTTGATTTCCTTATTTAATGTGTCAACGCTTCCATTAACGCGCTCACCAATAGCAAGTGACCTTCTCTTTGGCGTGAGATCTGTACTCATTAATGACCCATTCATTATTCGTTCCTTAATCAACCCCAATTCCTCCGTCAATTTCTTGTTTTCGAATTTTTCCTTTCTCAATGCTGCATTCTGCTCATTCAATTTTAGTTTAATATGAGTAAACTCTTCCATCATTTGCCGACTTGGTGGTTGATTCTCTTTCTCCAGTTCTACTAATTTATAATCCTGCTCAAGTCTGTGCAACTTGTCATTCAACTCGGCAATCATCGAGCTGTACTCGTCCCTTGCCTTTTGTGTCTGCTGTAATTCAAATTTGAGTTTCTCATAGTCATTACTTAACTGCTTGTGATTTGAAGTAGATTTAGACAATTGTGCTTGAATCGATTCAATCTCCTTCAAGTTACGCTCTTCATTGGATTTTATTTGTGACAATTTGACCTCAGCTTGTTTCAGAGATTCCAAATCGCGTTGGGTTTTTGAAATTTGCAACTTTAATTGCTGTATCTCTTTCTGGTATTGCTCAATTTCATGCGACTTCTTTTCAACCCGCAATTTCAATGCCAGAACTTTCTCCTTTGCCTCTTCCATTTTTTCCTCGTATTTGGTTTTCTTCACTTCATCTCTGCCCAATTGAACCTTTAATGACTCGATTTCTTCTTTTTGAGAAACATTTCTAGCCTCCAACTCCAGTATAGTTGACTTCAATTCAGCTATTTGCAGCAAGTATCTATCACCAGCCAGTTTAAGCTCCTTGTGAGCAGATGCCTTTTGCGTCAAGTCCCGTACCTGCAGCTCATGTGCTGAAGCCTCCAGTTGTAAGCTTTCAATCACACTCTGCAATTCTCTAATCTTTGTCTCAGACTCTGTCGATTGCTTTTTATGCGTGCTTTTCAATTCATCTAGCATCGACGCGTGTTTCGACTTTTCTAATTCAACTTTTTCAAGCTGGACTCTCAACTTTGTCAACTCGCTTTGGACTGAACTATGTTCAGATTGCCTCAGCGCTAACTCCTTTGACCGTACTTCGTAATCATCATGCAACTCTTTCAAGCGATTGCTTAATTTCTTCAGGTCGTCAGACAAAACACGATTAGTTTCTTTCAATTCTCGAATATTGCTCTCTAGTCCATCAATTTTGTTCCTTGAATCTTTGCTGTCAGAACGTAACTTTTGTATCTGATTGTCCTTGTCTTTGATGATATCGTTATTGGCAATGATTTCATCCTCCAAAGTCTTTAAATTATCGCGTAATTTGATGTTATCATTCTCCAATCCTTTATTCAACTTTTCAGAGTCCTTTAACTTAATAGTGGCATCCTTCAAGTTATTTTGCACTTCAGTCATGTCCATGACTTTGACAGAATCTTCAAGCAATGGCTTGATTTGATAAAACAATGCCATCCAAGGATTATTCGATCTCGCATCATCAATCAGTTTCATTGTCTTGGCAATAATTTGCGACGATTGTAGCTCCTTAATCTGTTGACGAATATTTGCCCTCGTCATATTTCCTCTGATTCGTTTTTGCAATTCGGTAAGAATCGACTTTAGTGTCAAATCCCTCATTGTTTCCAACTTGCCTAGTATTCCATTTTTAAAAAAGATTTTGGTGAGACCAACTTTGAATGTTTCTGGGTCTAATCCTGACTCTTTCAATATAAGCTCGCAATTGGTCTTTACATTCTTTGTCAATTGAACATCGCCACAAATAATCGAATACCGGTAGATAAATTCGTCAAACATTAGCTTGTTAGGATACCCAGCACGAGTGATTCTGATCCCTTCCAAAACACCATTACACCTCAATTGGCCAAGCACAAGGTTTTTGTCAAATTTTCTGGCCCTTTTATCTAAATTGGGCAATATGCATCTGACAAAATGCGGTTCCGTTGTTTCCAAACGATCCATTAAATCTTTCAATTGTTCTTTATGCTTTTGTGATACTGTTTGCATCATTTTAGAACCATTTTGATTCTTCAAGGGCAGTTTCAGTGGCAGTGCATCTTTTTCCGATTGTGAACCACTGATTAATTCTCGAAGGGACGCATTCTTAGACTCTGATGTAAGCAACTGCAAAATATTATCACTAACGGGATCTTTGTTCTTTTGAAGCCAATTATCTACATTATACTCAACTTTGCCGGCATAATGTTGAATAATGAAGCCATTCTTGAACTTGTTCTCAGCAAACTTCTTATTCTTTCCCGCAAAATTCGAACTTAACTTCTCCATAAACATTTTGTCTGATGACTTTGGCATCATACATTCTTCATCGAGCAACTTCAAAATCCCCATGGGATTTCTTGTTTCGATTAAATCAATAGTTGGCTGCAAGTCTTTGCCAAAGTCTATAAACTCCCACTGAATATTCTCTCGCAAATATTCACTTTGCTCCAATATGAATGAATGGTGGTTGAAAAACTGTTGAAGCTTTTCGTTGGTGTAGTTGATGCATAATTGCTCAAATGAATTGATGTCAAATATTTCAAATCCAGCAATATCAAGCACTCCGATGCATAAATCTCCCAGGCTAACTTCATCATTATTTAGATTGATGTTGATCTTCTTGATGATGAATTGAAATAGTCTTTCATACAAGTATTTGGCTAGAGCATCAATTGCAAATTTAACTTCACCTGCCTTTTTTGATTTTGTAACGTATTCTCGACCAGCTTTAACCTTTGGTTTTAAAAAACTGTCCCTCAACTTGGAGGCATCGACTCCCAAAAGTTCAGCAATTTTGTCAATTGGCGAGTCTTTGGTAAAACTAGCTTGCTCAGAGTTCCAAGACGTAAATTTCAAATTACCTAAATGAAGTATAATTGCCAACATCTGGAAAATAAATTGCATCTCTTGTGATGAGAATCCAACTACTTTAAATGCCTCCACAAGTAGGTTAAACTCTTTGAAGTCATCAACATTGGCAATACTAGTGACTCCACCACTGAGGTACTCGTAAGTTGACACATCTTTGTTCAATCCGAGACTCGACAAGTTTTCATATCCTTTAACAAAGTGGTAAAATATATGGTAATTTCTCTCTTCCTCAGCTTGGTGGACTACCCTTGACTTTTCTAATAAGTAGTAATCAATATTAGCTCCAGCTAAATCCCCAGCAGAGTCAAAATAAATTTGGATAAATTTTCCAAATCTCGATGAGTTATTATTTTTTATTGTCTTTGCATTCCCAAAACTTTCCAAGATTGGATTCGCTTGTAAGATTTTGTCGTCAATATTATCTGTCTTGGAAGTATCTGTATCTCTCAGTGACGCTGTCGTAATGGTTGAAAGGTATTGGATGATTTTTTTCGTATTTTCCGTCTTACCAGCCCCGGACTCACCAGTCACCAAGATACTCTGGTCTCGCTTGTTACTCAACAAGTTGCGATAAGTTGCTTCAGCAATGGCAAATATATGCGGTGATTCCTTATCTGTGGGCTGATTACGAAATTTTCGTACCATTGATTCATCATAAATTGGCAACAGTTTGTAAGGGTTAATAGCCACCAAGAATAAACCGGAATATGTATAAATCAAATCATCCATATACCGCAAATACAAATTGTACACCACCGAAGGCTCGTTTAGGTGTGTTAGCTCGGCCATATCTTCACATTTGTTAAATTTGACGGGATTACAATTCTCCAACTTTGATTGTTCAATTTCAATGGTTGATTCGACATGGTTAATATTGTCAAGAGAGACAATGGAAACTTTGCATTTCCCATTCTCAAGGTAATCTGCTATGTATCCTTTGGTGAATAAGTCTTTCTCATTGGGGATCCAAACCCAATTCTTGAGTGCAACATCACCATCGGACTTGGACATTAAACTTTTGTATGTTGTGAGAAAGGTTGTTACTGACAGGAAAAAAAATAAAAACCTATAAGTTTGGAATTATTGTGGTGTAATAGGTTGTGAGGAAGGTATAATGGGTATCACAAGAGGTAGATATACTAAGTGGTATGTCTGTATATCTAGTATGGTAAAAAGTAGTGATTTTGTTGTTTGATAAAGGAATTGAGAGAATTGAAAGATTTGAAAGAAGAAAAAAAAAATTACAGTTTAGTTCCTGCATATGGTAAATTGTTTACATTGTGTCTATTTTAGGAAACGTGTGCGTCTTTTTATATCAAAACACCATCAACTATCACTACAGAGAGAGTCTTTCAGAATTGAATAATACAAGCAGTAAGAGGAGAATACCTCTATGTATAGTGAGATCTCTTGAGGTGGCAATCTGAAATCTTATTAAAGATTGCTTCATCGTAGTAACTTTTTTTTAGTGTAGAATCTAGTTATAGGCTTAAACACAATGTGCCAAAGATTTTTCTATATTAGGAAGGTGCTGTTGATTATCAAAATGCACTTTCGCTGTGAGCAGGTCCTTTGATGTACTGTTAGATGAGAAGTGAATGACATGGATAAACTATTGGACTAGCAACTTCCTGGTCATTTGATTTCCCAAATTTTCTCTTTTCTCAAACCAGTACCAAAGCCTTTGAAGACGCGTCACTTCTTACTGGCTCTACCATTTCAATGACGGCTATTTTTTGCAGCAATATTGAGCAAAATCTAAACCAAAAGAAAGAGAACAAAATTTACCTGAATTTCATCAATGCAATCAAACAAACACCATACATACTTTACACAAGATGTGTTGTATTAAATAAGAATATACCCCTTTCAAACTATGTACACACGCCGCCTTTATTTCGCAGCCAAATAACTACAGGTGTGTTGTCATCTAAGCCTTTAAAGACTACAACGACAACGTACAACAACACGAGAAAGTAAATGCATCAATCAATTTTCAAAAGGTATAAAGGAATCTATACATGTATAAACACACACACATATATACATATATGTATATATGTATAATGAGAACTAAATCATTAAATTCGTAAGTAGCAAAAAGCAATATCAATAAACTGTCCAAACGGTCCAAACGCCAAATCAAACCAAAAATCTTTAAAAATACTGATTCATCAAAGGTGAACTTGTGTTTAAGCTAGCACTGCTATTAGCGACCGGCTTAATAGGAGAAAACCCATTACACTTGTCGTTTACTGTAGCTTCATGTCCGGTGGCCACCGTAGGTAAAATTGGTGGAATCATAACTGACGAACTACTGCTGGTGTTGATAGATGTGGCTGACGATTGCATCATGGCCCGCTTTTTTCTAATTTTGGATTTGGTTCTGCAGAGCAGCGGTTGCAGCAGACCCATCATAACTGCATGCTGTTGTTGTTGTTGCTGTTGTTGTTGTGTTACTGCCGAAGAGGACGAGGCAAATGATGATATGGGGAAGTGGGTAGGCGTATTACAATTTGAAGTTACGCTATTGGTTTGGCTTCCACCGGATCTCTTATTGGAAAACACCGAATATTGTGAGGTTGCCGATGGTGGAGTCACTGGTGGCGCAATCAGATTTGAATCAAACCCCAATGTTGATGGACCAAAAAAAGGGTGGGGTGATTTAGGAGTGCGTAAATGGCCAGCAGCGCCACTTCCCCTTACGCTAAAATAATCATCGGATTCGTATGCCTTGTAAGATGAATAAGGGTTGACACAGTACTCATCATCTTCATCATCTTCGGAATCCGGCTCGGAATCGGAATCCAAGGTCGGATCACTCAATTGGGGAAACTGTAATAAAATCTCAATCGTTTGAACAAATCTAGAATCAATTAATGCTGTTGAAGAGTCCAAGGTGGCAACAAGTTTATCCTTATTTTCATAGATTGACTGAATCAAGAATGAGTTCTTTTCATGGAATTTCTTCAATACTTGAATAACACCAACCGATTCATATTTCTTGGTCAACACTTCAGTCACTTTATTCAATTGAATGACCAACATGAGAGCAGTCTTTTTGATGGTCAACAATGTCGATTCATCCAATCCATTGAGAAAAGCACCATGAATTTCCGGCAACTTATTTTCAATCTCTTCATCCTCGGCAATATTGTCAAATGTAGTGTCGTTGGTTTCATTGAAAACTGGTTCATCATCATCCAATGCATCGTGGTCGATATCAGCGTCTCTATCAGTATCGGCATCAGTATCGGTATCAACATCCTCTTGGTCACTCTCTTCGCAATCTAAGTCAATGTCATCGGCGATGCTTGAATGTCTATTTATGGTGTTTTGGTGGCTGTAATTGCTATCATTGTTATTGGAGTAAAGTGTATTCATTTTCTGTTTCAAGGGAAATTTAGGGACTGCACCGATATTTTGTAATTGGGTCTTCCTCTGCAGCAGCTGCAGCAGCAGTTGTTGTTGTTGCCTACGCAATTGGCGTTCTTGTTTTCTCTTTAATCTATTTTGCAATTTCATCTGAAGGTGTTGTCTCCTTTTTGGTTCAATTATAACAGCTTCCAACATTTCTTTCAAACTTATGGATGCATTGGGGAGTTGGAGCATAGAACAAGCTAATAAATTAGCAGTGTATGCAACTAAGCTGGTAGGCACCAGTAAAAAGAATTTGTCGTATAATGACAACTCACACAAGAACCTCCCGACAGCAGTAACGGCACTCAATGTACTTGCTGCTGCTGACTTTACCACTTGTTCGCTGGCACCACCTGCTACATTAGCAGCGTGAATAGCTTGCAAACTATACTTTGGTGGAGTAATGCTGGCGCCAACGATATTTGAATGCTTAATGCTCAATTGTAAACAATCTTCCAAAGTGGGGTGACCAATCGACCATTCCAAGGTACTCAAGATGTGCATTTCCATTTGTACAAACATCTCTTCGTCATAAGCATTACGGCACATGATGGTCAACTCCTTCAACGTTGGAACTCGTGATTTTTTATCTTCATATTTACCAGCGATCCACAAAGCAGTACAGCCAACCAATTGATAATGACGTTTAAAAACAATTCTCTTGGCACAATAACGGTCAATGATGTTCAAGCAAAGAAATAATGTTTGTGGTTGTAATCTAAAAGATGAATGCAATTCAATCAAGAAATCCAACAAAAACGGACGCATAAACCATTGAATCTCTGGCTGCAAGTCAATCATAGCTGGGTTAACAGACGAAGCTGACTCTAATTGAGCCAATGTTTGCACAAACTCGGTGGAGTATTCGCTAGTCAATTTCTTATTAGCTTGTGACTCCAATAGATCAAGCATGGCATGATAATGGCGTGGTTTGATATGCTGCGGTGGTCCGTATTTGGGTTTATGCTGATGCTGATGCTGATGCTGGTGTTGTTGCAGATGTGGTTCTTGTACGTTGTTGGACATTATGAATTAGTAATGTATTATTTTATATCAAAGCAAAAAACAACAAAAAGACTAAGAATAAATCAATGGGAATTGTATATGGACAAAAATGCAAAAAGTTTGTAAATTGGTATAGTTGAAATCTGGTAAAACGAGTGAGGATATCAATATAGAAAATGAGCGAATGTAGTGATGAGAAAATTTATATGTAGGATTGGATATTTATCATGGATTTGAAGCAAGAAACTTTTGGAGAAAAGTATATAGGGTTGATACTGAACGGCTGCGTTGAAAGGTAGTGTGGTGATGGGAAGGATGATAGTTGCTGGGGAGGGTTTGTAATGTTGTTGAGGATGGTTTAGCCTGTAAAAGCAAAATAAATGTGGAAGAGTTGAAGAGTTGAAGAATCAAAAGAAGAATTGGAAAAACCTAAGAGAATGTACTTTGAAACTTATATAAATGAAAGTAGAAAACAGAGCCCTAAGCTCCTTTTAAAACTGTAACTCAATAACGAAAAGATTTTATTTTCGGCGTGTAATAATAAATTTGATGCAAAAACGAAATAAAAAAAAATAAAAATAAAAATAAAAATAAAATATAAACAAAGAGAGCACAAAGACGTCCCGTGACCAGAAGCAAGAGATTTCAACTGCTGCCGCTGTTTATTCATAAATCCAAAGGATAGATTATAAGAGAGCATAAACTTTGGAAGCGAAGAATAACAATAGAATGGACCACTTTCTTTAATTTTAATTTTATTTTTTGGAGAATACCACAAAAAAAAGATTGTATTAAACAACTTCCCTCCTTTCATCTTTATGTCTAGTTAAAAAAATCAAAAAATTAGACGCTGGAAAATTTTAGTAAACAGAAATTTTAATTTGTTTTTTTTTTTTGGCGTTTAATGTTTAAGTTTCCCCATTGTACGCCATATCATCATTACACAAATCAACACAAACCACAAATGTACAAATGGTAAACAATGCAAAATACAAAGTAACTCCCCCTTTTAGGCGCCACCCACCAGTCTCTTTCTCTCTATGTTTCCCTTCTTTGACGCGTAATAGAAATTCCATTTCAATCTTCAGCGGTATGAGGGGGAACTAGCCTCAGAGATGAATGCCCTTCTAGATCCTCTCCTCTCCTCTCCTTACCCAAGAGAACCGTTTTCAAGGCTCCTGTATATTTAACAGAAAGCGCGTATTTCTTATGACGTAATCATCGTCTAAATCGTTACGTAGCATTACATAGCACAACCAAACAAAATTAGCTCCTTGGTTAATAGAGCATTCATAGACAGCTGTAGATAATATGCGGCTGGTAACGTGATACAGACTCGTGTGTAATTCACCCCAACAAGGTGCGTCTTTCAACAGAGGGTTAGGCATTTTAACAAATTCTGCTATATTTTCGCGAGTGTCACAAGATTGAAGTTTGTGACATTCTATTTGCATTGTTTCTTTATTTTATTTTTTTCTCGCGTGCTTCTCTTTTTAAATTTTAACCCAATACAGACTGACGAGAACTACAACAAGGCACAAAATATAGGTCGATCCATTTACAACACAATATATCGAAGATATATCAGTCCAGCTTCAGCCACAAATGGCTTCTTTCTTTTTGGAAACTGGTGTAGAAAAAAATGGAGGGCCAAGTCGGGGGATAATCGTTTCTTGGTTAAGCTTTGTTTTTTTTTCAGCATCAAAGACGCGTGTGTCATAGGCTACAACAAAACAGCAACTTTCAAAGGTGTATTCAGATGGAGAGTCAGTGCATGCAGAAGCAAGGTTGGCCTGTTCCGTGTCTATGTTTGCCATCACTTGAAAGGGCGTGTACAGTTTTAACTAAATGATGATTTGCTAACTCATGGAGTGTTGGTTAATAATTTATTTTTAGTTTTTGAGTGATAATTTTTGGTTGCAAAAACAAACAATAGTGAATATTAAATATGTTCCTTTTTAGAAAGAATGCAAAACCAGTACGCGTCTATTTTGAAAGACGTGCTGGGACTGACTACAGCCCTTTCATATACTGCAACCCGTATAACATACACGTATATATATATATATATACAGACACGACTGCCCGTTTTACAACAGAACATGGCAAATTGAAAGGGAGAAATTGTGAAATGTCAAATAAACAACACTTGGATGACTACAACATTGATACTGAGTCAGATATACATCAAGACAACCCATGATACTCTATAATCACTAAACACTCCATCCCTTTCCCCTTCTAAAAAGCACCCCTGCCTCTTCCTTGTGGTGCACCTCCTTGTTCGCCTTGTTGATCATTGGTAATAGTTTCATCAATACTTAATAATAAAGTAGCCGCCTCTGTTGCTGACTCAATAGCATTGATCTTGACCAACGCTGGTTCCCATATAAAGCTCTTCATGTTGTTGCCAATATTCTCCAGTTGGAAATCAATACCGTACCAAATATCACCCTTGGCATGGGCACTTCTCAACTTGTTTAATAATTCAATAGCATCCAACCCAGCATTCTCACACAATTGACGAGGTATAACTTCCAATGCTTTGGCAAATGCCCCAATGATCAATTGTTGTTTTCCGGCAATGGTTCGGGAATAGTCACGCAAGTACTTTGATAGCTCCATTTCAGTTGCACCTCCACCAGCAACGATTTGATGATGACTTATGGCACGCTTGACAATCATAATTGCATCATGTAGAGATCTTTCAACTTCGGCAATAACTTGCTCAGCACCACCACGTAAGATCAAAGTACATGTTTTGGCTTGAGGACATCCCTTGAATATATTGTATCTTTCACCTCCAATTTGCACTTCCTCAAACTTGGCACATGTTCCCAAATCCAGCGGCTCTATTTTAGAGCATGTACTTTGAATGTGTCCTCCAACAGCTTGAATCACTCTATCCATGTCCTCACTACTTACACGACCAGCACAAAATATATCCCTATCCGCAAAGTACTGCGTAGCCAAGTCCCCAATTGGCAATTTCGACAATACAATATTGGCTCCAGAGGCCACAATGGCCTCCAATTTGTTTAAAATGATTTGCCATTCAGCATCAACAATTGCCTGGTAGTCCTTAACTTGGTCAATTCTTACCTCAGCATTATCTTTTTCAGCCTTCAATTCCAATTCCACATTCAATGCTACTATTTTGGGGTCAACAAACAGCTTAGGCTGTTGTTCAAACCCGGCATAGGAAAATGTCTTTTTGAATGCAACACCATCAATAAACAAACTCTCTTCCAACGCACCGCCAGGTACTTTTTTAATTCCAATCAATTTTTCATCCAAGTCATTTTGATCAAGACTTAAAACGGCATCAACCACCATCTTGGTGAAAAACTCTGAATTACTGCTGATTAACTTCGACGACATTGCAGTAGTGGCACACTTTTCCAATGATTGTCTAAACTCCTCCTCGTTTTCCTTTTTAACATCAACAGCAATCTCTTTGATCTTTTCAATGCACAACTCACACGCTTTCCTATATCCCTTGGTAATCAAATACGAACTCACACCATCTTCAATGAAACCCTTGGCTTCTTTCAATAACTCCCCTGCTAATATAGTCACTGAGGTAGTTCCATCTCCAACTTCAGCATCTTGTGATCGGGAGATATCAACCAACATTTGTGCTGCTGGATGAACAATGTCCAATAACTTTAAAATTGTAGCTCCATCATTGGAGATTGTGGTTTTGCCATTCGAGGATACTATAAGAATGTCTGAGCCAAATGGACCCAATGTTGGTCGTAAAGTATCTTGTATAGCTAGACAAGCATTTATGTTGGTGATTATCTGTCCTTTTCCTTGCGAGGTATCAGTACCTTCTTTCAAGACAACAATTGTTGGCGTCTGGTTTGCAAATGCCATATTACGATGGATTATAATCAACTATAAGTGGGAGGAAGAAAAGAATCAAACAATTGTCAATGTCACTGTTTTTGTAGAAGATGGTGGAAAAAGAGAGTGCATTGATGAGAAAAAAAAAATTAGAAAAATTCAGAGAATCCGATTTGGTAACAATACACGACCCTCTCACTCACACACACACACCCTCTCTATCAAAATTTTCTTTTTCTTGTTTAAACCCTCTAAAGTCAATCTTTAAGGCCACCAAAGTACTGTATCCTTATACATCCAGACTAAAACAGACTACGTCATACCATGTTGTCCCGAATAATCACCAACAGGGCCATACTGTCCCCTGTGGTCCATCAGCAAACAAGAAACAAACAAACAATATCGATGGTTGGTGAAGTCAATCTATCCTCGCGAAGAGTTATGCGCAAGATTAAATTAGGTAAAGCTCGTCCAGCAATAATGTACCAATTCGACACACTAGTAGAACTTAGTGATGGGTCTGTGATAAAGCGCCGATCCCAAGCCCCCAAGGATGAAATTCGAATGATTAATGATCAAAGAAACAGTTTGAGATGGAATCCACATAGGGCAGATTTAGATACTTCCGACTTGACAGCCACTGGTAAAATTGGTAAATTTAGAAGCAAGTATGCTGGATTCAGTGGTGAGGAAGACAAGCTCGAGGAGAAGGAAGCAGAGGACGAAAATGTGGAAAAGGAGTTGTCGTTGGAGGAAGAAGAAGCATTGAAGGCTAAAGAAAAAGAGTTGAACAAGGCAAGAGATCAAGAATTGTTTGATTTGATGGGTGAAAATGCCGAGGAAATTGTTGGTGGTGGTAAATTGTACGATAGAAAGGCTGATAAAAAGAGATTCAAGTAATGGGAGTCTGCTAGGAAACTAATTTAGTTCACTTGTAAATATATATATATATATATATACAAAATACACATCGTTTGTGTCTAATTGAATACTCTTGGCTTCAATGTTTGCCTAAGATAACCGTTTCTATCAAAGTACTCCAAATATTCAATAATGGTTGTTAAATCCCACCCACATTTCCGAAACTCCTCAATACACCACCTTAAACTTATATCGTCTCGATAAAATAAGGCTTGTTTAGATAAAATCTTTACGCACTCAATCATACCAAATGGAGTTAAATACAACAATTGGCTAAACTCGTCCAAAAACTCATATCGTTTGAAATCAATCATTTGGTATAATTCATTTGTCTTGTACGGTTGAAAATCAACTTTTTTAATAAATTTGGTATAGTAGCGCACCCCTTGTCGATTGCTAGTGGTGGATATAGCTCTAAGGAGCTCGATTGTAAACTGTTCCAAAATGGGATCATCACGATTCAATTTCATAAACTTCAAGTACAATTCTCTAAATAGTGCTTGGTCTTTATTCATCCATGTGTGTTTAAACACGGCCAAGTAACTGGATTTGGTCACTGCTAAATTCATACGTCGTATCATTGATAAAGCCTCTGATACTTTCCCTTGTTGTAGTAATTTCTCCACAATTGTTTGTGACTCCATATCGTTAATAGTAGAGTGCGTAAAGATGGTTTCCATAATCTTTTCGGCATTGGCCTCATCACGAAGTTGAACAAAACCCCGTAGTAAAGAAGTAAGCGATGATCTTCGTAGTGGACTACGGAGTGACTTGACTAAGGTGTTGAACTTGTCAGCGGAAAACTGAGCGTAAAAGAAAAGTTTGTAATCAATCATATCGTCTGTGTCGAGGCAAGTCGGTAGATTGTCTAATTCTTGGTCAACAAGAGCTTCATTGTGATGAAGCTGGAATGTTTGGATCAACTTCTGCACGTACAAGGCAGCTAGATTCAATGAGGGAGCATGGTTCAAAACAATAGGTTTAGCCATTTGCCATACCTTTCGTGCCTTTATCGAGTCACTATTTTCCAAATTTACCTGCAACATTGAAATTACAACTTGGTGTTGTTGTCGAGGAGACATTTTCGTAAACATTTCACCCCCAACGTATTTGAAAAATAAATAATTTGCAAAATAATTTCCATGAGCATTGGAGCTTAAATATATCAAACTGGTGAACAACTCTGAAGGATTTATCAGGGGACTAATGCGGAGTATTTGTAGTAGGCAGTACGCATTCATGGGGAATTCTTTGAGCGAACTTGAGCTAATAACGTTAACTAACAACTTGATTAAAGAGTAAGGTACTTTGATTTTGTTATTAACAAAGTTCAAAACACACGTTGTTGCTAATGACACATGATTTTCATTGATCAAGACTTGCAAAAACTCCATTCTCAAGATGTTGATATCTTTCCCTCGAAACTCGTACAAAGGAAGGATGTGAACGCGTTGTAGTAGGCTAAAGCTATTCAAAATCAAGTCCACATTATCGTCTTTCAAAATGATATCACAGCAGTCCTTCAACATATATTCATTAACCAGGTCATTGCGCAAGATATTTAATGGTAGTTCTACATCTTTATCGTTTGATTTTGCCAATTTGGTAGACAAATCCTCAATGAATGTAGTATCAGCCGCCGCATAAATATCTTTCAAGCCTTTCACTATATCATAGGTGGATCTAAGTTGAGATAAATGCTGGATGCGAGACGATGCGGTATTGTAGATTTTCGTAGATAAACAGCGTATGCAAATAAAGTTCAGCTGTGGTATTCGTTGTGAATGTTTTAATCGTCGTATAAGGGTTCTGGAGTACATATTAGCATGTCATCGTGTAGTATCAGTGTTTGTAAATTGTAGAGTCCTCATCCAAAGAGCTGCAATTTTTTTTTTTTTTTTATTCATTCAGTTTTAAAGATCTCAGTTTTTTTTTTTTTCAAGATTGCGTATATTGTCCAAAGTAATGAGGTTCTACTCAGGGAATGGTACGCCAAATCTACACGTACAAGTATATTAGACCTACATATGTTCCTTGAAAAAGCTCACTACATAATGGTACAATCGCCGAACCCAAATCCATACATCACCTTTTCCACGTGCTTTTTGATCAACGGCCAATCCTCTCTTCTTTGAACAAACTCGTAGATTTCCTCTTGACCAAAGATTCCATTAAACTTTGATAAATCGCTGACTAATTTCCCAATTGACTTCGAATCATCGCCACTAATGAGGTACAAATTACCAATTTTCTTTAATGCTTGATACAAGGGCATAATTAGTCTCTTGTTTGATTTGATATGCTCTAACATAAAATCATAGTACAAATTCAAATCGGAAATTAAATTTGTAGCTCCTGTGACCGATATTGTACGCTTTTTCAACAACTTGACTATAACTTGGAAAAATCTCTCGGCAATTTCCTGCTGAAATACATCCACAACTGACTTATCTGCACTGTCAACAAGAAGGTTCATATTTTCCTCAAGTATGCCGGTGGCTTTTTGAGCAGCATTTGTTGGACCGAACGCCATTGCAGAGTCGGAAGGCGGATTATAGTCAGTGTCTAATAGCAACTCCAGATAGATAGTTTCAATTTGATGAACAAGCAACTCGATACCAATATTCAACCCATCAGCAACATTCTTATCCACTAAAGCTTCAAGCTTCTTTTTACTCTGCAAAGAAGGATTTAGTATACTGTTCTCATGTTTGACAATCTTTTTGTTCAACATTTCCTCCTTGTAGAAGAAATCAACCATTTGTATAATCACATCGGCCATATTTATCAAGTCGAAAAATAGCACAATCGGTTCAGCAAACTTTTCGTTGTGCTGGGTTGTATATGTCAGCGAGTTGGGGTTATATGTTTGCAAGTAGGTCAAGGCTTTTTCAAAACCAGGAGTCAAGTGCTCTAGTCCAATAGTGTCCATCACATCAATAGAAATTTCTTGTGTTGACAGGTAGATATCGCTTCTCAAGGACGCAATGGTAAAATCTTTAAACGTCAAAAGTCGATTCAAGGCAGTCGTGGCATTGTTTATGATTTCAAGCACCACTTCAGGGCTAAGAATCTTGTCTAACGATTTGATGTTTTCTGACAATATCTTTGCCTTGGCTTGCATTTCTGTAAAGTTTTCCTTCGATACTGGATCCTTTGATGAACTAATGGCAAACACACTCTTGAAAGTGGTTAGAAAGTCATTCTTGGACTCTATCTTGACACTTTCGAGAATCTTCAGTGACGTTTCTGCCTCTCGTTGTGAAATTTGTTCACTCCACTTGATCAACTTGTCCTTTGCATTGACACGAAACTGAGCCACCTCCTCTCGCATATACTCTGCAGCATATGATTCAAACATCATATCAATCAACTCGGCCACTAATTTGCGGTATGGTTCGCCAATGTTTTGCGAAGGAGTCAACGCTTTGACCAAATCGTTCACTAATTTTTCGTACATGAAAGGAACGACATTCAAATACAAGCCATGCTTTTTAGAAGATTCGAGGACAAACAACACCAATTCAGATAGCTGGTTGGAAATGAGCTCCTCGCATACCTTGTACATCATGGGTATCGATTGAGGGAATATCTTGTCAATAATCTCACATTGTTTGTTGAAGACCAGGGCGATGTTGGTAATCAATTCCGAAAACAACACCGTGTTTATCTGCCGCTCGGAAAAGTAGTTATCAACACTGGAAGGAGTTAGGCCAAACATTTCCATATCTTCATCGAATATACTCTTTTGCAAAAAAAAGTCAATCAAAGTTTGCTGGTTATTAAGAGACACCAAGATCATAACAAACCTTCGAGTTTGTTCATAGTCTTCTATATCGAAGTGGATTTCCAACTCTCGCAATAAAGTATTTTCAAATTGCTCGAAAAGGTCCCGTAGTTTGTCATGTGCCAAGACTCTTGTCTCCTCAATGTGGTCTACCTTGTTGTAACTGAGTAAATTTGTCAAGATCTTTGCTTGCTCTTCCGGTGTCTGGAAATCTTTCAATAGCTTGAGGCTATTATAGCTCTTGTTGCTTAGTAGATCGTTATAATATCGAAACAAACATTTGTGAATCTTGAGGGTTTGGTATTTGGCATTCTTTAATGATCGATAGACGTAATCCATACACGTTAATGGATCCTCCAAGTATGGCATTTTTGCATTCCTTCGTATTTCATCCTTGCTAACTTGCTTTGCATTGTCCCATATACCCATTTCTTTAAGAATTGAAACCCAAAGTGTGGGATCATTCACCGCCTGGTGCGTGTTTTTCGAAACCAAGCTAAACGATAGTAGGTCTTGTATAGGTAGATAGTTGGCGATATTCCGCGCTATCAGCAGGGGAATCGCATTCCTGTTGTATACGTCGATGTCCGTATTCCATATCACCTGTGCCATATCTCACAAAGAATACCTTGGTGCAAAACAACGACAACAGGAAGAAAGATGGAGAGAGAAAAAAAAAAAAAAGACAAAATGTCTTGATGATTCTGATGCTTTTAAAACCATCAAAAATATCATCCTCATAAATGCTACTACAGTGATGCAAAGATGGTTCATACAGCGTCGAGCTATTGTAATAAACACATATATACGAAGTCGCCTACTATATCGTTCATACTCGCTCAAAACATCATTCTTTAGCAAAAACTCAACCCAGTCCCTTCCTGAAAAACTATCCACCTATTTCTCCGACTTCTTAACCGAGCAGCACGATAAAATGTTGGACCAACCAGTACAGAGTTTAATAGACAGAGTGCCTAATCTTTCTCGGGAATTGAAAAAGTCTATAGATATGGAGAATAAACTTTTCACAGTTCTATCTTACGATCCCGTTTTGGTCGATCCGCGACTATATCTCCATTTCTACGATCCATCGGTAGGGATACCAGTCAAAAAGCTATTATTAGAAAGGCTTTTGTATCATCAACAGTATTCTGTGTGTTGGCATCTATTCACTGGAAACACATTGGATGATTTAGATGTATTTTTAGAAACGACGCAAAACTTTTTAAGAAAACAGAGGAATGATTTTGCAATAATAGACCTTATTCTCAGTTTACCTGAAATGGGAGAAAATGAAACCTACAAGACGCTGGTTTTGGACGCACTGACGCATGTATTTGGTGTTGATGTGCGTCAAATACTACGGAAATACCACGAAATTGATGAATTACGAAACCTTGACGATATACTTGCATACTCCAGTAATGAATTTACTTCAACCGTTTTATGCTTGAAGCGAGCCATGAAAGCCTTGTACTATGAAGGAACTACAAGTCAGCAAGTTCAAGACATTTTGTTGCAGCATCCCAATATTACGATACGACCAGGATGGATTAGTTCCATTTTGCCAAAGTTTGAGTTTTGGTCATGCATGATATTTTCCAAACTACCGCAAAATATAGCACCCTTTACAGATGCAGTTAAAGTGGTTTTATCAAAAGGAGTTCGTTTGAGTGATATGGACACGCTATACATGCTTCATTCTGATGTAGCACCGTTTTCCATTTTCCTGGTCTACAAGTTATCACCCATGCAAAAACTGATTCTAAATTATTTGGTTAAAGTTTTGGTAATCAAGTCTAATCACGAAGAATTAAAGGCTGCTTATTTGACAACCAGAAAACAACTTGAACTACCGGTAGTGCTTGCATGTGTCTCAAAATTGCTTGAGAATGAACCCTCTGTACTACCAATGATCAAGCAATTTGAAAAATCAAAAAGGGAAAAGATTGTTATGGGTCTCAAGTATCATAATTCTTCGCAATTTTTGGAACTAATCGTATACTTTAATAACAACCAAAAGATTGCGCGGTACCTAATCAGCACATTTACGAAATCCCCTTATGCAAGCACTGAAAATTTAATCTTATTAGTATCATCCAATATCAATTCCAAAAGAACACTACTTGAAATCTTTCGATCCACTTTACTTCGAGCAAGAATTATTGACAATAATTTTATATCAGCCGCATTGAACGCCGTTTTGGAAAAAACTATTCCCAATAAAGGTGGATTTGCAAAGTCCTACGACATCCTCAATCACAAGGAAAAGACATTTATGCATAACTCATTTAGGTCCGTAGGACAAACCGTATCCCTTTTAAGCGATGCTGACTTGGCACTTGCATTGGATGGAATATACCACGCCCTACACCACGATACATTTTATTACAAAAATGATAAAGCCGCCCAGGCATATTTATTCAAGTCATTATCTAATGAAATCTTTAGGTTCGTGCTACGGAGAGACGATCGCGTAAGGACACTTCAAAACACAATGGGCCACATGACCACATCTACGTACTGGATAAAGTATTGGCTTATCTATGCAATGGTGCTTGACGATTTTTCCAATGCCATCAAACTTTTAAAATTTTACAAGAAGTCAAAACGTGAATTAACCCAGTTTTTCCCGGCAATAATATTAGGCATTATACAATCTACTCAAATGGACATCAATAATAAGGTAAAATATCTCGATTACTTTCTTAAACAAGCCAAGATTCATCAGTACGAAAATGTCTTGAAAGTGAAACCAGCAATGGAAATCATCCGCCACTTTCAAAAAGCCGCCAAAGAAGAGAAATTGAACAACGAGTCTGTTCAATGGATTGCCGAGTTAAGTCAGAAGAACCGTCATTTGAGGAGAGCTATTGCAGTTACTCAAAAAAATCGAAATGAGTAGATGTGTGCAAAAACAATGACTGAACATTTTTGGGATACAACTGAATCTTGCTAGCAAGAAATGCTTGGACTAATATATGGGGTGAAAGTTGAGACTGGATGCAGGGAAATCCAAACTAAGTGGATTGTTATTAATATCAATATGTTCTGAATTGCTTGTGCAGTTGTTCATTGCGGTCATATTTCTATATAATTGAGCTTAAGTCTTTTCTGCTCTTGACTAAGTTGCGCGTATACTTTTAGCCTACCCAAGTCATTGGGGGTCAGAGCATGGTTTAAATCTAAATCTCAGTATGAAGAACTTAGCTTGCGACAAGCTGTCTTTTTATAGCTACAGTTAGTAGTCTTATAGTAAACAGATTAATGTTAGAATAATTAGATTAGCATGTTACTGAATTGGATTTTAGTCGCTGAAGATTCTTGTTGTCAAAAAAGTGCATCTAATATTCGCAGTCTAATATGCAAAAATGTTAAAACGGATTTCAAGTAATGCACCGAGAAAGTTGCTTGAAAGATGCTAAGAGAGGGTAAATAATTCGAATTCGTGCATTTGGAGAAGGTGGATAGTTATACTTTTTGTCCATTACACAACCACTTTCAATTAAAGGAATATACATGATGAAATCTATGCCTATATTTAAGACAAGCTCATTTAACTTGTTAATAGCTCATTTAGATATGGCCACCAAAGTAGTTTAATTTAAAGTATGTAGTCAGTATGGTGTTGCATCTCGTAGTATAGTACTAGTGTGTCTATTCATCACCCCCAAAGGTTGATATGGTTTTACCATTTGGAGCGATCTTCGGTGTCCTATATGTAACTGAGAAAAAATACTTCACACCCTCAAATAGCAAAGGCATGGATTCAGAAAAAAAAAAAAAACTCCAAAACCACCCACCCGATACTCCCCCAGCATCTACAGAATGTCGAAAAGTTATGGTGTCACGGGTCCTATATCTACAGACGATCCCACGACAAAAGAAATTGGCCTCAATGAGTCATTAATACACGAATTGAAAAGTAGGGGATCTTTCGAGAATGAGAATGCGACAAAGAAACGAGCTGAGGTCTTATCTTTGTTTCAGACCCTTGTACAAGAGTTTGTGTACAAAGTGTCTAAATCTAAAAATATGTCCGATGGAATGTCAAAGGATGCCGGTGGAAAGATATTTACATTTGGATCTTACAGATTGGGAGTTTATGGGCCCTCATCTGATATAGACGCGCTAGTTGTTGTACCACGACATGTAACCAGAGAAGACTTTTTCACCACTTTCGACCAAATAATTCGACAAAGGCCCGAGCTTCAAGAAATCAATGGAGTGGCAGATGCATATGTTCCCATAATTAAGCTAGAATTTGACGGTATATCATTGGATTTAATTATGGCTCGTTTGAATGTCACTCGCGTTCCCCTAGACATGACTTTAGACGATAAAAACTTGTTGAAAAATTTGGACGAGAAAGATTTAAGATCTTTGAATGGTACTAGAGTTACTGATGAAATTTTGCAACTAGTTCCGAAGCCTGGTGTTTTCAAACATGCGTTAAGATGTATAAAACTTTGGGCTCAACAAAGAGCTGTGTACGGAAATGTATTTGGATTTCCTGGTGGAGTTGCTTGGGCCATGTTGACAGCTCGAATCTGCCAACTTTATCCAAATGCAGTCAGCGCTGTTATAGTGGAAAAGTTTTTTAATATTTACACCAAGTGGAATTGGCCGCAGCCTGTTCTTCTAAAAGCGATCGAAGATGGGCCTCTCCAAGTAAGAGTTTGGAACCCTCGTTTGTACCCTCATGATAGACTACACAGAATGCCTGTAATCACTCCAGCCTATCCGTCTATGTGTGCGACACATAATATTACAAGCTCGACTCAAAAGGTAATTACCCATGAGCTTATGCGTGGCTCCGAAGTTATGAAAAACATTTTAGAAGGACAAAAAACTTGGTTTGACCTATTTGAGAGGCATGACTTTTTCCATAAGTATAGGTTTTACCTTTGTGTAGTAGCCGCCACCTCGGACTCAGCCGAAGAACATCATAAATGGCATGGTTTTGTCGAAAGCAAGCTTAGACAGTTGGTTATGAAACTTGAAGCCACAGATGGTGTTGAACTTGCTCACCCTTATGTTAAAGATTTTTCCAATGTGTACGTATTAAATGATCATAATTCCAGTGATATTGTCAGTGCGTATGGCACTTTGCTGGGTGAGAATTTGATTAATTCGTTGAAGGATCCTATGAGCAATGGTGAAGAAAATAAAGCCATTCGGTTGACTAAGTACTATATCGGTTTGGAGTTGAACTTAGACAAAAGTACCGAGGGGGTGAGAAAATTAGACATTCAACAACCATGTTCTGACTTTTACAGTATCTGCAAAAGTTTTGCTTCTTATAAAGAGGAGGTCAATTTCATTCACATCAAAAACGTCAAACTTTTCGACCTCCCTAATGATGTGTATCTTGAAAACGAAACAAGGCCAAAGAAAGCAAGTAAGAAACGAAAAAAGGACGTTGCAGAAGATACCCAGAAACGTGCGAAAAACGAAATTACTGCTGCATAGTATATATTCTTGAATATCATTTTACTAAATATAAGTCTTGTACTGTACCAGAGGTCAACTTTTTTTCCTCGGAATATGGCTTATCAAACTGCATGCTATTATCTGCCTTCAAATTCAACGCTTGAAGTAGCCAATCGACAAATGTTAATTTGTTTCTCCTGTCAAGTAAGTAGTTGTTGTAAAATAATGTATACTGTTCCCATATATCTCTATGTGATTCCTCTTTCCATAGCATGGCGAGTTTGCACGATAACTCCCTCTGGTATTCAGGGTGTGAAATTGCTCTGCTATAAAAAGATCTGAAAGCAATAAATGAATTAATTGGCTTCAACTTTGATTTCTTTACCTTGTCTGGACGAGACTTCAGTGACAACTGGAAAGCATTTAACAAGCTGTAGTCGAACAAAATATGTTGCAACTCCAGACTCGGTTTGGGAATCATTGGCAATGATTGAGTACTAAACGCTGGCTTTCGATCTTGATTCTTTGAAACCTTCAACTCCAGCGGGCTGCTTCTGCAAACTTTGAAAAGTGTCACAAAATCTTTGGGAATCAATTTTTTATTAGCCCTCTTGGAAGCCATTCTCAAAGACGAGAGTTCAAAGTGAGTTTTAAATATATGGATGTGATTACTCAAAGATATAAACTAATGGAGTGACCGATTGTCTTCCCCGCGCATGTTAAAAATCGTTTCAAATTCAGCTTAATTGCGACCTGAGTGAAAATAAACTAAAATATTTCTTAGCTACTTTCTCAAGAGCTAAAAAGCCATGAATAAGCAACCGAGAACTCCGGGCAATGAATATGATAATTTATAATGCACCGCTTTAAGCTTGTCTCTGATGTATTGACTTGAAAGAAAATAATTACTCAAATCACATTAAATTTCTAAAGGAGTCGAGGGTTTCGTTGCTGAATTCATCCAGCACTGATATCTGAAAACTGAAACCAATTGAGCTTTCTGAATTTACGTTCAACGTATAGGGCAATTCTTAGCTATTAGTGATATCATATATTGTCGTAAACTACTCAAACTTCTTGTTTGCCTCTTGAGTTCCCAGTGATACCTTATATAAGAGCATGATATGTTTTTAATATATCGGTGATATACATTGCCAAATATAGGTTGAAGGGACAATGTTTCTTTTATTCATTTCTTCTTGTTGATATTTGAAAACTTATTTTTATTAAAAAGATCATCTGCTTAAGTTGTTACATGATACTGAATCTGTGCTAATTTGAGCAAGGTTTGTAGTTTGAACTATTTGTATAACAAAGATTATTCATGCGACGATAGCCGCCTGTAAGAGACATTACCTGTCAAACACAGTGCCTGGCTTCTAAGCATAGGTACTTATCATAATAGATCGCTATAGGTCTCAGGATATATCTATTCTAATTGTATATACCCTGAGTTATCATCTGGAACTGATCGTACAATCTGGTGTACATGCTATTCAAACTTTTGCCCACCAATGACGTTTCAACAAACTGATCAATTGAATCTTCTGGTAACAGCAATTGAAGCCTCTGTTCTAGCATAACACTGGTGTTCTCTCCGTTATTGAAACAAGGGAGACTCGAGTCCTTTTGCATTAATTGAACTATGCTCACTATTTGGTCGGACTCCTTTCTCAAAACTTTGAAACAATCCTTGCATACTTGAACAAATAATTGGTAAAACTCCGATTCTACCCCTCCTAACAAGTCGATATACTCAGTTGTCAACTTGAATGGAGCAGCTTCAAACCCAATATTGGAACCTGGTGAATTTCCCAACAAAAACCCAAAATCAATATGAATAATATGGCCATCGTGGTCAAGCATAATATTTCCGTTGTGTCTATCTTTTATTTGGAGAACATAGCATATTACTGAATATGATGCCAAACTTCTGGCAAAATTTTCTTGAGCTTGCTTATACTTGCGAGAACTTTCATCTCCATAGAGTTTCTCAAAATAATCCTTCAATGTAAATATTCTTCCCTTTGTATTTGAGCCACTTGCAATCGAAAGTTCTGTGAGCGACTTTTTGATCGAATGGATCGACATCGCATTGGTGATCGTTTCAACTAGTCCAGCATTTGCGCTGGTAATGAGGATTTTCATCTTTTTTGTCCAATAAGCAATTCTGTGTTTCTTCCATATGTTCGAGATCATAGTAATCAATTGACATGCAAAAGCCTCTTGTGGTAAATCATCACCATTCTTCACAATAACTGAGCATAAATCCCAATTCTTTAGATGACCATAAGCACTAGCCTTCCTGATTCTCTGTTTTTTGGAATTCCAATCCTCGCTTATTTTGAAATCATTTTCAAGCTTACGTTGACCAGCATCTTGTTCATCAGTCTTCAATTCTTTCATAGTCTCGTAATCAATACTTTCAAATTGGTCTTGCAAGGAAATCATTGAGTTTATGATTCGGGTCTTAATAGCAATGAACTGCTCCGTATTTGACTGTCCAGAATTTTCCAACTGTTGAAGCATCACTGAGGCAATGCGCATTTGGTCAGCAAGAACCAGTGATTCCGCCGAATTTGGAGTACCAGCATTTCCCACTTGGGGACTTTTGAGCCCATCTTGTGATAAACGTGGGGATATGGAGCCTAATTTCGAGGTAGCCCATTCACGGCTTTCTCTGCGTGACCCTAAGATGGATAATTCGCCCAAGTCAGTTTCAATGCTAGTAATGCCATCAATCCCCTCTTGCATTGGAATACTTCTCACGTCCGATACAAGGGATTCGGTGTCATTATTATTAGATTCATAACTGCGCTTGGACTCCGATTCTTGGAGCTTTCTATTTATTAGCCTTTGGTTATACTCTGTGAACGGATTAAAATCTAATTCATCACTCAAGTATTCAATTAGTAGCAAGTATGGAACTCTTTCCGCTGAATTTAATACGCAGGCTTCGTTGATACTCAATTTCAAAATCTTGTGGAACTTCTTATTCTTGTTACTAGTAATTGGCAACAACTGAGGTATGTCAATTTCAGAAGGTAAAAGGCTCTCATTAATAATCGCCAATTCCGCCCTGAGTGCGGAAACTCTTGCTGCTTTAGGTACCAGCGACAATCTCATTGATATGTCTTGAAGGGACATGATGAATTCAGTCTCCTTTTTAGAATAATTCACCCTTAATATTTTAAGAAGCTCATGATACAGCTTTGACTTTGCTGAGATACTTTGGGAATTAATTCTTTTAATGCCTGCATCTGTCGAGTATCTGTTGGTGTAAAGGGCCATTTCCGATTCGGAGGCTAGAAGGTCTGGTCTTGAATGTGACTTTGTGAGATCGGGTAACGACTGAACACTTCTGCTCATATCATCTCTCAAAGATCCAAGAGTATTCAGACGACTCTTTTTACGTTTTATAGTCATATTGATTTTTAAATTCTCACTGACATTCGAAAAGGCGGCTTCTTTCAACTCTGCGTGCTTCAAAGACAATTTACCATCTTCATCATCAGTCGTGTTTGTTTCTGAATCGTCCAGCAGAACAGACAGGACTGCCTTTCTACTAAAGTTTGAAGTTTCACCTGTCTTAGACCCGTTCTCGTGAACTGATTTGACATCCGAAGAATTACTCAGTGACTGATTGGCTGATAGTTTCTGGTTCTTTAATGTGAGATTTTTCGTCAAATTCTTTTGAAAATTGGCCTTATTAAATACAAGAAATCTTTGTTGCTTTGCCTGTGATCTTATTATAGGAGAAACGTAATCATGGACAAATGGTAATGCGAATGACGATAAAACTGCTCCACTGAGAACCAACGCTGGGTGTACATTTTCCCTAAATTCAATGCGTTCTGAAACTTGATCACCCACACTGAAAAGGATACTCTGCAACTTATTAATGAAATTGCGAACTGTTTGAAATGCATATGAGGCCGGCTCATTTCGAAGCTCGAAAAGAAAAGCCTGCAAACACCAAAAAACAATTAAACTAAAATGATGATAGTTTTCACAATATCTCAACAAGAACTCTTCTAACGCCATTGAATCAGTTTCAAACACTACTAGAAGCTGAATAAGTTGGGGAATGAAAAACTCTATTTCGTCATATGAAAATGAATATAGCCTTTGGACTAATGCGTGGTGAACACCAATGTTTTGTCCATTTTCTCGTAGTAAATTTATGCAATGAAGTATTGAAAGCTGAGAGGAGTAAACTTCATTCCTCAATCCATCGTTTTTAAACATGACTGCTTCCACTAACTCTGTTGGCTTAGTTTAAGAACCCAAATAATTTTTTCGGCAGCGGTGATTCTCTGAGCAAATATTTAAAATGAATTGTACACGCAATAAAAAAAACACAGTATATTAGGGCAAAGGCAAACTAGAACTATATAAGTCTAAAGAGTTAACTGACATCATCTAAATACCCGAGAACAAGTAAACTCCTCGAGAAGAGAGAAACCAAACTTAGAAGGAGAAAAATCATTCTGATCCAGTTATGGTAGTATGTTCCTTGAACGGTGGAATATCAAATTTTTCATCGTGTTTCTGACCTGGTAGGAATGGTGCGGCATCCAACACATCCTTAGTCAACTCCTCAGGTGATTCATCAAGGCTTATATGCTTGTTAAAGATAAGCCCTAAGTCCCTAGAGGAATGATCTTGAGCATCCACTGGCCGAAAGTACCTAGGATGAAATTCCACATCGTCCTCTAAACGCTTTTTCGCTTTTTCACGCTGTTCATTTTCTACCTTAAACTTCTCTTCAGTAGCAGTAGTATGATCTCTCTGAGCAAGAGCGTCGATAGTTGGTTTCCACAACTTTCTAGATTCATATTCGGATTGCTCCTCTAAAGGTCTGACTTTAGGTTTGACTTGAACGGTTTTGTGTGTATCGACGAGCACCAGCTTTTTCCCTGTACTTAAGTCTTTGATATCTATGATATCATTCCATTTACCGGTTAATTGAAACAATTCCTTTGAAGTATCGATTTCCCTGATGAAACCCTCAATCGCATCATATGTTCCACTAATGAAACCTTTGGTTTTAAATTCAATATCAGCCTCAAGTCCCAAAGCCTCGCATTTCACAATCATGTGGTCACCTAATTCAGTTTTCATCTTACCAAAGAGAATTCCCCGAACGTACACATTAGGTTGGTTTAACACATACTGCTCGTCATTCCAATTTCCAAGCGTAAGCTGAGCTAGTCCTTCCATCAAAGCTGCTGAGGAGTTACCTAAAAACTTTGATTTAGGGATCAATGTTCCATCAGCCCTGATTTTCTCTTTCGGGATCAAATAAAAATAAGACGATTTCGGAGGGTGGTGAGAAGTTTGCTCCGACAAGTAGTATGCGTCACCGGAATTATAAGGTAAATCCTTCCAATAGCAAGTAAAGGTCTCCCCAAGTACAGGATTAAGGGGTTTCTTGACAGCTTTTGGAGCAATATGCCATGAAGCAAGATACCACTTCAAAACATTCACAAATCTTGCTACTGGTTCCTTGGTGTGGTTAGCTTCGAGTAATAAATCTGGGATCTGGAAAAAATTTGTGATTCTCTCTAACATAGATTTCTTCTCCAAAATGAAAGTTGGGAGAGTGATTTTAGTCAAGTCCATACCTGGTCTCAATTGAGCAATAATACCCATCAAAATGCTCTGACCTTCGTTATCTACCTCATCAATGTCGTCAGAATTCTCGTTTTCCGAAACTTGGGTATTCTGATCGACATGAGTGGCATCACCGCCAGAGCTTTTCAATTTCAACTTATCTAACTTTGAAGTCAATCCCATATGTGTCAATTGGAAGTGGAAATATATGTGAAGGCTTAGTACGAAAGAGCCAACGTTTTAGAGGCAAGAAAGCAATCTATAGGGTTCGATTTTTGAATCCCCAAATTTGAAGAAAAATTGAAATACATACACGACAGAAATGGATACTCTGAGGAGTGAGAAGTTGGGCATGAAGTATTACACTAAGTGTAGAATACAACGAACCTATCGCAAAAGGATATTCAAAGGATCATCAATAGCTTCGATCTTTTTTTGTTGTGTAGGTTTGCATCAAGAGCCTGTCGCTGACATGTTATATACGAGCTTTGGACTCGGGCTAGTAGGAGTTTCTGAAACGGTACATAAGCCTACAATGAAACTGCCTCAAAGATATCTGTAAAATTTGGTACACAAGCTGCTATTTCATTCTTTACCTCATTCAACTCCAGTTTCATCTGAGCAAATTATAGACCTTTTCCGGTGTTGAGAGTTTAATTCAAGTTTGTTTCAGAATCTGGCCGAAACGCGGGAGGAAATGTTTCTATAGAAATACTAAACACCCTCGATATGCGCATAGCGCTTATTGTCCTTTACTTCACAACGATTCATATCATTAAAATTATGAAACCTGAAAAACTTGCTTCAATTGTTCAGAAATTGTACGATTTTGTTGTTAACATGTGCTCTCCGAATACAGTGAATTATGAAATAATCAACAATGACATCCAAAAAATAATTGAATCAATACAACTCGATGTTTTAGTGAAACAAGTTGACAAAGCTGATATCAATGATTTTCTCACTATTAACAAATGCACAAAATTGCTTAAGTATGTCATGGCTAAAAGGCTAGAGTTGTCAAGACATACAATAAAGCTAAAAGGCAAAATGCGGGGACATTCAAAGCAACAAGTGTATGATCGCAGCAAAACTGACTGCCATGGGCGAGTGCACAAAAAGGTGATAGTCAGTATCAAAGATGGTTTCTTATGTAAACTGACCAAGCGTTTACTGAGGCATAATTTAAAAGTATTAGAAAACTGGTTCGAACAAAATTTCAATTACCCTTATTTGGACAACATATCTCTACAGTCTCTTATTCAAGTGACTGACTTATCAAAATCTCAGATTCAAAATTGGTATGTATATTATTTTGCGTTTCTACATATTTTGTTAATACTAACGGCTATAGGATATCTAATCGAAGAAGAAAAGAAAGAAATGTAAAAGTCTCCCCGGAAATTGTTGCATTCCTCAACTAGCTAAAACCAGTAATTCCAAATCCGTTTGTAAAGTGGTTTCAGTTTATTTATGATTTTCTTTTCCTCGAGTTCAGCTCTGAGCAAGACCAAGTCAACTTGTCTTCTGCCGGTGTCAAGGTCAATTTCATGCAATGTTTTGCAAATTTTCCAGTTTTTAGCATATAACTTATGACCAATATAGAAAACCAATATAACAACAGCCCCCAAGTAATTTTGAAAAAAATGCTCTGCATTGGCGTTTTTCGACCCAATTGGGAATAACGCCGTCCAAAATTGGATACCCAAAACCACGAGCAAGAATCCCATTGCGTAGATTGAGCCAAAAATGCTTGTGATTGAGGTGAATGTCAACTCTTCCAACGATCTTCCTTGTGCACGCATGGCTTGTCTAAAACGAAAGTGGCACAATGCAATGTTAAACCAGGAGAATATAGTTGCAAGCCCTGCCACGCTTAGAAGCCAATCGAAAACAGTGCCTTGATTTTTGTAGGCAGCAAGGAAGCAAAGTAAACCAAATAATGCTGAAAGGGCTAATCCTCCCAATGGCCGGCCTTTCCTATCAACGTAGGCAAAAATTGGAGGAGCCAAGCCTTGGAGGCCCAAGGATTGTACCGTACGTGAACAGCCAAATACTGCCGAGTTTCCTACTGAAAGAATTGAAATTAGGATACAGGCATTGAAAATTGAAGGCAATGCATAGATTCCTCCGTTTTTAATGGCGATGACAAACGGTGAGGTTGATGATGTACCGGAACCAAGTAAATCGGATGAGGTGTAAGGCACGAGTAAACTAATCATTGTCAATGAAAGAAAGTAAAACAATATAAGTCTCCAAAATACTTGACGGATTGCTTTGGGTAGTGTTTCTCTTGGATTTCTCGTTTCAGCACTAGCAAGCCCCACCATTTCTGAGCCTGCCATGGAGTAAGATGCGGTAACAAATGTAGTTGCAACTCCTTTGAAACCGTTAGCAAAAGCGCCTTTTCCAACGTGCCAGTTTTTTCCTCCAATGAATTCATGGGTGGGGCCACCTCCACACACAAGTACGACACCTAATATTATAAACCCAACAATGGCTATTATTTTGAGGATTGTCAAGTAATACTCAGCTTCTCCATAACCCTTGACACCAAATAAATTAACTCCGAAAATAAAGACATAAAATATGGCAACCCAACTAGCTGGGTTTATACTATCATTCCAATAGGTAATGCACATTGCCGCGGCAACCAATTCCAAAGGCAACACAAACAACCACATAATGGCATAGTTCCAGCCCACAGCAAAACCCCATGACAGATCTATGAACCTAGTTGCGTAGGTGGAAAAAGCACCATTAACGGGGAAAGCAACACACAATTCCCCCAAAGAGTGTATAACACAAAACACCATAGTCCCCACTAATCCCCAGGCAATTATCAAACTGGCGGGCCCTCCTTGGCTCAACGACGAACCCGAACCAATCAACAAACCGGTACCTATCGACCCGCCAAGAGCAATCATTTGTATATGTTTGTTTTTCAAGTCACGATGTAAATCACCTTCTGACCCGGAGGAGTTGGCCTCGAGATCGCTGAATGAGCTCTTTGACGTTACTTCTGCTTCCTCGGCCCTTTTAAAGGAATCTTTGAATTGGCTCCATCGCGAAGGACTCTCTTCAGAAGCGCTTATTTCTCTACTGGCGGTGGGCTCCTCCTTCAAGCTCATGTTTTAGGGAGAATAAATGCAGGATGAGTATGGAACAATCTGATTGAAAGTGGATATAGTAAACTTGTGTGCAACACTCTATATATCAGGGGATTCTGAAAACTGACTCATTCAAGATTTTATGGGGAAACTGCTAAAAAAAATATTGAAAAATTTTAATGTGCAGAGGCTACAGTGAACGGCATTTTTGCAGTCAAGAAAAAAAGAAAAAAAAAAAAGTCAAAAGACAAAAGACAAAAACAGGAAAGAAAAAGTGAAAGTTGCAACAAAACAGTGAGAAAACAAAGGGTTTGAAATAATATGCCAATGTTCCTTTTTGATTTTGATAGATATCCGTCATGATTATTCCTGTAAGCTGATTGTCTCTTTTGTTATTTTTCCCAACTTCAACATATCGTGATCTAGATGGGTGAGTGTTGCTTCGCACACCTTGCATGGTGATTTCGGCTTAATGCGTGATCCGGCCCGTCAAACTAAGTAAGAGAGAAAAAATATAAAATCTTCAAATTGCCTTACGGCATGTAATGGTCGTGTGCCGCCAAAAGGGTATAGGAGACTTGGTCTGTTGAGGAATTCGGGTGGTTGGTGCAACGTGAATCCCTTGAAAAATGTCGATGGCTTGGTACTTGAAAAACAACATGTTCAAAAGTGTAATGAAATTTAAAAAAAGAATGGTAATAATGGGTCCTATTTATAGTTTTGTTGTTTTGAAATAAGTATGTCGCTTATTGGCGGCATTGTATGGTAATTGAGCCGCACGTGTCCCGGTTAATGGAAAGAGTGAAGGCATTTGTGGTTGCAAAGGAAACAACGTAACTCATACGGCTAAGATGTTGTCTATATGGTGTTGTTCAATTGTGTAGCAGAGTATGGAGGAGAGTATAGAGTAGAGTATGGAGTAGAGTATGGAGTCGTATTTGGAGTTTGTCCCTTGTTGTTTGGTGACTTGTGTGTTTTAGCAGAATTTGGCACACTTTTGAAGACAATTATAACTTGCAGGAGGAGGATGTAGTGATATAAATATTTTGAATCATTTTATTGTTATAAAAACTTAACTCAATAGGTATTGAATTTTAAGTCTACTGGAAAAGGTTAAACCTGTGGTATCCTGCCCAGATTGCCCCCTTTCAACTAACCTTGTGTTATTTCACTGCACTATGCTGACATCATGAAAAATTCACATGAAAGTACATCTTACACAACGGCTGCAAACCAATCTATCAAAACTTTAAAAAAGAAAAAAGCTTTTACCTTAACCGATGATAAACCGTTGGCATCAAAGCCCACCGTTTTCTTAAAGCAGATCAAAAGAAGTCGTGGAGTGTGGCTAAAGCCGAGTAGGAAAAGTTTATCTTTTTGTCCAATGCACGACCATGTTTTAAATTTAACCTCTCCACCAAAAATCTTTTGACAATCATCAGACACCATATAACCAGTCATAGATTATCAGAAGCATATCGTCTTATCTTTACTTGACACAAGAATATTTAGATCTTAAATATAAACAAAGCTAAAGAATCATTTACTACTCACCCACCCACTACAAAAATAAAAACAATCAAATAAATTCGATTTTTCTAAACGGTTCATCACGAGATGTCTTTTAATACACAAGGTTCTCCTGTATTTTGGAATAATGAACAATATTCAACACCCAATTTATCAGAAGCGAAACAGGAAGGTGGGTCCTATAGTGGTGTACCAGAGTTTGCTGAATTAAACCAAGAGAATATAAATTTATTCAACCAAAAACAAAATGACCCCTGTGACTCCTTCCAAGCTGAACAAAATCAATACAATCAAGCAAATTTCGAACACACCAACAACAGCTTTGCACTTCAAGAGCAACAAATAGCATACTCGTCTTCGCAAAATGGATTTCCTTATCAAAATGTGCCGCCACTTAATTCAACGCTTTCGCAGAATTCCCAGGGCAACATTAGCTATGCGTCTGCTGATCTTTCTCCGAATCAGATCAATAATAACCATATAACTTCACCTGGTACCTCAGAAACTTCTGCCGGTTATGATATTGACAAGAAAGTCTTGAGTGATCAAGCCAATGGACACAAAAAGAAAACAAAGCGACAATTGCTAGACGAAGAGGATGCCATATTGATTGCTAGAGATGACTCAGAGTTGACCGATGAAGAATTGCAGATGAAGAGAAAAGCGCAGAATAGAGCGGCACAGCGTGCATTCAGAGAGCGTAAGGAAACAAAGTTGAAGGAATTAGAAGCCAAGTTGTTACAAAGCGAAGAAGAGAGGCAGAAGTTAGTGGAACAGCTAGAGGCGATTAGGAAACAGAATTTGTCAATATGCACTGAAAATGAGATTTTAAGAACTAATGAAGGGTCACTAACCGCGAATAAAACAACGGTGGACAAATTTCATTTCCCACAAACACAGGATGACTTCATTGATGAAATAACCCGCGGCACAAACCACCAAGTTAAAAAAGACACCATAAACAAAGTATACAACAATCCCGAAGGTGACAAGTTGCTAGCTCTAGGGGCTGTATGGGACTATTTACAGATCAAAGTCGAGGAAGCAAATTTGGATTTGTCAACTATCGATTTTAATGAAGTTATGGATAGATTAAAAGGTAATGAGAAATGTCACGGTTACGGTCCAGCATACCCATTAAGTTTAGTTCAACAAGCTGTAGAGGCCAGTTTTAAGTGAAATTAGATTGTATAAGGTATTAGTTGAAGTTTTTGTAAACCGCAGTTAGAGCGGCTCTTCAAAGAATGTTCTAAAAAGTTCGATGATTTTTTTTTTTTCTCTTTGCTGCTCCTTCTCAACATATAAAAAGTGGTGAGAACATAACTAACCACTTCAGACCAGTACAATTCAAATCAAATCAAACCACTAACGCTATCAATCATGACCACGGCGGACGAATACAAAGCAGAAGGTAACAAATACTTTGCCGCAAAGGAATTCGAAAAGGCAATTGAGTCATTCACAAAAGCTATCGAAGCTTCACCTCAACCAAATCACGTTCTTTATTCCAATCGTTCTGGATCTTATGCATCGTTAAAAGAATATGACCAAGCATTAAAGGATGCGCAAGAGTGTATCAAGATTAATCCTTCATGGGCCAAAGGTTACAACAGAGTAGGAGGAGCTCAATTTGGTTTAGGAAATTTGGAGGATGCCCAAAAGGCGTACGAAGAGTGTTTGTCATTGGATGCCAACAACGCCCAAGCCAAAGAAGGGTTGAAGTCGGTTGAGAATTCTATTAAAGCACGTAATTCTAGTGGTGATATGGGTTTAGGTGCCATTTTCAGAGACCCTAATTTAATCACCAAATTAAAGAGTAATCCAAAGACTAGTGAATTGATGAAGGACCCTGATTTGGTTGCTAAAGTGTTGAATATACAAGCCAACCCTCAAACGAATGCTACTCAACTTTTATCTGACCCTAGATTAATGACAATAATGGCAACATTGATGGGAATAGACATGGATTTCTCTGCCGAGGGAGGTGAACCATCGTCCAAGACTGAAGATGATGCTTCAAAGCCTGAAGAAAAGGTAGAAACTGAAAAGAAGGAAGAACCAAAGCCAACAGAAGAAACTAAATCAGAAACGAAACCTGCAGCTGAGGGAAAGAAAGTTGATAGTGAAGGAGATGTGGAAATGAAAGATGCACCACAGGGTGACAAGGAAGCCGCTGACAAGGCAAAAGCAGAAGGAAACACCCTCTATAAGCAACGCAAGTTTGATGAAGCTATTGCAGCCTACGACAAGGCTTGGGAGTTGCACAAAGATATCACCTACTTGAACAACCGTGCCGCCGCAGAGTACGAGAAAGGTGATTACGACGCTGCTGTCGCCACATGCGATAAGGCTGTTGACGAAGGAAGAGATATGAGAGCTGACTACAAGCTAATTGCCAAATCATTTGCCAGATTGGGTAACATATATTTGAAAAAGGACGACTTAGAACAAGCCGTCAAGTACTTTGACAAGTCATTGACTGAACACCGTACACCAGATGTATTAAATAAATTAAGGAGCACACAAAGGGAGATTAAAAGTAGAGAAGCTCAAGCGTACGTTAATCCCGAGAAAGCTGAAGAAGCTCGTTTAGAAGGAAAAGAGTACTTCACCAAGGGGGATTGGCCAAATGCGGTCAAGGCATATGGTGAAATGATCAAGAGAGCTCCTGAGGATCCAAGAGGTTACTCTAATAGAGCTGCAGCATTGGTCAAGTTGTTATCATATCCTGATGCCGTTAGAGATTGTGATACTGCAATTGAAAAGGACCCAGATTTCATTAGAGCATACATTAGAAAAGCCAATGCCCAATTGATGATGAAAGAGTATAGTCATTGTATGGAAACACTCAATGAAGCACGTGAGAAGGATTCGAAATTGGGAGGCAAGAACTTGCATGAAATTGACCAGTTATTTGGCAGAGCCAGTACACAAAGATTCCAAGCCATTGATGGAGAAACCCCCGAGCAAACCATGGAAAGAGTTTCGAAAGATCCGGAAATTGTGCAAATATTGCAGGATCCAGTCATGCAGGGAATATTATCTCAAGCTAGAGATAACCCGGCAGCATTGCAAGATCACATGAAGAATCCCGAAGTTGCCAAGAAGGTTAATATGTTGGTTGCAGCAGGTGTTATTCGTACGAGATAGATGGAGCTGTGATGTTTATAATTGTGTAGATACGGTGTAAATAAAAGATTGTCAATTAATTATGCTTTTTTTGTTGTAGGGGGAGTGAAGCCTACGGCAAGCATGTGGCCAGTGTGCCTGTTGTGAGATAGACAGAGCATATCGAGGTTGATAAATGGCTTCTTTTGACTTAGCTACGAACTCCACTATCGCCCAATTTTCACTTGGCCCTAACAAACGTACAACTCAGTTGCAATTAACTCAACAAATTCTTTTTCGGGCGGGTATTGACGGACGATATTTTATGTTCCTATACATCCGCCACCTTCATCGGACTTAACAGCTTTGTACGATTTGAATTTACTTTGTTCAAAGAACAACAAAAAATAAATGGTTTTGAATTTGTTCTTCTGCATACGCGTCAAGCAGTCTTTTGGAAAACTTTTCATTGTTTTTGACTTTCTTCCTCTCCAAGCATTATTAAGCACTGTAGTTGAGGTGTAAAGTGTTGTCACAAAAGTGATGTGTAGACGACACAAAGTATCACAACACAAAACATTTTCCAACTGGGGGAGTGGCATGGTTATGAGTTCTATTTGAAAACAAAAAGAAAACAATGCAATAACGACTTTAAATTTGTTGTTGGGAGACAATGGGTAGCAAATTGATTACAATATACTGTGTTTTGCGTACATGGCTTCTTCAAAGCGGCGAATCTACTTACTTTTCCATAGAACCAATACATTGGGGTAGCTGATACTGGTGCCTTGTCCAGCGTGCAAGTCAAAGCCATAGGCTTTGCAAAGAGAGAGTCAGACAAAACTAGAGCTGTTTACACTATTCTATATACACTTGATAATATTGTTACATGATTCTAAAACAAAAGATGCAATAGTGCCAACACTAACTATGCAAACCCCAACTACTCTTAGATATCCTTCTCTACATTGCTGCATTCGTCAAACATCTCTTGAAAATTAGTCACGTTTGACCCGTTCGGGTATTCTTTACCCAATTGAACCATGACATCCAGTGTTGCATTACTTCCAAGACCGCCACTAGCACCTGAACCTATCAGTTCAAAGAACATGGGCATGACTTGTTTAAGCTGCGAGTTTTGTTGGTTCGGTGTAGGCGCGAAATTCTGTTGCTGTTGTTGCTGTTGTTGTTGCTGTTGCACAAATGGCTGTTGCATCTCAACGGGGTAAACTTGGGGAAGCGAATTGGATGGGTAATGCGAATGGTGCGATACAGTAGATGATGTATCCAGGTACCGTGGTACATAATTGGTCATATAATGATGTTGGTGCTGTTGGGGAGGGAGTGGAGGTAATGGTTGTTGTTGAAACTGATGCTGGAGTGTTGGCTGTTGTTGTTGCTGGTGCTGCTGAGGATATGTCTCTAGTGGTTGATGCATTTGACTCTGCTGATGAGAATCAGGGTGATGTGGTTGTTGATTATGTGGTGTTGGATTTGGGTGTGGATGCGGATGCGGATGCAGGCTCTGCTGATAAAACTGATCATTCTCTTCTGGTTGTTTGTCCTGAGATGCAAATGACTGACCAGGAGCTACTGGACGTGGGCGATATACTGACGCCGTGTTTGTAAAATGCAATGGATACTGTTGTTTTCTCTGCTGATCTGCAAAATCAGTCAAATGATTTTCATGCTCTTGTGTTCTAGCTTTTGTCGAAGTCAGTGGTGATATAGCATTTTTCAAGATACTATCAACTCTTCTTTCAGCCGAGTACTTATCATTGTCACCGCCACCAACGTCAATGGCATTATTATTGTCCACTTCGCTGCTGGCGTCAGTACTCACATTGCTATTGCTATTGCGATTGCTACTGCGAGTACTGTTGCGGGTACTATTAACAGTGCTATTGCTGCTGCTATTGGTCTTGCTTGTGTTTGAACCTTCCAGGGTATAGCTGCTTTTAGAACCAGATTCTGAAGCAGTGTCGAAAAAATTGTAAGCTCGGAACCACCTTTCAAACACCTTCGAAGTCAAGCTGTGATTAATGCCTAGATGTCCCTCAGGGGTGTAAAATTCTGGGAATTGCACCTTTAAATCGAAATGCTTTTGCAATGCCTTGTTCTTGGTAAACAATGCATTCTTTACGTCACCGCTAGTTATATTCATGAAAATACGTAGTAAATACCGAGTAATGAAATCGTACATCTTTTGTCGAATACAATTGCGTTGAATCTTAACCCCTTTGCTCTTATTCTTGTAACTGAAAAACTGTAATGAAATTTCAATCATGAGACCTAAATCCCGCTCTGCCTCAGCGGAGTTAGGGTTGGTAAAATGAACACTAGCTAAATGACAAAAAGCAGCAAACGGATCATACAAATGCCAACTGAACGAAGAATAATACATCGTCTTCAAATTGAAACTTTTCGCAACGTGCAATATGGTCCTGGCACTTTCTAGAGAAATGTGTCTAAACGCCTTTATTTTCTCAATCAATGGCTCATTCTCTTCCGTAGCGGGGACTTCTTGCATAGCAGTTCGATTGACAACCATCAAATGTGAAAAATAATTCATGTATATGTTGATAAAGTTGTCATCTCCAGAATCGGCAGCCAAAACTTTATCCAATGGCTTGTTCTTTGACTTATAAAAGAAGCGGGGGTCATTGTAATAACATATAGTGACTGAAGGTTCAGCCAAGTCTGTGATTTTGTGCATCTCTCGGTTAATGTTCTCGATTCGAGCTAAAAGTTCGTCTAGCTTGATATGGCGTGCTGAAATGCTATATAGCTGGTCAAATGATTGTAATCGCATCTTCGTAATCTGGTGAAGGAAGTAAGCAGCACACCTATGCAATACTTTTTTCTCGTTCAATTCATTTAAATTTGACAAGTTATCCAACCTCTTTGCATCATCCCATAATGTGCGCATTAACTCGATACTCGATTGGACGTTGGTCATCGTAGACTTGTCGCCGTCAATAACACTACACACTCCGTATTCTCCAGCTTGTAATGGTTTCCCGTACCGGAAAGAATAAGTCACTTCAAAAGTCTGGCAAAACCACCACAATCTTTTGCGCATATTGCGTTCATGCCAGCTTAATCCTTGGTAGGATTCCTTGCAATGAAGCCCCAACTCTTGCGCATACCTTACAGCCAAGGAAATTGGGATATAGGTCTGCTTAACAGCGGCTATAACCGATTGCAAATAAATGACAAATAAAGCAAATGCTAGGACTGTTTCCACCCCTTCAGACGATAGGACTAGACGATTGTAATAAAATACAGTTGAAAAGAAGCATTTGGTATCAAGCTCAACCAATTGTTTATCCGTTAATGATTGTAAAATTTTCGATGGTGGTTTGTTATTTTTCTTCATCTTGGCTATATTCCGCTCGTCGACCAAGGCAGATATACAGAGGCCAACCAGGAGAGACATTATCATCAATTCTGACCACATAAAAGATCGTAATTTTGAATTTGGTCCCTTGGTGTGCATTTTCTTGTTGTTTTTGAAGTAGCTTTCAAACAACCCCTTGACATAGCTCGACTCACAAACAAAAGACGCAATATACAAATCGTCAAACCGGTCCAAAATCTCAAGCGGAACCGACAACTCAGTAAATGTATTGTCCATAAGGTCAGTTCTATTGCGAATGGTGGTCTTTATCGGCTGGCATATAGAATCCATAAAGGCCTGCAGAAAGAAACTGTGAATCGTTCCAATGCTTAGCACATCACGCACTTCGGTCAGGCGATGCCGGCCCAAGCCTTGAAACATTAGTTCCAACGAGGATTTGGAGAAAACATCAATTATCGTGTGTGTACCAAACCTATTGTTGTCGGCTAGCGGTGCAGTTAAGATATCGTTGGTGGTGTCTCCATTTGGCTCATCCTTCTTGCCACTTTCTTCTGTGTGAGTTGTAACTATTTCTTTGATATCGACTGGCTCGGATCGTGCTTGGTTATCTCCTGCCAGATTCCTGGCACCACGGACTTCTTCCGCCAACACTTCAAGTAAACTCTCAATCTTGTCCAACCGCAGGTTCAAATGTTTGATACTTTGGGTCTTGTTCGGCTTTGTTGCAATTGACGGGCTCGGTTTTGGCGCCTTGGGTTTCTTTTCGGGGTCGCTAACATAAACACAATCTCCTTCGTTATTCTCTTGACAGTTGAGACACGGCAAACTTCCATCACATTTAACTTTCTTTTTACGACAATATGTACAGGCTTTTGAAACGCGAGGTCTTTTCCTTTTGGCTGTCTCTAGTGGTGGATCTTGAATATGCTTTGTTGAGTCGATTTGTTTGGGTGATAAAGGTACCGTAGTACTATCCTGGGAGATTGTGCTACCACTTGTGCCTGAAGGATATAACTGAGGCCGGCGAAACAAATCAGATTTGGTAAGTTGGTCAGATGGAGTACCCAAAGAGCTGTCTTGTTGTTGGGATATCGAGGTTGCGGCGCTTGATTGAAACGACAGACTTGATTGTTCTTCCAGCCCATGCTGTACACTGTTTATAGGGTCAGGCATTTGAAGGAGGGGGAGGGGAGGGGGGGATGCGAAGGGAGTGAAGTCTCTTTTAGTTGTGCATAGACTAAATGGTTTGAAATCCTTCTTGCTTCAGTGATTGTTAGCTAGTAAAATGTAAACGACGACTAACTCCAATTAGGATAAATGATTGATGATACATGCAAATAATCTGACAGTGCTTGGGCCACCCCAGTCTTTTGTTGAAGCGAGTGGGGTTGATTTTGATTTGCTTTGAGTTGAATCGTATTGGTTAAGAAATGTCCCTTTTTGTTGAGGTAAGGAAGAAGGGGAATTGTTTAGTTGAGTTGAAAATTGGGAAAAAAAAAGGGGTTGTTGTGCTTGAGCTTTCTATTCTTTTGGTTTTTCTTTTATTATTAGAATACTTCAATTATGAATTATATTATTGTTTGAATACAAAAAACAATAATGAAATCGTCTTCTATGAAGTATTTCTTTATAATGTCTTTTATTGTTTAATTCTTTCAAACATATATATTTTTCTTCTTCTTCTTCTTCTTTATTAAAAGTTTTTAGACCATACATTTTTTAACCTTTCAACAGAAAAAACAATTAGGTTTCATTTGCCATAAACTACACAATACCAATATATCAACAATTGACTTTATAACCCAAAAAAACAATAAAAAAAAAAAGCAAAATAAATCACTCGGGAGGGGTAACTAATCCAAAAAGAAGCACTTCGTTAAACTACAGTTGTTCTTTGATATTCCGTGTCTCCTGGTGTCAGATTAGGTGCTTAACTTCTTCTTTCGGCTTCTATCTTTTTTTTTTTTTTTTTCTTTTTTTTTTCTTTTTTCCTCGTTGTAAATAGTATAAGCATTCTTTCTTCGCAACCGTAGCCTCGGGTAACAAGTTGTCTTATCTACAAACCATATTGAAGTTGGTTTCAAATTACAAACAATCAACAACATACAACGCCCTAATTTTCGCACAATCAAATTATAAAACCTGCAGAAACATTTAAACGAGAAGCGTCATTCACATAGCCTACTTTTTATACATCCATAGATTAATGAAACACCTTACCCTTTATTTAATGCCTTATGCGTAGAATATTCGATCTGGGCCCCCAAAATAGAATAGGGTAGAATGTCTTGTATGACGAATTAAGTGCTTGACATGAAATTACACAAATAGTGTCTTTAGCCCGTTGCTTTTTCTTCGGTTGTTCTTCCGCAGAAGCAGTTAGACACCAAACTATTTATTAAAATTGTTCTTTTTTTTTTTTCTTCTTCTTCTGGACTCTCTACCCTGGTGACATCATATTCATGACAGATGAGGTCACCAGGAGAAGCAATTAAAAGAAGATGATGTCTCATATAAGCCCCAGTGCAGACGATCACAGCCTAAAAAGTGTTTTATCGCATTACATCTCGCACAATCACTAACCAATACGCGAAGAGCTGTGTTCTCCACACATGTATTCAAGCATATGCCTTGGTGTTGGAAATGTTTTCTCTTCATAACCATGTGAAATTAATATTGTTTCCTTTTTGTTTCCTTTTTGTTTTATTTTGTTTTTAATTACGTGTGGGAACATAAGTGTTCCTACATGAGGCGATAGGATAGAATAGAGTAGAAATGAAGTAGAAATGACTCAGCTGTTTATTTTTTTTTTTTTTTCCTTCATTTCCTCCAACGATACGTTTATCATTTTGCTTGTCTCAGCAGTTTTGTTACCACTAGTTAAATTTTATAACTTCATTTAAGCGTCTCAGCAGCAAAACTGTGAGACAAAGCGACAGAAGAGAACGAGACAAACGGCACTTCAAAGAAAAGAAAACAAAAAAAAACAAAAAAAAGAAAGAAAGAGAGTCAAAACCAATGTCAAAAATTTGTAAAGTTTCAATTTTATTTTGGTGGTTGTTTAAATAATTTTAAATTGCTCATCTCCGAAATGAAACAAAAAAAAAAAAAACAAAAGCAAAAACATAAAAGTTTTTCGGTTAAGGGGTTTTTTTATATTTCCGTTGATCTTTAGTTTAAAAAAGCTTGTTATTAATTATGCTTTTACCGATCGGATTTTAAAGTACTAAATAAAGTTTACACTTGATCCCCGTATATGCAATAGAAACAAATTGAACAAAAAAAAAAGAAAAAAAAAACATCAAGCAGTGCCTGATTCAAAAACTACACTCTATAATCTATTGTTTCTATTGTTTTGATTTGAAGAAAATACCATACAAAAATGTTAGTCGTGTACCAAAGTGAAACATTTGGAAATAGAGTCCGGTTTCCTATGGTACAGAAACAACATACAAAAAATACACAAAATCCTAGCAACTGAAAACTTTGTTTTTGCCGTTGCTTGCATTTGTACCCGGGCGGGTATTCGATATTCTTCCATAGCAAGTGTTAAAGAAGAAAAGATAAAATTCACTGATTTGACAAAGACCTCAAATTTATTTTAAGATGCAACTGAGACATTGTAAGACGTTTTTATATCAAGCCTTTATTCTTCGCTTGTGATTCACGTGGAATCGCAGAGGAGCTTGCAAATGTTTTGTTTGTTCAATCGTACAGCATTTGGTGAACCCCTTTGCCCTTGTAATGGGTGGCAAACTTTGTATATGAATACCCCAGTGATCGACGGTATTGCAAGTATTAACGCCTCACCCACCGGCGCACCATCGCCTATTATTTCCTCTTGATTTGGGAAAACAAGAATTGAAAATGGAAAGAGAGAACGAAGATTGGAGCTTTTGCATAAAAATTGATCTAAATTCTTGGGGTTTACACTCTCGTCAAGTCATGGATCAAAAGAGCAATTTTAAGAATCTTTAGTTCGTAATTGGAACTAAACGAAAGTCAAATTGGACAGATATCCGTCATCTACTAACGTATTCGGTTAACGTCTTTTCCCCTCACAGCGCTGCAACTTATATTACTCGTTCTCCTTAAAATACGAAAATACGAATGCTTTTTTCTTTGCTTGCACCCTACCAATCAGCCACACTATGACAGGTTGAAACCTTAGAGAAGTGAATTATACCGTAGCTGGTCTTCCACCCACCCCCTCTCCCCTAATTTCAGTTCCCCTCACTTCGGTTTTCAACCGGAGGTGTAAAAGCCAAAAAAAGTGCCGTTGGACATATTAGATTCGACCTTTTGTTTAAACAATGTAAAACTGTCACAGTCGTATGAAAAAAAAAAAAAAACATCCATGAGTAGTTTGTGCCACGAGAGAAGTGACTATTTAACGCGTGGAGACTAAGCGGGTCTATCCTCAAAAGCCTAAGAAGCCCCACTAGTTCATTGGTTAGGCGTACACATCAGAGTATTCTGAATTTCAGAATGGAAAACTGTAAACGAGCACAAAAGTACAAAAGCACGGGGAAATACGGAACTCTAAACACACACACACACACACACTCTCTCTCTCTCTCTCTCTCTCTCTCTCTCTCTTAAACTTGCCTCAACTTCTCTTAAAACAACCAAGAAATAAAATTATTTATTTATTTGATTTCGGTAAACTCCACATATATATAGACAGACAAATCGTAACTAGACCTACAAAGAGACTACGTCAGTGCTCTTCTTGTGCATCACAAGAGCTAACGTGTGATGCATTGCATTACTTTGCAGCAAAGTTTGCATCGTATTCACCTCTAACTCCAGCTTTATATACCTAAGTTATTATCAAAAAAGAAATTAGGCATACTATTCATTTGGCTCAAAAACATATTCAGCACCCCATCATTACCTGATTGATTCGATACGCCATAATCACCAATAACGGACCCTGTAGCAACCGGAGCAGCCATATTACTTTGTACATTCCCCATTTGTGTTGATCGCAAGTTGGACCCGTTTGATTGATGATGTACTTGATCCACCGGATGCACAAACAGCGGGATCGAGTTCATTGGAGTAGATGTGACTCCAGGTAGCGGCTGCTGCAGCGGTGACAGATAAGATTGAAGGTGATGTGGTGGGAAACGTCCATTTATATGGGTGTTATTATTTGTACTATTTTGACTATTTTGATCGGGGTGCATGATGTTAGACACCGATGGATTATATCTCGGAGATGATGCATATGGGCTTAATCTATTGCCGATTGACGAAGAAGTTTCCAGACTCCAATCTTCACTAGTTTCGAAAAACGATTGACCGAAAAATGTAGGGAAATTGTTGGAAAATTCACCAGTTTCTTGATACAATTCGGGGAACTTGACTTGCACACTATTCAAATGAACTCTTAATGCTTCGTCATTCTGTAAGACAGACACCCCTGTTTCATTTTCATAAGCGGTTATTACAACTCTCAACATTAGTTTCACAATTAGTTCAATTGATATGTCTCCATGTGAACGCACATGCTTGTGAGGTTTTGAAAAATTACCCACATATTCAAAGAATCCCATCGACGACTCACTCAATAGCTTAATATCATTGACCACTTCAGGTGAGTTTGGATGGTTCAATACCGAGCCCGCAAGGGTCAAAAACGCAATGATAGGATAATACAACACCCAGTTTAGGAATGTCGAACCAACAGTGTCTTTATTCACTTGCTTCATCATCACTAATATGGTTCTTGCGGCATCTAATGATAAATTCCGGAACTTCAAAATTTGACTTCCAGCATCAACCTTGTCTGTTTCAACAACAAACGGGAACCGGTTAATCACCATCAAATGAGCAAAATAAGACAACTGACCCACCAAGATAATTTGTCGTCTTGGCTCAGGTATTTTCTGATCGATAAAATGAAATAGTGGGTCATTGTAAAAACGGGGCCGGTCAACTTCCGATAAATATCTTGCCAACTCTGACATTTCCAGATTCAAATGGTCCAACGCATTCGATAGGGACTCAAAATCACGCAATCTTGCTGAAGCGGCAAATAGTAGATGGTACGATTCCGATTTGATTTTTGCCAAAAGCATGCCGTAGAAATGATAATAAAATGTGTCATCTTTAAATGATTTCAACTTTTGAAGTAATCGATAACTGAGCGGTTGGGTCGGGTCCCCTAATAAAGCCTCATCGGCCACTGCAATTGACATTTGACGTTCCATATCGTCACCATCAAAATTTGGATCCAAATAGGAGGTGGACCCTTGAATACACGTAGTCAATATATCTGCCTCAGTACACGTCGTGACATCATCAACGTTGATTGATGGCGGTTTACCAAACCTGAAGCACAAATCAGTGTCATAATAATAGCAAAACCACCATATCTTCCGCATTCGATCTTGCTCCTTGTCACCCAACTTGTTGAAATATTCAATCCGGTGTAAACCAATCTCCTGTGCATACCTCACTGCCACCGCTTTCGGTATGTAGTTAATATGATTTGAGATCCAACTGGAGTCACAATATGATATCAACAAGAGAAGAGCCTCAATAGTCTCCAAACCCTCACTAACAAGACATAGTCTGTGGTAGTAAAATATTGCGTTTTCCAATAGCTTATCTTGTAAATGGTACAATTTGCCATTTTTCTTGTGCTCCTTCTTATCCAACATTGCATCCAACCCCATCAATAATGCCGAAGTCATGATCAAAAATTCCGATGTAGTGAAATTCCGCCTTTTGGACGGATCGTTTAACCCATCATAATATGAGACAAACATTTGTCGGACTGTTTCCCCTTCAACGAGAAAGCTAATCATGGGTATCTCCCCATATCCATCCACCAACCCCATAACCAATTTAGAATCCACTGGAAATGGTTGCTTCAACAACTTTTCTTTTGTCCGGGTGTCAATCAATGCTGGGTCGATCCATTTATTCAAAAACACACTTAATTTGCTGTGACATACTAGTAGGGTATTTTTCATAGGTGTTATGCACTCAGTACCTTTAGATCCTAATTTTTGCTCCATCCAATCTAGCGACTCTCTGGAAAATATTGAAAATATCGACTGGGTTCCTATGTACAGTGCATATCCCCCCATTCGAGGTAACTTAGTGCCATTAGAGCCACTATTTTCAGTTGCCTCTTTCGAACATCCAGGCAATCTTTCTTGTCCTTCGTGATCACGATCGGACGCTGCTGAAGACACCTCTCTTGAAACTAGACCCATGGCAGATCCTCTCTCTGAATGTAATCGGTTCGATTTGGTACCTCCACCAGTTCGATCTGCAAGTATTTCAACGGTGTCAGTTAACCTCTCAATGGCACGTTCAAGTTTTGACATTCGGGAATCTAAGGAATTTGGAAAATTCGTGTTATCTCCTTGCTTCAGGGGTACAGATTCACTCTTTAAATTGAATTGGTCGTGACTCTTGTGGCCCAATTTATGAACCCTTGGTTGTCTCTTTGTCAGCCGTTCAGAGTACAGACAAACTTTTGGCTTCCTCGATTGTGTACAATTCTCACAGGGGTACGATCCATCGCATTTGATCTTCTTTCGACGACAAATGTCACAAGCTATCTTTATCCTCTTTTTGGAAGGATCTTTGGGGTCAGCGTCATTAGCTGGGTTATGATTTTCTGGCATCAACAAGTTCAGATTTTTCCTGTCTGAATTATCCTTACCCATTTCCAATTTTGACGTAGTCATTTGGTTACTGGTAGATTCACTCATCTTCAAAGTAATGCAAAGAAAATGTCAAAAAGTTCTTAAATGACTATTTGAGATTGTAGACTAAACAGTGCACATACATCGAGTAGATCCGCACATGATTCAATTTTTTGTTTGTTGTTTGATTTTTTTTCTTTTCTTTAGTTTTTTCTTTCGTCCGTCTTCATTGTTCCTCTCTGTCCCAGTTGGGCTAATCTCCGTATGTACAGAACCGTCAAGAAACCACCAATGGAAACCCCGAAAAACACGGAACTTGCAAATGCCGAAAAATAGAAGGAGAACAAGAATATGTTCTATCAAGTATGCAAAGATGATCTTGCTTAAATTGGGTCATCAGGGTGTCAATGTGGACCGAAAGCCATGACTGACGCTCACTCTGAACAGCCTCGTGGGTGTGCCTATTCTTTCCGATATTGTAACATGATGTTTAATTCTGTTTCCGTGGGGTCTTGTACAACACCATAGACTCTCTATGTAAATGCCGATAAAAAAGAGCTACCTTCAAAAACACCATTAAATAAACGGCTGTATATATATATTACAAACAAGAACTAAGTACAAGTTTTCCCCTCCTTCAATTATTAAAATCGTAGTTGAAAAACCCCGACAATTCATTTATTTCACCAAAAACAAACTGGTTAAAGTTGTCTTCGTTCATCAAGTTTTCAAGATCAATTGCCTCCGACACAGGTGCCATTCCAAAGTTGTTCTGATTTTCATTTAGTTTGTTGGCTGATTGATACCCACCAGTATAATTTGACAATATTGGCTTCACGTCAGTGTTGTATGACCCGGAAGATGACGTGTATGACGAAGCTGATGCAGGTTGTTGACTGTGCACTATATCAGGACTGTTTGGGTCTAAGTCCAAGTTTGCTATAGGTTGGAAGATTTCTGGGTACTTGGAACGCAACGACTCGATGTGATCTAGTAATCCAGGCCGCATTCGGTAAAAGAAGACATTGGCCTTTTTCTCCATCGTATCAATCAATATTCTCAAGAAAGACCGACTAACCATATCACAAAACATTCTTTTATTGTCTAGATTTGTCGTCTGGGTCCCGTTGTAAGCAAAAAAGTTTAACGAAACGTCAATCAAAAGCAAACAGTCATAGTAAGATGAACTTTCAGCTGGATAGACCAAACAATTACCTAGCACGCTCAAAAATGCAACAAAGGGGTAAAACAAAAGAAATGGGAAACTAGCATCATCAACTTTCCACAACGAGTTTGGGTTGGAAACCGATTGTAACATGGACCTAGCAGCTTGAAGTGATTTATTACCATATGACAATAGCCTATCGTCTTCAATATTGAACTCTTCAAGAAACGGAACTCTATTCACTGATAGAAGATGAGCATGGAATGACAAATGAAACAGAAGAACATAAAACTTGAGAACACCCTCATCACACAGAAATGCAGGTATTACAAATGGATTCTCTCTATGAGGATCCAATATGCCTGGCTCTATAAGTTGTGATAACATTTTCATGTCGTCATTAATCTCGTTAATGACAGTAAGTGCACCTTGTGTATTAATGTTTGAAGGTAGCTTTGAATACAACTTGTAGTAACTCTTTTCCTTAATTCGAGTCAACATAAGCAAGAAATGGGCAAAGTAAAGCACAGCACCTTCTCGTTTCAAAGACTCGATAACACTTGGCGCATTCCTCTCGTAATCTTGATTCACAAATAAGTCTCTCGGCACGGATATGATACAGGGGTCCACTTCACTCAAAGTAGTCACATCCTCATTATTGATCAACATTGGTTTCCCACTTTTATAACTAAGTTCAACACTCATGTACTCACAAAATAACCACAACTTCCGGCACGCTAAGCCAGTATCGCGGTATTTCTCTTGCAAAACTTCTACCCTATGTAGTCCTAGTTCTTTAGCATATCTGCCCAAAGTACCCACAATGATATAATTTATGTGAAAGTCTGATATGAACGACTCCTCAATAATTAAACTCAATAACGCGAGCCCTAGTAGAGAATTATAACCCTCGTTGTTTCTTGAAACGTAGTCATAATCATGCATGGCATTATCAAAGAATTTGGCACGTAGCTTTTCGGCTTCAATTGTCGTTAGCGACGCCAATTTCGGATAATGGGCACCGACAATTCGTTTCGGTGATGCAAATTTTGATAGCGACAACACCAAAGCCGAATTCATCATTAAATACTCACTGCGTGAGATGCTCGACAACATTGAATGGTTGTTGGTTAAAACAGCATAGTAGTACTTGTCGAATAAACCCTGAATTTCCTCTAGCGGACAGATGAACGAGACTATACAAAGTTTGCGATAGTAAGCATCCAAAAGCTCGGAAAACAACACTTTATCCTTGGCTTCAAAATATTGATCAAAATGGGGCACTTGTCTCTGTCTATTTAACAAGTGAGTTGATCTGTCAACAGCGTTGGTCAAGGCGAATGGAACATTTTTCAACGGTGCATAGAGTTGCTGATTGACTAAGCTGGACCGCGACCCTTGGAGCCGGTCTTTCATCCATATCAACGAGCGTGCAGAAAGTGTGTTCATAAGCGAGTGGGCGCCACAATATTCAGAAATACGTTTCATAGCCTTTTTTACCACACATTCTTTATCTTGTCCACATGATTTCAGATTAAGCATCAGCTTGATGGACTGCGGTTCAAGCATCTGCTTCATGGATTTCGGATCAGAGGTAAGATTCTGTTCCTTGTAAGGAGAGTCCTCGGTACTCGCATCCTCAATATCTTCGTCTTCGGAGTGATCATCGCTCATATTAATAGCCGAGTCCTGTTCTGTTCCCAGATCCTGGCCTCTAGATATTTGAGAAAGAATTCCCATTTTATCCGTTGGATCCAAGTTCGACACAAGTTTCGTCACGAGATTTTCCAACACATTTATTCTTGTATTCAACTCTTGAATAGTCTTACCCAGCTTGGTGACCTTTACTTCCTTTTTGTAAGACTTTCTAATATCACTGCCCATCGAGCTTACTCGCTTCTTTCTCTCTTTTGGCACAAATGAATAAACACATTCGCGTTTGCGACTTATACATTTTGAACATGGTTCTTCGCCATCACATTTGGATTTACGTTTTCTGCAGTAGTCGCATGCAACTTTAGTACGTATTCTTCTTTCACCGTCCTGAGTGTACTCCGGGTTAAGTGGATTATGTATGTCCGACATGTCGTGAGGGGGGGAGATGGTCTACTTTTCTGGCTTAAAACCTTTGGAATAATAAGCAAAAAACCACAATAGACTCTTTTTAATTCAGGGTTCTTTGTTTTTTTTTTTTAATTTTTTTTTGGGCTATATGTTTCTGTCTCTCTATTTGTTTCTTCTCGCCTTCTATTCTTTTATTTGCCTCTTTTGGGTGATCAGTTTATATGCAGGTACCAGAATTATATTCCGAGGTTTATGTGTAAGAGAGTTAAAAGAAAGGTCAAGTGGATTGAACAAAGGACACTTATCGCGAAAAAGACGGATTAAACTGTTGGATAAGTTGCTGTTGATATAAACGCATTGTGAACTTTTTTTTTGAAAGGAAGAAGTGTTGCGAAATGTCCTCAGTAGAATAACATTTGGTAGCACAAAGGTATATTAAGAGCAATAATTTGACCAAAATGAGTATATATTTAGATTAGAGAAGTGTAGGAAGTATCTAATAGACCAAACATTCAATAGAATGCAAGGTACCCCAGTATAGGTAATTTTCCTAGAGCAATAACTACACAGCTAAATTTAATATACTTTTCATGACGTTGGATTTTGTCGCCGCTATCAAATTTTTTCTTTTTCTTTTTTTTTTTTTTTCGTTTTCAAAGGTCGATTTTTTATTCACCAGACACTTTAACGTCCAAGAAACCACCAAGCACCCGGAGACAACTATTCCTCAATGGCACCAAAGAAAGCCACTCCCATTTTTGTTAACAAGGAAGATGGTAATTTCAGAGAGGCTTTGAAATTGTACGACCAGAAGCAGTACAAAAAAGCCTTGAAACTTGTGGATGCAAATTTGAAAAAAAATTCGAATCATGCTGAGTCACTAGCATTGAAAGGGTGTATTTTCTACTTTACCGGAAATAAAGATGAAGCCGCAACGTACATAAAGAAGGCTGCCGATAAGGATTCCTCAAATTACCTCGTTGACCACTTGGTGGGATTATACTATCGTGCATTGGAAGACTATGTTGAAGCTGCAAAGTGGTTCAAAGCGGCGATGGATAATGGGTCACCCAACAAACCTATATTGCGTGACTTGTCTTTTATGCAAGTACAGAATCGAGATTTCAAGCCCTTGACAGATTGCAGACAGCAGTACTTGGAGCATGCCCCTGGATACAGGGCCAATTGGACTGGTCTTGCCATTGCCCAGCATTTGAACAAAGATTACTCGGGAGCTGTGGCCACTCTCACCAAAATAGAGGGAATCATCAAGGATCACTTAACAGCAAATGACATGTACGAGCACGGCGAGGCAATCTTGTACAAAAATCAGATAATCTCTGATTCCGGGAACGTCAGCAAAGCTTTGGAAGTTTTAGAGCAAGATATAGATAACATTAAAGACCATTTGTCGTACTTGGAGTACAAGGCAAAGTATCTACTTTTATTAGATCGCAAAAAGGAAGCGTCATTGGTTTACCGGGAGTTGTTGAAGACTAACCCTGATAATATGCAATACTACATCATGTTGGAGTTGGCATTGGAGACTAATACCAAGGACCCAGAGTCGAGAGTTAAATTGTATGAAAAGTTGGCCACATTTTATCCTAAATCCGATCCACCAAAGTATTTGCCGTTGACGTTTTTGCCTGCCGAGTCTCTGTTGTTCGAGCAAAAGTGCAAAGATTACATTATCCCTCAACTTTTGCGCGGGGTTCCAGCTACATTTGTAAATGTGAAACCTTTATATGGATATGAGGGAAAACTAGAGATTATTGAGAGGATTGTTACTGAGTTTCTCAAGGAGGAAGCTCCAAAAAATCCAAACCCAACTGTAACAGTGTGGACCTACTTTTATCTAGCTCAGCATTTCTTGTACAAAGAGGATTTGGATACTGCTTTGAGCTATATTGACCTAGCAGTTGAGCATTCACCCACGCTAGTCGAGTTATACATCATCAAAGCGCGTATTTTGAAGCACAAGGGCCTTTTTGAAGAGGCTTCCAATGTCATGAATAGTGGAAGAGAGCTAGATTTGCAGGACCGTTTTATCAATTCCAAAGCCACCAAGTACTTGCTTCGTGCTAACATGGTTGATGAAGCGATTGACTGCATATCATTATTCACAAAGCTCGATGAAGAGGCTGTTAATGGGTGCAAAGATTTGCACTTGATGCAGGTCAATTGGGTTTTGGTTGAAAGTGCCGAAGCCTACACGAGAATGTATCATGAGCAAGGGGCTAAACTCAAACAGTCGGACCTAGACAAGGAGAGTGAAGAATATGCCACTTTAGTGGAAAACGTTGCCATGTACAGAGGGTTGGCTTTGAAAAGATTTCAAGCAATTGTGAAAATTTTCAAAACATTCTACAACGACCAGTATGATTTCCACTCTTATTGTTTAAGGCGAGGAACTCCTCGTGATTACATCGACATGTTGAGATGGGAAGACAAAATCCATGCCACACCAGTATACATACGCGCATTAAAGGGGTTGTCTGATCTCTACTTTGAACTTTATGAGGAACAACAGAACGAGTCATCAGAAGAGTCTGATGATGGAGTTAAGATAAAGAGGAACGGAAAGAAGCCAAAAAAAGCCAAGTCAAACAAGAAAAAGCTGGACCAAGCAGCTAAAGTCGAAAGTGAAAAAGACGACCAAGATCCTTTTGGATTAACACTTCTTCTGGATTTGAAGCAATCAGATTATATTGAACAATTGTCTCAATTAGTTGAGCCTTTAGCAACTGAAGCGCCAAGAGTGAGAACAACCTGGGAACTTCTTTTCAAGATTTATACCATTCAAGGTAAGTACGTGTTGGCATTGCAAGCACTTAAGAGCTTGGATAAAATTTTGAATAGGGATAGCGATAAAAAGCTAAAGGAAATCGGAGACAAGGTTATTGAATTGTCTGAAGTTAGCAAAAAGGACACTAAGGCCAATCAAGCTATTGTTAAAGTGGTGGAAAAGGGTTTGTATGCTGCCTTCCCTGATTTCGAAAATTTATCAGTAGAAGAGTTCTCAAAGGTGTATAGTGAATAGATCGCAAAGGGATACACATGTGTATTTCATGTATTTTTAAATCTATGAATTGATCCAGTTTTCTACTTGTCCCCTAGCAACGCCTCCGGCCAAGTTGAGGGTTTGCCTTCCCAATGGAAAGTAGCTGACCGTGTACCACAATGCTGCTACTAACTGAATTGCAGCAAATATGATCGATAATAGTGTGCTTTTCAAGCTCAAACTGCTAATCAAAGTCAAGATTATACTAGCGCCAAAAACAATCGTAAAGATGATTCTTGTCGATGAGAATAAATGGACCAAGTAAGCTTGTGCTCCTTGCAATACACCAAAACTGATGAGAAAGAAGATCAGGCCCAAAGACCAAAGCAAAGCAAACTTTCTTGGTTTCAAAGTCAAAACGGGAAACAAAAAGATACAAATAAGCCAACAGCAAAGAGCACCGGCAAAGCATAGTGCAAAAACTAGCATCCTGTCCCATCTTGATAGTTCAAACATCCCAGGCTCCGATGTGACATAATTGTCATCGTCTTCTAAATATACCGACTGACTGCGAAATGGATTTAGTTTCTGGAGTCTGGCTTTGAGTGAATTGGAAGATTCGGGCTGTGTTGCTGGGGGTGGTAAAGGTGCACCATCACTGGTTGGACTCTGACTCAATGGCGTATATTTCAGAAATGATTTGAAGAATGACATTTGAAGATAGCTTTCAATAGCTTTTCATGTATGATTGATTTGTCCCATGAATTTAATTTCTATTTTTATTTTTTCTTTTGTTTCCTTTCGGCCAAAAGCAAAAACATTATCCTAGCCCCTTTTTAGTTAGTGTCAATCAAGTACAGTTATAACCACAAGTTCAGATGTCCGCTCCATCCACAGCCGTCGCTTCTTCCAATGCAGATAAACAGTTTGTTCAAACATTTGTTCAGCTAATGGGGTTGTCTGAGAATTCCTCCCCCAGTCAATTCTACTCTACTCATGATTATGACAAGTTACAATCATTGGGACCAAGCTTGCCAAAGTTTTCCTACAAGTTCCCCACATCACTTGGTAACAAAGTGGAAGGAGAGAGTAGCCAGGTTAAATTGAAGTTCAAGTCGATTAAGCCGCCTTTTAAGATCTCGTACGAACTCGATGCATCACCCGGCTCAACGATTTATAAAATCAAATCAAGGTTGATTGAAGGATTAGACGTGTTGAAGTCAGCTGATGTATCTCCGAAAGATGTGAAATTGATGTTGAAGTCAAAGGTTGTTCAAGATACGTCTACTTTGTCTACATTGCTTGGAGAAAACACAGAATTGTCCTTCAATTGTATCATTACGCCACCGGCACCTAAACAAGTAAATACAACGACGTCTAACATAGAGAATGATGAACCAGGTGTTGAAGTTCCGACAACGCTTAGTGCTGCAGCTTTGGAGAAAATTCATCAAATCATAAAACTGGAGATAACCGACTCTGCTAAAGCAGACCAAATTCTCCTAAAATTCAAGGATAGTATATAGATAGCCAAAAAAGAAAACAAAATGAAACGCTGATCCAACTATTTCTTCTCCTGCCATTCATTGTATCTCTTTACAACCAACTCGTTCAAGGAGTGACCTTCCGGGCGGCCAACTCTTTGCTCGTACAAGTAATACGAAGCGATTCCCATTCCAATTCCGATAATAGGGTCAAGCGATCTGGAAATTAAGTACGGATACTGCATTGCGTTGATTCCTTCCTGTCGTTCGCCTTCTTTGATTGTAGTTTTGGCTTCCAATTTATCCGTTGTTCTGCTGATGGATTTGCCGAATCTAGTTACAAATCGGGCGGCTCAAAAAAGTAATAGGTCGTGTATTGATGTCATCGGTTTATTGCCCACGAAGAAAAAAAATTTTTTTTTTTTCACCAGAGAGAAGAAATTTTCTTTGCCCCCTCCGCTCAAAAAGAAAAAGGTGACCTGTATCTTTTGATCAATTTTTTACTTTACTATTGACAATATAAATCAAATCAGAAAACTAAGTGTTTAATTAGTTTTTTTTTACAAAGGTTGTTGTTAAAAGAAGAAGAAGTAGTTGAAGAGAGTTTTATTTTTAAAAGAAATGGCTGCTGTATTTCCAAGAACGTGTTACAAATGTGGTGAAGCTGGTCACGTTGCCGATGACTGTACCCAAGAAGAAAGATTGTGCTACAACTGTCGTAAACCAGGACACGAGTCAGGAGACTGTCCAGAACCAAAGCAAACCACTTCCAAGCAGTGTTATTCTTGTGGTGATGTAGGCCATATTCAAACTGAATGTCCTAACCAAGCCCAAGGTGCCAAGTGTTACAACTGTGGTCAATTTGGTCACATTTCAAAGAACTGTGAATCTGCACCATCTGGACAACCTGCTCCATTCAGAAAATCATACGGCCCAAGAGGTGGTTCTGCTTCAGGTACCACCTGTTACAAATGTGGCGGTCCAAACCATTTTGCCAGGGACTGTCAAGTTGGTAATGTCAAGTGTTATGCTTGTGGTAAGCCAGGTCACATCTCCAAGGACTGTAACTCTGCTGCTGGTGGTTCTAACTCTGGATCAAAAGCTTGTTACAACTGTGGAAAATCAGGCCACATTTCAAAGGAGTGTACCGCTTAAATGGGTGGGTACATTTGACGGAAGATGTGATTAGGGTGAGACGTTTGCAGTTTTCTTGTGGAATGCTTCATACTAGTTGCAGGGGAAGTCGATGAAGAACTCGTTTTTCGATGTTGTTTTTGAGTATGTTTCTTGTCTAAAGCAGGAATTGTTTATAGTTTTTATATTGCGGTTTCTTAATTGGTGAGTTATTTAAAAAATGAATAAAATAAAACGTCACACGGGTTTTAAATGTAGAAAGGAATCGAAGTCTTATAAATATAGAGGTGCTTTAACCACTAAGGTATTCATATGTGAAACATATATTTGGATAATTGTACATGTAGCTCTTTTGTGACACCACTACCTTCCTGGTTGTGGTTCTTGTCCTCAGAAGAACCGAAAAAATACCCAAAGCAACACAATGGCTGTAAACAGGAATATTCTGCCTTGCTTTGTAAGTCCTAACCATAGACCATATCCCATGATTGTGTTTGAAAGAGGTCGAATTAAAGTCTGAGTGATGTTGTCAAACGTTGTGGGCTTTAAATATATTGTAGTGGGTCCACTAACCACATTCGAGCTCAGTTCTAAAGCTCCAAGCTGAGAAAAGTCATCCAAGACGAGGTCGGCCCGCAAACCAGTGGGAAGAATTTGCAAGCAGCCAGACAAGGGGGAGATAACCAGCTTTGGCGGATCAAAGGGAATAGTCATTTCTAGGTAAACGGGACGATGGTCTGACATCAAAAGTGAATCCAACGAGTCGTAAACTATCACTTCTGGTAGGTAATAGCGCACTCTGTCGTTGTAAGCAGACTTGTTCGAACCAGGCAATTTCAACAACTGCTGGCCCAGATTATCCTCTCCAACTTCTTCATAAGACGATAGATAAACAATCCTATCGCACCAAGACGGAGATCTCTTTGTGTTGTATATTGCAGTATTTACGTGGAGCTTGTAGGTTGGTGGAAACGTTATTTTAGCTTCGGAAAAGTTCTGCAATACGTCTCCGTTGCGCATGCTCATTCTCAATTCGTCATACTTGTCAACTAGATCTTCAACCTTCTTTGAATAATCGGCATTGGTGACTGATGCATCGATTAACGAAATCAATTCGTGCGTTTCTTCATTAGTTGCTGAATAATTTTGAGTAGTCCTGTAGTTCATGTCACCCAAAACAAAGACATGATTCTTGGGCTTTATTAGGCCGTAACCATCTCCAAAATTCAACGACCGCATGATATTGTAAAGATTCTTGTTTCGCTGGAGATAGTAATATTCCCCTTCAAAAGCGTTTAGATGCACAGTTGCAAATGACAATTCGACATGGGTTGTGCTATCTAAAGCTCCCCCAGGGTAGTAGGACACCCGAGCCCCAACTCCCCCTTTCAAACTCGAGAAAGCATGCCCACAGCTAGTGGCTGCTGCTCTCACATTTTTGAATTTGGAGGCATAGGGCGATATGATAATCATCCCGATCGCTCCTATAAACGTCAGTGATATTGTCTGAAAGCCGGTATGTTGCTGGTATTTCTCCTGAAGTGCCAGTTGCAACATCTGATTGATAATAATTAGCTTAGAGCTTGCTGTGGAGGGAAAGAATCCATCCAATACAGTGCAGAACTCTTGAAAGCCAAACACATAAAGTGACGACAACTGATCAGGTAGAACCAGGAGTAACTTGGATTTAAAGACGTCTGGTATGAAATTCTGCTGATTGCAATTGTACGTGAAAAAGAACAAAGGAAGTGGGTCCTTCACGCTGGGTTGTGCCAACTGATTGGTCATTGTTAGTGTGTGATGGGTATTGCTTAGGTAGATGGTATTTGAAATCTCAATGGTTGTGTGCCTGCGTTCAAGACTAGTGCCGCACATTTTTGTTTTTGCTCCATCACAAAACTGGAATTTCAAAACTGCAACTTTTCTCTTACCAATACCTAACAATACGAATGAGTGATTTGTTAGAGTCACAAAGATCAGCATTGGAAAACCTTGATGTTATAGAACATGCATTATCCCAAAGATTTTCAAGAAATCCAAATCTCATTCCCAAATCATTGCGGCCGTGCCCTAAACATGGTAATATTCTAACGAGAAAGAATAGGGCGTACACCAAACGATTATTTCGCCTTCAACAACACGAGCTAAAGCAGTTTCTGGTGGATTATGGAAGATTATTGAAATTGGCTTCAAATTCATTTGACCATGATGCAACTACGGTTAAACAGGAAATGCAGAATCTCAAAGAGGAAGACTCATTTGAAAAATTTGATAATTTGATGGCCTTAGTTACAAACAGTACAGACGAAGGTCCTGGTGTAAAAGGATCACAATTGATGTATTCACTGTTTGGTAGTGTTGACCCAAAGGATGTCAAGATCAAAGTAAAGAAGGGAACAGGCAAGGAAATCAAAATGGCAAGAAGGAGAGGTTTGCTAAGTATGGCGGCATCTCATTTACAGGAAATAGAGATCGATGATACTCTCGATTTGAAAGAGTTTCATAAATTTTACAACGAAAACTTTTCGTCAAGCGAAATTCCATACGTGCAGTATTTGTACTCCTTCCATAAATTCCCATATGAAAAGACAACCAACGAGAACTATCGACCTTATTTGAAATCCCTTTTTGCATTATTATTGCTGCGGTACACCCAATTGTATCCCTTGTCTGATTCAAGCGGAATATTTGAGGAAATCGATTGCAATGCCAATGAGGAGAGCTCGCAGACATTGTTGAGCACTAGTGTTGAATTATATTGTGCTGTTTGTGACAAACACTTTGCTACGGAAAACGTCTACAAAGCTCACCTTGAAAGCAAAAAGCATCAGAAAAAAGCATCAAAGGCTGGAGAGGTATCCCAAGGAGGTCGAAATAAACCTAATGCTTGGTACGAGCAAGCAGTCAAGGTGTTGACAAGACATCTCGAAGAAGCAATACACCAAACAGAAAAGCTGTGCGTTATTTCAGAAAGAGCCAAATTTAATGAGAAACAAGACGAACTAGATGTTGAAAATGCGTACACTGAGGTGGAAGATAGTGGTAATTCTGATTCCGACGAAGGTTCCGACGAAGATTCCGATGCTGACGCCGACCTTTTCAAAAACCTACCATTAGGAGCCGACGGTACGCCTATACCATTCTGGCTTTACAAGCTTCAAGGGTTACATAAAACGTACACATGTGAAATATGTGGCAATGTTGGATACAAGGGTAAACAAGCCTTTGAAAGACATTTTAATGGAACCAAGCACCAGAAGGGCTTACAACTATTGGGTGTAACTGAAGATAAGTTTTCACTTTTTAAAAATATTGCTCTGATTGACGAAGCTCAGAACTTGATGCAAAACTTGAAGAAGGACACGAGGACGAAACAGACCGAAATACATGATGCGATAGAAGTTGAAGATAAGCAGGGAAATGTGATGAGCTATTTAGATTATTTAGATTTGAAAAAGCAAGGTTTAATATAGGTTGATATAGTTCCGAGGTCGAAATTGGCGTACATTTCGTAAAGCCTGCCTGAATATCTCCGTTTCTCGCGATTGCAAAAAAAATTTATTTTTGATTTCAAACCAAATTCGAATTTCGCTTTTCCTATCCCACAATCAATCAAAATTGCGTCATATATTCAGGAAAATGTCAACTAATGGTGCCACTTCTGGCATCAAAAGAAGTGGATCACCTTCCCAGGGTTCCAATTTGCAACAACAGCGAGCATCCAAAGTTCGCGATGCCCAAGGCTTCAGATTACGTCAACAGGAAATTGACAAATCCGAGAAAACGGCATTCGACCAAATGGGAGGGTCTAATGATAGCAACAGCTCTCTAGTCGAGGGCAAAACGATCGCAGAAGAAGAGGCGGAAGGGGCAAAGTATGTCATTGAGGGCAAGTTGAGGAGGGTCACGCCGTATTATTTCACATATCTAACCTATTGCAAACTTCGGTGGAGAGACAGAACTTTATTAGATATATTTACCGACGAGTTTCGGGATAGGACACCAGAGGCATATAAAAAGGCAATCCAGGATGGTATGGTTAGTATCAATTCGAAAACCGCCAACTTAGATACTATTGTTAGAAACGGCGACCTAATTAGTCACAGAGGGTTCAGACGAGAACCACCGGTGAACTCAGCCCCAGTTAAAATTGTTTATGAGAATGATCAGTTACTTGTTATAGATAAACCATCTGGTATCCCAGTTCACCCCACTGGTCGGTACCGTTACAATACAATCACAAAGATTTTACAGCATGACATGGGAAAGACAGTACATCCATGCAACAGGTTGGACAGATTAACATCTGGCTTGATGTTTTTGGGAAAAACTGCCCAGGGGTCAAATGAATTTATGAAGCAGATAAGAGACAGAAATGTGTCAAAAGAGTATATTGCTAGGGTGAAGGGACAATTTCCCACCCTAACCATTACAATAAACAAGCCTTTATATACGTTGAGCCCCAAACACACTTTAAACGTTGTCGATGAGGAGCAAGGGAAGGAGGCTGTTACTGAGTTCAAACGTGTATCTTATGATCCAGTCACCGATACCAGTGTGGTTAAATGCCACCCTTCAACAGGAAGAACGCATCAAATTAGAGTTCATTTGCAATACATAGGTCATCCAATAGCCAATGACCCCATTTACTCCAACACGTACGTTTGGGATGAAAACCTTGGAAAGGATGGAAAAGCAAACTATGAAGAAGTTATATCGAGATTGGATTCTATCGGGAAAACTAGGGCTGCTTCAAGTTGGATACACCCAGAAGAGGACGGGGAGGTTCTCTCTAATGAAATATGTCCACACACAGGCTTACCCTTGTACACAGACCCTGGTTTTAATGATCTTGAGCTTTGGTTGCATGCATATTTGTACGAGGCAGATGATGGGTCGTGGTCGTATAAAACGGAATACCCAGAATGGGCACTTGAGAACAGCAGAAAATTTATGGTTCAAGCGTTGAAAGAAGCAAATAAATGTGGAGAAACACAGACGCAATTTAATGTAGGATGTGTGCTTGTTCATGATGGTAAAGTTCTTTCTACGGGCCATTCTAGAGAGCTTGAGGGAAACACTCATGCTGAACAATGCGCATTGGAAAAGTATTTTGAAAAGGCTGGAGCGAGGGAAGTCCCACTCGGTACAGAACTATTCACCACAATGGAGCCTTGTTCGTTTCGTTTGAGTGGTAATCTTCCGTGTGTTGAAAGAATCTTGCAAACACCAGGGATCGAAACATGCTTTGTTGGCGTGGTTGAGCCAGACGATTTTGTCAAGGACAACACATCGTACAAGATTCTTAAAGATGCTTCTGTAGCATACGTGCATATTCCTGGTTATGAAAATGAGTGTTTGAAAATTGCAAAAAAAGGACATGATAAAATTTGATACATAGTCTATAAACTTTGTAAATGTGACTGATTTTGCTAATGTTCTTCCTCTTGACTAGAGAGGTCAACAACAACCTCTTTTTTCGCATACACGTAAACGTTTCTTCTGTTTCTACTGGTGGTCGAAGATGCTGTATTGAACTCTGAGGGAATTGCTTGGACATCGTGCTCAGCACTAGATCTTCCTGCACCGACATTGAAACTTCTGGCTCTGTGATCGATCGAATCATTGTGATCCACCTGGTGCAGGTTTCTCAGTCGACCAGTAAAGGACTGCGTGGATACACTAACTGATCTAGGTATAGCGAAACCTGCTGCTATGATGTTATCAGTAAGTGCCAAGAACGCCTGCTTGGAAGTTTGCAATGCATTCAAGACTTTTCTTGCAGTTGATAATTCTTGTGTTGCCAATTCTCCAGTACTTCCATGAGCCATACCAGGGCTATGTGTGTTGTTATGTCGTTCGCGGCCAACATGTGTGGCATCTACATCACCAGGATTGTTCGAGGTTCCGTCACTTTCGTCGGCGTCGTCATGGTCATTGTCATCCTCCAAGGGCATTTGCTCCTCAACAAAAAGCTCAAATCTATCAAGCTCATACGACTCATCTTCATAAAATCGTCGTCCAAGAACTCCTTCTTTCTCCTTTGCCTTCATGATAAGATTGAATTTGTTGCACCATTCCCATGGGATAACCACGCCAATCACATAGTTAACCACGGAAAAAACCTCTGACAACTCGTATATGAAGGCGTTAGACACATCTGCGATGAAAAATGCAACCGGACTGTAAATCAAAATCAACGTGAGGAGTGTCAATAGCCAGATTCGTCGATTAGCTACTATTATTTGAATTTTGCTGAGAAAGTAGACTGTTATAATAGCAGCATAACACAAGGCCATTGCAATTCTCACCAAGTAGATAAACGCAGGCAAAATGTCTCCGGCTTCATTGTTTTCTGCGAAGTAGCGAAATTGCGCAACACCCCAAATCACCTGTGATGTTAAAGATGCCACACAGCCAACATAAAAAGTAAGACGTTTGTCCTTTTGTCGCTGAAACAATCTCATTATTATCTGAACTTGGTTAACTTGAAGAAGTAAAACCACAATTAAGTCGATGATGTTGACGGCTCTGTTTTCGTTTATTCCATTCAACACCTTTGCGCCATGGAGATATCCTTCCCTCTGTTGCAGATGAAGGATGATGATTGATTTTATGACCACCACTAATATGTACACCGATGAAAGTAAAGTTGACAATTTCAACAACCACGATGGTTTAATCGTGTAGTTGGTAAATACAAATATGGTAAGAAACCATGTGATAACAGCCAGTACCGCTATCGCATACACGATTGATACCACACTATAACTGAAAGATCCTCGAATGTTGTGATGAGTGAAGTTGGCCCATGATTCCGCCACAACAGGTAGAGGCTGTGCAAACTTGTCAATAACTAAACCAACGTTGGTATTTAAAACTGGTATGGAGTCCCGATAACAGTTTTGTAGGTAAAGGGCTTTCAGGATGTATTGTACTGGGTAGCCTTGGTCATGCGAAATGATCATGCCTTCATTCAAGTTGATTTCCTCGCACGATGGATAGGGCTTTCCCTCCCACCATGTATTTCTCCAATACATGACATATACCAGGTCTTACGATAAGCTGTTGTAACTGTCACCAATGAACACCTTCCTCTTTACGTATGTCTCTTTCATTTCTTTTTATTTTGTTTTTTCTTCATAGCGCTTAATTGTTTCACATAGCCTTCTGATACTTACACAGTGTTTAGATCAGTAACAACATTCTGCTTCTGTAACATGTACTGCGCTGATACGTTGGCAATGTGGCTTAATGAAACTGTATAGAGCAAAAAGACACCAAAGAGTGGGTTATATAGATCAAGCTGCATTGATCAAGAGACCACCTACGAGACCTCTCCTTCCTAGAAATTATACTTTACCCAAAGGCAAAGACAAATAGCTCGTAGAGTCAGCTAACTACCTCAGCTCTTCCTTATATGCCACTCTGGATGCTACTCATGCCAGAATTACCGAAGTAGATGCCTTGCTTTGTTTACTTTCCTCTTTTTCTGTTTTCCTTTTTCTTTCTCAATATGCGCTGATGCGCCTGATCCGAATACAGGAAACAATTGCTGCACAGGATTTTCAAAATTTCAGGTACGCAACTCTTCATCCAAAGTCTACTTTTCTTAGCCACATCTTGAACCTTTCAAATGCTTCAGACAGTTCATTAAAAGTCTATCACTTACAATTTGAAAGCTATTTGATAACAAGAGAGAGAGAAAAGAAAATTATATAAATATTATGGCCACCACTGTTGACCAGAATTCAGTCGAACAATATCCCAGCATTGAAAACAACTACATCACTCCTAACGGCGGGTACCAGACACTTGACCCGGGGTCACAAAGGACAAACAGTGACCGAAAAGTGCAGCACCAACGCAATGAATCATCATACTCCAGAAACCTTTCCATATTAGACTCGTACGCACAGGAGGACAGTCCTTCTCGACGAAATAGTTATGTAGATGTTGGGACAGTCTCTCCGTTGGAAGATATTAATTCCGAAAATTCCGTCATCAAAAGTTTGGAAGGGTCTACCCCAAACAATAGTTCAAACTATCTTGAACCTAATGGCTATGTTTCCATCGATAATTCATCAGCCACTGCAATTGATACTACACCAGATGGCGAATGTTATGTCAAGCCCACCACAGCGGAATCAGATGCAGAAGTTTTGAAATCAAACCTAGATCGTTATGGATTTAAAAAGACCTCATCCCAAGGACGCTCAATCGAAGACTATAACAATTGGTTTAAACAGTATTCGGAATACACCATAAGGCGTAAAGGGAAATGGGAAAGATCAATGAGAGACCATGGATTAAATATAGTCTCGGAAAGCAACAAGTTTACGCAAGATCCTGGAAAGGAGGAAATCCCTACTCGCTTTCCACCAAAATCCGACAAGATAAAGAAAATGGTGAGACGAGGCATCCCTTCAGAATGGCGTGGCAATGCTTGGTTCTTTTACGCAGGAGGATATGACAAGCTTCGCAAACACAAGGGGGTTTACAAGAAGATTCTTGAGGAGACAAAGGATATACAAAACAAGGAAACCGAAGTGATTGAGAGGGACTTGTTTCGAACTTTTCCCGACAATGTCTACTTTAACTCTTCGATAAGTAAAGATGTCTCACACTCGAGCGATGTTAGCTATGTCAGGGAAGAAACCAAGTTAATAAAGTCATTGAGAAGGGTGTTGACTGCATTTGCTCATTACCAACCACAAATCGGATATTGCCAATCGTTGAATTTTCTTGCTGGCCTACTCCTACTCTTTATGGATGAAGAGCGCTCGTTTTGGATGTTGGTCATTTTAACCGAAAAGATTATTCCTAATGTCCATCTGGCGGATTTGGAAGGCGTCCATACTGACCAAGGAGTTTTAATGCTCTGTGTCAAAGAATACTTGCCATCCTTGTGGGACATTTTGGGGACCAACTTTGAGGGCGAGAGATTGAAGGAGGATAATATACTAGCTAGGTTACCACCGGTAACCTTGGTTACTTCATCATGGTTCATGTCTCTTTTTGTTGGTGTCTTGCCCGTGGAAACAGCGCTACGAGTTTGGGATGTTTTATGGTATGAAGGCTCAAAAACAATTTTTCGGATCTCGCTAACAATTTTCAAATTGTGTATAGATTCACCTGAATTTCAAAATAAAGAGGGTCCCGGAACTGAGGAAAACCAGCAGATTGAGTTGTTTCAATTTATGCAAGGTTTCCCTAAACGGATTTTAGATCCTAATTTGTTAATTGATCATTGTTTTAAGAAGATTGGAGGGTATGGGTTTGGATCATTATCTCAAGGTGAAATTGATAAATGTCGAGATTTTGTCGCAAGGCAAAGACAAAGGATGCATTTGAATACTAAACGTAAGGATTTAACTGAGATGACAGAGGAGGAGAAACAAAGTCTACTAAATTCCACAAATGATGCCGACAAGGAAAACATTCATGATGTTTATGGATTTCATAGGCCCATTATGAGTGGTATTGTATGGAACAAGAGCATTAGCAACAAGATGAAGAGAAGACTTACAGGGAAAAAAGGATAATAAAAGGAGGGGTAATTGGGGATGATCTTTTTTTATATAGAAATGTTTTTGTATATCGCATCACTAGTCATAACAACGTCTTTGCATTTTTCGACATCATGAACTCTTACGAAATCGGCATGCTGTTCAATTGATGAGGTAACTGTCGCAGCAGTAGCCATGACTCGATCAGAAGGGGAGTCTATCTTGCCTGTAATAGTTCCCAAAAATTTCTTTCTCGATGTGCCAATCAATACACTCATCCCATTGAAACTCAAATAAGACAGGGAATGCGTTGTGTCCAGTGAATTTTCAAGATTTTGCTGGTTAACCTGAATCGAATATTTTTTAAAGAATGATGCATTGGCAATTAATGCTAAATTTTGGTTCAAATTTTTGGCAAACCCAACCCCGGGGTCTAATATAATTTGCCACTTTTTTACACCAGCTCGGAAACTCTTTAGTATTTGGAGCGACAATTCTCGGGAAACACCATTGAGAAAGTTATCCAACTGAGGACTGAATAGTGTCTCTTGTTGCCCCAACCTTGGATCGATGACAAATTGTACAATATCGTCATTCTTGTTTGGCTCATATCTTGTTAGTTTCGACATAGTCTGTGGAGTACCTCTGGAATGATTCATGATGTAGGGGCAGCCATACTCTGCCACCACATTGAAAATACGTTCGTCATATCTGCCCATAGATATATCGTTGATGATATCAGCTCCAGCTTCGAGACATTGCTTCGCCACGTTGGATCTATAAGTATCGATGGAGATCAACACATTGGCCAAATTTGGATTAGTCGATTGTCTAATCCCTTGAACAAGAGGTAGTACACGTTCAAGCTCCTCCGCTTCTGATGGCTCCACGCTGCCTGGCCTGGTTGAAACTCCTCCAATGTCAATAATCTCTGCCCCTTGTTGGACAAGGTTATCTGCCTCTTTCACTATTTCATCCAATGAAGAAGAAAAATATTTACCGGCATCACTAAACGAGTCCGGTGTCATGTTCAATATCCCCATAAGTAAAGTGGGCGATTTATAATTAATCTGGTCAAATTTCATTACATTGTCCTTAGTTGAAATTCTCGGCACAGGAATGAATTGCAACAAACTGGAGTCTTCTTGAATATGATCTTCTGGCTTGTCAGTCAACAACTGTTGCAAATGGTCGTGAAATGACTCAGCACTTATGGGGTGGGTTTGATCTGGAGGTAACAACTCGCAGAGGGGCTGTAATACAAATGTCCTTTCCAACATTAGTTTGTGCGGTATAATTAAATCACTGGTGTTGATTTGCACATTATCATAAAGCAAAATGTCCAAGTCAATCGTGCGAGGGCCGTTTTCAATTTCCTTAACTCTAGCCACATGTTGATACTCTATTTCTTTCAAGATTTCCAATAATCTATGGGGAGAATAATCAGTAAATGAGACCTTAGCCACTGCGTTGAAGAAATCAGGTTGGTCAAGGTGATACATTGGCTTTGATATATACATGGACGATGTAGACTCGAGAGTGATGTCATAAAACTTTAACCTCTCGAGGGCCTTTGAGATGTTTTCCATTTGATCGATGTTGGATCCTATTGCAACAAACGCAACATGTCTTCCTTTATAATTTTGTCTATCTTGGTCCTCAACAGGTAAATTAAAATCACCCTTATCATGCAGCACATCTTTTAAAGCCAATGGTTCAACGTCCTTGAAATTCTCTGGCATCATTATAGAACTGACACCAACACCCTCTACATGACTAAACGCATTTGGCTTTGTTACTTTTGCATCAACAGACTCAATCCCAACATTTGGATAATTTTGAAAAGTCAATTGTCCAATCTTGAATACCAACGCTTCAACAGTTTTGAAATTAGAGGATTCAACATAATCAACAATATCACGAACAACATTATGAAAGTCCAATCTAGGATCGTCCTTTCTTATTTTGATGCTTAAATCAACATCAACAATTTGCTTTTGAAGTCTTTCGAAAGTAAAAACACCAATGATTGTTAAAAGCCTCAACTTGGTGACATTGTAGCTATCAAAATTGGCCGAGGGATTATTCTTGCTTCTAATCAACTCATACTCCACACTATCGGCTCTTATTTCCGACTTTGGACTCTTTATCACTACTTTTGCAACCTCGCTCCCTCCATTCTTTTCATCGAGAGCAATTTGCGATACAGCCTCGGCAATACTGCCTAATGACTTGAAGTTCTTGTGCTCGTTTGACTTGATAAAATCTGAAATATGTCTCGTCAAAACAGCATAGTTGACACTGTACTTTAAATTATCTGTAACCGATGCTTTGTGGAAATCGGTGTTTAAAAATACAGATATAGTGATTGGCTGTGGTGTTGGTCTATTCCATGCATCTTTGCCTGTAATTGCCGTAGCCGAGATTTCTTTGACAAACACCAAGTCGGTCGACATTGTTGTAGAATGATGTAATTGCTTATTGAAAATTTGTTTGGAAAGCTGAACCCAATTGGGCTTTAATAGTTTGGGGAACAATATCGTGAACGTTTATTAAAGTCAAGTCTCTGATGTTCGTTATCACATTTTTTTGTTGGATTCACCTCGCGAAAACTTTTCTACATCATTGATTTGCACCCAAAATAGAATGACAAAGTGGGTCTCATTTCGTTTGAGATATGCGCCAAGGATACCACTGTGATTGTGGCTCTTTATCTTTCAATTTTTCGAGAGCCAGTAGAGGCTTAGACCTACTTACTGCACCACTGGACAACGTTTCTGATCATCACCAACACCCCCGGCGTGTATATATTGCAGTTCCTATTCTGTACATTCTACATCTACACATCATCATCAATCTCGACCTTATCAGCAATGACAATCCCATAGTCAACAGTATCCTTACAAAAATTTTCCGCTTGCTCAAAATCGAGTTTCATGTCTTCCATAATCAATCTTATTATAACTTCATTTGCAAGCACATGCGTAGCAAAGCTCGGTATTGACCAGTAGCTAATGGTTGGGTTCTTCTTATTCTTGTGCAACTCCTTTTTACATACCTTTGTTATTTCCTTCCCAATTATCGACTGTCTTTGAAATCCATAGTACCCACCATAAAACGACTCCCAATTTATTTTCATTTGTTCTTTAGCTGTCATGGTTTCATGCGCGGACTTCTTTTGCAACTTCTTGGCCTCTTCATAATACATAGATGGAGGGCTTTTTCCTCGTAGTATAGGACCTAGAACTTCAAAATGGGCTCGAGCACGGTCTAGAAGCGTTTTTCGCGATTGGACAGAGGCTGGGATATGTTTTGATTTATACTTTTCAAGAACCATATCTCGAGTTCCATATTTCGACTCTTCAAAAGCATTGAGTAAATTAAGTGGTTCAAGCTCAGTTGAAAACACGTTTTGCTTTTGCTTTTGCTTTTTGGTCTTTTTGGTTTCATCTTCCTCGTCGTCACTTATCTCTAATAATCCATCAATAACCCCGATATTCAACTGTCTCCTCTTTCTCATTGGGCTCGGTGTTATTTTGCTCATATCTATGACTCCAAACACATCATCGTCATTATTATTATTATTAGAGTTGCTAGCCTCTAACAGTGTGGGGAAAGATTTAGGACTTCGCAAATCTTGGTCTTTTATAGAAAGAGAATCATTTTGGTGAATGTGGATCTTTTTTCCATGCTTTTTTGTGGTTTTATACTGTTTATATGCGATTCCTTGCTTTTCAGGTGAAAATGCCTCGTTTATGAATGGTCTATCATTATCTTGCTTCTTGTAATATCCAACTAGACCAGTCTCCTTCTGTGGTGGGTATATAGTCTCCCGTTTGCTGGAAGATTGAGGTCTCCTATGAGTTTCTAAACTACTGAAATCTTTCTTATCCATGTGTTGATCTTTAAGTTCTTTTATAGCTGCATCAATATAAAAATGCTTTGGTTAGGGATAAACAAAACAAAAAACATCAACATTTTTTTTCCTAACTGAAGAAGAGGAAGAAGACGCCAATGCAAAAGAGAATACAAATCACATAACAGTTACTATTAGAAAAATATACTTTATTATTTATACAACTAAATCTAACATATCCTAATATAATTACTTCTCTGTTAAATCATTAAGATGGTGGTGGTTGATGTTGCAGTTGTTGCAGTTGCATCATTTGCATGAACAACTCAGCAACACCGGGTGGAAACTGAGAAGGATTTGGCGTACCTTGCATATTTGGCATTTGCGGCACTTGCGGCATGGAAGGGTAATTATTTCCATGTGGTTGCTGCAGTTGTTGGCCTTGTGGTGGGTATGATGGGAATTGTTGTTGAGTTTGAGGAAATGCTTGCAGTGGCTGCGGAGAGGAGTTATTGCCAAATAATCCTTGTAATGGATTGACCGATGATTGTTGATAAGTATTGAACCCCGGCAGTGCCCCATGACTCATTTGAACTTGTTGGTTTGGAAGTAATGTTGTCTTTACAAATTCTTCATCGGGTTCACCAGGTCTGTTTGATTTTGGTCCGTTTCTGGCTGAATTGGTAGGCATCTTCTTTGACATGGCTTTAGAAGATATACCAGCACCTATTTCAATATCGGGCTCGTCAATGACCATACCACTCGATATTGGTTGACCACCTGTACCTCCCCATTGTGCATTGACAACCCAGTTCCTGTCAGCTTCGGTCAATCTTTCTATCGGAATAATTGAAACACCGTGTTGATAGTTGCAGCATTCCCTTGGGCCAAATCCAACACCCCAACGAGTTCTCAATGGCAAGGAGTTGTCCTTGTTGAAGGATGTAATAATCTGCTCTGCCTCTTTTCTTGAATACACCTTAACAAATGCATGTTTCCTTTCGCTGTTTAAAATAACCGACTGAATCTCAGCAAATGGTCTCAAAACTTGGGCCAAGACACGTTCATCCATATTTCTTGGAACACCACCTAAAAACAACGTTCTTGATAACACCTTGATTGTTCCTTGGGGTACACTTGGATCAAATCCGACATTTCTTGGACGGAAATGAGGTGTTCCAGGGAGATTCATCTCACCATTCATGGCTGTAGGGGGTACAAATGCTGGGTCTTTATGAGACTGTTGATGGCCAGCATTTCTGTTGAAATTTTGCTGAAACTGTTGTTGTGGCGACTTGGCCTGATATCCTTGACCATTGGCTGCTGCTGCTGCTTGTTGCTGTTTTAAATTCTGGATATTTTGCTGCAACGCAAGAACTGAAGAAGCGGCTGCAGGTGACTTGATATGTCTTGTAGGAGACCTAGACCTGCTTCTCTTGTAGTCATGGTTTTGATCACGACCGCCACGTCTGCCTGTACTGTAATCATCGATTCCTCCTGATGAACGAGAGCCGGCCGATGGTTGTGAGTTCGATGCACCCTGTAGCTGTTGCAACATGCTGAATATAGCTTGTTGATCATTTGATTGGCCCAGTTGTGGATGTTGTTGCTGTTGCTGTTGTTCACCCGCAGATCCACTTGCCAAGTTTGCCAACAAGTTGGCAGTTACATCGTTTTCATTTGATCCATCTGTGCGTGATGAACCTGGAGGTGCAGAATTAAAGTTTGAATCTGAGGTAGAGGTCTCAGCATCGCCCTTGGCCAAGGAAGCTAGGGCCAGTAAAATACTATTGGAGTCCTTAGATTCAGAGGTGGGCTTTACCGGTTCAACACTTGACTTTGGTGGCGTACCAGGAGGAGTGGTTGACTTGAAATGTTTTTCCTTAATCTTTTTCAAAATGTCGGAATCAAATGTGTGATTCTTGTCCCAAATCTCCACTAATTTACCAATCTTACTAATAGTTACTGGATCCAATTGATATTCCATAGCATCATCCATTAAGCTTTCAATCAACTGGCCAATCTTGTAAACTGCAGATGCGAATGTGCCATCAGGAGCAGATGCATCAATGGTTTCGTTTGATGCAACAGCACCATCCTTGAGTTTCCTAGTGACCGAATCAACCACATATAAAGTACCTAATTTATGTGAAGGTGCAGCCGATTTACAACTAGAATAAAGCGCAGCAATAATTTTACTTTCCTTCTCCTTGTCAAAGTCTGTACTGGCAATTGTAGACAATTCTTTAATACGGGATCCTGACACACCAGGAGCCGCTAATGTCGGCAATTCTTTAAGAAGCTTATCAAATCTTTCCATCAGCATGATTTATAACTTTACTTCTAATAGGTTTCTTTTATATTTTGTTTTCCTTTTTGCTCCAAAATTACAAATACGAAAGTCGGGGGACTGCTTGGAGTTTGCTTTTACAAAATAAAACTGTTCAAATAAAAGAAAATACTAATGGGTGACTACTTTTGAAGTGGATTCGTTTTGGTGGTGCGCACGTGTTTTGTTGATGTTAAAATCTGAAATCGTATGATATGTTTTCCTTACTGGTATTGGGATTTTTACTAATGACTCTTTTATACCTGATGAAACGAAGTAATTACAGACACAACTTGTGGAAGTAAAAGCTTAGATATTTCCAACTCCTAAAAAATGCGTTGTAAAAGTGAAATTGGCAAACTATAAAGAAAAGAAAAAAAAAATTAAAGTTAAAATTAAAAAGGTATATCTTTAATGTATTTGTTGTACCTTTTAGTTGTGCTAGATGAAACTTTCTTTCTTATAAGTTACCCAGTGCTTTCTTTTGGTGATTGATTGAACTTTGTTTTGTATGTGTACGATTGGGGTTCCCTGACAGAAAGAGAAAGGTTTTTTGTTTTGTTGAACAAAAATTTTTCTCCTTCCCCTTCCTTTCCTTTCCTCCTTTGAAAACACAATTGGTAGCATGTTTGATATATTTTTCGACACATATTACACGACCAATTGATTCTCATAACAAAGTTTCGAAAATTTTTCAAATAAGGTCTGAAAGGACAGTAAAGCAAGCAAATCGAACACATGAGTTACATTGGTTCTAGGATAAGGGGTCCACTAGCTACCCAGATACGTTGCTATGCATCCACGCAATCTAGTACTGCATCTACAACAGCACCACCAACGTCAACAATTTCACCACAATCAATCTCACTGACATTGATATTATCTCGTCTTCCCATCATAACTCAAGATCTTACTTCATTTGAATCGCAATTCTACAAGTACCAATCTGAATTATGGAGAAGGCTTATGTGGACATTCCCCAAATGGTTCTATTTCAAGCAAGGTACCATGGCCGAATTAAGATATCGACAAATTAACAAAAACCCCGTTAGTTATAACCCCAAAATGTCATATCCTAGAGGAAAACCAGACTTGAAGCATTTAAGAGACCGTAGGTTTAGACAATACATTAGAGCTCCCAAGACATATAAAGAAGAAGACGAAATTGCCATGGGACAAGATCAATCTGAATTCAAGGAGAATGAAATATCGCGTAAAATTGTTCCACCATCACGTATAACTGAAGCTGATGAAAACAATGATACGACTTCGTTGGAGAGAAAACTAAGTAGAACGTTATATTTGGTTATTAAAGAAACGAATGCTGGGAATAATGCCACTTGGAAATTGCCCAACTTTAAAGAACTGAATGAAAACTTACAACCATTACATGTATTGGCTGAAGAAGGATTATATCAACTTGGTGGTAAAAAGATCAACTACTTCAATGTATCGAAAGTCCCTTGTCATCATAATGCAAACAAGGAGTATTTTATTAAATCGCATATTTTGTCAGGATCATTTGAAGCTCAATCTGATTCAGTGCAACATCAATGGGCCACCAAGGAAGAGTTGAAGGAGTTGTTACCCAAGGAGTACTATTCCGATATACTGCATTTATTGAGTGAGGTATAGTGAAAAAACAAACTTTGTAAATAGATCTTGTATAACTTTGTAAACCATCATTCCATCGCGACGTCATATTAGCAGTATCCCATTTACATGTAAATTCTACAAACCGATCTGCTCTTTCAATACCAACTTTTATTTTTAAAAAATAAACTTCACAAGATCTCTCTCTCTCTCTCTATAAATCCTTTTTGCCTTTCATTGCTTGTTGAGCAGCAAAAACACTACGGTCCATTAATGACCCCACCATCAACACCCCAGCAATTGAACTCACCACACCCAAAATGAACCCCAGTCTCGTCTTTGCATACTCCTCGCGATTGATGATCTTAAGTGGGGATATATCAAAGTTGAATGCTACTCCAGGAACTCCACCTCGTGCATGTAAAGTATGTTGATGATCCTCATCTTTACCTCCAGCCAAGGGACGATCATGAGTAATTACTGAAAATTGATTGGTATCGAATTTATTTGTACCATCCAAACTTTCAAAACGAGTAGCGACAATCTTGAGGAAATAATTGATCAGATGGAATTTCTTATGTTGAAGGAATTTGTGTCCATCTAATGGAGTTATGGATCCAGTGTCAGCTAATTGGGTGGCTGGTGGATTGTTACCAAATGACAAATGGTTAATAATGTGGTCGAAATTGAACTTATCGCTGTACTTTTGGTATAATGATAAATCATGCACATGACGTCCACCTTGAGTCATGGATGCGCCAGGGGCGAAATCCATCGTTCCCGCAATACGATTTATCTGAGCGGTTCCTTTAACTCGACACCCCTCGTTATCGTTAATCCGTTGTCTCAAACGTTGTACGTGCCCTTCTTGTTCACATTGAGCAATATTTTCTCCATCATAAAATTGCCAATTAGCTTCAGCATAAGCACGGCGTACAGCAGCACAACTGTTACAACAATATTGCTTTTTATCTTGTGGCACTGCTCCATAGCAAGATCCACATTCACCATCGGTCTGACCTTCAGGCAATCCAGCAGCGATTTCTTCCAAAGGCACTTCACGTTGTAAAACAGGTTGGTCATCTTTGATTTCCACTGGATTTGAAGCATGGCCCTGTTTGATGATTCTAAACTTTTCTAATCCTGAATTTATCACATCTAATTTTAGATCTCCTGATTCATCAAATAAATCAATCGATACTAAATCACAAGGTAGGTTCAAGAACGAAATGTCTATATTTATATCCAACTGTTTATTAATATCACGGTCAACTACCAACTCGGGTCTAGCAATCACTGTAGTATAATCAATGTACTCACTACGTATCAAGAACAATGCAACCAAAATACATATCAAGGTAATTATACCACCTGAGGTAGTCTTGATTCGGGCATCTTCAACCGTCTTGGCAAATGCATCCAACGATATCAATTTAGGTCGTTGAGATGACATTTATCTTTGATGCTATGTATGCTGTACCAAGGAAAGGAGCGACAGGTAGTGGTGGGAGTAATGAAACCTCTGTGATGAAACCGTAACGTGGCTCTTTTTTTTTTCTTTTCCAAACGGATTTTGAGATTTTTTTATTTTTCACGACAACGTCTTCTAATACGAGGAAAAGGTTTAACCAACAGTATCGTGCTTTCTTCTTGGCAAATACAAACTACAGAACCCTTCCATTTCGACTTTTTCATATAGAAAAGCTGTCAATTGGCACAACCCAATTGCACCATTACCACTAACGACTAGTTAAGCCAGAATTAACAAATGCTGAATGATGCAAGCGTCAATATCAATCGTGCCTATTTTAAAAGACTAACTCCGCAAATCCTCCGTGATAAGCCGCTAGTAGGACACACATCATCATCTTCAGAAATAATAACCATCTCAGTCAACAACTGCGGCACTCGTTTAGTCACATCACGTACGGATAAATCATTGCGCATATGGAAATGTCAATCTGATCGAATTGTTGATCCAATAATCATTGAAGATGCTCATTCAAAAGCAGTGGAAAGCATCTCTTGGGATCCCAATACCGAATCTACATTTGCAACTGTGGGGAGAGACGAATACATCAAGATATGGCGGGGTTCAACAGGAACTTTGGACAATGTCGTCAAGACTCATTTGAAAAATTTGAAATTGATACGATATTCAACTGATGGAGAATTGGTGATTGTTGTTGATCGAGAATCGAATGTGTTGTGTTTTGCCGTTAATCAAAGTTATAAATTGGTTAATGAGTTTAAAGTACCTGAATATGTATATGATTTACAGTGGTTTAATTATGAACACGAGTTTTTCATAATGGCATTACATGATGGATCGTTGCCCGTATATAAAGTGAGTGATGCATCCGAAAGCAGAGATGGAGCTGATGGAGTTGACATTACGTCAAAAACAATATTAACCGGTCATCGGTCATCAGCCACATCAATAGCAATCTCACCCCGAGGTCGTTACTTTACCGTGGGGGCTAGCGAAGGAGTCATTAGTAAATGGAGCACCGAGTCGATGGTAAATTGTGGAGTCATCACCAATATAGATGAAGTGATATCAGCATTGGATATAAATGGTGATGGTACATATGTTGCTGTATCGTTTGATAAAGATTCAAATTCGATAATTTACGACTTGGAGACAACTGAACAAATATTTGAAGTTCCCAATAGTGCCAGTGGTAATATGACATTTAGTTCAATTTGTTGGTTTCCTAATAAATCGGCATTTGTATACAGTTCTGATTTCGGTACTACTTTGACTTGGATGAGGAAAGGCGATCGAGATAAAGGCGATAGAGGCGATAGGGGAGATAAAGGCGATAGAGGCAATAGGGGAGACAGAAGTGATAGAGGTAATAGAGGTGATAGAGTGGAGAGAAGTGAAAGGGGAGGCGGATTGAGTGGTCCAAGAAGGAAATAAAATAGAGTACATGTGTCTTAAAAATGAAACTCCTAATTCATTAACATTATTCCCATCTATATAATGGTGCTTTTTCCTCTTTTTCAACGCTATACTCTTTCGGCAGTCCAAATAGCGCCTTTACAAACCAACTTAATCCCCTCAGTCAACAAGATATAAGGCACCGCCTTCTCAGCATCATGCTCAATAGCGGTATCCAAATGCTCCAATTCATCATCTCTAAATTGACTAATCTGATTCTTTAAACTTTGCAACTCATCACTGACTTGCACACTTTTGCCCAATTGGCCCTTATCCAACACCTGCCCCGTCTCTTTGTCTTCCAATTTGACGCCGTATTGGTTCGTCAACACTCTCAATTGTTGATTATAATGGCCACCAATCACCGTTTCAACAGCTACCGTACATGCCATGGCCGCTTCTTTGCTAATTAACGCCGTTCCCATGCCAATACCCAATGCACCCAACTTCCAAAGCGGAGTTAATACCGATGGGCGTACGCGACGTTGCGTTTGAAGTTTGTTGAATGTATTATGATGGTGGATTTCTTGGTCCCACATGTGTTTTAAAATCGGTTTCAAATGGGGGTATTTGTTGGAAAGAATGAGGTACTGGCCCTTGTAAATGTAGTTAGCGCCTAGTTCACCTGCCTGGTCAACTCTGATAACACGGTCGAGAAACGCTTGCTGTGCTTGTGAAAGTGGGCCGTATTTTATATCATTTTTGGCGTAGGCTTTCTTGTCTTGCGGTTGCTGTTGGTTGAGTAAAGCACGGGTTGTAGATATATGTCTTGTAGCAGTCAATTGTATGCTACGTCTGCTAAGCATTGTTTGTATTGGTTAACACTGACGGTGATTGTAAAACAGGTGATTAATTTTCCTAGTTCGACTTTTTTTTTCGGATTGGCATCTAGACCCCCTCTCTGAGCGCAACATTTTTCCAATGTCACCAAAGGTAGAACCAATTACAAGAATATGGCTGCGAAAAAAAAAAAAAAAACAAATGGAGAGATGAAAACACATGAAAGCGCTCAATGCAAACGGAGCAGAAGGTACGGCTATATATCTATTCATTATTTTTAAATGAGCTAATTATTTTAAGCATGGAGATACTGGTATCAAAAGGAATCTCTTGCGTATCTCTTGAATTAGTCACCGGTTTAAACTCATTAGCAGGCACTTTTAAATGCTGGAAAAACTTGTTGGGAACATCTTTAATCAACAACCATTCCACAGGGAAAATTCCCTTCCATCTAGTTTGCTCACACCAAATATCACTTGTCTTGTTATAATCTATGCACTCCTTCATTTGCGATACACCACAGAATTTTCCCAGTGAATTAACCAGAAAGAATAAAAATATTTTGCCATCCAGGTCAGGGTTACCGGTGATTTGCAATTCATGAAAGGCTTTGTCTAATCTCTTGTTGCCTAGTTCGGTTGATGTCCAAATCTTGTGTTCAAATGATGCATTTACGTCAAGGATATTGTATGATTTGATAACAAAAAACCTTGATTTAGAAGGCACAGTGAATATGGAGCCAGAGTAAGTTCTAAAAGTCAAGCATTGGGGTGGGTTGATTTTGGGTGGAGCTATTGTTGCGTAGTCTTTACCAATTAGTGGGGAATCAAGAAGGTGTAAACGGTTCAGAATGACCGTCTCAGAACCTAAACTGGGGTGTACATTGTTACATTGATCCATGGCTGCATAGCTGTAGTATTGTTTTGTGAATAAGTCAAGTTGCTGCAGTTTCTGGCGCTGTTGCTCTTGTTGAAGTTGCATCAGAAATTGAAATTGTTGTTGCTGAAGCAGAATAAGCTCTTGCTCCTTTTGAAGTTGCCATACCAACTCTTGGCCCTCTTCTTGATTCAAATTCAATCCCATGGTTGATGACCCTTCAGCCCAAATATTTCGTTTCAAAGCTATAGGAATGTTGTCAATCTCAGATCCAATAGACTGAATTGTAAAGATGGACCTTGGTGTGCAGAACAAGTTACCAAACTGTTGGTTAATGTCGTTAGCACTAGTATTTTTATCGACTTCATCACCATGGCTGGTAAGATACATTGTACCGTGTCTAGGTGTATACAATGCGGTTGTATGCATGCAAAACTCTTCCATTGAAGGGATAAAATAGTCTAAATCGTCATTATCATTGTCGTCGGGGGAATCATCTGTAGTGGCAATAGTACACTCAGTAGCTGTTGTACAATTATTTTCAGGGTTGGTGTAGTTGCTATTGTCCAATTGACTGCTGGTGGTGAATAAGCTTTCGGTTGGAAAGTGCGAGGATGTAACGGACATGGGGGGGGGGGGGCTGTTTTCCGCGAAAATTGCTGTTCTGTTGAAAGATAGATTAGACAACAGTTAAAGACAATGTGCTTCTGTTGGTTGTCTTATATAGAAAACTTGACCAAATTGAAAAAAACACAAACTCTGTTGAACACACATTCATAAACACATATATACCAACTGTAAAAGATCAATACACCACTTCACTAGACTGTTGCTTGGTGTTGAAGAAAAGAAAAAAAGAGGAGTAACTTTGACCTTCTGGTGTTTTCAATACGATAAGAAACAGGTGCGTGACTATCTAAAGTTATGGTCCAGCGTATTTGTGGGGTATTGTTGTATTGACCACTTAAGAAGATGTGTGCTGTGTGTTGTGTGGTGTTTTATTTTGTTGAGTTTTGGTTGCAAAGTGGGTAATTGTGACTTGTGTGCGGGGAGTAGACATAAGATATTTAAAAGTGTTTTTGTTTGTTTTTGACAGCACTGGTGATCAATACCGAGACAAATCTCTGATTAAACAAGTACAACGTGATGTGACATGTTATCATGTTAATGACTATGGATGTGCCTGGTGTATCGTTCCTATTATGAGGGCGGTGGGAGTATTTTGTCTCTATGTCATTTGAGGGTAAGGGGTCTAATAATGTGTGTATATGTTTGCTGAGTGATCGTGTTAGATAAGACACTGGTTATAATTACAATGAATACAACGTGTGTATTTATGTGTTCCATTTATCAATCTATGTATGTATGTCTTTGTTGAGAACGGAAAGTGGGGAAGGGGAATAGGGAAAATGAGAGGATGTATAGGAAATACGAGTACGCAGAATTGCCAGATCTCCCTCAAGGGCGTGTTGACTCAAGACTTTGAGTTTGAAGACAAAAGAAGGTAATAGGTTATACGGATTAATATACCTGTAATTGATGAGATAAGATTAGATCAAAACTTGTCTAACAAAGGAAACTGATGTCTCAAGGGACAAAATTATTCACCAAACAAAAATGAGTGATGAGATTAGATACAGATAATACATATTCACACACAGACCCGTTACGACAGACTATTACCACATACCTACGTGCCACAAGACCAAGTCAAGAAATTACTCACTACACTTCTTTCTTCCTTCCATAATAAAGCTTCATAGCTCAAGTTTATAGTATGACAGATCAACAAGTGACGATTAAATCAGATACCAAGAAAAAGACACCAACAACGAAGATATTCAAACAGAAAGTATATCGATCAAGCGTACCTCTAAACAAATTCAAACCATGGATAGAACAAACAATTAACAAACTACTAGATAACATAGATGATGAGGTATTACATGAATATATTTATGAACTCTTGGATACACCATTGGAAGACGATTCGATTGATATAATCAACTTGCAGCAACAACTACCTGCATTTTTGGAACCTTTGGAAACATCAACTACGTTTTGTATCCAACTATGGGATTTGATGTTACGAGTTCAACGAGGGGAAAAACCAGAAGAGTTGTACCCTGTTGCAGAGACAACTTCTTCAGCTCAACGGAAACCACAACATTTAATACCAAGACCCTCAAATACCGATTCAGCTGTCAATCAAAAGAAAAGAACAAATTATAATCGAACTTCATCCTCAACTGATGAATATGGTGGACATGATGATGGAAAGTTGAAAAATAGAGGAAATCATAATACCTTTAGGATGCGAGATTACAGAGATCGTGAGCATAGTAAATATAGAGAGCAAGATTCATGTCGCTATGATAGTTATATACCATCTAGGTAAGTACTCTTGTAATATAGATGAACCTGTAGATGTGCTGTTGTTGTTGTTGTTGCAAACGTTCAATGTCGCATATTGAGGATTTATGACAGTGTAATTTGTTAGTCACTTGTGTTTTTTTTTTAAATTTCTCAACAATCTCTGTCACGCAATCAAAAATTGAACAACAGAATTTAATAAAAGAGTCCTAGGAGTAGGTTGAAAATCAAAAACATCACAATATAGCTATAAACACTAACTCAATCAATATGTCTGAGCCTACTGGTATGCATGTGGATCAACTGATTCCACAAAGTAATCAACCTCCGGCCCAACAACAACAACAACAGCAACAGCCAATCCAACAACCACAACCACAGCATAGCAGTCAGCAACAACAGCAACAACAACAGCAACATCACCATCATCATCATGGACACCATCACCACAAGGATCAAAACGCTAACACTGCTACCTACATTGGAAAATATCAAGTTCTCAAAACTCTTGGTGAAGGATCATTCGGTAAAGTGAAATTGGCTCAACATACAGTAACTGGTCAAAAAGTAGCCCTCAAGATTATCAATAGGAAAACTTTGGCTAAATCAGACATGCAAGGTCGAATTGAACGAGAGATTTCCTATTTACGATTATTAAGACACCCTCATATTATTAAACTTTATGATGTTATAAAATCAAAAGATGATATTATAATGGTTATCGAATATGCTGGTAAGGAATTATTTGACTATATTGTTCAACGAGGCAAGATGCCGGAAGACGAAGCCAGGCGGTTTTTCCAGCAAATTATAGCTGCCGTTGAATATTGCCACCGACACAAGATTGTTCATCGAGATTTAAAACCCGAGAATTTATTATTGGACGATCAGTTGAATGTCAAAATTGCTGATTTTGGATTGAGTAATATTATGACAGATGGTAATTTCCTCAAGACGAGCTGTGGGTCCCCCAATTATGCTGCACCAGAGGTTATATCGGGTAAATTGTACGCGGGACCTGAAGTTGATGTTTGGTCAGCCGGGGTGATTTTGTATGTGATGTTATGTGGTAGATTACCCTTTGATGATGAGTTTATCCCGGCATTGTTTAAAAAGATTAGTAATGGGGTTTACACGTTGCCTAGTTATTTAAGTTCAGGAGCTAAACATATTTTGACAAGGATGTTGGTGGTTAACCCTTTGAATAGAATTACCATACACGAAATAATGGAAGATGAATGGTTTAAACAAGGCATGCCTGATTACTTGTTACCACCTGATTTGTCCAAAAATAAACACAAAAAGATTGATATTGATGAAGATGTGATTAGAGCATTGCATGTGACGATGGGATATGACCGCGATGAAATTATCAATATTATTGAAAAATGTAATAAGCATTCGTCGCCACAACTGCAAAAGAATGAAATATTGGATGCGTATTTATTAATGAAGGAGAATCATTCATTGGTTAAGGATTTAAAGAAATCAAAGCTGGATAATGTTGATAGTTTCTTGAGTTCTTCACCACCTCCAACGTCAAGTATGGGTAGTGATGGTGGTAGTGCAGGGGGATCTGCTGGTACTTCAGACGGTAGTAGCAACGCCGGTGGAACTGCTGCTGCTGGTGGTTATCCGTCTCATCCAGCAACTAGTTCTGCACCAGGAGTTCAACAATCATTGACTTATCAAACGTTGGCAGGTGTGCCTGATTTATCACAGCTTCCCAACTCAACAATTGCCATATTACCAACCAGTTTGCCATCAATCCATCGAGCATTTATGAGTGAACATCAACCAGGTCAAAATCAACAACAGTACCAACCTACACCAACCAAGAAATCTAAAACGAGGTGGCATTTCGGTATAAGATCAAGGTCGTATCCGTTGGATGTGATGGGAGAAATATATCGTGCGTTGAAGAATCTAGGTGCAGAATGGGCGAAACCTACAGAAGAAGAATTATGGACTATACGAGTTCGATGGAAGTATGAAGCTGCTGCTGCTGGTGTAGCTAGTACTGGTGGAGTCTCAAGCAAGACTCCTAATTTGATGAAGATGCAGATACAATTGTTCCAATTGGAACCTAATAACTATTTAGTTGATTTCAAATTCGATGGATGGGAACTGGAAGAGCAAGCAAGCAGTGGTAATACTGAAGATGCTAGTGCTAATGCTAAAGATCCCCATAGACATCAAGATTTGGATGAAGTGGGTAGTTTTTCAGCATATCCATTCTTACATTTGGCTACTAGATTAATTATGGAATTGGCTGTCAATAGTCAGAGTGCCTAGGTGGAATATAAGAAAATAAAACGATAAATTAACAACTGTTTAATAATTTTAAATTGATCGTGTTTTAGTGTCTTCTTCTCCTTGCTCTCCTTGTCTCTCTTTGTGTATGTATGTAATGTATTTGTCTCCGTATAAGAAATGTTTTGATTTAGTCCCAATTAAGTTAAATTCAGTTGTAATATTATATACAGGAATGTGACAAAGGGGAGAAAAAAGAAAAAAATCATCATCAACCTACAGCAGCACAACCGAAAAGAAAAGTACAGACTGTTGAACACAACATTTTATCTTTCTAGGATTTGGTGTGTATTGATAGCTTTATTCGTTCCTTTAGATTCACTTGGCATATTTATACCACTGGGATTTTCTTTTAAGTTGGAGATTTTAGTCAGTTTTTATTTATTATTTTGCTTACCACGTTAATTCCACATCAGGCAACTTTAATTTAGCAACCACTGATTGGACACCAACTGGGCAACACCAACACCAAAAACAAAAAACAAAGCTACATTGAGACACAGCCTTTCTACTTTTTTGCTAACCATTGAAGCGGTACCTTTATCTTGAACTATACCCACTAATATACCCCTAAAGAGACACACGCAGACCCCACAATGCATAGCATAAATCTCGACGATGGCAGCAACAAGATATCTGCCGACTTGTCAATAAAATTAAACGAAGCTATTCGATACATCACCAAGTCAAAGAGAACCACCGTTATAACTGGAGCAGGAATCCTGTGTAATGCAGGAATACCCGATTTCCGGTCCGAAAACGGATTATACAACATGATCAAACATAAATATCCCAAATCAATAGTACGAGGTCAGGACTTATTTGATATCAACTTATTTAGAGATGAAACGTCGCTTGAAATCTTTTGTACATTTATGGAACGATTATACCATCATAGTTTGCTGGCAAAACCTACAGAATCGCACAAGTTTATTAAACATCTAAAAGACAAGGGAAAATTATTACGATGCTATACGCAAAACATTGACTCTTTGGAACAAAATGTGGACTTAAATCTTGGAATCAACCAACAAGATTTTGAAGTTGGCAGACTGGGTAAGTTTCGTGAATCATGGAATAATTTAGATGTTGTCCAATTACACGGAAACTTGCATAAATTATCCTGTACTAATTGTTTTGCTGAATATGAATGGAGCAATGAATTCAAGACCATGTTCAATCAAGGTATTAATCCTGAATGTACCAACTGTTTCAACAAGTATCAACAACGGTTATACCTGGGAAAACGAATGACGGGGCATATAGGTGTATTAAGGCCCGATATAGTGCTATACGGGGAGAATCATCGCCAGCTGGAGATTCTCAGTCAAGGATTGACCAATGACTTGAAAAGCAAACCGGATTTGCTAATTATTATGGGTACATCGTTAAAAGTCGATGGCGTGAAAAAATTAGTCAAGAGTCTAAGTAAACAAATTCATGAACGTGGAGGGAAGGTGATTTTTATAAACAAGACAAGTTTAAGTAAAATGTGGCATAGTTACATTGATTACGAAATCTTGTGTGATTGCGACCAATTTATTCGCATATTGAAGGCAGAAATTCCTGATTTGTTCTTGACTCAAGAACAATTGGACTCAAAGAAGTTGAAAAATAAAGCTCATGAGAGGGTTATCATGCCAAGTGACGCCTATAAATTGATTGTGAAGCAGGAGACAGGTGATGAGGTGAGCAATAATGCAAAATGCAAGAGTGTTCAAGTGAAAGTGGAGTCTGGATCAGCTGATGTATCTTCTTCATCGTCATCAACTTCACCAGTACGAGTAAAACAGGAAGTAACTAATGATATTTTAACTCCACCTGATACACCAACCAAAAAGAGAAAAAGACCAGAATCATCAACGTCGTCGCAACCACAACAGAAGAAACGACAGCCATCTTTGAAAAGAGAACCAAAAGTGAAACTCGAAAAGAATGGCGGTAAGGGAAGTGATGAAGGGAAGTTAAATGGAGCAAGAGGTTCATCTTCGACAACTACTGATGCATCCACTACTGCTGCTGCATATAGGACACCGGCATCTTCTTTTGACGAATCAATACCGTTGAAATTGTTTTCACTGCTGCAATTGAATCAATGCTAACAGAGTAATGATGTTCAATATGTAATACTAGAATGCAAAAATGTTGTACAAATTGTGCAAAGATGCTTGAACAGCTCCCAAATGTAATGCTCTTTCTCTTTTGTAGACATCATTTGCTTGTTCGTATATGTCATCATTTGATGTTGGTGGACCCATCAGAGATGAAAGGTCGATTTGTATCTATATGCAGGGAAGCAATTGCAGCTAAAAAAGTCATTCACTACAAACGATACGCCATTCACCTTTTACATTTTCCCCAACCTCAATCCTCCTACTTACCCAAAACCACCCAGTCACAATCTAGGTATACGCTGCCCATTGTAACCAAAAACATTGATCATTCAAGACTGACTTCTTTTTTTTTTTCAATTTAGCGGATCACATCTTGGTCAGCCATTACAATTCATCCATAACAAAGGGTCCAACACAGGCATACATTCAATTCACACAATATAGGTCCCAAATAACAGGCTAATTGCTTTCCAGGTCGTACAACTCCACTTTCTTTTTTCCATTACGACGAATTCTTCAGTTAGAGGGGACAGCAAGAAGAAAAAGAGTAGTCTGACATTGCTATCGAAATTAAGTCAAGCTATATCCAAACCTACATCAAGTAATAGCAGCTATCAATTATTGCAACCACTGCTACAAGAAGAACTTAATACGAGACAGCATAAGAGGGTTAGCAAAATGGAGTCGGTAACGAATTTACTAGGGAATATATTGTCACTTGATGACGAAACTAAAGCAAGTAGTGGTAGTGGACCACTGGGGAGACTGAATCAAGGGCAAGCGACTGTGGCATCATTGACGCCAACAAAGAAACGTCGATCGTTGGATTTAGATTTCAGTTCGTTTTGGAGAGATAGTAAAGATGGTTCATCGGGTGGTGATGATTTAGCGACTGCTGGTGTTGGAACTGGAAATGAAGCTACAAAAGGTAAGTCAAATGCCAGTGCTTCTGCAAGCGATACAAAAGCAACAAGTTTACCCGGTGGAGGAGCTGATTTATCAGGAGGAGCTATTACTTCCGGTGTCAGTACGGGTGCGGGTGCAGGTGCAACTGCAACAGCCGCTTCGGCAGTTGCTGCTAGTACTGCCAATGTATCAGCTACGAATCAAAATTACTATGCTGACAAATTGATGGAAAAGGCCATATCGATGATTATACCCAATGAGATTTATGACGAACAAACAAACAAGATGTTGCAAGATCGTCAATTGATGGCTAAATTGCGACCACCATTGAGTTTTGCATTGATGCAAAAAAACTCCAATAATCTACACCAGCGCAATTCTGAAGTGTACATTTTCTTTAATCACGTCTTGAAATATGTCAATTGGTTGGATCCTTATTATACTATTGGTGTTACGTTACTCATTACTCATATGATCTTGAAGCCGGTTTTGTTTATCTGCTTACCTTGGTTTTTGTTAATGGTCAACACCTTAATTCCTCATTATTTGGTGGTTTATCCCATGGATGCTAGTTTCAATGGCGAATATCTAGAAGTCAATCCCTATCCACTGAAACAAGCTTTAGAACCAGCAAAATTACCTAAACCAGTGCCATTATTTAGTAAAGAATTTTTCATGAATTTAACCGATACCCAAAATTTCATGACTTTACAGAGTCATATTTTCGATTTCCAAACTTGGTTGTTTGCTGATTATTTGTATTTCAAAAATGAGCAAATCAGTTCATTCATTGTCTTGACCTGTTTAGTCATGGTGGGGGTTAATTTACTATGGTTTAAACTGATTGCATTGTTTTTATTGAATCATGCTTGGATCATTAAGCTATGGTGGGCAGTGACACTTTGGGGGTTTGTCATCTTGATGCATCCCAGTCAACGGTGCAAGATATTATCATGGGTTTACGAGGAAGATACTCGATTAGGTATTCAGAATCGAGTCAATAGAATTGAAGATAAGTTGACATCGATCTTAATTGATGAGAATTTACAATCAGATTTACAATTGAATAATAATAGTGATACCAATTTGACCTATGGGAAATTGATTGAAGTTTACGAATTACAGAAGTTGAATCAAGAAACAAAGATTTGGGAAATGGTTGGATTCACTCCTGAGTTTTATTCGATAAATGATGGTGTTCGAAAGTACAACCGTGCTGTTAAACAACTAAATCATGAAATTGTCCTGGCTGTGGTGGAAGATGATGGTGAGGATGACGTTGTCGCTCCTACCATTACTGAATCAAGCCCATCACGAAATACTGGTAGTACCACAACGAGTCACAATGGGGCAAGTATCGGACATGAACACAGGTATCTTTCATTACCCAAACGTGAATCAATCAATTTAGTCAAACCTCCCGTGGGCTATAAGTTTATCCTCCATGGTAAATGGACAATTGATTTCAACATTCAGTCATGGGTTGAATCTAATTTCATTCAAGATTTGGTCATTATTGATGACGATGAAAAATGGGCTTACGATGTAACGATACATAATATAACTATTGAGAATAGTGCTGCTACTGCTGCTAATGATGAGATAATAGATAAGCGTGACGAAAATGATGGAACTGATTCTAAGGATAATGCCAATAATAATAATAATACTAATAATACTAATAACGGTGGTGGTAGTGATGATGATAATGATGATAATGAAGAACAAAGACTACCACATCAATTGAATGAGCTTGATGATGGTGAAATATATAGAAGAAGAAGATGGATCAGATACGTGGTGCGGGAAACTTATAAGGATATCGATCGTCCACCTGTTCAACAATCGCATCTTGCTTCGTGGGTAACATAAAAATGAGCAAAAAAAGAACGAGGGCGGAAAAGTTAATAGAGAAATTTGGTGAAGTGATTTTTATATATAGTTTGACTATTTTGCTAAAGAATGTCTGTTGAAAAGAAGGAGTGTATGGATATGACTGTAAATTTAAGTTGGTTTGGATATATTTATTGTAAAAAGTCCATTAAATTTAATGAATCTAATTTTGATGATTGATCTGTTTTACGCTGTTTTAAATTTGAAAGTAAATTTAATTCAGCTTTCCTCTTTTTAGCACGTTGTTTAGCTGATTTATTTTTGGAATTGGATTGATTTGTTTCTGTTTTCTCTGTTTCTATTGTTGTTGTTGCAGTTGATATCGTTGGCTTTATTTCGGTTTCAGGAGTCGATTCAGGATCCAACTTTGACTTTAATGATTGATTTGAATGCATAATTGTCACTTCTCCAGACGACGGTTCTGGCGCTTCTACTGCATCATTTGTAGTTGCATTATTAGTACCATTGATGGTGGCTGTGGTTGTATTCCTACGTTGTTTTTCACTTCCATCAAGCAACGGCTCATATGTTTTATAACCACAACTCAAACATTTATATCTCAACCTCCTACTATTTCCGGCGTGTCCCTTGCCTTTGAAAGCTACGTCAGAAGCATCACCTCCACTTCCATCGGCACCTTCATTAATCCTTATCTTGTTTTTATTCCTCTTGTTATTGTTTGTGTATTTAATCCGTATGGATACATTGAGTCCCGGAATAAGTAATAAACCACATTCATGACATATTTTATGATCCACCAATGGTGGTGGAGTGATTCCATTTATATTGTTTACTTTGTCAAATTGAAGTGAGTAGAGCTTGTTTAATGGTGATGTGGATGGTGTTGATGTTGAGTGGATTAAATTGTACAAGTGGCGTGAGCGTAATTGATTGGCATCTAGGCTTTTGGTATTGGCGCTGGTGCTGGACCTGGATTTGCTATTGCCTTTCATTGACTGCGAATGTTGTGGTTGGATAGATGAAGATAACTGTGGATAATGCAAGATTAACTAGATTGAGCGGTGCTCCGATGGATGGATTCTGTTTGTGTATTTTGGGTAAAGTCAACTTCTACTTTTTCATTGTCGCGACATTCGAAATCAACATATTGAGCTACCATATTGTTGAAAATAGTTGTAATAAGAAAGAGTCGAAATAAATAACTACTCCTTGTAGCATCTTGGTTATCTAGTAAGCAGTAATTAATAAAGAAGAGAGTGAACAAGCAATGGCTATAGAATATAAACCTTTTTAGATTTGCGAAACAAGATGTGAAAAATTTGAAGTTGTTTTGATGCAAATTATAGTGAACTTGCAAGTCACGCCTAAGCATACAATAAAAAAAGACTTACAAAGACATTCCTGACTTAAAAAGGCTCATCTTACTTTGATAGACAGTTGGGAACCTTTTTGCTCCATCTCCTACACTATATACATCTAATAGCTGCCTTAAAAGTAAACCACAACTGGTAGCAGGTTTTTTTCTAATTCAAAAAGTGCCCAATTACGAACTTCGGTTTTAATCATAACGTATCAAAAATAAAATTACACATAACATATACATAGCCTATTACTACACCTAGACCACATTGAAAATGACTAAAAATCACTTCACTTAATAAGTGATTTCTACGAGCTCATTTTATTTCTTTTTAGTTTTGCTATACGAAGATTAGGATAGTAGTATAGACGTTTTTATCAACGGACTAGTAAATCGTTGTCTACCTTTGTCTACCGTATGATGGAACTTAAACACCAGAGAGTAAGGGGAAATCACGTCTTTGCTTTGTCATTCTCAATTGAAAATCCTCTCTCTTTTGATAGTAAAGTTTTACTAAAAGAAAATGTAAGACACAATTTGCCTCTTTTTCCTTTTAAGTCAAATGTCCATTATAAATTTGAATTGTTTGATTGGATATTGATAGACAATCACAAAAGAAAGAAGGAAAGTAAAGCATTTGACTTTTTGTCTGATAATCCGATTATCTGTTATTAAAGTTATCACAAAAGTAGAAATTTACAATACTGCTAATAATTTTACACAAAAAAAGCCGAACTATGGAAATGTGATTTAATAGGTCAATCAACTCCTTTTGTTGAAGTATATTTTATTCACTTGATAATATCACATTACCATTTCTAAAAGTAAACAAGTAAACAAGTAAACACAGAAGCAGAACCTGACAAATGTTAGAAATATGAAACATTGGCATTGAGCAACTTGGTTGGCGTCTATTGTTGACTACAATAGCTACTGCAAACATCAACTACACCAGTAATTGTTATATAAAATAATACCAAATAGAAACAATCGGAGTTGAATGATGAAGATTAACTTCTACTGCGATTCACAAAAACCGTATTTGGGAACAAGTTTCGATGTTTCTGTCGTGATGGGTGCAAAAATTACAGAGTAGAAATAGCCAATAAAAATAAGTCTTTAACTCAGCCGTTGCTTTACCACGTCGTAAAATCAAATGTTAAACTGAACAAGACCTTACATCAGATGTTTATATTTTGAGTTCTCGGTATTTAGAGTTTTGTTGGTGTGTTGCTTATTTCTATTTTCTTGTTAATGCCGAAGAGGTGATATCGGATATTTATTTCTCTATCTCAATGACAAATCAAATTTTGTTAAACTGGGAGAGGGGAGATATTTTCTACCTGAAGAAATTCCTCTGCAATGTTACGACGTAAGCGCATATAAAATACTTATATAGGCGTATTTGAATTAGTAAGTCTGTATGTGGCTCCAATTGTCTTACTGTCCTACTATTGTGTGTAATAAATCGTAGTATATTGATATTGCTATTGCTATTGCTATTGTCGTATGTTTAGTGCTCTGTAGTGTTGTGTACCTTAAATCAATTGGTGGTTTGAAAAACTGCTTTGCGATATTCGGATTTTAATTTTGTGATACATGCGCCTGAAAAAGACAAAACTTTGTCTGCAACAAAAACTCATCAACCAATCAAATCTCTTACAACTATGCTTACTATGCTTACTTTGCCTACTTTGCCTATCAAAAGTATTAATAACTACTATCACCACCACTATTAGTCTAAATATTTACCACTATCTTACACAATGAAAGATTAACTGTAAACACATCAATAAAAAAACACAGACACATCCTATATCTATACGATACACTGCCCATATTCCAAACTAAAAAGATAAATACAACATCATTAAATTAAGATAACAACTACAATTACTACTACTACATCAACCACATCATGATCATGTCATTACAATCGCAAAATCGTCTTAAACTAATAATACCGAAACAAAGGTCTAAAGCTGATAAAATACTCAAAACATGTACTCGATGTCGACAACACAAGACCAAGTGTGATGCATTTCAAACCAACCCAAACCCCTGCACTCATTGTTTCAAGAAGAATGTCAATTGTAATTTGGAAATTCTTAGTAAACCAACTGGTAGGGTTAAAGCATTGGATATAGTTGAACGATTATCATGTGAAGTTAGTGATTTAAAACATCTCATGACCGAACTAATACAGCGAAGAAACGACATCGTTGAATTGTTGATTGAAAGAGGTAAACAGATTGAAAAACAAGCCCATATTCAATGTCAGAAGCAGTTACTGCCACAACAACAGCCACAAGAGCAACAACAGACGCAGAAGCCTATTCTCAAGAGATCATATACACCCCCAGTTTCTGCCATCCAATCCTGTTTGAATACCCCATATACATCACCCGAATCCACAATCGAGTCATATACAATAGAGGAGACAAAGGCTTTAAATGTATCTGACAGCTCAAAATTTACCATCAACGCTAATAGCAAAGTCAAACCAATATCAATAACTCATAAACAAGCCCAATACTATTTCACAAATTACGAGCGTAATTTCAACAAATATCTTCCCATATTCCCCGATGAATTCTTCCAATCAACCAATTTAATCGAATTTCATACAGAGAATGAATTGGCTTTTTGGTGTATTATTTTAACAGCCCATTTAAACCAATTTCATCTAGCTGATGACTACAAATTACTCACTGAACATGTCAAATCACTCGTGGTTGATAAATGTTGGTTCAATACTCCGAGATCAGTATATATAATATCATCATTGTTGATATTGACCACCTGGCCATTGCCTAACCATCAACATACCAAGATTGCTGACAATTTAAGTATTAAATTTGTTAGTTTGATGAAGTCACTTTCATACCAATTTGGTTTGCATAAATTGGAATTTATTAGTGAATTTAGTCACAAGACCAAAATCAACCTATCACAAGAAGTTAATTTGAATAATCGAATCAGAGAACGCATTTATAAATTTGTAAATATAAATTCAAATTATTGGTTGATCAATTTGGGTTTATCAAATAATACCTACAATGGGTTCAATCAAGATTATATCTTGAACAAGGCATCGAATATCGATATTCATGATTCGTCGATTGCTTCATCAACCAATGATCATTATATCAATTGTCTTTTGAAAATATCCATGATTCAACTGAAGTTGAATGAAAATATGAATGCCTTGATTGGTGATTCGTTGGAATACGGTGAAGACCATATTACCATGAAGTTGTTGCCTAATCAAATCAATACGACAAAATTGATCAATTTCAACATGTTTGAAATTATAATTGATGATTTAAAACAAACTATGGCCACAGTGCAACGAAATGATGATGTTTCTGGCGCTGAAGATTCATTTAGTTCTGATTTAACCAATTTGATTCAGATTTCCATTGCTTATTCAAAGTTGCAATTGTTTATTTATTCATTATCGAAATCTGATATTTCACTACTGGAGTACAAGATCTATGTATCGAAATTGATTGCGTGTTGTATGCAAGTAATTGAGCTCACTCAATTACAGGCAAATTACATGGACTTGCCAATTTACTACAAATTCCCCATTGAATTAACACTATTGACATTATTGCGCATTTTCAAATCGCCAATATTGAATTCAATTGACGAATACAAGAATATTAAATTGTGTTTTAATAAAGGTTACGAAATGGTGTTTCAATTTAAAGACTGGCAATTTATGAATACTAAGTTACATCGGTTAATTGAAATGTTTAATAAGTTGCCAAATGAATTTATAGCACTTCAACTGATTAATGATACGACTGAAGAAGAAGAAGATCAACAACACACAAGAGACGGGTTCTTTTTAATTTCCAAGATGAAGAACTATCTTGTTTCTAGTTTACAATATGAGATGATTTGGTTAATTTATCAACGTCAACATGTCCAACGCAATATTGAGGTTGCTGATGAGTTGAGTCTTGAGCAATGGAATTCATTTGGAGTTTATGATAGACAATTGATGAATTACTTGAAAGATAATGAATCAATTTTTTAAATCCCAAAAACCCAAAAGTGGGAAAGTGGGTGAAGGTTTTTTTTTTTGCATGTTAATAGTTTATCAATATACAACTCAAACACAGGGATATTTTGCTAATACAAACACTCTATTCACTGATTTCCTTGCTTGTATCTTCTCTTTACTTTTTATAATCCAACCACTGCGATTTCAATTTCTTATTAGCAACATAAGGTTTCGTGACAATAAACAACACAAATAAAATAACAATTGTAATGACCAATTTCAATTTTTCAAAATTCTTATTCAATAAATCAAATGACAAACTTGGTTGAACTAATGAACAATATCGAACTTCATTATTGAGAAAACATACAACCACCGTACTTTCAAAATCAGTCGGTTTGATCAATATCGATGAGGCACTTTCTTTCTTCTTATTGGTTTTGCCAAAGAGTTGATACTTGTGGTTAATCGTTTGATAATTGTTCTTCGGTACAATTGGATCATAAGGAGTTAATCTAAAATCATCCTGAAATTCAGTTGGTTTCATTTGGTGTTGAGGACGTCTTGAATTTAAGATAAATTTTGGCAACTCAACAAGGTTACCCGACTCAGTATAAGCAATTATCGATTTCAAAGTTATACCATGCTTTGATTGAGTTGATGACAAGTCCAAAATTCGTTCTGGGTATACAAATGACTCAGTGAATACTTGACCAATTTTAAGACCGGCATTGCTGTTCGTGTCCTTGTTATCTTTGTTGCTGGTTTTGAATAAATCAATCACATTGATACGTTGTTCTAATCGTGGTTGTTTTGTAAAATAGGTGTACACTATCCAATTGTCATCAATGATCAAATTGATTGAATTCGGATCAATTATTTCCGACTTGTTATGAGACTGCTGGTGCAATAGCTCACCTGAAACACCATCAAGTAAATAAAACTTTAATTGGTCTTCCAATGTCAATACTGCAATTAAATTCCGGTTAAGATACTTGTATAATACCGATTTATCCGATTTTGGTATTCCAATAGTTGATACTTTTGAATCTTGATTATTGATTCTTGCTTGGGCGACAATTGGCTCATTGAAATTATATGACCACGTTTGAATCGAATCTAATGAACCAGGAAGGATGACATGTCCATCGATTTCAGAATCATCAATTGTTTTTGCAAAATGCAATTTTTCGCCACTGGGATTAGCATGAGGAATGAGGAATTTATGATTGCTTTCCAATGCATAAAATGTATCCACTGGTACAATGTTTGTATATCCCTCGTCATTACTAATCACCAGAGCTATTGCTCCATTATGCGAATAAAGCTTGTAAATCTCAGTAGCAAATACAACTAAAATAACTTCCTGATTATCCTGTGTATCAATCTGTTTCAAAGTAATGAATTCACTTTCAACTCCTAATGGATTAGACTCCCAAGCCACTTCCCCATCATAAGAATTTACAGCAACCACTTTATGATCCTTTGCATCGTAAAATACAATCAACTTGTTAAATGCATCCATTGATAAATCCTCAAAGTCAAACCAATGGTTGTAATCAACGATAAATCTACCCAATTCGTTCAAGTGTCTAATGACTCGATGCAACCAATTGGTAAATACCAACTTACTGTTCGATTCCTTGGCAAGATTGTAAACTTCAGACTTAATCTTATCAGATTCAGGAGGATCGATTATTATATAGATTCCTTTATCTGATGAATACTGTGGTTTGGTTGGCTTGATATCTTTCACTTTACTTCCATCGAATAAGCTAAACAATTCACCATAAAGATTCCCATCAAGTGCAACATACCCCAATTGGAAATCAGGCGTAGTGGCAATTAATTCATAGGGATAATCTTTACCTAATTTGAATTGGAATTTTTTAATACTATGCGTATCGTGGGTATACAAGAAATCAGTTAAATCATAGACTTGACGCGTGGTACCATCGCTAATAATTAAAAGGTGTTGCAACGTAGTTGAATAAAGTTTCACAAGCGATGTAGCTTTAATTTCAAATACTTGTTTTGCCTTTTTATCTATATTGATTAACTTGACAGCTTTTGGGGATCGTGAATACAAATAACTCGATCCAATCACTACCAAATTCCCAAACTCATCATTGTCTACTCTTTTGAATGACTTTGAACGATGATCAAGTTTAAAAATTTGATCGTTTTGAGTTAATGCTATACCTGACTTGAATTCCCGAATCGACCCTAATGATACTTCCTTCTCAAACACTATTTCACCTTTCGTTGATAGCTTTATCAACTGTGCACTATCAATAATGAGATAAATGTATCCATCATGGCAATCAACAACAAAATTTGAAACATTTGAATGTACTTGATGCTTGTTACTATTTTGATCAATATAGATCAATGCATTATCAGTAGTCAAGACAAAGACACCACCATATTTGCATTCATATAAATGGGCAATGCTCCTCTTTATATCGATAAAGTTGATCGCTCCATTTGCATCAATTTCAATAATTTCCGGTTCATTTAACTTAAATCCAAGTATCTTATCATTGGTTACCAAAAGTTGATAATCCTTAGTTACATCGAGATCCAACTTCCATTGAATGAGGTTCTGGTTCAATACATCTAGGCCAATCAACTGCTTAGCATCATTCCTAGCCACAAGTATGTTGCTGTCTAAAACTTGTAAATCATAAACAGGTGTCTGATAAAGATAATTTATAGACTCAGTCGAAGTGAATGCTTTGTCAATTAGAATTGCATGGGCATAACTTGAAATGAAAAGGAGGTTCACAAATAACGACTGTATTATGAGCTTGAGACTCCTCATATTTAATACAATTGGCTCCTAGTAGGTTTTGTATGAGAATATATGTCGTGGTGTTTGTCGATTTCCAACTGTTTTCGGTGGTTAATTTGTCTCTCAAATTGTGCGACAGAGAGAATCGAATATACACACGTGACATACACGTGACATACAATAAACTAATGAAATTAATTTTTGAAAAATTTCTTCAACCCATCCAGTGATATATCAATTCATTTTACACCAACTACATAGTTATAAATACACACACGATTCATTTCCACATAAACCATGCCTTCTGTTAGTGTAGAAACAAGAACCACCATCGCATAAACTTAAGTTGTCCGATACGAGTTATATATATCAACTCATCAAAAAAGTTTACTTTTGGATCCATCGGCTCAATGTGTCAATATGCGTAAATTGAAAATCATACAACACAAATTACAGGACATGCTTCATTTCTGAAGCAATTAATTGGAATTTTAACTATAATTGGGAACTTAATGGCAGCTGAAGGATCGTCTCGCATTTCGGTTTCTTCGTTTTGAAGTGACTGGATGGGACTCTATTTTTCAGGATCAGTTGAATCAAAATTTTGTTGGTCAGTTTTTGGCTCAATGTTTTAAAACTGATTAGCTGGTTAGTTTTCTCCCCAGTTTGACGTTTATGAAATAGGGTACTCGTTTTCTTGCCTAAAGCTTCTTCTTTGGTCGTTCTGATCAAGGTATTGTGCATTAAGGCGTTGATCTTTGTTGTTGCCCTTTTTCAGTCATGTTGGGTTTGTCTGAATCCGAAAGAGAATGGAAACAAGATTTGACGTATCCATTCTTTATCAAGTAATTTGCGTACATTTATTCTCTACTAAGAAATGAAATTGTCCAAGTGTTGCGAAGTACATGTAAGCACCCTACTTGCATCACCCGTAGACAGTTGGCGTGTGACTGATTTCGTAACCAAACACACACCTGCACTATTCACCTACTTGGCAGTTTTGATGAGATACAACGCTTCAATAGCATAATTGCGGACCGACAAGTTTTTGGTATACTTTTCATCCGCAGCTTCAGTTATACTCTCAACAACCCTTAGCTCTTCAATTAAATCCCACATCATTTTTTCAAACGTGTTCACCATCTCTTTTAAGTCTTGATTTTCCTCAGTTTCAGAAACAGGAATGATATTCAACTCGTGTTTGCCTAGTTTATGTAATATTCTTCCCAAAGTTTGTATACTAATACATCGTTGGCCGGGTACCACCGAACGTGACAAGTGAACTAATTCACTCAATGTATACCCTGCCATATGTGGATTTTCAGAGTGGTGATGTAGACCAAGGTAGGTCGGTATGCCTTGTGAGTCATCTTTCTCTTCATCTATGTTAATCTGAATCAAGTCTCCGTTAAAGTCAAACCTCATGTCGGAAATACTTTCATAAGTAGTGGAAACTTGTTTAGGCAAGGGCTTTGTCATCCACGATAATTTCTCAGTTTCCTTGGGTAAATCAGGGAAATATTTTTCATGTAGCTTGTCAAAAAAGTTTGGATCGTTTATATCTAAATCATCTTGACTAGGTTTCGTAAAGTGTACTGTAGAATGACTCTCACCCATATCTTCATCTTCATCTTGATTCAATTGGTAACCATCAGGAGCAATTGCATCTGAATCCGAGTCATCCTGTATTTGTTTTTCATTATCAGATACTTGGTACTCTATCCTTTCAACCTTGTCGTCATTGAATCGAACTTTGCGCTCCGAATCCAATCCTAGAGCCTTCTCCACGTCCTCCTTCTCCAATTGGGATATATCAGTCAAACCTTCAGAAGTCTTCATACCTCCTATCCATCCATTATATCCTTCGGCATGTTCATGGTGACTGTGGTTGTGACTATCCTCATGCTTCTCGATGCCTTCACTCAGTTTCCTTTTACCACTAGTCCTCTTCAACAAGCTTTGAACGAGTTTGGGGTCTAGCTGATTCAAAAGCTCTTGCTTTTCTTGTAATATTTCACTTTTAGACATCTTGGCCATTCTATCGCGGTTCTCCTTATCAATCTTTTCTGCTTCAGAAAGTTCCGGTGTGGCATCTTCATGCGATGGCAACTCTGATGTAGTCGCCTTAGGTTGCTTTTGCTTCCATCGTGAGACTTTCTTTACTTTATGTGGGTCAGGGAACCCGGTAGATGCATTAAATGGAGTTGGCTCCGAAGGAGGTTCAATCTCATGTTCTATTATTTCTCCGACAAAGTCCATCGTTGAAGGATAGAAGAAGCTGAGAGTGGAAGATGAGTTGGTGAAGAACTCGATCGCGAAAAATAAATTGGTATCATTATCAAATACTAAGCAATGTCTATATATGCAAGATTTATATAATCACTTCAGTGCAGTCATTGCCACAAAGTAACTTGGTATATAACATTCCTTCCGTTCAATCTTATCTTCTATCATATTTAAAAACACTGGGCTAACTTCGTTTGAATAAAAATTGAATTCCACAATCTTTCTTTCGATGCCTTTGTGATCTTTCTCCAAGTCTAAAAGTGTCCTATTTCGATGTAGTTCAAATGGGATTTCAGCAAAAGGTACAAAAAATACAACCATTGCCTCCATAAACCTTGCAGTTGTATAGTATTCCTCTCCCCTTCCCTGAGTTCTATTACCATTAAGCACTAAATTTATCCAGTTCTTTTTCCACCCCATATTGAAAGGACGTTCAGTAACGTCAAACTCAATCACCAACCTAATGTCGTCCTTTTTAACACTTACATATCTTTTCCCATTCTCTTTCCTCGGTTGTTTTGGCGCTAAACAATTTAATCCTCCACCATTTGCCTCCTCCTTTCTTTGCCGATCTTTCCATCGCTGGTACCTGGCTTTCTGCTTGGCTGAAATATCTTCCAAAGTGGTCATATTACTGCAGACATAAACAACATGTGAAATGAATAGCGCACTAATGCAAAATATCCAAAATCCACTCATAATGTACAACAAAATGAAATTGTGATTGATTTCACCCCGATTAATTGACAGTCTGGTGTAACGACTCACATAAACCAACATGATGATGAAGAAGCTCAAGAACCAGATGCAGAATTTCATAAAGTATAAATAATTTGTCAATCCGATGCTGCTTCCAATCCAAAGACAAAAATGATCAAACTTCAATACGTTGTATCCAACATACTTGGAGTAAAACGATCGCTCCATACGCAAGGATTGAGTTTTGGAGTCATAAAATGGGAATCCATACTCATCACAAAAGAATAAATCGGGCAACGGTAAAAGATCTTGTTTACCTTCCAGGTAGATGTCAAAAAGTGGAAATTGTGGAGATCTCCCAGGTCCAATGTATAGTATTAAACACCAGTATGTGGAAACCAAGACTTGGAGAAATCCCGATAAGCACCATAGTGTTATTGCAACTCCCTGTGAATGGTGAACAAAAACTTCTTGGTACCCTAATGAGTAATTTAATGCAAAATTAAGATATGCTAACCCCAAGATAATCCCACATGGTACTATGAGTCTTCGAAATTGTGACAATGTATCAGTGGTCATCGCCTTGTACGGATCATTGGTTTCCTATCGCGTTCCCAGTCGTGAGTGTTTCAACATTCTTTTGCTCTTTGTATTGTCAGTTTGTGATTCAGGTCAAAAGACAATGCAGAAAAAGAATTGGAGCTACCAATTTCAAGTTATTCAAGGCTGCTCCAACTCTAGGGCCCTAACGATAGGTAGGCTGCCCTATAGGAAAGTCCAAAACTTTCACCCAGTACAATAAAGCTTTCTTCGTGACAGCAAGTCTTTTAATATTTCTAAATATAGTCAGTTGGCCTTTGGATAACTTCTCCCAGTGAAAACCAAAAACATTTTGAATTATTTTTACCGCGAAAAAAAACATAAACACTTCAATCCAGGCCAACAACCATCAGGACCTAGTCGCTTCCAGTTCACGTTAATGAAGTTCCTACTATTTCCCCAAATACTACACGATGGTGAAGTGCATTGTATGGCAGCCAGCAATGATAGCACCGTCTTAGTGACGGGGGGCAAAGACAACATTATAAACTTGTGGAATCTAGGAGAACTACTTGACGTGTCCAAGCTTCAAGATGATTCCAGTAGTGAAGCACGAGCGAAGATAGAACAAGTACAGCCGATACAGCAAATCAAGTGTCAAGAACCATTCATAAATAATATCAAATGGGTACCTAACTCTTATAACAAATTCATATCCACTACATCTTCAGGAAGTGTGTATTTCCATGAAATTAGCTTTGATGGAAAGGTTGAGAATAGAAAAATTTATCCAGTGCAGGAGCAACTGTCTGACCTTGAATCGGTTGTAGATGTTTCTGTATCACTAGATGGAAGATTAGTGGCTTGGAGTACTAGTGATGGGAAATTGTACGTCTATGATCTCCATCGTAACACTTTCCAGGAATTGACATTGACTGCAAAAGATAACTTGACCATACAGCGAAGCATTGCATTCAACTGTGTTACAAATTACCTCATCACTATTGGAGATGATACACAGATAAATGTTTTCCAATACGAATACGATTCCATTACCCAGTTGTATAAATTTCGGTTGATTAACAAAATATCCAAACTATTTGGTAAGAACCCTTTGAATGTCAGATACAAAAGAGTTTCATGGTCTCCTGACGGCGAATTGATATCGATTCCTACCGCCAGCAAAAATCAAACTTCACTTATATCCTTGCTTTCAAGTTCCCAAAATTGGAACACTACTGCAAGCTTGGTGGGTCATGATTTAACTTGTGAAGTTGCAAAATTTGGCCATCATATCTTTTCAGAAAATTCCAACGAGACAACTAATTTGTACAATGTAATTGCTTCCGGTGGTTCTGACGGAACTATTGCGATTTGGAACACATCTAAAACATCGCCAATTATGGTTCTTAAACATGTTGTTGATGCTCAAATATACGACATTGTGTGGACAAACAGCAGCAATGTTTTATTTTGTACCTCAAAGGGAAGCTTGGGTATTCTTCGATTCTATCCCGATGAGTTGGGATATGCAGTGTCAGGACTTGAGATGAAAAGATTGAATGACATTTCAATCAAGCTGATGAAGCCGATGAATTATAGGTATGAGTATGAACAAGTGTCAGGTAATAGAAAAACCTTACCGCCAATTGAATTTGTTGACCAAGCAACGGCCATTAACTCAACTTCCAATACTGAGGAGGCGCATCGTGAGAGCAAAACGGAAGTTGCTGATGCACAAAGGTCCTCTGGAGAAGAAATAGGACCCACCACAAAGGGCGAAATAACACCTGAAGTAATTGACCCCACGGTTCCAATGGAGGATTCATCAGTGACTGCAAAGAAAGAAGTAGCAAGCAAACCATCTCCGAAGTTGGCTGCAGCGGGTAAAAAGCCCAATTCACCTGCACCTTCTACTATGCAACCCAACCTTAGCAAGCAAAAAGTCACCACAAAGGATGGAAAGAGAAGAATCCAACCAATGTTGATTTCAAATAATGGCACCAGTGCAGCCCAAGCTTCTAAAATAGGTCAACCCGAACCCGTACCAATAAATGGCGAAAAAGGTGCTATGGAATTCGACCCACCTTCGTACTCTGTGTCTGAAGAATTTAACAGATCGAAGAGGACCCGTGCTGAGGAGCCAAATGGAAATGGTGCTGTCAAAAAGACAAAACGGGAGATGGAACCAGTTAAATTCATTGGATCTGTCATTGTAAACCCAAATATTTCGTTTGCAAAGGCTCGATTACCAACTCCCAAAATACGATTTGGATTTCAACTAAAAAGTAAAGCCGGTGATGACTTGTTCACTTTGGATATAAAGAATGGGTCTGGTAACGAAGTAAAGCCATCTAGAATAACGTATTTCAAAAGAGATAAGGAGATATGGTGTGATTTCGTACCTAAGTTTGTTCAATTGGCCTGTGAAGGTTCAAATTTTTGGGCTGTTTCCACAGCTGATGGAGAAATCTTGACATATTCGCACATATCAGGGAAGAAGTTGTTGCCACCACTTGTATTGGGTGCACCAATTTCGTTTTTGGAAAGCCAGGGCAAATTCCTCATGGCTGTGACTTGTGTTGGAGAGTTGAACGTTTGGAATCTAGAAACAAAGAAAATTGAATTAAAAACATCAATTGCTGCACTTTTGGAATTAGGATCTAAACTTCAAGAAGGAGGACTAACTAAATCAGATTATATCACGCTATGTGCAATTACATCATTGGGTATTCCATTGGTTACCTGCTCCAATGGGTCTGGGTATCTATACAATAAGGATTTAGGAATATGGCAAATCATTACTGAGTCATGGTGGGCATTTGGATCGCATTATTGGGATAGTGTCGACGATGGCAAGAATAAAAATTTACAATCGTTGAATATGTTTGATGAGGAAGAATCGATAATTCAACTATTGGAACAAAAGACTAATGAAGAGATTATCAGAAAAACACGTTCCGGTAGAGCCAAATTGTATAACAAGATATCAAAAAATATGATTATGAAGGAAGGTTACGAAAGTTTGGAGAATACCATATCAATTAGTCATTTGGAAAATCGGATATTGTGTTGTGAATTATTGGGTGAGAATAGGGATTTCCATCAATACTTTAGAATTTACATTCAGCGGATTTGTGAATTGGGATACAAGGCAAAATTGTATGAAGTGTGTGACGAGTTATTAGGGCCAATCGATGAAGAGCTGAAAGAGCTGAAAGAAGGTGATGCAAATTCTGAATCAAAATGGAACCCCAAGATTTGTGGGATAAACAAAAGGGAGCTCTTGAAAGAGACAATTGATTTATGTTCGCAATATCGAGATTCACAAAGGGTATTGTATCATTTTAGTAAAAAACTTGGATTGGTCGATCAAGAGTAAACACGCCCACTTATGTACAAGTCAAGTCTATAATTTATATACATTTGAATTATCCCACTTCTTCACTCCAAGCAACCCTGTAACTGGTCCCTGAGTCTTGTGTACTAGATCCTTGGGACCCGTTACGTAGTCCACATAACCATCAGGACCACATACAATTGCCAATGCAGCCGGTTTCTTTGGTTTAGTCGAAGTAGCCATTGCTTGTTCTAAACCAGTTTCATACCGTTCTCCACGTTCACTGGTCGATTGAACCAACCTCTTTACGGCTTCAGGTTTCAATTTCTCCTCTTCCTCCTCCGCCTCTTTCTTCTCCTCGTCTTTCATCACCTGCATTCTCACACTTAATGCTTCTTCAGGCGATAATTGCGCCGTTGCTTCGTCCAATCTCTTTGGCGAATAGAAATTAGGCTTTGATGGTGGGGGTATATTCTTGCCATTCAATATAGTCTTTGGGTCACTATCATAATGATGATAAACATTTATGCGATCTAATTTATTCAAGAAAAGCAAAAATCTCAGCAAAATACCAATTTCGCCGGGCTTTTGCGCCGAATAATGAATATTGACATATCCTAAATAGGGATTTCTCGAAAATAGTACTTGTAAAATGGGAGCAATCCCCGTCCCAGCCGCGTAAAAGTCCAAATTGTCAACATCAGGCAATTTCCGGTCTCTTTTAATAGATTCAACCATATTATCAGGCTCAACTTTCGACGGCAAGTCTTTGAAGATGGGACGTTCGTGGATTTTCTTTAATGGATGATAAGGGAACTTGTATTCGATCGTAGGGCCTCTTAATTCTAACTCGTCACCAATTTTGCGATCAGTTATGTATCTTGATACTTCGCCTTGTTTGTATCTCTTTACATATAAACACATTGTCCCGTTCTTATCCAAATCATCTACTTCTGGATTCAATATTTTTAGCAATGGTTTCTTTTCACCTGATCTGGTGTATTCCGATTTCATATAGTACATGGGCAATGGCGTGTATGATCTAACGACATTGATATCTGGTTGTTTTATTTCAACTGACCATATGGTATCTCCATTCCATAACGACTTCTTGTCGGGGTTTGTTGCAAAACTGTACTCCCATCGATCGTATTTGGATTTTATTTCAATAATGTAATGATCATCATCAATTTGTTCTTTGTGAGTAACTATAAACTTGTGAAACTCGTTTGGGTCTAATAAATCATTGCTATCCTGGCCTTCTTCTGGATCATCCAAGTACCATACTTTGATAGTGTACCCAGCCCAAGCAACACCAATCACAGTCAAAATCTTGGGTATATATCTCGTCCATCGGGAGATGCGCTTTGGTTTATTGTTAAGATTGGTGTATTGGTCTTCATTAGGGAGGTCGGGGTACTCAAACGTTACTCGTTGGTGCTTGAATTTAGGAATATATGGTTTGTTGTTCTTTTTCATGAGTTGCTCAACTCCATTAAATTCCATTGGAGCTGGCGCAGACTTGGACGTGGTTTGGTTTATCTTGAATTGTTCAACGTCATGAGCATCGTCTCTTTTAGAAACCTCCGATGACTTGCCGTCATCTTTCGAACCATTCTCTTTTGACGAATTGAATCTTATCTGAGCTCGATAGAGACCTCTTCGTAGAATACCCTGCACTGGCCGGTGTATTAACATCTTTCCCCTATTGGTTTTCAAATCTACAACTGAGTTTGGAAAAATTGAGGAAGAAAAAAATTATGCATCAAAATTTCAACTCTTTTTTGATTGCAAAACTAAACAAAAGACTATATACTCCTTCCCATGGTTCAACTCATCCAGTCGATATCAGCTCATACTGACAAAGTATGGAGTGTATCTGCACATCCAACCTTGCCACTTTTGGCCACTGCTTCAACCGATAAGTCAACTAAAGTATATAAATTATCAGCAACATCAAAATTCCCTCGTATTGCCGACTTGGAAGATACCCATAGGCGATCAGTTCGGTCTGTATCGTTTAAACCACCAATGGGCGGAGTAGATTACAAGCTGAACGTATTAGACTTGCCGGCATTAGCCAGCGGCTCATTCGACTCAACGATATCAATTTGGGGAATCGATGAGCCCGATGACAATTATGAAGTCGAGGAAATCATGCACAATCAAGCTGAGGTGTTGACGAGTCCATCCAATGAATGGAACTTGATGGCAATTATTGAAGGCCATGAAAACGAGATTAAGGCTGTGGATTGGAATTTCAGCGGTAGATATCTTGCTTCATGTTCGAGAGATAAGACAGTTTGGATATGGGAGACTGACCCAGAGACATTGGAAGAGTTTGAATGTGTTTCAGTATTGAATGATCATCTGCAAGATGTAAAGAATGTGACATGGCATCCGACAACTAATTTACTTGCTAGCTCATCATATGATGATACGATTCGTATATACAAACAGGAATTTGATGATGACGATTGGTCATGTGTAGGGATATTGGATGCCCACGAAGGAACGGTGTGGTGTTCCAAATTCGAGAATCCTAAAAGCCCCCATGCAACAAGTGGGAAAACTAGATTGGTTTCAGTAAGTGACGACTTATCAGTCAGAATATGGTTCAATCAAGATGAGGCCAAAAACAACGAGTCAAATGGCCATGATACAAACCTACCTTCTTCAATAAGACATACTTCAGAGATGGTTTGGGAACAGGAGTGCATATTACCTAAAGTACATACACTTCCAATATATTCCACTGCTTGGTCGTCAATTACTGGTAAGATTGTGACAGCCGGATCCGATGGACAAATTGTTGTGTATAATGAAACCAACGGTGAATGGCAAATTGAAAGTGTACAGCAATCAGCCCATGGTGTTTATGAAGTTAACTGTGTTATTTGGGCGAAATTAGATAACAACAAAGAAGTGATAATATCAGCAGGAGATGACGGTCACGTTAATATATGGAACACCGAGTAAATAATGAAAATAAAAATAAAACCAATATAGAAAGAGACGCTTTTGCTTTTAAATCTAGAATATCAACCCTATCAATATAATAAATCCCAAAACTCCCAATAAAATCATCAAGCAGCAAAATAAAGTGCCACTTGATCTCTTTTGGTAACGATGGGCACTTCTCAACTCATTCGACGCTTGTCTTGCATTTGAACTATAACTGAAGATATTGTTTTCAATGCTATCAACTTGAAACTGTTGCTCATTGATTATCGATGATAAATTGGAAAAGATATTGTTGATTTCTTGCGTATCTTGTTGAATTTGATGAATTTCTCGTTCTCTTTCTTGTACTAAAAGCGTCTGTTGCTCTAATTCTTCTGCATTAACTGGCTCATATGTGATTTGAACCTGTTGTTGTTGTTGTTGTTGTTGTTGTTGCTGCTGCTTTTGTCCATCGTCTGCATTTTCAGTCGTGGTGGTGGATCCAGGTGCGGGTAATTGACTTGATTGCTTAGATTCGAATCGCCTTTGGTAATTTTTGAAATTGCCTAGACTATCCCTGATCAATTTGATTTGTATACCTTCCTTCTGTTTGAGATAATTGACAATTTCGACATCTTCACGATCATCTTCAGCTGATTTAATCGTATTATTCAACTGTTTCACATAGTCATTCAATTTCCGATACAGTTCAGTGGTAGTTTTGAAATTGGAGCTTAAATTTTCAGCTACAGATGTGTCAAGGGGATCTTTTTCGAATTGGAGCAACTGCTGTTTGATTGATGATAGTTGGGTGTTGTTGATATGATGTAATTGGTTGTCAATACTAGTTGAAAGTGAGTCAAATTCAGGGTAATCTTTGTATTTATGAGAGTGGTTCGTGGCTATTCTTTCGATATCATTATCGAATGGATTATTGAATGACATGGTTGAAGAAGTTGAACTGGTGGCTTCGTCGTAGTCTTTGATAAAGGAGCAAGTTAAAGTAGAAGTAGAAGTAGAAGTTCGCTTAACAGTATATATTTTTGGCCAGAGATGCACGCCCTTTTTATCAGAACTCTCTCTACACACAGCCATTAACAATTCCTCTGGGGGTTGGATAGAGATTACTTCACTCTAATAAGGTGGTGACTGTGTGGGCTACCTAAGGTATATATTGGATTGAATAGTAATCCTACCACTTTGGAATCAAACAGTAGAGATGGGGGAATTGGCAGGATACATCTGCTTAATTTTGATGGTACGGTCTACCACTTCGGCTTAGTCTTTACTCAAAGCTCTAACTTGCCAATCTAACAATTCGTCGGATTTACTTCGCTGGATATAAAACTATATTACCTGTTGACTTACTAGATAAGGAGAGAAGAATGACTGGATTGAGGTAGAAGAGTATAAGCATTAAGAAACTTCCATCAAAAGAAGTACAAAACACAAAACACAAACACCAAATATTTATTTAATTTTGCAGCTCAATTATATAAAATCAAACCAATAGACCATCACAACAAACTATCTCTCCATTGAAAGCAGATCAACCTATTACTGAGAAAGCTACTTCAATGTTTAAAAGAAAAGGAAAAATCAACAAGAAACAGGCATCCACCTTGAACACTATTACTATACCACCCATTGAACCAATTTCGTTTAATGTTGCACCAGATGATATTCCATTGTTATACTATTCCATGAAATCAATTGTCATTAAATTAGAACCTTACATGGAGCAATCATTAGGATATTCAGGGGTTACCAAGCCATTCTCTGCAAACATTTCATCTGTTGTGGTGGATACTTCACTGTTGGATACTAATATGTTGAATAAAAGTGATGCTTTGGATTTGAATATTGTGTTGACCGGTAACAACAACAAGCGCAAAGAAAGCATGGACGAAGTGGATTTAAATCAGCACATACCATTTCAGAATGCAGGTAGTACACTGGAAAGAACAAATGAGGGAATAATATGTGACAACGAATTAGGTCAAGTAGGTAGAGCTGAAGAAGATAGTGCAAGTGTTGATGTATGCTACAAGAACAGTGACAAGAACAGGGACAAGTCTATGAAAACTAATAAAGAATGTGATGTTATCATTATGGACACAAACACAGCTACCAATACTGCATTGTCAGAATTACTTCACGAGTACGAATATGAATCCAATGCTTACCGCGAATATGACTTAGATTGTAACTACACCTTATCCACTTCAACTGTTGATTGTGATGATAACGATGACGATACAATTGCCAATGATGCAAAAACAAAGAATCACGACACCCATGCTGCTGCTACAAATAACCCAATTCAAGAAAGAGACGATTATTTGGCAACTATTCTTGAAGAGTATTCGCCATTTTATAATTTCCCATACGATGAAGAAACAAGTGAAATTGAAAGAACATGTTATAATCCTTATAAGATGGTATTTTCAGGTCAATTTTGAAGAAAGAAAAAAAAAGCAAATTAAAAGTCATAAAAACAGTGTATATAAATTCTCTATAAACATAATACAAGATAAGCTAAAGGCCACAGTCTATTTGCTTTTACTTCTTTTATCCTTGTTAATCTTCTTGTTCAGCAATGAATTTTTCACATTCCAAAGCTGCCATACATCCAGTACCGGCAGATGTAATAGCTTGTCTATAAATCTTGTCTTGGACATCACCAGCAGCAAAAACACCAGAAATTGAAGTTTCAGCAGTACCTGGCTTAGTTTGAAGATATCCAGCATCATCCATCTTCAATTGATTTTCAAAAATCTTAGTGGCAGGGATATGACCAATGGCATAGAACAAACCATTGACTTGAAGATCAGAGTTTGTCTTGGTCTTGTTGTTGTAAATACCCAATGAAGTCAAGACTTTGCCATCACCTTTAGCTTCTTTAGCTTCAGTATTCCACAAGATTTCCAACTTGTCGTTATTCATAGCTCTCTTTTGCATAATTGATGAAGCTCTAAGAACATCTCTTCTCACCAACAAGTACACTTTCGATGCATATTTGGTCAAGAATAATGCTTCTTCACAAGCAGAATCACCACCACCAACAACGGCCAATGGCTTGTTTCTGAAAATGGGGACGGCACCATCACAAACAGCACAAGCAGAAATACCTTGTTGCCAATAAGTTTCTTCCCCAGGTAAATGCATTCTCTTGGCACTAGCACCAGTGGCAATGATGACAGCATCAGTAGTGATTGGTTCACCATCTTCATTGAATTCAGTCCATAATTTAAAAGGTCTTTGAGACAAGTCACATTTGGCAATGGTTTCAGTAATGATTTCCGTACCAAATCTTTCTGATTGTTTCTTCATTCTTTCCATTAATTCAGTACCATTGATTCCTTCAGGGAAACCAGGGAAATTTTCAATGTCAGTGGTGGTGGTTAATTGACCACCAGCTGCAACACCATTAGCTAAGAAACCTTCGTATAAGGTTGGTTTGATTTCAGCTCTGGCTAAATAGATAGCAGCAGTATGAGCAGCAGGACCTGATCCAATGATTGTGACTTTGTGGTGTACCATTCTAATGTTATATATAGTGTTGCAGTATAGATGAGGTAATAGTCTAGTAGAAGTAGGTCTAGTAGTAGTTCTAATAAAAATAGCTGGCCAAAAAATGATGGATACTTTTGTTAGAAGGTAAAAAGATGTGTGTGTGTGTGTGTGTGTGTTGGGTGTTTGAATAATTTGATCTATGTTGTAGAAAGCCGATGATGGAAAATTGTTTTCTTGTATAAATATATATTTATATATTTACGTATGGTGTAGTATAGTAATGTATGGTGTGGTTTTTGTATTTTTTTTTTTTTGTTTTTCTTCTCACTTAGTAATTAGAATTACGTAATCAATAGTAATTCACATATATGGATATGAAGGTCTAGATCTAAAGAATTTGTTGTTTTAACCGAGGTTAAAACAACAACATACTCTGATTAACTTTTATACATATAAACATACATATGCACTACATCAACCAAATTTCTTACTTCCATCAATCACTCACACAAGATCGACTGTTTTATTTCAATCTACTTTTAACTAACTAATTACCCAACACAAACTGTTTAACAACAGGACCCTTTTGTAATACAGGATCTAATAAAACACTACTCAAAAACCACTGTAACCCCTTTCTTCTATCCTCCAACCAATTTCTACTCATAACTAATCGTTCAAAACTAAAACTATCCTTTGGCGGAAACCTAGGTATCACTATATCCGATTGTCCTTTATAATACTGTTGCAAATCATTATACAATTGTAACAATTCTCGATATCGTTTATATATTACAATTGATGAATAACCTAAATCATTTATTGTGATTTTAATTTGCCATACAATGTATTTCTGTGGTTGACTACTAGATACACTTGATGTAGTATTGCCCTGTACTAAGTGATGTTCTCCAACTCGTACATCGGTAATGTGACTTTGGTGATTGCGTTGATGTGTTTGCAAATCTTCTCCACTGTTTAGTTCTATAGGTATAGGCAACACATTATTCAATTGGGTAACTGAGTTTGATTTCTTTCGACTCATGTGTATTAAAGTAAGCTAGTATGACGGTTGAATTGCTTTTCTTTTTTTTTTTTCTTTCTTTTTCTTTGTTGTGGTTGGTGATCTCGGACTTGTACTGTGTGATGATGATCTTTTGTTCTGGTGGTTTTTTCTCAGTCCCGCATCAATCATCATCATCATCAGAAAATATTCAAAAACTTCTCGTTCCTAACAAAATCAAATAACATAGAGAAATCAGTTTCTTTGCAATCCCACTTGCTCCCTTCACCCTTTCTCCATACAACTTCCAGCAGCAAACTCTGCAACTACACCCACACATACCCACTCGTACAACCACATTTCCCCTCTTCCCCTCTTCCCCTTCTTTCTAAAATGGACATAATCAAACAGAAACATCCCGCCTGGAAAAGACTACTACACAGATGGCAAGCAAGAAGAGACATTCCATTCCGACGTAAATTCTTTGTTGGCTACGATCTATACGGTAACACGTACTGGGAATTCACAATCGACGGCAACATGACTCGATTACGTCGTAAATTAGAACCATTCAGAGAAGAAATTTTCAAAGTTGATTATTTCAAAACTATTCCCCCACAATGGCTTCAATGGTTAAGACGAACGAGATTTGATGCACCAAGTTTAGAAGAATTGGTTCAAGATCAATTTAGACAACAACGATTGAAGTTATTGGCACAACAAGCGGATGAAAAATGGCAGTTGGAAAAATTGCGATTAGATGAAGAACAAAGGGTTAAATTGCAACATGAATTGCAACGAGCTGAACTAGAAAAGAATAACGCACCTAGGATAACTGAGACTGTAGAGGCATCTAAGTCAGTGGATGAAAATGACCCTTGGAAACAAGCTGATGAGTCAAAAGATACCAACCCTATCGAATCGGCCTCAATAAAGCCCCAGAACCCTTGGAAACAAGCCGATGAACCTAGAAACGCAGATCCAATACAATCAGCAAACATCAAGCCACGTTAAACTTTGGTTTTTTTCATACATAATCATAATTCAATCTTTTTGTACATATATATCCATATATAGGACCCAGTCACTATCCAATTCAAAGGTTGAGAACCATTTTCGACCTTATATTCTGTCTATTATTCGCTTATTGACGAACCCGAAAGTTTGGCTTCAACTAATTCAACCAATTTATCACTATACTTGTTCAAAAGATCTTCTTGATTGTATATGGCAGTAGAAGTAGTACCGTCATTTAATTTATACTTTACTTGATTGACTTTATTGAGTAATATTCTCCTTTCATCTTCATGTAGTTCATCTACATTGTTAATCAATTCATCTAACTGATTGATACATTTATCAAGTAATGCCATTGAAGTAGATGATGTCAGTTTTGCTTGTGAGTTTGATTTTCGTCTTATGTCGACAGTTTGCGATCTAGATGGATTAGACGTTGGCCCATTTGGTTTCGTTGATACAGATGAATCCAGAGTGGTACGAGGCGACAGAGGACGTCGTTGTGGCAGTGGTAAATCCCGTGAGTTCAATAATGGTTGGTTCAATTTGAATAACCCCCCACTGAATGGTTGGTTCTTGGTTGATGCACGCGTGGGTGAGGAAGGACGAGAATTCACCAGGGGTCTAACTGGAGACACTGACTTTGAACGCGTTGGCGAAAGTGACGTTAATGATCTCGGCGAAGCATTAGGTGTTTCACCACCACCAATACTCCCATTACGAGCTTCAATTCTGCGTAATGTAGCAGCAGTCAACTTGGGTGTTGGAGATTGAGGCGTGGGAGAAGATGCCGGTAGTTGCACTTTAGGTTTCAGACCAGTTGCTACTTGTTCCAACCTATCAAGAAGTTTTTCCTTTTTGGGAGAAGACGAGGTTGCGGCAGTTGTAGATGATGTAGTAGATTTCGGCACCGTTGGTAATATCTTTCGAGCCACTTTCGCAAATACTGGTGAAGGCAGAAGAGCAAGTGCGTCATCTAATATTATCTTGCCATTGTCTTCTTCCCCCAATCTTAACGTCGCTGATGATTCGGTTATACGCCATGAGAATAAACATCCATCATTGCCAATAGTCACAAGCTCAGGGTCTGCATCTGGGGAAACACTATCATGTATGAGAAAAAGCCCAAGTAATGAATCCAGATGGCCCCAGCCAACACCAACTGGTCGGCCGGTGATATAGTCAAATCCTCTTATCGATTTATCCGAAGACCAAACAATCAACAAATTGTGAAACTTTTCCATCATTTCCACGAGCAAGCTCTCATTCACCTTGTCGTTAAACAACTTTAAGGATCTTTTGAGGTCGTGATTGCTATCCAAGTCAAATACAAGCACCTGCTTGTCACTTGTAGAGACCACTAGATCACGATCAAAAATTGACATGGTAACTGGTGTTGATTTCAACGTCAATGATTTAACCTTTGTCAACATTAGGCTAGGATCTGTAGTTATTGAATGTATGGATATGGTTCTATCGGTTGAACAAACGTACAAGAATCCATCATGATATATCGCCTCGAGTAAATTCCCATTGTGGACAGGTATTGTTTGTAATAAATCCCATTTCGATTCGATTTTGGCAAACACTTGAATCATGCGATCTCTCGATATGCTGCATATTATTTCGTATGAGCCGTGTTGAAAGCAGACAATCTCGTTAATTGTTGATGAATGGGCCTTTACGGTAAATAGTACTTCAGCTGTATCGCAATCTTGTTGAACAATGTACAATGATCCAAACTTATACCCCATAACGAATAAATTCCCCACTTTTTCAATTGCGGTTAGACAGTCACCAATAGCTTCAGCTTCAGATGCTCCAAATTGAAATATCTCAGCTAAGTCACACGAGTTTGGATTAAATTGCTCAATAGTGCCTGATTTGGAAAATGCAAGATACTCTCCATCATAGCTTTTCTTGACTCCTCCAATTTGTCGTATAATGGATGTCGCTAGAAGTTGGGTTTTGGTCAATTCTTTGCTCCTGAATACAATCTCCTCATTTGTGGTTAAATATAGGAGATAATCTGATGAGAAGTTTGATATTTGGATAATCCGTTTATCCAATGATTGTCTTGGTTCGATTCCAAACACACCCGATAATTGTTGCTGTAAGCTATTAGATACTGCTGTGGATGGAGATGATACTGGTTTAACAGCACTTGCATTAATTGGGAAAAGGCTTTCAGTTGAAATACCAGCCAAGCTTGTTTCCCGATCTCCCAACCAAATCAATTCACGTGGGCCATCGGCAACTAAGGAACAAAACTCAAAGTCGGGACTTTTCAAAGGTACTAATTTTGGTGAGTCAAAGCTCAACTTTAGTAACAATAGCTGATTGCAATTGGCTACAAGTAAAATCTCATCGTCATTTAATAAAGTCATATCGATAAAATTTGAATTCATGAAATCACCCAAATGAGCATTTCTCCCCTTTAATATTACCGGCTTAGTGGTACTACCATTTTCAAATTTCCACAACTTGATAAACCGTAGTCCGATGGTGACAATGATATTTTCCTGCCAAATGACTTTATGTATTATATTTGAGCATCGATTACTAGCTTGTAATTGGACACTATTGGATCCTACTCTCCACACATTTATGCACCCATCGTTAACGACTCCTAATGAACATAGAAACTTTGAATCGGAAGAGAAGACCAAGTTACTAATACCAAATGTGTGTTCATAAATGGCCATGACGGGACTTTGTTGCGAACTAGGGGCAAGTGAAAATATGAGGATTCGTGGTTGATACCCTGATTCACCAATGGCCAATATGCGTTTGTTTGGAGAAATGGCTATGCATTTGATAGACCTCACTTTGTCTTTCAATTTTGATGGGGATGTTTGGTTGGTGACGCTAAGACTCGGACTAGCATTATTTGCGGGATATTCATCTATATCACCCGGTGAAAAGGAGTTGCCGTATATTTCTATTGGTTGACAGGCTATTGGATACCCGTATTCATCACGAACAGCCTCTTCCAGATTATAGTCGGTTTGGATCATATTTAAATAAGCATTGGCTGAAGATACTGCACCTAGACGCAGCAGCTGTAATTTCGATTCATTTGAATAGCTCGAATTGGCACAAAAAAACCTCTGGTTCACCACCAGGTTAGTTTCTTTATCAATCTTGCAAACAACAACTCCACCACTTGCAGTATATGCAACTAGATCGTCTTGTACTGATATTTGTTGCCTGTCGGCGGCAGAAGTGCCAATAATGCGTTTAATCTTGAGTTGATAATCATGGCTGAGTGGTGAATTATGCAATGGTGGCAGTGGAAATGTTACTGAATTGCTTCTGCTTTGATGTTTCTCATTCATTGCGGTAGGACTGTGTAGATCATGAAAAAGTATGGTTGCACTTGATAGGCGTATGATCTTTGGTGGTCTCCAAAGCTTATTATGAAAAAAGGTAAAAATTGTAAACAAATGATTTTTTGTGTTGCAAATGCGAGACGAAGAAAGACATCACGAACAAAGTTTCATCTACGTCAATCAATAGATACAAAACAAAGTGGTATCCAACATGTCTCAAGAAATCTCGCTAAGTCTAGAAGAAACAAACAAGATACGAACCCAGCTAGGGCTAAAGCCTATAGAAGAAAAGCCAATATCCCACAACAACAACAACAACAACAACGTCATCGAGTTATCACTTGAGGAAACTAATAAACTACGACTTTCACTAGGATTGAAACCGATTCCCATAGAGCAACAACCAGGAGCAGCAAAGACAATTGTTTCTAATCCAAACAAGAGGGCAAATGATGAACTATTATCACAAAGGCTAAGCAAAGCAAAACTAGCTTCTGAAAAACGTAAATTGCTAGCAACGAGGGAAGGAGCTGATGATGATGATGAATTAGATACGGATAATTGGCTACTGAATGTAGGCAAAGCCCAATCTGCTAAGAAGCAAAAATTTGAAAAAGTATCCAGCAAGAAGCAGCAAGATGCGATAAATGCTCATATTGGACATAGTGAACAAGAATTGCAAAACTTGCGAAATAACGACATCTTGACATTACAAGACACTGATCTTCTCAAAGATGATGTTGATGATGATGGTCAAGATGTTCTCGTAAATGAAGAATTATCTGCCAATGCTAAACTTCAAAAGGACTTGAATGAACGAAGAGAAGCAGAGATGATTAAATTTAATGGGCGCCATTATAAAAGAAATGATGATGCAGAAGGAGAAGGAGAACTTGGTGAAGGTACTATTCAGAAAAAGTCTGTAATTATCAAGAACTCTAGTATCAAATTGAACAAACCCAAAACTAGTCCAACCGAACAAAGCGAAACAGTTCCTCACAATACAACAAAATTTAGCAACTTTTTCGATAGTTTGGAAGAATTATCCAGCAACAACCCAACTCCAAAACCTCAGATTAAGATGAAGAAAATAAAGAAAAAGAAACCACTAGATAGTTTGAAAGGTCCGGTGTCAACAAGAATCAAAGCTGATGACTTTGATGGAAAAGTGCCAAATATTGATGAGTCCGACTATGATAACTTGCAGGAGAACTACCTATCCATTGCCCAGAAACTGAAACAGAAACAGAAGCAAGCACAGCCAAGGATGACTCCAGAAGAAATAGCTCTTGAAATTGCTCGAAACAAAAAGATAGCCATAGAAAGACAATTGGAACAAGAGTCCATGAGACGTCAATTCCTAGTCCCATCTGAACCCATTGAGAATTTGGAAGATCTCGATACTGTTGGCTTTTTGAATAAATTGGACAAGAATACCTTGCATGGCAAGGGAGATGACCAGGGGGGTTTGGATGGTGATATTTTCGACACAAGTGAAAAAGAGGTGGTTGAAAATGGCCATCATCAGTATATCAATGAACGTCAAACGGGCCAGGATGGTGTAAACGGTTCATTGAATACAGAAGAAGTTGTGACAGAAACAAGCACCAATGATGGAGAGAAGGAAAACACCCCAGTATTGAAAGAAACAAGTGATGAAAATCACCCGAGATTCAATACAGGATTAGCAGACACGTTGAAATTTTTAAAATCAAGAAGCAACGATAACAGCTTGTTACAGCAACATCAGAATAACTCATCAAATTCTTCTCGTGAAGAGCTTTCAAAAGAGACTGGGCTTTTGAAATTGAAAGTTGATATTGAAGAAAGGATACTTCGAGAAGAACTAGCCAAGAACAAGAACTATATGAAGTTGTCTAAAATTGATCGCGAAAAGGTGTTCGAAACTGAATTGGACAAACGATTGACTGAAAAGTCTATATTTGTTAACGGTAATGGAAATGGAAATGGAAATACAAGGTTTAATCAAAGTAATGGAAAGAAGAAGAAGTTTGTTCGACACAATGCAATTCCCAATGACAAAACGAGTACTAACGAAGGAATGTCCAACCAGACAAACAATGTTGAAGATAAATATGCGTCCTATAATCCTAAAGTTGAATTGAGTTATAAGGATGATGAAGGTAAGTCACTTAATACCAAACAAGCATATAAGCATTTGTCGCACAAGTATCATGGTATGACCACAAATCAGAGGTTGGCAAAGAGTAGGAAGAAAAGGGAAAAGGAGAAAGACAAAGACAAAGCTGCTGCTGCTGTTGACGGATCTAATGAATTAATTACAAAAGGCGAAATTATAGATTGAATGGAATCTATTACAAAAAAGCCATATAACTATTGAAGCTAAACCTTAAAATAAGACAGTAAATAGCTTCTTCTTTTCAATTAAATGGCTTCGTGCCACGTTTTTAACTTATTCACTCACTCAGCTTTTTTATTGACAAATTCAACATCTCTCGAGGTCTCATCAACAGTTAATTTAAAAACATCGCCTCTAAAATAATGCCCCGCAGGATCCAAATCAAATCGTGCTCGAATCACATCATCAGTTTCAATTTCCGCCGTCAATACACCTTCTTTACCAATCAATGGCCCAGCAACAATTTCACCCATAGGGTCAATAATAACACTACCACCATTGATCAAATTTGCTCCCATTTCCCACCCAGTGGGAGTATCTTCTTCATTGGCCACTGCCGGTTGAAACTGCACGGCACTGACCAAGAAATTCCTTCCTTCGTAAGCTATAGTTCTCATTGAACAACGCCAAATCTCTCTCATGTCAACCGTGGGGGCAACCCACACATCTATTCCTTTGGAATAATAGCATTGGCGTAATAATGGCATATAATTTTCCCAGCATATTGCACCACCAATCCTGCCTACTGCACTTTCAATAACCGGTATTGTCGACCCATCACCTTGTCCCCATACTAATCTTTCGCTAGCAGTGGGCATTAATTTGCGATGTTTTCCCACATACCCCCGCTTGGGGTCAATATAAACTATGGAGCAGTACATTGTTGACCCACCACCGTTCTCAATTACTCCAATGGCGATAGTAGCATTGATTTTAGCGGAGAATGTTTCCAACAACTGGGTCTCGGGCCCAGGCACAGTAATTGATTGTTTAAAATAGGTTAAGAATTCTTCGCGGCCTGAAGGTAATCTGTACCCTAAATGAGAACCAAACGTTGACCCCTTAGGATATCCACCTAGTGTGGCTTCTGGAATAACTACTAAATCGACATTGGCTTGTTTCAATTCCTGTTCGTAGCTCAAGATTTTGTCAAGGGTTTCTTTGGTGGTCTTTTCTGACCCAACTTGTAACGCAGCAAGTACTCTTTTAACCATTTGGTATGTGCTCAGTTGAATGCTAGGTAGATTTGATGTATAATCGAATCAAGGAAAGTTATGGACAACCATTTTGGTGAGTCATTAGAAATATGGGGCTTAACTTTGCATTAGTCATTATGTATTGCAAATAATTTCTAATGTCGAAAGTTTTGTTGAGTGTCGCGACATAGAAACATCTATTGATTTAAACAAAACTCAAAAAACCTGTGAGTCTTTTAGCTTTAATTAATATGATAATGACCAGATCATATTGATGTTAGATCCTTCTCTAATTTTTTCTTGGTCAGCCATATTCTTATCTTCTTTCTTGCTCCTTGTTTGGTTAGATTTAAGAAGAGAGGTGGAGAACAAAGGTTGGCTATATTAGCTAATCCAATCTAACAGGTTTACTATTACTGTATTGGTTGGAAATATATATGTATAAGATTCGGCTTTTATTTGAATTAAAACACAAATTACGAAAAGAATATGTGATGGTGATGGGGGGGGCAAATTCAACCAATGAGGAGTGAGTACTTGGTGTTTTGTGATATTGCTATTGTTTTATAACTGATGAAATAGATTAAGAAAAAAAAAGAAACAAATACAAATTAAGGTCGTGTAGTATTGCACAAAACGTTAAAGAAAGAGTAGTTTGTGTACTTTAATTTACCAAAAGACTAACTAAAGAGAAGAGAAGAGAGTAACAATAAAATACGACATTCAAATAAACGTGTGGTTCCATCTGTAATAAGATCAACTGAGTATACATATATATACTGTTTCTATTATCAATAATTTTGAATATATCTTTTTATGCAAAAGAAGGGTACCTCTCGTGATTTATATTTCTACATCTGTCAAAAAAAAGAACAACACCAACAAAGAGAAACAATTTTTTAAATTTATTTTTAAATATTTTTATTTTTAATTTTTTTTTTTTTCTGCAATCCCTTTTTAAATCCGAATTCTTATTTTAATTAATTTTAATTTAAAAAAGGCAGACTTTACCAAAAATTACCAAAAACCTCATCAATAAAGAATACATTTACACCAGCATATATACACATATTCACTAGGGGTTTTCTCATCAAACTATTCAAAAGACCAAATCCATCGTAATACATTCTTCAACTTACCCCCAAGCCGAGTTTTCCCCAATTTATGTTTTTTTTTTTTCTTTGAAATCTTACTAATTCACAAGATCTAATCATCAAAATTACAAGAAACAGAATCTACACCCGGACTTGGACTATTCCCCATCACAATGCAATCATCAACAGGTTCCACAACAACACACAGTCTAGTATCAATTCAAGGTATGACTTGCGGAGCATGCTCAGCAAGTATTACTGAAGCTTTGGAGAAACAAGACGGCATTGAAAAGGCTTCGATTTCATTAGTTACTGAAGATGGATTGATAACGCATTCAGTCAACTACAATCCAAATGACATAATCACAGTCATTGAGGATTGTGGGTTTGATGCCCAGTTACAAAAGAAATCGGTTCTTAACACTAATCCAGCCACAAAATCAAACTCAAGGCAAACGATACTAGGAATAGTGGGGATGACTTGTGGTGCATGCTCTGCAAGCATCACTGAAGCATTGGAAAAGATAAGTGGAGTGTCTTCCGTATCGGTGTCATTGATCACTGAGGAAGCATTGGTCAAACATAGCTCTAGTGTATCCGCAGATCAGTTAAAAGAGGCAATTGAAGATTGTGGGTTTGATGTGACACACGTACGAACTACTGATGTATCTAATGATAGTAATGATAATCAACAAGAGAATGGAAATGAAACAATACAGGAGAATGAGGAAGCATGTTTGAAAATTATGGGTTTACACCCTGATATGGATTTGGTTGGCTTCAAATACAATCTAGAAGCACATCTACAAAGTCTTCCCGGAATCACATTTTTTGAAATCTCCTGGAACGACCAAGACGATGAAGACGCAGAAGACATATCATCGCTGCCAAGGACGTCAGTTGAAGATATGGCTCTTGGTGTGGGTAACGAATTAACCATGTCATATATTCCAACATTGATAGGTATTCGAGACATTGTTGATGGTCTTGACACCTTGGATAATGAAGTTAGTTTTGTTGTTGTCAACTCATTAGACCAGTCTTCTGCTACTCAGCTCAAACTATTATCTAAAGTGAAAGACATCAAGTACTGGTCCAATATTGTTATTCAATGTTTAATCTGTGGCATACCTATTATAATCCTCGTCCACACTGAAAGAACTAGCTTTTGGAAGAGCACAATGTTGTTCCGCGGTTTATTTTTAGTGTCATTGCTTGAAACGATACTTGCTACGTATGTGCAGATCCGTTTAGGAGCAAAATTCTTGCGCAAGTTCTCAATATTTGTTAGAAACAAGTTCAGGGGCGCATCAATGGATGTTTTGGTGGCTATTTCGACTATGGTGACTTACGTATTTTCAATTGTATCGATTGTCATAAGTGTATGGAGAGGCAACAGTGAGAATCCACCAAAAGTCTTGTTTGACACGCTTGTCATGTTGATCACATTTGTGTCGTTTGGTAAGTTGTTGGAAAACAAGGCCAAGGGAGCAACATCATCGGCATTGTCAAGTTTGTTGTCACTAACCCCTTCAATTTGTACTATTATCACCAACCCAGGTCAATACTTGAAAGAACTGGGAGGAAAAGAAGATAAACTTCAACAGGATTATCAAACGAGAAATGTTAGTATTGACTTGGTTCAACCAAATGACATAGCAATTGTATTACCAGGAGGAAAAGTTCCTGCTGATGGGGTCATTGTATTTGGTGAATCAGAAATCGATGAAAGTTTAATTACCGGGGAACCGTTACCTATTCATAAGAAATATGGAGATTCAGTGATTGGTGGATCGATTAATGGGCCACATTTGATCCATATCCGGGTTACTAAAACCGGTAGAAAATCGCAATTGCAGCAAATCATCAACTTGGTCAAAGAATCTCAAGTTAACAAAGCACCTGTGCAAAGGTTTTCTGATTATGTTGCTGCCCGATTTGTTCCATCGGTCATTTTGTTGGCAATTATCACATTTACTGTCTGGGCAGCCGTTTGTCTTACAATGCATATAGATGGGCTACCCATGATTTTCCGTCAAAATGAAAATGGTAAATTTTTCGTGTGCTTACAATTGGGGATCTCGGTTATTGTTGTTGCTTGTCCATGTGCTTTAGGTTTGGCAGCACCGACTGCAGTCATGGTGGGTACTGGTGTGGGAGCTTTAAACGGGGTCTTGATCAAAGGTGCTGACATTTTGGAAAAGACAACTTCGATCAATATCATCTTGTTTGATAAAACGGGTACATTGACCACGGGAGAGATGTCAGTGGTTAGTTCAAAGCCTGTCATTGGTGAAAAATCAACAACTCTTTCTGTTTCTGACTGGTGGAAGTTGATTGGTTCAGTTGAGTGTAATTCTGAACACCCGGTTGGAAAAGCATTGACAAAGCTGGCTAGATCGCATTGTGGGTTAAGTTTTGAAGAAGATTCATTTGACACTTTAATCAAAGATGTCAATATCTTGCTTGGAGCTGGTATTGAAGCAAATATTACATTGAAATCAATTGATTACAATGTACACGTGGGCAACTACAATCTTGTCAAGGAAAAATTTCCTCATTTATTGGACCAAGTTGACAAGGAGGACTTCAAATCGGTAAACACTGTAGCCTATGTTGTCATCAACGGTGCATACTCGGGGTTCATTGAGCTATCAGATTCGTTAAAAGAAGGTTCGCGTGAAGTCATCAACCACTTGAGGGAATCTGAAGGTTATATTATTGGAATGGTGACGGGTGACAATAAAGGAGCTGCTTTACGAATTGGTAAAGAAGTTGGAATATCAGAGCAAAACATCTACTACGAAGTGTCTCCAATACACAAAGACAAAGTCATATCTGATTTAAAGGCTAAATTTGGCCCTAGTGCCAGCATCGCCTTTGTTGGAGACGGTATCAATGATGCTCCGGCATTGGCGGGAGCCGATATTGGAATGGCTATAAGTTCGGGAACTGATATCGCCATTGAAAGTGCCGACATCGTCTTGCTTGGTGGTCAAAGACGTCAACAAACAGACTTGTATGGCGTCATCAATGCGTTGAAAATCTCAACAACGACATTTCAACGAATTAAAATGAACTTTGTCTGGGCCGTAATCTACAACATATTTATGCTACCTTTCGCCATGGGATGTTTCTTGCCGTTGAATTTGATGTTGCCTCCAGTCGCAGCAAGTATAGCCATGATGATTAGTTCACTAAGTGTGGTTTTGAATTCGCTCTTGTTGAAATTCTACAAAGCACCCAAGATTGCTCCAGTTGATAAATTTGACTTGGAAATGGCGGTGAATGAAGATGACTTTGATTTGAAAAATGGTACAGCACAAGAATTTGAAGTCTGGAAGAGAAGCAAGAGCAGTTGGAGCAAGTTGGGGTTGCACTCAATTAAACTGATATTTACAAAAAGACGTAATAGGAGAAATAACGTTCAAGAATATCAGTTAGTTTCAGGAAGCTCTAGGGTGTGAGGAACTTTGCCCACGTTTTTCTTTTATCTATTTTTCTTTTCACCAAGGGAGATTTACTTTCTATTTACCGTTGCTTTTTTTTTTGTCTTTCTTGATTCTATTTTTAACTACTTATGGGTATGTGGGTCGTTCTTTCGGTGTTACTTTAATAGACCTTTTTTGCTAATTTTAATTTTGGCTTTTCAACATTTTTTGTTTGATTATCAATTTCTAATTAATACACGTTGCATTATTTCGTTCGAACTTTTGCATCTAGTTCCCTTTAGCTTCTCTTCCTAACGCTTTACTAATTCTAAATATGGAAAGTATGCTAGTGCATCTCTCTAACCTTTAAAAGTGGATTATTTTTTTCTTGTTCTTGTTGCAAAATTGAATTTCCTCAAAATCACGCGCAAAAAAAAGAAACACCAATTGGGAAAGCATTACAAAAAAATACCGCAGAACCTTATCAACAGGTATAAAACCCCATATTCAATACTCAATACCTCAAGATGACACAAACCATGGTGCTTATAGCTCAATTGAAGGAATGAGGGTGGTGGAATTTGCTGGAATTTTTCTTGTGCATGTACTTTTCATTCCCCTTTCACCCCAAACCAATTGAAATCAAACACTCCACTTAACTCATTCACAGTATTTTCGAAAGCCAAGCCAAAAAAACAACAACTAAAGAATAAGCGAATAGGTTTAACCCCATGTGCCCTGTAATGACCCAATTGAGGAAAGAAGTCTTTGAATATATGTTAGTGCCAGTTGGAGAAGTTTGCAAATGGATGGATGGTCACAGCTGTATATAAAAGGATAGTCAATTACCCTATGTTGGTTTCATTCATTCTCTTTTGAACCTCCACCCCAACTTCCCCTCCTGCAGCTAGCGCATTTAAACAGCTTTTTTTTAAAAAAAGAGAAAGGAAATAAATAAAAAAGGCTAGATGAAGGTTTGCAACTTGTTACTTGTTGCTGCGGTTGCCAATTCGTTGGCAATCAGGACCCCGCAAAATGCGAATAATGGGAATGGTGATGGCTCAAAGAAGACTAGCCATAGACTTGGATTTAAGCATCACAAGGCTATGAGATTGAGATTACCGTTGAAGACATCAGTCGATTCTGCTGCTGCTGCTGCTACCACCAATCAAGGTGAATCCAATGAATGGAGCGTTGAGCACCAAGCTGACTATGCCATGAAAGCTAAGTTTATCGATGATAGTGATAATGAAGATAGTTCTCATGCTGATGAGACTGATTTGGGATCTGGTAACCTTGGTGGTATTTTTGCTGCTGATCAGGAATCGGATCCTACTTTTACCGCCAAGTTTAAGTCGGGTGGATTTGGTGATATGTTTTGGCAATTGTTGAGTGTTGGCAAAGACTTGACTATTGAAAAGATTAATATCTTGAAGGACATTTTGTCCATGTTGGATCAAATTAAGAATATCCGTGGTAAGGATGCTGAGGAACCAGTGTCTCTTAATGTTGTTGATGGCGGTAATGATGCCCAAGAATCGATGAGAATTTCCAAGAGAGATGTTGAATCTGCCGATGCTGAGGAGTTTAACACTTTGATTAAACTTGATAAGTTGAAGGGCCTTTTCAAGAAAGGCAAAGGTGGTAAAGGTGGATGGAAGAATAAGTTTGGCAAAGGAAAACATGATGATGATCATGATGACGATTCCGACTATGATGACGACTCAGACTATGACCATGGTAAAGATGATTGTGAAGATGATGAGTATGATCACAGAAGTGGGGGGGATTTAGACCACAAGACAAAGAAGTCTGGATCTAAACTCAATGGTGGCCGTCGTGGTAACTACAAGAAAGGTTCCAACAAGGATAAAGACTTTGATCGCAATGACGACGATTATGAAGGGGACAGAAAGCACCGTGATGGAAAGAAGAATCATAGTGGTAAAGACGATGAAGATTGGAACAGGAATAAGAACAATAAGAAGAATGGTCACGACTCCAAGAAACAACAACCATACGGAAAAGAATCCAATTTCAAGTATGATAAAGGTCACTCTGATTCCAAAGATTGGGAACGTGCTGAACTTGCATTTGACCGTGATTTGAAGCAACGTGATTTGGATCGTGGAGTGCATGGTAGAATTGTTGGTGGAAATAGATTGCGTGGTGGTGATGATAAGTTGCATGGACGTCCTGACGATTGTGATGATGACTTTGAACATGGAGGAGATCATGGTAAAAATCATGGTAAGGACCACGGAAAGGATCATGGAAAGGACCACGGAAAGGATCATGATTGGAAGAACGATAGAGACCATGGTAAGGATCATGGAAAGGACCATGATAGAGATCACGAATGGAAAAGCGAGAAAGATCATGGAAACCCACACGGGAGAGAACATAACGAAAAGGACCATGGAAGAAATGATCATTGGAACCGTAATGAAGATTGTGATGAGTTTGACCATGATAATGATCATCGTGGTAAAGATTGGAACAGAGAAAAAGGACATGGTAGAAATGATAGCAGAGAAGCTGACTTATCTCATCCAGGAAAGAAGGACCATCCAAAAGTTTCCAAGCGTGAGGAAATGCTTGTGGCTATAAGAGATTTGAGCAAATTAAAGAAAATGATGGCAGGCAAAAAGGATAAGTCTTCTGCTGCTCCAACTACTGTTGCCCCAACAACATCTGCTCCAGAACCACAACCAACCGAGCAAGAAGAATGTCCTGATGAATCAGTGTCTGAAGCACCAGTTGCAGCCACAACAACTACTGTAACCCAACCTGCTCCAACTGGTAAAACCGGAGGTTTGAAATCCAAGTTGAAGGGTTTGTTCAACAAGGGTGGAAATGGTAAAGGGAAATTGAGCGGATTAAAGTCTAAATTTTCAAAGGGCAAGAACACTTCAACTGCTGCACCTGCTACAACTACTGTAACTGTTGACTGTGTTGAAACTGAGGCCCCTGTCGAAGATGAAGACTGTCCAGAAGAAAAGAAATTGGCCAAAGCTAAAGCCGATAAGGAGAAGCGTGAAGTTGCCGACGTTGTCGTTGATTCAAAGTATTTTGGATTCGGTGGTAACAAGAATGGTCAGTCAAAATCAGGAAGTGGAAAAGGGAAAGGTGGAAAGCCAGAGGAATCTAAGCCAAACAATTTTGATAATGAAGACTGCGAGGACGAAGGGGAAGAAGAAAAGCTTAACGGTAAGCAAAATGGTGGCAAGAAGGATATCAAGGGGAAGTTGAAGGGGAAATTTGGCGGCTTGAAAGGAAAGATGGGAGGGGCCGGAATGAAAGACAAGCTTGGCGGCTTGAAAGGAAAAATGGGCGGCACTGGGATGAAAGACAAGCTTGGTGGATTAAAGGGAAAATTTAAAAAGGGTGGAAAAAATCAAGGTCCAGTAGATGTTAATGATGAAGAAGATTGCGACGACTTGTACGACAATGGCAAAGGAAACTCCAACTTTGGAAAAGGCAAGCGTGAAGTAGATGACAATTTCTATGACTCAGGAGCCGAATGGTGTTACGATTCAGATTGTGGCAATGATGAATTTTTCAACGAGAAGGAGTTTGGTCTTACAGGGAGCAATCGCAAAGGGCTGGAACCCCAATTTTACGCTCAGAGTGTAGTTTCGAAACACGATTTAGTTGAAGATTTGTTGTTGAAGGTTTTTGTCCAATTGAAGAATTCAGGTTTGATTAACGACATTATCAAGATGTCATTAACTGATGATGTTGTCAGAGGTGCATTGACTGATATCACTATTAAGTTGTTGAATGCAGATGTCATTCCATGGGATGAAATTATTCTTGCTATCAAGACCCATGGTCTTGTTCTTGACGTTACAAAATTTACCTTGACTAATCCTGAAGTTAGACAAGGTTTGGCTTCATTTGTATTGGAACTTATTCCTGGTTTAATTAAAGGCGGTGCATTAACTACCAAGCAAGTTGTTGAACAATTGAAGATCGAAGATCGTGAATGGCACGGTAAAAGTAAAGGTAAAGATTTGGATCGTCCTCGTATTCAACCATTAGGACCATTCCCAGGTGATGGTGCTGAGGAGGAATTCTCACGCGATGGCCACCATGAAAAAAGCCATGTAAAGACTGTAAAGGGACACGAAGAAGAGCATCACTATGTGAAGTTCCGTAATGCTACATTTGATCACGAAATTGAACACCATCAACAAAAGAACAAAGATATTGAAAAGTTGCACCACGAAGAAAACCATCATGGAGACCACGAAGAAGATGATTATGAGAGCAAACACCATGATTCCGAAAAGGACTACCATGAAGAATCCAAGAATGGTCGTGATGTTCATGAAAAGGATATCCATGAAGTAGAAACTGATCACCATAAGGAAAAACATCACCAGGACTTGAACAGAGATGGTGAGTTGCGTGAAGAGCATCATGAAAAGAGTAATAAAGAATTGAAGAAAGAAAAGCACGATCAAGATTTCCACCTTGACGATGAAGTTTCTGAAGTAAAGCAAAAGAGGAATGAATTGGAACACCACGAAAAAGAAGTTCATAAAAAGGAGAAAGACGTACATGAATTGGATCTTCATGAGCAATACAATGAAGGGGGGGAGCATCATGAAGTTGATCTTCATGAAAAGAACAAACATGGTTTAGAAAAAGACCTTTATGAAAAAGATGAGCATGAGAAGGAAGGTAGTCATGGAAAAGACCACCATCATAAAGATGAGCATAGATTGTCTAAGGATTTCCATGAAAAAGACCTTCATCAAGTAGATGACGATGCTGATGGTACTCATTATGACAAAGACCTTCACGAATTGGATGGTGTTCAAGTCGAAAAAGATCTTCACAGGGATCGTGTCTATGAGGTTGACCACAAGAGAAAGAGACACGAAGTTGAGCACTTTGAAGAGGATTTCCACAAGAATGTAACTGAACACCATGAACATGATTTCCACGAAGTTGTTGATGGCGACTCATCGCATCATGAGAAGGACAAGCATCAAAATGAGGATCATAGTGTTGAACACGATAAACACCTGGTTGACCATCATGAAGAAGATCACGGTGAATTTGATTATGAAAAGGATTTCCATGATTTGGATGAATTTTTCAAGGAGAAGGAGCACCACTCTGACTATTTCCACGAGCTTGAACACAAGAGAAAGAGACATGAATTGGAGCATTTTGAAGAAGATTTCCACAAGGATGTCAAACAGCATCATGAAGTTGATCATCATGAGAATATTGAAGATAAATGGAGCCATGATGAAAAAGTTCACCATAAGGAGGATGATTTTGCTTTAGGTCGCGACAAGCATGCAGTTGAGCATCACGAAGTAGATCACAATGATGACTCTGACTATAGCAAGGATTTACATGAGTTGGATGATGTTTCAAAGGAGAAGGAACACCACCAGGACTTTTATCATGAAGTTGATCATGATCTTCGTCGTCGTGACATTCCTTATGAACATGACAAAGTAGCTCAGGGCAAGGATTTACATGAATTGGATAAGCATTTTAAGCAAAAGGATAAGGATCATTTTTCCAAGGACAATCTTTACGAAGGTGAACGTCATTATAAAGAACACTATGAAAAGGAGCATCATGAGAAGGAGAATCATGAAACTACGCCTGACAGAAATCATTATGAAAAGGAGGAACATGACAGGGAAGAACATGGAAAAGAGAATCACGAAAAGGGACCCCATGAACATGAAGAGTTTTCAAAGGAGCACGGCAAGTCTGTTGACAAGAAGGAGTCGAGTGAAAATGCCTTTGGTAAGAAGGAGCACGAATTGAAGGGAGACTTTGGTTTCCAGTATGACCCTTCTGCTGCTGCTGCTGCTGCTGCTATTAGTGGCCCAGCTCAAGCTCCAGGACAAATTATCCCACCTGTCGGTGCTTAGATGAATGCTTAGACTTATGGACTAGAGAAAGAGAGGGTCTTAGATTGGAATGAGGTTGTAACAACCTCAATTATAAAAACAAAGAATTTTTTATTTTTTAATTATTACTTTTCAGATTTTTATTTTTTTTGGATTTGGTTTTTGGTTATCACCTAATGCTTTTAGTGCTTTTTTTGACTTTTGGTTCAGTTTGTTGTCTTTTTTGCTCCCTTGAGCAAGGTTTGTCTTTCGTTAATTGGTTAAGGATTATTGTTGAGAAATGCTTCTTGATGCAAGATAACCTTTTAAATTTTCAATTACAATTATTTTTTTTCACAAGTTTATTATTTTTAATATGCCTTTTTTATATTTTGATAATTTTATGCCAGTTTTTTTATTTAAAGACGATTCTATGTAGAAGTAAAAGAGGTGTATTTTCTTTCCTGATGTAGAGTCGATGATTTTCGGTCTTACATATGTTTTGCATTTCAACTTGTAAAGTTACCATTAAAGACCTTATGTAAATATGTATATATATAAAAAAAATTAGAAGTACGTAATTTAAACCCAGCTTTGGTGCTAAAAATTGAATTAAAATAATAAACCTTCAACTCATCATGTATGATAAAGGTCTAACCAGCGTAGTATTTTTTTTTCTAAATTTTAAAATAAAATATTCACATTTATAAGGCCAATAAAGCACCAGCAGCCAAAGCAACGGCACCAGCAGCGTATTGCTTAGCAGCAGCACCTTCGTAGGTGGAGACACTGGCGACGGTGCTGTTGGATGGAGTGGTTCCGTTACCAGCAGCAGAAGTTGAATGAGCTGGGCATGATGAAACAGTTGAAGCACAGTCGGTGATGGTGGCCAAGGTGGTTGATTCAACGGTTTGGGTGACTTGAGCGTTGACGATAGCAGCAGTGGCGGCGAATAAAGCGACAGTTGAGAATTGCATTTTTAAAATATAGTTAGTTAAGCGAAAGACTAGTAGTTGGGATTGATAATGATCTGATCTGATGAAGAAAGAAGAAGTAAAAAAGTTTGGTGAAAAGGGTAGGGATCGATGGGTTTATATAGACAAAAAATTAAGAAAAGAGAATTTTGCCTCATACTATGTTTTAGTACAGTTTAGGCATCAGGCGGTTAGTTAATGCACCGCTGGTAGTAGTTAGCAGTAGTTAATGTGGATATTATTTGTTGTTGTTTTGATATATATGTTTATGTTTATGGTTTGAAGTGATGTCACAAAATTAAACTTTTCGTGTCGCGGGAAATATTCTTATGCGCACAGTTGGGGGGAGAGATTTTTGTAACACAAGATATACATACATTTAGACGAGTCATATAGAAAAATAGATGCATACTAATGCAAAACATATACCGCCACTGTAAAACTTGGGAACTACTAGTCTTTGCATAGGCAGATTTGAGCCGTGTGCTGCTTGATATGATCCGAGACTTTTTAACTAGAACCATGTCCTTAACACCAATTTCATAGCTTTTTCCGAGGGTTTGGTTATGTCATTGGAATAGGTATAGGCAGATGCACCATGAGGTAAAAAGAAAAGGAAAACAAGAGAGAAAAATTTTTTGACAGATGTTTGTGTCATCAAACAAAATGCTTGGTGGTCTGAAACTTACGCAACTGTTCCAGTATCTGCGCAAACAGAAATGGTACAATCAAAAACATCAAAGTCTGTGTTGTGCAGTAGGACTCTCTTCTGCGTCTATCATTGGACAGCGATCTTAACCCCAGCATGTGGAACAATAGCGCGTTGAATTGGTTTCTCGCTCCCGTCACAGAGCTGAATGCCAGGAACAGGTCGGATTGGACCCCATTGTTTTATCTCTAGCACACGAGCCTACAATCGCGTGTTTTGCATTCAGTCACGGTGATCTATTGTTCCTTTTGCTTGCCAAAAAGCCTGTATGGATCATGTGAAACCTCAATTTTGAAAGTTTTCTCTCATCTTCTTATCATTGCGCCTCAATTCAATTTATTCTAGAACTGCTCAATTAGGCAAAGATCTTTCCAAGAAGAGACACTTTAAAATTTCCAGGAACATCGGACTAAGATGTTGCTACAATACAAGCGCAATAGCTTCGTTACCTCTTATATGGATTACAACCGATGGCCAATCCAATGAGTATCAGGAGCAACTCATTTAGTGTTTGCTAACTACAACATCTCAACACTAGTTTCTCTTCAACTTTCTGACACCAAATATGCATTTGGTTATTGGACTGTCAATCTGCCATCAAATCTAGACTAAAGTTCCCATTTAGACGACTTTCTATTGGGCTTTTACCACCTTTGCAATGTCTTGGCGGCACAAATGGGTGTTTAAGTTTGCCGGCCTTATGTTATCCAAAGTAAATAATAGGCTCATAAAATCAACTCAAATCAAAACATTACTTAAGACACAAAACCAACTTAGTTTGATATTTTTGGCGTGTCTTGTGTAACATTAATATGCACAACACTGCTTCAGACTTAAAACCAAAACAAATCTAAAAAAACCGTCCCGTCGCCTCAATAAAAGGAAGAACAAATTTTTTTTATTGATTGCAATAGCTTCAATCACGGTTGCCAATGTAAAGATGGATTGATCTGCGTAGTGAGATAATTATTCCGTGTAGTGGGGGGAGGTTACCGCGTCTCTCTACATATGTATAACACAAAAGCTTCTACTTGACTTTGACTTTGGCTTGAGTCATCTGTTCCCCTTCCCTCACTATATACTTTTTTCGTAAATCATACACAAAGCCTCAATCATTTTATACCTCAGTCCGAGGAGTTACATTCTTTCTTGAATACCAACCAATGAAATCCCTTAATGCACTACGCACCCTTCTATTATCCTTGTTTGGTATAGCCACCGATACCGTCTCTATCAAACGATCAACTTCATTGCTTTGCACATTAGGTAAACTTGTTACAACGTCACGTAACCAATTGATTGCCAAATCTATCGATGGAGTAACCACCAATATCTTTAATAGCAAGTCACTAGCATCTTGTTGTACATCATTATGAAACTTGAATATGAGTCCGTCAAGAACAACTTTCAACAACTCGCCTCCGTGATTATTAAGTGTTAGGAACTGTTTGATACACTCTCTCAACGGTGTAGTATCTTTGCTTTCAAATAAGGAAATAGGTGGATGTGGCAATCCCCAAGATATCAAATCAATAAGGAAATGAACACAAGATATGATTGGATTGTACTCGTTAACCACGCTCAAGGTGACCTTTGCAGTTTTGATAATCGAATCAAGCAAATCTAAAGTAGGAATCAACTTGAAGGGGAAAAACATCAACAAGTCATTCAACATACGGAAAAAGTCCTCAATAACATCAGGGATTAGTTTGATTTGGCTCTCATCTTTGTTGGAAAACTGCTCAAAGAAGGATTGACATTGCTCAAGACCGAAATTGTAAGCAGCCGCCGTTATTTCTTGTGATGAGTATTCGTCGTCTCCAAACACTCTGATTACAACGCCTGAAACCCAAAGATAACAGCCAAATTGAGTTTGCCTATATCCTTGGTGTAGAATCTCAGCAATTTGCGGTAATATCGAATTAAGGTACGAGCTGAATGACTCGATTGCAACTTTAACCAACTTCATGCATTTTTCACTAACCTTGAAAACAGGTCCTCGTTTTTGTAACACGGATGTAGTCAATGGCCAGATCTTTTCAATAAACAACGAAGCAACTGGATGAGTCGGCTTTTCGAATTCGTCCACTTTCAACACCTGAAGAAAAATGATGACAATCTCCAACTGGTCGGCGATTTGAGTATTGGTCTCGTCAGAGTTATTATTCAACGAATTCAACTCGGAAACTTTTTGCAAAGATGGCTCCAAAAACATGTCGGAAATCTTGTACAAATTGTCTTCAGGTACCTTGGCGACAACATGAGCAATACCATCGGTCAACTCGTAATTCGATTCAAGATCAATCTTGTCCTTTACTTGTCCATACAACAAGTACAACTGCTCTAGATAGTTCACTAACAATTCGGAACAATCCTGGCAGAAATACATAAGGGCGTGAGAAGTGGCCATAAATATTTCATTATTGTTTGCCACTTCGAATCCTTTGGTAATATAGTTCAATTGGGGCTCTAAAAACTCGGAGTTTTTTGCCGTCCATTGCGTATACCTTCCCAAAACCAATGTAGCGGCATATCTTATCTTAGGATGTTCAGGCAACTGTACCAAAAGTGACATGATTGTTGGTAGGATAGTCTTTTCCTTAGTGGGCACTTCTTTGGCCATTGTTCTCATGGAAAACAATGGAGCTTCAAGATACTGCCAATGGCCTTGTGCATCGGACAAGATTGTTTGTATTTGGGCAAATGGGATCTGCAACGCTTTTGAAGCGCCAACGACAGCACAACAATCTTTCAAAACATCACCCATTTCATATCGAAACTCTTTAAACTTATCCTCCTGTTCTTTATCCCCGTTGAAAAGATCATTGTCGTTGGCCGTTATTGGATATGTCAAATGTTTGATGATAACTGATATTAGTTGGAGATAGCAATCTCCTAAAATGCGACGGGCTTCCGTAAATTTTGGCAAAATAATCAACTGCTTCAACAAATACCAGAATTGAAAAGTGTACTTGACAATATCTAAATCATCGTCATATTTACAGCAGTTTAATAGAATCTCAACCAAAGCTTTGAAATGTTGTGGGTTCCTAGCAATTAATGCATTCCAAGACTCTCCGCATTCGACATACAATCTAGTCAATCCATCAACTTTTTCTGGATCCTCTAAATTATCGGGGTTGTCATGCATAAACTTGTTTAGCTGCAAAATTTGTTGATACAATGCATCTATTATTTCATGGTTGTCGATATCACGTGTTTCTCGAATAATGGTGACTAAACACTCAATCGCTTTGTCAAACGTTGTGTCATTGGACAAGCTTTGAAATACCAAAGACGTCAAAGGATGCACGGACAAGATCTTGTCAATAGGACATTCAGTAATCCAACTGTTTAAAGCATCCAATATTGCTGCGTTTAGAGTGGGATCATTGCTAGAATTATTTTCAGCGAGGTTTTTCAACGTCAATATAACAGCTTCTACCTGGTCTGTGATCAACTCTTGTGATCTTATGTTATATTCTTCGTCGCTCAAATGAGACTTCTTTACATCCGATAACTCCTCCGGCAAAACTTTCAAAAATTCTAAAAGAACCAAAGTTAAATCACTTGACTGAGTCAAGTTTGCCACTATTTCGCCCATTGCGTTATTCCAGGACAAGTATTGTAATGCAAGTTGCGATAAAGCGATGGATAACTGGGTACGAATCAATTTTTCATTTCTTCCGCTATATAACTTGATCAAGCTCAATACTGACTCTTTCAACGCTTGATAATTCTCCAACTGTATTTGTGATGATAAGTCGTAGATGATTTTCGATCTCAATGTCTGAGCCGCAAATAGTTTCAACTGAACATTTGACCCATTGTTTTTATCACTCAAAATCTCATGAGTGATTTGCCATGCATCGCTAGATTTTTGAAAATTCTCCAAGAAATGGGTGGCGTTAGCTTTCTCTTCTCGTGGTGCATTGGAATACATTGTCGTCAATGCATTTTCTACTTGCTTAATCACCTGTTCATGTGAGGACATTGTTTAGGAGATTAACCACAGTTGATATTGTTCTGCGTAGTTTGACAGCCAATGGATGTTTTGCTTGATTCTTTTTTTATATTTTTTTTTTTGCAAAAGTGAGTAAAATGTTAGCATGCACACGACCATTTGTCCTTTTGGGTGCAAAAATAGTAGTGACGATGATTCATTTTTCGAAACGACAAGCTTGCTTTTTCATAGTTTCATCATCTCGAGAGGAGTGTTTATGTTTTGCCTTTGCTGAAGATAATTTAGAGAGACTGATTCTAGATTGTGTGTGAGGTAAGAGAAGGAAAAAATTGGCAAGCAAATGAGACAAATATTTGACCATCTCCAATCATCTTACGAAAATGTTTATATATATATATACCCATGTTTTGGTCTTTTGTTGGCAATATCTTTTCACTGAGAGTTTTAGGATATAGACTGCTGATAAATCTTTTTACTTCAGAACAATCCACGTACCACGTGATCTGTACCGTTTTTGCTACTAACATAATGACTAACAAGTGAACTATAAAGCATCTACGAGAACTAAACATAGCAGTGCAGTGAACAAAGAGAAGAGTCGAAAGCAAGAAAGACATACATAGAATTAGTAGGTTCTAACCATTCACTAGTTAGATCTAAAGTTTGTAAAGGAAAGAAGAGTCGCGTCACAAAGTTAAGTTAATTAATACCAACAAATTTTTTTTTTTTGTTTCTTCATATATTGTCAAAAAGTTTTTCAAAATGTTTACTTTCTTACGAGCACGACAAACCACAGCTGTATTCACATCACTTCGAACTCCATTGCATAGTTGTATACTCCTCCATTCCCTTTACTCCAAACTCACCATGTCTACATCATCATCCCCAGTCAGACCAATAGTCATTTCAGGTCCATCAGGTACAGGTAAATCAACATTACTTAAGAGGTTATTCGCTGAATATCCAAACAAATTTGGCTTTTCAGTTTCAAACACTACTAGAAAACCAAGAGAGGGCGAAGTTGACGGTAAGGATTACCACTTTTGTACTGTGGATGAATTTAAGAAACTAATTGATGAAAGAAAGTTTATTGAATGGGCACAATTCTCAGGTAACTACTATGGAACCACCATCAAGGCTGTCAAAGACGTTGCTGATCTGGGAAGGATTTGTTTGTTGGACATTGATATGCAAGGTGTCAAGTCTGTCAAGCAAACTGACTTGAATGCAAGATACCTTTTCGTTAGTCCTCCATCAATTGAAGAGTTGAGGAGCCGATTAGACGGAAGGGGTACCGAAAGCAAAGAAAGTTTGGAAAAGAGGATTGCTGCTGCTGAAGGTGAATTAGCATATGCGAAAACTGGAGCTCATGACTTGATAATAGTTAACGATGATTTAGATAAAGCTTATGCTGAGTTTAAAAAGTTCATATTGGAAGAGTAGACTGTTGAAGTAGCTTTAATAAATTGTGTTTTAGAGGAGCAGCATGATGTAGTAAGTTGTTTTAACCCATTGTCATGTTTGATGCTGTTTGATTGACTCCTTTGAATCTGAAACCCCTCTTTATATTGCGACCTTCCTAAGAGTACTAACATATTGAACCCCCATTTCTCCTAACGCAACACAAGCCACTGCAGAAGATGTAAGACTGCCAACTAATACATTCTGACGAGACTGTGTCGCTAGTCTAATTTAATTCCTAAAAATGAGCAAATTTCTGCCTATCGTTTGATTTCCCGACTTTAACCTAAAAGTGCGAAGATCCGACTAAAACGAAATCCCTCTACGCCGTTAGAATCATCCAATACTATAGCTCCACTACACGTGAGACAACAACTTCCTCGCATAACACTTGAGACTATTCAGAATGACGACAGGACTTCCATCATCCATGACATTTGGCGAAGAAGAGTACGTTTGATGAACATTATTTCTCTAGACCCTTGAACCAGTCTGACGATTATTCAACACAAATTGCCATATATACTAACTATCGATAGAGAGCCAGATTTTTTAAAAAAATTGGCAGAGAAGGCTAAAGAGCAACCACTTGTCCCTATCGGCTCTATACTTACGGCTGGTGCTGTGGTGTTAGCCGCAAGATCAATGAAAAGGGGTGAAAAGATTAAAACGCAGAGGTACTTCAGGTACAGGATTGGATTCCAACTAGCAACCTTGGTTGCTTTAGTCGTCGGAGGTATGACTTTCGGAGTAGCCACCCACGATCAAAAGAAATCAAAGGAGGAGAAGTTGAGGGAAAAGGCCAAACAAAGAGAGAAGTTGTGGATTGAAGAGTTGGAAAGGAGAGACGCCATTATTCAAGCCAGAAAGGAAAGATTGGAACAATCAAGAAAAGAATTGAGGAACTTGGCTCAACAAGGGTTTGACAATGAAAAGGAAAGTCAAAAAACAGACAAAACTAATTCTGAAAATTAAATGAGACAACTGGCGTCCCTGTTACCTGCTTCTTCTTTAATGTAGCTCTATCTTGACTGTGTTCTTTGTATATACAATGGCAAATAAACGACGTAACGCTTCTATTCGTAAATGTTGTTCAAATGAGATGGCCCATCACAAGCACCATCTTTTTTCCAAAGAGCGTCCAGTTCCTTCTATGTAACTGTTCACCCCTGCAACTACTTCCTTCCTGCAGGCCATATCTTATAAAACTCCTTGGGCGAATACATCAATCTGTCATTTTGTGGGAGTAATGGAAACGTTGGGATCATCTTGTCTCTTGATACTTTTTCCAAATGGGATTGAACCATGGATAGCCTATTGATTGCAGACATGATGGAAGTGTGTTTTATTAGTTTATTGGTTTGAATGAAAACTTGTTACCGAACTGTACTTCTTATCCAAACTGAATGGATCAAAATATTGTATGTTTTTAATAAGATGATGTCAATAGAACATTTTTCAAAATTGCAGCATGTCTCGTGACTGCGGACTTTACTCACGCGTTATAAAGTAAATACCGACAAACTACAAAAATCTACTACTTCTGTATCCTCATAATTATGTATATTTGAGTCGACGCTACTTATTATACTGTCTCTACCACAACCCTTACTCGTCAGCGTTATTTAGATTGTACAATTTAATATAGTCATCGTCTAAATCTTTCATCATGTCAATCACCCCATGGTTACTGAAATGATCCTCTTTATGGTCTTTTATCGCACCGTCTTTACTGCTTGTACCAGGTAATTTAATTTCACTGTATAAAGCCTTGACTGAACTTTCGATCTTGACTGAGCCCTCCCAGGCAATCAAGTCACTCAAACTTAATAGTAAAAAGGGGGAGAAATCAGAGTACCATCGATGGTTCCACACCAACAACCGAACTATACTTTCCAAAATCTTTTCATTCAATTGGTTCATCATTTTGGAATAGTTTTGAATAAAGCTTGGATTACCACCGAATGAGGATGTGTTTTTGGTTACAAGTCTCGTGTGCTCCTTCAAATAGTACTTGAGCATTTCACGTTGCGACTTGGCGGAGAAGCGTCCACTTAAAGCATTAGAGAAGGCAACAGCTCCTTCTTTGAAATGTTTCAATCTGTATGCTATCAGACCAAGTATTTCCCATTCCAAAGTCGTCTTTTTGTACTCCATTTGTTGTGCTTGGAAATGCAACGATTCTGATTGCCACACGGTGAATGCTCGCAAATCTTCGTACAAGAGCATAAACAAATTGTCCAACCACCTTTCACACAATCTCTTCTTTTTGAATTCCTCGTCATAATCTGTGTCATCTTCCACAGGGGGAGCTTCTGGGGCAACAGATGCTGCTGCATCTATTGGTTTTTGGGTTGGTGATTTGATGGCAACGGTTGACTCAACGTCACTCTCGGTAACTGACGGCGTTGCAGTAGCAACAGTGTTGTCGTTAACAGTGGCCGATGATTGGGTTGAGTTTTTGCGAATGTGGCCATTGGCGGTTTTCTTGTCCTTCCTGTATTCTTCCTCCATGACAAAAACCTTTGCACGGTATTTCAACAATTGCTCCCAACCGGTTTTGGCAACAATTTCGGTCAACAAGTCGTAAGCTTTGGCGTATGTAGACTTCAAGTTGGATGCTGGCAAGTTGGCTAATTGTGGGTCCAAATTCCTGTGCTCGTAACTTATATCATTACTTTGCAAGTTGGAAACTTCGTCCAACGTAACATCCATTGGCGAAGGTAAATGTAACTCATCGTGAGTCTTTATTGGTACAACCCTTTTCAACTGATACTTTTCCTTGTGCGAGTTCATTGGACACGAGTTCAATGTTAGCAAAGCATTTTCAAAATCGCCCAATTTGGTATAGCATTTCACCAATATTGACCAGGTAAAGTAATCAGATGGCGAGGATTTGACTGCTTGTTTTGCCAATTCCAATGCCAATTCTGGCTTTTTCTTGTCCAAGCAGTACTCTGCTTGCAAGACCAACGTGTTTGGATCTCTCTTATTGTCTTGGATTCCCTTGTACATGGTTTTCACCGCTTCGATTTCATCTTGTCTCAACAACTGGAGTTTTGCAATGATGGAAATTACACCAGGTTCAGTCCTGCATATCCTCTCCAATATTTCCAACCCGCGGCCATAATTCTGCGTTAACTCAACAATTTTCAAAAATCCATCAACGAGGTAGTTATTAACGGTAGTTGGTTGGGGAAAATCGACATTACAGCCCAACTTGGTCCCCTGAAAAAACAAATCTTCAAATCCAACAAAATAGTTGTTTAACAACTCTTTCGATGCACTGCCGTTGTTGAAAGGATTAATTTTTCTGACTTCAACAACACCGCCCAACTTATTGGCATCTTCGTTGTCTTCACTTTCCAAAACAGCACGAGTAATTGAAGTGACAAAAGTCTCTGTCCACAACCTTTCCAATTGTTTTTCATTCAAATTGTCTTGAATCATTTTACCTTCTTGGTTTAATATTTGTATGCCAAATTTTCCTGGAATGTGAACAGTGACTCTAATATCTGTTTTGCTAAAGGCGTTAAAAGTACAATAAGTCAATTGGGGCACCTTCCAATGTTTCTTTTCCCCAAACCAGTATTGCGCCTTTGACGTCATCAAGTTGGCCAAGCTTTGTAAATGCGCTGCAATTGATGCAATGGAAGATGTGTCTACCCCAACAAAATACAAAAAAGTGCCAATTTCTCCATGCTCCCTTTTGGCGTTGATTGAGTGCTTGTATATATTACATAAATCTGGTGGACCCAATTCTATAAATTGAAGTAGCCGAGCAGTACGCTCGGTAAGACACGCACCTGGGTATTCTTCTTTAACCTCAGGGATTGATCCTGTTGATGGAGGTAGCATTGGTGGTGTTTCTTTTGTTGTGGAAGTCAGAGATCAATAACAAGGACACCTAATAATTTTTTCGTCCTCAATTTTTTTTTATTTTTTTCGTTGTTGAAATTTGCGTGGGCTTTGCCTCGTTTACTGAACGCAATATTCCCTGGTAAGCTTTCTACAGTTCATGGGTACTTTCTACAGCCCATTGTGGGTTTATCTTATGAAGACTATATTAGTAATACACTGGTTTACAAACTATTCATAGTCTATGCAACTGATTCTACATTCTAGTTTGGTTTAGACTTCTTCCTCTGTCCATCATTGACATCTCTACCATCAGCTTCTGGATCATCATAAACGCTATCCCAGTCCTTCGCTGTCAAGCAGTACTTTTCTGGAGGCAAATTTAAGCCCCATTTCGGTATAACCGGAGGCAATGGCTTCGAATTTCTTTCTTGTGCTAGCTCCAACATTAGTTCCTTCGGTGGCACCGGCTTGAACTGATAGTTACCTCTGGCAGCGATAGCAAGCCTTATATCATCGGTATTGACTGTACTGTTAGCACTTGAATTCAAATTGGAGGTCGATGGCTTAGCATGGTCGTTGTATATAAGAGCATCTTTTAAAATCGATTTGGTATACCTGTGGGCGAAATCCATCAATTGTAAGGGAACATGATCTTGATAATTTTGGATTCCTTGAGTAGCAAATATCAAATGAAGCAATCGTACATCACGAGGCACTATTGCCTCTCTCTTTTCTTGTGGTGGTTGTGATGCTTGATTCTGAGCAGCTGGTCTAGAATCAGCTGTTTGTGGTGCAGATATCGTGTCTGCGGAGTTTGGAGCAGGCACACTCATGTTTTGAGAACTTGGAATTCGCAATGGCGGGGGAGGAGTGTGAAGATTGCTTCAGCACCTTTGTTGTGGATATTTGTGTTCCTTGTTTTTTTTTTGCAAAGTGAATTTCATTTTGACGCACCAACATCTTTACCAGCAACGATAATATGTCAGAACCAGAAGAGGTCATCGAGAGACCAGATACAGTCATTGTCAATCCTCCTACATGTGAGTATCACACAATTATGCCATTTGCATTTTTGACGTCGGTAAAGGAGTGTGAACGAATCCACAATGCGCTACTTATCTCCAATCAATCATTCAAAACTGACCTTAAAGCAGTCTGGATTCATTGCGGGCTAGTGGTTTGCTCAGATGGCGGTGCTAATCGACTACACGATTACTTTTCCAACGATAAGGAGAGAGAGGATTACTTGCCAAATTATATAGTGGGAGACTTTGATTCATTAAGAGACGATGTCAAAAGCTTTTACCAATCAAGAGGAGTCAAGATTATACAACAGTATGGCCAATATAGTAATGACTTTCAAAAATCAATACGGTGCATACAGTTGCACTTTTTACTTTCGGAACAGGGTAAAGCATGGCCTCATATCGATAAAGATGATGGGTTAAGGGAGATTTGGGAGAACGAAATAGGAGGCACCAGCAATATACAAATCCACGTCTACGCCTTGTCAGTAATTGGAGGAAGATTCGACCAAACCATTCAATCGATCAACCAGCTTTATATTCTCCATCAAAAGGAACCCAATTTGCACGTATTTTTCATAACCAACGATGATTTAATTTTCCTATTGTACAAAGGGGTCAACTATGTATCGTATCCGAATCGGGCAATTTTCTGCAAAGATACTCTGTCACCTCCATTGTGTGGGTTATTACCTCTTGGGGACAAACCTGTGGTTTTAAATAGTTTTGGGTTTCGATATGATGTGAAGAACTGGGTAACACAGATTATGGGTAAGATCAGCTCTTCGAATCGAGTTGTTGGAGAGAAAGGTTTTATTGTTGAATGTACAGAAGACATTTCAATGAACATAGAATTGAATTTATAGATATTAGACATAGAGACGTATTGAATACATTGGTAGCGTAAAAACTGACCAAACCACTCGTTCTAGTTTTTTTCTTTTGAATCAAAATTTTCCAGCTGCTTAGAGAGACGCTCTACAACCTGGTTATTTGAGTTGCGCACAAACAATGTTTAGGTCCTTTGCGAGAGTGCCATTCAAGGCTGTCAACCAGTCAACGATTAGGTTTGCGTCGCTGTATATACCACCAAGATCACCGGTACTATCATCACTAGCACCACTTTCATTTGCATCATCAAAGCCAACCTCAATTTTGCAAACACCAAACTTGATACCTAGGACTAATGAAGTCACTTTGAAGTTGCCTAGTCTAACACAATCGTCGTCATTTCCATCTCCACACCCCGTAAAGGAGCAACACATTGCCATTGAAGTTGAAATAGTAGGTGACGAAATTAAATTCGAAATCGTTGATGCTGGAGACAGCAGTAACACGATGCATGCTGATTCAGTTTTACGTAAGAGAAGGTTGAAGATGAAGAAGCACAAGTATAAGAAAAGAAGAAAGGCTCAACGTGCTTTGAGAAAGAGATTGGGTAAGTAGAGGGGATGCTTTGTATATAGAGATTAAAATGTAAAACTTTGGATCATTGTGTGTTATTTGGGAGACATCATTGTATCCTGATCAACGTAGAGCAACAGCTAAGTGTTTAGACAAGACGTCGAAGACTATCAATGAGTCAATGCGTGCCCTTTCAGTTCCCTCTCATTTCACGAAAAAAAAAAGATCATTGAATGTGTCATAGATTTGCAACTTTAACACCACACCACGTTAGCCATGTCTACTATAACATTCGTAACCGGAAACGCCAACAAGCTCAAGGAAGTTCTTGCTATATTATCCACATCTTCAGCCGACTCCAACAAAGTGGGTAAATTTCACATCACAAACAAATCTATCGACTTGGATGAAGTCCAAGGCACCATTGAACAAGTCACAATCCATAAAGCTAAATCAGCAGCCGAACAAATCAACGGACCAGTATTAGTTGAAGACACATGTTTAGGGTTCAGCGCATACAATGACTTGCCAGGACCATACATTAAATGGTTTGTGAAACTGGTTGGATTACTGGGATTAGTTAAAATGTTGGCCGGGTTTGAAGATAAGGGAGCCAACGCTATTTGTACATTTGGTTATTGCGAAGGACCAGGTCAAGAAGTCAAGATTTTCCAAGGCAGAACGCAAGGCATAATTGTTGAAAGCAGAGGTCCTACTGATTTCGGATGGGATTCGGTGTTTCAACCCGTTGGGTACGATGAGACTTATGCTGAGATGGACAAATCAATTAAAAATACAATAAGCCACAGGTATAGAGCATTAGATAAAGTTAGAGATTATTTAGTGTCACTTTAGAGAATTCAACTGTTTTTCTTTGTTCATCATCATTAAATTAAAGCATAGGTGAGGGTTCATATTCTATCATCTATAGTTGTCTAAGCAAATATCTCTTTAATCTTTTCCATAAATCCACCTTTCTTCTTCTTGTGCTTTTTCTCGCCATGCGACGAAACAGAGTATAAATTAGGTATTCCATTCTCGTGTTCTGATGAAGACCTACTTCTTGAATTCAGGATTACATTACCAAACCCACCACGGCCAACACTAAACCCTCTCGAATTTATAGCTTGCAATTCGTGACTTTTCACTTTATCAATATCTTCAGGCTCGACATCTTGTAGTTTTCTTGTCAATTCGGGGTCGTTATTATCAATCATATTGCCATATCCACCACGGCCTGTTGTTATTTTTGATGTTGTGAGGTGAGGTGTGTTTGACCCTTGAGGTACTAGTTTGGGTGATGGAAGCTGGTCTGATTTCTTCATATTGCCTGCACCTCCTCTTCCTGTGGAATAGTAAACTGGTTTTTTATTATTGCTTTTGTCACCGGATATCGTCTGTGATAGATTATTCAGCGTATTGTCCGAATGCGTAGTCGTATTCTCTTCCGATGGTTTATCTTTGAAATGATGTATATTACCAGCACCACCTCTGCCTGTTGAGAATGTCGTCATTTGTTGATTAGATTGTGGGGTGGGAGTTATAGAAGTATATGAAACAGTATAAACGTCAGCTTCGTTGATGATGAGTTATGCAGAAGCAGTAGCAGTAGCAGCAGGCAATAGAGTATATGCTAGACTAAGTATCAACGGCAAGTAAACCTGTGTTTGTTCTTAGTTTGATGGCATAAGATGTCAAAATACTGTGGTGGGTTACACTGAACAATAAATGACCAAAAGCGAGAAACAGAAAAAAAAAGAACAAAAAGAACAAAAAGAACAAAAAGAAAAATAAATAAATGAAAGAGTTACATATTGCGGTGTGGATTCAGTTAACGCATATTGATCTCCGGCCGAATGGGGTGGGAGAGTGAATGGAAATGGAAAATGCCGCGCGGTGATTAAACGCCGAAGTGAGAGAGACTCACATAGAGATAGCGGCAGATTCCATAAGTCACCCAGTGAAATGCCTTTACCATATGAAGCAGAATCCGCTTTATCGGTTAAATTTAAACTAACAAGAACTAAAAGGCTATGCAATGGCTTTTCTCTGTTTCATGACATCATGATAAGAAACAGCCAATGATCATTTGAGCACTAATCTTTGATAAAAAAATCCCTTATCTTTCATTATTTTTTTAGCAACTATTTCATTATTCTCTAATAGATAAGAAGAGGTAAAGTATCAACAAAGATACAAAAACAGATACGACTTTTGGAAATCTAAACCACAGATATAACTAGAAACAGAACCAATTATCTTTTTTCTCATTGTGACAAACTAGCAATACTCGATGCAACATCGTTCTCAAAACAACCGCGAAAGCTTTGTTCATCATCACCATCATTTGAAGAACTCGACTCATCAACTTCACAAGGTGACTGTAATTCAATCAACTGCGATGACTCCTTTTGCGATTGTCGCATCACAACCATCATGGTTTTATTCGCCATTGATTCTTCCATGTACATATTTTGTAACAATAGCCCACCAGATGTTGATAAAGCTTTTGTCGTCTCAGCGCCACCTTCTGCTTCTTCTTCGACCGCTACATCCACTGTATTCTTAGCTCTAGCAAACAGCAGAGGCGCAAATTTGAACTGCCTCTGCAATTGCTGTCGATGGTAGTAAAGCAATTTAGATATACGCATCGAAGGACTCCTGGTGCTTCCATCTTTGGCAATACTCGTTTCTGCATTCTCATTATCATTCTTGATGAAATAAATAGCCCCCGTTAAATCATCCTCATCCTTGCCTTCTCCAGTTTCATCAGCCACGTAAAACCCATCAGAATCAACGACTAGTGTTGGTGATGCAACCACATTTAACTGGTCATGTTTGCCACCATTCACAATCTCACGGGGTGTAGTCTTGTCAACTACATTAATCTTCAGCGACCGTTTGTTTTCATGCGAGTATAGTCCTGATTGCAAATTCAAAGTCGACGCGTTGGAAGTAGTAGTTGGTGTTGGGACATCAATTGAAGGTCCAACAAAGCCAGAAGGAGTGGACCTAGCACCCCCGTCTTTGTTTTCTCTCATTGCCCCTGCTGCTTCACCCTGTTCTTTATTCTTTTGATGGTGTTGTAGCTTAATACGTCTCAATTTAGTCAATTTTGAATTGTAGTAATAATGGAGTCTGTCTTTAACTTGAATGATCCATTTATTGTCATACTTTTCATTACCTTGAAATTGAGTTGCAGCGCCATTGATTGCATCGTTGCTGACAACGCCATTGGCAAATCCTTTGCCTTTCTTGGTGCTTAACAACGGAACCTTCTCTTCAAAGTCACCACAATCAACAGTAAAGCGCAGCAATTGCATCAGCACCAGCAGTTGTAAATCGGTTGCGTCTGCATCATAATCGAAGGTTTGGGCGTGAGCACCAGCACTAGTACCAGCACCATCGCTTGTACCGTTACCCTGTCCTTTTGTTTTAGTTGAGCCTCCGCCCAATCCATACTCAATCTTGATATCACGAATAGATGCATGTTCACTAAGTGAAGACGACTTTAATCCTTCTTCAATAACACAAGTAAATTTGTTACCAAACTCAACTTCTTGATGGTGAAATGACGTTGTCGTTGTTGATTTTGCGTCATCTTCAGCCAACGAAGTTGATGAAGTAGCCTGTGATGCAGTTGGTGCTTTGATACCATTTCTTCCTTTGGTGGTGGTGTTGGTTGCAATATTGGGTGTTGCTACTCGCGATTCTAACGTGCGTAAAGAATTGCGCTTCTGAAGAAAGCTTGGCTGGTACGAGGCCATATCGGGGATAATATTGACTCGGAACTTATTGGCATTAAAACATGGATCAAATTGGCTGCCAAACAAAACGGGAGAATTATGAGGTGTAGTTGTGATGGCGTGTGTTGTTGAATCTGCGCCACCATTAATGATTCTTTTTGTTGTTGTAGTAGGTTTAGTGTGTTTAGTGGTTGTAGCACCATTTCTTGTTGGCTTAGGTTTAGCCATTGTATTACCGTTTCTGACTGGAGCGGTCTTTGTTGCTAAAGATCTTGCTACATTACCATTTGCTCCATTTGTGCCGTTAATTGATGTTGTCATTGAAGTAGCCGAAGTTGCAGTAGTAGCAATAGAAACAAATGATGCGTCATCCTTCATGACAGTGCCATTTCTAGTAGATCCAATACGGCCAACCACTTTGCCACCACTAGAAGCGCCAACAACGACATTATCATTCATCTCATCACCCTCCCGAAGACTGCAACTACTCAAGCTCAACCGTTGTCTCACGCTCCTTCTCTTCCGCCTACTTCTTCGTTTCCTAATCTTGCGACCTTTTTCATCACACACATAAATATCCAGTCCATTGACCGCTCCATGTCTTGTTTTGAAATTCAACAATGTGCCACGATGCGAGAATTTAAACTTGTCAACTTTAACAAGCGAATAAAAACCATCATGTTGGGCCACGGTGGGCAAGTTGAAACTCAGAGTTATTGAAGAAGCAGATCCAACGGGCAGCAACTCAAACAAAGGCATTGACTCAGGTGGTGGTGGTGGTGGTGGTGGTAGTGATTTGCTGTTGTTATTAGAGATTGACTGCTTTGTTCCGTTAGCTGTTGAACCTCTTTCCTGCTTGATTTTGTAGGCATTGGTGAAATTCTGTCGAATCGAATGTTTGGGTGATACGGGCGGTGAAGCCAGCCTAAGTGACGAATAGGGCTTAGAAGACGTTGTCAACAGCTCTTGATCCAAGTCCGTAACGTGTGTACCATCATCATTGTGTGTTGTCATCAGGCCATTGTGTAGACTCAACAGCAGACTCTTTCTCTTTCCTCCCGTATTCTTCTTTTTACCTTTCCCATTCAAGCTTGGTTGCAGGTGGCGACACAAATTTGGTTGGTCAATATAAGGGTTATAGTTTAATGTTCCACTGTCTTCTTTGGTACTTCGAGTTCTAGGTTCTATAATCAACTTGTCAAAAAACTTGCGGACTTTAGCCATTTTCAAATTAATGTTACAATGAAGGGACTAACCTGTAAAACAGTTTTTTTTGATGTTAATTGAATTGTAGAGAAAAGGGGATGAGTATGATTTTGATTTTGATCAAAAAAGAGAAGAAAAGAGACAAAAAGAAGGGATATGGGTAAAAGGGGGTATTGGGGGCCATTGACTATTTCTAACTCCTGCTTTATTTTTTAGGCTGCTTTTCTTTAGCAGGAACAAAACCCCAAAAAAGGGGTTACTAAGTACGTAGTACAATAAATTCCAAGAATAATTTTGTTGATGTGGAAACATTTTTGCGACTTACAAGAAGAGAGTGAAGTGTATGAATTTTGATATGCTACTTAGTTACAGTTTCCTTCAAAATATCTATTTAATTTTTTTGTTTTGCGCATTTTTTTTCTTTGCCTTACTGGTTGCAAAAAGGTTCAAGTCGTAGTTGGAGGTTCTTCTAGTGACGTCCTTCTCATGAACACAACATACAACGTGTAGAGTGGTGGAGGCTATTGAGAATATTATTTTAAAATATGGAAGCGGATGTCTAGAAAGACCTTACAGTTTTGCATTTTCTATGAAAAGAAGTGGTATATTTTTGCATCTGTCTCACTACAAAATATATATCGATTTTCAAACATCTCTAATGTTTAAGGGAGACAGAAAAACTTAAAGAATAGCAGGTGGTGTGGATCTTATCCGGCTTTCTACAATTTCAACTATTACCACATTAATACAGACCAAGCATCATAATCATGGAGGAGATAACATTTTCTAAATGAGACAGGATAAAACTTAATACCGCCTGATCTAGCGTAAAACCCAAACACAATGCCAGTCAAAAGATACGAAAAAAATAGGCGAACAAAGGCACAAATTTTTCTAGGAGCATTATACGTCAAGAGACAGTGAAAGAGAAAGCTTAGGATTAGACGTGATGTGACGCAAAGAGGCTTATCACATGATATCTTGACAACTGCCAAATACAAATTGGAATGTGGTGATGGTGTCGTCAGTTGTGAAGAATGATCCCGAAATCTTTTCCCATGCTAACCATATACGAAATATGATGTATTTCCTATTGTTTGTTGTTTAGTTCATTCACACACACACGTGGGGTCAGATGGGATAAACGAGACAGTTAGTCCGTCTTTACCCATTGTTGTTGTTGGATTAGACGAGTCTCTCAGTGCCATTGTTTAGGTGGAGAAGTGACGATGATTTTCCTATTTTGAGTTTTTAGTTTTTAATTTTTAGTTTCCACTGAGTGTTGTATTGAAAGCTTTCTGCATTGAAGAATAAATTTACGCGTATTTTGCTAACCCTGGGGTTATTGTATTGGTTTGTTTGTCGTAATCCTGTTTACGTTCTCCCTTTCGTCTAATTTTTTCGATTTAAAATTTTCTTTTTCGCGTCTTGGTTTTTTATTGTGGAGGACAAAATATGCGCATAAAGCAGTTACACATGGCCCCAGTCTAGTTCTTACTGAATAGTTCCTCTTAAATGTCGACTTACTGCTGCTGTATTTGGGAGGGTGTTTTTTGTTTTTCCGTTTCTCCAACTTAACACCTAAGAAATGAATACTGAAGAGCAAGATGAAAATGTTTACAACAAAAACGCGAACAGTGTTTTTTTTTTCGATGATAATGAAGTTTAACTGTTTTCGTTAATAGGGGAATCAAAAATAGATATTGTGTAATTTCTTTTGAGCTGTCAAAAAAAGGACATTAAAAAAAATAAAAAAATAAAATAAAAAAATTGCGTAACTGCAGAAGAAGAAATAAAAAAAAGAGGTCGTGCAGGTATTAACAATATCTATAATTAGATCAATGCAACACTTGAACATAGAGTTCAGAGCATATGCAGTCTCAAGGATAGACAGAGTCAAAGGGTTGTTTTCGCACCCACAAAGTTGGTGAAGTCCAACAGTGCCAGTAGATATTACTTCTCTGTTGACCGCTTACCAGTCACTTACTGTCTAGTTATGTTGCTATGAGCAGTCTTTGGCATAGTATATCTCTTCCTTTCTTTGAGCGTTAAAGAGGGGAACCCAAAAGTCTGAAAACGTTTTGAAGGGAGTTTACTAATAAGAATACGCAACAAGGAGAGATGATGACGATGATGAGTTTGGAGTGTAGTAAAGCAAAACGTGTTTGCGGTGAGATAAGAACTACTCATACACCTCTTCTAGTGTTTCTGAGTTTTCTCGTCTCCCCCTCTTAGACCCCAATGGGTACAATTGCCGTTTGATTTTTGTTACGTCCTTTATTGCTTCTCATTGACCAGTTTCTGTCTTTAGTTCCCCACTTAGTGTTAATTTCTTTCAGAGGCGAGTTGACTCAATAAGAGTGGTTAAGGATACTATATGTATGTATGTAAGCTTTAACTACCATTGGAGGACTATTACACCCCATCACAGGATGCCCCAAAGAAATGAAAAAAAAATTATATAAAAAATTAAGGTGAAATAGCAAAGTTAAGAAACGTATGAAATAAATCTCGGATAAATACAACCAAAGAATAATTCAATTATAATGATGTTTTTTTTTCTTGCGTCTTTCCTCCAATTGTTCATTATTCCGTTGAATGGGGGGGGGGGGAACGGCAAAAAAAAAGGACAAAATATATTTTGTATGTAATGTTACAAGACAATATGTCATTGGGGGAAGGAAAGAAAGAAAGATTCTTATTGTGCAATACGTGAATAATCTTTTCAACGAGGTTGAAATCTGTTTAGTTGTAAGCTAGTAACTAACAACTACATCTGAATAATTTAACCCAATTAAGAAACGAATCTGTCTTTCTCTTTTTCCAGTTTCAAATCTCATCTACCTCCCCCATAACGCCCCTCTTCCAAAAAAAAGTACGTTTGTAAACTCTTACGTCAAACATTACACAAAAGGTAAAACTAAAGGTATTTTCATTAATTTTTATATTTTTTTATTTTGTCACCAGCAAACAGTAGCAAACATCAACAGAAGTCAAAAAAAAGAGACAGGAGAATGTGAAGGAATTTCATAGAAGAATGAAACAAAGATAAACCAATAATGACCATCGGTTGTTTTTAAACATTGTTCTACTGCTATGTCATCTACCACTATGATTATTACGACCAGCAATAGACGATGATAATAATAAAACTGAAGAGCATTGCTGTGGTACTAAGTAAGTTTAGTAAGTAAGAGAATGTAACATTGTTCTCCAAAGAAAAAGGGAAATATTACCTAAGCCACGCACACACACAAAAGAATGAACCTATACAAACAAGAGTAGTTGTCCTCTACTCTGGTGCATCGTTTAGGAATGTTGGTTTTGTTGTGTCTAATAATAGACTTTTACATTTTAACCACAGTTGAGGTAAACAGTTAGCTGTGTTTGAAAATGGCTATGCCAGTTGTACTTTAGTCTTCAGTGGCAAACCCTATTTGAACTAAGGCGGGATTGCGTTATATGCAAGTTGCATATATTTGTGGCTTGACAAATTTTTCTGATAAAGTATAGGCACGTGTAGTAGTATATGAAGAATGTGTATTGATGTAAAGGTTCAACCTAAAATGATAATCATTTAACTCAATTGGGAAGATTAGCACAGTACATAATACTCTTGTCTAAGACAATGGAAAGGAATTAATAGGAATAAGCACGTGATAGAACACAGAATAAAGATTAAAAATAGACTATAAATGTTATATACATTCATACATTGTCTAAGCCTTATTGTCTTTGCGGTCGTGTTTATTTGACCAAAAACTATCATTAAAAAGAATATGTAGTACAAAATGCCTCTAATGAAATGATATTTTTTGGGTTTTACCTATATGCAGTACAATATATGACTATCTTTATACTTTTTTTCCATGAATTTCTTTTTTTTTCTATTTTATATATACTTTAATTTTATTTAATTTTTTTTCCCTTCATGACTAAGGGCATTACACAAACATTCAATAAAAGACACGCCTTTAATACAATTTTCTTTTTTTTCTTTTGGCTATTTTTGTTACCGCGTAATTAGATTTTTTTTTAACTTCTCCTTTTTTGAAGCAAAAAAAAAAAAAATTCTCTTGTAATGACTAATCTAGAAAGATATATAAAGGGACTTAAATATCCATATCGTCAGATTTTTTGTTCTTCTTCTTCTCTTTTTTCTTCAGCTTAGCCTTACTTTTAATACAGCCACATCTACACATCTATATTAACAATGCAATTCACTCAAATCATCGCTTCATTGGCTTTAGTCGGATCTATCCAAGCTAAATTCCACAACACTACTGGTGGTGCTGTATCCAACTCAACCGGTGCTTCTGGCTCAAACTCTACTGGTGGATCAAACTCTACTGGTGGATCAAACTCTACTGGTGGATCAAACTCAACTGGTGGATCTAGCTCCAAGTCAGATAACGCTGCCGCCGCCAACGCTAACATCTACGGTGGTGCTGCTTTGGTTGCCGCTGCTGTTGCTTTGTTGTACTAGAGAGGAGGTAAGGAAAAACATCCATTAGTTTTTATCATTAATAATTTGTATCAATTTTTTTAATTTTTTTTGGTTTTGTTTTGTTTTGTTTGTTTAACTTATTTCAAAAGGACTTTTTTGTTTTCCATAATTTTTCAGTTATATAGATTATAATTTAATTTTATTTTATTAATTAAAATAATTAATTAATTAATGATTTTCCAAATGTGTAGCAAAGATCAGGTGGTTGTTATAATATATTGACAGGGTCTCTACTTTGCTACTCAAATGCAACCCTCTGTAAGGTACCACCAGCCAGCCCGTAACTGAGTTGACTAAAGGTATTGGTTTGTATCGCGACTCTTTATCTTTATGAAAGGACTCTTGAATTTAGCGAGAGGCAAAAAACGGGCGTGGACTGGAGTGGAGTGACATGACGTGACGTGATCCAAAGTGAACTGTGTTGGGGTCATGGAGAAGAAATACAGAAATCATTTTTCCAGTTATTCCGAAGAAGACGCTGTTTATATGCAAGTTGTTGTATCTCTAATGGCGATTCATCACTATACGAAGCCTGTTACTGACCAACATTACTTCCAGACATAACGTAGTTTCTACTTTGACTGTGCATTGTGAATTTGTTGTCAAAGATGGCTGGCTATCGGTTTCTTTGGCGTAATAAACTGATAAACAGAGCGCAAAAAGAGAAACTAAAAGAAAAAAAGTTCCAAATTGGACCGAGGAAGTAATATAACACAAAGAGGTATAGGTATATGGTTCTACCAATCCATTCTATTTGATATGGGGGTGGATTGTTTACGTCACATAGAAATCAAAGTGTCTACTTCTCTTCCTTTTCCTACAATCAATCCACCAGAATTTAGCAGCCAGGTACTGTGAGATTACTCTGACTTCCCGAATTTGAAACAAACTTTATCTCGCAAAATGTTGTTGATGAGAGTAGTTTTCAAATACGCACTTGCTTTCATCATCAGTTGCACCTTTGCCAAATCAAGCACCAAACCAGCTAATGCTGTTGAGGGTATCACTTCAGCAGCACTTCCAAATGACACATCAAACAACCCAAAACTTAACCTTCATATAGAGATTGACTTGCAAGAAGTTGGAGATGATTTGTTGGAAATATTACCAAATTCATCATCATCAGAAGAAGTAACTGGAGATAATTTGACCTTGTTATACAAGAAATTGATAAGCATTAAAGACTCCAAAGTAAAAATTTCAACGATTAATCTGACAGATAAGCCAAATATTTTCCAAATATTGAATCTGTATACCCAAGCTTCACATGTGGTGCAATTTATCACCTTTCCTATAACCTATTTGCGAAATCAAATTGAAAGTGGCTGGAGTTATCTTGCAAACGAATTCGTCCAAGAGTGGAAAAAAGATCTCAACAAACAAATCCAAGCTGATCTAGAGAGGGCTACATTTAGCGGTCAAGACGGTCATATCCATTACAGCTTCAGACCCACTACAAATTTTGCACATGAAAATCTTGTTGATTATGCAACAATTAGGGACATATTACATAAACGAATTGATAGGATCAAGCAAAGTGAAGATGGGGTCTTTTTTAAACCTTCCCAATACAGTTGTTTTCTTATAATGCGAGGAAATAAGCTTCGTGGCGATACATGGGTGGGCACTGTTCTATTTGGAGGTGATCGTGGTGTATCCACTGCTGTTTGCTCACTAATTCTCCGAACGGCTTATGATGTTGATGTGAAGAGGTTGTTTTGGCATAGTTCTGGAAAATATTTGGGAACCTAGAACCAGGGGCTTAATGTGTTGTTAAAGGGCGGTGATTCTTAAAGTATATATTTGTTTGAAAGTGTGCTACCTCGATATATTAGGATATCGAGACACGTTTATAGGTAAGGCATTTGATTCTACACTACTGACTGTAAACTCTGAAATATTTCTCTACGATTTCTTTACACATTGGAATACAACACAATCAATTTGTTTCCTCAGCCATACTGGGAGATCACCTCTTTTTTGTGGGCAACTACAACTAAAGTTTCTAATTTCCCTTTGTCTCTATCAAACCAAAAGAATTAGCATCCAGGTACTGTGAGATTATTCTGACTTCCCGAATTTGAAACAAACTTTATCTCGCAAAATGCATGAGTCAATAGTGGCTGAATCAACAGTAACCGACTCAAACTCTTCATGGGGATTGAAAATCTCCATCAATTTCCTACTTATTTCATCCATTTTGCGTTCGAAATTATCTCCTTGGCTTGGACTATTGCTTTCATCAATTTCAGCGTTTCGAAAAGTAGCAACATTACCATCACTAACATCGCTTTTATCGAGGTTGTGAACTTTACTTTCACCATCGTCAGAGATGGTTTCCTCATCAGTATAAAATGAAGCCAAGTTTTCAAACTTTAGGGCAATTGTATTAACTAATTCGTTGAGCTTATACTTGAGCACATTTATATCGTTGTTTTTAGCTAGTAATACTTGCATTAACAGACGGTAATGATCATGTAATTTGTGAAACTCGGATTCAAATGAAATACAATGATGTGGCTGCTGCTTCGTGGCAATGATTGATCTTGATGACGATGCAGCTGTTCGCCTAGACCCATTGAGTCTATTCACCTGCTTCAAATTGCTAGACGTTTTAATATCAGTATCCTTGTCTTTAACCAATACATTGGCACGATGCTTCCATGATATTTGATATGGCGGTGGTACATCAATGGGTGTGAATGTTTCCAAATGAACAAGTATATTTTGCAACTGAACAAACATATCATCTAAAGCAGCCAAATTTGTAGTTGCGTCTGCGCAAGTTAAAGTGGGAACAACAGGGTTGGGGTTACGTCTGGACTTGGTAGTTGATGTACTGAGTGGTGTACATTTTTGACCAGTAGTTCTTAAGCTCAGTTGATTCTTGCTACCAGGTGTGGTTTTGTTTCGACAATGGTAAGGATGGTCATACATGGTAAGGGCCACGAGTGCTGCTGAAACTTATGTAGAACCAGTACTTGGTGTATAGTTGATTTGAATAAGTGGCTCTTGAATGCTAAAGTTTTTGGCTGCTAAAAAAAGGGATCCAAATTTAACAACGACAAACTACTCCTTATTACAAAGCAATTTACTGTTCACCTACACTACCTAGTCTTAAACAACGACTTCGAACATTCAATACATATACAATAACAAATATATTTCTCCAATTAAAACACATCAGGTAATCGTTCAACGACATACGAATGTCCACCGACACTAATAAGTGGCACCCCAGGAACTTTTCTAATCCTTCGTTTCAAATCAGCATCATTCGTCGCCACAATAAAACACTTGTGTTGCATGACTCGATTCACCAAACAATCATCAGCATAAGTACCCGCATGACTACAACTCAACCGTTGAATACGTGGATCTTTGGCCAACTTCAAAGCAATCCTATACTTGGCCCCCAACTTCTCCAATTCGGCCATGACACAATCAGTGACTATCGGTATGCATTTGGCCATTAAACAATCCATTAAACCGCGTATAATGTCAATCTTTTTTTGGATACTGAAGTTGATGAAATTTGTATCGATGAGAACTTGGTATGGTGGTTTTATCGCATCATTGAACTTGAAGAAAAGCGCCGATGATACTTGTGGTACATGTTGTGTTAGTTCGGGATCATTTTGCTGTTGTTTGGCTAGTTGGTTGGGGTTGGTGGTTTTGTTTTGCGTTAGGCGCGGGTCCTTTTTGGATATAGTACGCTTTACAGCAGCAAACTTTCTTGTCTTTTTAGCTTTACCCATGCTGATCTGTTGTATGTGTGGTGGTGTTAAGAGAAGTGTAAGATGTGTGCAAGTATGGGAGATGAGTTTGGTGACATTTTCTTTTTTTTTTTTCTTTTGGCTCTTTTTCCTTTTTTGGCAATTCTGTGCGGCTTTGAACTGAGATAAAATTACAAAATTACAAAATTATCAGTGATACAAAGGCTACACCCCCATGGTAACATATATTACTTTGAATTAAAGTTACACCTATACCTAGCCTACATCTACTTGTCCTCCTTTTGATATATCAACTGTGGTTCCAAAACGTCCTTATCATTTTCCTTCCTCTTCCAACTCAATATCCTCTTCTTCTCAAAATCAACCTCAAATAATCGAATTTTACGTACATATTGTTCATTGATTGCTGTTATACCCGAATCACCCGTGATTGAATTATAACACAACCAAATCGATGGCAAAGGGGTAGTAGTGTCTTCTGTTTTAGCTCCACCTTTGTCTAGCGGTTGTTTTGACAATTCCGAAAGAATACAAGCATCATTTTCATGTTCGTGTCCCACTGACAATACATTATACCGACAGTTTATTATATCGTCATGGAACTTGATATTAGTCTTGGTATCAAGAGGATGCTTTTCATTATACGAGCCCACGATTTTAAAGGTTCCAGCAGGACGGTATTGGGGGATGGGGTAGTGGAAAAAGAGTAGTTTGTAGTCACTTGATGTGAATTCATTGTTGATGCGGTACAAGTAGTTGATTTGAGTGTCGTCGATTAGGTGATCTTGGGAATCAAGAATAGTTATCGACACTGTTTGCTCCTCAATCGTTTCTTCATCTTTAGCTCGTTTACCTCCTTTGCCCTTCACTAGTGTATTACATATCTGAAGATTATCATTGGTGACTCCATGCAAGTTTGAATCAGCAAAGGGTACAAATGTATTGAGACAACTGGGCAACGATGATAAAAATTCAACAATGGTGGATTTATCTTCTTTATTCAGCACTTCATCACCAAATGTATATATGAATTTAGTATTTGATGCTAAAATCGGTTGCAAGCTTTTCAACAAGATGGATTTATAGTCCAATGATCTTTCAACATCAATTAAATCGCCAGTAATGACAATTAAATCAGGATGTTCTTGCTGTATAGTAGTTTCAATAAATTTCAACGTTTTCAAATCAGAACTGCACTTGACATCAGTAGTACCTGTACTACATCTGCCCAAATCTTGACCGAAATGTAAATCAGAAAGCTGCATCACCTTGTACTTGTCTTGACTAATTCGCAAAATTTGATCCTGTTTGATTACAGTTTTAGCATCCTGCGCGAGTTGTTGTTGATACTCTTCTTGCTCCTGGATACTCATCATTGATATTGATAAGATGGGGTGGACTGCCTCTTCATTGGATAAATGCAATGTACGATGAAACTTTCTTGAATCTATCAAGTCGTTACTGCCAAATAGGACATCAATTGATCGTAGAAGTGGTGTGTCCCTCAGTAATGGTTGCTCCGTATTATTGATCACAAACTTCTTGTATAGTTTAATGAATCGGTGGTCTTCTTTACCGTTGACTTTGATAAGTTCGTACCCATCTTCCTTATCCAATGATAATCCCGATACGATCCTAGTCGTCTCATCCAATGTCGACAACTTCACAGCAAGATAGTACTCATATTCATACAACTTCTTCTTCAGTTGTGAGGTGGTGGCACTCGCAGCAGATGCATATTTGTAGAACGTCATTGATGGATTAATCGTTACATAACCAGGCGGTATTTGACAAAACTTGAAACTCCGACATTTAACAATAGTCAAGTCAGATATGAGTTGGTTCTTTGTACTGATGGTGGTTTCTAAATCGTGTTGAAGTTTGAGTAGGGTGTTTTGTGGTATTGGTGTGTTTTGTATCGACTGTACTGTTATATAAATAAGAACAAAAAGACTGGATATGGCGAATGTTGCTAGTAGCTTGATATAGTGTCGATTTATAAGCATGATATTGGACTTGATCTTTGCCATGATGATTTTGTTAGGGGAGGACAGGTAGTAGTGTGGTGGTGTGCGTGTGTGCTTTGTATTATAAAACAGACGATGTGATTGAACTGAATTAAACGGTGGTTATAATACTCTTCGTAATTGTTCTGTTTTATCCACCCCCTATACCTTACACTGGGTATATATATATGTATACTTTGGAAATGACAGTTAAGTGGATTAACCAATGTGGTACGATATTATTCTAAATATGAGATTACAGTAGTTTCTAGATTTGTAGGATTTTGAAACTTTTCTGTGGTTTCCCTTTTGGGATTTTTTTTTTTAATAAAATTTATAAATTTGGGTAGCAGGGTAAGTGTTTTTGTGTCTGTAATTAAAATTTTATTTTAAAAAATACCCGCCTCATAAATTAAATCAACAACAACAAAATGATTCTATTTTTAACTCTACCTTAGTGTACACCACTTGGAGCAATCATTTAATTAAAAACAAAGGAAATACATGAGGATAGAGTGGTAATATTAATAGGGTTAATCTTATTTTCTGATATCGTTGTTTAACTTATATGTAGGTTGTTTCCCAATTTAGCTTCCAATACTTACAGAGGTCTAGAACAATTTATCTCTTCGTAAATGCAACTATTGTTAAAGCCACAATATTACAAACCACAAACCACAACGACAAATGACAAGACAATTTTTTGTTTTCTTGAAAGCTTTGTAGATCTTTTTCTTGCTGCTGTTGTTCTTGGTGGTACAATATTTTTGACACACGTCTTAGAGATAAGGCAAAGATAGCGGAGCGGATGGCGAATTACTAGAGTACACCATTTCTCCTCAATCTGGCGCTAAACCCCTTTGCTATGAGCTACCACCAACCACTCTAATATTGTTGTAACGGCAAAAATTTGAGCAGTCTACGCGACAACGCCCATTATGTCTAGACTTTTTTTTCGTATTTTTTTCTTACCATTTTGCCAATGTTTTCCAATTCGGGTGAAATTATGTCTACATTTAAACAACAACTAAAAATCTAAGTCTAAAAAGGCTTTCTTGTTTGGCGTATATCTTACTTTCGGGTTTAGCCTTGTTACTTTGTGTAATTTTTGTTATTGGTTATTAAACTAGTAGTTATTGAGTTAAAATAAGTCCCTTCATTCTAAGTCATTTAGGCGAGATTTTATACGAACTATTCAACATTACAACACAAGCTAAACAATCTCAGCCGATGAATAACAACAATAGACAATATATTTACGAAATACCTAAGTAGAAAGGTTCTATACTCCTAAAGCGTTTGCCTCTATCTTTTAATTGACCTTACTTGTGCATTGCATTTAGACGCCAACAACAACAACTGGTGATTGCTCAAACTTCCCACCTCCATATATCCCTATACTAGTGCATTATGCATCAAGGATTGGGAAAGACAACAAACAAACTGGGCTGTGTCAATTGTTTAACGAGGAACTAAGTGCTTTTCTGAAGTTTTGATTATTTGAAAAGACGTGGGTTGTTTATTTAGTAGTGCTTTAAGCTTAGGTAATAAATGTGTTCGTCCAGTTGCACAACTTCCCTTCGTCAAATACAGTTTTACCCTAGCTTTGTGAATAATAACACCTAGAGACCAATTAACCACTCTCTAACCAGTCTCCCAGAGTTAAGTCTACACTGTTGTTACAATAAATATCATTGCGATTCAAGAATAAACTTACTTAATCCTCCACCCCCTCAATACTTCGTTTCTTATTCAACCTAGCTTCAAATTCTTCTTTCGATTCACCGGCTCTCCATCTCAACTTATGAGCAGGGTGTGTCTCCAACAAAAAGCTTGAATCTTCGCGGTCGACTCCAAACAATTGTTCTCTAAAACTCAATGGTCTGCCAATGTTAGGGTAATCGTCCCACACCAAGCCTCGCTTACGCAACTCCGGAATCAAAACCTCAACAACTTCCTCAAATGTGGTTGGCTGCACGGCATAAGTAATGTTGAATCCATCAAGGTCAGATATTCCTACCCAACGCTCAATTTCATCGGCCACTTTTTCAGCCGTACCGTAAAACACGGGTCCTAATCCACCAATAGTTATTTGCTTAGCTACGTGTTCTCTGGTCTTTTTCACGTGTTCGGGCTCACCAGGAGCTTTCTTGTTCCATAGGTCAAGGAACGACTTGACGGCATTAGTTCCCACAGCGGTTATATCTTCACCATATTGGTACTGACTAATGTCAATCCCAGTCCACCCAGAGAACAAGGCCTGTGCACCTTCAATATCACCATAGCTTTGGTATTCTTGGTACTTAGATTCGGCCTCTTCTTGAGTAGCACCAATGATTGGAGTAATCAATTGTAAAAACTTGATTGACCCATCAGGACGACCAAATTTTTCAAGGGCAATCTTTTTAATTTCCGTGATCAGCTTAGCTAACGCCTCTGGAGCAAATTGGGTAACAAACACAACCTCAGCGTGTTCTGCAGCAAAGTTTTTACCAGCACTGGATGTACCTGCTTGAATAATAACTGGTAGTCTTTGATAAGGGTTGGGTTCGGAAATAAAAGGTCCTGGTACTTCGAACCATTTCCCCTTATGGTTAATCTGTCTAATCTTATCAGGATTGGAAAAGACCCCATCCTTTAGCTCAACAGCATCATCAGCCCAAGAACTCAAGAACAACTTGTAGATAACTTCAATGTATTCTTCAGCACGTTGGTATCTTTCACTGTGTGGTGGTAAATCCTCCCCATTCAACAAGTTTCTAGCTGCCGAGTCCAAGTATGAACTAACCACATTCCATCCAATCCTTCCCCGGGTCAACCAATCCAACGTAGCCAACCTTCTAGCAAAATGGTATGGTGCTTCACTAATAGTGGAAAATGTAATGCCAAACGCCAAATTGGAAGTCACAGCAGCACATGCACTAATCAATGCCAGCGGCTCAATGTTGGGAAACTGGGCTCCTGAAGTAGCAGCAGCAGTGAAGTTCTTAGGACCGTTGTAAACGTCATATGGCCCCAACACATCGGCAATGAACAAACCATTGAATTTTCCACGTTCAAGGAGTTGCGACAACGATGTCCAGTATTCAAGTGTGTTGTAGTCACGCGAGTGGTCCTTTGGGTGTTTCCAAAGCCCTGGCGATTGAAGACCCGAAGTTCCCATTTCAAAAGCAAATAACTTCAACTGCTTCTTTGGTTTAGAAGAGTTAACGTTGTCCCTATTGGTTTTAGTTGATGGTGCCATTGCGTATTGATTTAAAGAACAAAAAAGGTGGAAAATTGAATGAATTAGTAGGGAGTAGAAACGCCACTCAATATATATATGTAATTCCACTCCACATTTTTTATAAACTGAAAAAAAAATAATCCCTCCCTCTTCGGTATGGGAAAGAAAATTGTGGTTGCCAAATTTTGTCAACAATTCTCGCAATCCCTTTGTTGGCCGGCTCGCGGAAGGGATACGCTTTTGGTTTTTTTTTTTTTCGCTTAGCTTTGATTTTTACTCACCCGAAAAAACTGTGGCTCAAATGATTTTACGATTTTTTTCGATATTGCGTTTAGCCACGTCGCTGGAGCAGTCCTAGCTCTTCTGCGCCAAGCACAAGATCAATATCACAAAGAGATCCACCATTTACTTTAATTCGCTATTTACACTATAATCTTTCCTCTTTCAATGCATTACTGCTGTTTTTGAAAATGTTGTAACCCCAAAATCCAACTACATTCAACAAACCAACTCTCCAACCATTAAACAATCCCAACTGTTTTACTTTTTGCCATGCAGTGAGGTCCTCACCGTCTGGTGCAGAGGTAGCTCCATTAAACTCAACAATCATATTCTCTTCAGGTTTCACAATAGTAATTACCTTTTTCTTATCGTGAACTTTTGGTTCCAACAAGAAACGAACTTGCTCTTTACGCAACAAGTTCTCAACCGGCAACTTGACAAAGAACTCACCAATCAGTGAAAGCAAGTTGACGAAAGTATATATAGTTGGTGACGAGTAAGCATCAATGTTAAACTTGATATATAGCAAATATGGTGCCATTTTCCTAAACACAGTGGTTGACAATTGGTACATGGTTGTGAAGAAAATGATTGGCGTGGGTGGGTGTTTCAAATAATACGTGGGGAAATTTCTGATTGATTCTCTAAATGATCTCGTGTTTTGCACAACTTCTTCGGCGACAATCTGCATAGGGTCTTCGTTGTTGCCATTATTAGTCAAAGCAATGGAAGTTGGCTGGGTAATCATAAACTTGACTCGTATCAAATCCAATGGCATCATTACCAATCCAGTTAACACACATGCTGAAACAGACAACCACAACGATTTAAAAGGATCGTTCGAATGAGTCAAATCAAGAAAGAACGGATCTGGGATACCCAAGAATGGCGAAACAAATCCAGTTATATAAGCTTCAATCATGTGGGACAATACCTGGTAAAGATAGGACGCATTGATTCCTCTAAACAACCCCAAAAAGGAGTCCTTACTAGCAATTGCGGACATGATTTCCATCGTGTGCAATGACTTTGGTTGTATCTTGTACACACGAAGCCTTTTCTTAGTACTCAATCGCTTGAGTGGTGGTGGTACAAACTTGTCAGTAGCCGGTGGGGCAGGCGTTGCTGGCTCGTAGGTGGTGTTTGGATTGGCCCACACTTGCAGATCACTTTGCGACTGAAAATAATCGATCGGTTCTTCTTCGTCGACAAATCCAAGCTGTTGATGAGTCGACAGTTCAAGCTCTCCAGTTGCACTCTTCAATGAAGCGCTAGATGAAGATAAGGATTGGCTCAGATCTAACAACCTCTTCAGCTTCTCCTCCTTCTTCTTACCATTAAAGTTAAATTTACCAACTTGTAAAACCAATCGAGTAATTTCCAAGGGCTGGGCAGCTAGCACCTTGACATAATCCTTGAATAAAGTCCAAAATAAATTCTTCAACAACTCAAGCATATTATTGACATCAAAATACTCGCTGAATTCCAAATCGTAAATAAAATTCTTATCACCAGCAACTTTATTCGTCTGTATTCCCACACCTCCTTGTCTATCGAATGCTCTCCGTATTAGTCCAGGTGATGAACCGAAATTGTTTCCATTCACTTGCTTCTCAATTATATTCGATGACAAGTTTGCTGTTATGGGTTTACTTGTCTTTGGGTCGATTAATCCCACACCCTTCTTGAAAATGACTGAATAGCCAGCATCAAAGCTGTCATGATCGTAATATGGCCTTAGTTGTTCCGGTCCAAGCTTTGTGTTGGATGGAGATGACATTGTTGCGTGATGGCGGGATTAATGGCAGCTGGGGGAGGGAGATATTTTTTTGTCCCGATCTTTTTTTTGCGCTCAGTTGATTCGATTTAGTATAACATGCCTTCATGCAGATGCGGCAGTCATAGAGGACCTCTGCTGAAGTATGCTAAGTTGCTAGATACCAGCTGGTGATATGGAGTGTGTATTTCTACCAAAGAGGTGATGTATTTATTATCATGTATATCCTATAAAGAACATTGTACAGAGGGGTAACAAGCGTGGATTATCTTCCAGGGAGAGCCAACGCTACATCCTCTTCATTTCTTACAGTTATGCTCTATCCAAATGGGTTCTTCGTCTTGGTCATATATCTGTCCAGTATATGTGCACGTTTTATTTTAGCTTTCCTCTGTATTGGATTCTTTTTCTTTGTCGGACCTGGCAATCAAAAATTCTCCTAGATGCCTCAATGGGTCTTCTGGTTTCACTTGTCCCACTTCTTTCAATCCATCCAACAAGTGCTGCGTCAAATGCTTATTCAAATACCTTCGTATCGATGAACCGCCAACAATTTCATGCAATGGAGGTAAATTGGAATCACAAGATATAGATTCCTGTTTTACTTGTTTACTTTGTAATTGGGGTGTAGGTGTCGTTCCTCTTGGTGTACCATTAGGTTCAGCTTTTATTCGGGGTTCGGATTGAGGTGACAACTCTTGTTTGACTTGAGGTTCAGTCGATTCCTCTCTTGTTGAGACTCCATTTGCAACAGGAGTATCTTCTTTCTCCTGTACTATATCAGCAATGTTCATTCTGGAATATGAAGCGTGAAAAGGATCCTTTCTCTATGATGGTGATGGTTAAATTTTGGATTTTACTTCAGACACAAAAAATATCCAAAAGACAAATCTCTCCCCCAAAATCGACATCACATTTTAAATAGTTTCCCCTAGTCAAATACCTCTCCGCCATGGATCCATTCAATGAAGTTAAAGATGATGCATATACAGTCGTTGACAGATTAGAAACACTCATATCACAACGCATGTCAGGCCAACCTCCCACCACAGAACAGTCGCAAGATTTCGACAACAATTATGAAGAGTTGCAGGAGATGCGTGATGACTTACAAAGTGCACTTGAGCAAAGTGCTAAAGATCCAGCTCAGTTTAGCCTAACCAGTACCGATATATCACAACGACAGACCATTTTACAGGATCTTAATCGTCGAATATCCCATTTGCTACAAGCATGGGACAGGAAAAAGCTACGTGATGTAACAACAATGTCGAATCGTATAAGTCAAGATGAAGAAAACCCATTTAACATAGACACGGACAATGGTGGTGGCACCAACATGACGTCTTACCAACAACAAGAGTTGATACAGGAACAGGATTTCCAGTTGGACGATATTCATAAAACAATGATGAACTTGAACCAACAAGCAACCATGATGGGAGACGAGTTGGAGGATCAAGGGTTCATGTTAGATGAATTGGATTACGAAATGGACAATGTTGATAATAAATTACAAAGAGGAATGAAGCGATTGAATGTATTCATTGAGAGGAATAAAGAAACGGCTAGCAATTGGTGCATTGGAATATTGGCCGTAGTACTATGTGTATTGCTAGTTTTGTTGATTATAGCGTGATACTTAGTAATAAAATGTTTGCTGTACCTACGTTGTCGAGAGATTAAGTGAGCTAGGTAATTTTGTATTCTATACATAATCTACCTACACACTAACCATCTAAAGCAAATCCCAAGTTGACTCCATCAAACTCTTTTGACAAATCAACCAATTTTAACTTCAACATTTCCAAATCCTCGTTCTTTGGTTGTAAGCGAGGTAACCATTCAGCAACACCGTGCTGCAAAACACCTTTAGCTCTAGCTTTACCATATTTGACATTCCCATAAGATCCATGCAAGGTCAACCTCTTATTCTTTGACGAGTACGAAGCACGATGTAAAATGTTGTTGTTATAAAACACAATATCACCAGGTTTCAAATTGACAAAAATTTGATCAGTGATATATTCTTTTCTTCTTGATCCATCAACGGTCTTGTCTCTCTCTTCTTGTGTTCGTAATCTCTTATGAGATCCAGGAACAACAATGAGACAATCATCATTAGTCAATGCTAAATTGAATTGCGCACCAGCAAATGGATTTTCCAATAGTTCTTTTGCTTCTTGTTCGGGAGTTACCTCCGGTTTAATCGTATCACGATGCCAATCCAAATCGAAATCAGTCAATGGATTAATCAACATATTCAACAACTCCATTGAAATTTGATCTTTCTCAATTTGCAAGATATCCGAAACAATCGACAAGATCTTATCATTGGCATAGAGGTCATGGAAAGGGTAAGACAATTCTCCTAAATCAGGATGAAGTAAGCCAGTTACTCCCCAAATATCAGGACTGAAATTTTTGGGCCATGGTGGGAATTGTTTACCTCTGGTTCTCACATAGGGCCAGTTACCAGCACGAGCATAATCAACTAAATCTTCACTGGCTTTAATGTATCTTTCAATCTCTTGTGGCGTTAAAAAGTTTCTAACAACGGTGAATCCTTGATCATTAATTTCGTCATGGTGCTTGTGTGGCAAGTTAGTAGGAACAGGCATTGTAGTGTTGTAGTTTAGAAGTGTCTGATAAGGAGAGGATTCTTAGAATTTGGTCTTTTGGATCTCAATTTATATAATTTCAGTTGGGGAGCCTTATATACGATTTGCCGACTGACAATGTGGAGAACAGCTAATGGGCAATGTCTGATGATGGAAGATTCAGGGGGTTATTATTCTTCTGCTAAAAGCTTTGATTGTAAGTTTGTAACATATTTCCATATTAAATATTTGATTGAAAGATTCGATACAGTAGGGAGCAAATTTTGCATTAATAAAATGTAACGTAATAACATCGACACAAAATTGTTGTGTTACATTTTTTTCTCCTTTCTAGAAATGAAGAAATATATTGTGGAGAAAAAGATGGAGAAGAAATGTGCATACAGCCAAGGGTCGCCTAACCCCGACGATAGCCGGCAGATTTATATATGCAGAGGGGACCCTCTACAGCTGAATTTTTGAAGAAAGTTTGTATCAGATGTTCAACGTATGTAGGTGCAAAACATGTGTAGCTCAAAAGTTAAACAGCCGACATTAGGTGAAGGACATATTGTTCATTGAGTGGTTTCTACACAACGAAAGCTGTTTATAAATGAAGTGAGTATGTCTATTATCAAGCTAGTGTATTGATGGAAATATGGTGAATTTGGTTTGTTAAGTGGCATTTGATTTTTATGTTATCTAATTTTAAGTTGAAGTATTTGTAATTGGTCGTAGATGGTTGGACCAATTAGTGTGCTACTCCTTGGCAATGTAGTTGTTTAAATTCTTTGCAAACAAACACCCCATGGGAGTAAACACGGGCAGAAAGATGCAAATGCTAAACCAAACGACTAAAAGAAATTGTCTTATCTATTCAGGTATCCCTATATCCATTAAATATTATTACAGCTAGTACCTTATTTCATACCACAGATTTACAAAGCCCTATGCTAAGCTCTTTACATTTCGTGCGATTCCTCCTTCTTCCCCTCGAGCTACGTGAATAAAACATTCATGTTCAAATGGCCTACATCATCCATAGCTTCTTCGACATCGTTATCAAAGTCTACTATACCAGTAAGCACACTTAAACCCGTCACAACATGCAGCAGCAGCTTATCTTCATTTTCTGTTACATTCTTTGTCTCTGTATCATTTCGAGTTGATGAAATGGGTAATGCAGGCGTCATATGTGCCGGATCAAAAGATAATAGAGTATTATCATATTTTCTAGAAGGTCTAGCAGCACGATACAACAGTAAACTTGACGATGACGGTGATGTAGATTTTGTTGCTGGCGATGTTCTTAATGATGATGACCCACTTTGAGTCCTTCCAGAGGACACACTTTCAGTAGAGGAGCTGTTGCTATCCAGTGATGATAGACGCATGGGTGGCAGTCTTTGCTTGATGGTTGAGGCACCTGGCTTCAGAACTCGACTGTTGGTCTTTTTCGACAAGTCCGGCCAGACACATTTTTGATTCCTCACTTGGCACGCTTGGCACACAGGTGATGTCTCATCGCATTTCTTCCTATGTAATCAGAGAAGTTAGTAAAAGGCCACTGTATTTGGTACCCCAGTATGTTACATACTTTCTCTTGCGACAGTTCAAACAACCGGTCTTGCTTCTGAATCTAGCACCCACTATATTATGTGTCTTGATTTGTTTTTGTTCGAATCCGATAATGAGTGCATTACTGTCATCCACTTGTGTAGTATTGGTGGTTGAAGTGCGTATCGGAGTTTCTGGTGGGGTAAGTTTTCTGTTGACATCAGTGAACGACGACGCATCAAATATGGAAAACATGGTATTTGAAAAATAAAGTCAACAACAACTCTTCGCTTTTTAGTACTTATTTGGCGAATATGAGTGAAAGAATGCTACTGCTCCCCTAGGGTCAAAGCATTACAAGGTGGAGAGAAAAAAAAAATGTGGTGTGGGATTCTGAAATTTTTTTTTTTTGACTCCGGTAAAAGTTAGCGCGATAAAACAATAAGAATGACGGAATTTCAAAACGGAATTATGATAAAGACACATCAATTTCAAAAATCTCAATCTATACACTTATCAAGTACCAGCTCTAAGTGAGAAGTATCAAAAGACTCTCTACTTTAAGAAGCTATCGTCCAAATGCAACTCCATCTCATATTCTGGTTGGAATTCAGTATACAAAGTTTCAGGATCACCATCATGATGTTCACAATAAGCTGCTTCTTCATCACCAATCAATCTCAATGACTCACCAGGCAACAAAGCCAGCTGAGCTGCCAACTGGATTTGACATGATTTTTCCATCAAGGTAAATAAATAAGCTGCTTCATCCACTGTTGAACCGACAGTCAATAATCCATGATTTTGCAAAACGATACCCTTTCCATTACCCAAAGCAGCTGCTATTTTCTTACCTTCTTCTGCTTCTAATGCCACGCCTCCAAAATCTGTGAAAATGGCATGGCTATTGTAAAATGTACAAACGTCTTGATTGATCATATCCAATTTCTTGCCCAATGCTCCAAATGCTTTACCATAAACCGAATGAGTGTGACAAGCAGCATGAACGTCAGGACGCAATTTATGAATTGCTGAATGGATAGCGAAGCCAGCCGCATTCAAAGCAATTTGATTACCATCTGGTAACAAGTTTCCATCTTCATCCACATGAACCATATCACTAGCTTTCATTAAACCAAAATGTTTTCCCAATGGATTGATCCAAAATGTAGTTGGGTCGACTGGGTCTCGAATTGAAATGTGACCTGCTGTACCTTCAGTGTATCCCTTCCTTGCAAACACTCTGAATGCTGCTGCCATATGTTGCAAAGCCCATTTTCTTTCTTCCTTTTTGTTGGCAAATTTTGGAATGGGGAAAGGGTGGGCACCTCCTTTGGCGATATTGTGTGATCCCCTCGTGCCCATTTCATAGCCCTTCGATGTGGCTGATTGTGTAGTAGTCTGTTGGCTGGTTGGTAATGTATCTTGTTGTAGTGTTGGTGCCATGGTCTGTTGTTTTTTGATTATTGTTTGATTGATGTGTACGGAGAAGAAAGAAAAGGGCATCAGGTGTGGTTTAAATATATATTTGTGTTAGATACTGATAACGTATTTCTGTTATGTTCCGTACTGCATATAGCTGGTCTGGTAGCGGGAGACTTTCCCCATTAGGATTTGCGAAAAATCCACTAAAGTAAATTCATAGCGATAAGCGACGATAAGTTAAGACAGGGTCACCGTGAGTGATTAGAATTTCAATTGAACAGAGTCAGATACGTTAAAAGGAAAAATGAGCGGGGTACACTTTCCGAGGGTTTAGAGATACGCAATTACCCCATTTATGAGATATTATCAATGCTGGTTTGCCGTGTAAAAAATATTCATTTATTGTCTTGAGGATGAGAGCATTGTATGTAGCAAACTCCAAAGTCAAATGAACGAAAAGCTTAGCAATAAATTAATAACCAATAGTCTTGGTTTCGCTTGGGCCCATGCATTGTCCATTTTGTAGCATGTGGGATAGGTATACTGGTCGAGAGAGATGTGAGGCTGAGAAAGCTTTCATGTGAATATACAAGGGTGGATGAGTTCTAGACTCACAAAAGGAGGCCGTTCCAGGATATGGCACTAGAACATCAGGTTTGGCTGCAAATTCCAAATCACGACTATAAATCTACAGATGTAATGAAAGTAGTGACGTTTGTATTAGACGAAAGCAATAGATTGTGGATAATGGTGCCACTATTCTTCTTCTTCTCCGTCTTCCTCTTCTTATTCTTGTTTTGGCTTTTTGTAATTTCATATGTTTTTGTGTTGTGGTTTAATATTTCAGCTTTGAAACATAGAACATCTATTATTGTCTTGTTCTATGTGCAATTGTGGCATATTACAAGTAGCATAGTGTTGATTAAAATTTGACACAATGGAAAGTGTATTGAATACATCATCTGCTAAAGATTGAAAACGGTGACCAAGTTGTTAAAAGGTAGGGAGGCAGAGAGACAATACTAAGGTTCATTCTGTATTTTAAATCAATACATTTCTTTGCAGCCTTTAATTATACGAGACAAGTTGATGTAACACAGATTAAACAAGACAACGTAACCATCAGATGGGCAATGGATGAGATGAACGAGGCAATGTGATCCAGAGAAGACATTTTTCGTTTGTCCTTTCTTCGCTTGCCCTACAATGCAGGGGGGTGTTAAAAGATTTGCCCTCTCTTTAAGAAGAAGAAGAAGAAGAAATAAAAAAATTTCTTTTTTTTATTCTTTTTTGAAATTTTCTGCAATCATATGGTAGCATCAAACCCCAACTTAATTAATTAATATATTGTTAGAATTACTTAGTAAAGAAACATAATTATATATATACATACATACACACACATAGACACAGCAAAAGTAAAAAGCAAGAGGGCATTATTTTCCCAAGAAATAATTTTCAACCCATCCACTTTAAATCACCCCCCCCAAATAATAATAATATAATATTACTGTTATTATAACAAAGTCGCTTATAATAAACGATAAATTAAAGTCCTGCTTAGAGAGGAGCAGCACCCGCACCCAAGGTCACAAACATATATTCGACTTCAACACAATAAGTATACTTTTGTTGGAAAGAATATACAACCCAATCTACATCAGTAACAAAACATGGCTTCTATTGTTAGTCACCACCACCACCACCACCAAGGGTCAACATCACCGGCACCACCACAGAAACGAATTCGAAAACTTCCACCAGAAAAGAGACAAAAGGTTTCAACTGCATGTGATTCGTGCAAAAAACGGAAATTTAAATGCACAGGATCAAATCCATGTGACCTATGTGTAAGGAAGGGATACGAATGTACATACACTGTCATTGATAAACGATCACTAAAAAGCGAACGATTACAAAGACTAAAAGAACAAAAACGATTACAGGAAGAAATACAGGCTAAAGGAGGATCAGTGGTACAGAGTGGGTCAGAGGGCAAGGCTGAGTCCAACTATGTACATCATACACCACAACAAAACAAGTTTCAACAGCCAGAGTTTATTCCCCTTCCCTATCTCCAGCAACAGAGACCTCAAGCTCCTCAACAACAGCCATCTTTCGCTGGGATATATGAAGCAGCACAGCAACAACAACAGCATCAGCCATATCCTAAACAACAAATTACTCCACCAGATGCACCTCCATATCAGCTGCCACAGCAACAGGTGCCACAATACCAACAACACCAGCAATACCAAGCTCCTCCCAATTTTCAACAACCACCACCACCTCCTCCTCCCCCTCATCAACATCAACATCAACAATATCCACCTTATCATCAATTCCAAAGAGCATCTGTCCCAATTTCTCCCAACTACCCACCGCAACCATATCCTCACCAGGGGTTTCAACCATATAGCTCCGATCCAAGACCAGTATACCAAGGTGGGCCTTCACATCCACCTCCAGATTATCCACCATACAACCAAGCCCCATTTTACGGGCCACCTGGCCACCAATTTCCACCAGGGTCACAGCTACCACACCCTGTTGCAGCACCTGCAGCACTGCAATCTCCACCAATACCACCATCGCAACAACGTTCTTTGCTGGTGAATTATCAGCATGAGACACAGCAGGCTAGTCAATATGAGCACGAACATCAACCACTACCTTCTTGTCCATTAAACAAGAAATTTAACCTTGAGACTTCGTCAAAAGAAGATGTCCCCGAAGACAAGAAACATTTGGTAACCCAATCGTCACCATCTGGCAAAAACGAACTTGACACTCCACACCAAGATGCTGGGATTCCAACCCCAAACTCGCCAGCATCCAACTTGGCTGAAAAGTCTGTCGCCAGTTCTATACCCAAGTTCCTTCAACCATTGCTCTCTTTCTCACTGATCCTTACAAAGAAAAGAAGCACCAGAGCTTTTGGACAAACTTTAGGCGAAGATGAGGCCAGTGAGGGAACGACAACGCCAAACAAGAAAAGGAAAAATAAAGACAAGAATACTACGGCCCTCAAATTGAATAGCCAAGACGAGGCAAATGCTGTTATTGACGAAGAAATTGCCAATGAGATTTCCGGCGAGATTGATTCGCTTGAATCTAAAGATGGAGTTTCAAATCAAGCAGGCAAGAGCTGCATTTTGTTGAATGACAAATCTGGTACATTTAGATATATGGGTGAAACCAGTCCCCTTTCAGTATTGTATGAAACCAGAAATATATTTTATCAATATGTGGGAAAGACGAAATTGACGGAGGATTTACGCGGATGTCCCGTGGTTGATAAACCACTTAAATTGACTGCTGAAGTTGTGATGCAATTGCCTGCACCAGATGAAAGAGACGTTTATATTACACAATTTAAACGCAATATTAATGACACTTTTTTCGTTTATGATTTGGACAAATTTTATTCCGACATTGTCGACCGAGTGTACCTGGATCCTATAAATGTTGAAAATGAAACCAAATTAGTCCAGTTATACTTTGTTTTAGCCATTGGTGCAACTTATTTTTCGTTTAGTAACAAGGACCCACAACCAACATTGGGTGCACAATATTTCGAATCGGGTCTTCTAATACTCAAGTCACTTGTTGAAGACTCTGAAATGTGGTGTGTGCTCGCCCATTATTTGCAGTTCCACTATTACCAATCGATATTAAAGAAATCGACGGCATGGATTCATTTAAATTTAGCTATCAAATTTGCTCAGTCTCTTGGATTACACCGAAATTTTGTTAATGAGCAATTTTCCAACCTAACTGATGAATGCGAGTATAGAAAACGTATTTTCCGCAGTCTTTACTCGAGCGATCGAATCTCGTCAGTATTCATTGGCCGACCATTGGCGATTAATGATTATGATTGGGATGACCCCACAAGGTATAAGCTGTCGAAAACCTTGATTTCATCAAGTCTTAATTTCAACGCAAAGTGTCAAATTGAGTTGGCACGAATCAGTCATTTGATTGGTAAAATTGTCGCAAATTTTTACCAAAATAGGATTATTGATATCAATAGAACCAAGAATTTAGCCGTGCAATTAAAACTATGGTCTAAAGACCTTGACCTGTTATTGTCAGTTGAAAATCTATTCAAGCCGCACGAGATCACGCATAATGAAGATGGTGGTAATACCCAAATCGTATTAATGATGCATTTATTACAATTGTTTGCCATTATGTTACTTTGTCGACCATTTTTCTTGTATGATGCTGTTTCTCAAGTTAATGCTACTTTCCCCAAGACCATTACATTAAAGGACAAGTCATCGTCACGGCAATTTATTCATGCAGCTACAAAAGCATCGATATTAGCCGTCAAATTAATGAATCACTATATAAATACTTCATTTAAAGAAGTAAAACGGATGGAATGTTATATCATTATAACTTGCTGTTTCTACAGTTCTATATTTATTGGAATCAGTATTTTGAATGGAGGATATCAATTTGATGACGATGATGATGAGGGACAGGGAGATGGAGATGGAGATGGAGAAGAAGGAGGTGGAAGGTATACTGAAACAGAAATGATGAATTTACTAAGAAATGCGGTGTACATTTTAAATCATTATTCAACTTGTAATAAAGGTGCAGAAAGGTATGCCGAAATTGGAAGCGATTTGATTGATGCTTTGGCAGATAGGCATAAACACAATTCAACTACAGACAAGCTGGAAGCTGATAGTGCTGGTGAAGTCGTTGGGTCAAATTCGTTGCTTGATCCTGAAGAAGTTATGAATTATTTCAATTTCACAGACGATGCCAATGCTCAAGATTTGCGAAACTTGATTGATTTCCAGCAATTTTTCGTATCGCTGGATATCACTGGTGGGTCTATTTTTGATTCGAGCAACATGCCTTATGATTATGGTAACTATGATTTATTCTTTGGTGATAAATACTAGCGAGGGGGGAAGTTTTCAGCTGTGGAGCATGGTGAGGAATGGATGAGGGAAAACGTTTTGTGGGATTTTATTTCGGTTTACGTGATTTTAGTTCTTTGTATTTTCTTTTTATTGTTTTTTCTAATGTATTGAATATATTTACATGTGATTAGTGGGAATATTAAAACTTTATTGTAGATAAAGAGGTGATACTTACTTTTGCAGTTTGTCCATTTTTTAGGTTTTTGCGCTTTTCAACCAATTTCCGTTCTTTGACCAAAAAGAAGCAAAAGTGAGAGAAATTTTTCTTTTCTATGAATTTTAGTTAAAGCTCTAAAAACGCAAACGGCTAATTGTCACTCCACATATATCACGTTCAATTCACCCTCACACCCTGCCTTACCCTTGCAGCTTCATCACATCTTTTTTTTTTTTCAACCATGAAGAACTCCATTCTACTACTACTTCACTCCATACTAGCTCTTGTTTTTTTTTTTTCCAAGACAATCTTGGCATCTCCCGGTGATGACTTGTACGCATTTCAGGATTGTATATACCAATGTGAGCAAATAACATGTTACAACAACCACTACTATATCGACCAATATGAACGAGGACAAGAACTATTAGATCAAGGTTACGATTTATACTATTATAACCCTAATTGGCTATTTGTTGATATGCCATTACCTTGGCATTTACGTCTTCTTGGCTGGAATTGTCAACTGAATTGTGATTATCAATGTCAAAGAGTGATTACTGCCGAAAGGAGGAAGCACGACGAAGAAATTTATCAATTTCATGGTAAATGGCCATTTCAGCGGATTTGGGGAGTACAAGAAGTGTCAAGTGTTTTGATGTCATTGGGCAACTTGATTGTGAATTATCAATTTGGATTCAAGAGGATTTACAAAATAGTCACTGATACGAGTTTACCCTTGTTGCATCGAAAACAATACTACAACACCTTGGTTGTGGTTGTAGTAACTATGCTTGCATGGACGGCATCGACTATATTCCATACGCGTGATTACCCCGTAACTGAACATTTGGATTACTATTTGGCAGGCGCTACAATTCTTTCAACGTTCCATGCCTTGGGTTCACGGTTATTCTCAATGTACAAGCGCAAAAACCAAATCTACCAATGGACATTTTCCATCTTGTGTTTATCGGCATATACTTACCACGTGCAACGATTATATCGCGATTGGTCTTATACATACAATATGAGAGCAAACATCACCATTGGATTATGTCAAAATTTGTTTTACTGTCTAATTGTCTTCAAGTTGTATTCAAAATATTATTACATTGAACAAGAATCGAAACAAGTTAATCAAAATCATTTGAAATATATCGATTTCAAACGAATTATTTTACCTAGCTTTTACACTAGAAGTGCCAAGCTATACACCTTGTATCCATTGATGTTGTGCACCATTGTGGTTTTGGGGTCGTTATTGGAAATTTTCGATTTCCCACCAATTTTCCACGACTTGATTGATGCTCATAGCTTATGGCATTTGGTGACCATCATACCTCCATATATGGGCTGGTACGACTGGTTGGTTTGGGATATTGATGAAAATGTATGGCTGGATTTGGTGAAAGAAGAAGATGATGAGACAGACAAGAAAAAGAAGAACGATTAAAAGAATGTTTATAGAAGTGGTGTTTTTATTTATTCGTAATCTAAATTTAATTGTAATTCAATTGTTTTAATCTTGTTTTAATCACTTAAATCTTCCTCTGGAGGAACATATGGTGGTGGTTTGAAAAACTGTTGATCTTGTTCAACGTCGTTTTTGAATTTATCTTTATCATCAACAAATTGATACAAATATTCCAATTCTAAATCGTGCACTTGTCTACCTAGCATCACCATTGTATGCAATGGTTCACCTGAATCATATTCGCTTAATTCTTTCAATGTCCCTGCTTTGAAAGTTTGCGTTGGTGCACCTAATCTCAGGATTGCTACACAAGGTGTATTTTCCGTGTATGCTTGTTCTTGTCTCGTTTCCTCAATTTCAATCAATTGCTTGGCGGCCGTGGCAATATCCATATACCTAGGTGGCTCATAGATTAATCTTCCTCTAGCCATATTCTCAATACTCTGTTCTTTAACTTTTATATCCAACAAGACCAATGTATGTAATCCAATTTTTCGATTTTCCATAATCTTGTCATAAAATGAATCAGGTTTCCAAGAATCAGTGAAAAACACTAGTGATATAGTTTGACCAAATTGATACAATTGTAATCCACATGCCCCCACTGCATTCATTATCGATGCATTATGTATTGATTCGACTTTAATTCCCAATTCACGTGCTCGCAACACCAAGTCAGTATGAGTCGTTGCTCCAAATGGATCACCAACAACTAAAAATGCTACATCTTCAACATCAGCATTTCGCAAGATTTCATCACTGCCACTTTCAACCAATTCACGATCAGCAAGGATGATTTCGCGTCCATAGTAGGATTCAAGTGATTCTTGATTGGCAGCCATAAGGATCGATGTGTATGCTTCTAAGTAGACACGTGAACATTTCTTGACTGTTTCAAGACCTCGTACAGTAATATCTGACTCGTGTGAGAGCCCAAGACCTATAAGATACAACATTGGGTTACGTAGGTGAGTGTCTTCTGAATGGGGAGAATTTTGTAGTTTAATTTGGGAGATGAAGAAAAAAAAAGTTAATGGCTCATCTTTGGACGCCCTTCTTATGCGCTCATCTTGCTCATCTAGTTACAAATTGTTTTCATCAACTATAAATCATCTACGTATTAGCATTATCGAGTAATTGGTTGGTTCTTGCAAATACTCTCGATGTAGCTCGGAACCACCAGTGTTGCCTCTCATACATCGCAGAGAGTTTCGATCAATTTGTACAACTCAGAATCACCATATCCAAATTCATCAAGTAATTCATGGAACTTGTTTTTAAATAGTTCCAATGTTCTATATGTGGCATGCATCGAGTCTGTGTTATGCAAGTAGGTTACTGCATCTTGCAACAACCCTGGTTGTTTACTTCTTTGTTTTGATGACCTGAATTCGTATAGTATCTTGTGAACAGGGGAATTTGCCCAATCTTTCTCCTCACGCAAATTGATCAATATAGGAAGGGACAATTTTCCCTCTATTAGGTCTTCTCCAGCAATCCCCTTCATTGTTGAATAACGTGCGTCAACCAAGTTCAAGTAATCATCTCGTACTTGATATATGATTCCAGCTAAGTTGGCAATGGCCACTATTCTATCAAATTCTTCTTCACTAGGTGGCTTGGGTGAACATGCTTTGAGTAATTTGACAGATAATCTAAACAATCCACCAGTTTTGTTTTGAACCATGTCCAAATAGTCTTCAACAGTTGGTAACTTTGGTAGTTCTGGCAAAAAATCTCGCCAATAAATATCAAGACCTTGTCCGTTGTGTAAGTTTATCATTTCCAGTACCAAAGCCTTATGTGTATCTTGTAATCGACCGTTGTAATTATCTGTAATTTCACTTCCATAGTCCTTCCTGCTACTGTAGTCAAGTAGATTGCCAGCAATTTTCATGGCTTTGAAATACATCAAATTAGCACAATTTATGGTTAAAGGTTGCCCATATTTTACATGCGCTGACGGGAACCCACGGCGATATTTTGAGTTGTCTTCAATATCATCGATAAGTAACGATGAGTTATGCAATATAGATATGACTTCATTAATACCCTCCAATTCAATTTCGGTTAACCCATCTCCAAAAAAAAGCTGGTTAAATATACGAATGAACTTCCTTCTGATGTTATTGTTGTTGCTGGGCAACCCACTCAAGTAGTCATAGGGTTGACAAATTAGCTTGTGAGTAGAATCAAATTTATAAAAGTTGAATAGTAGGTTACTTGACTCCTCCTCCCTATCAGTAATTATCTCGTCAATGTCTATTGGATCTAGCATTTTGGGGAAAGGTTCGAGGACGCCGTTTAGATCACTGGGGTAAGATTTCTCACGACTTAATTTCTTTGTCTTCACGCTACCTAAGTGCACCAACATTTGTACACGTCAGTTATAAGCCGGGCAGATTAAACTACCACTACACAAACACATAAAAAAGAAGTGCCAACACTGCAACTACTTCAAAAGACTCCCCTTTTCTACTAAGAAGACTATGGACGCTCTATGGACAAATCTTCCGCCTGTGACAAAAGGTTGGTGTGTGGCATCCGCCGCGGTTTCAACACTAATAACCATGAACAAATTAAAAATCATGAACTTGTACTTTATACCGGTCAAAATATTCAATCAAAATCAAACATGGCGACTAATCACTTCATTCATTACATTTGGTGAGCTCAGCATTGGGCTAGTTTTTAATCTATGGCAAATTTCCTCGTCGTGTCAAGATATTGAAGTTTCGTATCAAACTAAATTTACACAATTTCCATTATACCTTGTTGATGACTTGAGTACAGAACAGTTGGGAACACTAAGGCAATTCATTGATAGAAACAAGTCTATTGATTTCTTGTACTTTGTCTTGCAAATTTGTGTTTCGATAATTGCTTGTGCCTCAATGCTTTATTACAAAATGTATATGATTCTACCTCAATTGGGACTCGTTTTGATAGATTTATTTCAGTATTATGGCTCCAAGTTGTCACCATTAGAGTTAGTTGGCTTCTTTGGTTTTCGCTTTAAAAGAATGTATTTACCTTATCTTGTTGCATTGGCCACGTTGCTAATGAGTTTTGCAAAACAGGAACATACACCCAATCAAGCAGCGAGTGGTACTAATTGGGGACTGATGTGGTGGAATGCGAGGAATATTTTTCAAAAACCGGAAATTTGGTTTTATATAATTAGCTTCGGTTTGGGACATCTTTGGTGGTGTAGCAGAGAAATTATATTGGGGAGCATACATTACAATGATGACGGAGATGCAACAAATCTAGATGAAGATGATCGTAGTTGGAGGATTAAGAGGAGAGATTTACTCAAACAGAATGGAATTTGGAAATTTGATTTAGTGAAGGAGGCACTAGTGATATTGATGTTGCCGCCATGGTACTGGATTATATTGTCTAAAATTAAGCAGCAACGACCAGATGCACATCGTCGTCAACGTCGTGTACCGAATGAAGGCGATGTCGTTGCAGATGTCCATGTCGATCCAGAGCTTCATGTCGATCCAGAAGTGCAATTAAGAGAGGGCCTAGAACAGGATGAAGAACGCGCAGAAGAGCAAGTGATACGCCACTTGAATCAAGTAGACTAACAAGATACTAGTGGAGTATTAAGAAATTGCATTCTCAAAGCTCATTTGTAACCAGGAGCTCTCGGAGCTCAGTTACACAAGCAAAACTTAGACTTCATATTTGTGGTTGAGTCACGTGCAAGCGATTAGAATGTCAAATGTAAATGTTTTGCAACAAAATTTAAACGACTTGTCTCTTTTTCAGCTTAATCTGTACGTAATTACTAATCTTCGTCACTGAAACACGCCCATCGCAAACAATGAATAGCGATCTATCAACTGACACATCAGCATCACTCAATCCACAACATTCCCGATTCGATGCATTCAAAAACATTCCTCGTCTCAACCAATATCTTGAAAACAAGCGTATCGAAAAACTTGAAGACCAACAGCTCAAGCTCGAATACGAAATTTCCAACCTGGAGTTCTTTCTTGCATTAGAGAGAGACAAGCTTGAGCAATTACAAAATACAAAGGTATTTGTTGATCAAACAATTGAAGTAATGGTATATGAAGTTATACGTCAATCACACTTTTGTTTTAATCGGTTGTTTCATCCACTGTTTAGTTACTATGAGCCAGATTTGCCTATTCCTCCGACTGTTGCCAGTGCGTTTGATACTTTGGTAGAAATGATGATCAACCATAGATTTGCTGAGGATGGCATGATTGCTTTTGCTTTGAAGTTTCGCAAAAGGTTGGAACGCAAACTGAGTGATAAGCAGTGGGATATTGAGGATTACGAAAAGGGCTTGAACAAGATGAATAGTAAGTTAACTCAAGTTAAAGAAAAGTTGAAAGAGTTGATGGAACTGCGTGAGGAGAGGGAGAAAGAAGAAGTGAATTAGGACCTGGCAGTTTTGAACATCCGTGTATATACTATATTAGTAGGAGTGGAATTTGCTTAAAGTTGAATATGGCAATTGAAGGCATCTTGTGGAACTCATAATCTCTCACCTCTTATCTTACCAACGTTGAAACTTTGTTTTTCAATCTTAGGATATTGTATTTAATTTTTTTGCAACACAATTTCCGCTTAACCATTCAAAACCACCATTAGACCAAAAGATCCACTTTCAAGAGATGTCATATTCGCTGTGCTCTTCTGCTGACTATGAGGAACAGAGAATTACAGACATGTTCACACCTACAACTGCTGCTGTACCTGCTGCAACAGCCACTGTCACTACCACCATTGATGTTCCCAGCTCTGGTTTTCTTGAACCACCTTCACAATCTCAATATTCAACTTTACCATTTCAATTTCATCAATTCTTTACTGATGATACACCTACTACCCTAGCTATTCAACTCAAAAACCTTCATTTGCCTACATCGGAAGGTCGACTTCAAGTTCACACGTGTATGAATATGATCAATTTCTTTGCTGATATTAAACAGAGTCTAATCGAGTGTATATTGATAATTAAATCTATCCTTGATGGTAAAACTGAGAATGAAATGTGGTTAATAAGACTGCAACTAAATAAAGCTGTGATGAATGGTGAAGTCTTTCAAGAAGTCATTCAATTGTTTGATTATATTATTTGTACAAACTTTGATGAAGATGGGAGGTCAAGCTTATGGGAAAGTAGTGAAGGTGTTGATCCCGAAGAGAGCGAACTGACTCAATTGCAGGACATTGGAATGTTGGTTTCAAGGGATTTGGCCACCATGAAGAATTTGGTTCGTGATATGGCTATGGTGGCTAAGCATCCTGTTTCTTGTACGTGTGGTAGAAAAGAAGTTATTAATGAGGTTGTTCATGAAGACCAAGCCATGGAAGAGGTCGAAGGAAAGGCTACCATGAAAGTGGAGGACGAAATTATTGACGACTTTATTGAACAGATTGCTGTTTTAGAAGAGGATGGAGAAGATGCAACAGTTAATGAGAAGGTTCGTGAGGTTGTTTCTGAGCATGACAAATTGATCAGAGAGGAAGTGAATGAAACTGTTTGCAAAGGGTTCGAAGGAGATCAACCTGCTATTGAAGAAGTTCCGGAAAAGATTGACAAAGGGGAATCCGAAGAAGTTGGAGAGGCTACCGAAGTTAATTTTGCTGATGTTTGTGAAAAAATCGTTGTTGAAGCAGCTGAAAATACCGTCGATGATGTAGAACAAATCGAGCAGGTTGTTGAGGTAGTTGCTGAAAGGGTCACTAATGACGAATATCAAGCATTCAGTGGTCCAACTGAATAGGGCATGCTCAACTACCTTCATCTACATCAAATATCTAAATAAAAAATCAGTCTAATTACTCTGCTATAATTTAATAAAATGTGATTAGCTCTCTACTTGCTGCCATCTTTGAATTTCTCAATTTGTTCAGCTAATCCAACAGGGACTTCAACAGCTTCAGGCGCATCCTCGGCTCTCTTTAATCCTTTATCATCAATTTGCTTCTTTGTTTCCTCCTTTTGTTTCTTTTCACTTGGAGTCATGACCAAATCAGCGAAATTCAATCTAGAGCCCTTATCATTGTTAGCAGCAGCGGCAGCGGCAGCATCATTTTCATCTTCAGCAGTCTCATTCCATTCAGCCAACTCCTTTTCGTGTTCCCTTTCAATAGCAAATTTAACTGCCTCCAATACATCGTTACATAAATGTTTTGGCTTATATTTAGGTTCAGTACCTTCCTGGTAAACACCAGTTTTGACCAAGATTGAAAACCAAGAAACATCATGAGAATTAGCAAATCTGATATCGGATTCAGGTGTATCACCAACGAAATATACTGTTGATGCTGGAGGCAATTGTAAAGTGATCTGATCGGGTTTACCAACTTCAGCAAGTTTAGCAAGATTCTTCTTTGCATTATTGTAGTCCTTGTGTGCTTGTTTCTTTGATACACCAATGTTGACTTCTTTTTCCTTCTCTTCCGCGTCTAATTGATCGTCAGATTCTTCTTCTTCAGAGTCAGAAAAGTTGTAACTCTCCAACTTCTCTTGATTGATGATTTCTTCACCATCTTCATTGATTAGAATATCTGCATCCTTAGCGTCCGGGTCATTTATGCTCAATTTCTTCAAATGTTCATCCAAAACACCCTGTCTCCAATGACTCAACACTTTGTTGGCAAATTTAAAAGTGCCAACTTGTGGTTTACCAAATCTGTTAACCTTCAATTCTTTACCAGTATGCTCACGGTATAAAGCAGCAATTGAGACTTGCAAAGCACCCATACCATATCTTGATAATTTATAATTTGTAGCCCAAATGAAATCAGAATGAGCAAAGTAAATTTGTGGACCTTCATCGTAGGTTTTGGATTGGGTACCCATAACACCGTCTTTGGATAACAACAATTCCAAAATGATTTGTTGATCAGCAGCCCAGTTTCTTGAATCAGCAAAGACTAAAACAGCATCGATTGGGGTCTTACTAAAGTCAACATCTCTAGTGCAAGTCTTTTCTTCTTCAGTTAAGTCATGGTATGGAGAAACTGCTGGATTCCATTTCAAAACATCCAATGGTGTGTAAACATTTTTGAATCCATAAGATTCAGCAACATTACGACAAACGTTACCAACACCTCCTACAACAAGGACATTCTTGTAAATACCAACCAAATCTTTCATTGGTGTGTGTCCTTGGATAATTTGGTCCGGGGTAATGGTACAGTTCAACCTTTTACTCAAATCGTCAGCTCTCTGCTTTTCTGGCTTACCGCCACCATTGGTGACGAAAATTGATGGCACTTTAATATTGTACTTGTTTTCTCCATTCAATAACCTCAAAGCCTCAACAGCTTGGGGAATAGTGTTAGGACCTCTTAATATGACACCATCGATATCAAAACAGAATGCATAAGAAGCGACTCTCTCATGATCAATCACATCCTTTTTATTTCTCTTGATGATTGAAGCGTTTCTTGAAAGTTTGGCCAAAGAGTCAACCTTTTTCAAGTTTGCTGACGATGACTTCTTCAAATTGCTGTTACTACCGTTCTTGTTTAAAGATGACGAAGACGACAACTTGGTTAATCCGTTTTGCCAGTTGTTCAAGTCCGATAATGAAAGTGATGATACTCTATGCTTTCTAGTTTGTGGAGTTAATTCATCGATACCATCGTTGTTTAAATATGATTGGAACTGTGCTCCACCATCTTCCTCGATAACTTGTTCGTTTTGTTGTTGGTCTTTTGACATTGTGGATCCTTTTCTATTCAGCGTCGAAAGTTTATAAAGATTTAGTTGTAGATTGTATCTCTGTTGTTGATAAAGTCTAGTGACTATTTGTATTTAGTTAATCTAATCCAGTTGGGATAAATCTGAAATGAAAGAAGTATTGAAAGTCGACGTTTTTTTTTTGGATTTTATTTTGGGAAATTAAATGATCCTTTTTATAGTCTTTGGCGCTTCTTTGAACATAGGTTCCACAAAAACCAAAAATTGAATCAAAACACTACGTAATGGTTTTTGTTTTCGAACAACGGAATCCCAGACCTAAGTCTTATTGGTGTGTTTTTGAGTGTCTTGGAGAAAAGTCATGGTGTGTTTACATGATACCTACGATGCAGAAAAGAGCTACTTGCTGTCGTCAGCAAAGGCAGTTGCCCAGTTGAAGGACGCAACAGCAAACACAGCAACAAGAGGCAGAATACACAAGTAAGATACCTGTTCATCTCTTCTTACAACCCAAACATTACAACATCGTTGAATATTTTTAGTTATAATATTATAACATACCCCAATAGTCACTCAATCATAGAAGTATTATAAACTATTTCGTCATTGCCATTGCAAGACAAGAAAATAAAACCTATTGACATTTTCTCGGAAAAAATTCAAAGTGACACAGTTTCTGCTTCTCTTACATGAAGTAAAAGGATAAACACTTTCAATCAAAACGCCTCTTGGCTAGCTGAGACACTGATTTAATAGAATACATTGATTTAAAATAATTGACAACTGAGCCCACATGTCCTCGGTGCTCAGTGGTAAAATGTACATTTCATATATGATATGATGTCCTGCATATATTATCTTTGTGAGTGTCTTGTCGTAAGTTTGCATTTTGTGTAATTACATTTTAAGTTCTTTTTATAATTGCTATGTTGTCTAAGAATAGGGATTACCTATTAGATCAATTTCTTTAGGATTTAGTCAGTTCATCAGTTGATTAAATACACCTTTGGTGAAAGTTGGACCCTATGGGTGAGGGTGTGTATAAATATGAAGATCAAAGACCAAATGTTTTGTACCTTATAGTTGATAAAAAGTGTCTATATTTAGCCCAAATCAAACATATGATGATGGGTGGTAGAGTAACTCCTGTTTCTGGTATTGAATATTGAACGCAGATGTCACTAGCCTCGTTTCTACATTTACATTGTCCATTTCAACCACTGAACCAACCACAGTATGTATCATTGCTATTACTACTGCAACAAGCTTCATTATGTTTGTGTAATGTAGTCCTCGAACAATATGATTCCACCCTTTTTGGTATTGTTGCGTAATTAGTTGTCTCTATTGTTTTACAAACCTGAAGTCCGAAGTCCACCTAATTTTTTGTTTTTCTGCGTTGCTGTGGTTTCAGTGTTCTGGACACGTCAGAGCTTCATCATAATCGTTTTCATTTCCAACAGATTCGCTTGAGGACATTCTTCCCAAGTAACAACAAGTTTCAATTCTCGTGTCCGCCCTCACTTCTTTGACACACTTTACCCTTTTACTAATAGCATTTCCAGAAGCGAAGAAAAGAACATCTTCAACACAAATCCCTTACTGTATCATGGTTGACGCCATTTAATTCATTCTGCATATGAAAAAAAAAAATTAAGCCCACTCGATGCGGGATTGATAAACGAAACTAGACTATTAAGTATGGACTACAAATCACTTGGGTTTCAGTAAAAAGATTGAGTAACTTTTCAATCCTACGCTTTAGTTTTTACTTTGATTAATCGACATTGCAGAGTGCTTGAGAAAATATTTCAATGTTTCAGTGAAGATAGTTGAGGGGCCATGCTTCAACATTCATAGGCGACTAGGTCTTTGCAATTGCGTTGAGAAACTAGTCTCTTATCCTATTTGGGCAAGTTAATGATATTGACGTCCAGTTCGATACTTCGATACTTCGATATATATATTGATGGCGACAAAATGACAGATTCCAACTCTATCGGTCACATCTCCGTGATTATGTAATTATTACATACTACAGGTCCAACCAAAAAGGTTGACTATTTCTTTTCCCCTCATGACATTCTTCTCTTCCCCCCCTCACGCTTATAATTATCATGTCCTGATCTTACTTCATATCTCCGATATCTGTAGTTAATTGATAATCGCCTTTTTCTTTAGAAAATGGTACCCCAAGCATTGAGTGTTGTAATATTTTCATTTCCTGTGCCATTTTGTATCTGCTTTGAAGATGTTGAAAAAGAAAGAGGAAGACGCGTATCAGCTCTCCTGGTGCAGAATGGTTATGTTAGCTGAAACAAAAGGTGCGCATTCGGCATATCTGAACCAGGGGAATTTCTTCGGCTTTAAATGAAAGGCATGAACCCCACAAAAACCCAAGTTCAATTTGCGCTCCTAAACCCGACAAAGACTAGATATATGTGTCAAATATATAAAAGAGGTGGGGATTTTCCTTGAAAGTCTGATTTGACTGATAAGTGGACGCAAGTCAACCTCTGTATCTCAAACCAAAAAAATGATCTCACTCAAAGGCTTGTTGCTGATTCTTAGCCTTCCAGTTAGGCTTCTTTGGGTTACAATCAAGTATCCATTCGTTGGAGGAGCCAACGCCAAGTTCAAGAATAGCTTAGTGAACTCGTTGAAAATTGAACTTTGTCGGTTTGCATTGACTTTACCGGTCCATGACACCGCAGCTATCGCCAATAGAACCACACAAGGTGTCATTGACAAATTGAAACCATTGTATCCAACCAGAACTAATTTGAACAATTACGGAAAGAAATTTGATAAACAAAGTATTTGGCTTGTTGAAGTTAAAGGTAGATCCCATACTGATCCAATTGTGATTTATTTACATGGCGGTGGATACTTTATAAACACGAGTCCTTCGCAAATTACGTCAGTTTTGAGTATGTACCATTTACTTGACGAAGAAAAAAGGAAAAGGACATCAATCTTGGTATTGGATTATAGTTTAGCTTGTCATGGGCATTATATTGGTACGCAATTGTATGAATTAGCAGCAACCTACAACAAATTAGTCTCGGAAGGAAATGACAACTTTGTTTTAATGGGAGATTCAGCTGGTGGTAATTTGGCAATCACATTTCTACAATACTTGAAGCAAGAAAAGAATCCAAAACTACCATGGCCAAGATCTGAAGTCTTGATTAGTCCCTGGGTGAAACTTGCTGGAGACAAGCATCAATTCACACCGGGACACTCCTATCACGATAATGAAAAACACGATATGCTCAGCTCAAACTTTGCCAAGGATCCTAAACGCCAAGCTCATTTACTAGGTGGCAAAAGTCCAGCTGACTTGTTGATATCTCCTGGCAACGTACCCTACAAAACCAGCGATTGGAATGATATTCCAACTTTAAATAGCAAAGGTTACTCTACTTTTGTCATTCTTGGCGAGCACGAAGTGTTTAGAGATGATATATTGGAATGGTCAAAATATGCACTTGGATCGCCCTTGGTGCCACAGAGTCAAGAGTCAAAAGGCAAATTTGATTCTAAAGCGCATGAATACAAGAGTGGTGGAATTAACGATGCATATATTGACGTAGTTGTCGAACCTTGGGGCATCCATGATTCGGTATTGTTTTTTGAAAATCGCGTTATGGAGAAATTGGAAAAACAGCACCACTTGAAATTGAATGACTTAGATGATGAGGAATTATTTGGCATTGTCAAGATAACCAAGTTTTTGAACAAGACATTAGTGGTGAAGTAGAGGAAATGCTAGAGTAATGTTATACAATAGGAGTTAGTAGAAAACTTTGTGGCAGCTATAAAGTAGAAACTTGAGCTTTGCCTTTCAAAACTAGCCTCTGCCGTGCGGGTGATTCATTGTATATGAATACTACAACGAAAAGTCTTATCCAAGACTGTACAAGTGTATCAAATACTACCAATGCAAAGTGTGTAGACTTGCAATCAGTTCCTTTGTGCAACCACAATTCTCTCGGTTATCAGTCTCTGCGGATAAACCGTGAATGCGGAAAATAGAGACAAACCCGTTTTGTTTTCTTCTCTTTTTTTTCCTCAAGGAAACTTATAGTTTTAGTCAAGGAGAGGTCAAAATCAACAACATAATGAAGCTAGCAAAAGGACTGGTCATGATTCTGGTGATGCGTATTGAGTGAATGGGAGTGTAGTATTAGGTTGGAGGACTATGTACAGCCCAATATGAACTTCCCCTAGAGCAGTACCCCACAAGACAAAGTTAAAAATTTTGGAAAATTATATTTTAGCCACAAATAAAGAAGACAAGATCTTAACGCCGAACAATAAAACGTGGAGTATAAAAAGAGGCCATTATTCCTTAAACTTCTGAATACCACTTTTTTCACTTTACATCCTTAGCCCAAGATGATTTCAATCAACACTATATTAAAACTTCTCAGTCTACCAATCAGACTTCTTTGGGTCATTGTAAAGTATCCGTTCCTAGGCGGTACCAACCAGAAATTCAGAAATGATTTAAAAAACTCATTGAAATTGATCGTGTTTCGATTTGGGTTATCTTTGTCGGTCAAAGATACTGCTTACCTTGCCAAGAAATCAACTCAAACGGTGATTAACAGCTTGAAACCGCTGTATCCTAAATTGACCAATTTGAACAAGTATGGAAAGTCGTATGATGCCTCAAACGTGTGGATTGTTGAGGCTGAAAACAGATCTAATTCTGACCCTATTATCATCTACTTGCATGGGGGTGGATACAGGCTCAATACCAATCCAGGACATATTTCATCACTTTTAAGTGCCTACCATTTGCTTGATGAAGACAAGAGGAAAAAGACATCTATTTTGGTGCTCGACTATGGTTTGGCATGCCATGGACATTATGTCGGATCGCAAGTGTATGAATTAGCCGCAACGTATAAGAAATTAGCTGCACAGGGTAATACGAATCTTATCTTGATGGGCGATTCTGCTGGAGGTAATTTGGGAGTTGCATTCTTGCAATACTTGAAACAGGAAAATGATCCAAAATTACCATGGCCAAAATCGGCAGTCTTGATTAGTCCATGGGTCAAGATTGTTCCTGATGCTTATCAACTCACTCCAGGCCACTCCTACTATGAAAATGAAAAACATGATATGTTAAGTGCCAGTGTTGCCAGAAGTGAAGAACGAAAGAAGTCAATGTTTGGTGGAAAAAATTATGCTAATCTATTAATATCACCGGGAAACTTGCCTTACAAAACTAGTGACTGGAGCGATATCCCCACATTTAACAAAAAGGGCTACTCGACTTTTGTCATTTTTGGTGAGCATGAAATTTTCAGAGATGATATTTGTGAATGGACCCATTATGCTCTTAAATCGCCCTTGGAGATCCCAAAACAGGATTCAAGAGGTGTTTTCAACCCTAAGGTATATGAGTACAAGTCTAGTAGTGATGATGAAGCATATGTTGATGTTGTTCTCGAGCCATGGGGAATTCATGTCGCTCCTTTGTTTTTTGAAGATGAAGTAACAAAGAAATTGGAGAAGCAACCAAATTTGAAGTTGAAAGATTTGGATGAGGACAAGTTCTTGGGAACGGTAAAAATTGCCCAATTTTTGAACGATACCTTATAGGTAATTGAAGAAGTTGTGACTGGGTTGGTTTTTACCTCGTAGACTGAACCTAGAAGAGTGTATTAATGTATGAGAAAATTTTAGACGAAATTCATGTAGATCTTTTGTAATACAGTAGAACATTATGCGGAGTAACTGTGTTTTGTGTTGAAATGCCCCTTGTTTTCTATTGCATAGAAAGAAACGGTTCACTGTAACGAACCCCTGTCACTGTTTTCTTCTCACTGCTGATCCTTTGGGTCCGGGATGGGTTTGGAGCCCGCAACTCTATTAAAGGTAGGGTGCCTAGGTGGGGACACGTGTGTTGAGCTAGTGACGATTATCAGCTAAATTTTTAGTGGCCCCTTGAAATTATCGTTGATCATCATTACTAAAACTTAAAAAAAAGGGGGGAGCTAAAGAACTCCGCACAGAAGGCACACAATAAATCAAAACCCTTATCAAAAGTATTTTTGGGGTTCAAATTAACCCCTAATATAATATGTAAGTGATATATATATATATATATATATCAGTAAAGGTTTGCGTATCTTTAATGCAATTGTAGTTGTAGTTTGCCACAATAAATTATATCCAGAGTAACAAATACAGTTGCATACCAAAAATGATTTCGCTTAAAGGGCTTTTCGTTATCTTTAGTCTTCCGTTAAGACTTCTTTGGGTCATCATCAGATACCCCTTCGATGGCGGTGCCAAGGGAAAATACAAAAACAGTTTGTCTAAAGCTTTAAAATTAGCCATTTGCAGGTTTGCCATATCGTTATCGGTACAAGACAGCTCGGTTTTGGCCCTCATCAATACCAATTTTGTCATCAACAAAATCGTCAAGACTTTTTATCCCAGTTTGACTCAATTGAACAATTACGGCAAAAGATACGATAAACAAAGTATTTGGCTCGTAGAGGCTAAAGATAGGTCGAGCTCGGATCCGATTATTATATTCTGTCATGGTGGTGGGTACTTTCTCGAAACCCAGCCTCAGCAAATTGAATCATTGTTGAGCATGTACCATCTACTTGATGAAGAGAAACGAAAAAAGGCATCAATATTAGTGCTAGAATATGGGTTGGCCTGTCATGGACGTCTTATTGGCACTCAAGTATACGAACTAGCAGCAACGTATAACAAATTGGCCTCAGAAGGGAATGGCAACTTTGTTTTGATGGGTGACTCCTGTGGGGGTAATTTGGTGATTGTGTTTTTGCAATACTTACAGTACCAGCAACAGGACCTCAAACTACCCTGGCCTAGGTCCGCTGTATTGATTTGTCCTTGGGTAAAGATTGTGCCTGATGTAAACCAACTTACTCCTGGCCACTCCTACTACGACAATGAACAGTACGACATGGTGCAGTCAAACTTTATGCTTGATCAGAAAAGGCAATTGGCGTTGTTTGGCAATACTAGCTATGCTGATCTCTTTATATCACCTGGCAATGTTGAATACAAATATAGTGATTGGAGTGCCATTCCTACTTTACACAGCAGAGGATACTCTACGCTTGTCATTACTGGTGAACACGAAGTATTTCGAGATGATACATTGGAATGGGCCAAATACGCCCTCAACTCACCCTTAGAGCCATCGAAGCAAGATTCTGGCGGTGTGTTTAATCATCAAATACACGAATTCAAGACTAGTGGTGCTGATGGTGCTTATATCGATGTGGTTATTGAGCCATGGGGTATACATGAATCGGTTATATTTTTCGAGCATGATGCTATCGATAAATTGAAGAAAGAACCACATTTACAATTGAAAGATTTGGATACGGTGGAGTATTTTGGTATTGTTAAAATCACCGAGTTTTTGAACAAGATTTTTAGTAGTGAGTGATACGGGAGAGAAATGGGCTACTGAGTTCAAAGGAGGTGATGGAGAGTAATTGTCTAGTTATGGTTTAGCGTTTATTAAAGCGTCTTTATTTTTCTTTTAATTTAATTTAGTAAAGAAATGTGGTGAAACTTCACTTTTTATTAATTTTTGCTGCAAAATAATGTAAAACTGCATATTTATCTCTCTTTTTCTTAAACATTTGTTTTTTCCTTACTGATAGAAGCCCGGATCAATTGCAGTGAATCTATTATCTAGTATAATGATTTTACTAGAACAAATAGATAGACTGTGGTTTATCAATTGACTGATAAAGATTTTGTTTAAAGGATTATCCTCCCTTCTTTCCGCGACCCGCGTTTCCCTCCCCACTGACATTTGCAATCCCAAATAAAGGAAATTCTTATTTCCGCTGCGGCGTTATTATATTTTCTTTTAGAAACGTCAACCAAAAGGGAGGAATTCTAACTATACCTCTCCCTGCATATCATTAAACGGATCTCAAAACCAGCTTCATTGCACATATGAGGTTCTATCGATCCAGATCGTAAGATCTATCAGATCTAAGCGAAATGGGGAAGAAGGAACTGATAGAACACGACATAGGGTATGGTTTGGACTTTTTCTACTAGCAAAACCAGCAGCTTTATATTGGGGTAGAATCTACAAAAGCTCTTTGTTCTCTGTTCTTGTTTTTACTGGTGTGGTTATTTTGGCATGTGATAAGTACTTCTTCTTTCCATTACTTGGCCAATTTTACCCCCACATGAATTGAAAAAAAAAAGCATATTGTTTCAGCATTTTCAATTTCCGTCAATATCCACACACAATAGAAACCACGGAAGCAAAACACGCTCTTACACGCTTTGTCTCACAGAATATATATATATATATATATATATAATAACAGAGTGAATTCTGCTTTATTTGTCGAAAGCACTCTTGGAAAGAATTTGCTGAAGTACTTGTTCAACGTAACACGCTGTATCAGATTTCATACCACACTAGAGAATTCATTTTTCAACTCTGCTTCATATACCCCAATCTTCAATCGCACCCCAAAATGATTTCGCTTCAAGGTTTATTAATTCTACTCAGTGTCCCAATAAAATTACTATTGGTGATTATAAAATACCCATTCTTTGGTGGAGCCAACGAGAAATTCAAAAACAGTTTGATCAATTCGTTAAAATTACAAATTTTCAGAGTTGGTTTGAAATTGTCAGTCAAAGATGCTCTTTACGTGGGGATTATGAGCAATTACTTTATCATTAATAGGTTATTGAAGACATTGTTCCCAAACTTGACGAAATTGAACAATTACGGAAAGAGATTCGATAAGCAGAGTATTTGGCTTGTTGAGGCTAAAAATAGAACCAAGTCGGATCCAGTTATTATCTATTGTCATGGAGGGGGATATTTTTTGGAGACTCAACCATCGCAAATTGAATCGGTCTTGAGTTTCTACCATTTACTCGACGAGGAAAAAAAAAAAAAGACTTCGGTTTTGATCCAAGAGTATGGTTTAGTCGGTACTGGGAACCTTGTCGGTTCTCAATTGTATGAATTTGTTGCCACCTATGATAAATTAGCTGCAGAGGGTAACGATAATATAGTGTTGATGGGTGATTCTGCTGGTGGAAACTTGGCTATTGTGTTTTTACAATATTTGAAACAACAAAAGGACCCCAAGTTGCCATGGCCCAGATCGTCAGTTTTGATTAGTCCTTGGGTCAAAATTGTACCCGATTTGCATCAAGATACTCCAGGCCATTCATACCACGAGAATGAACACCGTGATATGCTCCAAAGAACTGTTTTCACAGATGAGCGTCGTATTCAACTACTTGGCGATACCAACCATGCAGATCTTTTGATTTCGCCAGGGAATCTCGAGTACAAATCTAGTGACTGGAGCGACATCCCAACGTTAAACAGTAAAGGATACTCGACATTCATTGTTGTTGGTGAACACGAAGTTTTCCGTGACGATGTTTTGGAATGGGCCAAGCATGCAGTTAGATCGCCTTTAGTGCCACAAAAGCAGGACTCGCGTGGAACATTTGACTCCAAGGTGCATGAATACAAGACTGATGGTAAGAATGATGCATATGTTGATATCGCCGTTGAGCCATGGGGTATACATGATTCGGTCTTGTTCTTTGAAAACACCATCCTTAGAAAGTTAAAAAAAAACCCTCACTTGCAAGTCAAGACTTTAGATAAGGAGGAGTATTTTGGTGTCATTAGAATAGTTGACTTTTTGAATAAGACATTGGTTGTTGGTGCCGAAGCAGAGAAGTTGAAGATTTTACATACGACGCAAACAACCAAATCAAATGGGAAGGCAGTTAACGATAACGTCAAGGTTGTTGTTGACAAGGCTAGTAATATAAGTGATGGTGTCAAAGCTTGAACTTGAGCTTAGAAGTATCTAGAGTTGGAATAGATTGTCATTGCGTTAGAGTCATTTGTAGAATAGGTATAACTAGACGATCTGTAATTCTCTGTTTGCATTCGAGCGCTGATTCTAGGTGCTTCAGCATATGATATAGTAATGAACGATACAAACGCAACACTTTTCGGACTTGATCTTGTCGAGCCACATTGGTCAGTAGCAGCAACAGAGGCGCATGTGCGCAACAATTACGTTTGCTGCGGTGTATTTTGTGACCTACCGTTTATTCCCGACCATGTTCTCTCACTTGCTCTTGTGACACCTTTTTCCAACCATAAAAAGTTTATCACTGACTAATAACTAATATCAGCACATTGTGGCATATTGGAGCATACATTTTTTGAAAACTACTGTTTGTCTAATCACTTACCCTTTAATTCTATGTGGATCTTTAGAATGGGCCCAGAGATTTGTAATCTCATTTTGTTCTTTTTTTTTTTCTTTCTTTTTTTTTGCAACCCTTGCGCATCTCTTTAGTAATCATTAAGCTCTATCTAGAATCTCAGCATTATTGACTAAAAAGTCTATTATCATGCTGCGAAACGAAATAGTTTCAGCTAGATGCTAGGTAGGTACTCAAAATTCAGGGGCTAGTCTCATGCATATTTCTCCCTTATTGTCATGGCTTCTGCATTCCCACAATAGCGACAATATTTCAACTGTGGCTCTGATGATTTTTGCTTTTGATTGCGAATCTGAGATCTATTCAAAAACAATTCTAGATTTTTAAATCGCATAGGAAACCAGTTGTATAAGGAACTATGCGCGTATGAGTAAGCAGTGAACCTAACCTAGACTTTAATCTAGTGCATGGATTTGAGAGTTATAGTCTGGGTATTATTATTCGTTTCATGTTGTTACCCGAGGAGAAGTCTTTAAATTGGTTTGTGTCACGTATAGGGTGGACGATTTCTGCAAGAGAACAAAAAATTGACCAATTCGGCAATAAAATTTATTCGCTTTTGTTTACCCGGGATAATAATAGACTTGCATAGTACAAAACAGAGATAGCAAAGATAGAATGTAATTAGCACACAAAGTAAGGCAAGGCTAACAAGAAAAGTAGAAATGGAGACATCACAAGTATTCATAACCAAGCTTCTGACAGTACCAATTGATTTCTCAAAGATTCTCCTGCAGTTATGTCGATTATAATAAACAATTGATGTGCCCAACAGTGTACTTAATTTGAATACGAGTGGAATGTAATGCAACACAGGCAAATTGCAAAGGTGTCAAAATATTATTCTGAGTTTTTAGACTCGAAAACACTTTTAAGGCTATGGGGCATTTTGCTGACACAATACAGAAGCGATTGTTTTTAAGAAGGAGGAACGGCACATGGGTTGAGTAGTACGCCTGTGTGTGCACAAAATGCAGTATTTATTTTCTTTTACTTACTTACTTTGTTTCTATTGTTTAGCCAAAAACTTCGTCGGATAACTCTTTATATTTGCTAAATCTCTTTCTTGTTCAAGCAACTGTAGACAGCAATTGCGCATTACGTCAATTGGGAGCTGTTTAGTGGTGGGTTGCGCTGAAATTTCGTCTCATTTGTTCTTGACTTTAGGGCAAGATCTAGCGAAGCATTTTTACCTTGTAGGAAGTTACCTCAACCACAAGCACAGTGGTTTTTGTTGCTGACATTTTTATGAGATTACTTCAATACTTTTTCGTCTTCATGTACTATGACGCCAATAATTTTTAGTGTAAATATCGGGGAGCTAAATTTTGTAAAAGCCTATTGTTATTTGCTCAGCGTCTAACTTTTGTATAGTTCTCCTGTAACTATTTGGAAATTGTTGCTTAATTGCATAGAAGTTTGTAAATGGAGGAAGGTTTTCTATTACTACTGATAACTAGTAAGAGACTGTGCATAATTGGAGCTCTATACACTTTTTAGAGCAAAGTTGCTCTCTAACCCTTTCCTTCCAGAAAAAAAGGGCCAATTGCAATTGAGTTCCAACGATGAGTATGCTTTAGAATAGGAAATAGAAAGCTCAAAAAATCCTCCCGAATCCGTGTCAACTGGTGGTGATGTAGTGTGGTGCGTGTGTTGTGCAATGATTGGAGAACACAGTTGAGTGTCGAACTCTGTGCAATTCCGGAGTAAGGAACGCAGTGAACAAATATTAAATTTAAGGAGTTGCGGTTTGTGTAATTTTTTAAAATTTTGTTTAGTGTCTACGGAACGGGTAATGAGAAATGGTAAAGAATTTTTAAATATTTTGTTACCGAGCACAATTCATCTCCTATACCTAAAGTAGGCGGAGTTCTACTTTTCAATTGTGTACTGTAGAAGCATTACAAAGGGGTTAATTGCTTTCATATGGGTGACAATTGATGTCCTCAAATGCAATTGGGTTGACTATTCGTAAAATTATAGGTTAGTGGGAAACATTAAAGGAGAGCAAAGAAATGTGGAGTTTCTTTCTTTTACAGCTAAGCGCACAGTGGGTTAATTGGCAAAAAGGAAGAGCAAACGTTGCTAGAAATGGATTTCCACATTTCCTTGTTCGAAAATTTCCACAGTCTTTTCCCCGGAAAAGAGGCACACTCGGACATACGTCATATCCACAATTGTCAATTCATTTCTACTCTATGAAATTCTAGATTAATTTTGTACAGACACCTCCTTTGTAGTCTTGTAATTAGTACCGAACCTCACTATTGTGGTGTAGAATTTTTAAAAAATAGAACAATTTTATTGAAAGAACAAAGCAATTGAAAAAAGAAAAATTAATAAGCATCTAAAAATTTTAAAGAACGCAAAACCACTTGACTAGTAGTGAATGGAGTGGGTGGGTGCTTATGTGCTGTGAAAGTAAAGAAAAAACCCGAAGTTATTAGAGAACAATGGGCAAGGGATAGAGAGCTATTCGTTTTGTTTGCTACATTCTCCTATTCTGCTGCATCCACAATTTTTAGTTTCCCATACCCAGCTCCGGAAAAGAATATAAATATACCATGAAATTTCCCTCAATTGACAATTCAACCTTTTTTAATTCTTTTCTTATAACTACAATCTACTGAACTACTCAATTCCCAACAAAAATGGTTTCAGCTCACGGATTACGCGTTTTAGCAAGTCTTATTTTCGAGAGTCTTTGGCTCATCATCACCTTCCCAGTTGTCGGTGGTATCAATGAAAGATACAGAAACAACTTGACCCAATCATTGAAGGTCTTGTTCTGCAGAAAATCATTGGCTTTCCCAATTCTCGATGCTAAAATTGTCTCCGCTTACTCAAACTCCTTCTTGTTTTCCCTTACTGCTTACCAATTCCCAAGAGTTACTGGTGGATTGAACAACTACAACGTTAGATACGACAAAAACTCCATCTGGATTGTTGAAGCTAAGAACAGATCGAAAGATGACCCAATCATCATCTACTTGCACGGTGGTGGATACTACTGTCAAACCGCTCCAACTCAAGCTCAATGTTTGCTTTCCATCTACAGCTTGGTTGAACCATCAAAGAGAGAAAAATTGTCTGTTTTGTTCTTGGACTACTCATTGGCTTCTTACGGCCACGAATTGTTGACTCAATTGCACGAATTGACCGCTACTTACACTAGATTGGCTAAGGAAGGTAACACTGACTTTAGATTTATTGGTGACTCTGCTGGTGGACACTTGGCTACTACTTTTACCCAATACTTGTACAAGGAACAAAACCCAGAATTGCCATACCCTAAATCTTTGATTTTGGTTTCCCCATGGGTTAAATTGGGTGCTGACAAGATTCAACACACTGAAGGTCACTCATACTACGATAACGAAGCTAGAGATGTTGTTCAATACTCATTCTTCTCAGAACCAGACAGAGGTGCTCTTTTGGTTAACGGTAACGACGTTCAAACCTTGACTGTTTCCCCAGGTAACACTCCAGACAAGAAGAACTCCGACTGGGCCAGAATCCCAACTTACTCCAAGCCAGGTTACTCCGTCTTTGTTGTTTTGGGTGAACACGAATCTTTCTTGGATGATATTTTGGAATTCTCTGAATACGCTTTGAGATCCCCATTGAAGAGACCATCTGAATCCGGTGGTGTCTATGACCCAAAGAAACACTCATGGACCAACGGTGGTGGAAGCAACGAAGCTTACTTTGAAGTTTTCATTGAACCTCAAGGTGTCCACGATGCTGGTCTTTTCTTGGAAAACGCTGTTCTTTCTCAAATTGAAGACAATCCAAACCTCAAGGTCAACCAAATTGACGGTAAGGAATTCTTCGGTATCAAGAGAGTCGTTGAATTCTTGGACAAGACTTTGTAAGCAGGTTTTTTCTGTTGCTAGCAGCTGCTTTTCCCATATACTGTGGCCTGTCCTACGACTTTGAGATTGTTTTCATTCATTTGTTTTTGTATCAGTGAAGTGTATGTGTATAGTTTTACAAACTGTTGTTTGTAGTTTTATATATATATACAGAGAATGAATAGCTTATTATAAAGACATAGATAATTGTAGAACCTTGATTGCCTTTGGAGAAGTCTAGAAGAGGTTGCTGATTTGTTCACTGTGTTTGTAAACTATTTCTGTTACCTATCTTGTATCCTCTCCTAGAACAGTCTCAACAAACAGCCTACACAACCAATCTACAACTCAAACTAAGCAAAAGTCTTTTAATCGTTATATTGCGGTTAGCCTCTCTCGATCTATTTACAAAGTATCTCTTCTCAATACACCAGCTCCACTTCACCTAGAACGTCTTTGGAGCTAACGACACAATCTTGTTATAATTCAAATCTCTCAACTCCTTAGCAACAACCGAACTGATTCTCGTCCCCAAAGGTTCACCATTCTTATTAATCAACACACAGGCATTGTCATCAAACCTCACTACTGAGCCATCAGGTCTTTTAAATGGGGCACGTTGTCTAACAACAACGGCACGGCAAATATCTCTCCTTTTGACTCTATTTGATGCTTGTGCTGCTGCTGATGACGCCGATGCGTCAACGTTGGTGGGTCTGGCTTGTTTGACAACGCAGGTTATTTGATCACCAATGTGGGCGCATGATTTGGGGTTGTGACGGAGCACTTTGATGCATTCGACTACTTGGGCGCCGGAGTTGTCTATTACGTTGAGTAGCGTCTTAAGATAGATCATTATGTGTGTTTGTGTCTGTGGATAGTAGTTGTAGTCTTGAAATGGAGTTCAATTTGAGTCTTCTTTGGTGAAATTTTTTTTTTTATTTTATTTTTTTTTTCACCAAATCGATATTTGAATTGCAAGATGTTGGAGATCACCACATTGGTTTATTGAAGTACGAAAGGGATGTGACAAGTTGCTATACTCTTTTCAACGGCTTAGATTTCCTCATAGTAGTGCATATTCATCTACCAACTCCTCTTTTTTGCAATTTTGATGTGTATCCATTGGTGAGAGGGACCATTGTGTAAGCGCTACCATTGACTGGGCCATTCTTCTTTCTGGACTTGAAGTAACTGTTGCCCCCAAAAGTTAAAGTCTTTGGAAAATATAGTTTTAGTCAGGGAAGTATCGTGGCTACAGAATCACCTAACACTTAATCATATCAAAAAGAAGCCAAATAGTGTAATTGTATCATTCTATCTTTATAAAACTGTATACAAACAAGACGACCTTCTTCCAACAACTTACTCATATATCCTTCTTGTTCAATTCTTCATCAATCTTTCCCGAAACTTCCTCAGTTCTACCAACTACCCAATCATACACCCGTCTCATAAACAAAAGTTGACTAAAAGCAACAACAGCAACAACAGCAAACACAACAATACGTTGACTATCCTTCTCCACATTCAAGAATTCATAAGGATAGCTACCGCCATTTTCGACATCAATCAAATTGTCCAACAAGAACCAATAAAATGTTGTCAATAATACAACAAACCCCAATGCGGTATTATTGCTAATGGTCCATCTTGGCATAAACACCAAATAATCAATGAGCAAACTCACCACCGGCATCAAATGGATAGCGAAATCGGTAGTTAATGGCAAGTTGAAATTTGCCGGGTCCTTGGTCAACAAGTGAAGGAAAAATAATCGTAATGGCCAATAAACACCAGCAACAATAGTCTCCAAAGCAAGTCCAATGGGATGCAAGTTATTTTTAAACACGAATAAGGACTGCGATTTAGTAATATGGGCAATGAATCCAACAATAAATACAAAGAGGGAGTACACTAGTGACAAGTTGGTCAAGAATTGCCAGTGTCCTGCACCTTCTAAATGAGGAGGTAGTTTGATTGAAGTGATTTTGGTGTAGCCGTAGAAACCAATGAGAATGGAAATGAAGTCAATGGTGGTGATGTAGGGGTTACCTACTCTTCTCCTCAGTGCTTGATGGTTTATATGAGGACTCATAGCTTTATGTCAATGAATAACTATTCTGAAGTAGATTGAACAAAAGGTGATCTAATGCTGAAATTTGCTTTATGTGATGTTGACTTTAATTATAAATACTTCAGTTTTTGATTTTCTTAATTCACTACAAGATTTCGTTTCGAGTTAGTGTTGTTGATGAAATTGTGAACTCTTAAGCTTGAATGTATAAGTCTACGTAAAGAACCCATGTGTGTAAAGAAATGAAAATTAACATCGGAGCAAACAAAAGAAATTAAGCGCCTTGCTCTCTCTCTCGGTTCTAACAATTTCATTTTTGTGTGCGATTCTATTACATCAATCGAATTGATTGAAATGCTACATTCTTCTTCTTCTTCTTCTTTCCATTCCAAATAGTACAATATATGTTACTAACGCTAATCTAACTCTAATATTATCTAAAAACAACTATAGACAGACAGAACTATGCACTCTCGCCCTCTTCCTCTTCCAAAATGGTCATCAATCGTCATGTTTGCGGAAAATTTTCGAAAATGCTGATCGAGTACGTGAAGTTGAACGAGATCTACTCTCATTAGCCAACTTTTGCACCGGGTTCTGTAAACTGCTTCTACCTCTTTCTTCATTCACCAAATTCGTATACGACGAATTTCTCGAACTCGTGGGACTCAAGAAGGAATTAACTTTGCGATGCAACAGCAGCAGATGATTCGAATTTTGTTGATTCAGTTGCAACAATTGATCATCACTCATTTCATGATCCTTTGACGTGCGTTTTAACCAATTAGCAAAATACTGCTCTGAATCAATCGGGTGCGATAAGTTTTCAATATAATTGTATGTTGGCTTCACAATAATCACCGGCACTAAAGCGCATTCTAAGAAATGCTTCGATAGCGACGATTTACTTAGAAACCCTCGGTGGTGACTATGATGATCACGTTCACTAAAATGACGGGTCCCGATTACCATCATTGATGGCGCATATTCCTTAATGGCCTGCTTCAACGATTTCTCCGGTTTACCAATAACAACTTCAAATAACAAGGCAACTTTTTTAAAATGGACATTTAATTGTTCAAATGTGGACAAGTTGGCATTAGCTTGTTTTTTGTCAATCGATGTATACTTTTTCTCATTCAATACTTGTAAAACAACAATTGTGTCGCCGTGAATCACCATCTCGTCAAATAGCCACTCCACGGCCTTGGTGCTCTCAACATCATTGTTGAATCCAACAAGCCAAGTCTTGTTATTTCTGCGAAACTTATACTCGGGATGCTTAATTTTCAAAGTAAATGACTTTTTAGGACCGCCATCACCAGTATCAAAAGAAACACCTCGTGATAAATTCGGCCGATTGTTTTTACTCAATGCCAATTTGGGCAATGATGACAATGAAGTAGATGAAGATGACAAATGGGAATTCAATATAGCATTTTTCAAAGTGGGTGATGTTGATGATGTGCCGAGATAAAATTCATCGTCGCCACCGTTCCCGGCCCCGCCTCCACCCGTAGGCATTGGTGAAATTATGGGCGAGTGGGGGAGTGAGGCGGCTGGTGATAAGAGCTCTGGCGATAGTAAGTTGCTATTGGAATCAAAATCATCGTAGTATAGTCGTCCTAATAAATCAGTTGAGTCATTTTGTTGTCTATATTGTTGGATTGACTCGTCTGATGTATGGTAAAGTGATGCATTGAGTCTGGTATTTCGAGCAGTTTCAGATTCCCCTTTATCGTCGAGATACTTGTCCCTCTTTAATATCTTACCCTCGAGCGGAGGTTCTGGTATCCGCACTGGTTCCTTGTCTGTGTCTTCTTCACTCATTACTGCGTTGATAGTAAGGCTTTCTGGATCAATAAAGCAGAATGTCACTTTTAGCTGCCAATGGATGCTATTGTGGGAGCTTGGTCTAAATTAATACAAGTATTGACTGTGTTGTTGTATTTGTTCGTTTTGTTGTTGAACTGTTTGTTGATTTCCGTAAAACGGCTGAGACAATTTTCTCCACTCGTGCGGCATCAATCAAATGACAAACTGTAACATAAACCTTCTATTTACAAGTATCTATATGTATCTACCGAAACTACATACAACTTTAGTAAACATCCAATTGTCCAAAGTTAACTGGACCCTCATAAGGACTTTGGAAACTACCATTCGTGCCCTTTTTTGGACTACAAACAATGCACAACCATTCACAAAGCAACCCCCACAAGCGCCTACTCAAAAAACGATCTTCCATTGTTAATACCACTATTCTTTTCAACAACCCCCCAGAGTCTATCCATTTTAATCCCTCCAATATCATCAACAATATAAAACTCTCGTTTTGAACCATTTTCTTGACCATTGCTCTTATCTTCCCAAGTAGTATAAGGTTTCCAAAACTTATGCTCAGGTGATATGATCAAAGACTTGTTATCGGTAATTTTCAACAACTCATTATAAGTCTTTCCCCCCGTAAAGTTTAATTTCTCAACAATTAAATTTTCATCCTTGACCAAATTGTCCAATGTCTGCGGTATTGTCTTGTTATAGAGTCTAAATATTCTCGTGACATAGTCCTTTGTCTTCCATTGCACTAATATTATGGGGATTATAGTTCCTGCCAAGAGTGTATAGGCAAATGAATCATCAAATTGAGTTGATTCATAAATCAATTTGGATCCATACAAACCAACAACACCAAAGCTTAGGGTTAGTCTTTTTAAAATTGAAACGTATTTGGCAGCTGGTGCTTCATAAATGGGGTTATATGATAGTCGATAGTATTCAGGGAGTTGGGTCTTGGTAATCTTGTGTCTTTCTTGAATAAATATAGGATCATCTTCCAAAGTAGGCGACCATGGATTATTCTCACTAATTAATTCGTCAGTGTCAACATTTGAGTCACTAGATTTGAAGGATTTGGCATGGAAAGGGTTCTGAATGAGTATTTTGGTAGTAGAACTGAATGATTTGGTGTATATTTTAGGTGAAAATTTAATGTTCAATAATATTGAAGACGGTATAGATCTGCGAAACATTAGAAATTTTCAAATAAGCTGTAAGTGGTAAGTGGTATAAGTATAAGTGGATGTGTTCTTTCTTTATTAACCTCTTGTACCAGCTGTTTCTGGAGGATGTATACTAATAGCTAAAGAGAACTCTATTCAATGTAAGACTAAAGAAGGGAGAAAGAAATTGGTGGGCGTGTACAAAGGATCAAAAAAAAAATTACGCCAACCTCATCCACCTCATACAGTCACTCACACGCAACTTAGCAATTCACACATATACAAACACAACCTTACCTAAATCACTTAATCACAGTACCTACTACTATATATCACCATATCACAGCACCATGGACTCAAATGCAACTGAAAGATTCGTTCCAGAATACCGTCGTACAAATTTCAAAAACAAGTCACGTTTCCAAAGCGATGAATTAAGAAGAAGAAGAGAAACTCATCAAGTTGACTTGAGGAAACAGAAAAGAGAAGAAGTATTGGCCAAAAGAAGAAACTTCCACCATGAAGCCAACGATTCAGAAGACGAAGAGGATTTCAACCAGAATGTTAATAACGACGAAAGCCAATTTTACAACAGTTTAAAACAAGATTTACCCAAAATGATTGAAATGATCCAGGCTCCTGATTTTGAATCTCAATTGGCAGCAACAGTGAAATTTCGTCAAATATTGTCTAGAGAACACAACCCACCTATTGATCTTGTTATTCAGCTGGGGGTTATACCAACTTTGGTGGAATTTATGAAGGATGATCATCCAGATATGTTGCAATTGGAAGCAGCTTGGGCTTTGACCAACATTGCTTCAGGAAACTCCCACCAAACTAGAGTCGTTGTTGAGGCCAATGCTGTTCCTTTATTTGTCCAATTGTTGTACTCTCAAAGTCTTGAGGTTAAAGAGCAAGCAATTTGGGCCTTGGGTAATGTTGCTGGTGACTCAGCTGATAATAGAGATTATGTCTTGAGTTGCGGTGCTATGGAGCCTGTATTGAACTTGTTCAACTCCACCAAAATGTCATTGATCAGAACAGCTACATGGACATTATCAAACTTGTGTAGAGGTAAAGCACCACAACCAGATTGGAATATTGTATCACAAGCTATTCCAACCTTGGCTAAATTAATTTATTCAGTTGATTCCGAGACTTTGGTTGATGCTTGTTGGGCAGTATCATACTTGTCAGACGGAATTTCTGAGACAATCCAAGCTGTTGTTGATGCAAGAATTCCTCATCGTCTTGTTGAATTGTTGGGACATGAGTCCACTTTGGTCCAAACACCATCTTTAAGAGCGATTGGTAACATAGTCACAGGAACTGATTACCAAACACAGATTGTCATCAATGCCGGTGTATTGCCGGCCTTGGCACCATTATTAAACTCGCCAAAAGAGACAATTCGAAAGGAAGCTTGTTGGACAATTTCAAATATCACTGCTGGTACGCCTGAACAAATCCAAGCTGTTATAGACTCAAACTTGATACCACAAGTGATTAGGTTATTAATCAACGGAGACTACAAAACTAAAAAGGAAGCCTGCTGGGCTATTTCGAATGCGTCATCAGGAGGCATGAACAAGCCAGATATAATCCGTTATTTAGTAAGTCAAGGATGTATTAAACCACTTTGTGATTTATTATCAGTTGCCGATGCCAAAATTATTGAAGTCACATTAGATTCATTAGAGAATATCTTGAAGATGGGTGAAATGGACAAAGAAGCAAGAGGAACTGGAGTTAATGAAAATGCCCTCTTTATTGAAGAAGCAGGTGGTATGGAAAAGATCTTCGAATGCCAAAACAATGCCAATGAAAAGATTTATCAAAAAGCCTACAACATCATTGAGAAGTATTTCAGTGATGAAGAAGATGAAAACATCGATGATGAAAATATAGTGCCAGAAGCCTATGGTAATTCATTTGGTTTTGGAATTGACAATTCAAATCAACAACAAAATTTCCAATTCTAAAAAAGAATGGAGAAATTTTTACACACTTTTATTAAGCCAATGTACTATTTTAAAATACAACTAGTGGTTGCAGTTTTCTCAAGTTAGAGAAAGTGTCTTACTTTCAAAGTTTGGATTTAGGGTTTCCTTTTTGATTGGTTTCTTTTTTTGGATTTGTGGTTAATATACCCATGGAGTTTGTTCTAGGCGCACACGCGTTCTTTCATGGTGATCTCTGTCGGTTTTTATACGCTGTCTGATATATATATATATATATATATATCATTTTACTCTCGCATTACTCTCCCCTCCCCTCTCCTTTTCCTCATATAATACACAGTATTTATCTCTTTGGTTATGCCGTAGAAGGAGTATCGTTTGTTCTAATCTTCAGAGGGTGGCGGGTCTAATAAGAATAGGAAATTTGCATAATTTACATCTATGACATATATATATCTTTTGTATAATTGACTGCTCTTTTATCATAAATTAAAGAAAAAGAGACAAATAAATTAAATTGATTAATTGATTGATAAAATTATAATTTTTGTCTTCTGCTTTTGCTTCTTTTTGCACCACGTTTTTCCCAAAATTTCACTCAACAATTAAAACAATTAAAATAATATTCAGCCAACCTAACCTAGTCTTTTCTATTTTACTACGTTTCTACTAAAATGTCTACTCAACAGTCATTGCCTATACCGGGTTCAGAGAAGAAGAAACGAGATTCAGATCCAATCTCATTAGTTCCTCCCAGTGAAGGTGAAAGTGAAAGTGGATCAAAGAAACATCTCCTCCCCACCATGTCGCCATTGTCTTTGTCTTTATCTGAGAATGATGAAAGTACTACCATTTCCGAGATGTTGGATGATAAGCCTATACCAGCTACCGAAAAGGCAATTGCGTCACTAGCGCCAATGTTGGAAACTTTTGCCCCCAAAACCAGTGCGGAGGATTCTGCCTCGAGATTGGGGTCCATTTCTTCATCGCCAGGTAATCCAGATGCAACTTCGGAGTCAGTAGTGGAAGAAGTACAACCATTGACGGCAGAAAATCTAGGTGCTGGCAAAACCCAATCCAATTTGGTTTCTACATTTGCATCTAGTGGTGAAGGACAACGATTAAACAAGACGATATCCAACTCATCAAATACGTCGAGAAAGTCATTTTCGCAAACTACAAATCGAGACCCCAACCACGTTACTAAATTGCCCAAGATTGGTAAGATTGGGGTTTGTGCTATGGATACAAAGGCTTTGTCCAAACCATGTAGGAAAATTTTAAACCGGTTGATTGAAAATGGTGAGTTTGAAACAGTCATTTTTGGAGATAAGGTTATTCTTGATGAAACGATTGAAAATTGGCCCACATGTGATTTCTTGATTAGTTTCTTTTCAACTGGGTTTCCCTTGGATAAAGCTATTGCTTATGTCAATTATAGAAAACCATATATTATAAATGATCTTGTACTTCAAAAGGCTTTATGGGATAGGCGTGTTGTGTTGGCGATCTTGAACCATGCCAATGTTCCTTCACCTGAAAGATTGGAGATTAGCAGAGATGGTGGGCCATACTTGGAGCTCCAATTACTTGAAAGATTAAAGGAGATTGGATTTTCTGATGAAAAGGTTCATGCGTTGACTCATCAAGAAGAGCCTGATTGGGAAATGGTTGACGATGACACCTTGAGGGTTGGTGACAAAACAATTAAAAAACCCTTTGTCGAAAAACCAGTCGATGGAGAGGACCATAATGTCTACATCTACTACCCTAAAGCCACCGGTGGTGGTGGTAGAAAACTTTTTAGAAAGATTGGAAACAAGTCATCGGAATTTGACCCAGATTTGGTATCGCCAAGAACTGATGGCTCGTTTATTTATGAAATGTTTATGGACACCGATAATTTCGAAGATGTCAAGGCGTATACTGTGGGACCCAATTTCTGCCATGCCGAAACCCGTAAATCTCCTGTTGTTGATGGTATCGTTAGAAGAAATACTCACGGTAAGGAGATTAGATACGTGACGGAGTTGAGTGAAGAGGAAACAATTATGGCCCGATCCGTTAGTGCTGCATTCAAACAGACAATATGTGGATTTGATTTATTGCGAGTTAATGGTAAATCATATGTGATTGATGTTAATGGGTTTTCATTTGTGAAGGATAATAACGAATACTATGATTCATGTGCCAGCATCTTGAGAGGCTTATTCCTTGAAGCTAAAAAGAATAGAGATTTGCTAAAGAACAGAGTACCAAAGAGTTTACAAACCAGTCAATTTGAAGAAAAGGAGCAGAAATGGGTATTTAAAGGAATGGTCAATGTCATTAGACATGCTGATCGTACACCAAAGCAAAAATTCAAGTACTCGTTCAAATCGCCCTTGTTTATTAGTCTTCTCAAGGGTCATACGGAAGAAGTGATTATTCGTGCCGTTGCTGATTTGCAAGTGGTTTTAGAAACTGTCAAGATTGCCGAGGAAAAGAAATTGGAAGACCCCGCTAAATTGAAACAATTGAGGGTTGCGTTGGAAAAGAAGATGAATTTCCCCGGTACAAAGGTCCAGATCAAGCCGTCGTTAAATAGTGAGAATCCAGAATTGGTTGATAAAGTGCAACTTATCCTTAAATGGGGTGGTGAAGCTACCCATTCTGCCAAACATCAAGCATCCGATGTTGGAGAGCAAATGAGACAGAACTTGAAGTTGTTGAATCGTGAAGCGTTGGATGATGTCAAGGTCTACACATCGTCTGAAAGAAGAGTCATTACTAGTGCTCAATATTTCACCACGTCGCTTCTTGGATTGACCAAGGAACCATTACCTGATGATTTCCTTATTGTTCGTAAGGATTTATTGGACGATTCAAATGCCGCCAAGGATTTGATGGACAAAGTGAAGAAGAAGTTGAAGCCATTATTAAGACAAGGTGCCGAAGCACCACCGCAATTTACTTGGCCGCCCAAAATGCCGCAACCGTTTGTTGTCATTAAACGTGTTTGTGAATTGATGAATTTTTACCATCAAATCATGAATTACAATTTTGAGACTAAGAATGTGGCCGAGTTCCAACCAAATTGGTGTTGTGGCGAAGATCCCTACTTGTTTAAAGAACGCTGGGACAAGTTATTTCAAGAATTTATCAGTGTTGAAAAGACACATCCATCGAAAATTTCCGAATTATATGATACAATGAAATACGATGCTTTGCATAATCGTCATTTCTTGCAAAAGGTTTTCGCATATGATCCTCATGATGAAGTGTTGTTGGAAAGATTGAGAGAAACATGTGGTGGTACGGTCAACTCTTCTGGGTTGGTTAGTGAATATCCAATTAATATCTTGGCCATGAATAATTTCAAACTTCCCGATAATAACGGATCGGCATCTACATCACATAGCAACTCCAGTACACAATTGCATACTTCAAATACAGCATCAGCAGGATCTTTGGGTTGGGTCTTGAGTGGTGCCAGCGTTGGTGCAGGAGAAGGATCCAATACCAAAAACGCTAAAGCTCCCGAGAATCCATTCGATTATCCTACATATGCTAGATTGAGAGAGTTGTACCGGTTGTCAAAAGTGTTGTTTGATTTCATATGTCCTCAAGAGTATGGTATTAAGGATGAGGAGAAGTTGGATATTGGGTTGTTAACTTCATTACCATTGGCAAAACAAATCTTGTCTGATATCCAAGACATGAAGAAGAATATATCTTCACCATCAGTGGTCAACTACTTTACCAAAGAAAGTCACATTTACACTTTACTTAATGTAATTTATGGATCGCAATTGCCAATGAAAATTGCCAGAAATGCCTTGCCTGAGTTGGACTACTTATCCCAAATTGTATTTGAGTTGTACGAAGCTGACGATCCAACTAGTCCATTGGGCAAAAAGCACTCAATTAGGTTGTCGCTAAGTCCCGGATGTCATACGCAAGACCCATTGGATGTTCAATTGGATGATGATCATTATATTGGATGTATTCCTAGAATCAGTTTGACTAGGCATTTGGATATGGATTTGGTTACTCAACGATTGAAATCGAGATTCTCAAGAGTTTCGTTGCCAAAGAAGTTCACTCCCGTGAATATCTCGAGTCCTTTAGTCGGTGGTATTTGAGCAAACCATTGTAGAAAGAATGTGTTGTATAAGAGTGCTTTACAGTTAAATTTGTTCCACGAAATAAATATCAAATTAAGATTAAAATTAAAAAAATCAAACTATATATAAAACACCCTCTTCTATACTAAATCTATCTTCGACATCACATTTGTTCAAATTTCTCCCAATTGTCAATAATCTTTTTAATCTTTTCCGATTTAGTCAAATTGTAAACATCAATGAAATACTCCTTTGTCAATTCAAATGGTTTTGCTGTCAAGTTGGGGATATATTTACCAATAAGATCCTGAGGCTTGACTGAAGACTTAGGGATCTTTTTGCACAAAAATCTTTGGAATGGTTTAACTCCCGACATCAAATATGATGAATGGAAAGGTACATCAATTCCCTTTAATGGAATAACGGCAAAACCTCTTTCCAATTCAATTGGTTGAGGCTTAGCCAACGTCTTTTGCTTCACTTCATCAATGATTTCATGAAGATGTTGCGTAACAGCTTCAATTGAAAGTTGTTCTTGTAATTTAACAATGTCAATCTTGTTCAATTTCAATACATTGAGAACATTGGTTAATGCATCCAAACCACGTAAATCACCAGCAGTAACATATTGTTGGTTTTCAACATTATAATTGACAATTTCCAACAACCATCCAGTTCTACTTGATGTTTCATCAACAACAAACCTAAGAGCGGCATCATTAAATGTAGCACTAACTCTGCTTGGATTCACAGCACACATACCATAATTGGATCTACCCAAATCATCTCTAGGGACGGCAACTTGCATAGTCATACCACGGTAAAACACAACATCAACTAAAGATTCAATTGGCATAACATTGGCCAATGAACTCAATGCCGAGTACTCACCCAATGAATGACCGGCAAACATGATATCCAGTGGAATCAACCCCTTCAGCTTGATATCTTCATAAGCAGCCTTTTCCATCAACGTCAATGCTGGTTGAGTAAATTGCGTAGCTGACAATAATCCAGTTGGAGAAACAAATGTAAATGATGTCGAAGTTTCATCAATACCCTTGAAGATCTTTTCCGATTTCAATTCACCGTCTTCTCCAATAGTTTCAAACATCATTCCAATATAATTGTCTCTAATGGCTCTACCCTTGGCACCACCGAAATGAACCGTCAATTCCTTTGGATTGTTTTGTACAATATCCAAAATTGAGAAACCATAATTATTGACAAAGTGTTGATCAGCTTTATCCCAGACTTCTTTAGCAACATCGGATGAATTGTACAAGTCCATACCCATTCCTTGTTCTTGGGAACCTTGACCAGTAAACACATAGGTGGTAGTTGGTTGTTCAATTTCAGCTTCTCCAACCAATACTGGTGCATCAGTTTCAATATTCTTGGTTTGGAACTTGATAATCTTACGGCCATTAATCATACCCGTGTGTTCCATAGTGGTTTGCAATGTATCATTAGGCAAAACCATGCCAACAAAATCACATTTGAAAGCTCTAACTCTGGAAGCAAAGTTATTAGCAGCCCATTCCTCAACCAAACCTCTAACGGAAGCTGAAGAATACATACCATGGGTAATTGTACCGGGCAATTTAGCATATGCAGCAAACACACGTGACACATGAATTGGATTATAATCACCAGAAACAATAGCATATGGTTCATTGGTACCTGGAGCTTTCGAAATCAATTCTTCACTAGATGAAAGTGGAATGGCATTTTCAAACGAAACAGCTTCTTCAATAGTTTTACCATGACGAGCAAAATAATCAGTCACTGGGTTACCGTAAGAAACACCAGCTTCGTAATTAACTTCACCAACTTGAACAACTTCCTTGGTGGGCAATTCCAAATACACTTGTCCTGTAGTCTTGATTGATGAGTAAACATTGGCCGACCTAAACTTGTACAATGACTCGCATCTAAATGTCAATACATCAAACTCAACATCTTTAGTCAAATGGAACCATTCTTTAGATCTCAAGACTGCCAAATCCTTAGAAGACTTAAAGGCAACTTGAACTGGGGTCTCAGTGACTTTCTGGAATGTGTTTTCGTAATCAACATATTCACCACGGTACAAAAATTGTGAGGAAACTTCCATAACTGGGAGTGAGTCACGGTAAATAGTACCAACAACTTCAACTAATTTACCACTTGGTTGATTCAACACCGCTTTAATCTCCGCCTTGGTTGAGACAACATCATCTTTTTTCAATGGAGCAGCGCCTGGAATCATCTTGTACCCATTGGATAAATGAACCAATTTCAACAAGTCTCCATCAACAGTCTTGGGGAAAATAGCCTTGATAATAGCTTGCCATCCTACGACAATAGCAAAATCCATAGGAGCCAATGTGACTTTACCTGGTCTATTGACAAACGCTTCACATTTGTTACCAATAGCATGAGTGAATTCAGCAATATCTTTACCAGTAACGGTGACTTCATCACCCAAAATTTGTTCTTCAACATTAATGTCCAAGTCGTATGGAATTTTAGAGCCAAACCATAACTTCCAGTAAAATTCTTTAATCCTATCGTTTCTTGATTCCATAACTTCGACAATTGGAGCAAATCCATCTTCTGGTTGGTACTTGTACAAAAATGGTAATGCAACTGGATTTCCATCAGCTGTTCTGTGTTCAATCAAGGAAAATTGGATGACGTTATCCTTCAACAACTTGATTTCGACAACTGGGACCAAATCACCTTTAACTCTCTCATAAGCAGTCAATGTATGGCTCAGCTTGTTGATGACAACTTGAGAATGTGGAGTTGGAGCCAAAATATCATGAAGTGGGTTGGAAGCATGCTTGGAGCCTTGAACAATTCTATCGGTTGAAATCAAAGCTTGTAACCAATTTAATTCTGAGCCTTGCAACAACTTCAACCATGCCTCTTTATCAGGAACATTTGATTTGATTTCATAAACAACTTCAGACTTACCATCAGTAGTTGTAACATGTTCAACTGATTTCAAGTGGGTTGGTGGTTGCTTGCCGCCAAAGTATTCAACAGTTGGAATCTTTGACTCATCTCCATTGTATTCATCTTTAATCAACTTGGCAATGTGTCCATCGTGAATCAAATCCAAAATTTCCCCAATTGGCTCATCAACGATATTGGTAAATTGTGAAGCAACAGGACCATGTAAAATACAAGTTCTTTGCACATCTTCATCAACAACAGTTTCCAAGTCTTCAGATTGCCATAACGAATCCTTTTTGAAGAAAAATTCAAAACGTTCATCCAAAACGGGCACAAATGGTGCTGGCTTCTGCGATGGTCTAGAAGCACACATTAAAAAGAAATCACAGTCCTCTTCTGAAATCAATTGGGTTTTAGCCAATGGGAAATGGTTGAAAAACTCATTAGTAAATTCTTGTGGTGAGTTTTGCAATTGAGCATAGTTTTGAATCAAAGAGACAGCATCGTCTTCGGTGGTAAATCTTTCTTCAACACGTCTAAGGTAATCAACAAAGAAATTTCTTAATGAAAGATCAATCCATCTTTTTGACTTCTCGACATACATCAATTCAACCAATCTATTGGCAACTTCTTGATAAGTCATGTCTTGCAAGTCGCAAACACCTTGACTATTCCTGGCAAACCATGGCTTTTGGAAATCTTTATTCAACTTGTCAATGATGTAATCCCTCTTTTTATTCAAACCTTCAACAAGCTTATTCTTTGGTAAATTGAAAATGGTTTCATCCAATTCTTTCCAAAACATAACGGCTTTAGTGGCAATCTTGTGGATTGGTTCACCCATCTCTGATTGGACAGTAACTATACCTCCAGTTGGTTTCTTGTATGTTTGTTCCCATTTCAAATCTTCAACACCAGGACATTGAGTAATCAACTTTTTAGCTTCCAACGAAGTCTTGGCTTCTTTAGCTGTCATGACTCTCGATCCAAACAAAACACCATCGAATGGCATAGGTGGATAGTTGAATTTCTTTGACCATGAACCAGTCAAATATGGATAAGTGTCTTCAGCTGATCCGAATCCAGAACCAGCAACCAAAACTATATTGGAACATCTTCTAATCTTGGAATACATTTGGATAATTGGTTGATGGAAATCCTCAAACGAATGGTGACCACCTCCTCTACCACCAGTCCATTGCAAAACGATTGGAAAGTTTGGATGGGCTTTGGCGATTGTAATAACCTGGCTAATGGCATCAATTGAACCTGGTTTCAATCCCAAGTGGGTCAATCCCAACTCTTCGATATATTCAGTTGCCACTTCCAACGATGGAACACCAGCACCAATGGTTAATGATTGGATAGGATAACCCTTTTCTCTCAAATCCTTGATCAACGGAATACCCCATTGCAACATTCTTGGATTGACGTAAATCAAGTTGATACCTAATCCAAACCCAGGTTTGATATTTTCAACAACCTTGTCAATAGCCTTGGTCATCAGTACCGGTTCGAAATAACCACCACCAGCAATTTCAATATGGTATCCGGCATTTAACGATGCAGCAACAATGTCTGGATTAACGGTTGTTGGAGTCATACCTGGAACCATCAATGGTGCTCTTCCCAACAATTGCGAAAACTTGGTATTGACATAAGTCTTTCCCTTTGAAGTTTTGACCAATGTTGGCTTGTATTCTTGTAACCAATTTGGTGCCCATTTGATTTGACGATCTTCCGATCTATGGAAAATTTCATGCTTAAAACCATATTCATCATCCAATGGATTGGAATCCAAGGCACCGGCAATGATAATTCTTGCACCAGTACCTTCTTTGTTTCTGTGGGTCAAAACACCCAAACCGGAAACTCCACCTGGTCCAAAGTCAAGAATGTGGGTTGCTTCATGATCAGTTGCCAATTCCCAATGAACAGGTAATTCAGTGATCAACTTGACTAACCTGGCATTCAAGTCAGCTGGTGTCTTGCCTTGCAAATTACTTCCATCAAACGTGTCATATACGGGGATTTGCAATTCATTAAAGGCGATATTTTCAATATCTTGTAAAACAACTTCAGTAGCATCAGCTAAAAGATGTGAATGGAATGGTGAAAAAATTGGCAAAAATCTATTGGAGCATTTCAATTTTCTTTCACTAAATGGAATACGTGATTGGTCTAATCCATTTGGTGCTTTAACATTTCTCAAGTTCAAATTGAAACCATATAAAGACTCTGGTGGACCTGACAACACCAAGTTTCTAGCACCATTGACCAAACTAATGGCAATATGTTTTTCTTTTGGCAAATGAGCATTTGTTTGTTGAATAAATTTCTCAACTTTTGAAGTTGGCAAATCTCTAACTGACAACATGGGAGATGGTCTACCTTCACCGTGATTCAATGAGTCTTGCAACATGGTTGGTGGCAATGTGGTTCTTGGATAAGTACTCAAGCATCTCGATCCAATAAAAAACATAAATGAACAAGCCTTGATACCATTGGATAAAAATGACTCCCAAGAAGTAGAACCAGAAATGGCAACGGCAGTAATTAAACCTTGTGAGTGACCGGTTGACCAAGAAGTTAAATCTCTCAACTCACCTGGATTCAATCCCAAAACTTTGCAAGTGATAGCATAATGACACAATTGGATGATACAAATGATTGGACACGACACCGGAACACTTAATAAATAATCTTGATCAGGAGTAGTTTCTGGATGCTTCAACCATCTCAAAATATTCAAACCCTGAGTATAAATCTTGTCAAATTCAGAATCTTGTTTAACCAATTGGTTTAATTTTTCAGTAATGGGGATTAATAAATCATCAACAATTAAATTAGATGATACATTGTAGATTTCTCTCAATTCTTCAAAATAGTCGTCGGTATTACCTTGGCCACCAAATATTGAGGCCAATTTTGCCGTCTTTTTAGCGGCATGATATAACAAGTTAGACTCAGTTCTGGGAATAGTCTGGACCGATTGGTAATAATTCTTGACAAGGTTCTTAATCTTGGACTGAGTTGTTGGGTAAGTTTCATCTTGTAAGATCTTAACGGCAAATGAATGGATATCGTCATTGTTTTGTAAAAAAGTCGATTCAAAATCTCTAATGGCATGACGTAAAACTTCATCTTGTCTTGGTTGTTGTTGACTTATGAAACCCAAGAATTTTCCATATAATTCAACAGGACTAGCTGGTTCATCGTCAGCAGCAAATCCTTCAGTGGGTTGTGGTAGCGTTTTGACAAATTCATCTTTCAATTGTGAATAGTTGGCATATAATGTGTGAGGAACCAAAAAAGTATGTTCAATTGATCCATGATTCAATTGGAAAGGTCTATGAGTTGACATTTTTGTGATGCGAAAATTACTCAAACGGAAGGTACGGGGGAGTTTGAAGATAAATGGAGATAACAAGTGAAAAGGATGTCTCCTTCAATTCGTAGTTGAGTTATGAGGTAAGTGTAACAAGGAAATTCAAGTTAATAAAAGGGGTATTATAAGAAAAGAAAGGAAATTTAGGAATTAAATATATGTATATATATAGATATTTCATTTATGTTTGATGAAAATCTTTTTGGGTTCCCAAAGTTTTGATGAGAATTTTGTGGAAAGTAATAATAATAATAATATTCTTTTAGTTACATTCTTTTCAAAAAAGGGTATACCTTAGTTAGTTGTGTATAGGATATCTATGTAACCTTTATTTTATTTATTCTTAAACATCTTTGTTGGTTACGATGGGATATGCGCGAAGTTTTTGTGTTACTTTACAGTTGTCCAACAAAAATGAAAAAATATTGGAAGTCACGTGCACAGTAAACTTTGTTACTTTCGAACACGCTCTAGGTCCAGCCTAGAGTTGTAGAGGACAAGAGGCAGTGGTGTGAACTTTGTTCTGTTTGCAATTTGAGTACATGGTATATACTACATGACCGGCGCTAAGTACGTTGGAAATTTCAGTGTGAGTGCGTTGTCCTTTTCTTGGGTCTGTTTTGATAATTCGGTCGGAGTTTTTTCTTTTTCTCTTTTTTTATCATCGCTTGTGTCTTATTGTTTAACAATATATATTACCTATATCTTTCTGTTTACTATATACAAAACAAAGATAGGAGAGAGTGTGTGTGGTGTATTATTTAATTTGTGTTTTGTTGTATTTGGTAGTTTTGATCTATATGCAGGTTTATCCCAACAATCCCAAGTCAGTTGGGTTTGTGCAATAATCTAATATTTTACGTAGCGCCAACAAAAAAAGCTATACACACCCACAAGCCCAAAAAAAAATAACCCATCAGTTTCATAACATTGTCTCTTATCACAGTAGTTTCGTAACCTGTGCAATTTCCAGAGCCTCTGTCTTTTCTTTTTGATTTTATTTTACTATGCTAATCCTACATGTGGCTGTGGCTTTACAAAAGAGATATGGAACATGTTTCAGTAATACTAAGGAAAAGAAATAAGACGCTCAGATTAGCCAGGCAGTCTATTACTTTTGCACGTGTTGCAATCTCATTGCAGAACCTAGTGTTGCATCCTGGGAAAAATTCATATCGGGTCTCTCTCAAGCCAAAGAAAGAGAAATTTTGGCAAACGTTTTAGGTTTCATGTTTGTGCATCTGTCTAACTTTTCAACCAACAATTTTGGAGGCTGAAAGTGACGGCGTGGAACACATTAGTCCTCAAAAATCAAAAAGAGTTAATCACGTGAATTTCACATGATATAGTCAATGGAAAAGTATTGCAGTCGTAAGAGAAAGTAGAATGTTCAACTTATTCCATCTTGTTTTGTATATGTTCGACTTGAAATGCAAATAGATGTAGCATGATTTTACCTCTTTGCAATGTCTTGATAATTGAAACAAATGAAGAAATATTTCTACTTATCTTGTGGAAAATTTTGTTGCAAAAACAATTCAGAAAATCTTAATCAGTTGCAAATTGGTCTAAAGGAGACCCAATCAAAAACTCGAACTAGCGTTGTTTTACAACGTTTACGTATACAATATAAGCATTTTACTAACAAATCAGTATTTATTTACTCTACATTTAGACAGCTTCACAAAAACAGTATCAGCTCAATAACGCTTTGCAATGCTTCAATTGAACTTTCATGAGTATATTTTACTTAGGCCAACGCAATAGTCTTGTCATCCAAGTCGTACTTGACATATGTGCTTCTCAAGAAATTCTCTCCTAGCGACGAATAACCATCACCATCTTTAATAGCCAAAAAGCAATTCTTTCACAACGGTCTTTTCTTGCGAACCACATCTATTGGATACAAGAAATTGGAAACTGGCGCAGTAATTGAAATGTTCTGAGGGAAGTTAAAAGTTAACTTGTCTGTTCTCAGACAACTGACGGCATATGAATTTAAATCATGGTCAAAAGTACCATTGAGCTGTTTGCCAATGGCGTCAACAATATTTCCAGGCAACCAAATATAGCCCAGTCCTGAATCTAGGACAACTTCAGATGAATTAGAAATGGTTTCACCATTAATAGTGACTGAGTTAAAATCACTTGCTAAATCAAATCCTGGAGAAATAGAGAGTTCTTTCAATTCGCCATAATATTTGGCATTATCAACATCTCCAAACAATCTAGAGCCAGATGTGCTCTCTGAACTATTCAAATACAATGAATAAGCTATTTTATTAATATACCCTTGTTTCTTTAAATTGATTGGGAAGTTATCATAAAATGTAGTATTTGGACTAGCTTCGAGTGGAGGATACCCTATTCCCAAAACTCCATATTCGGAAGATTAAGTCTCAGCTGTTCCAAATTCTTGATTTTGGACAGTGACACCACCAAATTTAACAGAATCCGAGACGTATGAGCAATTTGCACCCGCCCCATCAGCGTATATTATTTGACAAGACATGCTCAAGTTCTTGGATGTTGATGAATCTTGGAAGGAGTATGTACCATCTTTCTTGCATTCTTCGCCAATACATTCAGCATCGGATGCAATGACCCACAAATCACTGGACCCAGTATCGAACAAAACTTTATTCTTTTCATTTCTTAATCCAATCTCAACCTCGGCTTCATAATAAACATATTTGTTTCTTAACGGCGCATTAACGTAACCACGGTTCCTTCTTTTGTTCTTAGCTTCTAATTGGCCCTATATTGCATATAGAAACTCGCGTGCGTTCAATTCGTTGCCTTCAAAGCTGATTGATTCTTGGGTAGATAAATCCAAGCGTGTTACATCAAATGAGTATGAAACCACTTTGTTCGATGTGGCCTCAACTGGTGCACCATGACATACTAATGCACAGTAAAGAGTGACCAAAACACTTCGAGCTAATGAAGTCATTGCAACCATTGTGGGTGAATGTTGTTCAATGATAATAAAACAAATATTATTCAAGATGAGTTCCTAATTCGATCGATATACATTCTCGGAGCTATATACAACAATGAAGTTCTGCAAACACTTTGCTCCAAGGCTTCTCTGCGTGACGAATGCTGCTACCTTCCATTACTCAACCATTCACTTGTCAAAACTGTGGAGACAATATTCTCTGAATGAAAAACTTTTGTAAAATGCCGCGTCACCTTATCTATCGATTGCTTTGATATATCCGCTATGCGGCACCTCCATTCTGTCAAAGTAAAAATAAAAAAAGGCACTGTTCCGTCAAACGTTAAAGTTATACAAAAGTTATAAATGGAACCGACCAACCAACCCAAAAGATCTCTCCCCCAGTCGGCTTTGTGACTATAACCTGGAGATATACGTACCTTTTACACATCACCATTATGTAATAGCTTTACTCGCTAATGACTTCTAGAAAATGCCCCGCCCCCTTCCCTCCCAAAAAAAAAAAAATAACACCAGTTTTGCAACCACAACCCTCTTTGAAAGTATAGCAACCACGTCATTGTCGATGATTTTGAGGTCAATTTCCATTTCCCGTCTTTTGTTCTATATTTACTTCACCTGTTGATGCCGTTTAAGCAAACGATGGTGTGAGGCAGCTAACAATTAATGAAATTACACTCAGGCCAGTTGAAAGCTTCTTGTCGCTGTAATTTCATTCGTTATCAAAAGAAGGCCATTTGGTTAAAATTGTGTTTTGAAACTTTTGAATAATCCTTTGTTGGGTGACAAGTATTTTGAGAAGTGCTTAACTGAGATACTAACTTAGAAAATAGGAAAAAAGGACTTTCAATGGCCAAGTACACTCGATGAGATCGATAAGAGCTCCTGTTGTAAATTTTAATGGACGGGAACTAAGCACTTGTATAAACTAAAACCATGGAATTTACATTTTCCTCTTTATATAATTGTGACCTTTTTGCGATATGAGATGAAGTATTTCTTGCTATAGTCCATGATAAGGTCTCCACTTCTAAGTTTGAGCTATTTTTAGATTAGGTGCAAGTTTGGCTACTAACCACCTCGCAATAAACTACCATTTCTAAAATTGTGTTTGCAGCAAAACCAACTAAAATTAAATTAAGTTGAAGAAACAGTTTTTGATGAAAAAAAAAAACTGTGGATCCACATCACATAGTGGGTGTATTGGCAAACATAAGGCATCGATTGGTTCAACGAGACAGAAATGTCAAAAAATGCCGAACCTTGTAAGGGCAATCATTTAAAAACAACACTATATAACCCCCCTTGCATTATAGAAACCTATTGTCTCTGTTTTTCCGTTATGTATGCCTTAACGCTCAATTTTCTTTCTAATTTGACAGAACAATAGAATTGGCTTTCAAAATGAGCCAAGTATGGGCAATCAAAATTTACGAAAATAGAAGGTTTATTGATATCATATACAAGCAATGCCAATCGGACTGACTTGCCATGCATATATAAATATAAATACTTCCCCAGATGAAATGAATTTATGAAAAATAATTTACATCACCAACTTCAAACCCCCTAGACAAGTCATTGCTATGTTTGTTAACTTGATTCAATACGTGTTAGTAACCCTTTCATTGGGTCCAGTCTGTCTAGGTGCAGCACTTAAAGCTAGATCAGATAAAACAGTTGCGTTCAATTTCGAAAAATCTCATGGCAATGCTGAAGATGATGATTTCTTTGATAATTATGACAATGAATTAGAATCCTCATCTGGTGCTTATTTCTTGACGGAGCGTTCAGAAACTCAACATGGGCAAGGCAAACGTGATACTGTCAGCGCTAAAATCAAAAATGAAAAGACCTATTACTCAGTTGTACTTGAGTTAGGATCCCATAAACAAAAGAGCAAGATTTTAATTGATACTGGTTCCAGTGACTTATGGGTCGTTGAATCTGATGCAACATGCATTGATGTGGATTGCAAAAAAGCGGGCACCTATTCACCACAAAAGTCGTCAACATTTACTAATTTGAGTCAACCATTTTCCATTTTGTATGCTGATGGAACCTCAGGTAATGGGACATTTGTTAAAGACACTGTGAAAATTGGTAATGCATCGGTCAAGCAACAAGAGTTTGCTGTTGCTACTTCGTCATCGTCTGATGTTGGTGTTTTGGGTATTGGGCTTACGTCTTTAGAGTCAACGGTGGATAATTCAACTTATGATAATTTACCCATTTCTATGAAGAAACAAGGTTTCATTGATAAAGTTGCATATTCAATATTTTTGAATAAGAGAACAAGTAAGTCGGGTACTGTTTTATTTGGTGGAATTGATCATGCCAAATACTATGGCAACTTGGTTGAATTGCCAATTACGTCAAAGACTGACATAACAGTACCGTTTGAAGGAGTCACATTCAATAGCCAAGTCTTGAACAATTACACCAATGAATTATTGTTAGACATAGGATCCTCATTTTCTTATTTACCTAAAAACATAATCGAAGGTATTGCAGAAGACTTGAATGGAACCTTTTCGGAAGAGTTAGAAACCTATATCGTTGACTGTGATTTAAGACGGAGTAAAGAAAATATCAGCTTTAATTTTGCTAAGGGGGTTAATGTTACTGCACCATTGTCCGATTTTATCATCACTGTAAAACAATACAATGCACCAAATAAGAGATCTGAAGAAAATACTTGTATTTTTAGTATTTTTGATGATGAAGGGTATCCTTCAATGGGGGATGATTTCTTAAGAAATGCTTATTTGTATTATAATTTGGAAGGCAACACTGTTGGAATAGCACCAGTTAAATTTACCAAAAAGAGTTCGATTCAAAATGTATAGAGATAAGTTTGGATATAGTTTAACACTGAAGTAAAGTAGAAAGATGATGAAATGTAAAAAGTGCAAATGAATGTAAAAAAAAGGAGACGAAAAATATTTTACAACCAAAGGTCAAACTTTCTTCACCTTTTGCTGATTTTGAACAATTACACCACCCTGAGAACCACACAGTTCTATATATACGCTGAAATCAGGAGCTAAGCCCCGCCCCCAGTACATATTTACTAACATGTCGCGAATTGTTCTCAAGTCCTCATTTGGTTTAGGCACTCTAGGAATCGCGTCTTATTTCTGGAATTTTGGCAAATCATCAAGTTCTCCATCATCATCTTCTACATCCAACCTGCCACCACCAAGCTCTTCATCAAACTTACCAGGTCCATCCAAATCCAATGGAAGCACTGGATTATTTGATCCATCATCAATCAACCCTGAAGCGTTCTACAAATATGGGTTCCCTGGCCCTGTCCATGATTTAGCGAGTCATTCTGAGTTTGTTAGTTGTTATGATAGATCGAAACGCAATCCATATTGGGTGATTGAGCATCTTACAAAACAGTCAATCACACGTAACTCAGATTCAGGCGATCGCAAAAAATCAATATTTAAAGAAGATGAATCAATTCCCGTCAAGTTTAGGAATAAATTGCGTGATTATTTCCGCAGTGGATATGATAGAGGACATCAAGCACCAGCCGCTGATGCCAAATATAACCAATTAGCCATGGATGAAACTTTCTTATTGACTAATATTTCACCACAAGTTGGTGACGGATTCAACCGTGATTATTGGAGTCATTTTGAAGATTTTGTTCGCAGATTAACCAATTCTTATGACAATGTCAGAGTCATGACTGGTCCATTGTATTTACCTAAATTGATGCCTGATGGGAAATATAGAGTCACTTATGAGGTTATTGGATCGCCTCCAAACATTGCTGTTCCAACGCATTTTTTCAAATTGATTGTTGGCGAAAGAAATGGTGATGACAAGATAAGTTGTGCTGCGTTTGTGTTACCCAATGATGTGATTGAGAACAGGACACCCTTGACTAGTTTCCAAGTACCGATAGATGCATTGGAAATTTCGACTGGGTTGGAGTTGTTGCAAAAAGTGCCTTATTTTAAAAAGAAGGATTTGTGCAAGGAAGTGAAATGTGAGATTATAGTACGCGAGTTTCCTAAACAAGTGAGTAATGTGTTGGCCTTGCCCAGTGGGAAATAGATTAGATGAGAGTAGATGTTATCTATAAATGTGTATAGTTGTTTGAAATAGAGGAAAAAAAAACTAGTCCGTTGTTATTTCCTTTGAAGAGGTGTGAGCAATAGGAGTGACTAGGTTAGATTTAAGTCTTTTGTAGAGATCGGTCTGAATCTGAAATCTAGTGGCAATGTGAATAGCCATAGATGTTCCGGATCATCCGCCTCGATACACGATCCCACAGTGTACTATTCCCCTCTCTACATTAAAACATAATTCATAAAATGAAATTAAAATTAAAATTAACTCTATCTAATAAACATCCATTCTGTTTACTTCATTTTCCTGATCTTAGGTATAATATCGAAACAATCTTTCACAAATATTTCAAAAAAAAGAACAACAACAAAAAATAATAATAATGATAATAATAAAAAATGGAACTCAACGTTTTGAAGTGATATTCTTTGTGATAAACTTTCTCTGCATATCTCTCAGTATCTCCCATTCACTTTGTTTCTTTAAAAATCAAGTACCTTACATCAACAAAGCACAACCGGCAGCAACGGCACCGGCAATAGCAAATGAAGCACCAGAAGCAGTCACACCAGCATTGCTTTCACCAGTGGAGTTTGAAGCACCACCAGTAGAGTTACCAGAAGCACCACCAGTGGAGTTACCGGAAGCACCAGTAGAGTTACCGGCGGCACCAGCAGTGTCATTGGCTCTCTTGACGGCAGTGAAGATTTGGTCTCTTCTAACGTGAGATGAAGCGCTCTTCAAGCTGGTCCATTCAGATGGAGAAACAACAACGGTAGTGGTGGTTGGGTGAGGAGTCTTGTTGAATCTACCGTACTTGTGGGTGGTTTCAGTGGCATAGACAGTGGTGGTTGGAGCTGACTTGTGGTCTTTTGGACCTTTACCAGCCAAAACAGATGAAACAGTGAAAGCAGTAGCGACAATTGAGTACTTCATTGTTGGTATATTATATACGTAATTAAAACTGAATGAGTTAAAGGTGGAAAAAAAGAAGAAAGAAAGGAAGAAAGAAGGAGGAAATAAAAAAGGGAGAGAAATGGCAATGTAAATATATTTTTGATGAAAGAAATTTTAAATTTTTTATGTTTTACTGGACAAGAAGTGAAAATAAAAATTAAGTGAGTGATTTTTTTAATTTTTAAATTTCTCAGCGTCTAATTTTTTTTTCTTCTTTCTTCTCAATTGTTATTGTTTGTTTTTAATTTCTTTTTTTTTGTCTTTTGTTTACTATGCAAGGTAGTGTACATCTCACCGAATGCTACCAACTCAAAACAAAGAATATTCCCGCAGCATTTACCTAATTCGACACAATACACAACAAACGAAGTAAAATATAATCGTCTTTTATTTTGGTTTTTTCTTTTTGTAAACAAGTAACAATTGCTACTGCTGTTTGTTTATTTATTATAACGCAACACAATTGGATATTCACTTCTGTGGCTTTATTATCTTTACTAAAACCAGCTCCGTTCAGCTTTGGTAGAATTGTGTACCACATGACGCTGTTGTTATTTGGTCCAGCTGATTGTCTAATTTTTAAGTGCCGGTAGCTGTCTATATATCTCCCATCACGATATATATGTCAACTTGTTTCAACCTCCGTGTGTTCACCTCTTTAAAATAGAGTGACTGGTTGTAGAAAGAGAGGAACAGAAAATTTATATTTTGGTTTGCGATGAGACGCAAAATATTAAGCGCCACACGTTTCGACACACCCACACACACATTCCGTCATGGTTTACACCCCTCTCCCCGTCCAAACTATATATACTCTTCACTTACAACCAAAAGCACGATATGTCTATTTTGCAATTCAACAGAGATGGGATATCTTTCCGCTACCTCCTCTGTTGCCTCAATAGCCACAGCCCTCTTTTCTTTTCTTTTCTTTGCTTTGCTATCATGTATCTTCCTCTTGACGACAACCACGTTTAATTATTATTTCAGCAAAGTGCACGACTGTTTAGAAAATTTTGTTAATGTTTTTCCGTCGGTTATAAGCCAAATTCAATAACCGGTACGTAAAGTAAAAAAAAAAAAAAAAAGAAAACAAAAACACCAACCGGCTTTAAATTTTTAAAAAGAGAAAGTGCAACCAGGAAGCAACTTGCTTCAGGAACCCGACGATAGAGAGAGATATCCGCAAAAAAGTTTAAAATAAAGGATATAGTCTCCCTTTTGGCTTTATACAGTGAGTTGCCTTATTAGCTGGAACACTTGTAGAGCGAACTTGCCTTCCTTCGGGTTTAATCCAGGAATATATCAGAAATTGACAAAAAAAATGAAAACTTTGGACTCGGCTCGATTTCTTACACAAAAACACAACTCTAAGTTCTATACAATAAAATCGTATTGTATGTATTCAAACAGTTGTTGTTCCTGAGTGCTGAAAAACAAGTCGGTACTGATTACTGTACCTTCTGCTAATGAGGATCTCCAAGCACAGCTCTCTGTAACTAGTATTGTATTTCACCAACAGACAATCCTGTCATTTTGAACACAATTCAAGTGCATCTGGCGAATATCCTCTCTCCACACATGGCCAATACCACTCTTCCAAAAAACCTTATCCATTGCAACGCCGTCAACTCTAAGTATCCTCTTGAAGAGGTTCAGCTACTCACACATTCGAGATAATTGATCATTGTTAAGGGTTAACAATACTCCCAAATTTGGCAAATAAAGGGTTCTTTGCTTCAGTGTCACTCAAAAATACCCGATGCAATTTGGGACACTTTGCTAGCATCTCAGAAATAAAAGTCTGCAAATGCACTCGGTCCTCAGTATGCCATAAGTTATACCTGAATATCACAAGCACGCGTAAGTTGGGACAATTTATGAAATCAGCACTAGTGGCAATAAATTGACAGAAATTAATTTTTAAAACAACTAATGATTCGGGCAAATCGATGCAAAACGAAGCAAGTCTAGTGACTGACGAGCTGCTCATATCTAAAACTCTCAAATTGTGGAGATTACAAATAGTTCCGCAAGTAGACACGTGAGGTGCGTTAACTAGCTTTAATTCTTCTAAACTGCGAGGTAATACATCAAAATCTATTTCGTCAAAGCCAACGTTCTCAAACTTGAGTGATTTTAGCTTCCGGCATGGTTTCAAACTCGACCATGGACAATGCACGTCTCTAGCACTCATAATGTTTACATGTATTACCGACGGCGGTAGTTGGAAATCTGTGAATGAGCACGAATGAATATCCCTCAATTCTAAATGGTACAAATTGGAGAGCCCGGTAAAGTTCATGTTTTCCAATCGGATAGGATAACCCATCAACGAGTAAAGCGTCAACTTTCGCAAACTTGTAAACGTTGAAGGGGCCTGTTTAATACGTTGACCTTCACAATCTATTGAAAGGTACATTAGCGTGTTTGGTAGCATATTCCAGTGAAATCTGACCTCCATTGGAAGCAACATGTCAAGCTTGGTTAAATTTGTTCTTGAATAATTGCACATATGGAATTCATTACGGTAAAGGTTGAGTTTTTGCAAATTTGCCGGAATTTCAATATCATTGGTGCTCGTGAATCGATTATTAAACAAGTTCAAACTGTGTAGGTGGTTTGCTTGTTTTAGATTAGTATTTCGAATCGAGCTTAAAAGATTGGCCGACAAATCGAGGTGACACAAGTTGGCAGGAAATTTTACATCATCAATACAATCAATCGATGAATCCTTCAACATCAATCTATTCAAATTAGTGCTTGTTGACAACCCGGCAAAAAGTTTGCCACAATTTAATTTAAACATCTTCTCCACCATCAACGTTTGCAAGTTTGGTAGATTTAGTCGGGAGCCAAAATACACTTGTTGATGATTCTTTAATATCAAAGTTTTTAGCAGTGGTGGCGGTTGAAACTCGTCCTCAACAACAAGTATGATTCCACCGTTACCGTACATGAATTTGACCGAAGTCATTGGGTTTCTCCCCGGGATTTGGAAAATAATACGATTCCTTTCAAATAGTCTTTGACGACAATTTACAAAACTAAACTCGAGCGATGTCAACGAAGAAGGAAACTCTGGAGTAAAGAATAGTATCAAATCAGGACAATCAATGACTCTCAATTTCCGAAGATTGGTAAATGCTTCAATTCCATCCAAGGATACCATTCTTGTGCACTCTAGCGACAAGCTCTCAATTGCTTTTGGTAATTGGATATCCAGTAAAGTCTTGGCATATCCCTTTTCCACATTACCTCTGAATTCAAACAGGTTGAGGTTGATCAAATACGTAAAATCCATGTGTGTCTGCAATTTATGCTTCTCCCCAATTTGCAACTCGCGAATAGAGATTGGTAACTGGTACTTGTCTAACTGGGGATCAAATAGTTCTAACTTCACTATTGTCAGCGGAATAGGGTACATGACTTGAGGAAGGAAATTGCTAATTTTCAATGATTCAAGTTGCGATGGGTATTCAGTTGTCCAGTTGCAAACACTCAAATGCTTTAAATTGGGCCCCACTTCCAATGTCCTATCAATGCTCAACTCAAACATCTCGGCATTATCAAGAACCCTCTGTACTTGTACATTGGTGTTGCTTGCATCGACATCGATTTTAAATTTAAGACCGTGCAAGTCCACACCCAGGTCAAGCATTTGACAGACTGACGTAATATCAGATACGACTAGACGAGGCATGTAGTTGTATCGAGAACGTTCATAAAAAAGGTCCTCCATTGGATAAATTGCATTGTGCTGCCATGTAGTAGTTTTGTCAATATTCACTGTTGGCCGTCGATAGTTCAAGATCAACGATGTCAATTCAGGAACAGATTGTAGATAATCAAAAGTGTCACCATCATCGATGTAGAAGAGAATATTTTCAATTATTTCAGTTGGTAGTAATGGCAAGGGCATGGAGGTGTAGTAGCGGTTTCCAATGGACTGGGTAGGTTTTGTATATATGTTTGATCGTAATTGAACTGGTTATAGATGTCTTGTCAATTATATAAAAAGGTGTGTGGGTTTTATTTCAAGTTTTGCTAATCTCTCCTTTTCCCCGCCATAGTTTCCGCTGTTACACAAAAATAACGACTTATCTCCTTATCAAAAAGATAAAAAAGAAGCATTCAAACCCACCACTACGACAAAGAAATTACATATCTACAGCTTGTCCAAATATTAGCTATTAATTAGTTATTACTTTTTTTCTCTTTTTTTAAAAAAAATAAATATATATTTATCTTCAACGCAATTGTCTCGATGCAGCGTATCTGCATTCTTTTTAAGACTTTAAGAATTGGTTAAAGTCCAATTCACTCTCCTCATCTCCCTTTGCATCTCCCTTTGCATCTCCCTTTGCATCTCCCTTTGCATCTCCCTTTGCATCTCCCTTTGCATCTCCCTTTGCATCTCCCTCGGCACCTACCTCGACACCTACCTCGGCACCTGCATGTTTTCCAGTCTCTACTTCACTAGGCAATGGTGGGGCTTGTAAATTGGAATTGAAGATAGGAACACTGGTTTTACGTCTTTGAGGTAGGTTTATCGTCGGAACTGTACCAGCACTGGAGCCAGGTGCAAAATTATGTGAAGCATATTTTTCATGAATTTGTGGTGGGAAATTCAACTCACTGTCATCATTACTGGTTGTGCTATTTTGCTTTTCATTCATTGTATAGTTAACTTTTGTTCCCTTTGGTTGTTGGGGGTTTAGCTGGTTGAAGTCCCCATTTTCTTCTCTCTCCTTCAACTTCTTACAAATGTACTTGTCTTGAACTCGAAATATATTTTCCTCCGTCGGTAGCTGAAACAATGGAAACTTCCAATCATTCAAAAGTCGTCTCCAATACTTGTAGTCATTGATGTTCACTAATACTGTGCTAGCACTAACTGAATTTCGTGCAATGCGTTCACTTGTCTCTTGATTGTTGGTGAACGGTACATTGCTGTATCGGTGCTGTTCAACACTATTCTGAATGATATTGTCAACTCGGTGTCGATGTTCCTTTTCAAAGTTTCGCATAGCAGTATTTCTCCAGGGCTTCTCACGAACAAAAAACACAGTTGCATCAACCACCCCATTGAATGGCTGCATAAACGCACCCAAAACATTCAACCAGTAAACAGGACTGTGTGCCTCTTCATAGTTGAACTGAGTTGCTTGTAAAATGAATGGAAACAACCAAACAAAACAATATGCAAAGGGGTAAATGAAAATCGACTTCATCTGCTTTTGAATAACTTTTTGACGCCTTTCAAAATGTTGCAAATTGACATCTTTGATGGACGAATCGGTGTAATCATCAGCCAACTCTTCCAAATCGTCAACCTCATCCGAATCCAGTTCATTCCTTGTGAAATTTCCATGCTCAATGTGGCTAGGATTAGTGGCCAGCTTCCCTGTACGTACAGACTCTTCTGGTATCAACATTTTTGGAAATAAGTGATCCTTAATCGAGCCAAAAAAGAACTTTAACGAGGCGAAAAAAGTGGGTGTTTCGTTACTAAAATGGCCAGCATTTCTTTGGTGAATATTTGTGAAAGCCCCGCCCAAAGACTTGAACTCCCTAACGACACGGATGTAAATCAAGCCATAGAATACGAAAATTGACACAACAATACACCAACGGGGAACCCAACTCAAAACCAACCTGTACCAGACAGGTCTCATGGGCAAATAGCACCAGCAAACTAACAGATCATATCCCTTTGCATTGATGAATGCCAAACTAGCCAATATTAACGGAATCAACACCGACAATGCATACACCAAGTACCTCATTTTGTACAAACCACCTTCAACGCGATTTGAATGAGCCAGTCTCGTATTCAATGATGGCTTGAAGATTAGCAAAAATGTATGTAAAGCAAACGCAAAGATTGCTATATCTGCCCCTTCAATCGATGTTGCTGTGAAAAACCCCACGACTTGACAAAACCTTCGATTGTAATACGAAACTGAATGTGTCAATACTCTACTAGGATAAATCAATAAAATCACCGCCTTTAGCAAATCAAATAAAAGTAAGAAGGATATTAGTTGATGGCGAAAAACAAGCCGCTTAGGATCTATCGCTAGTAAGAAATATAGTGCAGTCACCACTGCCGCAATCGATGCGCAAGATGACGATATTGCCACAATTCGCTGTACAAGGGATTCATGAGCTGTGAATTTTGTAATCTGGTTATTAATGTCCTCTGCCCTCTTGAATAGATAAACTAATGTATTTGTGACAGCATCTACTGCTGTTGTTTGTGCTGAATGCGATGATGATGCTGATGTTGATTTTGAGAACGACGACACGCTGGAAGCCAAAGGTGTCCCTGTTGCCATAGTAGTGAACGTATTCAATGTTTGTTGCCGTAGGTCCCAAATTACGCCTGACATGTTTCAACTTGCAATCAATACACAGTGAATAAAATGAATAGTTGTTATTACTACTAACTGTGAAATGTATCGGAAACTAAAATAGTTCATCCCCTTTTCCTTTATCACCACACGATAAAAAGGTTGCGCGAGAACGTGAAGGGATTTCCTCTTCTTCTTCTCCTCTTTCTTTCTCTCTCTTTCTCGTTAACTCTAGTATCTGCCAACAGGACAAGTAAAGATGTCTTTTGTTTATGATAAGAACCTTTTTCTAGGCTCTTCTGAATCAGTCACGTACTTGAGCACACAAATGTAAGTTGAATGGTCCAAACTAAATTCCAGAAGTTGTTTTATTTTTCTTTTGTTTTAAAAAAATTTTTTTTTTCCCTGAGCGCCTCGTGCACTTCTAGATACTTTACCGGATATTAGTAAAGTAATAAAAGATAACAAGAGAAAGACTCTGTTGTTCAGTTCTGTAGTAACTGTATATGATTATAACTTTCCAACCTCTTTTCAGCTTGTCTTGAAATGAGGCCTATAAATCACCTTATCCATTGCTTGGATTTGTATGTCGTTGTACATTTTATGGTGGTGCTTACGAATACACCCAGTCAAAAGTCGTGCAATTAAAATCATTTTTAGCTCAATTACAACCGCCTTAGCTTAATTACACTTTTGAAGTATAAACATTTGAGTCACTTTACGAAATTATTACAATTAGGTGACGAGGATTTGCTGAAAAGAAGTAGATTAGAAGAGTTTATGGAGACTTCTTGGAGAAAAGCATTCCAAAAATAAGCCATATATTGATTAAGTATATAATAACGATAGTAATACATATGCTTAGTCCCACTTACAAGAGCATTGGAATCATAATAGCGACAGCTCCTGCCAATGCTTTCATGTTCAAGGCATTCGTTACACCACTGTTTTCATATGTCTCAACAGATTCTGCAACTTCATCATTGGCAACTTGTTGTTGTTGTTGTTCTTCTTCTTGTGAGATTTGCTCTGAAGCAACACCAGCAAGAGCTTGACTTTGCTCGGCTTCCTCTGAAACAACTTCTTGTGGAACGGCTTCTTCAGCAAGCTCTGGAGCAGCTTCTTCTGGTACAACTTTTTCTTCTGCTGCAACTTCTTCTTCTGCTGCTGCCACTTCTTCTTCTGCTGCTGTCACTTCAACTGGAGCTTCTGTAGCTTCAGCTTGACCTTCTTCAGTGACAACTAAGTAAGTAGTCAAGGTAACAGTAGTGTAACTAGTGGTGTGAATCTCAGTAGTATAAACGTCACAATTGTCATCGGTGGCACATTCTTCAACAGTATAAGTCACGTCAGTGGTGCATGGGATAACAACAGTTTCAGTTACATATGAAGCAGGACAATAGGTAGTTATGATTGTCTTTTGCACGGTAACGGCTTCAGCACATTTATCGTCTTCACAAGATGTGATGGTGAGGGTTGTTTCTTGAGTCAATGTAGTAAGAACGCTGTCTGGAGCATCAGTGACGACGGCCTCGAGTGACTTGGAAGTTTCAACCTTTTCAGTACAAACGGCATCTTCGTCACACTCAGTAATAGTAACAAGTACATCAACAGTTCTAGTGATATATGATGTTGGCTCCTCAGTTGGCACTGGTGCCTCAGTAATATCAGTAGATCCAATAACATCAGTAGGTTCAGTAGGTTCAGTAACATCGATCGATTCAGTTGGTTCAACTACATCTTCGAATTGACGAGCAGCAACTTGTATTGGTTCACAGCCAACCCCAGATCCAGCATAAACAACATATCCAACCTCGGCTGCACAAACCGAAAATGGAACAAGTTCATCACGTTTGCTAAGAGTACGACGTTTCAAAGCAACTGAAAATTCAAGCACGTTTCCTTGTATGCTCCAACCAGCAGTAGCATCAGCCAATGCAACAATGGTTAAAAGACCATCTTCACCAATTCTGACATATTGATCTTCACCAACCTTCAAGTATCCATCTTCTATTAAGAAATTCACAACTTCTCCATTGGCAATAGTGATGTGAGTACCATTAGAATCAAAAGCTTCCAAAGATCCAGATAAAAGAGCGACAAGTTCGAAAGATTCATCTGGGATGACAGCGTCAGTGGGGAGAGCAATTTCAACTGGCTCGGTTGGCTCTTCAGTTGGCTCTTCAATTGGTTCTTCAGTTGGTTCCTCAGTTGACTCAGTTGGCTCTTCAGTTGGTTCAGTTGGCTCGGTTGGTTCCTCAGTTGACTCAGTTGGCTCTTCAGTTGGTTCAGTTGGTTCGGTTGGTTCCTCAGTTGGTTCCTCAACTGGCTCAGTTGACTCAGTTGGTTCCTCAGTTGGCTCTTCAGTTGGTTCAGTTGACTCAGTTGGTTCCTCAACTGGCTCAGTTGACTCAGTTGGTTCCTCAGTTGGCTCTTCAGTTGGCTCTTCAGTTGGTTCCTCAGTTGACTCAGTTGGCTCAGTTGGCTCTTCAGTTGGTTCAGTTGGTTCGGTTGGTTCCTCAGTTGGTTCCTCAACTGGCTCAGTTGGCTCTTCAGTTGGTTCAGTTGACTCAGTTGGTTCCTCAACTGGCTCAGTTGACTCTTCAGTTGGTTCAGTTGACTCAGTTGACTCTTCAGTTGGTTCAGTTGGTTCGGTTGGTTCCTCAGTTGGTTCCTCAACTGGCTCAGTTGACTCAGTTGGTTCCTCAGTTGGCTCTTCAGTTGGCTCAGTTGGCTCAGTTGGCTCTTCAGTTGGTTCAGTTGGCTCGGTTGGTTCCTCAGTTGGTTCCTCAACTGGCTCAGTTGACTCAGTTGGTTCCTCAGTTGGCTCTTCAATTGGTTCTTCAGTTGGTTCAGTTGGTTCCTCAACTGGCTCAGTTGACTCAGTTGGTTCCTCAGTTGGTTCAGTTGGCTCTTCAATTGGTTCTTCAGTTGGTTCCTCAACTGGCTCTTCAATTGGTTCCTCAGTTGGTTCTTCTGGTTCTTCAGTTGGTTCTTCTGGTTCTTCAGTTGGCTCAGTTGGCTCCTCAACTGGCTCTTCTGTGTCGACTGGTTCAGTCACCAACTCTTCATTCAAGACTGAATCAAAACGAATTAAGTCACCAAGAGCAGCACAACCCAATTCTTCATTAGTTGAAATAGTATAAGGAGCCGCATCTCCACATGCAAAAATTGGCATATTGTACACCAAAACTTCATTACCATCTTCATTAGTTTCAAGAGTCCAGGAATTATCAGTTCCCAAGTCTTCAGTTACAGGATAAGTCTTCATGACAAGATCAGATGGTGTAACACCAATCAAGGTTGATTGATCATCATTCAAAACCAATTCATTGTCATCACTAAATCTAAATCTTTGATCGACATCAGTACCAATGAATTCGACATATTGAGTATCAGGATTAATCTGTACATGGACTTCAACTTCATTGATTGTGGTTCTTAATTTGAAATTCTGATCGTAGGCCAAAACACCAGCGGCGAAGAGTGATAAGACAGTGTATGTCACTTGACTCACTCTCATTGTTTAACGTTTCTTTTTCTTTTGGTGGAATAAAAAAGGGAAGTGGTTTGAGCTGGTAGGATAAGAAAGGTTTCAAAAAAATTTGATCCATGGGAATAGCCTATTCAAAATGGGGGATTTGCAATCATATTAATAGTCAAACCTCCAAGAATTGAAGAATTAAAATAATAAAATTCAACAACAACAACCCACATCCAGTATGCATAAGCGGCATATCATGTTACTGGCTAAAAGCTAGCTATCTAGCTTTGCAATTTGTTTTCAAGAAAAATAATCAATAACAAAACAAATACGCATCCTCTCTCAAGAAACGCCCTCCCCATTCCCTTGACTTGCCTTGCTATGCCACTTTCTCTTGTCTATATCCATATCCCCTTTCTGCATTTCTGAACTATAATATCCATGCAAAATTAAAGTAAACAAAATTAAAAAACAAAAACACCACCAACCGTGATTAATCAGATACACTTCCGCAAAATATTTGGCGAAAGTAACGCAAAACAGCCAGCCACTATCAATTGATGTACCGCACGTGCACGTGTAATATATGTAAGTATTTATGTGTGTAACATGGATTGTAGCGTGTATGTGCTGTGGGTGTGTTTCTATGAAGAATGAGTAGTGTAATAATAATAATTGATTAAAGTTTATATATTGTCTTGGTTTTGATAGTGGTAGAAAATAAAAGCATTTTTTTTTTATTTTCTTGTTGTGTTAATGTATATATGTATACATGTATATGCATGTACATATATACATATACAAAACAAAACAAAAGATAAGAAAATAACCATTAGCAAAGCAACAACAATGGTGTCATCATTTCATCATTTTGCATCAACTAAAACTTGAAGCCACACACGAGATCCAGAGCATAACATAACCATTGTACAATATTAACATCCAAAAGGTTGAGGTCTCCTGTTTTCTCTTTTGCATAGGACTAAAATAAAAGTTAATCTCGTATCCTGCTAAAAATGAATTAAACTTATGTAGACAATAACGACAAGCAAGCAAAGATATAAACTTTCACCAAAAATAATAACATACAACAAGCCAAGATCTTTTTTTAACCGTGCCAATAATAGTCAAAGATTGCAAAATCAAAACAGAAAAACTATTGTAACGTTGTCGTATCTGTAAGCGACGTCGTAAAAACGTACTGTGCACAAAAATTGCCAAAACCTGTAAAAACGTGTGAAAGTAGAAGAAGATGAAGGAAATAAATAAAGATGCTGGTATATGTGTTCAGCATATTGTCGGAAAAAGGAACGTATCTGCTTAAAAATAAAAAAGCAGGCAAAGTATACCTCAATTGAAGACTTCATCATGCGCAAAGCTATTTTAAAGTATATTCCACATACAAAACATAAACATACATATATACATATATACATATAACGTTATTCGAGTTTTATTCCACAATCACGACTTCCATGGAAACCGAATAAAAATAAGGACACGCTATTTTTATATATATCTTTAATACAAGGAATAGGCGGGAAGAGGAAGGAGGAGGAGGAGAGAAGTGAGGTTCCAAGTCTTTGCGGCATATCATTCCATTCTCATACATTCAGAGAAGAAATTAGATCAACTCTGGGGTTAAGTTTTTTACGATATTTTTGGTTGTACCGAAAATGTTTTATATAATCTTATCCTCTCCATTTTTGTACCTTATTCTTTTGGCCCCCGCGTGTAGTAAGTAAGTTCCTGCTAGCTTTGGTATTCCTGTTGGAGAAATCGACTCAAGCAACGAATATCAACACGAGGTTCAAATCAAAAGCAAAAATACATGATTTAAAAAAGAAAGTGATGATGTAATGCATAAAAACAAGATTGGAGAAAATGATCTGTGGTCGATTCAAGTTGCGCAAAAGCATAGAATCTTAGTGGATAGATCGATGTGCCAAAATATAGCATTATAGCAGTTTCTGCAATACCTTAAACCCCTTCCAAAAAAAAAAGGAAGAAAAAAAAATCGCTTCTTCGCTTGCAGATATGATGACCCAGTAACACATATTCAAAATTTACCATAATTCATCAAGTATAAATATAAAAGTATTTATTAAAATTAATTATTAATATTATATGATATGGGATCAAAAAAGTCCGTCATTGCAAATCAAAGGAAAAAAACTGTAAAGCCAAAAAAAAAAATCAATCGATAAGATAGCAGCCCCATGTAATATCAAACAAAACATAACATAGCATAGCATAACATAAGTAAGTTATAAAAAAAAACACACAATTATTGAAAGGGAAATGAAATTGGAATACGAATTTTGTAATTCAAGTTTTGGAAACAGTAGAAAAAGTTGCAAATTGTGGTAAGAAGATGGCTTTTTGGAATTCCTTCTTCTGGGTTTGATTTCGTCATCATACATCAGCAATGTGTAGCAAGTAATCATGCACTTACCTCATGACTATCTATTCACTTATCTCTTCATTTGGACCATATGCACTTCATCAAGTCATAGTATCATCATCATCATCATCATCATCATCGTCGTCGTCGTCTTCGCAATAATCATCTATCTTGGCTAATCTTGCCACTCTTAATGACTATCTTCTTTTTTTCTACCTCCACTCAATCAACCATTGATCCCGAGCCTTGACTTATCAGCAGGTCCCCCATTACCACTAGCCGAAGCCTGTGTATTACTGGTTAAATCTTCTACTGATGTAGTTGAAGACGGGGCGTAGTTATGAGTGTCGTCGTCAAAGACTGACGGCGTTTGTGATGATCCTGAGCCAACATCTTCTTCATCTTCAAAGTTATGTTCAGCAACATTGCTACTACTTCCAAGGGAAGAAAATGATCTTGGTAATGATCTTGAACGTGAGATGTTACCCATCTCAAATACTTCCTCTTGTGAATGTTCTTGTTGTTGCTGTTGCTGTTGCTGTTGCTGTGCTAATGATGGATATACTCTTGAATATGCAAAGTTTTCTAAATCACCACCACTACCAACGACATTGCGCTGGCTAACATTGCCCCCTAAAGGGTCATCGTTAACTGTGCTGTAATATTCCAATTCAGTATACGACCAACGACAAAATTTATTAGCCTTAGGTAAATATTTGAATTTGACAAATTCAAACACCAAAAGTGACAATACAGCACCACCGGTTAAATCAACAAAATAATGATGGGTCAAGTACATTGTGCTCCACCATAACCAAGATGCATAAAAGACCCAAAGTACTTTCAAGCGAGGGAATAACCAACACATGAATAAAACTTCCATTATACAACAACCTGAATGCAATGATGGGAAAGCACCAAAAATAACCGGCGAATTGGAGAATCCAGTGGTGTACATATCAACTCCCAATAATTCATCTATACGACCCAATCCACCTGGCGAACCATGCATGGTGTAATTAGCTGGTTGTAATCCATATAAGTTCTTGTACCAGGGTGGGGCAGCTGGGAACATCATTTGTATAATAACCCCAAACAAATTCATGTACCCAAAGGCAAAAGCAAATGATCTTAAACTAGTTGGTGGAGCAAAGAAAAACATAATTGCAGCCACAACAAATGGAGCTCCAAAATGGAATAATCCATAAGGTAACCACCCCAAGATATCCAATACACGGTTAGTTACAGTTGCCAACACATTTGATAAATCATCACCATATAAAATGGTTTCCATAGCTGGCAAAACTTTAACAGAAATAGCTGGTTTCCACGAATGAGGTATTTTGGAGGTGGTGAAATAGAATCCCAACCAAGTCAAAATAGGAAGGGCAGGTAAGAAAAATTGTGATGTTGCTGGGACAGTAATGATGGTTAATAATGCAAGCAAAACGGGAAGTTTAAACAAGATGGATGCTGGGTATATTACAAACACAAATAACCAAACCGATGAAAGGAAACCATAATGTAAGATTTCTCCCCTAGACCATTTGTGGTGTCTTAGTCTATGAATGCTAGTTCTAATGCTAGTGTTTGTTTCTAAATCAGATAATGTTGAAGTTGGAGTCTTTTCCAGTAGAAAGTAGTGGTTGAATAGTTGGTATGGTTTGTGAAGTATGGACGATGATCCATTGTAATTGCGAGGCATCTCTCTCTCTATGTGAAACTGTGTATGAAGTGGAGGTGTGTAAGATGCTTATAGTAGGGGTGTAGTGTGTATATATTCAACCTTTTTTTGGTTTGTTTTGGTTGCCGGTTTTATTCTACTACAAATTGGTTGTAAAAGTTGTTATTGTTGTTGTCTTTTTTGGTGTGTGAGTGTTTCTAGTGGCAAGTGTAACTCAGTGTAGTGGTTGTGATTTGTGTATGTGTGTCTGTGTGTCTGTATGTCTGTGTGAATTTGTATCAAAGATGAAAGATGGATGGATTTGATTGTGATGTGATGTGATGAATTGTCAAATGGGTAATTTGTTTGATGATTTCTAATTTTTTTTTTGGTTTTTTTTAATAGAAATTTTCTTTTTCAAGAAAAAAAGAAAAAGAAGAGAAGAAAAATAGGAAATATAAAAAGAAGTCTAAAATTAGGTCAGTCAATCAGTTGGTACAAATACAATAGATTTATTCTTTTGCCTTTTCTTCTAATAGTCTGTTTGTGTCTGGGTCTGCTTGTCTTGATTATCTGTGTTTGCTTGGTATTAGTTGTTGAATTGTTTAGTATTGTGCCCTTGTAGCTGTTCTTGTCACACGTCAATTGGAAAACAACAAAAATAGGAGTAGAAATAATGGAATGCACGACATTTAATTATATTTCACGACATATTATATACACAATTTCCCCTAAAGACATTTTAAAAAGCAATTATCTTTTTTCAAACAGCAATTTACAAACATTGTTTGTCAATACAAAATGTCTCTCTCTTTCTTTTTTTCTTTCTTTCTTTCTTATTGTTCAAAAGCAAAAAAATTAAAAAAAAAAACAATTAAAACTTTACGAAACACTATAAACTCTTCAAAATAAACAATCAGACCTTACTATTTTATATATAGTCCTTATAGCAATCAATAAGGCTATATGGTGTTAGAGAAATTTAGACCTATTTTCTTACTTAGGAAAACCTCCACATGGTTGTGTTAACCAACCACCTTCTACTATACAGTATGATCGAAAACAAAGTAAAGTAAGGGGAAAAGAAAAATAGGGGGTCAGTGTGATATCGCAGTTGCTTTAAATGCGACACGGGACTAAAAAAGAGATTGTCTCCGGATTTCGGTTATTAAGTAGGAAGTAGCAAAATAAATTTCTTTTTTTCTTGCTTTTTTTTGCTTTTCTACGGACTAATCTTTTTATAACCGATGGAATTGGAAAACATTCAAAGAATAAACAGGCAGCATAAGAAGATACACACAGATACCCTCATTACTATAACAACGTCCAGAGAGTCAAGAGAAATAGAGTGTGTACGTGTGGTTCTATATAATTAGTGACTCTACCTCTAACGAGAGCAGATTTCTCTACAATACTATATCTACTGTAGAGAGAAAATTGAATGTACTACATTAGATGCATATTTGAAATAGCTTTAATGGCTTCTTTGAAGTTAAGTTAGACACATATCGAAGCACAAAAACCACCCCCAATTGAGCACAACCTTATCAGTTTAAGTACAATCGGCCGATTTTGCCTGAAAAGGTAACTCTCACGCACCTAATCACGTGAGATTATATTTTTTGTCATATTTGAATATACCATCTATCGTATGGGTGGAAAGTGATATAAAATGATCCCCTTATCCTTTCTGTTCACTTTCATTTTGCTTCATAGCTAACTAAAACCATTGCCCTCCCCCCCACCAATTTCAACGATTCTAAACTCTCCGATTATTCGAATCACTCAACAAAACCCAATTGATTCAACAGTATGGTTTTTTTCACGCCCACTTTGTCTTTACTAAATTAATTTAATATACGCAACTACACACATACAACACAACTTTGTGAATCTAGACCAGCTGCAAACTCTCCCACGAGGTAACAACAAAAAGAAAAAGGGCTGCGAAAATCAAATTTCTTGCGTTTTTGTGTTGCATCAATGTTTCCTCTCTGAAAGAAAAAAAATTGCCAACGTTTGTTCACTTTCAACAACAACAATAATCAATTGCTATTCTTGAAGAGAGCCTACTTCTTCTGTGCACACACACATACACACACACACACACAACTCCTTATTAGCAATGCCGGTAGAAGAATTAGACGACAGGGTCATTTTGACCGACGCCAACGACTCCTCCACCAAATTAACCATTTTAAAATTCGGAGCCACAATCATATCATGGCAACATCAAGGCGAAGAAAAATTATGGCTTTCCAAAGCAGCTAAATTGGATGGATCCAAAGCAGTTAGAGGTGGTATTCCCCTTGTTTTCCCCATTTTTGGTAAACAAAAGGATCCTAACCATCCAACGGCAAAATTACCCCAACATGGATTTGCTAGGAATAATTATTGGGAATTCTTGGGTCAAGTTAAAGAAAACCCACCTACGGTTCAATTTGGATTAGGACCTGAACAATTGGATCAAGAAACAAGATCTAAATGGGATTATGACTTTACTTTGATCTTGACCGTATCCATTGCCAACGACAAACTTAACCAAAAGATTGAAGTGGAAAACACAGGACTGGTGCCATTTGAATTCAATTGGTTGTTTCACACATATTACCACGTCGAAGATATAACCGATGTATTGGTCAACAATCTTGTTGACGTTTCCTGTTATGACCAATTGGTGGCCGACAAGTACACGGAAAAAGCCCCCGCCATTTCATTCCATGAAGAATTTGATCGTATTTACCAAAACATCAATCCTCATCGTATAATCCAAATTATCGACAAGGGAAAAGTCTTGTATAATTTGCATCGCACCAATTTACAAGATTCAGTAGTGTGGAACCCATGGGTGAAAAAAGCTGAAGGCATGGGTGATTTCGAACCTAAACTGGGGTTCCATAATATGGTTTGTGTTGAACCGGGCCATGTGAGTTCGATGGTGTTGTTGCCTTCGAAAGAGAAGTGGAGTGGTGAGCAGGAGGTTGTAATTGGTGGTGAAATCAAGGTGCAATCCAACATTTATGAGTGACTGGAGGGAAGAACTTTGAAATTATAGAGATAATTGAGAAATTTTACTTGGGCTGTTGTATAGATACGCTATGTAATCAAAAGAAACAGAGAAAACAAAGAGGTGTAGAAACAAGGATCACTCTATATTTTAATTAAATTTTTCTTTAAACCGTTGATACTTACTCAATGATTTTTGCGATGATGAAATTGTTGGCTTATCATACAACGAAAATGGTTGAGGAATAGTAATTGATTTCGATTTAGGTAGTGTTGTCGCTGCTGTTCTTGTTGTTTCGACTTTCCTGGCACTGTTATTTATCGATTGTGGTTGGTGGTGCTTAGTGTTGTATAGCCCATTACCGTTACCATTACCACCACCACCATGTTGGGAATGCAGTTTAAACGACGAGAACGATTTTGATGGACTCATGCGTGAAATCGACGGTTGCATGGGAACCTCTTGTGGATGGTATTTGCTTGATTGTTGTAGAGTCTTGCTGTGGTGATGAAGGTTTGTGGATGTGGGAGGTTTCATAGCAGTCTGTGATGTTGATGGTGGCAATGACGATGGTGAGGAGGCAACTCTATTGCTTTGCTCATTATTGTGAAATTGGGGTATCAGAGGTTTTCTTTGTAATTGAGAAATACTTGTCTTTTTCTGTAATTGGGGTATCAGTGGTTTCTTTTGTAATTGGGGTATCAGTGGTTTCTTTTGTAATTGGGGTATCAGTGGTTTCTTTTGTAATTGGGGTATCAGTGATTTCTTTTGTAATTGGGGTATCAGTGGTTTCTTTTGTAATTGGGGTATCAGTGGTTTCTTTTGCAACTGTTGTTTTTTAGGAACATTAGGCTTGACGAATGAACTTGATGGTGTATTCAGCCAAGGCTTACTATTACCATGGCTATGCTGTTGTCCTGTATTTGCTTCAAAACCGCTGCCAGTATTGGAAATTTTACTAGGCTCCTGTAATATACTAGATCCCTGGCTACTCACTGGTTTATCCATGTGTAACGTCAGCGAGTTCAATGTTCCCGAACAAGTTTCATTGTACCTAGTAGGTGATGAGTTAATCACACCCGCCATTTCTAACGAGCTAGGGCGTTTTTTCAATTGTGGCAACTTCTTTGGTGGTGCTGGTGGTGCCCAAATTTCCTTGTTTGGCGAACCGGTATCAGTAGTCTGTCTCAATATTGAATTCAAATTATATGATGCTTTACTGGGTGATATCTTGTTTGGAGAAATTTTACGATTCTCGGTGGGGTGTTGAGATTGTCGGTTTTGTTGTTGATGTAAAATGGGAATAGCCATGATTTCGTTGGCTCCATTCAAGGTACGTCTTCGTTTACTTGCGCTTTCAATGGTGTCGTATTTATCAGTAGCAGTTGCACTCGCACTTGCCAGCAGATCATCCAGTCCTAGCTTCTGTGGCGACGGAGTTTTGTTCCGATTGTGTACTGAGTAATGATGCGATATCGACTCCATTTGTTTGAACTTTGTCATATGTAATCCACTGTACCGTTTATTTCTTCGTTGACTGACTTGATCCTCCAATCCATACAGTGGTGAAGAATTTGAAGAATGAGAATAACCGTTGCCGTTAGCGTTTCCCGTGGTTATTTGTTGAGCTCGCTTGTGTAATTCTGAAAGCACATTGTTGGTCAATTTATGCGAATATCCCTTGTTTAACATCGATGATTCCGTTGGTGATTTTTGTAAGTCTAGACTTGGATAGAGCTGTGTTGGCGGTTGGGGTTGTGGCGGTAGAGCAGAAGGTGGAAAATGCTCTTCATGAGGGAGGTAATGCTGATTATGTTGGTCTTGATGCATGTCATCATAATTGAGTGGTGATGAATTCAAATTTAGATTTCTAATCTTTTTAATTGGTGTGTTGAGAGAGACATGCTGTTGCTGCTGTTGATAATACATATCAGTCATATTCTCATTACTATGAATGACCTCAATTCCTTTCTACCAGCTTTAGTGACAATTAGCTTTTGGCGAAACGATGTCTGCGTGATGGTGTAAAATCCTCTCGATGTGATTGATTCTCTTTCTCGATCTTTGGATCTTTTTCTTTTTTTGTTTGGTTGACGATGTTGTGTAAAGTATGCTTCCCAATTGGGATAGATTGTAAACAACACGATTAGTTTACATGCTACCAAATGGTGTATCACGTACACAACATATAGTGTGAAGAGAAGTTGGGCTATTTAGGGTTGAATGGAGCAAGTCGAAGCCTTCCCCATTTTTAATCAAGATGTATATCCTGGAATAGCATAATTGAAGAGTGGATGACGTTTATGAAAGTGTTTAAAGAATGTAGTGTAAGACTACTAGTAATTTGTGCTGAAATCAGACAAATTATTTGCAGATCTAGAGCGGAAAGAGGAGGGAGAGGTACTATCGATTTTTTCTTGCTGACTGCTGAAGTAAACGGGTAGGTAAATAACAGTAACATCAAGGATGACAACCAAAATATCCGTTCCTCTCTCCTCAAAGGATGGTTAACGGCACCAAAGATTAAGAGTGAACGGATATTGTACATTGGTAAGGAGAGACTTTACCTGAGCTCGGAGAATTGTCCTTCAGAGGATGCTGGATCTAAGGAAGTCCATTGAAAAGGAAAAAAAAAACTGCAAATGAATGCGTAAGAGAATAGTTTATTATGCAAATCCAACCAAACGTTTGATGTAAAAATAAAACAAAAGATCAAGGGATAATTGATAGTTGCAAAATCCCAAATCAAAGCCGAGGTTTATTTTCATCAATATCCGTTTGTAAAGAAAAGAGAAAATAAACAAACAATAAGAATAAAGGGTAAAAGTTGCAACAGGTAAAGGGGTTTAGCAATACTACGGGTTGGGTTGGTGGGGTTTACCAATTCCAACTGGTTCGGCACATGACGTCAAGCAAGTTGCTTAATACGAAGACAAACAAAAATAGCATATGCAGTGGCGTATCTAGGTATCACAAATGTTTCAGAAAAGTCCGTGATGATAAAGGTTTTAGATATCGAAGCAGTTAGGAGTTAATGCAGTAGGTTACGATTTTTGATTATTTGCGTTTATTCTCCGATTTCAAATACCCCACACAGCTTTCATATTTACAATAAGGATTTAATCGTACATGTGTCGTGTCTTAAAAGTTAAATGAGACAATAACAAATAAAAAAAAAAAATGCGTTGATCTGTTCCTCGGTTGAACTGTATTTTTCAAAGTAAAAAGATGAAGATAATTTCATGCTAGTAGCACGTACTGGGGGTACATCCCAGAAGTAGTAAGAGAAAAAGTCGCTAGTCCTTGGGTGGGCGTTTATGACTGCTTTTTTTAACTTTTTGGCTTTTCCCTTTTTTTCGCACATGCTAGTTTACTCGGCAGAAATATATATCTCCAGAGTTCGGAGACGAATAAAAATATTACAAGGACAAAAAGAGAAAAGAAGAAAGAGTCAACTTTGCATATGCCTTCGTTTAACTCTTTTTGTGAAATGAAAGGACAAACGGTTTGTGAAGGGGGAGTTTGTAAGAGGAGGAGGAGGAAAAGGCGAAGGGCGAAAGGCGAACAAAGTAGACATTTGTGGCATATGCGCGCTTAACATGAATGAAGCTGGGTTGATCACCGTTTTTACACATGCACATCAAAGTGAGACATTGCCATTACTATCACACGCTTTTAATGATTAATGTAAATTCCTCTTGACCTCCCCACCTCCATTTCTTATTGAGCCCTTTAAAACCAAATAAGAACCGTCTTAGGAATAGGAGAGAACAGAGAGGAGAAGTTAAAGAGAGCGTGTGTATGAAGAAAGAGTTATCCGATATCCATTCTTTGTTCTCCTCATTTTCCACCTTTTTTTTTTCCTTTGCCTCTTGTCTCTCGGCGCAAAGGATGTTACCATAAAACAAAAAAAATAAAGTTGGTGGAATTGCCTAATTGGGAATACGTACCTCCTTACACACATACGTCGGAGTTTTCTCATCTCCATATTTTTAATTTTTATTTTATTTTATTTTTATTTTATTTTCTTTCTCCGACTGTTGAGAATTAGACGCTGAAAAAAAAATCATACCCCTCCATCCAAGAAACACTCGTAGTACGCTTATATCAAGAGAAGAAGGAATAGGGGGGTCAGAGTGTCAGAGGTGGAAACGCACTACCAACTATACCTTCTCCACTGAGAAAAGTTTTCCCAATAAAGGGAATAAACCTAACTGTAAACTTAAAATTGCTGTTACAGTACTCCGAGGTTACAGCCTCTCTTCTTTCATCGTGTGAGTCTCTTTATTGTTTCATGCGGTAAACAATACTATGCATATTTGGGGGGGATAGGTGAAATTATGGTTATGAGAATATATCATTATGTTTCATTAAAGGAAAATCATTTAAGCTCGGTTCAATGATGTGCGAAAGAACAAAGTAAAGTACAGTTTTTCACATATCTCACATACTCTAATCACAAGCGCACCAATAGGGATAGAGAAACATTGGCTGCGGAAAATAACAATCCAGAGAGAAAGAGAGAAAGAGAGAAAGAGAGAAAGAATGAAAGATATTTGACGTTGATATGCAGTATAGATGATTCATTTTCCGACTTCCTCCGTATTGCAACCAAATGGTTATTTTGTGTTATGATTACAATGGAAAACATACTCCGAAAAACAATCAGAGGATAAAAAAAAAAAAAAGGAAGAAACAATAAGACAAACTGATAGAGGGCAAGTAGGAGAAAGGCAAAGGGAAAAACAAAAAAAAAGAGTCATCTGCAAAGTGTATTAAAATGTATTTTGCATTGTTCTAAAACTTCATTCTCCGAGTGACATTGAACCGAGGACCAACCAATTTTCTACTAGCCCTGTCTCTCCTCCTTCTTTGTGTGCGCACAATAATAACAGTAACTTTTTTTTTTTTTTTCAGTTTGGTTTCATAAGGCGGTACAAAAATCACACTACTCCGAAATTAGGGAGGGTTATATTACATGCTTTTGCCCTATAGAAACTGTGATACTTGTAGGAGTTAAGTCCCATTTGCTATATGCTCGGCGTATTTCTGGTTGAACGGAAACAACAGAACTAGAAATGATATACACTATACACCCCATCTTTAAGATATTTTACACCCCAAGCATTTAGAAATAAAAAAATAAAAAAGATGAGGGGTTTGTTAAAATCAGAGATTATTCTCATCACGCACACACATACACACAACTAATGCTTACTCTGTTTCTGGTATACGCCTACGCCCTCACCAAAGCAGTCGGTGCCCCATCTCTTCAATTTGTACTATTCGAACTTTGAAATATATAGAGGAAAGGCGGTGTTTTCTCTGCAATGTGAACATGCTTTCGTTTTTTTGGCTATGTTAAAGTTCCAGTGGAAATAGAAGAGTGAAGTAATATGCAGGATATCCCGAGAAACAATTCCCCTCATATTGCAGCGGATAAAAATTCATTTTTTTTTTTTTTTTTTTATTTATTTTATTTATTTTCACACCAACACACACAAAGAAGAAAAAGAAATTTTATTTTTTTTATTTTTTTTAAATATTCCCTTTTATAATGCAGTTGCAAAAATTAAATATCACAATATTTACCCGTAAGGCCATAAACACACAATATATATAATAGCATATGCTCTTTTGATAAATATATATAAATATCACTTCAATTGTAACCAATTTTTTTTTAAAAATATACTCATTCACAAGATAACCCATTTATTCAAATCTTGAACATCTGTCTCACACTGAAATACAGAACAGTCACAACTGTACAAAAACTAATTGTCATAATTTCCTAGATTTCACATTCACATATATACATATATATTCATATTCATACACATCACAACATGTCTGATTTACTTAATTACTCCATAATGCACCCAAGGTCACCAGTATCATCTAATGCATCATCATTCAGCAGTCCAAGGATGAGTTATACTGCACCACCATCACATACTACTGTATTACCACCTATTAATACCCTTATGCAATCAGCAACTCAACAGCAGAATCAACTGTCACCATCGTCACAGATTAAGTTGCCACCTATTAATACCTCAAACTATTCATTGAATAGACCCAACTTGCCAAGTCCAACATATGCCCAACTTACTGAGTCTAACTTGTCTCAATTTCAGCCTAATAGAGATTCACACGGTTTGGGTTTATTGAGCTCAGCTATCTTTTTGGACCAACAGCAGCAGCAGCAGCAGCAACAACAACAACAACAAATTCAACAGCATAGCCAACCAAGTTCTAGATCATCGTCAGTACCATCGCTAGTTTCGTTAGCTTCATCTGTTTCTTCATACACATCATCACCAGCAACTCCTGAGTATGTCCACGCAAGCATTCAACAACAACCACAACAACCACAACAGCAACAACCAACACCAATATCTACCCCAAAACTAACAGTGTCAAGTAAGCCGGCATCTTCATCCACATCTACCACAAACAAGAGAAGACAAAGACTTGGCCCATCATGCGACTCGTGTCGTGCACGTAAAGTCAAATGCAATGCCGAAATCACAACCTTGTCTCCTTCATCACCAGCCTCCCTTGCATCCACATTCAACTTGACTCCACAGCAACTCGATACATTATCCACCACTAACAAAATCTTCATTGGTAGTGATAACTTCCAACTCCTCCATGTTAATGATAAATATATCCATTTCAAACCATGTCATTCGTGTATGGGAAAGAAGATCGATTGTTGTTTCTCCAACGGCTTTACTAAGGAGGATATCTTGAGCAACAAAAAGAAACTGAAGAAGTCTAGTTGCTGCAGTGGGGGAAACGCAGGAAAAGTTACTAAGGACAGCAGCAGTAAAAAAGTTGGCGGTGGAGGCAGAAATGGTGGGGTTTATTTGGATAAATTGTTGAATTGTGGTGCTTTAACAGAAGCACAAGTTGGCATCACTGCTTAACTTCGCTTTTGAGGATGAGAGTTTGAACTAATTGTATTACTACTAGAAAGAATATTTTTCAATTCTTGGTTTTTTTACTTCTTTTTATTTTTTTGGGATCTGACATTTGGTTTGGTTGGCTGATTTGATTGAAATAGATCTTTCAATTAAAGCTTGCCTATATATATATATTTTCCAGTTCATTTTGGTTTGAGTTTTTTTATGTTTAATTCTTCAGGACATTACTTAGTCTATATATTATTTATCTTAAAATAAAAAATTACAACTGCATTTTACATATTGTTAAAACAAAGATTTCGAAGAATAGTATAATTTCTATATTCTCCTGTCTAACCTCCACTCTATAGGCTCTGTCACTATGTCCATAGAAATCAGTATCAAACACAATGGACACAAACTGTAAAAGATTGAATTAGATGCCGCCAAATGCAGGTGATTGCGTTGTCAGGTGTTATGAATCTCATCTATGGTAGTATCTATTCTCATTATATGGCAAGTGATCTTCCATCTATTGAATTTGGATGTTTTGCAGCACACATGGCTCAATAAACTCCTGTACTTCTCTTCCCTCGCTCCATAAATTGTATGTTCAATTTCATCAATCGCTTCCCCTGGATGTCGCATGATTTAGAAATGTACCTTACTCTGTCTAATTGTTTAGATGTAGAAGCCCCTTGAAGTCTCAAATCATCATTTGCAGCACGTGTCTGGCCAGTCGTTCAGGCAATTCAATCTTCAACGTTGGAACTAAATTCCATTTGCTTTGATAACCCCATTTCAACCTCCGAGGGATCTTGTAACTTTTAGGTATGTTCACTGGATCCCATCAATGAGTTGATTTGAATCCTCTTTTTTCCCAAAAACATTCCTATATATTTTTGACTGTGGTTCCAAGCATAATCATAATATGTAATAATAATTTAATAATGAAGTAGAGAGGGAGATTGTGCAAATAAAAAAAAAGAAGTCAAAATTTATTGCGCATAATAAATTTAAATTTAAATTTTAAGATTTTAAATTAAAAGGAGCAAGAGAGAGAGAGAGAAAGAAAGCATCTCATTCACTAAAACTGACATAGTTTACTTTCCAATACATATCTATTCTCCGTCGCTTTCAACCTACTTTACAATCACAAGACCGTCAAATAATGTCAAGACCTGCTGGTAGAACCATATTGGCATCAACTATTGCCAAACCTTATCAAGAAGAGGTCACTTCTGCTGTTCAAAAATTGAACTTCAAGCCAACGTTGGTGGGTCTTTTGGCAAACAAAGACCCCGCTGCCAAAATGTATGCCAACTGGACCAGCAAAACTTGTGAATCTTTGGGATTCAATTATAAGTTGATTGAAGTAAATAAAAACGAATTGGAAACCGCATTAATCAAGGCCAACAGAGACGATAATGTTAATGGTATTATGGTATACTTCCCAGTGTTTGGAGACAAACAAGATCAGTACTTGCAACAGTTGATCTCTCCGGAAAAGGATGTTGAGGGATTGAATTTTTTGTACTATCACAACCTTTATCATAACGTGAGATTTTTGGATCCTCCCAAGAATCAACAGAAATCAATCTTGCCTTGTACTCCCCTTGCCATGGTCAAAATATTGGAGTATTTGGGGGTCTATAACAAAATCTTACCCTATGGAAATCGATTATACGGGAAAAAGGTCTTGGTTGTAAACAGATCGGAAATAGTAGGAAGACCATTGGCAGCGCTACTTGCCAACGACGGTGCCACAGTATATTCCGTGGATGTGAAGAACATTCAACAGTTTACACGTGGTGATGACTTGCTGGAGCATAGACATTTGGTAGTCGACTTGGATACCGAAAATACTAGTCTCAGTAATCTTGCACCTCAATGTGATGTCATCATCACTGGTGTTCCTTCTGAAGACTACAAATTCCCAATTCATCTAGTGAAACATGGTGCTGTTGTAATTAATTTTTCAAGTTTCAAGAATTTTGACGATGAAATTAAACAAAAAGCTGGTTTATATGTGCCTTCCATTGGTAAAGTTACTATTGCCATTCTACTTAGAAACTTGATACGATTGATCGACAACAAGAGGATTAGAGCGGAAGAAGGAGCCAAAGAATAAGCATTAGAGGGTTAAAGCCAAGTCGTGCGCGAGCGATCAAAAGGGTGTTTTATAATTTTTTTTTTTTCCCCGTTGTATAGACTAAAAGAACTATAAATAAAGTGGAGTTAACAAAACTACTTAACCTACAACAACAACAACAACAATAACAACAGAGCAGCATATATCGTATAAAGTATTGTTGAGATTTTGCGTGTTGCCGATAGAACTTGTACAAGGAAGACCAACTTAATTTTTGTTTGCAGAATACTCGACTACTTCTAATATCAGAGTAGGGGAATAGACCGTTTAGAAATGAAAAGATGAATCAAGATGACTCAAAAAACGTCAACCACTCCAAAAAAAGAGTTGTTCCAATAGACCCTTTGGAAGTGACAGAATCTTTGGGATTTCAGACGTACCGAAAGGGTGCCCGCAAACCGTGGACCAGAGAGGAGGACTCCGAGCTCGCAAATTTGGTATCCACTAAGTTGAAGCAAAATGGAGATATAGAATTGATAGACTGGGAAAAGATTGCCGATAAAATGTCACCCGACGGTTCAAGGAAAAGCAAAGACTGTAGAAAAAGATGGAGCAACTCTTTAGATCCAGCACTTCGCAAGGGGAAATGGACACCTGAAGAAGATGAGTTGCTAGTCAAAGCGTTTCAGAAGTTTGGATCGGCTTGGTTGAAAGTTGCTCAAGAAATCAAGGGCAGGACGGATGATCAATGTGCCAAGAGGTATGTTGAAGTTTTGGATCCAAAGACAAAAGATCGGTTAAAGCCGTGGACCGAAGAAGAGGACCTTTTATTAATAAAACAAGTTAAACTTTATGGAACCAAATGGAGAACCATATGCAGTGCATTTGAAAGCAGACCATCCTTGACATGTCGAAATCGCTGGAGGAAATTGGTGACAGAGGTGGTGCGAGGGAAAGCTAGCCCCAAAATAAAAGAGGAGGTGGAGAGTGTCACCAATGGAAATTCTTCAAGTGTGTTGGATACTTTGAATCGCCAACAAGAGGAACTTACAAAGACCAACGTCGACTCAGACTCTAAACGGAGTATAAAGAGAAGGAAACCCAATGCGGTAGCTGTCCCCGTAGCAGGCTCGCAGACTCTTCAAAACCACAGCCGATTGAGCACAAAATCAGAAATAGAATGGGTTTACTCGGTAAATCCCGGCATGAATGATCATTATTCAAACACACAGAGCAAGCCCCCTTTTGGCACAATTAATAATCGCGAGACTGTTCGACACCTTGTTGAGTACGCAAAGGCAAATGGTGTCGGAATTTCAATCCACCAGCACATTCACCACCATTATACTCAGGGATCACATAGTCATGCTAGTGGAAATGAGCTAACATCCCCAGGGAGCTCGACCAGCGGAACCAATATGCTTGAACCGGAGGAACAAGTGTCTCGTTTTCAACATTTTAATTATCTACCTCCAATGACAGAAACGCCAAAGTTGAATTCATCTACCGATCAGCCGTCTAAGAATGACACAACTCAGCACCACCATCACCACCATCACCATCATCACCATACAGAGAGGGGCAGCGGAAATCAACAAGCTCAAAGGACCAAGCTACAGAATATCACATCCACAGACAGTTCTGACTCAGTAAAGGAGTCAAACCTTCAAAGGTTGTTGAATGCAGAAGAGTACAGTGGACACCAGTCTTCATCTACGCCCAATCCGTTAACACCTTTGACCCAAGCAGTAGAGATGGTTAGAGCAGCGGATGCCGCAAACTTTGCTGGTACAAGTAACTACTCAAGCAACGATTTTGGAATCGACCAAAAGAGTCAATTATACGGTCACCAATCAAATGGGAATCAAGGTGCAGATCTTTGGCAGCAGACTAAAACTGTAACCAGTAATGGAGTTGGAATACAACCTCAATCTAATAGTGCCAGGAATGAAAGAAAGAGCTCATCGCATAGTCAAGCATCTTCTCAACATCAAGACCATTTACGCGACTTTGCACATCCAAATGTTCCCAAAAACAATCCATTGCCTTATGTGGGTGATAGCTCACTTGGAGACAACACCAGATCCAACTTCTCATCTGCGTATTCTGAAGGCATCAACGAACAGGAGGATGGCGAAGAAGAACTCTTAGCAAGAGAGTTAGAGGAGACAGGCATTGACGAAGATGTATTGAACTCATATGGGTTGTTCTACAACGTCTATACAAAAGAAGGGTCGACGTTTCCCGACGCTCAACCCAATCAGCAACCCCAACTGCAAAATGCATATCGGCAAAATGAAAATTCTTATGACCAATGGGGTAGTGACTTTATCATACCATTTAACCCTTCTTAAGCGAAGTGGAAATCAATTCGACTAAGATTTGTATGTCTATTTAAAGTAGTTTGATTTATGTAAGAATTATTTGTATTAATTAATGATATATACGACAAACTAAAGAGCCAAATTTGAAATGTCTTGTCTTTTTTCTTTCCTTTTCTTTCAAGCCACACACCGTTTTACTCTCACATTGTCCTACATATAAAAAACTTATAAGCGATAAATTTTTTTGTTTTACTTTTTTTTTTTTAATTTTTTTTTCTGTTTCTTTTTTAATTATTTAATCCCCAAAAGTTTAAAAAACAAAACAAAACTTTAACTTTTGTTCGTGACAAAAGCGATTACAACCAGTGGAGAGACCACTTGATTCAAAGTTGCAGTACATCAGTCTTGGCTTGGTTATATGACACTGGAGTATTTATGTTAAAAGTTAGGGCTATATGAAAAGACAATCATGTCGGACGATACACATAACAAAATCAAAAGTGATGCTCCTTCTGGTAGCCTCGTGCTGGAAAAAGAAGAGGGCAGAGCTAAAGTTTCAAATAACGAACAGGAGGATACAGATATGAAAAACAACAGACTCAAAGACAGCAGAGTGAGAAACTTATCTTCAAAAAATACAAAAAACTTGGAAATAGCAACAAAAAGCCATAGCAAACTTGATGATCGTACTGCTCAGGCACTTCCCAATAAGAGCAAAAAGGCAGCTGACGAGCAAAAGACGCCGACTCCAAGCGTCCCTGAAAGTCAAGCGCGAGTTGCACAGAGCAATAATTCATCAAATGGGGCTCCCAAGATTGGAATGAGTCAACACGTAACTTCAAACGGCAGCACAGCGACACCAAGACTGTCTCATACTTTGCAACCCAACCCACAACTAAACAAGAACACAATAAACAATATCAATAAATCTTTGAAAGCGAAGCAAAAGATCATACATTCAAAAGAGCCACATCCAAAGAACGCCGCACTTATTTCGAACATGATAAACAAGTCGCCGCAGTCATCGGTGTTTCCAAACTTGTCAGCCGGCCCAAGCAAGATAGATTTGGAGTTGGCAACACAACCCCACTCTACGATATTGAAAAACGGTGCCGTTACCTCCCCCACACCAACTCTTCGGGCAAGTAGCAGAGTTGCAAATGATGAAAATACAAAGCATGATATGACACGACTACCTCAGTCGTCGCTATCTTCTCTTCCACAGTCACAGACAGAAGTTCAAACTAGGCAACAATCACAACAGACTCATCACTCGGCAAACTTCACACTTCATCCCAACATATCAAATTTAAATACATCTTCGATGGCCAACCTAAATGATGCAGATATGCCAAACAAACAAGCGAAACAGAAGAAGGTTGCCAAACAAAGCTCAACAAAGACTGACTTTTTTGCTGCAAAGCTTGCAAGCGCCGTGGATGACGTAGAAAGCAGTGACAGTGATGAAACCTTTGTTTATGAAAACAATGACGACACATTTGATACAACGAGCAATGGAAATCAGATAAATATAGGAGATGGCGTCAGCATAAATGGAAGCGTAAGCGGAGCCCATGCACCACATCCTGGTGGCAAGAGACCTCCCTCGGTATTGGAAGCTGAACAACTCAACGATATCAAACCACATAGGCTAATGTCTAGTAAGGCTCCGTCTATTGCAAATTCGATGAATAGTCAAGCGCATTTGGACACTCATGTGTTGAGAAGGCCTATCCAGAGTCGAGCTCTCTCTGGCACCTCAGTCATTGAGAATGGCCAACAGAGTCCCTTGCAGGCAGACATTTCAGATAGAGTGTCAGAACAGGACCTTAACTTCCCACAAGGTGATAAAAACAAGAGAGATGTGAGTGTTTCCCAATCTATAAATGACGGATCTAATGACGACGCGTATTCATTTCAAGAAAGCGTTGGGGATATGGGAAGGGGAACTTCAACCGAAGATGAGGGCCTGGACAAAGCCAATCAAGTACAAGCAAATTCATCAACAAGTCAATTACCATCGCAGCAATATCTCCACACCTCACAAACACCAGCAGAGTCGTCAGTGGCTCACTCGGTGTCTAGCAAAAATGCTATGAAAAAGGAACTTAAGTCATCTACAACGTCTTCAAAGCTAAGATCTACTACCTCAAAACTATTTGACAAAAAAGGATCCCAGCCAAGACGGTACAGTACCATTCCTGACGATATTGATATAGAAGACTTTGACGACGAACTTATCTATTACGACAACAGTGTCAAATTTCCCCACCCCAATGAATCGTCATCTTTGCTAAATTCAAACCAAAGAATCCCGCACTATCGATCATTGAATTTGAATCTCCCCAGAACTAGAGGACAAAGCAAGAGGTTTTTATCCACTGGTCAGCCTTTGAGCCCCAAGGACCACGATTCAAATAAGGAAGGTCATAATATTTTCCCATTTCCGTACCAAGAGCAACAGCAAAGTTACTATTATGATGTGGATGATTTTGATCAAAACCAGCCGTATAGTCCCAATTTTGACCTTCCAGAGCTACCTATGCATAAGAAAGCTTCACGGAATTTCAGTCCCGTTAGCCATCCATATACGAATGGAGTCCCTAATTCATTGTTCATGGGCCGTACACGAGAGAAAAGATCTAGTTGTATTCGATCGTTCTTATACACCCTAATATGCATATTTGTGATACTTACAGTTGGATTTATATTAGGATTCGTGATGGCAACCACCAAGGATTTGACCGGAGTTAGTATTAACTCCATCGAGAACCCTATTGTTAGCAAAGACGAGCTTGTTTTCAATATAGTGGTGGAGGCGTTCAACCCTGGTTGGTTTTCTGTGGATATCAATGATGTTGAGTTGGACTTGTTTGCACGAAGCGGGTATCTTCCTGATGGCGATGATAGTGTCCAAATTAAGCAAAGTGATGCCAAAGTTGAGACAGTCAAATTGGGTACGATCCACTCTCTAGAATCGACAATGAACTTTAGAGGTGGCTTTTTCTCGAGAGAGTCTACCGTCCAAAAAGCAGAAATCAAGTTACTCAATCCCGGAAAGGATGTTACAGAACAACAATTACAAAAACACGATGGAACCGACCCGGATAATACCGAGAAATGGGAAATTATTAGTGAAAATCCTTTTGATTTGATAATAACGGGGGTATTGAAGTACGATCTACCGTTGGTATCAAACACGCGGTCAGTTGTCGTTAGAAAGATTGGATACATTGATCCTACATTATTCATTTAGAAGCGCACTACTAGAGCCTTTTATTTTTAGCCTTAATACCACCTTATATATTGTATAAACCCTAGATTATTAATGCCATGTCATGCGGCCTTTCGCTGTTGGGAAATTGTCGTAAAGACAACTTGATGTTGTGGCCAAGTGGTTCAAATGAAGTCGCGCGCGGGTTTCCGTTGCTGACAAAGGGATCTGTAATCATCAAGTTGGAATCGGGGGGATGCACTTCAAACATCAACAAAATCTTAACCATAAATATGTACATCTCTTTGAGGGCAAAGCTATATCCCGAGCACATTCTTGAACCTGCGCCAAATGCAAAATGTTGATATGCTTTTGCAGTGAAGCTAATGTGGCCATTCTCATCAATCCACCTTTCCGGTCTAAACTCAAAAGGAGCAACAAAATGAGTTGCATCATGGTTGGCAGCATATGCATTCATGAATAACTGGGTGCCAGCTGGAATCTTTACATTTTCATAGAGTATATCTCTCGTTATAGTTCTAGGTAAACTCAATGGAAGTACAGTAAACTGTCTCAATGTCTCCAAAATCAATGCGTGAACGTAAGCATTTCTCAAGTCTGACCCATTCAGCTGTTCCCACGCCCTTGTAGAGTCTCCTCTGGAATTAGCAAGAATCTCGTTTACAGCTTTTGACTGATACAGCCATCCAACTTCTGGTTGCGAAAGAATTCCAAGCAAGTAATTTAGATTAAGTGGTGTGTTGTCCAAGCCAGCACTGATGAAAGTCAAACAAATGCTGTAAATCTCTGCTTCATTCAATTGATTGACGCTACTTTCTGCTAATAGCTGACCAACAAAGCTACTTATATTATCCTCGTGTCCATCTCTAAATCCATCTTGAAACCTATGATAAAGTTCGCTCATGTACATTTCTCTTTTATATCCACACTGCAGTGCAAGGCGGGCATTGGTGAGCAGTGGAAAGTGTTTCAACAAAGGTATGGAGTCTTGAAAATTGGATATGGGTGATCTTAGCCTGATTATATTGCTCTCATTTGATATGATCTCATTGCACAATGCATTATCTTTACCAAAGCAGTCTAAATGGATACCATATGTCAAAAACACACTGCATCGCAAGGCAAAATACTTTAGATAATTAGTTAAATCCACATCAGTGTCGTTGGCAACTTCCCTTATCTCGTGTAGAATAAACTCTATTTCCTCACAAATAAACAGCTCACGAGACGATATTGACTTGGTGTGGAGTAGTTGGGAGATGGCTCTTTTCTTTCTCCTGTAGGTTATACTTTGTGGTGTTGAACCCACTGTGAAGCTATGATAAGAGCCGATTAAGCCATGGAATGTGTAGCTCACCGGCCTTGAGTTATTCTGACATGAATGGTTCATCCAAATGTCAACCACTGCATCGTATGAATTCACCACAACGACCCATCTTGTTCCCAACCTAATTTGATAAACTGACTTGTTGTAACGGGACGCCCATTCCATATACGCCTTGGCAGGGTTATGCAACAGCAAATGCAAATGACCAACGACCGGTAGTTCGCCCGGGATTGAATAAATGCCTCGTATTCTTTGAGGTTGGAAAAAATAATCATACAAGATAGCAACAACCATGGCCGAAACAAACACCAGGCAAAACAAGGCTATAAGCCAACTCCAATAAAAGTTGTATATATATGGAAGAATGCCACATAAAGCGATCCATGACATTAATGATCTTCCTTTATTAAATTAGCAGCGGGTTATTATGAGATAGCAAAATGTGTTATGTTGAGATACATTTGGAAGTAAATACAAAAAAAGATACAAAAAAAAAACAAAATTAAACAACTGAAGTTACACTAGGGTAGATGTATTTGACATGTGCGTTAGATAGCAATGTTGCTGCCAGAATCAGTCACTCAAAACAGATCTGATGTAATCAAACCATTTCCTCCTTCTCTCCTCCGATTTTTTGTCCCTTGTAAAACTCCTTTTGAACATTTTGCCTTGCCGATTCGGTTTCTTCAGCAATAAGTTCGTCAAGATCATAGTCATAACTATCCGGATCAGTGTTTAAATCTAACTTCTCAGCTTTTCTTCTTCTTAACCCGGTGTCATCGCCAGCAAAATTCTTTAACCTGATCTTGATTGGTATATCATCTGAATGTACTTGAAGTTTCTCTTTCAACGCACGAGCCTCCGTTTTTAAAAATCCTTCATCGTCTAAATCATTTGAGGAGTGTGTGAGTTCATCTGGAGGCACGTATCCGTATTGATAATTGTTCTGGGCCTCAGTTTGTTTTTCGTTGATGGGTTTCGAGTCCTTTTTATGACGAGGATGGGTTTGGACACTCACCTTGGTTAATCCTGACAAAGAAGGTAGTAGCAAAATGAGCACAACAAGGGCTATTGCAATAGCTATAATAAGCAAAAACATAGTAGATTCTTTACTAGGAGGTTCTCTCACAGTAGCTGCTTGTTTGGTGAAAAAAAAAAATTAAAGATCTCCTAAAAGAATCATAAAAAAATTAGAAAGGGAAAAAAAAAAGAATCATCAAATATCAATCACTCAATTGGTCATACAAAACTAACCAAAATTGATCAAGAATAGGTCCCCATTCCCAAACATGTTTAGACAACTTACAAAACTGCAAAGATATATTGCACGCCAAACTTTTAAAAGCAAACTCCCCACACCAACAGGCTTGGTGTCATTGAGAATACCACCCACACCAATGCACATTCCAACAGCTGCCAGATTCTACTCCGTCAGCACACAAGGAGAAAACCTTGATGGCAAAATTGATCAAATTTCCGACGGAGAATACAACAAGATATCCAATGAATATCTTGAAAACTTGGCTGACGAATTGGAAGAATTGAACGGAAGCTATGAACAAGTCGATGCTGAGCTTAGCCATGGTGTGTTAACTTTAACTTTGCCTCCAAACGGTACATATGTCATTAACAAACAACCTCCAAACAAACAAATTTGGCTCAGCTCACCTATAAGTGGGCCAAAAAGGTATGACTTAATACAGGGCCACTGGAGAACATTACGAGATGGCAGTTTGCTTACAGAATTATTGGAGCTGGAAATATCGGAAGCTCTCAAAACGGACTTCAAATTTGAATCTGTGAGTTTATGAGTATGGCTCATTTTATGGAGGGAGACCAAATACAGGAAATGGGAGGACCTAAACGGGAACGGTGTGACCACCGTTTGTCAGTATTGAAGAATGCTCTATAATTAATTATTTAGAATCATGTTTATACAGAATTATTTATCGCCTTACTACTGACAAGAAGTCCAAATTTTGTAAAGCGTTTGACCTGGAGACATATTTGTCAAATTTGCACCCCGGTCTATCTCGACTTTGATTACAAATGGATGCAAAGTGTGGCATATTTTGGCATGTCGTTTTTTATATTCCTGTTTTTTGCGTCATTGAAACTTGACAATGGGATTCATCTCTTTTCGGCAAACTGGGCTTTAAGTAGATCTGGTTTTTCTTTTCATTCAATCCATACTATACCTGACAACCATAAACTCTTCTTAAAGAACAGAGTGAAGAGATGCCTAGATTAAAAACAGTACGAGGACCCAAGATTTTAAGTAAAAATGTGACCATTTCTCAGGAATACCATAGAAAGAACGTGAACAAGCTTTTGATCACTATAAAATTGCCGCTGGCTACACTCAAGGGAGTCAACGAGAAACAGATGCCAAAGACCACAAGTAATATCCCTCACTCTGCATCAGCCCATGTAACTACTGGGTTAAACACTGCAGATATCCAGCAGAATAAAGAAGCGCCAGAAATGCCAAACTTTCCAGATTGGGAGCCTGAGGAGTTTGATGATCTAGAATCGGTGTTGAATGAAGCATTGAATCAGCAACCCCAAACAGTGCACCGGAGGAGCAGTGATAGTAAAAAAGTGGATATAGTTGAAGCTTTAAAATTAAGCCCCAGAAGGAGAAGCCTGGAGAGTGAAAGGAATGAGAAATTAGGTGTTGAATCAAACAAGCAACTTCCAGAACCAACAACTCCAGTCAAGAGGCGAAAAACAATAAAGCCGTTCTCTCGAGTTCGGGAGCAGCGGGCAGAACATTACAAATCCCTACCAGCAAATATCGCGCCTATATTGGAATCAGAGTTACGTGAATTGGAAGATGCCGACGAAGATATGCCAAAAGTTGAGAAAATCGTCTTTTCGTTAAAGGATCCACTAGGGGGAGGCAAGATCAAACTACCTGTTAAATCAAGGTTTTGCTCGCATTTTGAGTGCTTTGACTATGACAATTTTTGCCTTTTCCATAATATACCGACATCTATCAAAGACATGACGCGAAAGAACCTAATACAACACAACTTCAACGAGATGGCACGGAGAAAGAATGGTGCACAATCTCTGTCGCAAGATTCAAGTACCCAATGTAGTCGGCAAGCGACGTACCAGCAAATAGTTCCACATCAAGCGAATCTTGGTTCGGATTACAGGTCACCCATGGTTATACAACAACTCAAGCTTTCCCCTTATGTTAAAATTGTCGATAACCCATTGCCAGGAGATAGTTATACGTCGAGGTTTATTGCACCTGCATACCAAACTTGCCCATTTTACTCTTGTCCAATTTGTGATACAAGTTTTCCTTTAAACGCATTACTAATTAGTGATTCATTCAATTACTTTGTGAAGATTACCTCTCCGCTGGCGGAGAAGATAGAATTATTAGGACTGCAAAAGTATCGAGCTATAGGAGGAGCAGATTTAGGGTTGAATGCGAAGAATGCATCATCAAACAAAGAAGATGTTTTGGTGATAAGCTCAGATGAAGAGGAGGAGAATGAAAAGACACGCCAACAATCAGCAACTAAGCAAAAGATGAATGTCGGTAACTTCATTCATCGTCAGACCCCTGTTGACTGGTTTGAGTCAGCAGTTGATACACTGAATTATAATACAGATTATGATGACCACGGGGCCAGTCACGACGATCCGATTATCTTGGATTAACTTTTTCTTGTTTGTCTTCTGGATACGAGGATAATGTGTGAGTACCGGGCTGAATTGTACATTTTTGTTATCTGCCTGTGGATTTATTGGGAGTATGGCCAACAGTGAATGAACCAAAGAAGCATTGTTGCATAAGTATAGAACTTGGTGTTTTGGTGCCGGCAATTTCTTAAGGAATGCTAGTTCGAGCTACTGCTAAAGCTCGGTTCAGGAGAATGTTTTGCTGTACCTCGATGATGCTATGCACCAAGGACGCAATTGCTCCCAGATTGTAACTAAGATCACTATATAGTTCTCAATTATTGATATTATTTACAAAGTAAAAGCATGTGACGAAACTCCTCAAGTAAGTAGGTAATGCTGTGGACTGCGTAGTCGCTCACTTCTCTGCGGTTGAATCCTACTTATTTATGCTGCACCAAGTGCGTGAAGAAAAATGCTCTCGACGTTACAAATTCAAGAACACTTTCTTTACCCAAAACCCACATCATGTCTAGCTTAGAGGATATCAGCAAAAAGATCCAAAACCTTGAAGGGCTCGTTGAAAAGCAGTCAAAAGTAATTGCAACTACCGGCCAGAAGCTTTTAGAGATTCAAGTCAAAGATGTCAAATCCCGGATGGCGCAAATTGATTCAGGGTCAGGGTCCAACACATCAAATCAGTTTGATGCTGCTGATTACATAGGTAATGATGATATTGTACAATTGGTGACCGAATTACAGTCGCAGTTGGATAATTTGGAGGATAGAGCTACTCGTCGTACGTACAATTCGACCTTGACAGAAGATGAGCAAAAATTGGCACCTTTGAGCAACAGAGACGGCGATGAGCCATCTTTTGCCCTTCCCTCAACGATTAAAGAGTTCAAGACTTTGTCCAAAGCCAGAGTACTAGAGTTAGGTGTGTTTTATGAAATAATTTTACCCAATGAAGAAGAGATCAGTGAAGTTTTGGAGAAGGATTCAGGAAACAGCAAAAATGATATAATAGATCTTGCTAAGAACAAAGATATTTCAAAGTTAGAAGACCAGTTTAGTAATGAGCAGGTGGATGAAGTATTCGATGAATTGGCTAGATATTTTGGTATCAGATATAGAAGGGTCAGCAATGGCTGGTGATAAAGGCAGTACTGCCATATATTTATAGAGTTGTGAACTGATCAAAGTCATGATCTCACTCACACGTAGATGGGGGTGCTCCCTCATGCACATGTCTCTTGTGTTGTCAAAGTGAATGAAACTCTAACCAAATATCCCATTCTTCTTCTATACAGGACTCTTTCGACGTGACGTGGTGAAAAAGAGTGAAAGAAAAAAAAGGAAGTGCGTTTCTGTCAAAAATCACTCTAACAGAACCATTTCATTATCAATCGCCAGGGTCACCGATAATGTCAGAAGAAACTCCAACCCCAACTCCAGAGCCCGAGTTGGTAAAGATATCCATATTCACCCCCTTGATTTATGTTGGAGTGGTGTTGACCATATTTGTGGTGTTTTCAATTTTCTACAGGAGACATAGACTAGCAAAATTTCAACAAGTTGAACCTATTTTCAAAGAGAACTATAATGCAATCTTATACCAACAGCTAAAGTCACAGTGTAATGATCCAGACTTACCAAAGGATCAAAAACCACATGAAAAAGTGATGAAAGCCGCATTGTTACGCAGAGGAGTTGAAGCTATCAGAAGAAGCATGAAATTGAAAGAGAATGAACCAGTATTTAATAAATTATATCAAAATGGACTGATTGGTGATGACATGTTTAAGCAATTAGAATTTGAGGTAAAGTTCCAGGAGTTGGAATTGAGAGATATTGTTGCCGAAGCTGAACAGTATAAAAAAGGTTGGTCGCAAACATTCTTCCCCTTGGCCCAAGAGATCTGCTTTAATGAAGCATTGAGAAGAAGGTTGAATGCAGTTGATGATAGAGCTGGAAAGTTATCTGAACTTTGGGATTTGTAGGTGTGTGTAATAGATTATTATGTATATACTGACGTGACAAGTATCTGGTGTAGGGACAACCACATGTACTTGCTTTAGCCAGCTTCTGATTGGAGTCATCTAGGTGAATTCGAACGTCGTTAAGCCTCTTGTACAGTGGTTGGCGGTCTTTGCAACATAGTGCTGTTGTGCATGCGAAATTTTTAGTTATCTATAATATTCCATCATGTTCGCAGTAGCGCAAAAGGCAACACACACAACTGCACTTTTCAGTAGATACTCCACCAGATAGTTACAAAATATAGACATGTTGAGGCCAAACATACTGAGTCACCTTCGTAATGCTGGAATTAAGCATTTCACACAATCTCGATTTGGCCCCTTATCCCGTCAAAGATTTTCACCGAGGACTAATGCAATCCAGGTTAGACCTTATGCTTCCTATCGTCGTTTCAACAATTCTGGTCTGTCACCCAACGTTTACGAGTACTACTTGCTGTTGCTTACGAGCAGAAAGGCCATGTACATCGGTGGAGGTCTTTTGGGCTTTTATCTTTTGAACCTTCACGAGGCACCATATACTCATAGACTTCGATTCATATCGATTCCGTTCTGGATTGAGACAAAGATTGGTGACTATTCTTATCGACAAATTATGTCGCAGTATGGATCTATGATCTTGCCTCACCTGAATCCACTTTATGGCCGGATCTCTACAATCATGAACAAGTTGCTTGCAACAGCAATAGCCAATGATGAGGACGAGACTCAGAGAAAGCATTTGAAGCAATTGCACTGGGAGATCAACATCATCCAAAACGACACATTACCGCCAAATGCGTTCATTTTGCCCAATGGAAAGATCTTTGTATTCAGTTCCATCTTGCCCATTTGTGAGAACGACGACGGACTTGCAACGGTCTTGTCCCATGAATTGTCACATCAATTGGCCCAGCACTCAAGTGAGCAATTAAGTTCACAGCCGTTCTATATGTTCTTATCGGCAGTATTGTATTCAATGACTGGGGTTTCATGGTTCAATGACTTGCTCATTAATGGTCTTTTCACAATGCCAGCCAGTAGAGAGATGGAAACAGAAGCTGACCATATTGGATGTGAAATCTTGGCAAAAAGCTGCTTCAACCCCGATGAGTCTGTTAAATTTTGGGAGAGGATGGGAAGAGAAGAACAAAAATTGACCAGGCAAATGGGCGGAAATACCTCCAATTCACTCTTTGGACAATGGTTTTCTACTCATCCAGCCACCACAAAAAGAATTCATGACATCGAAGAATGGTTACCAAAGTTGAGGGAATTGAGAGAAGGCAGTGGCTGCTATGAGTATGGCAGATTCCATGACTTTAGTGCCAATTATTTCAAAAGACAATAGAATGGTTTGATTTATTTGATATTTGATAAGTTGTATACATACAAGAATTATTAGACATTGCTAAACCTTTTGTACAACTGGCTCTCCATGTGTTCTATAGACTCAATCTCACGTATCCAAGTTGACTTCGACTTCCACCACCCCACAGGGCAAACCTCTAATGACATGACCCAATCAATCTCATTTAGTTTCAATAAATATACGGCAATCACCCCTAATCTTTTTCGCGTCCTGAGGGTCTTTTCGTTATAGTATGGAACCAGTAACTTGATAAACCGTTTGAACTCGTCGTCATCCTTGGTGGAGCTTCCAGGTAACTTTACTTGGCTCGTTACCCAACTTTCAACTTCATTTTCAAACATATTGATGTTAAATTGCGAGTTATCAATGAAGCTGGATAAAGTTTCATCTCCTTGAATTGACTTTGGGTTGCTTGTGATATACTCAATTATCCGTTTCCCTGCCAAATCCACAATCTGCTTCCGTAGGGAGTCGTATTCATTGTCAATCTCCTCCTGGAGGTTATATAACTGTGCCTCATCGTATGGCAATATTTTCACAATTTTGTTGGAGGAATATCCTGCTGTTTGTTCTTTGGCACGGTGACCAGCCCGGTTAGCATTTTGCACATACAAATTGTGCTTAATCTTTTTGTTTAAATAATATCCAGCAACCAGCATCGGAGGCCCTAAAGAAATCCAAATTTGTGGATGTAGATTGATAAACGCCAATACTCCAGCTCCCAAACCACTTAGATATTTCAATTGATATGGTATCAAGTTATTCCATATTAGAAGTGGGTAAGTCTTATTGACAACGTATGAATTTCGTGGCATTCCAGTATATGATTGAAATAGTGTACGTTTTGAAGTCCTAAAGCATGTTGGGCTTTTTATCATCTCCTTCTCCAAAAGCTGTTGAAGATTTAGAGGTAGTTTTTGAAATTTTGACTTTTTTTCGTTTTCTCTCTTTCATTTACAGGTGTAGAGAGGATTATTGTACAAGTTTAACCTCTCATTCACACTTTAAGGAGGCGATACGTTTATTTGAAGCCTATAAAACCTCTTACTATCGAGTACATTTAAAACCAGAAGTCAACAATGTCACTCTCATCTGTATATCTTACTGGAGCTACACCAAGTTTCCCTGTGTCATAATTATTAGTAAGGAAAATGTGTTTAATAAGTGGAATTCCCACGTTTTGAGTGGCTCCATGGTGACCTGTCTTTTCAATACGGGTGTTGCAAGCTGTTTTATCCGCATTCCAGTAAAAGGCATCTGAATAAGGCACGTCAATTTCGACGCCTTGTCCAAGATCGAAAGTAAATGATTTGTTCCCAGCTAATGCTATATCGCATGAGATCTTGCCCTTTTCATCACGCACCTCTTTAAATATCTGGTCGACAATGGGCGGATCTAATATTAAGCCAGCACTTCCGGTATCCAATGCCAACACGCTTGGGAAGGGTAAAACTGTTCCATTCGAGGTGGTAATTGACTTTCCTGGTATTGCAAGATGTGTATCGTAAAGTGCCAATTCTCCTTCATATTTGGCTTTATCAACACCACCTAAAAGAAAGGTTCCTTTATGATCGGAGCCTGTATAGATTGAAAACCCAGCTTTGTTGATATACCCAGCTTTTTTAGTAGCCTCAATGTAGGAGATATTGTCATTAGTAATGTACCCGATACCAAAGATACCTCTTGGGTAGAAAGTTGCATTGAGCAAATTGAACTCGAAGTCAGGAAGCTTCTTACCATCATCCAAGTACAAATCATCAGTCAGTTTAAATCCCGAAACCTGCACGGAGCCCCCTCCGCCGTAATATGATCTGCTAAAAATACTAAGATTTTTAAAAGTAGTTGATTCGGATGGGTCAAAAGTTGTTCCAGCAGCACATTTGCGACCCTGGCATTTGGCATCAACACTTGGGAAATTTAAATTCCAGCTTCCAGTATCAATCATAACCAACACCTCTTGCTTATTGGATCCAATCTTCAATTTTGTAATGTATCTAGCACCACCTTCATCAAAACTTTCCAGCTCATACCTTTTACCAATAAGTGAGGGTTCAAAATGCTCAATAGGATAAGCGATGTACTTGTCATGTTTCTTTTCAATTGGAGTGCTGTTGGCGACAGCAGCTAATAAGAAGACCAACACCGATGTTTTGAGCAAAGATAACATAGTTGATTGTTGTTTTTGTAATAAGTCTGACAGATTAGGAGTGGAAGCCTAGCCTTTTATAGACGTTCAAAATGAAGTGTGAAATAACTCTTCTCCACCTCCTGTCGGAAGTTGGCCATTGGAGTAGGAGTCAATTGGGCCATGTGGTACACTAAAACAACAACCATAGCATTATCATAACCATGCAACCACGTAACAGCAAGAATAGACATGATACTTTATAATTCATCGGCTTTGCAATTGAAGTTGTCATTCTGCGACGTGAAATTCCATCGATTTCTCATAACCTTTTTGTATGAGCAGAAAGGTAAATTCTTTCTACCACATTTATTGTTAGTTTTTGTGTGGTGATGCCGTACGCAGTTCGTATAGTGTTGGCATTGTTGATTTTGATATATCCATTGTTGAATCTGATAACATAAAGACTAGAGAGGAGACTTTTTTGACTTTAAGCAAAAGTGATTTTCCACTGAACAAAACTCAGAGACACATGTCAACGCAAGAACTATAAAATTTAATTCATGAGCTGTAAGGGGCTCTTTCTATATTGTTTTGTTAGTTTGGGACTGATTAACAGTAATAGCAATGTAGCCATGTGGTACCACCTGCTATTTTTTGCAGTAACAATATGAGTATTGTTTTGACATGGTTATGATACTTTACAATACAATTACACTGAACAATGTAGCATAATTTGCACACATTTCCTTTTCACCAATGGTTGAGCGAAGAGTATACAAACCCGAGTGACAAGGAGGGAAATACGTCATTTGCAGCACTAAACCGGACTGCAGTAAAGCGCCCCTCAAGTGGGGTTATGAGAATCGCAGTGTAATCCAATGAATTTTCACCCACTTTGAAATGTCGCAGCAATTGAGCGATGCTGAGGTATTGGTGCCGTTTCCACGGCAACTTCAGCAGTGATAATGGTTATGACTCTTTAGGGATGACTTTGTGAACACCACATGCTCCCATGAAGCTTCCGCTATTTAGCCCCCGGGCAACAGAAGAGTGGACGACCGATGGTTACGGAAATTCTATAAATGGAGGAGTTTGCACACTTTTAGTCAATTTCACTGTCGGGATCCACAAGACTCTACACCCACAATATGTTATCTTTACTCAAAAGTTCGGTATTGGTTATTTTGCTTGCTGCTATCGCCAATGGTACCCCCATTGAAAAAAGACACGACAAATTTATTGCTCATGAGCTTGAACGTACT